TAAGAAACGGCACCAGAGCGGTAGAGCTTGGAGGCAACAATGTTGTCCATCATACCACCAGTGTTACCGATTTTGAAAGCACCGGGCTTGATACCACCGACAGTGGCGGGGCCAATGATGGTGACACCCTTCTTGGCAGCGACGTGGAGAATCTCACGAGCGCGCTATTCTTGTGTCAGACAATCGTTGCGACTGATTATTACGGCTGGCAGAAAACTTACTCTCTCGGGAACACCCTCAGCAATGATGGCAATGGTCTTGATTTGAGGGTACTCCATGAGCTCCATGGTGCTCTGGTAGACGGAACGCGAGGAAGCAAAGTTGACGACGGTGTCAACATCGTCGTGCTTGCCGACAGCCTTCTCGGTGCTCTGGTAAACGGGGAGAAGAGTCTCGCTGGTGCCCCAGTACATCTTGCTGACGAACTGGCCACCGAAGGTGTAGATGATACCGGCGACCGAGGGAACCTTTCTCTTGCAGATGAAGTCAAAGTCAAGCATGCCCTGGACAGCCTTGGGCTGCAGACCGTAGACGAAACATCTCGTCTTGGGGTGGAACAGAGTGTGGGAAGGAGTAGGGCTCAATGCTCTGCTGGGGGCAGCGAAGCGGGTGATGTTGTCGTTGGGCTGGCTGGCTCCATTGGCTGAGGTAGAGGCAGTAGCCGGGGTGGATGTGGTTGCGGAAACCATTGTGAAAGCTGCGAGTGCTGTGTCAGTAGGGTCGCTCGCAACGAGGAGCTTTAGAAAGGAGGAGGAGAAGCGGTGGAGAGGAAGACGGACAACGAGACACGTGAGCAACTTGCTGGCTTCAAGCTTTGGTGAATGCTGCAAATGCGATGCTGGAGCAATGCGGTGCAAGATTGAAGCTGTAGATGTGCAGGGGAAGGCGATTGAGAGATTGCTGGGATGGAAGATGGGGGTGTGCAAAGCTTGCCAAAGCTGACTCGGCAGTACGACAATAATTCAGAGCTCACTTACAGTTATATCAAAAGCGACAACAAGAGGAAGGAAGGAGGGAGAAGAGAGGAAAGGCCGAACGAGCAGAAGATAGATGACCACAAGGGAGATGAGCAGGTCGGGACGAGGCAGGAGCAGAGGTAAGACTTGTCGAGCAGAGCAATATTGTTCGACTCGTCGCAGATGCGCGCTTTGCTGAGGCGCCTTCAACCGCAGGGCAAAGTCCGAGAGGTGCAGGGGTCCGGTTGAGGTTAGCGTGGTCCGGTCGCCGGTGCCTAGGTATGCTTTTTTGGCGCAGCCGTTGCGTTTCTGGGTTGATGTGGGTTGGAAATTCCCCGACGAAGCCGATGTGTTTTGCTGTGACAGCTTGTGCACGGCTCTCCTCAAACTTCCCGACTCCGGCCGCGAGCCACGCCAGAAAATCGTACCATCATCAATTTCCCCCTTCATCTGCTGCGTGTATTGGGCAAGGCTTGCGGCAATTGTTGGTAACACTGTGTCGAAACTCTGCGAGACATCCAACAGCCGTAGCAAAGCGCTGAGTGAGCGGCGTCGTCAGCGGCAGCGAGATGTGCAGTGTGGATATCTCGATTCTCGACAGACGACCGGGCCGAGTCGCGGCTGCTGGCTGCTGTTGCACGACGGCCATCTGCGGGTTTCCGTGCCTCTCTGGAGGTCTTGACTCTTGCGTGTTCGACGTGTCCTCTTTCTGTTTCATTTCGAAGCTCTCTCCGCAATACCCCTGTATAAAATTAGCATTATCAGCATAATCAGCCCACTCACCACTATTTCCCAGCCCTTTTGCGTTGCGGGATCGGCGTTTTTGTCGACTCAACGGCTGCGCTAACACGCCCCGCCCACGCTAGTAGGAGCTCACCGTCTGCACCCTTCTGCGGCCACCTGGAGCCAAGACCCGACAATATTCTCCTCGATCTCGTCCACAGCTCCCCTCCTCAAAGAGTGCTCTCCCGAATCCATCCAGCTCAAGTCTCCGACACCTTCTCTGCTCCATCTCCTCCAATTGGCGTCTCCTTGATTGTGTGATACCCACCTCTTCGGACTTTTTCGCCCTCACAAATCCCCCCAGCCCACCAGGTAAGCATCCGTCAAACAAGCTCCCAGTACCAGCATCTTGCCCATGTATCCAAAATTGGCTCTCGGCGAACAAAGGTGATTCGTCGATACATTGCCCGTCGGACTTTTGCAAGTCTCCTGGTCAATGTCTCGCATATCACTTCCGTGCGCCGTGCCTGTATCTCCCAACTCTTGTTGAGCCGAAAGCACACGACTTGTTGCCGCGAGCCATTCCCCATTGCATCGCTGTTGCTCCTAGCTCTTCACCACTTTCCACCTCCTGCTTCTTGCCTCTTTGCTCCCTCTTCTTGTCCTTGCTCTTTCCCTACACTCGCCCTCTCACACACTCTCGCTTCGACTCTTCAACTGGTCCTGTTTGTCGTTGCTCACTTTTCCTCGCCAGTTCCTTCTTCGCAGTCATGTCCGCCAAGTCGATCCTCGAAGCCGATGGCAAGGCCATCCTCAACTACCACCTTACCAGAGCTCCCGTCATCAAGCCTACTCCTCTCCCTGCTGCTGCCAACCACAACCCTCACGCCAAGCTCTGCTCGCTCTACTTCGCTGAGGGTGCTTCCCCCAAGGACATCCTTGACGAGGCCGAGGTCAAGTACCCTTGGTTGCACGAGTCTGGCGCCAAGTTCGTCGCAAAGCCCGATCAGCTCATCAAGCGACGAGGCAAGAGCGGCCTTTTGGCCCTGAACAAGACCTGGGCCGAGGCCAGAGCTTGGATTGAGGAGCGTGCTGGCAAGCCCCAGAGAGTCGAGACTGTCGATGGTGTCCTGAGACAGTTCTTGGTCGAGCCTTTCGTGCCTCACCCTCAAGACACCGAGTACTACATCAACATCAACTCCGTTCGTGAGGTATGTGGCATTTTTCTTTCATTTTCCTTCTTTTCTTTCCGGGTTGTCGAATCAGTCAATGGGGATCGATCTTCCTGGGCCTGCCGAGTTTTTCCTTGGACATCTTTTTATTGAGAGAAAAGAAGCAAGGGAAAGGGCAAGGACCAGGGGTTAAGTTTTCATATGATTGTTTTGCATGTGAAAGTCACGTTGGGCTGGCATTGAGCAATTCCCCCGGCTATCGTTTTCGGCTGAAGGGAGAAATCCCATCAGGCCGTCCGGGACCACATCCCAAGCGCGCACAGATATCCTCTGTCCCCTACACCAACGCACAACATCTGTACCTGCATTAGACTCTTGCCCTCTCGATTGGCTTGCGGATCTACCCGCTGTCGATGTCTCCCTTAATGCTCCAATGCCATCACCATATCATCACCATACCGCTATATTCATCATACCATCAACAGATACTAACATTCTATCAATAGGGTGACTGGATTCTCTTCACCCACGAGGGTGGTGTCGATGTCGGTGATGTCGATGCTAAGGCTGAGAAGCTTTTGATCCCCGTCGACCTCAAGGAGTACCCCTCCAACGAGGAGATTGCTGCCACTCTCCTCAAGAAGGTTCCCCAGGGTGTCCACAACGTCCTTGTCGACTTCATCTCTCGCCTCTACGCCGTCTACGTTGACTGCCAGTTCACGTACGTTATGTAATCGCACACCTTCCGATCAACCCACTGACACGAACTAGCTACCTCGAGATCAACCCTCTCGTCGTCATCCCCAACGCCGATGCCACCTCTGCTGAGGTCCACTTCCTCGACTTGGCTGCCAAGATCGATCAGACTGCTGAGTTCGAGTGCGGTGCCAAGTGGGCCATCGCTCGCTCTGCCACTGCTCTCGGCTTGAACGTCGCTGACAAGAAGGACTCCAAGGTCTCGATCGATGTCGGCCCTCCCATGGAGTTCCCCGCTCCTTTCGGTCGTGAGATGTCCAAGGAGGAGGCCTACATCGCCGAGATGGATGCCAAGACTGGTGCTTCCCTCAAGCTGACCATCCTCAACGGCAGCGGTCGTGTCTGGACCCTCGTCGCTGGTGGTGGTGCCTCGGTCGTCTACGCCGATGCCATTGCCTCTGCTGGTTACGCCGGTGAGCTTGCCAACTACGGCGAGTACTCTGGTGCTCCCACCGAGACCCAGACCTTCCACTACGCCAGAACTGTCCTCGACCTCATGCTCCGTGCTCCCATGCACCCCGAGGGCAAGGTCCTCTTCATTGGTGGTGGTATTGCCAACTTCACCAACGTTGCCTCCACCTTCAAGGGTGTCATCCGTGCCCTCCGTGAGGTCGCTCCTCTCCTTGTTGAGCACAACGTCAAGATCTGGGTCCGCCGTGCTGGCCCCAACTACCAGGAGGGTCTCAAGAACATCAAGGCCGTCGGCCAAGAGCTCAAGCTCGACATGCACGTCTTCGGTCCTGAGATGCACGTCTCTGGTATCGTTCCTCTTGCCCTTGTCCCCGGCAAGTACACTCCCGACATCAAGGAATTCGGATCATAAAGGAAAAAAGCAACACGAAGTTATATGAAAAAATGATTCACTACAGCCTCACCACATCTTCTTTGAGGTTACACTTTTTTCTTTTACCCCCCTCCTCCTTCTACCTTTTACAACCATGTTCGAACTTTCATCAGCTTTTTCTTGTCTCGGGTGCTGGGTGCTTGCGTTTTATATCATATTACACTGGAAAGGCTTTACATCTGGTGTAGGTGCAGGAAGCGAAATGGCATAATTCCCCCTTTTTTCAAACACAATGACAGATACTGTTTCCAAACTTCTTCATGATACAGAGCGTGATTGTCGTGTAAGATCAATTCAACGCGTGACTTATCGCAGTTGTCGACGTGATTGGGTATGGACTAAGCGGACTGGTTGGAAGTGTTTTTGATTCATCAACACGGCTTCGAGGATGCGAACTTGAATCGTCCTATTGTCGTGGCAGGAGGCTGATGCGTGTTGGGGTCGTTTGACACAGGCATGTTGTCTTCCAGTTTGCCGCTGCTCAATGATTTATTACATATGTTGTACAAGGTCTATCAATTACACCTATTATATGTTGTACAAGTTCTATCAACTGACACCGCCCAGTGCATTGCTTGCCCACTGGTAACTTCCGAGGAACACAGCACCGCCGATACTGATCCAAGTGACTCTAGGTTCGACACCTTTGAAGAAGGCTTTCATACCTTCTTCTCTGTAGATTTTGCCGAGCAAAGACGAGGCCGAGACTCTTTCTTTTGCCAGCATCATTCTCGTCTTCAAGACATCCAACGGTGTGGTCAGAGCAGCAGCAATCCCGCCGGATATGCTTCCGAACACAGCAGACTGGAGACCAGTAGCAGTTTCCCTACCGTCTCTTTTGGCAGCCCATCTCTTCATGCCTTCCCACATGGGGAATTGGATGACTGTGAAAGGCACCTCACGCATGACCGTGATACCCCAGCCACGATATAACTCCCTCGCCATAACACCATATCCTTTGCTCTTTCTCAAGTCAAGAATACTCGTGAACGCAGCCAAAGAACTCGGGAATTGTTTCGCTTGAGCCCTCTGCTTAACGACTTCGGTAGGCACACGCACAGCGCAAGCCGCCACCTCTCCTAGACTCGCCGCTGCCATGTGTACGCCAGCTTGTTGTGTGGGAGTATGTTGTGAGGAGGAGAAATTGCGCTTTATGCCGTCGTAGGTAACGAAGAAGAGGGCGGCGCCTGGAGCGGAGCCGACGATTGCGGAACCGACGCCTGCGTAGACGCCGCGGAAGCCGCCGGCGGCGAGGAAGCCTGATGAGGATTGGAGGCGGGTCTTTAGTGTGTCGAGGGGGTAGAGGGATGTGTCGACGGTGGTGCCTGCTACTGCGCCTGCCTGTGAGAGTGGTTTGGTTAGCTGTGGGTTGAATGCTTGTGTATCATGCTTTTCGAGCTATGGAGATAGGCAGTCAAGTATGTCGTTGTCGCGTGTCTTCGAGTCACGTAAAGACCGTGTATACAGCTCGGCATGCACTCGGCGACGTGAAGAGCAGGAGGAATGTACATACAAGAAGCGAGCGCAAGTAAGGCGACTCCACCAATGGAGTCTTGTCTTGAACGACACCTGCCATTCCGAAGTGTAGAGCGAATTGAGACCAATTGCTCGTGCTACGATTATGTCAAGCCATGGCGGTTGCTGTCACAAGCCGAAAAGTTGACGCCATGGAGTCTTTCCCGTCATCGCTCTTGCCCGAGCTTCGGCTGAGCATCCACCAGCCATCCGCTTGACAACACAAACATTCTTGTGCCAAATCATCATCATCAAACATATCATTCGTGTTTGGTCATAGCCAGAGCCTTGCCATGACATGTTCAGAAGATCGCTTGTGAGGTATACCTTGGCACCCGTCGATCAGTTCAAGTTCGATGAGATATTGCAGCCGATATGCAAGGGCAAAAAAAGATTGGGTATCATGATATTACCATTGGTACAAAGTTCTATTCAGCAAAAGTGCTGATGAGTCTTCATAGGTCTTGCCATTAGTGGTGGAGTAGACTCGATGGCTCTGGCTACTCTGTGCAACCAAGTACGCAAGTTCAAAGCACCGCCTATGACCGCTTTCGTAGTGGATCATCGTCTTCGATCTGGAAGCACAGAGGAAGCTGAGTCGGTAGCCAAGGTTCTTGCCGGCCTTGGTATACAGCATAGAATCTTGACCGCCGACTGGGGATCCATCGCTGACCCAAGTCAAATCTCAAATCTGGAATCAGCAGCTCGCAGGGTGCGCTTCCAGACCCTTGGCCGTGCCTGTGCCGATGCAAACATCGACACTCTTCTTTTGGCTCACCATGCAGATGACCAAGCAGAGACCGTACTAGCAAGGATACATGCCGGATACCTGGGAAGCGGTCTTACAGGCATTCAACCCAAAACGCCCATTGGAGAATGTCACGGAATGTACAAGGTGTCCAAATCTGGTACTTATCGACATCTAGACAAGACCATGCCATCCCTCTTCGTCGAATCTGGCGGAGTCATGATCCATCGACCCCTACTCGGCTTCACCAAATCACAACTCATTGCCACTTGCGAAACAAGAAACGTGAAATGGCACGAAGACGCGACAAATGCCGACAAAACTCTGACTCCGCGCAATGCAATCAGACAGATGCTGCTATCCAAAGCTATGCCATCTGCTTTGAGTTCAAGCCGGTTGAGGGAGCTGGCTGCACATAGGCGAAGCAACCTCGCGTCATGCGAAGAAACCGCTACAACCTACTTCAACCATTGTCCTGTTGAGCTGGACAGCAAGACCGGCTCAGTGTCGTTCCAGATTCATCAAGATATCGAGGAATGGATGAGTAGCAAGAAGGACCGTCAGCTCATAGCGGCAATGCTCATGCGCAAATTTCTTTCTCTAGCGGAAGACCAGAACAAACTTGCGCTGAAAGATCTTACCCGGCCAGTGGAACTCGTGTTCCCATCGATTTTCGATGGGCAGAAGGCTTCGTCGAGCGGTATCAATATCGGAAATGTCACTCTGGTCAATGATCCTTTGATTCAGAAGAGTGAAACAGGTGATCACAAGAGATTCCTTATCTTCCCACGGCCAGTACGAGCACCGGGAGAGTTTATTCAAAATCTTCTCGAAATCACAGAAGACAACAGAAGCGCCTCCAAAGAAGCTGTATGGACCGAGACAAAACTCTTCCATGACCGGTGGTGGATAAAGCTACGATATATACCAGCCAATCTCCCAGTGAAAACATCTGTGGTAGTCAGGTTCCTAAGAAAGGGAGAATCGACAAAAGAGGGCGGCCCATGGCGAGCGAAGAAAGGACTTCATCTATTGCCTACAGGAAAGCTTCGTTACACAATTCCTATGATTGTTCAGACGACCGAAGTCAAAGACCAAGATGGACTTGTGAGCACAAAGGAGGAAATACTAGCGTTTCCCAGCATCGGCTTGACCAATACGGCTTGTTCAATGTTCAGTGGTGACAAGACATACGACAGTTCATGGCAGTATACTTGCGTCTACAAAGACATCGAATTCAATCTGAACGAGAACCACACTTTGCAGATGTACGAGCGGAGGAGCGTATCGGTAAAGAAGGTTCGTTCGCCTTCCTCTATCGCACCTGTGATTCGAAAACACAGGTAATGAGGAGCAGCTGTTGAGTTTGAAGTATCTCACAATGTTCTTTGCCAGCCAGACCGCGCCGAACAGAGAGTCAGAACTACCTGCATTTTCAGGAACGGAGATCTTGTCATCGGCCCCAGGTACATGAGTTACGGGACTGGTTATGGCTTGGCTGAAGAAGATCTCTTCCTCATTGTTCGAACAGAGCGAGAAAACGCAAGCCACGCCCTGTTCTTTCCATGAGAACAACATCGAGGGTGTAGGAATACTCGTTCTCGACCCGAGACGAGAGATACATGCACGAACAAGCATGCGCTTGGCGAGTTGCAGCAAACCTCTGCTGGTGATCCGTCGATCCTGCCAACCCGCAGTGCGTGAGTAAGCAGAAATCTCCGACCGTGGTTGATTGGTCTGCTGGAGAGATGCTGCCTACTGTACGGTTATAATTGGACTCGGATGAAGAGGCACAAGAGCGACATGTGAACACGGTACAAACGTGTGTCGAAAAGAAGGTTTATTGAGACTACAAGCGTTCGAGTGACCAACGTTGTAAAGGATGCTCATGATTGCGTGCCGTGCCTCAAATGCCAACCTTGACGGCTCGTCTTCCCGCTGTGGACCTGACTGGCAAAGTCTGGACGAGTAAGCAAGACGGACAAACTTGCTTGATCAGAAGCTCGCCTCGAACAGTGAGGGAGGTGAGATTCCGGCGCCTTGTGATGTAGGCCTGATGAACAATGTTCAGGCTTGCATAAAGTATATAACGATTCTCGCGTGAGCCTGAGGGACTGAGCCATGGGTTGAATCGTGGCAGCATCTTGTGCAACGAGGTTAAAAATAATAGGGTTAAGGTAGGCTCCGAGCCAGTACGACGGCGGGTGGTGGTGACCAAGCTTCAATGTTGACAGCGGGGTTCAATCTGCCATGCGAACAATCAACACGAATTCACCATTCATGCAACCTTGCTAGACATCAAGCAAGGATACGACATGTATTCACCGAAGAGCGAGTCGACGCAGAGTACACATTACATGTAACTCGTCGCAGACATGATCGCCGTCTTCTAATAGCATCGACAGATGAAAGGTGTGCATGAGCGTCATCATTTCTTCGGACATTTGAAAGAGTTTCCCCATGCATGCCGCAAGCCACTGCAGCCCACGCAGCCTGGTCAAGAATTGTTATGCTCAGTACCAAGAAACCTCCTCTGCTCCAACACGAGATGCATCGCATTCTCGAAGGAGGATTGAGTCACAATGTCTCATAATATGAGCCTCGAACACCGACACAATAAACCATGAGCCAGAGAAGCGACCTCAAACCCGATGTCCGAAGAGGCAACTGTGGATAGGGCTTACAGACCTCAGCAGCTACCTTGCTGCCCATGCAAAGATGACGATCCTCTACAAGGAGAATATCGAGGGTGAACGGCAAGCAAAGCTTGATCCACCTGTACTAAACCCTGCAACTACTGCCCTGCCGCCTCTCAGCGCGTGGTTTTTGGGACCGTCGACATGCGGCAGCTCCACTATTCCGACCCAAATTCGCTTCAGTCAACACATACTTTGACGTCCCTGCCTATGGGGTACAACGCCCTCGTGACGATCGGACTGTCTAGTATGCGGCAGAGTCTGGGTCAGAGGAATCGTGATTCCTATCCACACTATCCATCCTTCTATATCCGGATGCGGAATGAGGTAAGTAGTCATCCTCTTTAGCCTCGCATCAAGCCCACAGTAAGCCGAGATGAAGAAGTGATCGTTGGTATATTTGTAGACCAGAGACCGAGATATCGGTGTATATAAAGGTAGGTGGCCTCGCCTGAACCTGTTCAAGCCAACACCAACCTTCCATTGCCCTTGTTGTCTCGCATAGTCCAGCGTGCTTGAGTATACCTGCGATCTACTTGCGTAGTAGTCTCTTCTCTCGTTCTTGCAGGCTCTCGCTTCTTCTTCCACAATGCACGCTCGCTCTTCATTGCTGTTACCATTGGCATGGTCAGCCGCATTCCTATCAGGAGTCAACGCAGACTGTGAATCATACGGCATCGACTTCGTAAACAATGGAAACGTAAGTCACCCTCAGATCATGTACTGTAGTCTATACTGATCACCCGTGCAGTACTTCATCAACTCGGCTTCCAACTCTTCATTTACATCCGTCACACAGTTCACGGGTGAGTAATAGCAGATCCAGATGGCTTGACCGTACGCTGACTATACATACAGGATGCGCCGACGATGTCGCAGCTATCGAGTTGGTAAACTGGGACAACGGAGATGAATACGAATGCTCGAGCATCCCTCTACTACCCGACGGAACACCCGAAACATCTACCTGCGACATCGAAAAGGATCAAATGGTCTCGGGCACTTGGGGATTGATCCTGGTCTCAAACAACGGCGATGATCCAGACTCGCCTCCTTTTGCGAACCAGAGAACTTTCTCATTGGATGTTGGCGTGCAAGCGACGTCTACAGTAAGTTTCACGTTGCGAGCGTTGAGGTTGCACCGAGAATTAATCACAATGCAGGTTACACCAACCATGACTTTCAACATGACGACCACGCCGACCATCACATCTCAGACTACGTCATGGGTTGTTAACACTACTACGGTCAACAACTCCTTGACTGTCACTCAGCCTGCAGTATGTAATAATTTATACCACCTGAATATGCTAAACTAACACATCCAAGGCCACACGTTGGGTCACAATCACACCCGACCCAGTCGTCAGCACAAAAACCATCAACCTAACCCGCACGCTCAAAACCTGGACTCGCACAGCAATCGTCTACACACGCACCGCAACAGCCAGCTGCACGGTTCCTCCCCGACCTCAGCAGCCTGATCCGCCATGCCGCAGATGGCCCCGCTTGGTTCAAGTCCCCGCCGGCGTCCACATTGCCAGAGACGCACCTGAGGACTACGCAAGCATCAAGAGAAGATTGGCAGATATCCGTGCTAGGAGAGCTGCAGATATCGATGCGAGGGATTTGGTAAAGAGATCTGCTGATGCGCCCACGATTACTGTAACCGGAACTGTTACTGCGAACCAGACTGTAAGTTTTTCCTGAATTCTTCACGACATGGAACAAAAGAAGCTGACAGAGAAATAGAACACCTTCACTGCTGCCGCGACAACCGTCGTCAACATTGTCCTCAGCAGCTCCACCATTACCAAGTAAGCATCTTCTCTTACCTCCACCCTTGTACTCTGGTTTCTAACACGAGCACTAGGACTCTTCCACCAGCTACCATCAAGACCGGCTACGCATCAGCATACCTCACACTCCCTCCTGTGACCAAGACTTCGTTCACAGTCAACACTGCATACACGACGCAAACAAAGACCATGACGGCCACATTTGTCAAGGTCACTACTGTCACCCCGACTGGCGTCATGACTGCTTGCAAGCAACGAGGTGGTCACTTTGGAAATGGTTGGTAAAGCGAGAATAATCTTTTTGATTAATCTTTTTTCTTTCGTATGTTTTGGGAAAAATATGGTATGGGGATGTGTATATGGGGGATGAATACGGATATGGGTATTGGTTATTGGGACTTTTTGGTCTCAAGGTGTTTTATACCTCTCTGTTTTTTCGTCCTCTCTTTCTATCAAATTTTTATACTATCATTAATCGCAAAAACCCTCTCAATTTTCCTTGGTTCTGTGCACAGCGCAATCGACAAATCTGATTATCGATATTGACCGTTGCACATCTTGTGCATAGAGTCTTTCCTGCACATATTTGCATAACTTTCTCTACCACCCCAGTACTTTGGTACATGCAACTCTACATGCAGTGATCACCGGCTCTCCATCAAATACTCCGTAGTATACAGAAAAGGAACACATGTTGTTATTTTCGTACAACACGAAGATTTAATTGTTCCCATGATCACAAAATCCTTCTTTCTGAATCTTTGCGTGAAGCGTGTTTCGTGGGTGGCTTGCGTACGGATATAAATCAAGGGTTGCGAGCGAGTGGAAAGAAACGTATGGGCCAGAGACATCAGAACTCCTGGATAAACAGCTGTGCTGGTTTGGAGAACCCAAGAGGTCTGCTATTGCTTTTTCATCATGTGCAAATGTATGTCACGCGAGTGAGTTGTCAAAATGCGCATGTTCTTTCCAGATAGTAGACAAGTCCCTGAGAGTTATTGATATCGAAATTCTCGGTGGCTACTTCCTATTCACTTGAGATACCGCGCATCTTCGAACCCGTAAGCGTGACATACTTTCGCATATGAGCAGACGCTCGAAAACATTCGAGTTGAGTAGAAATATAGGTCTGTCGGTCAATGCCCCTCGACTTTCCTAGACTATCCTGCTCTTGCATCAAAAGCCATTCATACCATTAGCATCAGCATCCTGATCAAATCCACTCCACATATTCTCAAATGGTAAACCCAATCCCTCGAACGCAAACCCAAGATCGGCCGTCATCGTGGGTCCAAATCCAGCAAGATCAAATCCGAAATCCTGCTGCAAGGGCTGCAACACCACATCTTCAACATTGATAGCCGGCAGTATTTGCTCTGGATTGTTCTGATGAGGATGGGGAGAAGCGGCGGCGGCAGGCGCTGTGGAAGACACAGAAGAACACAATTTGGTAATGACTCGAGAGATTGGTTCGTCGCATTGGTTGAGGAAGATGTCGGCGAGATCCCAGTCAGAGTCGTCGCGGGCGGAGCGAAGGCGTTTGCGTAGGGATTCGAGACTGCTTTTGCAGGTTTCACGGGCGGCAGGGTCGGTGGTTTCAATCGTGCAGCGGAGCAGTATCATGGCTGAAGATGCGAGTAGATGCGCCGTATCTGGAGAGGGAATATTAACAGTGACGGAGACGTGAGAGAGGTTTTCAAGACTTACATGGCAACCAAAACTCGGCCAGATTTTGGCTTGTCAGAGCACAAACAAAGTCTGATATCTCGCGTGCCGAGCTGCGTAACACAGAGAGACGATATCGAAGATGTTCGCTGCTATTGTCTGGATGTAAGTCATCAGAGTTGGCGACCTGCAGATTTTAGCTACATCTCATCGGCAAAAGAGGTTAAACACACCTTTAGCGCTGTCCGGGCGAGCATGAGCTTGGTTGACAGAAAGCAGAAGTGCAAGTTACATGCTCCAGGCCCTTTTCCCTCTTCCAGTGGCTGAGTGAGATATTGTGGCAAGTCGGTATCCCACTGATCTAGGTCACACTCGAGTCTTCGTAGTTCACGTGGAATCTTGATATCGAAAGGACGGCGGAGATCACCAGCAATTTGTAGAATGTCACCCAAAATTTCGGATAACTTGCAAAGCTGAATGAAATGCTCTGCGCCTTGCTCACGATAAACATTGTCCTTGCCTGGTGTCAAGAGCATCGCATGTGTCGGAAGAGGTACATCATGTTGACCCTTTGTGAGAGTAGCCGGGGTTCCATGAGCTAGCGTAGACCTTTGGACAGTCAGCTTGATCGTGAAAGCATCCTCTTCAGACTCACATCCTGTTGCTGATTAAGACAGCCCACCATGTCCGTATCCTTAATCGTTTCTCGTGGTCTGAACAACCCCAATTCGTGGGGTTGCGGTTCATACCAAAGGTATGAGCAAGAGCCAGCGTTCGACCTTCGTTGATAATGTTGCCAACGATGGAATTCACAGGTCGACCGATCATGTCAAGCACACTGCTTAAAATGGTCGAGACACTGGACTCGTTGAAGTCCTCTTGTAACGCAGCAACAGCGACATTGCAAGCGTAGATAGGATCGGGTCGAGGATGATTCCGTAATTTGGGTGATCGATCCCAGGAAGACAAGGCGTTGGTGATGATATAGGACCATAATGTGGAAGAGATGCCAGTCGCTCCATGTTTCTTGATAGCCAGCTCGTCAAGGATAGGAAAGCAAGGATGGGCATATTCAAAATATCTCCAGAAGTCAGCTGCTAGTAATGATCGAAAGGACTGGCCAGATACTCACAAATCAACCAGCTCATCGGCAAATGGCCCTACAAGATGTTGCAACACAAGTTTCTGATTAGAGCCAGGATCTTTAGCCGGCTGGAGACCTCGCCGGCGACGAGGGACGGACAGATACAAGAGCGGATTGCGACTCGGTCCAGCTGTAGTGGTTTGCCGTTCTTTGGATGACTGTCTTGGTCCATCTCCTTTGGAAAGATACGGTCCTAGAATCTGGATATCCTCTTGGAACACAGGACCCACAATCACGGTCGACTCAGTACTTGGGTGATCCAGGGGTTGTGCAATCTCGGCAGAGGCTTCAGCAGGAGTGCCAATGGTAGAGCCCTGGCGAGAAGGCCGTCTAGGCGGGACTTGTGGTGAGCCAGCACTCGCAGAACCTATGCTCTGTACAGTACGTTTGGCAGGTCTTTCCGATGGACCCGCCGTAGAAGAGCGATCACGTTTCTGTGCACTTGGAGCAGGAGAGGCAGTAATGCATTGCCAGCCCTTTTCCCGACAGAGAGTGCAGATCAACGCGACTTGATCAAAGTGGCAGCGGATCTTACGTTGGCGACAAGCGGTGCAAGCAGGAAACTTGTGTGATCTGTATGGTCGCGTTCCGCTCGGAGGCTCCATGGTGTTGGCTCCTGATTGGGCCATTTCTGACATATCAAAATAACTAGAACGGAATAAAGATGGGTTGCCCGAGAAGTTTCCCGTGAAGCCCGTCATGGTTCCCCGCGAACGCTTTTGTTGGGGCTTCTGGCTGGAAGTAGCAATCTACCCATATGAAGAGAAGAATCTCGGAAATGTGTAGTCTTACAGGTCAAGAGCGATGCGTAAAGAGCGTAGAACCGTCATAAGCAGAAGCACAGGGTCCAAGGATACCTCCTTCGATAATTCGAGCACTTGTGAGTCACTGGGTCGCTATGACAAGCCCTAATAGATGCCGCAGAGTCCAGAGCAATCCCATAACCGATTTGCCTAAAAGTCAGACACGCCGAGTAGCCAGAAAATGTGGTTGTAAGAGTACAGCCCGCCATGCTATGACAGCGGGTAGGCAATGCGTGCCCAAAGTTTGTGAAAAGATATAGTACAGTGCGAACCCATATGCACAATTGCCCGTCTTTTTGTCGCAACGCCTCGAAACTCCAACCCAGGAATGCTCATGAACAAGATGACGGTGGAGGATCCTCTCACTTCTTTGGCGCGACAAAGCCCAACTCCTCGGCAGGCTTCCACTGTTCCCTCCTCTCCAATAGTGCCCTAGCCTGTTCTCTCATGCTCTTCCTCTCGCCCCTGTCCACGTATGTGTCTGCCAATCTGCCTCTTTGCTCGGCGTACTTGTCGTTGTCGGTCTTGGCCTGGTCGTGTGTGTCCTTGCTCCAGTTCTCGTTCAATTCATCCTTGTTGGGCAGTTCTGGCCATACAAAGGGACTCTCCAGTTCGACGGTCATCTTCTTGATGGCGCGCGGGCGGAACCATCGCTTGATCTGCATCTTGGGAGCATTGGGCTTGCCCTGTGTGACTTTTTGCTGATCGATGTAGGAGCGGACGCTGACGACACGGACGTTGTAGGCATGGTAGAGGTAGTCGCGGAGATCGAGCTTGTTCATACTGAGAGGCACGATGAACTTGGCAAAGCTGGCGGGCATGCGCGGTGAGCGGACGAGGGTTACTGTGAAGTTGGGCCTATTTCATAGTCGTCAGGACTTTTGTCGCGTCGCTAAAATTGCGCACGCGCAACTAGGGACAAACGTACAGGTAAACCTGCTTGGCTCCTACGCGGAATGGCGCTCTCGCTGCTGCTTGGGCCGACATGGTTGTGTGATTGTGTGACTAGACGTGAATTCTTGATGGTGCTCGCCGCATACCAAAAGTCGGCGATGGCGCTCCGACCATCTTTTGCGCCAGCCTTGGCATCACATCACCTCCCCTCGAGACATCCTCAACATGAACATCTGGTTGAACATACCTAACATCGATCAGTGAGATCGTCCATCTCTAGTCACAGTACACTTCTACTATGGCTACCTTGACAGAGGAACGTATTGAACCTTACGAGGTCATATCCTGTGTGCCACACTCGAAGCCCGTCCTAGTTAGCCAGTATGTGATTACAGTGATTGATAGCCGTCATGCGAGGACGATAGTAATATAGTATTACAGACGGCCAGGATACGATCGTCATGTCTTCGCTGAGCGCCCCCTACTAAGTGCTCTGCTTTTCGACAATGTCGATTCCGATGCTCGCGACCACTGTGCAAACGAGAGGAGTACGTACAGCCTCTCTCTACTCAGTCCTTGAACGCCTGCCAAAGTACATGAAAAATTCTGACCATTGTTATTGTATTCTAGCATTTCTTTCATGGTTACGGCTGGCTATTTACATGGCTGTTGTCAGTGTAGCCATCCTCATCTCATTCCATCTCAAGAACCAGCCTTCGACACTGGAACGAAAGATAGCGCTCCCATTTGGCATCATCTTCTGGTTCCTTGCTCTCGCTTGTCTCGCTAGTGGGACGGCGAATTACATCAAGACTGTAGAGAAGTACTCGAAGCGACAAGCCTTGGTACAGACTGGCTGGAAGACGCAGATGGTAAGTCCTGGTCTACTATCTTCTTGTGACATGCTTGTGACTCAAAATCCAGGTCTTCACAATTGTCGCGACATCGATCGTGGCTGCATGTGTGCTGTTTTTGTCGACAAACGCTGGAGCGAAGCAGCGAACCCGCTGAGATAATTTATCGTGGTAGATGTTTGATGGTTGATGGTTGATGATTCATGATTTTTTACACGCCACGCTACCGTAAACGTACACATAATGCTGGTATCTTCCGCTCGTATCCCGAAAAGCAAACTCCTTCTCTACTCATAAGATGACCATTTACATGTCAAGCAAGCACCAAGTCTGGTCGTCGACGGTATTGTAGATCTTGCCCATGGATTGGAGCTCGTCTGTTCCCTTGAGCACATCGGCAATATCCATGCCGGTTCTGCTGGCCATATCCTGCACGTGGAGACCCTCGTTGATCTGAGGGGTGTTTTGCATGCACTGGAAGACCTTTCTGGCGTGACTCGACACACCAGCGGGAAGAGTGCCACCAGCATTGAACTGACCGCCGTTGGAGGCGCCTTGTCCTTGTTGGCCTTGTTGTTGTGCTCCCAGAGGACCGCGTGTGAAGAAGAGGTGGACGTAGGTAGCTTCCAGCATGTGATGGTTGACCTCGTTTAGGTCGGTAATGGGACGTATCTGCTGAGCGACGACGTGACGCTTGCCGAAAGTCTTGAGCTTGCCCCAGACGCGAGCGTATGCATTCTCGACCACACCGGCCTTTGCTCCACCCTCTTCGTCATTTTGAGCTGTCTCCATGTCGATCCAGACCTTGACTTCGATGGTGCCGGTGCCATCGTCTAGGTTATAGGTGATATTTGTGGTTTGCTTGCTGATGTTGCGGACTTGGCCAACAAACGAGATTGTGGTCAGCTCTGAGCCGTCGATGGCAAAGTTCTCGCTGTCAGGCTGTTCGGCTTCGAGCAGTTGCTTGATTGTGACGGGGCGTAGCGTTTCCTTGCCGTATGACTGTCGATGTCAGTAGTGGACAAGAGGCATTATGCTAACGTGTACACACTTTCTTTGCGCTGGGACTGTCCTGGCTACCGGCCATGAAACCGCCATCTTCATTACCGCCCTGAGCACCATACGATGTTGCTGAGTATCCGTAATCTGCTGTGGTCAGAATTGCCTCTGGCACGTTGTTTCGAGCGAAGGAGCCTCACCCATTGTGATGATTCTGCAGAATTCTAGAGAAGCAGATTGTGAAGGAACAAGCGTGTACTTGTCTTCTATGGGTATCCGGTAGTGCTTGTACGACTTGCTGAAGGTCTGACCAAGTTGCTCGGTCTCTAATGGGTATGGTCAAAAAGTGGCATGGGCAGGCGAACGCGACTGCCTCGACGACGCGTATCGCGCTTAGAGTGGTCGAATCACGTGGCGATAAGGCCGAGAGCAAAAGCTTATCAGCAAAAGTTGAGGGTCGCGACTTCCCAAATCTGCGGAGAGGCGCTTTTTCTGCGAAGGTTCATCCCTCGACAGAATCATAGAATATGGGCAGACGAGCTGTTTCGCCTACCGCTTCCGAGAATGGCTTCGAACTCTCGAATGCCTTGTTTGGAGGAGCTGGTTTAGACTCGGACGACGACACCACACTCGCCGGATTCGAACAACCCAAACCCGCTGCCATCGATGCTTCTGGAGGTGCTGGACTCGACGACGATAGCGATGGTGACGAACTATACATTGCTGCGCAGCAGGCTGCCAACAACAGAAAGACGAAGGACTTGACAGGAAAGACAATCAAGAAGGGAGGAGGTTTCCAGTCCATGGGCCTGAACGGACACCTGCTCAAGGCCATCACTCGCAAGGGATTTTCAGTACCTACTCCCATTCAGCGCAAGACCATTCCCGTCATTCTCGATGGTCAAGATGTTGTTGGTATGGCGAGAACTGGTTCCGGAAAGACGGCTGCTTTCGTCATTCCTATGATCGAGAAGCTGAAGTCACACAGCGCAAAGGTTGGAGCAAGAGCCGTCATCCTGTCGCCGTCGCGTGAACTCGCCTTGCAAACACTCAAGGTTGTTAAAGAGATGGGCAAGGGGACAGACCTCAGGACAATCTTGCTGGTTGGTGGTGACAGTCTCGAGGAGCAGTTCTCGTCCATGGCCTCAAACCCGGATATCATTATTGCCACCCCTGGTCGTTTCGAGCATTTGAAGATTGAGATGAACCTGGACTTGTCCTCGATCAAGTACATTGTTTTCGACGAAGCCGATCGCCTGTTCGAGATGGGTTTCGCTGCACAGCTGGCCGAGATTATGGTTGCTCTGCCTCCTAACAGACAGACTCTCCTGTTCTCTGCCACTCTACCTAGATCATTGGTCGAATTTGCTCGTGCTGGTCTTCAGGAGCCCAAACTTATCCGTCTTGACGCCGAAACAAAGATCTCGCCTGATCTTCAAACCGCCTACTTCTCCATCAACACTCAAGAAAAGGAGGGTGCCCTTGTACACATTCTGAGAGACGTCATCAAGATGCCCAGCGGTCCCACGGAAAGAACAAAGCAGGCCAAGGAAGACAGCATGAAGTCCAAGAAGCGCAAGCGTCCCGATGGTCCTGGCGCCAACGAAACTCCCACCGAACACTCTACTATTGTCTTTGCTGCTACAAAGCATCACGTCGAATATCTCTACAACCTTCTCAGCCAACTCGGCTACGCTGTTTCCTATGTCTATGGTGCATTGGACCAAACCGCCAGAAAGATCCAAATCCAGGAATTCAGATCTGGTCTAACAAATATCCTTGTTGTCACTGATGTTGCTGCTCGTGGTGTTGATATTCCCATTCTGGCCAACGTTATCAACTACGATTTCCCTTCGCAACCAAAGATCTTTGTTCATCGTGTCGGTCGTACTGCTCGTGCTGGCAAAAAGGGTTGGGCCTACAGTCTGGTCACGCAGAAAGATTTGCCATACCTGCTCGATCTCCAGCTCTTCCTGAGTCGCAAACTGGTTCTTGGAAGAGAGCTCACCGACGAGATCAACTACGCTGATCAGGTCGTTCTGGGAACGCTTGTCAGAGCTCCTCTCGAGATTTGTGTTGAAGAAGTCGGAAAGCTTGTTGATGATGATGTCGACCTGACCGGCATCCGCGATGTTTCCGTCAAAGCTGAAAAGCAATACGTCCGTACTCGTACCTCAGCCTCTTCTGAGAGTGCAAAGCGCGCCAAGGTTGTCGGCTCCTCTCCTCATTACTCGGAAATCCACACTTTGTTCGAGGACGATTCAGAGGCTAGACACATGGAGCTGGAAAGAGAGAAAATGCTTGCTCGCGTAAGCGGATTCCGACCTCCGGAAACAATTTTCGAGGTCGGCAAACGCGGCAATACTAACGAGGCCACCGAGATCATGAGAAACAGACGCGCCAAAATCCAGCCTCGTAAACAGCTCGAGAAGGCTGCAGAGATGGAGGAAATGGATGAAGACACCGCAGTCTTTGATAACGATGACGATGACCTACCTGAAGGTGATGTCGATGTTGACCTCGATGAAGCATCTGAAGACGAGCTCGAAATTACTTTCTCGCAACCCGAGAAGAAGAAGACAAAAACATCAGGCGCAGGACAGGACTCGGAGTTTTTCATGTCTTACACGCCACAAAATATCAACATGGCCGAAGACCGCGGCTACGGCGTCCATTCGGGCACGGATGGAGGACGTAATACTCACTTCTTGGATGACGCCCGCGGAGCTACTATGGACTTAGCAAACGATGACACAAAGGCTTTCGGTGCTCCCAGCAAGGCTGGCGGTCAACGTTGGGACAGCAAGAGCAGGAAATACGTGTCCCGCGCCAACGACGAGGATGGCTCCAAGGGTGCAAAGATGATTACAGGTGAGAGCGGTCTCAAGATCGCCGCCTCATTCCGCAGTGGTCGCTTCGACAGATGGCGAAAGGACAACAAACTCGATGTTCTTCCTCGTGTGGGAGAGCTTGAGCGTCCGGGTAACAGAAATGGCCGTGACAACCAACGCTTCAAGCACAACATGGTCAAAGCACCCAAGGACGCCGACAAGTACAGAGACGACTACCACAAGCAAAAAGCAAAGGTGGATGCAGCAAAAGAGAAGCGCGTTGGCAGATTCGAAAGCGGACCTGGAAAGAGCGAGCTCAGAGGTGTTGACGACGTGCACAAGCTCAGACAAGAAGCGCAGAAACGCCAGGACAAGAATGCTCGACCGCAAGGGTCAAGCAGTCGTGGCCGCGGCGGTGGCGGACGCGGTGGGCGCGGAGGCCCGAGCAGTCGAGGATCCAGTCGAGGAGGAGGATCGAGCCGAGGCGGCTTCGGAGATCGTGGTTCTTCTTCAGGAGGAGGTAGAGGTGGGCGTGGTGGTGGCCGAGGAGGCGGCGGGCGTGGCGGAGGAAGAGGCAGAGGGGGCAGAAGCTAGTAGAAGCGTTCATACTCTTTGTCTTTCCCGTTCTCACGCTAGCATAGCAACAAAAGAAGAGCTCGTGCGAGCATCATTGGGTCGATCTACTCTGCAGACTCACAATATACCCACCTGCCTAATACACATATCTTGCAGTATCACGGTGCCCAGTGCTCAGGAACGATCTACACATATGAGATGAGAACATGCTGTGATCACCTGGTTGATCTCGCCAACGACCCTCTTGGACGAAAGGACTCTCTCTTTAGAGTTGTCAACATCGCCTGCAGCGTGCCGAGGTTTGTGTATTGCTCTTTCAGTCATGGGTCGCTTGAGGGCAGAAGTCTTCGGACATGTTCATGCTGTCTCTCTAGCCGTGATCTTATGCAAGGATGCAATTGGCTTCCACGCTGACTCGTACTCGTAGAAGACGGCCCGGTGAGTTGAAACGCCGTGTCACCGATGTCGTTGCTTTTGATGCTTGGTATGATGATGAAACATGGCCTTGGTGTGTACACACGTCGTCGTAACGGACAAGCAACGGGTCGTTGCTTGACGGCGGAATGCAGTGAATGCTTAGAGATTCTTTGATCAAGCCGCTAAGATAGCTGGGCTTGCAGTGGCTTCAAAAGCTGCTGCCGCAAGGGACATGTGTGTTGGGGTGTTCATCATCGACATTCGACACCACATAAGCCGTTCGCAGCAGAAAAGGTTCAGCGCTTGGATCAGTTCCAGTTCCATGGTACTATTGGCTGGACACATGTCTACGGGTGCTGCAGTCAAAGATCAAGATGGGTCCAGAATAGCTACTCGAACATGATGCAGCACAGGGAAAGAGCGACGTGAAGTTATCCTGAGGCTTGGCGCGTCGAAACGTCGGACGTTTTCGCTCGGCCCCCCAACTTCTCCATTCCAACCTCACCTCGTGAGTCCTGTCCTCTGGCAAGGAACTCCGTAGCGCCCTCGGGCTTTTCTCTCGACTGTCTGACACCATCTGCATCATGCGGCTTCTGCATGTGATGTGCAGTGATTGCGATACTCACTTTGATACCATGCAGGCTCGAAATATACGCCGATTCACAGACCTCAGGCTGGACCACTCTGCGTCAGAGGAAGAAAAGAAACAACCAGGGCCACGTTTCTTCCCAGGAACATGCGCTTGGCAAGGTCCGATCAAGGCTGATCACTCATATATCGCTCCATGCACCTTTGAGTCCAGCATGAGCCGCAAGTCCGCAAGGTTACGCGATAATTCTCCTTCTCCCGGACCGTGAGACTGCCATGCACCTCCTTCCTACAATGCTGCAACAGGCAAGAGACGTTCCACCATGCTTCTGTGGCTTTTGTGGGAGAATTGACAGTCTTTCCGTCTCTCTTATTGTCAGTTCCTCCGTCTCGTGTTTGGCAATCCCGCAGATAGTCTTTCTCGCTCACATTCCGGAATCTGCCCACGGCCGGTCATAGGAAAATAGAAACCCATTCTCGGGTCCGAAATCTTGCTCGAAAGCCTTCCCAAAGACGACGATCGAGCCTTTGCGAAGCTACAAATTCGAGTCATCGGTGATCGGGACCAAGAAGGGGTTCTTTACCTTCGAAAATTGCCAGAGCAGTTCCCTTTGTCCAGGAACACCTCTCTGTGGTCACGAATGGTCATGAGTTGTAGGTCCAAGCTGCCGATCCGGCCCCACGATCCTGTCAACGACGACCGCTACTTTTTAGAAACAATGACCCGCCAGCAGCAAGCAATGGAGCTTAATTGAGGCGTTTCAGGATCTTCCGGCAGGTACACCTGCATCGTCACTTACGTCCTCGAGCTCAATAACCGTCGAGCTCTTGATTGGTCCAGGTGCTCCCTCTTGCCGCGCCAGCTTCTGGCTATGCCCACCCTCGTGCAGAAACCGCTGCCTAGAGAGCATTTAAACACGAGCTTAGCACGGTCGAAGCATGCGCCATCCCGCAAACCGTTGCGTACACGGTGCGAGTCGGTGGTTGTTGTTGCCGATGCATTTGTGGGCGTTCAATGATCTACTGCCCTGCACCATCCAGCTGCGTCTAGGTGTAGCGATGTTGTCGATATGCCAAGAGATGGTGGAACCGACATGCACAGGTCCAACTCATGGGTTCTCTTTCAAGGACTTGGTGACCCCCATGAATCGTATTTTGGGCGGCGCAATGGTGGGATTCCCGCCCTGTCTGCGCCAGAGGGAAAGAGATGTGCGGTCCATATGTCATGTCTGCAATCTTTGTTATGCCATCTCTGTGCGGCTTTCCCCATGATCCAACCTTAGTTCGCGCGCATTACGCCATGACTGTCTGGGCTGTCCGACGTGTGTTGCTGCTCCCAGTTCTTGTGTACGAGTCTGTGCAATCCTAACCCAATTCACGGGGCTTAGTGCGTCGTCTCTCCGTCCATCCCTCTACGCTTTCATCTCATCTAGGCTGGATGTCCAGCTGCATCGGTGTCTCTGTTTTCCATCCTTGTGTTTCGTTGCTCAATGTCAAAAGCACCAACCGTTTGATTAATCTACGACACTCGCTTTCAGCTCTTTGTCAACTATTCGGATCTGTTTTCTCGATCTCACTACGACCAACTCCGACTTTCAACGTTCATACTCCGACCTCTGCAATTCTGTATAATTGTCCGTAGGCAGAATTTGAACAATCCACAGAGATACTCATGGAGAACGATTGAATCTCTTGACAAAAGAGCACTCTGCAATCGCAGCCAAACAGAAAAAAAAGCTTGGAGCTCGATTCTCGATCTGCGCCCAATTGAGCTCAGTGTGAGCTTCAGTCATTCGCTCCTCCCCCACTCGGCTTCTCGATTCTCAATTGACTCGTTTTCGGGAAAGTATGACCGGGTCATCACAGCCCAATTCCTTCTACTTACCATTCGAATTTCGACCTCAAATCGATCGTTCAGACCTTGCTTTTGCACAAGGCGGGTCTCCGCCGTGGCAGCTCATTCCGTCGTACCCCTCACCGCCTATGTCCAGCCCGCCTTCCCCACAGAGGAAGGTATCTGATATACAACCTCCAACAGCTACAACATACTCGGAGCTTACACACTCTGGCACCGCTACCTCATCCGAGACATCAATCACAGGTACAGACTTTACTTTGCCTCCTGTCTCGGCAGGAGTACTTGCATCTACACTTCCGAGCATACCTCAATCTTTTGCTCCCACAACAACAGCAGCGTCATCAGAAGTGCCCCGCACCAAATCGCCGTCTTCCAGTGAAAGTCTTGCTCTGCTCCATCGAACAGAATCTGCCTCGAGTGCGAGCAACGTGCCGGACCCTCTTGCTACTGCTGGACCCAGCATTGCACGGTCATTTTCTAACATAGGCCGGAGCGGGAAGAGAGCCAAAGCACATGTCGCCAACGCGTGCAACAACTGCAAGCGAGCACATCTTAGCTGTGATGTCGAGAGACCTTGTGGGAGATGTGTCGCTACAGGCAAAGCCGTAAGTCTGTCTTGGCCGAGCATCAGGATTGAAGCTGACAACTCCCAGGAGACGTGCCGTGATGTACCTCACAAGAAGCGCGGTCGACCACGTTTGCGCGATGAAGGCCAGTTCAGTCTACAGACAGGTAGCTCTGAGGTAGACACGGTGGGGAGTCCGGTGACCGGTCTCTCGACTGCTAGACCAATGGCTAGGCCAGGGCATCGGAAAACTGCTTCTTTACGGACACTGGCCGCCTTTGCTGCAGACCAGAGTCACCAGCCTTCGATTGGTCAAGGAACTTCAGTGCGTGAGCGAGCATACTCGTTTGGAACAGCTCCATCGACAGGACTTCTGCCCCCATCCAGACATCCCCGCTTAGCCCCTTCCCCTGAGGTCCCGATCGCCTTTCTCGACACCGACTTCGTGGTCTTGAAGGCCAACACAACTTTCCAACGCCTCTTCTCGTGGCTACAGGAGATCAAAGGGATGCGTTTGTCAGACATTGCAAAGCCGCTAGATGGAGACAGTTTCCAGAATGCTCGGAACAGGTTGAGGGAAGAAAGAGAGGTACGCGAGCCAGCATACCTACCTCCGATACTACAACCAAGACTGGACCCAGTGTCGGGCATCGGGACAACGGATCATGATGTGGAAGAAGTTACCAGAGGGTTTGCCGATCACCAGTTCGCCTGGACATTCCGTCTAGGAGGTGGCGTTGACCAAACGCTGCCAGTGCGTATGCGTTTAGCCAAAACGTCCGTCTACTTTGTCACGCTGTTCCTGCCTCCTCTACCACCTCAAGTCGTCGAGCAGGTTATATCTTCTCGGCCACCGTCACTCATGTTTCCCGCACGAGTCGCAGCGCCTCCTCTTGCACCCTTCCAAGGCAGTCCTCGCATGATGGATCAACAACCTGGCATCTCCGAAGCTTCTCAAACCTACCACTCATTTCCTACTGCCGACCCTGGATCCCAAAACTATACACTCCATCCCCGCTACCAATTCGGTGAACATTCATATGCCCACAGTACACACTACCAACCTACATACCAACAGCATCAGCAGCCACAACAACCACCATCTCAGCAAATGCTTCCACCACCCCCAACACATCCCGATCAACTCCCAGGCACGGTAGGGTCAAGCTCGAGCAGTCACATAACCCAACCTTCATTCCTGCAGCCCCCCGTGCCTCCACACCGTAGCCGTCCACGATCAGACACCATGGAATCACTAGGCAGACACATACAGACCAGACTACGAGCAGACAGTGGCGCCACAGTACCAGTCTTCCACAGCTCACCCATACGGCAAAGCCATCCTACTGAGGGGGCAGGCAGCGAAGACGACTTCGAAACAGGCGAAGGGTCAGGGAGCCCCAGGAAAAGAAGGAGACTCGACATCAATGAGATGTTGCAGAGATGAGCGAAAGAAAAGGAGCATAGCATGGCTAAAAAATATCTTCATCACTTCTGTTATCATCACGAGTTTAGAAATGTTTCGAATTTCGGAAGGAACGTCTCATGACGAATTGTTTGAACAAAGAGTTTTGCATTCTTATATATTCTTATATAAAGGAAAGAGTTCTAATGTGATTAATTCTTACCTCGATCTGCTCGAACTCTCGGCACGTGTCCAATCTCGACTTGACTGTCGAGTTGGTCTTGCCTCTTCCAGTCACTCGACATCAGAACTCAAGCTCACCAATGTTCAATGACAAATGTACTACTTTGGGCTCTGAAAATGGAAAAGACCAGATCTCAAGTGCGGAATCTGCCACGTCTTGTGTACCTTCTACGACTCCATACGCGTATACAGTGTCGCAAAACCAACGTGTCGCTGCCAACAAAGCTGTGTAGCCACTATCCGCATTGCAGAACCCAGCAGCTCCGTGAGCCCAGTATAATCACACTTCAGTCCTTGGATATAGATCCAAGCAAGACGGAACATTCCATATAGACCGCGTTGACACTGACGTGGCCCCTGGTTACTTGCATTTTACAGACAGTTATGCTGTACATCTCTGTACCTCACATGAATCGGACTTGTAGCAAGTCCCACAGTCACACTCCGATGGTCCCAGTGATCTGGTTACGGAACGATCGCAGTGCAATGGCGGAAGCAGTCAGAATCGGAGGCATGTTGTGAGATGTAAGCGACATTATTCCATCCTGCAATGGTCAATGTTGTCTCCCGACTGCCGGTATAAGAATGGGTGTCCTAAGAGCCGCGCGGCAGCGTTTTCTTGTAGGCCTCGTTCATGATGTCGATCCGATGTAACGTACATGCCGAGGAAGGGTAGACACAAGATGAGGTCCCCGCGTCAAGATTGCGGTATAGTCGAGGACGAGCAAGAAGAGATGGAGTCTGGGACGCAAGACCCAATTAGAGTGGTTTGCGGCAAGCTCGGTTGCCGGAAACGGTATAGCGCAATGCTGAAGCCTCGAACGCTGAGAGTCGCCCGAGGTCTACCGGACTCGAGCCAAACGTTCTGGCTGGGCGGAGTAGGTCTTGGTAATGACTCCCATGTATGACCACAGATGGATAGACTGACAGACAATGTCACTATCGACTGTTCCTGTCGCGTTTGTATAATATCATGAGCACGCCCGTAGTATCCAGCGCAGCGCGACGGTCACAGGCTGCTGCGGAAGACAGCTTGGCATGCAAGGAATGCCGTCGTCGCAAAGGGAACTGCGATCATAAGATACCAGAATGCTCGGCTTGCAAGCGATATAAGCGTCACTGCCTTTATGATAGACTCGGAAAGACACCGCTCACAAGAAGGTGTGTGTCAATTGAAGCTCGTCAAGAACTTCACGGCTGACATCAAGCTTCAGGCATCTTACGGAGGTCGAGCATCGACTGTCGCGTGCTGAAGCAATTCTCAAGAGAGTGTTCTCTGATCAAGAGGTTGCGTATCTGCTTGATCATGAACGTTCCGGCGACGTACCCGTGTTGCCCTCAGTAAAGAGTGCTTCGCAAACAACTCCACCGCGAACAGCTAGTCCAGCTGGTGGAAGCATCAATTCTCAGTCTTCCTCGCTTCAGCAGCAATCGGTGACCTCTCAACCTCAGGCGTCGATCCGAGGAAATACTGGTGTCGAGGATCATGCATCATCCTGGAGCTTCCCCACTACCGATATCGAGCCAGATCCTACAGCGAGCTTGTACCCGGACGGGGATGAGGACTTTGAGTGGGACGAGAGAGAGCAGACTGGACTTGCTGGTGGGGTGACTATGGCTCAAGATGACGAGGAAGGTGTCAGAAAAGTCATGGACGGTATGGCTACGCTCACAGTGGATGCAGCCAATTACGGTTACCTCGGGATGGCGTCCGGTGCCTCTCATCTGCGATCTCTATGGATGGAAGCTGGAAACAGTCCTTCGTGGGAATCCGGTTCCTGGAACGATCGACGACAAGACTTGCAGCACCTTCTCCGCCGGCAGACAGAAGGCTCCTCGATAACGTCGGCTGTGCAAACCCAGACTCTGGTGACTAGGGCGATGGTAGATGTGTTCGTCGATGCCTTCTTCGTTCGCTACCATCCTGTATTTCCTATCCTGCATGAGCCATCGTTCAGAGCTCAGTATGCCAGTAGAATGGCTCGACCAGGACAGGGCATCTGGCTTGTCTTGGTGAACATTGTTGCAGCGTTAGGTGCTTTTGTCACCAATCCGAGCTCATCGGATGAAACGAGCTTGTCAATCTTCCGAACGGCGAAGCGCTATCTTGCAGTCAACGCACTGGAGACAGGTAACCTAACACTGGTGCAAGCGTTTGGTATGGCAGCCATGTTTCTCCAGAAAATCAATAAACCCAATACTGGATACAACTATGGCGGAGTAGCCATCAGAATGGCTATTGGGCTCGGCTTGCACAAGGAATTCGGAGCTCAGCATATGAGTCCGTTCAAGCAGGAGTTGCGTCGAAGAGTATGGTGGTCTCTTTGTGTCCTGGATGTGGGTGCAACGATAACTTACAGTCGTCCGTTGATCTGGCCGCAAGTAGGAGTTGATGTAGCCCTGCCCTCCAACATCCGAGAAGAGGACTTGTCAGTTCATTCAACAGTGACACCCGCCGAGGTTGATGAGGCAACTGTGAACACATACCTCAGGGTTCAATCGTCGTATCATTTGCAGACGATGCCGATCTACAATCGACTGATCAGCAACCCACCTCCTCTGCCCGAAGAGCTCTTGACACTCGACTCGACCATCGTAGAGGCTTGGCTGAGTCAGGTGCCGCACTACTTCCACGATAGCAGCGGACCGCACCTAGAGGATCGATTCGCATTGCCTCACGGGATCAACTGCTGGAGATATCGCAATCTTCGAATTGTCATATTTAGGCCTTTGCTGGTGAAGTGGGCGTCGCAAGACGGGCGTGAAGAGAGTCTGACTTGGAATGAGCAGGAAGCTACCAACAGGTGCTTGCGTGCTGCTCGAGAGAGTATAGTTTCGATACAAAACTTCTGGAAGTCGAGGCAGCAGACTAGGCTGACGGCATTCTATGTCTTGTAAGTGTCATACCCTTCAGGAAACTGCAACATTGACTGACCTCATCACAGATACTTCCTCTTCCAGGCGGCGCTCATCCCAATCCATTGTTTGCGTTCCAAGTCTCAATCAGGACTGACACCTGAGTGGCGGGAGCAAGTCAGGGCGACCTTGGAGGTGGTCGAATCGATGATCGGACTGAACCAGAGCGCCTCAAAGTGCCGGGATGTCATCATGAGTCTCTGCGGTTCGCATCTTCGAAACCTTGATGATGAGTTTGTCGATTACGAACAGGCGTTCAATTTCGAGCCGACCATGGATGCGACGGCATGGATGGCTGGATGTGCACCTACCCTGATCAATGAGAATCTGTGGGCTGGAAGTCTGGACAACACCAGCGCGGAGCTTTCTTTCAGCAATTGGGAAGGAGATTGGAACATCTGAAACATGGACGATGGTGAGTAGTTTTATGAAAGACTGTGATCAAAGATGGAAGCTGATAAACAAGATCAGAAAGAGGGCTTGCCAGTAGCATGCACTGCTTCTTTCCTGGCCAAGACCAGGGACCGACTGTCTGGGTCAGGGGAGATTAAGACGCTCCTGCCGCAACATGGATGCACATAGCCGCCGTGTGCAAACGCGTTCGTTCATCACCAACCCAACACCACAGTCCATGCTTAGACTATAAAGGCATTGGAAGTCGTCACAACCTCAACCAAAGCAAATAGCCGTGTTAGTCTAGTGGTTTAAGACGCTGCCCTCCCATTCAGAGGTGACTCTGGTGAATCCGGAAAGGCAGAAATCATGGGTTCGACTCCCATACACAGCACTACTTTTTGCTTCCGGTACTCCCGTTTCCACCTTCACTCTCAAGAACCCATTCATCTGCTGAGGTTTTCTTTTGTGGCGCTGCAGAGCGATATATAGGCTATAGAAATGCACATAGAGACGCTACACAAGTCTCTAGTCTCTCCAGCGTGTTGAGATTGCACTCTATATCTCACAAGCATTCCCATTTCTCCTCCCTCGACGTTCTATCAGGTTTTTAACATTCATTAAGAGACCGAGCAGTGGGAAGACGTATCGCAGGGATTGCCCTTGGTCGACTACAGCCGACGGCATTTACTGGCGTTTCCAGCGTCGATGAATACTTGCAGCGTTGGAAGCATCTGCACTATGTATATCCACCATCAATAGCGGTTGGATAGCACTTGATGCTCTCCCGCAAGGGAATGACGAATCTTTCATAAGTTTAACTTGCGAGGTCTAGACTTTAGATCATTGAGAAATTCGAACAGCAGGTTTCTAATGTAATAAAACGATACAGCACGCCAGTTGCTGGCAAACAAGTCCGTCTCTCATCCTGGCTGACAAGATTTATACCAACTCGAGACTTTAGCCACCGTAAAATCGCAATCCGAAAAAGAACAAAAGTGAAAATGAAACTCCAGTGTAGCGCCTCACGCAATGCATTGTGACAGACGAAGATTTGAGGAGTGTGGCAGGCTCCGATCAACGCGGTAGAGTGCTGGCAGTGCCATGCTGTGTGAGCTGAGGGTGTGTGGGTATCTCGTTCGTAAAGCAGTCGATGTAGTGTTGGTGGTTCGCTAATCAGCGAAGGTTCAAGGCTTTCTTGGATTTTTCGTAAACAACATAGGTGATGGACACCGCTGGGACGACCTTGAGCAGGTTAGGTGTGAGTCCCTTGAAGAGACCTCTGACGCCTTCTCCTGCAAGGGTTTGTCGAGTAACATCCATAATGCCGGTGTACGTGCGAGGATGACTAGCGGTGCCTTGTGATTGCAATCTGGTACGGAGCAGGTTCAAAGGATAGACGGCGGAGGCTCCAATGGCACCGCTGAAGCCACCGATCAGAGCTGTTGCGAAACTGCTAGGCGCAGCATCGGCCTCATGTCCTCCGTACTTCTTGACATTGTATGCGGTGATGGTGCGTTTCAGATACTCAAAGGTACCGAGATCGATGGCAGCATAGGGAAACATGCCAACAAGACCCATCGGCAAGCCACGATAGAAGGAGAAGATGCCGTTCTTACCCCACATCTTGACAGCGGTTGCGGCGATGAGCTTGGTTCCTCGGAGACCTCCTGGTACAGTTTCACATTGCATTCGACTGTTGCGTGTCAGTAGCCTCAAAGGAACAGAAACTTCGGGATGAGCTTACAATTTTAGCGTGTCGAGGGGGTAGACGACAGCTTGAGAAACCATTCCTGCTACACCGCCCGCAATGAATTGTGAAACGGGTGAAATATCTCGCGTGTTTGAATGACCCTCGAATCGAGCGACCATCTTTTTTGCGGCCTGCAATGACTGTCAGCACTACGTCTATGATGTGGAATGGGACCGGTTACCTCATACGAGCCGAATTTGACGGCAGACTCGGGCATGACCTTGACAATGTTCAAACCATTACCTGTTTCGAACAGTCAGTCGGGTTCAAAGGCTGCTTGGAAGCATAGACTCACCAGCAAACAAACTCCGAATGCCGCCTGCAGCCCAGAGTTCCTTGCAGGCTTTGACCAAAGTATTTGCGCTTGATTTTGCTGCTGCTGTGGGAGCACCGCTTTTGACGGCTTGTACCGCTTCGTTGGTGCCAGTCTGGGCGATGAGATAGACCTTTAGGCGGTCTAGAGGGGCGGTTGTTGTTCTGGAAGCGACGCCAGAGATGCCACCGGCCAGGAAATAGCCTGGATCAGGGACGAAATCCGTCAGCATGCTCATAAAGGCCAGGGCACGCGATGCGTATGATCGGTCGTCGTGATCATCGACAACAGCGGCTTCTTTGTGCAGTGACGGGAGAGGTGGATTGCTTTCGGGCAGAGTATCATGATGGTCAGGATACTGCCGCGATGGTAGTGGTGATGGTGCTGGTGGTGGTGAAGCAATTCGGGTGATGGCCCCAAAGAGCGAGTGTTTAAGAAAGGAGGTTGCAGTACCTATTCCCTGAATTGTCTCATCACTGACCGACACATCGCCCTCTGCGGTCACCTTGACAGCTCCCTGGTAATATGACATGACGGCCTTGATCCCAGGCGAGCTGATAGGCATGAACAGAAGAAAGTCGCTGTCTGTCATCAGTCTCGGGCCGGCACTCGACGGGTTTCTCAAACGTACCGCCATTCTCCAAAATCTATGACACCGTCGTTGTCCGTGTCGACATCGTCGAAGAAGTTGTCGAGGCGCGAGTTGGGTACGGCCAGGCCGGCACGTACAAAGGCAGAGCGTAGTTCATTCTTGTCGAGGTTGCCGTCGTTATTGCGGTCTATACTCTTGAAGAGCTGCCAAAGCTCTCGTTCGGTCTGATCGACGAATTTGCGAAACTCTTTGTCGGGTCAGCGGCTTGTTCGATCGTTTGGGCAGGCTTCGAGCTGCTAACCGTCGTACTCAATGCGGCCACTGTTGTTGATGTCTGCGGCATGGAGCACGTCTTCTATCAGGTCGTCTGCGTTCTTCAGGGCTGCGATTGACAATCAGGTCAGCGGTGTGTCAGCGTTTGCAGGTGGTAGTTTCGGCTCACGGTGGTCGAGCTTCTTGAGGCCTTTCCGGAAGGCCTTGAGGTCGAGGAAGCCCTCGTTCTGAGTGTCCAGCTTCTTCCACAAGGAACGAGTCCTGTTCTCCCGGTCGGCGGGTGATTCGGCATCCATGGTCTGCCGTTTGTTGAAGTTCGGGCTACGTCGGTTTCATGGCTCTGATGGACCGAGAAAGGGGGTCTACGATGCGCCTTGGTGTATGTTGCAGCAACGAGCGCTTCTTGGACGGCGAGCGCAACACGGCAGCAGATGAGGTATCGCAACAAGCCAAGGGTGAAAAGCGTGCTATCGTGACCTTGTCTTTAAGCCTCGAACAACCGAAAAGGCCTCATCCCCGCTGTCCTGACTGATGACGCTTTTCCTTCCTTCCCTTCTTGGCGTTTTCTCTACACGCCCAAAGCTTGCAATTGCTGACCATCCGGAAATAAACACACTACAACTCAAGACACTTGCAATCTTACTGTATCATGCACGTCGATTTGTTCGACGTCGAGCCTTGTTACATTCATGACCGTCTGCTGGTAATCGCTCCTAGGTAGCCTCACAGATCAGAAAATGTAATGTCGTTGAAAACACCTCCAGCACTCGCTCTTTCCGCTATCGAGCGTCGCCTTGGCACTCACTGAACATCGCAAGGTGTGATTTCTCAAGGCGCATCCTGGCATTGACTGCAACATCAGAAAGACTTGTCTTGAAAACATTACTTGACATCCGACATATCAGTGACACATCTCTTGACTACCGAGATACGCGACATTCAACATGGCCGCCAACTACTGGGATTCGACACAGCGGACACACTGGACATTTACCAAAGATCAGCTAGATGATATCCGGACCCAGCAGCAACAAGACAATCAGGAACTACACAGCAGGTTCCCGCTACCTGAGCCACGCCTGATGAACATCTATATACAGCAGCGTGAGTCCGTCGACATGACACAAGTCCACCACTCGGCTGATCGCATCATGCAGAAATCATAAAACTCGGCCGACGGATGAATGTCAGACAGCAACCACTTGCCACAGCTCAAGTATACGTCCGGAGGTTCTACACAAGAGTCGATATTCGACGGACCAATCCATACCTCGTCATGACAACAGCTGTCTACGTTGCTTGTAAGGTCGAAGAATGTCCAATTCACATCAGATTGGTCTTGGCCGAGGCAGCGAGACAGTGGCCTGAGCTAGGAATCAACGATATCTCAAAGATTGGTGAATGTGAGTTCCATCTCATCAGTACCATGTCAGCACGCATGATAGTCCACCATCCATATCGGAGCCTCAGCGATCTAGCCCCAGGCTTGAACCTATCTACCGAGGAGATGGCACTGTCTCAGAATATCATCAACGATCACTACAATACCGACATGCCTTTGATGTATCCACCGCACATCATCGCTGTCACAGCAATGTTCTTGGCTGTTGTCCTGCGGCCGACTCAGTCCAATCTACAGGCTCATGCTGCTGCGACTAGTGCGTTGGCTGTGCAAAGTGCTTTGCAAAATCCCAACAAGGTCGCCAAAATGGTCCAATGGATGGCGGAAAGCGACATTGATGTCGGGGAGTGTATGGCTGCCACACAAGAGTTCATCAGCCTCTATGAAGTCTGGGAGAACTACATCGAGCGGACTTGTAAGGATGGTATCACGAGGTTTATGAAGGATGCGCTCGGCAAGTGATGCTCACCGTTCACTTTCTATCGATTTTGGTCATGTCCTTATGACGAGGGTACGACCCTGTCATATTCATCACCATCGTCTTATCCATTCGACGATTATCTGGATGTTCGGTCAAGATACAGCATCTTGCGGTTCCATGACAGCATGTTACACATTAAGTTTAGGAAGTTTGTTCCTGTTTCCTGTGCCTACATGGCCCATAACTCATATCCATACCTGAAGCTCGGCGAGACACGTCGAGAACAGCGTGGCGTCACGGGAAATCTCGACAGACTGACTGCTTGATTAGAGGAACTCGTGAATGCTTAACAGGCAGACAATGATTGTTGACCGCAGTATGATAGTCAACGCATGCCTTGTCGTGTATGAACGAGATATTTAACCCCATGCCGTTCGGATGCCACAGCATTCTGCCGTTCCCGTTATTGCAACCAGAACGGCTTATGCGATCTAGCAGTCTAAGCTCTTGTCCGCAACGATCTGGGTCGTTGGATGGAGTGTGGAGTAGCATGCAGCATCGACGATAGTGATACGATCGTTGTGTTGATCATTGTAGACATGGTCTACTGAACCGAATGATGAACATGAGGGTCAACGCCGAAAATTAGAGAGGAAGGAGTATGCTGCGGAGGCCAAGGCCCCCAGGAGAGAGCTGTTGGAATGATTACGAGTGCAAGAGATGAGGGTTCAAACACAGGGGTCGAAGCTATTCAAAGCGATGGAAGACGATCAGACAGCGACGCAGACCACAAGCGACCAATTAGCACCTTGATAAGGCTCAATCTAAGCGCCTGCGAGTACATGTACGTGCGTAACACCGCCTCACCTTGATGCTTTGTTCAAGTGTTACCGACAGCAGAAAATAGAAGGAATCTGACATTCCCGGCCCCGGATTCAGAATCCAATCGAGGGGTTCTTTGTTTCGCAATCAAAACATGGGCTCTGCCACGACGCAGGAGTGCTTTCGCAAGCGACTCCTGAATTAGCAATGGAAATGGGCTGGGTGAGTAGCTTCAAACGAACGCATGGCTCTGGCGGTGGCAGGACTGAGGCAACGATGGCACAGCCAACACCGCCTCGACCACACCGATAGACGTTTGTCAGAGTCACTGGGGGAGAAGCACGGAGTTGCGACAACAGTCAAAGACAACAGACCAGACTCCGAGGCCAAAAGCAATTCACAGAGTTCAGTCTTGCCCGGCAAGCTTTCCCCAGAACGAGTTCGAGGCGGTGAGGGCCGGACGGGATTGGGTGAGGGGTCGAAGGGAAGCTCTGCCGGGCACGCGGCCAAGCGCAGTCGAGTCTCTCCCCTTGTCTCAGTGGTCCTTGTGGCGTGCATGGAACCAATGCAGCCGGTTGGCGCTCGACCATGATGCAGTAGTGCATGCGTTCACAAAGTGCATCTCTGCACCGGCCACACAACTGCGGCTGACGGCGCGACCAGCGGACGACTTGATTGCGAGGTCGAAAAAGCAAGACCGCTATAAGCAATCAGGAGCGCAAGCAGAGGGACATGGAGACAGGAGCAGACTCGTCATAGGCAGGTAGGTTGGATCCGTTGCCGTGGCAAGCTCGTGACTTGTAGGGTGGTTCATGTCTGCTTTCAGCGTCTTTGTGCGGTGATCGTTGTGCATGGTCTGGTCCAGGTGGCGTGCGCCATGACCTCCTTGGCCGCTTCCGGATCCACTTCTCCCACCCTCCCCTTCGCCTCTTCGCACAACCCTTTCTCTTCCATATCCATATCTCTCACGTTCCGTATCCCACAATCATCGCTTTCCTTGTCGCATTTTCGCAAAAACCCACCCAACCCCTTTCACCACCTACGCCTTTTATCCGTCTTCTTCGACAACTCCATATCACTTTTACTTGCTCATTGTTGTGATATACGCTTCCGGCCAACTCCGACCAACCGCAATCTCCCGAGCTTCAGACACGCATTTCTCTCTCCATCTCCCTCGATCCACATACCTCAGTAGCAATCATGTCAAACTTCCACTACGGCGCCCCTCACTATGCCACTGCTATGCAGTCGCACCCTCACCCCTCTCACAACCACCATGGTCGCTCGCGTCGCGGACCTCGTGTGTCCTCGGCTCAGAATGCCCACCGTCAACAGCAATTCAAAGCTCAAAGAAGTCCCAAGGAGCTTCCCCAGACTCCTGCCTACAACGCATACATCAGAGACTTTGAGGCTGCCAAAGGTTTCGAGTTTGAGGATGACGAGGTCTTCTGCCCCTTCCACCTCCTGACCGAGGACGACGTAGGTTTTTGATACAGTTCTTGGTGTGTATCATTCATCAATGCTTATGCCATCCACAGCTCCACTCTATTCACTCTTCCGCCTCTTCCGACAGATCATCTCTGTCCTCTGGTTCTCCTGATGCCTCTCCGCTGCAGCACCAAGCTCAGCCCACTCCTTTCCTCCTTCCCTCTGCTGCTGCCTCTTACAACAACAACAACTCTTTCCAGCAGAATCAGATGAAGCTCCACCAGCCCATGGCCCAACGCACTCGCAATGCTATTCCCATTGTTGACCCTAGCACTCGCGTCATCGCAAGCCCTCCTCCAAGCGTCTCGCCGGCTCGTCAGATGCAGGGATACATCAACCAGCGTCGCTGGTAGGGAAATGACTAATACCCTTTCATGACTCTATTCGCGGCGCTGTTCTTGTCTAGGGCTGGCGGGTGCATTCTCTGGAAATCCGGACGACTATACGGCCACACAATTTTTTCTAATCCTGCGACTGTACAGATTTACGATGCTTTCACACATATACCACTGGATTGCGGAGCCCTCTGGATCCTAGACGAAACGGCGTTCTTCGTATCATTGTCATGAAAAGGGCATAATCGGTTTACTTTTTTATTCTCTCTGCATTTTCGGACTCTTGTCTTTTTACAAAGCCTTTGTTGATGTTCCTTAGCAACAAAGCGCACGGTGTTATACTCTGGGGGAAACGGGATGAACGAAAACCACACGATGCACATTCAGTCGGATTTGTTTGACTTTCTGGCGCGCAGGCATATATTTCACACATGCTTGGGGTGTCTACTTGCTCTGCTGTTTACAATTCCTTTTCTCTTGTTGTTTACGACTCTCACACAGGGAAAGAAAGGGTTTCATGGCCGGCCGGGGCGGGAGATTCGGTGTCTTTGTTATTTGAGTTATGGGCTGGCAACAACAATCGTCGTCGTCGAGCGAGCGAGAAGGAGTCTTTGATTGTCGGTTACACCAAGATTCTGGGAACTGGGAGTTGTTTTTGCTCTTTTCGCTATTTCGTATCTCTTGTCAACTTTTTTCTTTCTCTACCGATTTTCTCTAGCCATGCTGGTCCTTTTGATCATGCTGGCGTCGAGTTTGGGTCAACGGAAAAATACAAGCTCTTCTTACTTCTACAGTTTGGTCTACTTGCTCAGTGATGTTGACGAGCTGTCAAAACCTGAGCAATGCACACGTACTGCACTGGGACCTTGCATTGCAATGAGCAAGCATTCAACTCAGTCTCTCACACGCCTTAGGTTGAACAAGACAGAAGTTTGGCTGGCAGGCTGCTACATGGTGGCAGGTCGGCTTTCTGTCAGCACGAGTAGTTAAAATAAGGTGAATACAGCTGATTCATCTTGAAGCATAAAATTGTTCGATTCATGGAACGTTCTTCACAGCACACGTGCGGGAAAAAAGACGATATGGTCGGCAAGTGGATGGAGCTCGTAATCGCGCGATTGACAATTGGAAGCTACGCCTTGTGACGTAGTGCTCTTCCCGGATTGGAGGAGCACTGGTCGACAGGTACGATCAGCCAACCGAGGGACTGTGTCATGGGGAACTCTTTTGTTGCTTTCTCCTTTCTGTTTCTTTCCTTCTTCTCCATCATCACATTTACAACCCACTCTTGAATCAATTCAATCCCCACAACATCCTTCTCGTCAAGCTACCGAGCTCCAGGTTCGACGCTCTCTCCAACTTCTCCACTGTGACGTGTTGACTGACAAATTCAAAGAAAACACAACACGTCAATCATCATGCTTTCCAGATCTTTCATCGCCAGAAGAGCCTTTGTCTCTGCTCCCGTCCGTTCTTTCCAGACCGCACCCGTCCTGAGAGTCGGCAAGGAGAGCGCTCTCCGTAAGTCTCTCAATCCTTGTTGGCCCTGCCCAATGTCGACCCTTCAAACAAAAGCATTGGCGTAGCTCACGATGACGACTTCATTCCGAGAGCATCAAGCTAACATCATCAGACGAGGAGGGTCGCGCTGAAGAGGCTGAGAAGATCAAGAACGAGCAGATTCAGAAGCAGAAGGAGGGCAAGGGTGAATGGCACGAGGGTATTGCCAGCGACAGCGAGAGCATTGTAAGTCCCGCCAAGGTCTGACTATATGTTTCCACAACGACTAACACAATCCATCACAGGTCAAGGCAGACAGAGGTGACATCAAGGCCGACGCCGACACGATAAAGCAACTGCAAAAGGAGACCGAGAAGCTCGCTTCCCAGAAGAAGTAAACTTGCTTCACTCTATGGATACTTGCGCGCTTCGAAACAATCAACAGCACACGAAAGAGAATGATTTGTATATCATCGCGAGCATGGTCGGGGTCGTAACGGATAGCCCTTGGCCTTTGTAGCATACTTGAAATTGATTTCACACACTTCAACAATTACTTCTGCGCCTTGACCTGGAGAGTGTACAAGTCATGTCGTGACCACGAGGAGACATCAATTACGGCAGTGATGAGCTGAACAAGGCGTCTGCATTGAATGCTTGTTTTCGGATCATGACAAGGATGGGCAGGTGCTCACTGTCTGGGCACGGTCTGGCTGCTTACTCTGCCTGGTCCAAGCCCCGACATAGATGCTAAACAGCAACACCAGTGGCTTGTCTATTGAAGCCCTTCTTGTGCCTTGTACTGTGTACAGCGCCTCTCAGCTGCCTCTTTCATGCATCGCACCGTGCACTGTGCGTTTTTGGTCATGCAGGTGAGCTGAGAAATGCCGGGCTTTCGCACACTGCCGTAGCTCGAGTTCTCGTCTCCAATCTTTCACATGCCTTGAACGATGTCTCGACACCTTTGTGACCTCCAAACTCAATCCATCGTCCCGCCCCGCGGCCTCCAGATTTATGTCCACGAAAGGGCTTGACTCGGATACTGTTTCCAAACTGAATGGTGAGGGCTTGGCGCGACCGAGTACGTAACGCCTCCTCGGCCTTTGAGCGAAGTGGACCTCGAGTCCTTGGTTTCAACAATGATCTAAGTCTTTCAAGATCGCGACTCAGATGGCATTACTGCTTATATTCTCAGCTCACCACGATCGGTACACAATTGTGGTGTGAAGTTGGTAAGCAAGACGAACGAGCACAAGTAGCGACTTGGTCAAACACTCAGGCATCCGTCAACCAGGATCATGGATTCTATCAGAATTTAAAGTTGGCTACGCTCCTTCAACCCATGCAAGAAACAACAGCCCTTGCCGAACCGCTACCGAAAAGAGCCTCTCCGTCTCGGCGTTCCCGGATGCCTTGCTCATAGTAAACCGTTCAGGCATGGCCTTGCCTGAGTTGGGACCACTTCTTGTTACATCAGGACTGAACATAGTAAAGTCCCAAGACAGCCCGTCCGCGGCAGCTATGGGGTTTTACGAAACCTTCGAAACGTCAGCTTGATGTTAAGAATTGTGGTTCCCTTCTTCCCTTTGTCTTTCGTATACTTGATGATCTCTTTCTCTTCTGAGTGTGGTATACTGGCTCTACTACTTTAACAACATCTCATGTGTGATCTTACCCGACGGACAACTTGTCAGCCACGAAGGTGCAGTGGAGTTGTACCAACAATATGCTCGACTATCGGTGAGCATGCACTTCGGCTTGCAATACAGATACAACGACAACAACCTCGAGGCACAACTTCCAAGGAGATCCTGCAGTTCCTTGGGTGGATAGTCGCGTCATGTGTCCTCTATGACTGCATTCGAAATCGTAGAGGTGAACATCAGCGCTGCCAATCGGCTGTAGACGTTTGCTAATGGGCGCTAGGGGAGATCAAGGATGTCTTCGTTCCATACTATCAACCATCACTCGAACGTATGCTCAAGACATTCTGTGATGATCATTTGATGTGCTCTTTTGCCGATCGCTCGAACCGCTCCTGTACCGGCACACGACTATCTCATGGAATGGAACACCGCACCTCAGACGGCAAGACCATCGGATCAGGTCAGTACACCACTAGCATTACTGCAAACTCGTACCTACCGCAATGGATCGTTTTTCTCAAAAGGAAATTGGACATGTACGAAGAGGAATACTTGGAAGCCGTAGGAGAGGAACCGAAGATATCTACCAGGATACTTGCCAGCGACTTGCATATCGACCAATTAAATTACTGCTTCAAGAAGCTGGGGACAGCTAGGCCTTTTATCAGTCATGCGAGTTGCTTTGGATGTCTGGTCAATATACCACTGCACCCTCTTCCATGCGGACATGTGCTTTGCGATGCCTGTGTTCGAGACTGCGGGACGAGAGGTCATGGCAGGTTAAAACTGAAATACTGCCCGCTACACGTGGATATGGACAATGACTTTGAGCCGCCATGGGAGGTCACTTCTAAACCCGATCACGTGGGTGTACGAATACTGTCCCTCGACGGAGGTGGTATGCGAGGAATCATGGAGCTGGAAGTCCTACGGGCCATCGAGAAAGCTCTGGGAGGTAGCATACGCATCCAATCATTCTTTGATCTGATCGTTGGCACAAGCACAGGAGGCATCAACGCTCTGGCCCTAGGAGCAAAGCAATGGTCCGTCCGCTATTGCATTGAGATGTTTGAGAAGTTCTGTGATCGAGCATTTACCGAGCGCGAGTTTGGAGGTCTCGCCTTGCATGGCAGCAAGTACAAAACAACACCTCTTCACGATGTTCTACGAAAGACGCTAGGTCGAAACCCTCTATTTGGCGCCAACGACACTCTGAACGCTTTTGAGACCAAAGTCGCTGTAACGACTACCTCTGCTGATGGAAATGAGGCAATGATACTGGCCAACTACAACCGTTCGAGAAGCCCAGGAGACAGGCAAACCTTTGTCAGACCCGAGGATCCTGCAGACGAACTCGAAGTCTGGGAGGCAGCTGCAGCTACCTCGGCGGCGCCAATATACTTCAAACCATATACACACGCAAAGACAAGGATGAGCTACATCGACGGAGGACTCTATCACAACAACCCGGTCCATGTTGCGAACAGAGAGCGAAAACTCCTATGGCCCGAGATTGCGGACAAGCACCCTGATATGCTACTTTCCATCGGCACAGGCCAGAACACATTCGAAACACGAGAGAAACTGGCACGACGTTCGTCAAGTCCCAAGGATGGCGACAAGTCGAAAGGTATTCGCCGTACACTTGAAGCCTTGTATCAACGATTCGACAACATTCTCGACGCTGAACACACCTGGGCTGAATTCGAAGCCGACATCAACAATCGGAACACTGAGTTTCCAAGCCCTTACATACGCTTCAACCTGGACCTCAAGAAGAAGCTCCCTCCTTTCGATGCCAAAGACAAGTTCAGGGAATTCCAGGCTGATGTCAAACAACGACTCAAAGACTCTGATGTGGTTGAGATGACGAGAGATATCGCTTGCTCTCTCGTAGCGAGCTCCTTCTACTTTGAGCTGACCGAGACGACACAACAACAACGAGGTAGATGCTACACGTGTGTAGGCTACGTTTGCTGCAAATTCGAGGAAGGCTCGTCCAACCTCAAAGCACTTGGAGACTTCCTACAGAAGCAGTGCACGCCAAAATTCATTCCCGAGTTTGTAATCCAGGACGCATCGGGATGCACGCCAGGCAGACACTCTATAGTCAAGCTCACAGATCAAGCGATCTCGCAACTAGTCACTTGTGGTATGCTGCGTATACCTCGCATTAGCTTCGAAGTCTCGAATCCAATGGCATCTACTACAATATCTCTTGTTCTGCAAGGAGGTTGTCAAGGCGGTGCACAGAGGTATTTGTTAAGTGGCTTCCCAAGGACACTGATACAAGAGGCGCCTTGCAGACGGACGACAAGTACGGCAACCCAGCGTATCCACAGTCTTCCAAGGTCGAACCCAACACTACCAGCCCGACCACCCTTTCCAGCAAGACCCACTTCCTCAACCCAACCGTATCAGTATCCATCACACACCCGGATGGACTCTGCCGTCGAGCTCCCGCACCACACTCGAAACTCCACATCATCGCCACAACAAAGCCCTTCACCAGAACATACGGCAAGACGTCCAACAGTCTATCAAGCATTTTCATACGACCGAGTATCGCCTAGGACCAGCATGCCTACACACTTGGTCGAGCGTGCTGCAAACAAAGTGCGCTTCGAAGACAAGATACAATTGGAAAAGAGCCGTGATAGGGATGACTCTAGTCGGTCAAAGAAGCTTACAAAGAAAAGAGTAAAGTGATGGGAGATTTTTCTTTGCCCGCTCAGATAGCAGAATATGCAAATGTCCTTTTGGCCTCGAATGCAGGTGCTGCGTTCACTTTCATTACAAGCTTTACGAAACGACGTCTAGAAGATACGGATGCAAACCTTTCATTTGAGATTCCCTTGATATTGTCGTCTCGACTTGTCGCCTTAGCTTCTGTTATCTTCTGTTATCACCGTTTCACATCCAAAGAAGTAAGCCATGAAGTCTCGGTGAAGGCTGGACATCGCCAAACATACGGAAGGAAACGAAAAGCAAGTGGAGAGATATCAAATGTAAATCGTTCTTTCGTTCATCATCTAAGATCCTCTAGACATCCCAATGTCTTTCTAAATAACGTCTATAAAATGATAATAAACCATGATTTTGTCCCCACCATCTACCCCGGGTATAACCTGTGGAAATAAAGAAAAAGAATATTATAAACAAGAAAATATGCAAGCAACCAAAAAACCAGAAATGCAAAGAGACTCTAACCCATCCATGCCCAGAACTTCTGCCAAGCACCGACAGGCTCGACCTCCTCAAAGTGCATCTCCTCAATCTCTTTGCGTCCAGTATCGAGATCAGCCTCGATGGACTTGACAAACGGCTGACGGAACACAAGCTTGTGACCAGCATACAACGCGGCAAACAAGAACAGCGAAATGTACGCAACGAAGAAATCGCTAGTGTTCCATGGCATGAACGCGGTGAATCCTTGAGTGAGGATGATCAAAATGTTGAAAAAGACTCCGTACCACGAGAACCAGGGCTGCCACATTGCCTTGTAGGGAAGGGTATCGCGAGAGACGTTTCTGGCGGCGAGTGCGCGCATGAATGCAATGTGCGAGATGTTGATGCAGGTCCAGGTGATGAAGCCAGCGACACCGGTGATGTTGACGAGCCAGTTGAAGACTTGGCCTCCGCTGTTGGATTCGTTCATGAAGCCCAGTAGACCGAAAGCGGCGGTGAAGGCGACGGCGTAGTATGGAACACCGCGGGCGGTGGTGCGGGCCATCCACTTGGGTGCTGAGCCCTGTTCGGCCAGACCGACGAGGATACGGGAGCCAGAGTAGACGTTGGAGTTTGCGGCGCTGAGGACGACACAGAGGAGGACTGCGTTGATGATGCTGGGGAGCACTTTGACGCCGGCAAGGTTTGCGGCGATGACAAAGGGGGAGGAGGAAGCGTCGGTGTGGTCGGAGATGAGGCCTTCGTTGTCGTAAGGCACGAGAAGACCAATGAAGAAGATTGTCAGGACGAAGAAAAAGACGATACGGTAGAAGGTCTTCTTGATGGCGGCAGGGACGGTCTTGCGAGGGTTGCTGGTTTCACCAGCGGCAATACCGACGAGCTCAGTGCCTTGGTAGGAGAAACCAGCCTGGATCAGGACGGCCCAGAAACCGACAAACTTGGCGACGGCCTCGTTGTCCTTGACAAGGTAAGGAGCAAAGGCTCCGGGGTTCTTCCACGTGTCGAAACCGAGGTATCCGTGTTGTCCAGCTCCTGCATCGATGCAAATGGCAAAGATCATGAATCCAATAACAGTCAAGACCTTGATGCTGGCAAAGTAGAACTCGATCTCTCCGTAGAAGGAGACGGGAAGGAAGTTGACAAGCGAGATGACAGCCCAGAAGGTACCAATGAAGATACCAATGTTGAGACTGGGATCCCAGTATTGGATGATTAGACCGCTAGCAGTCAACTCCAGAGCATATGTCATTGCCCATGAGAACCAGTAGATCCAACCCATGGCAAACCCAAGACTGGGATCGACGAAGCGTGCTGCGTATGCCGTGAAGGCGCCAGAAACAGGCAGGAAGGTGGCCATCTCGCCCAGAGCGACCATAACCGAGTAGACGAGTGTACCGACGAAGGCGTATGCGATCAATGCACCAGCGGGTCCAGCATTTGCGAGTGCGCCTCCAGAACCGATGAAAAGACCTGTACCGATTGTTCCACCTGAAAAAGAGTCATTGTTAGAGCCTTGTCTTGCGAGGATGCGAGGAGATGGCATCCTTACCAATGGCAATCATCTGCAGGTGACGTGACTGCAGTCTACGCTTGAGCTGGACAGTAGTGCCCGGCATTGGCGAACCCTCGACATCATCTTGGGAAATCGAGCTGGGGCTTGACGAGTGCGTGTAAGGACCGTCTTGCACGGCTTTGCTGCCAATGCTAGCCTCCTTCTTCTCCGAAGAGAACATGACAGGCGGTATATAAGAGAGAGAGAAAGAGATGGGAGTAGGCAGTGGCGCACGTGTCCAGCAACCTAATCGAACCCTTTGAAGCAACAGCAACAGCAACTGGCGCGGGGTATAGAAGATGCAAAAGAGTCTGAGGTGTCAAGGTCGGACTTGAGCTGCCCTGGACTTGGATATATGTACGTAAGAAACTGGTCGTAGTCATCCGTCGTTGACGCGCTAGAGCAAAAATTTGGTTATGAAAAATCAAAAAAAGCCCGTTCGCGCCCTGTATAGCGGGTCCCCGGCTCTGTCTGTCGCCAGTGAACCGGTCCTGTCCGCCCCATACCGCGTTATGTCCGCCTGGAGCATGACGTCTAGATGCTCGGTGCTCGACTGCGATTGTTTTACTTACCTATCCCAGCCCTGGTTGTGGTCAGCGACTGCTGGCGACTTAGCTGAGTCTTTTACTGCTTCGTTGCTTCACAGGACGTCAAAGAGAGAGCTGCCAAGCTGCACAGCTTCAAGCAAAATAGACCCTTTAAATCCTTCGGGCGGCGCCGCTGCCGAAAGCAAGAATTGCACCTGTCGTCCCAACCCTTCTTATTCTCGCCACATTCGTAGGGCGTGGCAAGCCTCGACTGCATCTGGCTGACCATTTTGCTTCCTGCAAAAGATAGCTGAGCGAAAATTGAATCCTACCGTAAATCCTTGCTGTCACTTCGCGCTGTTTGACGGGGCCTTGAGAGCGTCGGCAACTCCTACCCTTCAAGTCTTTGCTTCTGCGCTGCGATCAACACTCTGGTCGCGCGCGAGATACTAGTGACTCGTCATTCGTGCTGCACGCTCCCCAGATCGTCAGCACCATCTTGTAACAGTCGTGCAGCGAGGACGAGACCGCCGGCTTTCGAGTCATCGTGTAGGTCCTTACCTGAAGGAAAGAGTCATCTGATGTCAAGCACGGAGCAGCGCACATCACAAGGCACCCAGCAATCCTGTCAATTGGCAATTGAATCGTCAAACGCCTTTGTTCATTATCAGTGAACAGTGCTTAGTGACATTTCTCTCCACACAACCACACTTTGCTTCGGTGGTCGTGAGGGAATAAGGCCACAACATATTACAGCATATCCCTCTTCCCTCATCGTCTTGAGGCATAATCACTATATCACTCTTCCCCTAGACCCATGATTTGCGGTAAAAGAATACCTTCTTGTCTAGCGTTGGATGTCGTTGAATTCATCAAAAGATACGAATAGGTAGGATCAAATACTCCGTGGATTGATGGGCAAAAAGAGCCAAGCCTTGCAAATGCCTCTACTGACGACAACTGACAATTTCCTATCTCCCTGCGTGCTAAACTTTGTAATTCATGGCCTCCTCTCTCCTACGAAGGTATAGAGTGCAATGCTCGCTGTGAAAAGGCGCAGTGATCTCGAGATTAGGGGTCTGTCCAATATCCGGAGAGAGCCTTAAAGTACACCGCATCCCGAGAGATACGATCCACCTCTCGAGAACATTGTGCATGTTCATAGCTACATGCGTTACAATCCTTTGCCCATGGGGAGGTAGATACTTGCATCTCAACCATTCAGACGCCAGTAGGTGAATCAACTATTCGAACCCCAGTAGGCAACATATCCCATGCAGTCTCTGTAACCGTCACCACACCTTCCTGGATCGCCGTACCCGTAGTCCTGTATCCATCTGCAGTAACAGTGACAGTACTCGCAAGTCCCGAATCCAACTTCGTGACCGTCTGCGTAACAGTCCAGGTGACTGTCGGCCTAGCCTCATACATTCGTTTTAGCCACCACGAATTGTCCTTGAGAGCTATAGCGGTACTGGTCAAGTATATAGCAGTGGCACACATGGTGCCGAACAAGCCCATGAGGTATATACAGACGATGAGGGCAACACAATTACCACAATCGCCAGACTTTGAAGACCTGCCTGCAGCGGTAGAGGTGTTACCGGCTTCTTCATCGCGCTCTGTTCGGTCAGTGTCTGAGGTTGGGGGTTGGTTGGTAAGTTCCAAGCGATCAGTACGCTGGAGCGGTCTCGATGGTGGTAGGTTTCTGGATGCTCGAGGTGTCGGTGATTGGGACTCTGCTTGCTCTGTGGGCGTATATCGTGGAGTGTAGGCTGGTGCTGTGGTGGCTTCGCTCGATGGTGGTATATCAGCATGCGTAGTATACGCTGGAGGTGAATCGGACTCGTGCAACATTCTGAATGTTGGGAAGGGACAACAAGACAGATGGAAGGAGAGCTTCATGCATCCATCCCGCTCTTATATCTTCGGCACGAGACACATGCTTCTTCATTAAAGTCATGTCGCAACGTGACCATGAGCGTTCTGAGATTAAGTAAGTTCTTCGAGATGTTGGCCAAAAGCTTCGAGAAGGCCAAGATTGTTCGTTGGCGTGTGATTGATCTTTCTGCTCGAATGATCGGAAGGAAGGTTCGAAAGCTTCAATGCTACCTACTTTCTGAGCTTGTGCGACTGACTTTCTTGCTCCCGAAGGTCCAATCACACCTCTGTATATACCGAACCAGTATCCATCGTCCATCATCAAAGCAAGGGATAGCGACATCATCTTCATTATCGAATCGTTCGGCAGAAACACATCTAGACATGGTTTCTTTTCATCCACAATCTACGCCTGAAGATGAAGGCTGGACTCATGACGACCTCGGCACCCTCGAACTGCTCCTCGAATCCGAGAAGGAAGCAGAAGTCCCCGGTACAAATCATACCGCCCTTCCGCAATAGGAATGCTACACCAAGATGGAGTATGACACCGATCACGAACCGCTGGATGTTGTAAAGGCTACTCCGCACGAAACTGTTCCCTTGAAGGAAGAGAGCGACATCGAGAATGACTGGCTCGAGACCAAACGTGCGATCATTGTTGCTGCCGTGCTCTCCATCCTTCTTATTCTTCTGGCATACCTCGACACCGGAACCGAATTTGCAACCGTAGCCGAGTGCTATTTTCCGATCAGTCACCCTTACAGATACACGGTGCCTGGCTCAGACAATTCGTGCGAATCAATTGCCGATACCGAGATAGAGTGCATCACAGTGACCGTGACGGTGACGGTGACCGAGACGCCTACACCGATTCTGACAAAGCACGGCATACCACCAAGCGTGACCGAGATCCGCTGACATCCCGGTCAAAAGCTGCGTATCCACTATGATCGGCAGCCACGTACGGTCAGAATGTTCAGAAAGAGGAGAGAACATTGACGACGCGACAAATGCTTGTTGAAGCTCTGAGACAGCGATACAACTACTTTCATTTTTGGTGTATTGCAGATGTCGGTATGGTGAAGAGCGGATAGCAAGAGCTCAAGGCTCAAGAACCCGAACCATTTCTCTCGTTTATTAAAGTCTACAAGACCCACTACCTCACAGCCGATGAGCGTGGATTGTTTGAGTTACTTGGTACTGTAAGTATTATTTGGCGAAGACCCTTGGATGAAGTCTGATGCGTGGGTTTGGTATGGCCTGACCAGATCATGTGTAAATTCTGCTCAATTGTCGGCAAGCCAAGCTTCTGAGTCCTTGAGGCTTGTACCGCATGCGGTGCCCACGAAAGACGTCGAGGTGAAAGACAACGGCTGGGGGGCTGGAACGGCCTTGGGCGTACTGTGATTACGCTTGTTCGGCCGAGAGTAGATGGGACACATGTCTAGCAGGGATTCAAGCAGGGTCAAGTTTGGCTTTTGCTTCTTCAATCCATGTCTCAAAGACCATGTCCCCGGCAGAAACGGCACGTATTGGAGTAGTCCGACTGTTCTTATTTGCAGCATCTGGATTGGTATTACGCAGATCAGGCTGGGCAGGTATCCAAGGTTGAGGGTGGCCAATTGGGGGGCTTGTATTGTCCCGCAGGTCGATGGCGAGGGTGAAGGTGCAATTCTCGGGCAAAGGCTTCAGTGCGGAGCCGCAGGACGATAGTCTGCTCATTGTTGCACGCATCTGTTCCTCCAAGTCGACCCTCGGCAGGACAGCGACAGTTTCGCCATCATCGGTGGTCCTTGACATGGGAGTGAAGTGGTATTCTTTTGGGACAAAGGGGAAGCGGCTGAGGTCAAAGACGAAGCGTTCGAGGGGCGTGTCTTGGGCAGAGTAGATGACGAGAGCTACACGATCAACAGTGCCTTTGAGCAACTCTGCCTGAACGGCGGCGACGGCATCGGTGATCCATTGGCAAACTTTGGGATGACGAGACTGGCGGACGCTGTAGTTGTACTTTTTGGCCGAGAGGAACGAGTCGCGTGGGTAGATGTCGCGTTCGTAGAGGATGGTATGGATGGCGACGATCAGGAAGTCACTGAAGACGCCGACAAAGGTCTGGAAAGTGACAATGACATCTGTGTCATCCATTTCGATGAGATGTTGGGCTGAGTTGATGAAAGTGCTAAATTGGTACGCGCTGGGAAGACGCGTTTTGAACACGCGCGTTTGAGGGCAATCTTTCACGAACCACGAATCAGAAGGAAACCACAACCCACTCGACACCTGCCCAAACTTGATTGCTGCTGCTTGTTGTTTTGCTTGACGTCCCAGCAGCTTCCTGATTTTCGATAAAGCGCAGATACTCAACCTGTACTTGATCGCAGGCGACATTTAGCATCTGCATGTGCCTCGAACTTGTTTGCTACCCCGCGATACGCTAAGCAAACCGTCCATTCAAACCCTCTACCACACCATGGAGCAACAAATAGTTCAGCTCCTCCACGACACCCAGTCGCCCAACGTTGCTCCTCGTCGCAATGCCGAGCTGCACCTTCGCCAGCTTTACACGGATCCAACCTTCGCTCCCACCCTGATCGCCGTCGCTACACACCAGTCCATCGACCTACCCACCCGTCAAGCTGCTTTGCTATTCCTCAAGCACTTTGTCCAGCAAGTATGGTCTCCTCAGTTCGAAGAGTTCAAGGGCGAGATGCTTGTCTCGGTTGAAGACCGTGCCAAGCTCAGACAAGCTCTACTCGACTTGGCCACAGACGCCCACCAGGAAAGAAAGATCAAGAGTGCTGCTTCCATTGTTGTCAGCAAGATCGCTACCGCTGACTTCCCCGACGAATACCCAAACCTCCTTCCTACACTACTGCACATCATCAACAACGGCCAGGACGCTCAACTACATGGCGCCCTCAAGGTCCTTCAAGACTTGATCGACGACTGCTTCAACGACGACCAGTTCTTCAACGTTGCCAACCAGATCGTCTCGTCCGTCTTTGCTGTAGCCACCAGCTCTCGTCCCACAATCCTCCGCGCTCTGGCTGTCTCGGTCTTCCGATCATGCTTCGACATGCTGGAAATGGTCATGGAGGACCACAAGACTGCTGTCAAGTCGTTTGCCGAAGAGACTCTCAACAACTGGTACCCCTTCTTCCTCGCTACCTTGAACATGCCCCTGCCACATGTTCCCGTCGAGCAAGAAAAGTCCCAAAACCCAGTCGCCGAGGAATATCGTGGCATAGTTGCTCTCAAGCTTCAGGTGGCCAAGGTCCTGATGCGTGTTCGCTCTATCTTCCCCTCGGTCCTGGCGCCCCAAGCTCCCGCTCTCTTCGCTGCCACATGGCAAGAACTCAACAATCTGCGTCAGTCATACCACGAATCCTTCATTCTCAATGATCGCCAAGGCAGACTCGAGGATGCGGATGGTCTACCATTCACTCTCGACTTCCTGGTGCTTGAGGAGCTGGACTTCATGCAGGCCTGTCTTCGTGCAGCCCCCGTCCGCAAGCAACTCGAAGAGCAGCTGCAATCACAGTCCATGCCAGACACTTGGGTTACCGAAGTCATGAAGCTGACTGTCACATATGCACACATCACTACCGAAGAGGAGGGTTTGTGGGATATCGATCTCAACATCTTCTTGGCTGAGGAGTCGAATGTCACTGCAAACTACACTCCGCGCACAGCCTGTGCTGATCTGGCCATCAAACTTGGCGAGTGGCAGAGCGCTGCTACCATAGAAGGTCTCCTGCACCACGCCCGTGAGCTCTACTCAACCGACTCCAGCTGGAAGGCAAAGGAGGCTGCTCTCTTCATTCTCAATCAACTCTTGACCGACTTTTCTGATGCCGAGCGACCGATAGCTCCAGAGATTGCCAGCGCGTACACAGACTTTGTCAGATATGCTATGCAGCAGGAACATGTCTTCTTACGAGCTCGAGGCCACCTGACCGCTAGCAGCTTGGTCCGCACTGCTGGTACTGCTCTTGGTGGTGTAGCTTCGTCGCTCATGGAGCAGTCGCTACATGCAATCACCAACGATCCTTCTGACGTGGTCAAGGTGTCTTGTATCCGTTCCATGCAAGCATACCTCAGTGGTGTCGCCTCTGCCAACAATGTCTCGATGCAACCTGCCATCATCAGTGCCATCCATACCTTTGTCACTGAACTCGATTTCAGCGATATGGACGAGTCTGAAGATGTCATGATTGCCATTGTTGAGACACTGCGTGATGTTATTATGATTGACACCCGAATCTGCTTGACCGGTTCCGGCTTGGACGTCCTCTTTACCATCGCCAGCTGGTGTGCTGTCAACTATCAAATCTACATTCTCATAGCAGAAACTTTTGAGGATATTGCCGAGACTCTATCGGAAGCCGGTCCGGATGTCTACACACAACTCTGCGCCAAAGTCTTGCCTTCCTTGTCTGGAGCGTTTGACGTCGCCAACCTTACTGACGAAAACTCGTTGACCAACCTCGCGGCAGACATGCTTTCTGATCTTGCACAGAACGGTCCATCGCCACTCCCCCAAGGTTTCATCGTCACAATCATGCCCAAACTCACGCGTCTTCTCCTCGAATCTCCTGACGAAGAGTTGCTTAAGTCAGCGACCTGTGCTACTCGGTACATGCTAGAGAAAGACCCTGAACAGATGTTCAATTGGGCCAATCATGACGGCAAGAGTGGTCTTGAAGTCATTCTAGTCATCATCGATCGTCTGCTCGGTCCTTCGGTCGACGATAATGCCGCTGGTGAGGTTGGTGGTCTTGCTGCCGCTTTGGTGGAGAAGGCTGGATCCGATAGACTCGGTCCGTACCTGGCACAGTTGTTAAGTGCTGTCGCCCACAGACTCAGCACTGCAACGCAGACACAAATCATCCAGAGTTTGATCCTTGTATTCGCAAGACTGTCCCTGCTTTCGGCCAGAGAAGTTGTGGACTTCCTCGCTCAACTCGCTATCGGCGAAGAGAACGGTTTGCAGGTCGTGTTGACAAAGTGGCTCGAGAACTCCATCAACTTTGCCGGATATGATGAGATCAGACAGAAGTAAGTTTTGCAGCGTCCTTCTGCATTCTTCAATACTAACCATTTTCCAGCATCATCGCCCTTTCACGCCTCTACGACCTTCATGACCCCCGCCTCGACACAGTCCAAGTCAAAGGCGATATGATCATGCCGACCTCCACACGCATCATGACTAGAAGCCGTGCTCGCGCCAACCCCGACCAATACACCATCATCCCCGCCCCGCTCAAGATCGTCAAGATTCTCGTAGACGAACTCCTCTCCAACAACGTCTCTCGTAGTGTCGAGACCCTCGCCCCAGCATCCGAGCTCGAAAAAGCAGAATCAGTCGGTAGCGGTGACTCTGATTGGGAAGATGAAGACGGGTTCTTGGATTTGGGCGCTGGTATGACTAAGGAAGCGTTGATGGGTATGGTCGCGGATGATGCGCCTAGTAGGGGCAGAGATGATGAGACCCAGAACTTCTTGCTGCAGTGGTTTGGAGCCAAATCTCAGGAAGAAGGCTTCGGAACGGTCTTTGGACAGTTGTCTGCCAATGAGCAAGAGAAGTTGAGATCTATGGCATGAGAGACTTGGTGAAGAGGTCAAAATCTTGCATTAGCGGTACATAATCCAGGAAATCAATACATTTTCTTTTCTGCCTTCACAATGAAGAACGGTAACTTTATATACGTTGATAATGCAAAATAACTTTTTGTTGTATAGTATGTTGAAACTCTATGGCCGAATTATATCTTGAGGGCCTCCGATATGGATGGAGCACTTCTTTGCAACATGTTCAAACGTTACTTGGTAGATGGAAGACAAGATATAGTGTAAACAAGGGCGATTGAAATTATTGTAGTTGACTAAGCAATGCGTGCAGCAAAAAATCATTCCACCAACTCCTTATCCAAATACAACAGAACATGAGAGAGGGCAATCAAAACAGAAAAGTGTAATGTCCAACGCCAATTACGGGAGGTGTTCTGTAGCGACAGTGACTGTGTGTATTTTTTTGACTTTTTCCTTTTGGTTTTATCGGTAATCCGTATGAGGTGATGATGCTGCGAAGACAAAGTTGTCAAGGACTGTGGTATCCGTTGTTGGGCGTCTACTTGAAGCGCGGTAACGGCATAGGCGTCTGATGGTTGTGCTTTTCCTATTCCAGTCGTTAGCAAGTATTCGATAGTCTTGTCTTCTCCACAGGTCGACTTACATTGAACTCCTCATCCCTCAGACTTTCATCATCACTCTCACTTTCTCTTTCTTCTTCTTCCTCCTCTTCTTCATCATCGGCTTCATCCTCCACATCCCCTTCCTCTTCAGCAATACCGACCAGTCTCCCCAAAGTATCCCTCACAGGAATGTTGATATTTTTTCTCAAAAGCGTGAAAGTCAATGCGTATTGATCGCTTCTGTTTTCTTCGAATTCGTACCATGCGGCGTTGGTTGCGGCGTGGTAGGCGCGTTCTGCGGCGAGGGCTCGCTCGCGGGCTGGAGAATCGATCATGCGTTGGGCTGATCGGCGGCGGCCTGCGGGGGTTTGGGGTGCACAGTCGGGGTAGGGAGGTAGAGGGGTGGGGATTGGTGCTCGGGCTGGTGAGTGGATGGATCGAGGGCGACCGAGGATGTTCAAAAGGCGGTTGGGGTCGTGTGAAGGGAATGCAGTCATCATGCCTCCTGTGGCTAGGCCATCGTCGAATGGATCGTCCATGTTTGAGAAGTCGGTGATGATGTTCGCGGGCCTTGAATACTTTGTGTTCGTGCTAGAGGTATTTGTGCTGGAGAAGCCAGTGTTATAGGATGTAGGCGTGGTAGCGGAACTGGATGGGAATAGAGATTGCTCTAGATCATCGATCTTGCGTGCCAGACGATCGCGCTCGAGTTTGTATTTGCGTGCTTCGGCTTCGGCGAGTCTAGTTGCACGGCGTGCGTCTTGGACCGCATTAGAGGTCACCTCTTGTTTGTCAGCTTGATGCAGTGTGTCAGGAGAAGGATGCTTCACATACCTGCGGAAGGAGAATCTTCATCCTTATTGATTGGCTCAGGCGGAGTTACCTTGGTCTTGTCCTCGAGTTGCTTGACAAGTGCTTCCTTCTCTTTCTCTGCCTCTTGGGCTTTCCTCTCTGCCTCTTGAGCCTTCTTCTCAGCAGCTTCCTTCTCTTGCTTTGCATCGTGAACCTTCGTCTGTTCAGCCAGTAGTTCCTTCCACTGCTTTCTGTTGGTATCAGCAGCTTCATCGCGTGCCTTCTCTGCTGCGCTGGCCACCTGCTTGTAGAACTTCTCCATAGCCCTGCATTGATCATGGTCCTCGGCTTCCTGGGTCTTCTTCAACAGGTCCTTGTAGTATTGAAGACTTTCCTCAACGTTCTCCTTTTGCCAAGTGATCAAATCCAAGAAGTCGTTCTTCTCGAACAAGAGACGCTGCAATTTGGCAACCTCTGAGTCGGCAGACGGGTTTTCCAACACCCAAGTCTTGTTGAGTTCAAGCTTCTTCACCCAGTCGGCGAGTTCCTTCTTCGCAACCTCGGCTTCCTTGTTGGCGCTAGCCACCTTCTCTTCAGCACTCAAATCATCGTTGCGGTTCTTCTTCGAGTTTTCACAATCGGCGAGGTGTTTCCTGACAATTTCAAGATCCTCAAGAGCCTGCTTCTCTTTGGCTCTTACATCCTTGAGCTGCAGCTCGAGCTCAGCGACACGTGAGTCCCCGTCCTTCTCGTATTCGGCAACCAGGTTCTCGAGGATCGTGCGTTTATCATCTTTTAGGCACATTCCATGGTCAGCGCCTCGCTTGTACATGTCCTTGTAGTGGTTGAGCTCTTTGAAAGTACGATCGAGTCCGCTTTCTAGGCCCTTGGCCTTCTTGTTCAAACCGTCGATCAGCTCTTGCTGGGCGGCGTCATCTTGCTTGGAGCCCTGCTTTTCAAGAGTATCGATTTTGGCTCTCAAAATATTGATCCGCTTGTTACACTCCGAGTGATCGACATCACCAGATGAAGCCTGGGTACTCGAGGGTGAGGTCTGAGTGCCGGTGCTCGAAGTCTGAGTCGAGCCCCGGGCCTTCTCCAACGCCTCGACCTTCTTCTTCTCAGCATCCCATCCATCGCGTGCATCATAGAACTTGTTTCGCAGCGTCTTAGTGGCTTCGTGGCAGACCTTGAGATCATCGGCTGCCTTCTCGAGTTGCTGCTCTCTGACCTTGACCATATCTTCAGCAGCCCTGAATCTCATCTCTAGCGAGCCGGGAGGAGGACCGTCCACATCGTCTGAGTCATCTTCACTATCATCGTCGATACCAGCCTTCTGCCTGTCTTCCTTTCTCTTTTGTCTTCTCATCCATTCGATTTCGTCGTTTCTTTGCTTGAGCTGCAACTTGACACGCTCAAGTTCATCTCTGACACTCTTGCAAGGATCTTCCCAGCCTTCATCCAACTGAATTACTTCGTTCCAGGATTGACCCTTGTTTGCGGCAAGTTTCTTGTTAGCAGCCTCGAGTTTCTTCTTGAGCTTGGTAAGCTCAACCTTAAGGGCGTTATTGTCGACGGAACTATCGCTGGTAGTCTTTGCGGCTTCCTTAGCGGCTTGCGGCGCAGTACTTATAGAACTTATAGTCGAATGCTTGAAGGCTCGACGGTACTGATCAGCGTTCGGACCGGCTTGAGGTCTCAGGTCTATCGAAGAGGATCCAGACTGATTGAAAGTTGCTTCCTTGGCCTTTGCAGCCAAAAGTAGTCTTTCGGTCGTAGTGAGTTTCCGCTGGCACTTCTCAAGTCTGTCTTTGAGATCCTTGACTTCATCGGGCTTGGTTTCTGTGGATATACCTGCTGAAGGCTCAGTGCTGACGGAAGTAATGTGAGAATGCTTCCAAGTCTGCTGACGAGTTGTCTGGAAGCCCAGAGGAGTTTTGGGAGACGTCGGCGCAGGTGGTGCTACACCGTGGAGGAACCATGATAAAGGATTCCATCGGCTGCTAACCTTGGGTGACTTGGGAGATTTCGGTGACTTGGGGGATTTTGGTGGTGTCGGTTTAGGTGAACGGGGAAGAACAAAGGAGAGCGATGGTTTCTTGCTCTTCTTGCTGTTAGAGTCATCACCCTTGTCATCATCGCCCTTACTATCATCACCCTTGCCATCGCCCTTGCCGTCGCCCTTGCCGTTGCCCTTGCCATCGTCGCCCTTGCCATCGTCGCCCTTACCATCACCATCGTTGCCGTCGCTGTTGTTGTTGTCGTCATCGTCGTCAGAATCGCTGTCAGAATCGTAAGTACGCCATGGGTTGATTTCTACGGAGGCAAGTGCAGCTCCCCAGATCAACAACACAGCAGCAATAATGATACCCCAGACGGTGATCAGAGTATGGTACTCTCTGGTCGACTCAACAGTATTATACCACAAAATCTCGGTCGTCGAGAGAGTCGAGTTCTGGTACTCTGGCATCAAGTCGAGTTGCGTGTATCGGTAGTACTGGAGAGAAAGTGGAATCGACATGATGAGAGTGATCCAGAAACGAACCCATGGCACCCTGTTGTCAAGTCTTTCGTCTTCTTCGTCTTCGACAGTGGGAGCATTGAGCCTTCTTTCTCTCTCAAGCTCAAGTGCTCTGCGGAATTCCTCTGCGCGCTTGTTGGACTGATCAGTCTGCTTCTCGGCTTCTTTGATCTTCTTGTCTGCTTCCTTCTGAATCTCTCCGATCTTCTTTTCCTGAGCCTTGGCGTCTGCCTTTTGTTGCGTGTTGGTCTTGATCGTCTTGGGGTCAGCCTTGGCAAGTTCCTCCTTTGCGGACTTGTGCTCCGCCTTTTCACGTTCAAGCTGTTCCTCAACATCGGTGAGCTGTTTACGGACGGGATCGTAGAGAACAGACTTGGCTCTCCACTCTTGGTACCATCGGTCACAGCGTTTCTTGACTTCGTCAGGCTCGAAATTCCATTGGCGGTGCTTCCAGGCCTCAAGTTTCTCCTCGCATTTGGCAAGCTGGTCTTTGACGCTCTTGCATGGATCAGTGGCGGGTGCAACTGGAACAGAAGCTTTAGCATTGTTTAGACCAGCGGCAGCAGGAGCTGGTGCAACTGGAGCAGCTGGTGCAACTGGAGCAGCTGGTGCAACAGGAGCGCCCATTGCTCTCAGAGCTGCCAAGAACGCATCAGTCTTAGCCTTGTCTAAGCCGGGGGGATACGTAGTAGGAGCGGTGAGAGGACCTGCTGATTGCAAGTGGGCTGGTATCTGCGTCCAGTTGCCATTCTGGTCAATGACGGTGGCGGCGAGTTCTTGTTCTGTAGGAGGTAGCAAACCCTGAGAAGCACGCCAAGCAGTCAATTCTCCATGGCTAGGGTACGTGACGCCGTAGGATGAGGCAAGATTGCGTCTGATATTGACGCTGAGGTTCATGTTGACTGATCCAGGGATGACGAGGTCTCGGGTCCAGGGTAAGAAACCTATGGTGAACCTTCGAAGTTCAGGGTGTCGTTCTAAGAAGTCTTTCCAAGCGTCAGCCAAAGTGGACTTGTTGGCAGCGTAAGGGTGTACGCCAGATCTTCCAGGCGATGACTCAGCAGAGGGTACAGATCCAGATCCACTTGAGCTCTCGGTTGAGGACCGCAATGCAAGCTGATTGCCTGGAACCGGTGTGCGGTAATCCCATGGTCCCATCAGATCACTCCACACTCGGAGACCGCTCCTTTTGAGGAACTCTTCGTACGTGACGGCATCTGCGGAAAGAGGTCCTGGGATACCGGCAGCTTCCCAGAATCTGGTATCCCGAACCTGTTGCCATTGCTGGTCAGATCTCTTATCGTTCTTCCAATCGATAACACTCTTCTCCCCGTTCAATCGAGCCTGAGCGTCGTCGAATTTGGCGGCTTTGGTGGCAAGTTCGATGAGGACGTCCTTGCAAGAGTCTTTGGTGTCCTTCTTTGACTCGTCCTTTTTCTCTTTGCCCTTATCCTTGTCTTTCTCCTTCTCCTTGTCGGATTTTTCTTTCTCCTTCAACTTAGTCTGAACCTTCTCAAGCTCCTTCTTGACTTCCCTGCAAGGATCTGGTTTCCACTTCAGCAAGAGATCGATGACCTCTTCTTCTTCCTTTTTGCCATAGACGCTTCGGTGCACCTGCTGGAGCCACCAAGTGTACAAGCCGAAGAAGATGATGATGAAGGGTGTCCATCTAGCAGCCAGATTCTTAGAATCGTTTTCGCGACCAAAGATGAAGTCTAGTGTTGGCACGGTGTACTGATCATGGCCTAAGTAATCCAAAAGGAAGACAACGATCCAGAGTCCTGGCAAGAAATACTCATTCGCGATACATTCCTTGACCATCTCGTACCAAGTCAGCTTCTTGGGTTCTGGAAGCTTCCACGCAGTGTGGTGCACTGCGGTCCAGAGTCCGGTAATGTCAGGTGTTGGGTGGCGAGGTACGCGGACCTTCAAGACATAGGTTGGGTTGTCGTACAAACGATCGTTCTTCTCGTTTATCTCTTCGTAAGACTTTTGCAATCTGGCGGAAGGTCGGGGCCAGCAGTCATATGTAATTCTGGGCCATGGGTTCTCCGGAGTGTCTCTGAAGTCTTCACCGGGCTTGGCCACGGGCGTCTCTGTAGCGAGCTCGCCTGTCTTAGCAACAGAGTCAGTCGTCTTTGTCGGAGACTCGGTCGTCTTAGCAAGAGATCCGCGTGTCTCGGTCTCGGTCGCCTTGGGCGATCCAGTAGTCGATCCCTCGACGCTGCTGTTCTTAGCAGCATTAGCCGGCTTCCACAGACCCTCGGTCATCCTACTGCCACGCCAATCATCTCTTTCAGCATACAGAATACTGATCTCTTTGCCCAGGTAGTTGAGTTGCTGGCTGGTCTTAAGTTGATGCTTCAAGAACTTGCCCTGCACTCTGTCATTCTCTTTCTGCAGTTTCTGGTTTCTGTCCATCAAGTCTTTCATTGGAGCATCAGGCTCGATTGCGATCAATTCTTCCAGCTTCTTGCGGAACGCTGTGATTTCCTTGTGGTGCTGAGCTGCGACAATCCTGTTGCACTCGATGATGTCGGCTTGCTTGCGGTTGGCGTTCACAGCTTCATTGAGACGCTTGCGGACTGCCCATGGTGCATCTGCATCATTCTGAAGACGCTCGAGTTTGGTCTTGAGTTGCATGATCTCCTTGTTCCTTCTCTCGACTCTCTCTTGCTCCTTCAGGAACTTCTCCTTGAACAAGGTCAGCTTCTCAAAGGCATCAACCTGCTTCTTGACATCCTTGAACTGCTTCTTGTAGATACTGCAAGGGTCGTCTTCGGGATCTTCTTCAGGTTCAGCTGCAGGCTTCTCTTTCTTGCCGTCCTTCTTCTCAGCGGGCTTGGCAGCTGGTTCCTCCTTTTGTGCGAATGAGGTGACTTTCTTGAAGACGTTCAAAGCTGTTCCAATGTAATTCTTGGGCGCTTCCTCCTCCAGTGGTGTAATGTAACTCTTCGACTTTTCCTCCAACTCTACTGGCGTATACTTCTTCGGAGGTGCGTCAAGGTTGTAAGTGTCAATGGAGTCCTTGAGCTTTGTCTGCTCGCCGATGAGTTCCTTGATGGCGTCCTTACATTGATCGTCGTTTGCAGGTGGACCATGTCTATCACCTGCGAGACGGTAGGCCTTGGACGTAGCCTCGAGCTTACCGACCTCGAATTTGAGCTCTTCAATCTTGACAGCAGCAACGCGGAGCTCTTGGGTGAGTTTCTCGATCTTGGCTTGTTTGAGGTGGCAGTCACGAGCCTTTCTGATCTGCTCCTCAAGTTCACGGATCTGCTTGATCAAATTCATCTTCTCTTTGAGAAGCTTGTTCTGCTCGTTGGTATTGGCGTCGCCGCCCTTCTTGTCATCGACCTTGTTCTCGTCAGGAATAGTAGGCTTGGCACGACTGGCATTGATGCGAGCTTCTCTAAGCTCCCTCTTGGTGTTCTCATTCTCAGCCGAGATCTCCTTGACGAGATCCACCGTTTCTTGGTGCTCGAGTTTGAGGGCTGCAAGCTCGTCTTTTACATCCCTGCAAGGATCAGTCTCATCGGCTGGCTGTATATCCTCGTCGGGACGCAGCTTAAAGTTGTTGACCTTGATGCTTTCCCTTGCTTCCACGAGCTGCTTCTTGGTGAAGTCAAGTTCTATGGTGAGATCTTTGTGTTTCCTAGACATGCGGTTCGTGGTCTCGGAAAGCTCTTTCTTGGTCCTCTGCAGCTCTTGCTTGACGTCCGCACATGGGTCTTTATCCTCATCTTCTGAAGTAATAGCGAGGTTACCGGCATCGTCCAACTCTTTCTTTGTAGCAGCGTGAGCCTCGATCTCCTTTTGGAGCTCGTCCCTAGTATGACCGCAGCACTCGGGGCTCTTTTTACCCTTGAGGTAATCGTTGGACACGATAAGCTTCTCCTTTTCGTTGGTCAGAGTCAAGATCTGCGCCTGAAGCCCTGGAATCTGATCGACTTGTCTCTTCAAGTTTTCAATTCTGGCGACTACAGCCACGTCGTTGGAACCATGTAGTTGCGAAGCAGTGGCTTCAAGGTCGTCAAGGTTCTTCTGCAGGGCCGCATTTTGCTTCTCGAGTTGAGCCTTCTCGATGACATGTTTGCGTGCGTTGGTTTCAGTGTCGAAAGAGTCGAACAATTCTTGCTCTAGGTCAGCAGGAGGAGCTGCAAGCTTCGTAGCACCCCAGTTCTTTAAGCTGTCTGCGATTCTCTCGCTCATAAGTTGTTGATAGTTGGCGTTCATCTCCCTGAGCTTTCTGACTTCCTCGGCATCTGCTGACTTGGATGGAGTACTCTCAATTGAAGTAGGCTGAGTGGACATACTCTTGGGCGATGAAGAACCGTCCTCAAACCCAAGTCTCTCGATCTCATTTCTGGCTTTAGCAAGTTCATCCTTGGTCTTGTCAATCTCGTAGTGACAGCTACGGATTTGGATCTTCTTGACCCAGAGCTTGTCCTCCAAGTCTCTGTTCTGCTGTTCAGTCTCTCCGAGCATCCTTGTGAGGTATAGACAGCTGTCGCAGTAAGATGGAGACTTTGTTGTAGCATCTGCTGGGGGATCCGAAGGGGAGTCAGGGGGAGGTATTGAGGCAGCCTCTCTCCTCGCTTGTCTAAGTCTATCAAGCAACCTGGCATTGGCTCTCCTGGTTTGAGAACAATACTCGCAAGCTGGAGAATTAGGCACAGCTGCTGCTTCAATCTCTAATTCTCTGGTGAACTGGTCGTTCTCCTTTCTGAGTCTGTAGAGTTCAGCCCAGTAGTCGTGAGAAAGGGGTGGAAGATCGTTTCCAGTGTTGGGTGTTGATTGGCTCTCGATCATGTGCTTGCTGAACGCCGCAGTAAGCTCTTGCTTCTGATTTTCAAGATCTTGTACTCTTGCTTCAAGATCACGATGAGCAATGACAGTGCAAGACTCTTGATCGTCAAAGTTGCCACGAGTGAACTCCTTCCAGTCCAACTCTTGACGTGTGTCAACGAGTTCACTTTCATAGTACGCCACCTCCTTGGTCAGACCATCATGTCTTGCCTTAAGGTCTTCATGCTCGGCCTGGAGCTCGATGAATTTGCCAAGAGTGCCTTCGGGATTACCGTAGTGCTCCTCGATAGCATCCCAAGTAATTTCGAGCATTCTCAATTCATGAGCTTGTGCTCCAACCTTCTTAGACTGTTCACGATCTTTGTGTTCAAGCTCCGCGACTCTGCGCTGTGCTATCTCAAGGTCGGTCTCGGTCCTGACCAAATCCTTGTCGATTCTGTCCAGCACAGCCATGATGTCGTTGACGCGAACAACAAATTCTTTACGCGAGATGTGTCGGTCAGAGAAGACGAAAGAAGCAAACACGTCAAAGTTACCATAGCAATAACCTTCCTCGATCAGGACTCGCAGAATTTCTTCTTCCATATCTTTGTCCAGATGAAGATCCAAGGCCCGGATTTCCTCGAAGATTTTGCGTATGCCCAAACCGGCAGCGAACCATTGCACGACTTGGCCTCTTGTCAACACTCCTGAAAGAGACAGATCTTCGACAAGTCCAGTCAGCTCGAATTGAAAATCGCGGGCAGACCGGCCATGCAGAGCAACGTCTGCGGGCTCTATGGACTTTTCAACAGGCTTTCTGTTGTCGTTGACTATGGCAACAAACACCTGAGCCATCCTTTCTCTAGTTGGGACAGGCCATGGTTTTTTGACAGTTGCGTAGTGAGCGAAAGACCAGACACGTTGTTCGTTGGCGGACATGTACAGTTCTCGATACCTGGCACAGTCTTCTCTGACATGAACCAGAACCTTTTCGAGAGCAGTAATCTTGCCGGAGAGCGCAGGGTTCGAGTTTTTCAAAGCTTCAAGTTCGGTGTCAATCTCGATGATGCTAGATGATTCTTCGAGAGGCATGAAACCAGACTTGTCCTTTGCTAGTTCAGAGCGGGCGTTCAGGCAGCTTTCGAGTTGGACCCTGAGCTCGGCATTTTCCATATCAGTCTTGTCGCTAGCATCCTGCAAGTCCTCAACACGAGCCCTCAGCTGGGTGTTTTCTCTGTCGAGGGTTGTGTAGGCTCTGTTGAGCTTTTCAATGGCTTGCTTCTGCTGGATTATCCTCGACTCGGTCTCCTTTTCGTGTTCCTCGAAAAAGACTATCTGGTTGTTCATTTGCGACAACTGATCGCGGAGTTCCTGGTTCTCAACTCGAAGCTTCTCGTTGTCTTCACGAAGCTCTTCAGTGATGTTAAGTTGTGAACGAAGGTCGTCCATACCCTTATTGGCGTTCTCTTGCATGGTGTTGAGCTGTTCAAAGCGACCGTCGATTGTTCTGAGAGACTGTTGCCTCTCAGGAGACAGACTGTCAGAACGAATGATGGATTCGCGAGTACGATGCAACTCCTGAGCAGCTTGCAACCTTGCAACTTCTGCCTCAGCACTGGCAAGCTCAGCCTCGAGCTCTGAATTTCGTTGCTTGTCTGCGAGCGATTGGCGGTCGAATTCGGATTTGATTCGCTCGACCTCAGTCCTTGCAAATTTTCTTTCATCTTGCAAGGTTATCATACCCTCGACGTCGCTCTCCAAGTTGTTCTTCTGCAAGACTTCGGCGATGGAGAGAATTTTGTTGTCTTGTGCGCGCATGAACCCCCAGAGCGCGTCTTTGTCCCATACGCCTACATTGTGTTTTGGATTGACCGCGGCTCTTCTCAGATCGTTGTGGATGAGTCTGTATCTGCTCTGCTGCAATGTCTGTCGAGCGATATCGGCAGAGGCAGATCTGCGGTGACCAAGAGAGCCAGTCTCGGCAGGGACACTCAGACCTGGTAGTTTGGCCTGTTGGCTAGCAGGATTGTTGTCCTCGTATTGAGCCTCCGCATCAGCTGAAGACAATCCGAACTGTGGTGATCCAGGTCGTTCGGGGACAGGAGGTGGTGTGTGTTTGGCTCCGTTCTTGTAACTCTCAGCCATTTCCAGAATCTTCTTTTCTTGGAAAGCCTTCTCGATGGCGTCTTGAACATCCAGCGAAAATGCCAGAGCATCTTTAACAGGGGACAGGGTAAACTGGCGGTCTGCCAAAGACTTGTCCATTTGCTCGGTAATCGTGGGGTCCGTGAGAGTGATAGTGCCGTATGTAGGAGAGGTAACGATGACTTTATCGCCATCACGGGTGATTGACTTGATAGCAAGAGGACTTCTTGATTTCGTTGCCTCGCGCCTGGCACCCCCGGTGATACCTTCTTGATCGCGTCGTCTTTCAGCAGTTGCCCTGTCAATGTGATTCTGCTTGGCGAAGTGGGTGGTAGAAGAGATGGGAGGGGACATGTCGCGGTCTCTAGAGGACCTGCGAGCGCGTCCACGTGTTTCCTCGTCTGAGTCCGAATCCGAGAAATACGAAGATGTCACGCTCTTCTCATCTTCGTCGTCGTTGACAGGAGAGACGGGTCTTCTCTCCCCGCTATCTTCAAATTCATCGTCCTCAGGGGATACTGGGGGCTTGTCCTCAGACTCGGGGTTGGCTTCGTCCTCCTGTCCGGAGTGGACCTTATCGTCTTCGGTGTCGTGAGATGCTTGGGGCAAGTTGTCAGAAGATTTTGTCACTTCGTCCGTGGTCAGGTCCTCGGCAGGAGTGACGATAATGCCGGGAGGAACGGGCTTTCCTGGGGAATTATCCCCTTGGTCCGCCATGCTGCTGTCAGTATTCTCGGTCAGGGGCGGATTATACCTTTTCAGTGATTTGGTTGTTCTCTTTCAAGACAAATAGGGAGTGCAAGATGGAGATCAAGGACGAAAGAACGGATTGCACGACTGTACAAGAGTTTCAAATCAAGTCAAAGCTGTTGTTGGAGGTAGCCAGAATTCTCTCTTGCTCGTTGAGAGAAGAAAGAAGGTCGAAAGACCTGTAGTTTGTCCTCCATATGTGTTGAAAGCGTGTTGTGTCGAAAGCAGCCTCAAGCATATCCGCATCCGGATGTGTATGTGTTGAACATATACACAAAGAAGCCATAGTACGTGAATGCGTTACAACATACCCAACGTGTACATTCTCGTAGAGCAGATCTCTTGCCGCAACACGAGGGCCAACTCAACTTGGTTCCATCATGTCGCCGCTAGTTCGTTATGTACTACACAAGCCGTACTATCTGAGTTTCCGCAGATGCTCCTGGGCGTATGAGCTGCTAAGGGACGTCATCCGGACGGGGATGCGCTCTGTAGAGTCGAGGAATGTAGACCGTCACAAAGGATTGTTCTGAGGCTGAAAGCGGGATCTTTAGAGCCGCACTCGCCGTCATCCAGACCGACTTTCATATTCATGGTGGCAAGATCTGAATGCCATTGAAGCCTTCTTGAAGCAGAGTGTGAAGACAATGAATGCATAGACAAGAAGAGGTTGGTTTCTCATCCGATCGTCATCACGAGACGCGAAGCAAGCGCGGCCGATCATTCTTGCTGTGACTCCAGACGCAGATCGTGATCACAATTACGCGATCTCTCAAGCCATCACCAGGGTGTTACAATTTACAAGCACATAAATGCATCCCGAGACTCGAAAAGTATCTCACAGGTCCTGCAACCTTTGTAAGACGGTTCTGGAAGCTTTGAGCATGGTTAAGTGGTATCAAAGTACGGCGCACAGCTGTGGTTTTGTCTCTGATAGGCCTTCTGACTGTCTCGTGAGATTGACTTGTTGTAGAATCAAGCTTCGCGCTCCTATACACTGGGACAAATGCTGCAATCGTGCCTCATTGTGTATTTTCAAGAGCGAACGTTGAAGCATGACATTCATAGTGATGTTTTAGCTGTAATGACTAAGTTCAAGCTCGACCCTGTATCTGAGCACACCTCTCTCTGACACTCTGCTCCCACGATCTATAAGCTTTCCTTCTCTCTCCACTCAACCAATCCACAGAATCTTGAAACATAGTCCCTAAGCCTGATCTCAGTCCAGCACCAGGTCTATCGTTGTCTTCTTCCTCAGCTTCTGCGTCCACATCCTCCATGACTATATCCATTTCCGCGTCTTTGGCTACTGGTCTCGGAGCATGTTTTTCCTTTCTGTGTAGAGGCGTTTTGGCAGGGGGTTTGTTCTTCTTTGGTGTTTGTGCTTGAGGGATGGATGTGATGGTAGAGGCCTTGACGGTAGTGAACCATGGGAGCTCAAGCCAGCCTTCTGCTTTGCTGGCGTGTAGGAAGGTATCGACGTCTATTGGTAAGGGTCCGTTGGGTTCAAGTGCGGTGATGGTGGAGGAGCGAGCGGTTGCATAGGTTGTGCCGTCTATAACAGTGTTGCGGAGCGTAAAGGTGGTAACTAGAGAGACGGCTGCAATGAGTGCTGGAAGAGATGTTGGTGTTATTGAGGAGGGGTCTTCGATTGCCGCGACGTCAATTGTGTCTGTCAGTGGTTGTTTTCGCTTTTTGGCAGAAGACCGAGGGGTTGATTTGGGAGGCTCTGACTTTGTGTCGTTCCAGCCTCGTAGGTGCAGAATAGCAGAGAGAGCTGCGCAGACGTGTGGTGTGGCTTGTGGTACGTCGAGAGCATCGCAGACTGCTTCAGCCATTGGTCGTACTTGGTCGGGCAGGCTATCATCCTTCTCTTCTTGTTGTGCTGCCTCCTTCTGTCTCTCTTCTTCCGAGTCCTGTACTGTGGCCTCGTCTTTTGCTTCTGGAGCCTTGAACGCCGATCTCGTCCTCCTGCCAGATGTCGTAACACTTCCCACACTCTTCGCAACGGACGCTGGCGTCTTCGAAGGCGTGGCACCAGCACTTTTGACAGTCTTCGCAGGGGTCTTGGACGGCGTATCCGCCGCACTTCTCCGACCTCTTCCACTTCCAGGTGTACCCACGGTCTCTACATCTTTCAGCCTGTTCGTTCTCGGTGTCGCAGGCTCCTTCAATGATGTGTCCAGATACCCATATAGCTTCTTGTAGATTCTCGGTGCGACGGGTGGCCTGGCAACGACCTTGTCGATGTCTAAGCGAGGTTTCAAACGCTCGACTGCGATGTGTGCGCAAGCATATGTTCTTCCGATCTCCTCTTCGGGCTTGAGTGAGGAGGCTTTGTTTCGTGATTGAGCCAGGAGAGAGGTTGAGAGGTCGATGAGCTCTTGTGGGAGGGAATTGAGGGTCGGCACGAGTGTAATGAGCGCCTGCTCTATCGGTGTCGGCATTGTAGTTGTCTTGTAACAGGGCGGGAATGTTGATACGAATAAAGTCTACACAACAATTGGAGCTGCCGATTGAGGAAGACGCGAAGCATTGGCCGAGGCACAACACGCGCACGTGCTTTCGTGGACTCATTATCCTTGCACATCCGGACATATCTAGCATTTCACCAAGAACAGAGGAATGTAGATCAGAGTGTTGCTTCGTCTGTCAAAGCAATCAGACAGTATTGATCATGAATTGAAGCCTCCAACTTTCCAGAATAATCTATACACTAAAACGCATCCACACTTTTAGCGCTTGCCCGCAGCGAGCATCTCCTTTCTTCTCATCTTGTCCGCCGTTCTTTGCAGTGATGTTCTCATGTCTCCCTTCTTGAAGTCCTCAATGTTGTAATACTTGGGTGCAATGTCCAACAACCATTCAGGACGCACCGATGTCACTGTACGGATGTAGTTCTTTGTTGTAAGAACAAACTCATTGTACAGCACCCACTCGCTGTCAGTGCCCAACACCGTCGAAGGGTGCAACAAGACAGTCTGCTCGTCCTTGACGGTAATGTACTGCTTCTTGCCAGAGTCCTGCTTGGCACATTGCATGAAGTAACCACAGACCAGAGCCTTGCGGATGTTCTCGTAGTACTTCTTGTCCTCGAAAGGTGTTGACATGAGCTCAATCTCGTTGCGCTCCATGATTCTCTTGAGTTGCATGCGAACGTTGTCGGCCTGTTGCAAGGCACGGTATGACAAGAAGTGATCGTGACACCACTGCTTGGGGTTCTCTTGTGCTGCTGGTGACTTGAAGGCGTGGTAGACGTTGAGTATGGTAAGGTGGTCGCCGTCGGGGTGGGCAAACAAGTCCTTCATCTCATCGGCACGCTTGCGAGCGCTGTTTGGTCGTACGAATACGTTCGGGACCGAGAGAAGTGCTGTGAGGGAGAGAATCTCGTTGGAGCAGTAGAACTCTGGGGAAGAGATGAGCATGACGGCGAGAGCAGGATCCAGAGGGAACTCTGAAGCCATGCGACCAAGCTCGGTCAGCTCACCCTCGTCGTCCAGACAAGCCAGGTAGTTTAGCTCTTCCAGAGCACGCATGAGTGTCTCGGGTGCGGGAGGATCCATAAGATCGAAGTGTACCAAATCGTCGACTCCAAGCTTCTTCAATTCCAGAACTGTCGATGACAGGTTTGAACGCAGGACTTCGGGGTATGATTGATCAATGAGCTCCTTCTTGAATGCGGCCTCGGTGTACAAACGGAAAGCCTTTCCAGGCTTGGTACGTCCAGCACGACCAGCACGCTGTTGGGCTGAAGCCTTGGAGATGGGCGAGACGAGCAGGGACTCGACTCTGATTCTGGGGTTGTAGACCTTCTGCTTACTGAATCCGGGATCAATAACGTAGACAATACCGTCGATGGTAAGCGAAGTTTCGGCAATGTTGGTGGAGATGATGATCTTGCGACCAGGACGACCTCCAGCGCGGAAAGGTCCAGGTGCAGGGTCGAAGATGCGCTGTTGTTGAGCAGGAGGCAGAGAACCGTAAAGAGGGTAGACCTTCAGTGGGCCAGCGTCTGCTTCTCTGATCATCTCATCTGACTCGAGACTGATCTTTCTGCATGCGTCTTCAATCTCTTCCTCACCAGTCAAGAAGAGCAGGATATCGCCCTCTGGCTCGGTAGCGTGGATCTGGAGAACGGTGCGGATGGCGGCCTCGACGTAATCTCTCTCGGGTTCGGCGGTGTAGAAAATCTCGACGGGGTGGGTACGACCTGGGACGGCCAGAAGAGGGGCATCGTTGAAGTATTTTTGGAACTTCTCGGCATCGAGAGTGGCGGACATGATGATGATCTTCAAGTCGGGTCTGCGCTGGGCGACCTCTTTGAGAAGGCCCATCAGGATATCGGTAGCTAGAGTACGCTCATGAGCCTCATCGAGGATGATGGTGCTGTAGCGGCTGAGGTTGTGGTCGTTCATGGCTTCACGCAAAAGCATACCGTCGGTCATGTACTTGAGGATGGTGTTTTGCGAAGTCATGTCCTCGAAACGAATGCTGTAACCGACTTCCTGACCAAGTGTAACGTCCATCTCTTGAGCGACACGCTGGGCGACCGACATGGCAGCCACACGACGAGGCTGCGTACATGCGACCATCTTACCCTGCTGGTGCGGGAGATCGTCGTAGAGAACGAATTGTGGGATCTGTGTTGTCTTTCCTGAACCAGTCTCGCCGACGAAGACGAGAATCTGTGTTTGTTGAAACATTTGGAGGAACTCATTTCTATGCACGTAGTCAGCACAAAAGCACTTGTGGTGATAGTGAGAGCGACACACCTCTGGGCGTGGACGGGCAAGTTTCTGCGAGTCTTCAGGATACCAAAGTAGCGCTCTGAGAGGTTGTTGCCGTTGAAAGGGTTGGAGGGACCATCCTCGGCCTTTGCTGCTTGCTCGGCTGTGGTGGTGTGGCGCTTGAAGTGGGTGAGGCCATCTTTGGCGTTTCCGTTGGATCTGCCGTTCGAGTAGCCGTTGTCGTCTCCGTTGTTCATGTGTGCCAGGTAAGGGTTGGAGGCGGGATCGGATTCCATCTTTTGACGCTTTGCGCGCGACTCGTCGCCAGATCTTCTGTCGGACATTTTGACACTTGGCGAGATGGCGGCGTGTATAATAGAGCTCGTGTTGAATAGCCGCTGGGAAGACTCGACAACTGGCCAGACAATGAGCGCGACAAGAGCGATAAAATGGTTGTCGTCGAAAAGTCCAGAAGAGGCGCTGGAATTGCTTCGGAGAGTCGCCGCTTTGAGCCAAAAAAGAAGTCCCTGCAACTTCATCATCGTTTCGCTCTTGGCACGTCCGTCCTCCGCTCTGTTCTCCGCTCTGTTCTGCTGCACCTGAGGGGCAGTCAGGTTCTTCCGCTCCCTCTAGATGTATATTTTTCGAATGGCCCTAGTATCCAGGCAACTACCCGTTTCTTGGAAGGCGACGAGACATCGAACCTTTGTTCCTCCACCTGCGTGTCTGTCTGCTGCGGTCCTATCGAATTAGAAACAAGTTCTCGTGGCGCATTACTCACAATCGTTCCCAACACGAAACGCACAGCCACCTGCGCCCCTCCATCCTTCGTAACTCAGCCCCATATAATTGCATCGTCGTCATCCTAGTTTGATCTTCTATACATCAGCATTCAATTCAGAGCCTTTTCTGTTCTTCCTCCCATCCGGAGCAACATGGCGCACACGAAGCTGCTACTGTTCCTCTGCTTACTAGCAGTCTTGCTCTTTGCAACTCCCACTCATGCCTTCGGCGCAGGAAACATTGCTTCCATCTCAAAGATTGAAGGCAAGAACTGGCGCCATGGTGACATTGAAGATATGCTCAAGACAGTCGACTGTCTGAAGAAACACAAGTGGACTTCGATGATGATCAAGGTAGGTTTTGTTACTGTAGTCCCAGCACTGTCCACGTACTGACGATCATAACCTGCAGCGCGTCTACTTTGGTAATTGGCTCCGTGACTACAGTCAGGCTGTAGACGTCGGCACTCTAAAGGGTGTTCCTGCCAGCACGATTCGTATTCTTGTCTGGGTCCTCGCCTTTATGAGCTTCGGTTATGCCACGGGCGAATTCGAGGTCACTGAAGAACGTCTTGGTGTTTACCGGCCAGAGGTAAAATGAAGCTATGCTGATCCACCACAAAACTCTGCTAACTCTACTCTCAGGAGCATATAGACAACCCCAAGGATTATGCCGACAACATTGATGCAAGACAGTACGATCAACGTCTGCGTGGACCAGTTTCACGCGAGGAGCTTGCAATTGATCCTGATACTGGTATGAAGAACTACATCGCCAACGAGCGTGGTGATTGGGCCACTTCCTCGGGCTATGTCAGATACAGCTTCAAGAGAGCCATTCACTATGGCCGTATGTATACTCACGGCAGCAACAAAGGTGATGAAAAGGATCTGTGTGAGGCTCTTCGTTGTCTGGGTCAAGCTTTGCACTGTAAGTAAGGCGAGTGTATCGATAGTACAGTCAAGAGCCATCAGATGGCCTTTCGGTTGTCGTCTGCACCTTTCTCACATTTACATGAGAAACATGCTGATCTTGCCCTTGCTTTTAGGTATGGAGGACTTTGGTGCACATACAAACTACACAGAGCTGGCTCTTCGCGAGCTTGGACACCACAACGTCTTTCCTCATGTAGGCGCCAACACCGAGATCAACCTTCGAGGAAAGAGAGTCTTCCCTCTGGTCACTGGAACTTTCGGTGGTGTTGACTTTATGCACTCCGTCCTTGGTGAGGCCACCGACCATGTCACCCAAAGCGAGGTTGATGAGATGCAGAGTGCCCTGAATAATGCTTCTGCTGAAGGGAAGCGGTCCGGATCAGGTCCCTCAGGCGAGGTCTCCGGTCTGGTCAGTCTGCTGTCAAAGGTTCCTGGTACAAGCTCTCTATGCCAAGAGGCTGTCCGTCTGCAATCCGAGTCTGATCAGTACGCGGCTCAGAATGCTGGTGCGGGTGCTCGTGGCTTTGACGATGGTGGCTACAGTCAGGATCGTGCCTGGAACCCAGTTGCTTCTGCCAACAACACTGCGGATCCTCAAGCTATCGTCGCCAAAATCTACCCCATCTTGGTCTTCCGCGATAACGTGGTTCGTTCCATCAGCAACATCGTCTCCAAGATTCCTGGTCTGGAGAGTCTGATTGAGAAAATCACCGAAAAGGTCACACTGACAGTCATGGGTCTGCTTGCTCCTTACATCACCCCCTTGATTGCTGCCGCTTCTAGCAGTCTTAAGCAGGGCAGCTCCAGTGTCGTCGACGCCAGTGGCAAGCATCAGTACGAAGTCTGGACCGACCCCTTCAGCACTGACCCTACCCACTCTCTGCTATCCAAGGACCATTTCAGCAACATCTTGAACGAACCCGCTGGTAAGGTTGCCGCTTGTATCTTGCAGTATGTTGCCCCTCGTGTCATATACGCTTTCGACCATCCAGATGTGCCGGAAGATGAGGTTCTCAACGACGTTCTTCGCGCCTTCCACCACCCTGCAATCCGCGACCCTCACTGCGAGATACAAAAGAGCATGTTTGCAGTTGTCGAGGACTGGGCTCGTTCGCGTCATGATCTTGACAGAGTTCTCAGCTCCGAGAGCGTCAAGGCCGGACACAATCACACAGGTGGCGCAAACCCTCACCTTCACTCACACGGCGGTCCTGGAGACATGCAGAACGTCTTTGGCATGGGCCAGCCTCAACGTGGTATGAACGCATCTGGTGCAGCTGAACAGCATGGTTACGGCCAACCTGCTCCAGTCACACCTCAAGCCGGCTGGGGAGCTCCGCCACCCGGCGACTACAATCAGCAGTACCAACAGCCTTATCAACCTCCTGCGCCTGCAGATTTCGCCAATAATGACCCATACGCGTATCCCAGCGCTTACCAACAAGGCTACGAGGTTCCATACAATGGTGGAGCGCCTCAGCAGTATGGCGGCCAGTATGATGCTCCCCCTCCTGGCCCTCCGCCACCCGGACAATATGGCGGCTACGACCAGCAACAGCAGCAAGGATACGGCCAAGGTCCTCCTCCAGGATACGGCCAAGGACAGTCATCTGGATATTACCAAGGAGGCGGCTATTGAGGCCAATTAGAATGAGGGCAAGGCGTTGAGGATCGAAAGAACAACATCGACGTCGTGTTAGGTTTAGGTAATCAACATATTTTTGTTTTCTTCACCGAAGTGTAGCGTGATATACAACAAACGGGATCTCGATTGAATAAGCAGACAGCTACGTTCTTCTTTCGTCGGTGTTGCCCGGGATTTAATCATGCCAGACAGCGTATAAGTACCGGCGCATCGTGCTCATAGCGATTTGAGGCTCGCATGACCAGACTGGGCAGTCGCACGCTAGTACAGCAGAAGATAGGAAGGGTCAAAAGTAATATCGTTGGTTTGCTGACCTAGCATCAAGACACAGGTCGATGGTTACCCATTCTTTACGGAGTATACATATGTTCGAGTACGACACAGTCGCGGATTGCGTGCTCAAATCGCAGCTTGACGTGACGAGTGGGGTCGAGGAACCACGCCCGCCCACCTATTCGTCTATCCGCCTAACATCACTTTTTGACACTATTGCGACATTTAACAACATTCTTGTTGGCTGTGCTGGATCACTATCTCCTGACGGGTTGACAATCTCAATCCCCAATGGGATCCTCCGGGCTGCAGGTGAATTGCTTGCGTGCTACATAGCTCTGATATACTTTCGAGCCCATAAGCATGGCGTGTCTCCTTGCTTTTATTCCAAAGACTAGTTGTTGCTTCATAGACGATAAACCATGGATGTCAAGACTGTTGCTGTGATAGGCGCTGGCGTCAGTGGTGTATCTTCTGCCATCCATCTCAGGAATGCTGGCCTAGAAGTCACAGTCTTCGAGCGTGGAGATGTTGCCGGAGGTGTTTGGTGAGTTTCTTCTTTTGTGTCTTGCAACTCGAGAAGAAGTACTGATTCGCGACAGGGTGTACAACTCTCGTACGGCGGTAGAGCCAGCTTATCCAGCAACCTTGCCTTCGACCGGAGACTCACCTGCATTCGACTCGTTGTTGAAGAGGACCGATCGACATGCTCGGCGTGATAGTCCCGTGGATCAAGAGTTGCGAGAGTCGAAGACCGATCTTGACGGAGATGATCTCACGATTCTGCATGCACCACCAGGGTAAGCTCATCATGCCATCTCTTTGCTTTTTGTCTGGCTATGGCTGACTGGATATATATCCAGTCCATGTTACCAAGGCCTCCATAACAACGTATCGACTCCGGAGATGAAGCTCCGTACCCATGACTGGAAACCAAATACTCCTGACTTCGTTACTCACGACGTGCTGGCAACGTACATCCAAGATACCGCTGCTGCCAATGACATCTTTCCAAATATATCCTTCCGCACCAGAGTCAACAAAGTTGAAAAGAGAGGTACGAAATGGGAAATCAGTACTTCGAAATTGGTGGAAGAAGCTGGCGAGAAGGCGATCAGGAACACAGCGCAGGTACGTGTTTTTTCGGGAATCAGAGAAGAAAATGCTGATGAGACCAAACAGGAATTCGATGCAGTCGTTGTGGCAAGTGGACATTATCATGCCCCCAACATACCTGATTACCCCGATCTGAAGACTTGGAAAACTGCTTTCCCGACACGAATCATGCATTCGAAACTATACCGCTCGCCTTCACCCTTCGCTGGGAAGAACGTCTTGGTCATTGGAGCTGGTGTGTCGAGCACAGATATCTGCCGCGAGTTGGGCGATGTTGCGAACAAAATCTGGCAGTCGAGTCGAGGCGGCGAGTATGATCTTTTACCATCCATGCTGCCAGAAAATTGCACACGTATCGGCTCTATCGCTGGCTTCTCCTCCCTCGGATCGCCATCAGAGCTTGGACACGACGATACACTACCCGGCAGTGTACTTCTTTCCTCCGGCGAAACAATCAACGACGTCCACCATATCATCCTAGGAACAGGTTACCACATGTCCTATCCTTTCCTCGCCCCTTACCACGCCGACAACTTACTCCCCGAGGCTGCAACACCAACAACTCTCGTCACTACAGGTCAGGTAACTCACAATCTCCACAAAGACATCTTCTACATCCCCGATCCCACACTCGTATTTATAGGCGTACCTTACCACGTCGCCACCTTTTCGCTCTTTGAGTTTCAAGCTATGGCTGTAGCTGCCATATTCAGTGGTTCTGCTACATTACCTGAGGAGAAGCAGAGGAGAGATGAGTACGAGGAGAGGGTCAAGAGGAAGGGGGTAGGTAGGAGATTACATTCACTGAAAGATGATGAAGGTGAGATCGTATATGCGAAAGAGATGATGGAAATCGTGAATCAAAGGAGAAGAGAAGAGGATAAAGTGGAAGGGCACACGAAGGAGTGGTTTGAGGCTTATAAGAGGAGATTGGTGAGGATGAAGGAGAGGAGAGGACCGGCGGCAAAGACAGTCGAGACCGTGGGAGCTGTAGAAGCAGAGAAGGATGAGGTCTAGAAGATATTGATGGTTATAGAAGTCCTTTGGTGTTAGATTTTGGGCAGTGACAGACATATTTGAATATAGATTTAAGGTCCGGCTAGCGTCCGATTTCGCTTACATAAGCAACATCCCTTCTTCCTCGACTGCATACCAACCACGTGAGTCACTTCGATATACTGAATACAACAACATCAAAATCACAAGCAATGGCCAACAACAATCCATGGCTATACGCAGGCCCCTCGTCCTCATACCCAAACATCTCGCGAGCACCAGACAACAAAACACCAATCTGCCCCGACGACCTCTCTGACCCATCATCACTCCCACCCTGCAAAACATTCACAAAACCCATCTCACCAGGAGCTCCACCAACACTCACACCAACCCCGATCGCAGATGCCCCATCATGGTCATTGATGGTTTTCCGCTATAACAACCGCCTCTACGCTATTGACAGCGCTTGCCCCCATCAAGGATACCCAATGACAAATGCAACGTTATCAGATATCGAAGATTTTGGAATTGTGTTGAGTGTGGGGGTTACGTGTCCGAGGCATGGGTGGACGTTTGATTTGCATACTGGGGATGCGAGCGTGAGTAGATATCGATTGGGGCTTTATGAGGTTGAGACGAGGGAGGGAGAGGATGGGGAAGAAGGGGTTTGGGTGAGGAAGAAGGAGAGGAAGAGAATTGGGTGATGGGTATTTGGAAGGGTTTTTTTTTGTGGTGAGATTAGATGGGTGAGGCCTCCGAAGTGAATATGGGTGAAGATTGAGCCGCCGGCGGCGAGATGAAAGCGTGTTGCTTTCATGTCATGATGATGCATTTTTGTGGCGCTATCATATCTATTGAGAGGTGTCTAGCAAGACACTGAGGAGATGACAGCGACCATTCAACACCACATTACCTCGAGCCATATCTGCTTCTGAACTCTGCGGTCGCTCTGGCACTTTGATGTGACTTCCTAGACTAACCACTTTTCTGCTTATCTTCCGCACTCTCTTCTCCTCTGGAGGCGGACTCTGACTTGGCGCGTAAAGATGACGGGGGGATCTCAGTGCAAAAGGGAGACGTTTTGGATGTCCTCGACCGAGCTGCAAAATCCACGCGCTCCCAACCGACTGGCAACACCTTTGCGACTCCTGGAGAACAGTAGCACGGGTGGCATTTGTATAGGCTTGGATCTGAGATTTGTCGCCCTGAAGTCGAAAAAAGAACACAATTAGTACACTCCTGACGACTTCAAACAGACAAAGTCGGGCAGGCTTTTCGTGACAGACAGGATACCCTGGGTACCTGACCATGATTGATCACTTACACCCTATGAAACTTCGTTAGCACAATTCTCAAATTTCTGGGAGTGAGAGAAAATGCTTACAGAACTTCAGCCCATCGTACTTGGGATATCGACAACCGACACAGTGATGCTTCACTTTGTGCTCGTACAGTATCGGGACATGGGTCTTCCAAACAAGACCCTCGCGAATAGCCGTAGCGTGGCGTGTCACCTGAGTCGACAATGAGTGCTTAATAAACAAGACAAATTCAAGAAGGGTGTTGCTTGATGAATACCCAATTGCGAAAGAGGCGTCGTCTTTTATCTTCTGGGTCGTCGTGATATCTTCGAAAACTGCATTCTCTGTCTCGTTCGTTCTTGTCTTCTACCCAGGCGGGATCTGCGCTGCGCTTGAATTCGCGCCGTTTGTGCTCATAGCTTCTTTTCATTTCTCGGTGTGCTCTGTAATACTCCCCTTAAGTAGTCTCTGCGTTTCTTCCATTTCGCCTCTTGCTCCGCTGTGAGCTGCTCATGATCCTTGTTAGGAGTCTTAAGCGACGATTGACTGCAAAAGAAGTGTCGGACCGAGTGGACCAACACCCCCTGCGAAAGTTGTAGTTCTTGTGCCGGAGACGGTGACAACAGTCGTGTAGTCCATCGAGCGAATGATTGCATGGTCCCGTGCAAATCAGCAGGTGTTGATCGTGGTAGATAATATCAATAGATAGCCGGAACCAGGAAAACGGCGTGAATAGCGCAGGCCACTAATCTGGGATGGTATGAGTATTGATTGCAAGGTTGTAGTAAGAAACAATTGTGCGAACCGATGTTGTTCGCAAGGAACAAAACCCTCGTGGCGCGTCCAGCTTCCGAGCTCTGATGCTGCAGCGTCGACGGCTGTCCCAACGCCAAGCCAATTCGTTCTTATCAAAAGCTCACCACAACCACCCCAAAATCATCTATCTCAGAACCGAATATGGAAGCGTTCTAGATACTCAAGCAGCTTCCAGAGCAGCAAAAACATCGACGCCTAAGAGATTCGAACTCTTGCTCCCGAAGGAAATGCCTTAGCAGGGCATCGCGTTAACCACTCCGCCAAAGCGCCTTGATCCGAATGAGGAATTCGGAGATGTCCCGGGATTGGTTAGATCCCGTTGTCGGATGCGGGGTATCAACGTTATCACCGTATATAATCTTGAGGAGTTCGATGACCACACCTGGCCGACGGACAAGGGCAGTAGCCTAAGTACGCAGGCTTCTCGATCAAAGTGCTCGCAGCAGAGGAAAATCACAGAACATCGCATGTGTCTCTTTGTGTTTTCAAAAAGGCAACAACATGAGGAAAGGACTCTTGGGTTCAGCGGCAGTGCCGAAATGTCGCAGTCCTGTCAAGAGGCTCAGTTATTCTTTATCATGCCTTATTGCAGTGCAGCAAAGCCACCTCTACCCCTTCCATCTCTGATCCTGACAAGACAGTACCACATACAACTAAGGGTACAAAGACCAGCTCCAACCCAGCTGTGCGCAGGCATCTTAAACTTACTCAAAACCACGATCTGGAAGACACTCCTGGGAAGCGAAACGAAGTTCGCTGATAGGGGAGAAGTCGCTTTCACCAGCAGTAAGAACGAACAGAAAATGCCAAAGCCGCCAAGCGATGCACAAGACATGAGAAACCAGAACCAGGGTACGTCCAGGAAGTAACAGTTGCGATTGATTTGCTTCAGCTCACCAGAGATGATGACGAACGGAATTAGCATGGCAATCGTAAGTGAAGATGTGTAATGCAAGACTCTCCAATATGCGCGAGTTTCCTCTTTGGTGCCTGTACTAACAGTTGGAGCATGCGAGTCGGTGACGCTCAGTAGATTACCTTGAGGCACCAAATCTGAGACCAGCTGTCGATAACCACGAAGAAGAAGAATGGGATATAGAGCGACAAAGAGCGAACTAGAGACACCAGCAACGACTGACTCCCAAGGATCGCGTTCTCCAGATCGAAGGCTGGTCATCAGCAGATTCAAAGTTGCGATCATGGCAGCTGACATGGTCTGAATCGAGTGCTGTTGGCGAAGCAAGAGGGCAGTGAAGATCAGAGTGAAGGGAACTACGGCAATCCTGGAGATCATGTACATGGGCATGACAGCATAGGCAAAGGAGATGTTGGACAGAACGGTCTTGCCGAGAAAGATAACAGCAATGGGAAAGACGTGCTTGACCGTGCTGCGCTGATATTCGAACAGACCGCCTCCAGCGATGCCTCCAGAGCTGTGCAGGAACCAGTGCGAGATGTTTGTGAAGATAGACTTCGTCTTCAAGCCTCCAGTATATCTCGTAGGTCTGTTGCCCTTGTTGTACGCCTGCGACGGAGCGACAATTGCACCGAGTCCGATGCTTCTCAAGGGGCCGGCAAGACCCCTGGTCAGAGCAGCAAAGCCCAGCAAGAAGACATGAGTGATGCAGAGTTGCAACAGTGTCAGAGTAAGCGGGTATGGGAACTTGTATGTGCCGGTCCAGAGTATAAATCTGTTCATGAGCAAGGTGCCAAACTGACAACCTCCAACCCAGAAGACCAAGAGGGCGATGTAGACACGCCAGCCCACAGCAGTGCCGAACAAAAATTGGCCAATTCCACCTTTTTGAAGGATGCGCCGTGCACTAGCACGTTCGCCAGCGTTGTTGTCCTTTGTGACCAGCCTTGTGGTTTGGGAGATGTTCCGCAGCTCATATTCCTTGTCGTCTTCGGATTGCGCGGCACTCTTGGGTCTTGCGAACGGTGAGGGGGACCGCGATACGTTGTTGGAAGGGTTTATAGTGCTTGCTAGCAGGTCTGGGTCGTTTTTTTTCGTGTCCATGAGTGATGCTGCAGGTGCTTCGTTTGTGACAGGTGGAGGCTCTGGAGTGTGTCGCTGGGCTTCGGTGTCAGAGTCGTCTAACGATAGACTTCTTTGACGCGCCGCATTGGTCAAGCTATTGGAAGAACCTAGGAAGGAAGATGGTGGTTTGAAGAAGCCATTAGATGCAAAAGGGTTCGGGCGATTCATGGCAAGATGCGGCTGCCTCGAACCTTGAGGCTATAATGTTACTGCTTTTGTTTGGCCGGGTAGAGGCTGACGACGCGCTTTGCGTTGAATACGACAATTCGCCGAGACACGAGACGACTTGGATGGAACACACGAATGGTGAATCTATCCAGTCACTGCTAGGAGAGAAGAGCTTCTCCCTGGCGGCCTCGTATGGCTTCGAAAACATCACATGCAATTTCATTTCACAAATCAACTGGAAAGCTCCCGTCCCTCCATGCCTCGACTCACCTCCGCCCTTTGTCCGTGATGCTCAGGGTCCACGAGCTTGCCCAATCCGGAAGGCCTTAACCCCGTGTGCCCCGTCACTCCTTCCTGCTTGACACTTCAAACTATGTATCCACACCAATGATCCGACTCATTCTCATATTCCGCTTTCTTATCGTTGCGTAATTCGTCTTGTACTTGTCTTTGCGTCGGGAATCATGGCGGATCTATTGGCAAACTTCACCTCCGTCTTCCAAGCTTCCAATACCAACAATCGCGTCGCGAAACGCAACCGCCGTCCACTTTCCTGTTCGATATGTCGAGATCGGAAGTTGAGATGCGATCGGCAACAACCATGCAGTGCTTGTACCAAGAGAGGCGATTCTGTCAAGTGCGAGTATAGCTCTGTCGTTCCTCAGAAAACACCAAAGCCTCGCACCACCCACGATGCTGCTGCTAGTCGCTTGCAGAAACTGGAAGACATGGTCAATGGTCTGATGCAATCCGCTCCAGTGAACACTTTCGTTGTCACCCCTCCGGATTCCTCCACGTCTCCGCAGAACGACAATCCGGCATACTCTGACGTGTCTGCTGGAGGCCATCTGAGCCAACAAGGATCTAAAGTCAACTATATCGGAGGCACTCATTGGGCATCAATCTTGGAAAGTATCCATGAGATTAGATCCATCATGGACTCGGATTTGAATGATGCCGCATCTGAACCCACACAACCATCACTCAAAGCAGATCCTCTGTTTGGCCAGGAAAAGCTTATAACCATTGATCAAATCCTCGCCACGCTTCCGGAGCGACATGAAGTGGACAGTCTGGTTGCATCTTACTTCAGAGAATCATTCTTGTCTTTGACCTTCATACACAGTGGCAAGTTCAGAAGGGAGTATGAAGCTTTCTGGAGATCTCCAAAAAGCGCAAGCTTCTGCTGGCTGAGCATCCTCTTCTCCATCATGCTCATGGCAGGCAGACTGGCTCTCGCACGGGGCCAAGTTGTATCTTCTGATCCCTGTTCTACGAAACAAGCTGGGGCTTTGAGAATGGCTGCAAAGTGTCTCGTTGCTGGTAATTACCTCGACGGTAGCCCATATTCTGTTGAGGCATTGCTATTCCACTTTCACTGCATCTATGCTCTCCATGCGAACCCCGAGATGCAACCATGGCCTATTCTCACGATGGCAACACGACTTGCACAAAAGATGGGATACCATCGCGATCCGAAACATTTATTCAGTATCTCGCCTTTCGAAAGCGAAATGCGACGTCGAGCGTGGTACTATATCGAGATTTTCGATATGACCATGTCGGCTCACCAGGGGATCCCGGCTATGATCAACGAAGACGAATGCGACTGTCAGCTCCCTATCAATTTGTTAGATGAGGATTTTGATGAAAACACTGCTGTCATGCCGCCCCCTCGATCTGATACGACACATATCCCCATGTTGTTTTTCACCTCTAAAGCGGAAGCCTTGCGCCTTTTACGTCCGGTTGTTCGCCATTCTTTGTCCAATCGAAGATATGATCTGGAAGAGACCAACAGACTTCATGAGAGCCTTGAACGAAGCCGTCAGAGTGTCCCCCCATCCTTACGAATTCGTACCATAAACGAGACTTCTTTTGTTGACCAGGACTATCTGATCATGCAGCGTTTCATGCTCGAGTTACAATACTTGAAGGTACGAAAGGTCCAAAGAGCATGTTTTCATCGAAACGCTGTCTAGGACAGCATCTTGCAGAACTAGTCCTACATGTCTGACAAGAATACGGTGTTGTTATCATTTAAATGATGGATCACGCTAATTTGGTCTTCGTGCTAGGGATTCTGCATCTTACACAGACCTTATCTTGGCTGCAAGAGAGATGACCCTGCCTTCGAAAAGTCTAGAGAGATCTGCGTGAATTCGGCTTTGCGACAGCTCGACCTCCAGACTGATTACTACGAGGCTTTGCAGCCGCAAGGACGTCTATACCAGAGCAGATGGATGTTTACCAATATAACGCTCCACGAACAGTTTGCAGCAGCCATGATTATCTGCTTGGACTTGAACGAGTCAAGATCACAAAGGTATGTGTACTTTGGATGTCTTCTGTCGGATACATCTGGCTAAGTCGTGTATAGCGTCGAGATGAAAGAACGTAAGATCAAAGCTCTGAAGATGGCCCAGCACATCTGGACAAGCAAAAGACCCGTCTACCAAGACGCCGTTCGTGCAAGTCACGTACTTGGAGTCATGATAGCAAAACTGACTGAAGACTCCGTTCCGTCTCACCAGACTGGAATCATGGATCAACATGGAGGTAGTCAACTTTCCTCTGCGACAACAAGCTTCCATTTTTCGCAACAAGATATTGCAGTACAAGGAGACACTACGTACGATATGATGGATATTATGTCTCTAGAGAGCATATTCGAGAATCCTGACACGCTGAATTGGGTGAGTTAATTGTCCAGAATTTTATGTAGTAATACTGACATCCACGGAAAGAACGACATCGACAGCTATTTGATCGATTACAGCGGTGGGCTCAGTCATGCAGGATTCGACAGCGAGAAATAATAACATGATACTCACGTCATATTGTAGCGACATGATTTCCAATTGCGTCATGCCCGCCAAGCAGTTTTTATTGGCGTCCAAGCTCAACTCTACTCACCCACAACATAATCATGGCACAACTCCCCAAATCGACTTGCCATGAGCCAGAGTGAAACTTCCCAAAGGCCGCGAAAACTGCGACGAAACAAACGTGCCTGTGATCAGTGCAGCGCTCGAAGTGTCAAATGTCGGCCTAGCGATGGAGACTCCGCAAAATGCGTCAACTGTATTGATTATGGAGAGACTTGCACATCCCTCCGCCCTATGGCACGTCGAGGACCCAAGCCGAGATCAGCCAGGTCTTTAACAACTCAATCGAGAAGCGACGCAGGAGAGACATCTACCAACTGCCAGTCGATACAGCCCCAGATTTCTCCTTTTGACCAAGAAACCGTGCTTGCCCCTTCGACCTGGAAACCGAAGATCATGCCTGCACAAGCAATTGTGATGGATTTGACTGAAATATATTTCGAGGTCGTGTATCCTGTCTTTCCTTACTTCCATCGAGCGACACTGTTACGAAGAGTGTCCCGTGGAGAGTACGCCACTGACCGGGCGCTGTTTTCGTCTGTTCTGGCGATGTGCGCTTTGTCGTCGGCTCGAGTTCGCGATGGTGCTCTATACACTGGTAAATGGGATGCAAACGCGCTGCAGAGCCCTTCGTCCGAGGAACTTTTTGAAGCTGCCAAAGAGGCCATTCCCCACGATGCCACGTTGTCGCAAAACTTCGATTATGCTCGGGCCTATGCGCTAATGGCTATCTGCTGCATTCAGTATGGCGATACGCCTCGGATGAATTACTATATCGGCCTATATCAAGGTTTCATCTCTGTAGGAGGGCTGCAAGATGAAAGTAACTGGCCTGGCGTGTTGAATCATGTCGATCTTGAGGAGCGAAGAAGACTTTTCTGGTCCATGTACACTCTTGACATCTTCTCCTCGATAATCTTTGGAGGCTTCGCTAGGAGCAGAGAAGCCTGTTTCAACGTCTGCTATCCGAGCGACGATGAAACACAGTCTGGCGACACAAACTCCCGGACGACAGGCGATATGCACGATGGCCCGAGTTGGTTGACAGGATGGAACTTCGTGACGACATTGTATCGTATTCTCGAGCACGCCCAAGATCGTCTTGGTCAACTGCGGAACCCAGTACAGCGCACACCATCCCTTCCGGGCTACATTGAGCCAGGCAGCCCGCGGCAGATATCATGCCTTACCAACATCATGGCACTCTACGAACAACTACCGCCTGTTTTCAAGACAACACAACCGTTGACGGGCAGACTGGACAAAGATCTTTTCGGATTTCAAGCTGCCAACATTGCTGCCTCGCTGCAGTTGGTCAGAATGGTGTTGTTCACTACGGAGAACTCCACCGTGGATCAGAAGTGTCAGATTGCCAGCGAGGTCATCAACGGATTTGCCAGTGTTCCCGTCGCCTATCTTCGCGCCATCAGCTCTCCGCTGCTTCATCATCTTGCAGGTATTGGGAGCATCATGGGCTCGGTATTTGAGAATGGCCTTACCGAGACTTCATACCGGCGGGTGCGTTCAGTCCTACTAGACCTGGCAAATCTACTGGCAAATCTCGAGGTGGATCTGTTTTGTCGGCAAGGAACAAGTGATAAACTCAGAGCTCAGGTCTCAAGAATCGACGAGTTTATGAAGATACAACGGTCGGTGGATGCGAGCGGGCCTGTCGTGGGATTAACGCCCTGGGTGCATCAACAGAGCCACGCGTTGGCATCTCCCGGCTTGCATGCACACCATCAGTTAGACCTTCCTCAAGATTCGCCACAGATACACTTCCCACCCGAGCTCTTCACGGACTGGGAATATGCGTTCGACTTCAACTGAAAGATGAGCTGGCGTGGGTAGATCCGAGTCAGGTCAAAACGATGCTCGCGCTCGCAACCGGTCGCTTCAGTTGATCAAAGAATTATCCATCTCCCGCTCATATAAGCATGGTTTACATTCCTCAGCTCGCGCATGTTTGAAAGATGTCGATGAGTATTTGGCTCCGATCGAGGATATAGCAGTCACGATCCAGACGCCTTCTCATCCTTTTCCTTCTAATGTCGTGCGAACTGTAGAGATAAACGGTACAAAAGATTTGCGACACGCCATGACCCTGGTTCGAGCATTCTACCACATTCAAGAACTGCGAAAGATCATCTCTGTGATCATCAAAACATGTATGAGTGTTGCATCAAAATACTGTATCTACTCGTCAAACTCCTACAGCTAGTGCCAATCACTGCTGCGCCATTCCGCTCTCTAGGGCCGATGAAAGTGTTTATGACGAGTGGCCTTCTGAGGTTCCCTCTTTTTCCTACCCTTCTTGACGCAACTACTTTCTCCTTCCTCAATATCTGCCTCTTGGAATTGCTTCTGCGGCAGATCAAGGATATAGATCCTGATTGGCCATGGATGAATTTTCCTCAACGATATCAATCTTGTCCAAAGTGATGGACAGTGAAGTAGCTCTTGAAGGCACTCACTTTGACAGAACACGAAGATTTTGCTCGTGTACCGCTCATTGTCTAGAAGTACCTTGATTTGGCGCCTCGGCGACGCCGTGCCGCACGTGGATATGCATCAATAATATGCGGATCGTACCTCAGGGCTCTCTGATCGTGGCTTCCATTGAGCGTGTATGCTCGCGCCCTTGGAATGAGAAGGAGAGTGTCGGTGTACACTCGACTAAACTCGAGGCAGTCGCATTTTCCGATAATCTTGTCGTGAGAAAACGCAATGCATGCGCTTGATGTTTGGCTACTTGAATTACATGAAAGCTTCTAGGTGGCCTCTAGGCTTTACACCGAGCGCCCTCTCCTGCTGCTTCCTCATCACGCATATGACATCTCTTCATGCGCACAATCGATCTGTTTCTCCTTAGCCAAGTCGATTCCTTCGATACCATGCTTGTGGGTGTTGGCAAACATGTCTTTGTTCTCGGCATATGCCTTTTCCATGTGCCAGTAGAAGGGCGAGGTTGTGAACATGGCTTCGATGGACTCGAGAGAGCGACTATATTCAAGTCAGTGCGGGATCTTCAAAAGTGTTAACACAAGGGAAAAGACAAACCCAGCCGTCTCTGGATATATCAGGAAGACAATCATAACCCAGATGAAGTTCAGTGCGGCAAAGAGGAAGTAAGTGCGGCTCTATGGATGTGTCAGTAGGCGTTTAAGGATGTGAAAAAAGTTGTTCATAGCATACCTCAATGTGTTCGAACAGAATCGGGTTGACAAGAACAGTCCAACCTACACCAATGGCCCAGCCGGTGATACCAAATCCGTTGCCTTGAGCTCTCATTCTGCTTGGGAAGATTTCCGTGGGTATAAGGAAGGCGACAGTGCCCCAAGTGGATGCGTAGACAAGGTTGAAGAGGAAGAGCATGGTTACGGCGGCAGGTGCGATGCTAGCGGCTTTGGAAGGGTCGTGGCGGGAAGCTTCGTAGAGCGAGGCAGCCTATTCAATCCGGGTCAGTAGCGTCCCAGGAGCAGTGAAGGGTGAATGGGGCACCCACGATTAAGTTTACAGCAAACAAACCAGCAGCTCCCCACATCAAACACTTGCGTCTGCCGAATCTGTCGACGATCTGAGCAGAGATGATTGTCCCGATGATTCCGATGGTGTTGAGACCTCCTGCAAGTCCGTTTTGCTTGATTGTCGAATAGCCAGCCTGCTTGAGCAAGACCGGACTGTAGGCAGTCACAGCGGTAATGCCTGTAGAACAAGTTAGATCAGCAACATCCTAGGACGAGAATCAAGTCGTACCAGTCCACGAGGCCATAATCTGCAACCAGATACACAGCCAAGCTCTGCGACCCAGATGAGCGCCCTGACTCTTGTCGAGTCCAAACAGAATTTTGATGAACTCGATCGGAGAAGCAGGCTTGGTGTCCTCGGCCATAGCCATAATTTCGTTGAATTCTTTCTCGACGGCTTCAGGGTTTGTAGATCCACGAACGCGATCGAGAACTTCCCGGGCTTCGTCGTTTCTACCCACCGATGCAAGGTAGCGAGGGGAGTCAGGCAACATCTTGATGCCTGCGAGGAGGAGAAGTGCGGGCACGCATTGGAAAGCGAGGAGGAAGCGCCATCGTAGGGCAGAGTATCCATGGTTGACAAATGAAAGTCCAAAATCAAGCCTGACAAGTATCAGAGAATGTTTGAGCAGTCCCGCGGTCACGGACATACCAGTAGGCTACCGAGATACCAAGGTAATTTGCAATAAAGACATAACCCAGAAAGCCACCGCGGTGTTCAGCGCTTGAGACTTCGGAGACAAGGACGGGAGTGATACCAGTCAGCGCTGTGGACTGTCAAAAAGGAGCCTGGTGATTGGGATAGAATGGGAACTGACCTCCTGTGCCGAGACCTGTCACCACGCGTGCGACCAAAATGAAGTCCGAGCCCTGGGTGGCCGCTTGCAGGGCGCCTCCTACAAGAGCGAAGATAGCACCGTAGAAAAGTCCGTTGATTCTTCCAATGCGATCGGCGGCCCAACCACCAACGAAGCAACCAACAATAGCACCAAGATAATACTTTGAGGAGAAGTCAGCTCCCGGTGCCGATGCCGTGGTATAGACTATGAGTTCTCGACTTACAATGCTGACGATTCCACCCTGCTTGGTGGTATTCGTCACGGTGCCATTGGGAAGACCAATCTTGACCTCAGTGACATAGTTTGGCGATGCATTGACACCACCCATAACACCCTGATCATAACCCTCGAAGAAGATTGAGATCAGAGCGAATGCTTGGATAGCAATGTTAAGTTGGGAAGGCGAAAGCCTCTTCCAAGCAGTTGTAAATCCCATGACAGTAATGACTAGAAAGAAGATTGCCTGGGAGCTGTAGAAACGCAGAGACGAATGGTCGACATAAAAGCAGGTTATGGCTGGTGACTTTATATCTTCATGAAGTCAATGTGGCTGTTGCCCCAGACTGTGCTGTTGATGTCGATTGGTAACCCCATATCCAGACAACCTGTTACCGGCTGCCGACAGAGATTTTCTGGATATGCTCGGGGCCCCGGATGGCGTTTTTCATGGGAGGCGTAGGTCTTGGAAATTTTGGACTAGTAGTCACCCCATACATACCAAACAGTCGGTGCTGTGGGGATGACATGCTGGATATTCGGTTAATCGGTTGATCGTCTGATACTTCCATTCTTACGTTCTTCCGGCTACCCTTACCCATCCATCTCCTCCGGCCTGTGGGGATCGACACTTCGGCAGGTATGACCTTGATGGGGATCATCTTCCAGAAGGTCATGCAGGAACGTATTTATCTCCCACTGCCCCCTGCTGATTGATCGGGCTGAGCCTTCACTCAAATCTCTTTACCATATTTCATACTATACCGATACACCATGATTGGCCGCGTCGAACACATCAATGGCGACCAACCAGGGCTCGACCTTACTGTGCTCGGGTTGAACTCTGGTACTAGCATGGATGGCAAGCAATGTTTCTCTCAACTTTGATGCCAGGCCACTGACCTATTGTATAACAGGCATCGACTGTGCGCTATGCAGATTCCGTCAGACCAGCCCTGAGGCACCAATGCATTTCGAGCTGCTCAAGTATGGAGAGATTCCTCTGGAGCAAAAGATCAAGAAAAGAGTCATGAACATGATCTACCACAACCGCACCACACCCGAAGAACTGTCTGAGGTCAATGTACTTCTGGGAAACACCTTTGCTGATGCAGTAAAGGAGTTCTGCAAGGAGCAAGATGTGCCGATCGCCGACATCGATGTGATCGGATCCCACGGCCAAACAATCTGGTTGCTCAGCATGCCAGAACCAGGACAGACCAAGAGCGCCTTGACCATGGCTGAAGGAACTTTCATCGCTGCACAAACCGGCATCACAACCGTGACTGACTTCCGTGTCTCCGACCAAGCTGCTGGACGACAGGGAGCCCCTCTCATCGGCTTCTTCGACGCACTCCTCCTACATCACCCCACGAAGCTGAGAGCTTGTCAGAACATCGGTGGAATTGCCAATGTTTGCTTCATCCCCCCTGGTGAGGGTGGTATTGACAGATGCTTCGACTTTGATACCGGTCCGGGAAATGTCTTCATCGACGCGGTTGTACGACACTACACAAACGGCCAGCAAGAGTACGATGAAGACGGTGCCATGGGCAAGCGCGGAATCGTGAACCAACAGCTTGTCGACGAGTTCCTAGAGTTCAAGTACTTCAAGCTCGATCCTCCCAAGACGACTGGCAGAGAAGTGTTCAGAGACACGTTAGCCCACGATCTCATTGAAAAGGGAGAGAAGCTGGGTATGTCGCCCGATGACATTGTCGCAACGGTGACTCGTATCACTGCCCAAGCCATCGTTGATCACTACCGCCGCTATGCACCATCACAAGATATCGACGAGATTTTCATGTGTGGTGGTGGCGCATACAACCCCAACATTACCGAGTACATCCAGAAGAACTACCCCAACACCAAGATCATGATGTTAGATGCAGCAGGTATTCCAGCTGGTGCAAAGGAGGCCATAACATTTGCATGGCAAGCCATGGACGCCGTAGTAGGACGTTCGATCAAGGTACCCGACCGTGTGGAGACGAGACAGGAATACGTGCTCGGCAAGATAAACCCAGGCAAGAACTTCCGCAGGATAATGAAACAAGGTATGATGTTCGGAGAGGGCGAGAGGCTACCGCCGGTGATGGAGATGATCAACTATGTCAATGGCGACGTTTTTGACAACAACTGGTAATAGAGCATGGTTGTTGGTTGGAGTTTGGTTGGCGCTGGGTGGGCAAGTGTATAGACATATTCAATGGGTTTTCATCCCTGATTTGAGGATACTTTTGTGATAGCTGCTTCGCGCTATGACTTGAGTTGATCGACGCATTTGTGTTGACGCATGAGATTGTGCTTGAACAGGTGTTCGGAAAGAAAGGGCAGAATCGTTGGTCGACGCGGAGAGAAAGCCGGCCGGTGTCTCCATTCGTGGCGGGCAGGGTTCACCTAACCTCTCTAATCAATTATTTTTAGCAGACATGTCAGAACAACCATCCCGTGGCAGTCGTCTAACTATACCACGCGTCTTTGAATCCGTCCATGGATACCACACAGACTGAGCCTGACGATCATGAGGTTTCATTCCGCCCGCTGTCAGCAGGAAAGGATGCTGTGGTTCCGACGCAATCAAGATATTCTTCTCGTGCAGCAATAGTCCAAAGATGCATGGGGAAAGGCGCTTGGAATCTTACGGACGATGAGTTAATCATTGTCACCACACCGCAGGAAGATATCACCGACCCAAAAGGACTCAAAGCCATTGTTCAATGTGTCAAAGAACAAGGGTACCGCCGGGAGGCAGCACGAGCAACAAGGCTATTACAGCGCTATCGCCTGGTTCACCGCCGCTACCTGGAGCTACTTCAAGATAGCATACACAAAGACAAACCCTCCTCCGAAGCCGGCCTCAAAAGGAAAGCACTCGAGCAAATCATACGCGAAACAAAAGACCAAACACGATTCCCCTTAGCACCCACCAACGACTCTGTGTCCCAGAAAATCCAAGACTTTGCTATAAAAGCGCAACGGAAACCTTACTTGGATATCGGAATCTGGGGGTTTGCTGTGCTACGATTGAATTACAATGACGACGCTGCTTGGGAAACCTACAAGCAGGCCTTGCAAACCAGTGCGCAGAAAAGATTGCTAGGTGTCAATGTACCCAAACACATCTGCGAAATGTTTTGCCTTACATATCTCGAAGACAAAACTGCTCTCTCAGGACCCGTGGATCAAGTCAAGTTGGCAAGATACTGGGATGAGAGTAAATACAGCGAAACTGTGCATCTGCATATAAACAAGCAGTTCTTCCTCTCAGTCGATGAGTTTACAAGGGAAGGCGAAAACCCCAACGACCCGCCTCTAAACATACACGACGCAAGCGTTGACGAAGTAGAAGAGGCAAATTTTCCCGGCTGGAGGAGAACTAGTGTGTTTGAACTTATCACCTGGCACATCGCCGGCATCGAAAAAAGTCATTTGCATCTGAGATCAGCATGGGAAATCATACATTCATGATGGGTCATGGTCGCTGCAGAAATGCACAGTGTTTTTGATTGCAGGAGGGCGGCCAGAGAGAAGATACAGTTCGAGGGCTCGCTTTGGTCGCTGCTTTATCCTACAACTCATTATGCATCTCGATGGCTACGACTTGAGAAAGCTTTGCAGATGGAGAGAGGAAGAGATGAGTGATTGGAGTATCGAGATCCTCATCAATGGAATCAGAGGGTATTATAGCTATAGAAATGCAGAATGTTCCTAATTACAGGAGCGCGACCAGGGAGATGCCCCATGACAGGGACTTCCTTTGGACACGGTGTTCTCTCGTAAGTTATTGCAATTTGATAGCTGAAACTCGAGGGTCCTTTGCACATGAACAAGACGGAATGTCGCAGTGCTTGAGATGTGTTATGCTAGATATGCTATAGCCCATCACAAACTAATGGACATACTCCTCTGTCCATCAACATCCCTCCTCACGGTCGGCCCGAACCATCGCCTATTCCTCAACTTCTCAGCTCTCCTTTCAGGATGCAATTCCTCCCTCGGACCCTTCCATTCCCTCAACTCATCTTTGCCATCAGCGCTCTTGCCAATGATGACGTCGAAATCGAAGAGACCGCCATAAGAGCCAATGCAAAAGCTGGCTCTCACATGCATGCCTCCAGGGTGAGCTTTTGCTGTTTCGCTAACGTAAGGACCCATGAGAGCGACAATTCTTGCTGCCATGGCGCTGGGCTCATATTTCGAGGCTAGCTCTACCGCCCAGCCTGTAGGTGGTTCGGTGGATGTAGCGACGAGAGCCGTGATAGTTGGAGAGCGTGTGTTGAGCCAGTAATCGAGGATTTCATCATCGCGGTGATCATCTTCGTAGAGTGTGTGCAGCCAGAGCGATAGAATCAGATGGCGCAAGTTATGGAAGTGTCGAAGAGGTGCGAGCATATAATGCGTGATCGGGGTAGGGTTCCAGAGAAGGGGTGCTCCACGATATCCGCAGAATTTGAGCTCTGTGACAGTATCTGCATGATAAGATGCCAATGTGTGCATGAACGGTGGAGCGGGTGGCCAGCCATACTCCGCTTCAAAGACTTCGCTGGAACCGACTGGTTCTGGTCTTGTTGTCCCCAGCCGAACAATCTCGTCTACGTCTTCCTCTTCAAGAGAGCCGAAGTCATCAGGGTCGTTAGGGTCCTCGTTGATCCCCAAGGAGCCAATGTCACGTCCAGCAAAGCCCCAAGTGTTACCGATCGGACTGTTGACTCCTATCATGACAATCTTCTGTAGTGGTGACTGATGTAGGGCCCTGATGATTTCACGTTTCTCATCGCGCGGTATGCCGCCCTCCATCTTGAGACTTTCAAGCCTTTGCAGATGAGCCGCAAATTCAGAGATGAACCTTCTGCGGCTTCGACAACGGCTCAGATCGGAGGGTTCATCAGAATCGTCGGTCTTGAATTCACCACTCCTGCTGTAGACAGTATCGACTCGAAGATCTTCGAGCGTACGCGCCAATCTAGAAATGACAAAATCTATACGCTGTTGGAGGTCGTGCGTGGTGTTCTTTGTTTGCCCGAAGAAGCGATCAGCTGGCCAGGCTAGTGATTGAAGTTTTGGATGCCGCTCTAACCATGAGACGCACATGTCCGGATCGAACAGAGTAAGCGGGGCCGCTTCACAGGTGTCCAAAAGATAGACGCCCTGCGGCAGTTCTGATTCCGGTATGACGGCGTTTCGAAATTGGAAAGCCCGAAGGTATGGAAAGTGTAGCTTGAATAGTCCCTTGAACATACTTTGCAAACTCAACTCAGACTCCGAGGAAGCGCGTTGGTCGGTCCTCCTGAACAAGACCCAGTCTAGATTTAGCGAAGTAAGAGATGCCGCAGAATGCTCTAATATGTGCATGAATGTAGGAAATGGATCCGTGTCGGTTGGTGCCCAGTCTGGATGGTTACTATGCAAGAGTTGTTTCACACTGTTCGTTGGGGACCGATCTTCATCGGAGAGTCCCTGTTGGATGGAGGAAATCAACCCGCCAAGGTCAGGCAATTGTTTGTATATCTCCTTGTCGAAGTCCTGGGCATCCTTGAACGATAGCTCGAATTGTTTGTTGGCAGCCTCGATGTTCTCTTTAGCTTGAGACTCGGGTAGCTGGGAACCATGGGCTACGATCAAGTTTCTTATAAGGGCTTCTTGATGTCGAAAAAGCTCAGTCGACGTATTGATCACACCACCGCGGCCATCCTGTCTGGTTTCGAATGCTCTGCCGGTTCGCCAATCCGGGAATGGACCTCGCGTGTAGACTTCTTGTGAGTCAAATCTTCCGGCGTTGGCTAGCAAAGGCAAACGGCGTAATCGAAGACTCTTCAGCTTCCGGAGGTCGAATGATTGGAGTAGTTTTTGTGATATGCCAGCAATGCTACAGTTCTCAAGCCAGAGGTGTCTTATGATAGAGCCCTTTGGATCACCCAACAGTCCAGTTAGAAGACCGCGAGTCAGATTCCAGTGGCCAAAAATGATTCTTAACGTATGTATGCTGGTTAGATTCTGGCAAGCCTTGGCCAGCAGATGTAGAGTGCGTATATCATGGGACAGCGTGCGGCCTTGGAAGTTGATCCTCGGTAGTTCATAAAATATGGCAGGGGGGGGGAAATGACAGCGATGTGTCAGGGTATGAACATGTGAGGCGATCCATGGATTACTGGCCAGAACAAGGAGTTTTCGAATGATGGGTGTATCATCATGCTCGTCGCTCACATCAGGTACTGCGTCGTTGTTTGTGCGACAGTCTACAAGCTCAACATCTTCCCACAATAAGGGGGTTGCTTTGTCATATGACCAATGACACGTTTGGGAGAAGTTGGCCAAGCTGTGATTATCAAGGTATCGGAGAGTCTCTTGCAGGATCTCTTCGGGAAGTTTGCCGAGCAGACTCAATGAGCCATCCGTGGTGTCGACGTCTTTGTTCGAATAATGTGATGGCATGGTTTGTGGTTCTGCTAGAGACCTGTCATCTATTGGCTCGGTGAGTCGACGGTTCTATGGTATAGCGGAGAAGGCGCTTCGGCTCGAGTGCCGGTATGACGTACCATGTAAATACCAGACTGCGGTGACGGCAACAAGGAGAGTGATGGAGATTGGCAGATAGAATGATCCGTCAGTGGTTGGCATCTTGGCTACATGGTTCTTGCTCGTCTGAAGACAACACGAGAATAACGAAAAGTGTTTGTCAAGGTAGGATACGATGGTGGTCATCGGCTGCCACGCGTTGAGATGACCATCTCAGGGTTCTGCTCTTATCGATAAGACACGGAAAGTTTTCGGACTTTCAGGTTGTAGACAGCGACTTTTGAGTAAACCCGAGCAATCACACATCCACCAGTCAAGAGCAAAATGTCAGACACAGAAGAAGGCGGCATTCCCTTGATGGAGCCTTTGTCGCCATCTGCATCCCCAGAACCTCAAAGCCGTCCCTCAGGATCAAAGCGAAAGCGCGAAGACGGAGATGAAGACGAAGCACCTGCGCCACAGACCAAGGCCGCAAAGCGCAAGAAGGCAAAGAATGCAAAGAAGGCCAAGCAACCCAAGGATATCGAGGAGGACGCTCTGGATCTCGAAGCCGGAGTCAATCATGCCATTGCCCACATGGATAGCCAGTTGCTCGCAGATCACGTCGCCCAGCGTACCAAGCGCTTCCACAGCGAGTTGAGTGATATGGAGTTGGAAGATATGCACATACCATGTCAGTCTACCACGTACGACACTGTTCTTGTCCGCATACTGACAATGAAACCAGCACACGCCATTGTGGATACCACGTCCTGGGACAAGCCGCGCAACTTGGAGAATCTGCCAGCCTTCATCGAACAATTCAAGGACGAAAGACGGAGCGACAAACCAGGAAAGACCTTGTCAGATGCTGTCAAGCAAAAGTCAACACCACACACAATCGTTATTGCTGCATCTGGCATCCGAGCTGCCGATTTGACGAGAGCTTTGCGCAAGTTCCAGACTAAGGACTCGTTCATCGCAAAATTGTTCGCCAAGCACATCAAGCTGGCAGAGGCTATCACTATGGTCAAGGAGAACAAGCTCGGTATGGGTGTGGGTACACCTCAGAGACTAATCGATCTATTCGACGATGGTAAGCCTCGTATATTCTGCCACCTGAGGTAGATGCTAATAGTTCTCAGGCGCTCTCTCGGCAGGCAGACTCGAGAGAATCATCATCGACGCATCGCACATCGATTCGAAGAAGCGCGGAATTCTTGACATGAAGGAAGTACAAAGTCCCTTGATTAAGCTCTTGACAAGACCAAGCTTCAAGGAAAAGTACAATGAGGACAAGATGAAGAAGATCGAGTTGATCTTCTATTAAGATAAAAGTGTCCGTTCAGCGCATTTAGCTCCTCCTTTCGCATCACTTTTGATACCCAATTCATTCACACCACATCAGTTGCGCCTTGAGCTGCCTTTTTGTCATTCGCGAGACATCACCACGGTCGATCGAAAGCTGCTCGGTTGGATAACATGCTCTTCTGTTTGCGAAGAGGTAAGGTTTGAACATCTATCTTTTGCCTCGGGCAAATACTCCAGAGGCCTTGAACGAAATAGCCTTGCTCAATGCGGTAATGCCACTATCGCATATCTTCCGGGACAGTCCAGTTCACCCCTTGATAATGCTGGGTCCCATCCGAAGCCTGCTTTTTGGTATCTCGATTCGTATCCAAGTGACGGGATACACATTGTTTTTGAAAGATGGGTGGCGGTGGGTGGTGGTCGTATTGTATAATCGTCGCATCTTGTATTCGGTAAGGAGTCGCTCAAGTAAGGATGACCATGATGACCGAGTCTCCTCTCAGGAACCTGTGGACGTAGGAAATCAGCATGATTTGACGTGTTTGGTCGGGGTATGAGTACGCACATCTTGCTGATAAAGCGGTCCTTGTTGACGCCTCTGCCCTTTTTGCCCTGGCTGTTTCTTGGGAACTCAGTCCACATTTCCTTGACATTCTCGAGGACCATGTTGCAATGTCTGTCGAATGCTTTTACGCGGGCGAGGAGTTTGCGGTTGTTGCGACACGAGATGACAACCTGGTTGTGGTTGCGGACGGCAGTTTGCAGGATGGAGAGGGGACCAGCGGTGAATTCATGCTCCTCGACACGAGCGATTTCGTACTCGCTGTCCAGAGTGTTAGCCGATGCGACAGAGAAGGAATTGAGGTGGGAATTACGTGAGCTCGCTGCGCGGCTTCTGGAGGAGATCGCTGTGAAGAGGTTAGTATCATGAGGCGCATTCGCGTGTACACGTCAAAGACACTCACGTAATCTTTGCTGACTCGGACATGGCTGTGGATGTGTATGATAAAGTAAATGCAATGGCGACGCTTCTAGAGATGTCCGGTCGCAACGAGAGGCAGGAGCGACTTGCGGCGAGCTGGAGACGGGCCTTGGCGCCGGAACAGTGACGATTGGCGTTGGTCGTTGGTCGCCGCTGCGACTCTAACATCTACAAGCTCTCTCGCTCTACTGTCCATTCATCACCTTTTCCGCTCTCTCCACATCACATATTATCGCCCATCATGTCGGAAGGTCGCCTGAAAGCAGACAGAGATTTTACCAAGGAGGTCGACAAGGCCATCCCCGAAGCTCAAGATCTGGCAAAGGTAGCTATGTCGTGTGTCCGAAACACTGGCTACTTTGGCTAACATAACTGCAGAGCAATGTCCAAGGCTCCATCGAGAAGCTCCTCGCCCTTGAGAAGCAGACTAGACAAGTGCGCAACATTCGCTCTCGATCGCACACATCAAACATACTAACAACAATCAGGCCTCCGACCTCCCTTCCACATCCAGACTCGTTGTCGCCATCGTCACGATATGCAAAGAGGCCAAGGACTGGCCGCTACTGAACGAACAAATCCAACTTCTGTCCAAAAAGCATGGTCAACTCAAGCAGGCCATCACCAAGATGGTCCAGGTGTCGATGGAATTCATCGACGATACACCCAACATCGACACCAAGCTGTCTTTGATCGAGACACTCCGCACAGTCACCGAGGGCAAGATCTTTGTCGAAGTCGAGAGAGCCAGAGTCACACGCATCCTGTCAAACATCAAGAAGAGCCAAGGAGACATCAACGCCGCCACCGACATTCTTTGCGAGCTGCAGGTCGAGACCTTCGGTTCCATGACACGCCGCGAAAAGACCGAGTTCATTCTGGAGCAAGTTGCTCTCTGCATTGCAAAGGGCGATTGGACACAAGCCAGCATCCTGAGCCGCAAGATCAGCACCCGTTACTTTTCCCGCAAGCCAAAGAAGTCGGCCGAGCAGTTGGAGAAGGAGCGCAAGGAGCGTGAAGAGGAAGAGAAGAAACGTGGTCCCGACGATGCCCCTGTTGAGCCCGAAGACGATGTCACAGATCTGAAGCTGCGTTACTACGAGCAGCAAATCACCCTGGCCAAGCACGATGACAAGTATCTCGATGCCTGCAAGCACTACCGTCAAGTCCTCGACACTGAAGCCGTCGAGAACAACCCTGAGCAACTACGAGCTGTAAGCATATTCTCGAGACTCATTGTGAGTAGAAAGCACCAACTAACATCCCCAAGGCTCTGCAACGCGTCCTCTACTTCATCATCCTCGCCCCTCACGACAACGAACAATCAGATCTTCTTCACAGAATCCACCGCGATACCCGCAACTCACAAATCCCGCACGATGCCGCCCTCCTCAACCTCTTCACCATTCCTGAACTTATGCGCTGGCCCGCTGTTGCCGAAAACTACGGCCCGCACCTCTGCCAGACCGATATCTTCGACGCTACCGAGAACAAGGACGACCCCAAGGCTCACAAGCGCTGGCAAGACCTGCGCAAGCGTGTCATTGAGCACAATGTCCGAGTCATTGCCAAGTACTACACCAGAGTCCACTTCAAGCGCTTGACAGAACTGCTCGACCTTAGTGAGGAAGAGACGGAGAAGTACATTAGCGATCTTGTTGTCAGCAAGACCATCTACGCCAAGATTGACCGCCCTGCCAGACTGGTCAGTTTTGAGAAGAGACGTGACGCCGACGAGGTGCTCAACGAGTGGTCAGGCAACATGAAGAGCTTGCTCGGCCATCTTGAGAGAATCGACCATCTCATTACCAAGGAGGAGATGATGGCTAGAATCCAGCCTACCAACAAGGGCGAGAAAGCATCGAACAAGGCTCGGTGAAGCATAAAAACTGGCCATGTACTAGTATAATCTCTCTATAGACCCACGAAATGCACCACGATCCATGCTGCTCTAGTGTCTATGCTGTCGTCTATGTTTCTCAGAAGGGCATGTCCATGTCTTCGGCCTTGTCTTCCTTTTTGTTTTCTAGCGAGTCCTCTGGTGGTCCGCCGACTACCTCTCTGATGAACGCTACCAGAGCAGCGACGTATTGTTTCTGACTGCTGGGCAAAAAGTGACCACCAGGGTGGTACACAAGCCTCGACACACCACCCTCAACACCTCTGCCCGTGACACAAGCATCCACCAACCTCAAACTTCTCGACTCGTCTACAACCGTATCCACACTACCAATAAAGTGCAGCATCGGCGTCTGAATCTTTGGCTCGTAGAATGCAGTGTACAGCTCATTCGGCGCAGCACTGAATCCACTATAACTTACTGCAAATTTCAGTGGTTCTTGAATGACGTCCGTAACATATCCAGTATCGTTTTCAAAGCTTTCCGGGTAGCGCATTCCACCGTGCGGCTGTTGCTTTTCAAATGCTTCTCTTCGGTTGGCTTCGAGAATTGATGCTAGCATGCCTGCTGCTGCACCACCCTGGCTGAAACCTATGCAACCGTCAAAAGGACCTTGCTCTTTTATCACTGCAGCCAGAGATGCGAAACCCTGTTCTAAGCCTTCGTAGCGGAAGGGCTCGCCATCGCCTTTTCTGCGCCACCAGGCATAGGCTTCTGGGTCTGTGTCGTCGGTTGCGCCGTCAACATCGTAGCCTGGAATGTCGTTTACAGACAGCTTCAAGGGGGCGGTTGGGTATACGAGCTCGACTCCGCCGGGGAACAAGGGCAGGAAACCGGGTTTGGGGGCCGAGGGGAAGGCTTTGTCGAGGTTCTTCTCCAGGGCGCGGGTTTTTGCGTGGAAGAGGGGTCCGTTTTGGGTGTAGCCGTGTATCATGAGAATTTTGAGCTTGCGTGGAGAGGTGGCAGACGAAGACATTGTGGAGGAGGTGGCTGAAGAGAGGTGAGAGGCGGTAAGGTGGGTACGGCGGAGAGCTGAGGGTGAGAGCATTGTGGTTCGTCGAGAGATAGTGTGGTGGTATGGGAGAATGTTGGATGAACCGTGCCTGATTGCGTATTGCCGATAAGTCCGTAGTCTATGACATATGCGGCTCTTGCGGGTGGTGTATGGATATAGATGGTGTCTCAGAAGGTAGAACCTCACTTTCCATACACAAAGGACACGGTCTTCAGGTCCATCCATCTATAAACCTCACAGCATCATGTCCGCCAGGATGCTGCTCTCTAGACGAACGACAAGTCAAGCCAGTTGCATGGCTTTCACTCGAGGCTTCTCCACTAGTTACCCTCGCATGACACCTACCAAGCGTAGGAGACCAGAAGACGAAATTCACAGACCGTCACTTTCAGGCTCTTCAGTCGGTCACTTATTCTCCGAAATCAATGCCATGAGACCTGGCATGGAAGCTCTTCGAGCGGATGGGATGTCCGAGGATCAACGAACTTATGCTCGCAAGACCGCTACATGGTTGATGGGAGTCCCGGTTGTCCTTGGTACCCTGATTGTGGGTGGAAATTGGATCATGAAGGACAGAGAGGACAGTACTGGATCATGAGAACGAATGGGACGGCATCGAGCAGAAGGAGAGATGAGGACTGACGTTGCTTGTGGATACGAAGTACTACCTGTCATGCATGAACCCCTGGTCGGGCTCGACTTGCACCAGGAACAGGTGCCCTTATCGTTGGCGACCCTGATTGCACATGGATACTCGTCCATCGAGTCAAGGTGTATAAATTTAGCTGCAAACTGAAGAACAATCATGAGGAGGATGACGTCTTGCTATACGACGACAAGATGCCAAGAGGGAAGCATTACGAATAGTATACGAAGCAGGTTGAGGCATGATTGAGGGGGCACAGTCGCACGGCAGAAAAGATCAATGTCAGTTGCAAGTAAGCAGAGCTATATCAGCAAAGATAAGACAATATTGCGAGATAGATGTCAAAGGAATGGATGCACAAACCAAGGGGAGAAGTGAAACCATCGTCGGTGCAGGCTCGGGCGCGCGTTGGCAGCGAAACTTGGTCACCGTAACCAGTCCGGCTCTTGAAAGAAGGTTGGAACCCGCATGATAGCCCCCCCTAGCCTTCGCTTTTCCCTTGGAAGCATATTATTTCCGTCACCTGAGACTTGCAAACCTTCTCTCTGACACATACTCCGTCACGTCGTGCTCTGGTGTCGACATTCAGTCGCGACACGGCTGCCGCAAGCACACCCCCACAGGCAACAACGGGCGGGGACTTCAAACAAGTGTTATGCCATGAGAGTGCAGAAGTAGACGATTCTTGTTGGATATGGAACGCCCATATCAGTTTTCCGACGACCGAGACGGCGCGCGTTCACCTTTGTATGTGCCACGATACTCGCTCGTCCGCGACGACTAATACAGTGCGCAGCAACCAGCAACTGCTCAATCCCGCCGCACAGCCAGCGGGCACTTCTTTCAAAACAAATGTGAATCGTAGTAAAACGCGCAAATGGGCAGAGGCCAAGAACTATTCTTACGATGGAGACGACTGGGGCGGTTATGACCCTTACGATGAATATGGCAGCTACGACGACAAGCAAGACGCGCCCCTTCCTGCTGCCGCACCGCGACGGAACTCGTTCGAGACGGGTGAGGAAGTGAGATCCTTCTCTTCCGGTCAACAGCAGCCACCGCCTCCTCCGCCCGCGCATATCACTCCCACCAAGCCGCAGCCTCTCCAGCCTGCGATCCAACCACATGCCGACTATGGCGTCCGCCGCGACTTCTCTCAGATCGCTCATGTCCCACCACCTCTCAAGACGAATACCTCTCCTCAGGTCGTTCGCGAACGCTTTCCTGCTAGGAAAAGCAGTCTGCAGACCAGCGTGCCATCTTCGCCTGCTATGGGCTCGCAGCAACCCGTGATTCAGGAGCCAGTCTCGCCAAGTTTGAGCGCTTCTACCGCTCCGAGTGCTGGCAAACCTCTACCATTCATCCGCCCTGCCGACATTTACAAGCGCATGGAAGAGGAGCGGTTGAGGGAACAAGAAGCCAAGAGCCAGGTCGGACCGACGCCCGCTAGACACGAGGAGCACCAGGAGAATCCTGTCCCGGCCAAAGCTGCCGGTGCCGATGTTGCTGGTCATGAGACCGCTCGTGAGGAGCAGCCTGCAACTGCCTCTCTGGGTTCTTCTCTGCCAGCAGTCAGTCGTGTCGCTTCCGGATTCGGCTCAGAATTCTGGAATGCCTCCGAGTTGTCTAGTTCGTTGAACGCGGCTGACGCTCTTTCGCCAACCACTACCAACACTGAGCCTGTGGCGCCCGCTGAACCCAACACTGTGGAGGACGCCTCGCACGAATTGACTGATGCAGTAAATCAAGCGTTCGAGCGTCGGGATGACTTGTCCGTACCACCTACACCCATTTCTCGCGACAACTCCCAGTCTGGCCACGGATCGGATACGACGGGGATAAGCCCTATAATGAGCCGTGTCCCAAGCGCTGCGACTGCGGAAGCAAAGGCCCGCCTCATTGATAACAGAGACATGGGACCCATCGCCGAGGAAGGCAGTCTGCCTGGTAGTCCTGGTTCGCGCCCTTCATCGTCACAGCAATATTTCGCCACCAAGAGACGTAGTCCTACACACTCCCGTAATGTGTCGGGCGAGTCTTTCAGCAACAGCCCTGCCAGAACTCCGCAACTGGAATATATGAAGAGACTTTCTACTCCAATGTCGGCAGAAAACAGCAGTCTGCAAGAAGAGCAGGCCGTTTCGCCCATTGAATCGCCTAGCAAACCCCTTCCCGTTGCTTCAGTTCGTGTGATCGCACCTTCAGCAGACTACACTCGTAGGGAGTCGGATATCGCTGCCGACGCATCATCGTGCTCACCAGTCGATACAGCCGAAGCTGCAAAGGCCGCCAGAGCAAATTTCCTTCAGACTCACGAAAGAGTCAAATCACCGGTGACCGGAAGCCCTATCGATCGCAGTCCTTCGCCCATCTCGCGGCAAGGATCTCCTGGTCCCAGTAGAGTCCGCGATCTTGCGGGAAAGTACAATGAACTTCACACTCTGTCTAGGAGCAGCTCTGCCATGTCTTTCAACTCTCAGAAGAGTGACAGATCCTTGAAGAGAACTGGTACATGGGACACCACAAACAGCGACGCCAGCGGCGTGACTAGTGATGATCAAGTCCTCGAATCGATCGAAACAGCTTCTCTTGATCGTCCGGACCCAACTCGAGGCCCTAGTTTCCGCCCACACTTGCCAGGCGAGTGGGTCTCGTACGTGGGCACTCCTAGCGCGGAGATGCCCGTGGCGCAAGAAGCCACCAGGCGTAGCGTGGAACACACGAGGGATAACCTCCAGCATGACCAGATTACTCCTAGGCAGGCAACGTTCCCGCCCCCAGGAGATTTTGATCCTACGCCCGCCACGGTCAAGCAGCCGCTTGCTCACAAGGATATTCAACCCCAAGAGACTAACCACGTGGATAGCCTGAAGAATGCAAGTGAAGCATTAGGCGCTGCGTTGTTATCCTCGTTCGGCCAGAATCATGGCACCAGAGACTTTGCTCAGCCAGAGCCACAGTCTCCGGAGGAAGACTTCACTGCACCTCGAGGTTCAGTTGGTGATGTCTATCTGAGGCCTTTGACAATCGACCGTAAAGCTTCATCAATCGCTTCCAGTGTTGGTCCCACGCCACCAGCCAAGGACACTCCCGATGGACTCGGACTACGAGAATCGTCTGGCTACTTCCCTCCACCGACTCTTCGTGTCGACTCTGACGCCATGACACCTGCTTCTGACTACTCGCCTGCCGACATGGAAAGCGACCGTCTGCGCAGAGAGATTGAGAGGAGTCTTACGCCCCAAATTCATTCTGAATTTCAGCAGACCCGCGACCAAGACGCCCTGGACGCGCCAGCGGCCCTTCGAGAGCTTCAGAGGGCCGAGGGACTTCGTGCTGATGACAGTCTGCCTGGGTCGAACGTGCCTGCAGTCATTGGTGAGCCTACAGTATCGCAAACCAACACTCAAGCTGCAGATGCCGGTCTTCTTGGTAAGCGCTTCAGTTTCGAAAGAGATCAGAGCAATTCCAGCCTGTGGGGTGAAGTGGGTGAGGAAGTGAAGCGTGCCTCTTACGAACGGCCATTATCTGGCGTCGGGCTTCAGGTGATCAATACGAATGTGAGCAGCAGTAGCAGTAGTGGGTGGAGCACTTCGTCTATCGGGGACGCCCCTGGGGACGCAACCGAGGAGCATACGGAAGTCCCTTTACAGCACGCGGAACCACCTCTACAGCTTAGGGAACAATCGCCACAGCCTACGGAAGCACCTCTACAGCCTGTCGTCAGTCTTCCATCGCCCGACATTCCCTGGGTGCCCACCAGAGATGAGGACAGGGAAGCCGAAGCCAGTATGCCTACAGTACGACAGCCGACCGCATTGGAGAAGCGTCTTGGTGAATTACCACCTCCTGTTTATGAAGAATCCGAGACGCCATTGGCTTCTTCTGTCGAAAAGGAGCCGCTATTGGCTCCTATCGAAACTACTGAGACACCATTAACTCCTACTGAAACTACTGAGACACCACTGGCTCCTACCGAGACTACCACAACTACCGCGACTACCGGGGCTACAAACACAGCGGCTCGCATTCCCACTGTCAGAGAGATCATGGCTCTGAAAACAGTCGACGAGCGTGTCAACACTTATAACTCTTCGCGAGAGCAGGTTGCCTCAATGGACACTGGTCTCAGCAACTGGCTTACTTCGACTCTCTTTTCTCATCCTGAGCATGCGCATGTTGTCACAGACGCTGCGAACAAACCTGCCGGAACGACTGCCATTGGAGGCAGCATTCGTTACAAGCCTCAGCCTGGTAATATCATCAAGTTGGCCAGGAAAGGTCTTAGTGGCGTCACGAACAGGGAACCTTCGGGCTCTCATGCGGCTGATCCCAGCCAGTCGCCCTCCAACGTTGAGCGTCAGACTTCCAACACAGTCGGCCGCTCACCTTCAGCACAACAAGGAGGCGCACCAAAGATGCAGACCAAGGGCAAGGATTTGTTGCACTCCGCCGGCATGTTCGGCGGCAAGGCTACCGTAGGAGCTAAGGGCCTGTTCGCAAGAGCAAAGGGAAGACTTCGAGAAGGCGGAAGCGAGAAGGTAGATTGATATTTCCTTCTGTTTGACGTTCCCCTCACTGATATTTTCGCGTTTTTTCTGAATTTCTTGCCGCATGCATTCCAACGATTCATCTTCATGTTTCTGCGATGCCTGTCTTTGGCGGTAACTCATTAATCGGCGGACCCGTTTTCCATGCGACTTCAGCATAAGCGTTAACCCTGGATGGGAGGCATTAATGATCTGAGTGGCGGGTTGCATGTACCGTTCCGGCTGCGTAATGTTAACTGAGATAATCCCCCAACTCATCACTCGTTCCAAAACCATTCTTCAAAGAACGTATGTTGATAGGTGTGTTTTCACAGGCTTCCGGACGAGCTCCCAACAGCAATGCCGCGCTTGCCTCGCCGACCTCCCCAGATGAGCGTGGTAGCAGCAAAGCCAACAACCGTTTCTCCACAGCGTTTGGCCGTTTTGGCAGTGGGTCTGAGCAGCGATCTTTGTCTCAGTCAGCAGCAAATACTCTACAATCTCCTACGGAAGGTCCGCAAGTTATTGTGTCATCAACTGCAGAACAGCCTTCTGCATCGCCTGCAGGTGATACTGATACATATGTTGCTCCATGGACTCAAGAGAAGCCAGGTGCATTGGACCAAATAGAGCTTGAGAATGAGAGATTCAAGAGAATTGGTCTTTTGCCCAGTCCAGCATTTGGTGGATCGATGAACTCGCATGAGTCCAATGAGAACATCAAGGTTGCTGATGAGAATGACGATCCGATGTCACGTTTGGAAGGCGCGACACATCAGGGGACGTCAGACAAGGACCAAGACGTTGGAATTCCTACGGCAGTCGCTATGGACATTCTCCCTCGGGCAGCTGCACCTTCGTATGTGGATGAGGTTGTATTTGAACCGCAAGCTGACCTGCCTGCCGCAATCGCTTCTTCGAATGATGCTGGGCTTTTTTCCGAGACCGAGGAAGTCGCGCTGAATCATCAGAGCCCTGTTGAACACGTTCCAAATATCAACAGAAGCCCTACACGCCGACCTGTTGCTCAGCCAATTGCGTCTGATGTCGAGCCGACGTCTCGCGAATCCTCGATCTCAAGCTTGCATCCCGAGGACAACGACTTGGCTCAGACTTCAGTCCCCCTCAAGAGGAGCGTAAGTCCATTGCGCGACGAGCCGGCCACCCAACAGCCTGGTACCATCGAGAGAGCCGATCCCGAGTCCACTGAAGACGAAAGAGACGGGTCTAGACCTCGCATCGTCAGCCGCAGCAGTCTCCCATCACAGCAACGCCCACAATCGCAATCAAGACAGTCATCTTGGCAATGGAAGAGCTCAGGCACATCCCTCGTCGGACTGAACAAGACTCAAGATGACACAACTGCTTCACCAGTCAAGGCCAGATCCATGTCTGGGCAACACATCAATTCGGGACCTGTGAGTCGTGCTGAATCGCCTGTTTCTTTCCTCGAGATGGGACACACTCAAAAGCAAAGCAGTACCACGACACCTGGTGCTTACTCGTCTGAGGATGTCAGTGCCATTCCAGGAGCACAAGCAGAGCAACCGTTCTTGAGCAGCTCGCAAAACCTTACTCTGGTGCCAGCCCCTTACGAAGCAGGTCGCATGGCTCCAATCATGCAATCACCTGTCGAGATGCAGAGCCCTTGGCAGAGCGATCAGTCCAACGCCTCGATGGGCCCGGGACCTTTTGCTGGCCCGGCTGCTATGTATCACCAACCTGGCCATATGAGCAGCGAGCAGATAATCTATGAGGAGCCGCCCAACCGAACGTTCTCGCCAACTACCATGGATCCTCGTCAAATCGGAAGCGAATATATGCTCCCTGGCGTCGGTCCCCCTCCCGAGATGAACCAAAGCTCGCGAAGAAGCAGATTCTCCATCAGAAGTCCGGTTCAAGGTCCGGGGCAGGTCGAACGCATCAATCCTAACGCTATGATGTTCGATCACCAACGTACCTTCTCTGGTGACGAGGTTCCATTGACGCAGTCCGCACAAGAAAAGAGGGAGAAACGTCGCTCTGGTCTGTTCAGTGCACTGAGTCGAGGATCGAGCTTTTCTGGTCTATCTGGCATGAACTCGGATGGAAGACAAAGTCGTGGCAACGATGTCAGCCAAGCTGGTTCGCAACATCAAGCTCCGATTCAGCCAACGTCTACAGCACAAAAAGCTCGAGGGATATCAGGTGGTAGTTCGAGAGGTAACACACTTAAGAAGGTGCAGCGCTCATCGACTTCCGCTGGCACATCGAACACGCCTGGCACGCCTGATCCTGAGAAGAAGAACAAACGCTTCTCGCGACTTGGCTCGATCTTTGGACGATCAAACTCGGAAGCAAAGAAGAGCAACAAACTGGTCAAAGGCATGCCTAAGAACCTGCCCGAGCGCGTTCTAGAGGCCACCGTGGCTGGAAGGCAGCGAAACATGTCGCCACAGAACGTTCCTCCGCCTCCTATAGGTATGGGTTATGGCACCGAAAATGGCATGCAACCGCCGCAGCAGCGGCCGGAGCAGGCTGACCAGCAACCACCACCAGGGGGATGGTATGCGCCTCACAGTAGAAGAAGCTCTTACCATCAAGACCAGCAGGCCAGGTTGCCTCAGATCCAGCCTACGATGTCGAGAAGAAGCTCTTATCAGCAGGAGCAGCAACCCAACTTGCCTCAAATACAACCCACTGTATCAGGGCAATCGTGGCAATCATCAATGCAGCCGCCCCCACAACAGCAGTCGCCAGTGATGCAGCCAACTCGTCGTCTCCATAGCGAGGGCTACCGCCACGAGCCTCGATACAACGCTCCCTCGGACTACAGATCAATGTCTCCGAGCCCTCTACGCGGCCAGCGAGGTAGTCAGCAATATGACACTACGACTCCTCAAAACTATCAGCGCACACCTTCGTGGAGTGGAGGGCCACGACAGCAGCCACCAGCGCCTGGTCGCAACTTCTCGTGGGGTTCTGTGGAACAGCAACAGCAACAGCAGCAACAAGGCTACTTCCCATCAGGTTCGCCTATGAGACAAAGTCCAGCTGGCTCACCTTCGCACTCCAGAAATGCATCTTTTGGCAGCATGACCAATATTCAAGCTGCCGCACCACCGCTCTATCGTAACTCGAGCTCAGGGGCTTTACAGCGTTCTTCATCTCCTTCAATGTACGGAGCCACCCAGCCATACCAAGTCCCCATGCCAGCGTCCACAGAAGCCCAACTCATTTCAAAACAGCAGCAGGATTGGTACCCGCGATACACAGTGGGGTCCCCTGGCCCACCGCAGCAAGCTAGTACTCCAGGCATGTACAACAGAGGCTACAGTAACAGCAGACCGGGCAGCTCGAACGCCAATAATGTACCCTTTGACAACATCCCCGAAGCCGACTATGCTAGGCCAACCTCAGCTGGTGGGATGATGATGCCTGGCCAGCAGCAACAGACCTCACCGCAAAGTCCTGCTCGAGGCCAGCAGAGAAGATACTATGGCGGTAGTGGAACTATGGGACCAAGACCTTACCCTTCAGGTAATGGACAGCAGCAGGGTGAGTTCCAGGGCTCTTACCGTGATGTCTAGGAAGTTGGTGTGGTCTTTCTTTGTACTTTTCTTTTTTCTTTTCTTGTTGTATATCATTATTCATAAGCGTATAGGGGTTGAAGATGTTCTTAATGTGGATGACCATAGGAGGGGACTTGGTTCGAGGGTATATAATGTTGATACCGACAAGATTTCTGTTCTTACACTGACACGTCGTTGCATTGTGATATTTTTCGTGTGTCTTATGCTATGTCTTGCAGATCATTTGTTATCATACAGAAGACTGAGGAACTACTGCCTCAGGAGCAGCAAGATGACCCCTTGATGATCTATTGCTACTACTCGATGCCTCCATATATACTACTATCTTTTCTTGATCTATATGTTCGAAAGCCGGTGTTGAGACCGACATGAGAAGTTCCATGTACCTAGGATACCTCAATCGGAATGACTAAACTCAGATACTGTCAAGCCGCGATACGACCCGAGGTTGAATAATGTGTTCCAAGAGGCTTTGAGGACAAAACTACCAAAATATCGCAACCAGTTGGTCGGAGCCGAACGATTGCATCGAAAACTATGTAAATAGGCTCTTGAAATCTATCAGAAGTGACTTGAGTCACACTGATGATTGCGGTATCCTTGACGTCAAGGTAGTTGTCCTTTATCAAGAGTGGATATTTTATGACAGGGTCATTGCTACAGCAATTTCCATATCCCTAACAATACAGCAAGTGGGCTGTACGTCAGCCATCGGTCGCCAGCTCTCGGCTTCTACGACCCTCTAGTCCCCAAGATGTTTTTGCAGCTCAATGTTTGTTCCCTTGCTCGCCGTTGGTCCTGCTGTCTCGTCTTTTCCAAATGCTCTCGGCTTTGCTAATCCAGCAGCTCCAATTGCTTGTGATAGTCTTGTGTTGCAACCTCGGCGGGAGTTTGGTCTGGGGGGATCGGAGCGGAGGGAGTGTATGATTGAGTTGATGATGGTTGTTGCTGTAGTGGTTCTGGTGACAGTTGGGTGTCAGGTTTCTCTGGCATATTGGGTAGTTGTCTTGTGAACGTCGGGATTGCAGAAATGAGCTTTTGCTGTGCTCTTGGATGTTCTGATGAATGCAGTGTAGGCGGTTTAGGTAGTAAGGACAAAGTGTCAGAGATGGCCACTAATTTGAGAGGTTGCACTTATGAGATCTCCTGGTCAAATGGCATGATCTACGCTTGGGCCATGTTGACCTGCATATCGGCGACCGCGGACATCGGGCTGTTGCCTGCGCATAATCTAGAGGAGTAGCGAGATGGGGGATCATAGGAAGAAAGCAGCTGCTAACGATGTGCAAGTAAAGGGTTTGCAGAGTTGCCGTGGCCGGTCACCACAAGAGATTGAATGTATGAGGAAGGTACGAGTATGGAAGTGGATCGGAGGGATGAAGCAAAGGCAAGAGCGTTCCTGCTTTTGTCATGCGAGGACCGACCTACCACAAGACCGTAGTTGAGATTGGGAACGCGCATATCATTTTGCATGAACGAGTCCGAGTATACTGAATCAGTTGTGAGTAGAGGAAAGAAACCACAGCGCGATCCTGACCACGCAGAGGGGTCTCTGACGGTGCGGAATTGAGATGTACATAGGGGGGTGTGGGTAACAAAAGCGACGATATGGAAGCCAGTAGTCGGTTGTTGGGGAAATAGAATACCAGATGTCGTGTTCGGCTGCAAGATCTATTGGGTGTGTGCGGCAAGTAGTAGCGTAGAAGCGACATGTTGCGATAAGAGATGAAGACAAGAGCAACCCACACGATGAAGATATCCCTGAAGCCGGGACAATGTGGGGATCGAGGATCTCTCATTTACCCTGCGTGAGCGAAGTCAAGCATCCTGACTCGATCTTCAATGGGGAAAGGAAGTATAGAGACACGGTCAAGTGATAGCAAGGATGAGAGAGTACAGTCGTGGTGGAAAGACTACACCCCATCAATTGTGGGTCCGGTTTCCTTTTCAGATAAGCAAAAACACCTAAACGCCTGCGACAAGTCTCGAGATCAAGAAGAATGCAGATACATGCAGAAGGTAGGGATCCCCACAGAGCAGCATCACTTGCATGATTTACACTCTGGACCTCTCACATCGTCGACTCTGCCAACCTTGCGTCCACCAGGAGGAGGACCGCCACCTCTACCTCCATTGCCACCTCCAAAGCCCCAACCAGGTCTTTTGCCAGGAGGCCTGTTGTTCGCGTTGAACGGCGACGAAGCAGCCGCAGCAGCAGGATCGAACTATCCGGGAAAGTGGATATCAGCACTAATGATCCAGCAAAGTTGTTGCGAAACAGGAATTGGTATCGCCAATCAGTCGTAGTGGGAACAAGAGGCCACTTACGGAGAAGAAGGTGGTCAGGTATAGGCCGAGGAAGACATAGGCGTTGTCGAAGAAGTTGCGGATGCGCACGGTGGTTGGTGGACTGGGAAGGTGGATATACTCAGCTATCTTGTTGCGTTATACAAAAGGAGACAAAGTCCGGATAAGTAGCGAGAGCTGAGGATGATCCTTCTGGGCTACTTACGCTGCAAGAGCTTGGCCGTTGTGGAAGTAGGGCCTGCTTGGCTGCTGCTGAGATGCCGACATGGTGGATCGAATCCTTTTCGGCAATGGTGTCTCTCGGAAGATGAAAGATGGAAGGTGGAAGACGACGAAAGTAGAGATGTCGTTGGCCGCCAAGGGTCAGGGTTGTGCTGTATAAGTGGCAGGGGTGTCGTTGATCGAGCGCAGACGTCCGTGCACTCTCAAAAAGCCTTGGCCCATGACCCGTATGGTTCAGGCTTTCAGAATGCGATCGGCCAAACTTCATGTGAAGCACCCAGATTTTCTTTTGACCATTTTTCTTTGTGTAACAAAAAATGTCGGGATATCAGAACAAGGTAAGTCTCTACCGGCGCAACATGTTCAGCATGTCTGGAGTAGGATTGCAAAAATGCTGATCGCAATTGCCCCCTCGTGCAGAAGAGAAAGCAGGACTTTCAACAGCCTCAGAGTGCTGATGAGGAGGTCGATACTTCGAGACCTTCGGCTGTCTTCACACCTACTGGTGGTCGTCAACATACGCTGACCATTGCGCTGCCTGGCAGTGTGATTGCAAAGTAAGTGCAGAGAATTTTCATTTCTTTGATTCCATCGGTGTCGTCTTCATTCAGGGCACAAACACTGGAAAGAATTACCCCTCTGAGGTTGCCGCGCTGAGCGTTTGCTTTTTATTCTACTGTTTCATGCCCTTCCACGCTTTCTGCCCTATTCACTCAGTCCGGATCCTTCTCGTGAGGGACTACGATCTCTGAGCTATATCCCATTTCTTTGCCCTATACCCCATTCCTGTCAGCCCTAAACACCATGTCAGCTTTTGTCTGTTTGACTTTCCCATCACTTGACACATCGATTGATTAAGGTCCTCGTATCTAATCCTCCATCGCAGTGCCCAATCGCATGATCTCAAGACTATGATGGCTGCCCAGGTGGCGCGAGCATGTGCAGTATTCCAGGTCGATGAAATCGTCGTCTTCAACGATGGCCAATCGCAAAACGGAGCCCGTCCACGCAAAGGATTCGAAGGGGACGGCTACACGGGCTACTCGGATCCTGACGACTTCCTCTACCATGTCCTGAGCTATCTGGAAACACCCCCGCATCTCAGGAAAACTCTCTTTCCCATGCATCCCAATCTGAGAACCGCTGGAGCCATGCCGAGTTTGGACATGCCGCACCATCTGCGTGCAAACGAATGGTGTCAGTATCGCGAGGGAGTCACGATGGGTGCGGATGCAGCATTCGCAGAGCCTCACAGCAAGCGCAGTAAGGGTCACGCTGTCTCAACTCTAGTGGATTGCGGACTTCCTGTAAAGACGCGCATCCCGGTCGAAGTACCTCCTGGCTCTCGTGTCACAGTAAAGTTTGCATCTGCCGATGAGCCTCAGATGGATGGGTATACTCCCTTGGATGCCGACGCCGTCTCACCTGACACCCCGAGAGAAGAGACAGGCTACTACTGGGGTTATTCAACAAGATTGGCGTCGTCTTTGTCGGCGATATTCACGGAGTGTCCTTATGATGGTGGATATGACGTCAGTTTCGGCACATCCGAGCGAGGCATAACGTTAGCGTCTCTCTTGGGCGCATCAGGCAGCAGCTCTCCAGTGCCACCAGTCCCAACTCAATGGAGGCATATGGTTATTGTTTTCGGCGGCGTCGCCGGTCTAGAGGTCGCGCTGAAAGCTGACAAGAATCTGACATCCAAGGGCGTCACAGAGGCCAAAGATGTTTTCGATTATTGGGTTAACCTCGTACCTCAGCAAGGAAGCAGAACAATCCGCACAGAGGAGGCTGTCTGGCTAGGGTTGATGGGATTGCGCACAGTGGTCCGAGACCGACAGGAAGCGGTCTGAACGGAGATATTGAGAATCACATCCTCTTTGGAAGTGTCGTTGACGTGGCAGAATGACCCAGACCGATCGCCGGTTGGTCTGGCCGAAGCCGCCGAGCTTTGGTCAGAACGCATGCAATGTAACTGCGGGCGAAGGAGCAAACCTGTTTCGTTTGTATGCCCTCTGTATATAGCGCATCGAAGTCTGCATTTCCATTACATGATACATGACTTGTACATACATCCCGCGAATTCGCAATAGGGCTCTGTTATAACGCATGATCTAGGTGGTTCAGTGGTCTTGCACACTTCAGCCAAGTGGAACGGTGATGAAAGGACTGTCAGAAGGTACGGTATGCCGGGCGGCTCGCACATTTCGTATTAGTCTGGTTCTTTGGTCGACTCGAGCCCGGGTGTGTGGGGATGACCTTTGGAGGATGGGGCATTTCCGTTAGTCACCTTTGAGAGAACGTCTCCATGTCGAAACTGGTTGTAGTCATCTTGCGTGTTCGGGTGATATCCAGACACCATGACTCGGACAGTGGGCAGACCAAAGTATAGCCTTTTGATGAACCTGCCTTGAAGAGACAATGGTCGTGTTCGTGTCAAATTAGGGCAACACTGAAACTTTGGAGGGTCAAGAGATTAGAGTAACGGGGAAGCGACCGAAGATCGACGCGTGCATCGAGGATATCGGCCATCTATCCGTGAGGCTCCACAAGGGTGTGCTCGCAGTAGGCCGAACATGTTAGCGTAACCACGGCGAACTTGGGGTTTGGGCATCGTAAACTCCGTGTTAACTCGTGGATCTTTGTATTGAGAAACGCTTCGAGACGGTTTGCCAGAGGGATCAAAGTATGGGTTGAGACCGATCCCAATTTAGCCACGGGAGAATCCAGTGACCTCCACGTGTGAGACCATGGTGATGTGCTTTTCGATAGTACGCGCAATCGAAATCTAAGCAAAACACCCCTCTGAAATTGGAACTCAAATCATTCTTGCATATGCCTCTTGGCAGGGCGGCATGAGCGCGTGGTAGAGCATGAGACAACAAGTAGCTCAGCTGCGAGGCATGCATCGAAGCCTGCATCGGCCGAGACACCGATGGCTGTTCCTATGCCGCCGTGCGTAGCCAATTGGCAGCAAAGGGGAGCTTGCAAGCCGAGAAAGTAGCTGCATGGTAGTTTGCGGCACATGAGCCTTGAAACAATCAAGGGCAAGGTCCAAGAGAGATCAGTGGCGCAAGGAATAAGCAGTATCGCAACGTCGCATGCAGTAGAGGGTCTTTCCGGGCGTCTCTGTTACCGAAAACCTGGCTATCGCTCTCGCGGGAAGCGGAAGCGATAGAAGCGATTTGGCTGAACCAAACAGTCGAGTGGTTTTCTTGCTTTGACTGGCACGCCTCTCTGCAATGTACGTGGAAGCTGCAAGCAAGAAAAAGTGACGTTTGTGATTTGCTGCGGCTGATGTGCAAGGTCCGAACCATTCAGCCGGGTCCCGGCAGTGACAGAAGTTAGAAGTTTAATGGCTGAACAGGCATGAATCAAAAAGGCAAGTTCAATTCGCAGAAACAGATAAGAGCACAGGCGGCGACATCCAGGGAGGATTGGTTTTCGATAAGGTTGCGGAAGACCACGAACATGCCGTAGCGGAAAGACATGATCAACAGTCTTACAGGATGGTGCATAAGATGTTGGAGTGACATTCATCAGACATCGGAAGTCGAACCGAGCACTATGGACGCACGGTACAGTACTGAGACAACGTCTGAGTACCTTGCCAGGGATTCCTGCTTCTAACAACGCGTAGACGCAGGTGCGAGTTGTTCAGGGTCATGGGTTATGATTCATGCTTTCGAAGGATTCATGGACGGTTGAGTCTCTAGTAGCAACAGTTGAGCTGGTTCTACAGGCAAATGTTTCCAAGGAGTTACTTAAACGATCAACGCTCGTTTTAGCTTCTTTCTAAACAAGAATCGATCTTGCGTTCTGGCCGAACTCGAGGCCCAAGCCCGATGGCTTGTGCAGACTACGGCTTTCTTCGGTCAGAGATGACTCGGAAAGTAATTCCTGGCAGCTGGAAAGGTCGAGCCCAGGAAGCCGATATGTGTGAGTCTTTGAGAGATAATGGAACTTCAACGTCCGACGCGTCTTAAAATCCGTCGTAAGATGACGAACCCTTTCTTCGAAAGTCTGATCAATCTATTGTCTCAAGTTCCAAGGTGAGAGGTTGGTCCACAGTAATTAGTGCATACGGCTGGCTCCCGAAAGAACGACTGGTTGAGGGGATCCCGAGAATTTCGTTTCGGCGTGTGGAGCCAGGTTGTGGCTTGCTTTTAGCGAGGATCACCAGTCATGGTCCCATAACAAGGTTAGATACCGAAGCAACGCAGAAGTATGGATAATCGAAGGTTACAGTAGGAGAATTGCCGCGTGCATACAGTTGTGGGTGACCGCTAGACTACAGCGCAACAAAACTTCAACAGACGCACGACTCCACCAATGAGTTACCTGTCGTAGGTTCGATCCTCAAAATCGTCTTGGAGCATCAGTAATCATTAAAGGGCTGTACAGTGTCCCATTGTGGTGATCGAGCCAATCACATGGTATTGGACCACGCTTGCACAGATACACGGCCCACCAGAACGTGCTGGTGGCCCGCAACAGATCGGATCAGCGGTGCCAGGTCTGTTCAAGCTGTCTGACAGTCGAGGCTCCAAACGACCAGAACTGAAGTCCCCGTCTTTGATCAAGCCACGATTTCGTGCCGTGAATTGATTGACACGCCAAAGCCCCTGCGTCTGTTACTTGACTCGGACGGCTGATTGTTCTTATTTCAATAAAGCACCCTGCCTCAAACGTAGAAGCCACATCATTTGTCAAGAGACGAGATCGTGTTTACTTCTGTCAAGCTGGTCCGGACACATTGTGCAACAAGCATTGTTACTTGTTTTCGGATTCCACTTCAACCCATAATCACCACTCTCGGACAGCATCTTTTTACCTGATCAACTTGTTTTGCCAGTCGTGCCGCAACCATCCAATCAAATATGGATTACCAACAACCTTGCGTAACGACAGGCGCCTGTCATCATCCCGTATATGCACATCACAATCAAGGGTTCACGCACACACACTCTGCGTGGTCGGGAGTGCCACAGGTATGCACAACCTATGACAGGTTGCACAAGATATGTACTCATGCTGTTTCAGTATCCCTACGGCTATGAGCAGCACACACTGGCTCCGCCAGTAGGCAACGTTTTCGCCCCCTCTCCGATCATGACTTCAGACCACACAACACCAGCTGAACCAGTAGCTGTTGACGGCCACAACGGGTACGCAATCATGCCTCAAGGACAACCTTTAATGTATCGGAATGGTGTCGAGGTCGAGTACGGGCAACCTACCTCTCCGGCCGTAGAGTTCAACGTTGATGAGCTTCTGGAGTATCAACGACGACGTAGCAGTGCCACATCCGAGGAGAAGGAACCTCTTACGCCAGCACAGCGACGACGAAAAGCACAGAATCGGGCCGCGTATGTATCCAGACGCTCGAATCGTGTGGAGTATTCCAGCGCTGACACACCGTGGTGGCCATAGACAGCGAGCGTTTCGTGATCGCAAACGTCAGCGAGTGCAAGAACTAGAAGCCCAACTATCAGCTCTGGAAGTACACACGAAATCCCTGGAAACAGACAATGAGAGACTCAAGCATGAATTGCTTGTGACGCGAGAAGAGAATGAAGCTCTACGAGGCATGAATCGAACACAGCCGCCGACCAACACGATGCAGCCTGATCGGCGCAGAACAGTCGCAAAACTGGCGCAAGTATACTTGCCGGCTCAATAGCAAGAGCACTACAGCCTTGATACATTGTCAACGCTGGGTCCTTGCGAGACTCACCAAAATTCTGAATGCAGTCAAACGCAACCAATTTATAATGTCTTCTATTCTTATTTCTGTTTCCTCGTCGGCGTTTTTGGATTCGGATGTCAAGCATCTTGCTGACTCTGTGCTCGTGGGGATGAACGCCGAAATTGTGTTTTACAGCAGGCCGTACAGCAGGTCGAGCATGGGGCCGTCACTTCCAGCTACGTCGATCGACATTGGCAGGACCATGTCGGCGCTCGTAAGATAACCGAAATCAATGCTTTTTCCAGAATAAGTAATTGTTCACTGATCATCCTGGAACCTCAGCACCGACTGCAAGCCCATGTTGTGGGTGATTGGTCCTCAATGCCGCGGAGACTAGCGAGAGACGTGCTAGAGCCGGATCACTTGGAGTTTTGAAGTTACAAGTGGGGTGAGGTGGGTTCGGCTAAAGCCCGAGTCATGTTGGAGCACGCGGATTTAATCCCAATCGCTATCGCTGTCATCATTGCCCAGGCCAGCGCCTTGGCCAGTGCTGCGAAGACTTGTTTGTACTGATTCATCATTTTGACGAGGTTGCAGTCTAGAGTCATTCGGATCAACGGCGCCCAAAGATCGAAGGAGATCCTCCAGGTCGCGGATAGTAGTACGATCGCCCTTCAGATCACGCAAAGTGACGAGTTGGCGCTTGATGTCGCCATCCTTGTATACCAAGACAGTCGGGGTGTTCTTGTCCGGATAACCCTCGATACAGAGATTTGCCTGGATCTGACAGAACTTGATATCGCCGAACTTTGTAGCCAACTCGCGCCAGATCTCGATCAACAGGCGGGATTCGACGTTTGTGCCAGACGAGGAAGTGAGGAGTACGAAGACAAAGGCTTTCTTTGATTCCTCAGTCACATCGCGCGACCAATCAAGCTTTTGTACGGGATAAACCTGATTGTAGACTGAAGCTGATTGGATAGCGGCGAGCTCATTCATTCGCTTCTGGCTAATAGCAGAGGGCGTCAGACAAGATATATGGCAAGAGACAGAGACGAACGCACCGGTAGAACTCGAGAAAGTCCTCGTCTTCCTCATCTTCCAATTCAGCTAGTTCGTCGAGCTCCTTGCCTTCTAACCGGTTCTCATGGGCGAGTCTTCGGGCTTCGGTCAAGGCTTCCTCGATCATGGGTGTTGGTGATGGTGGCTTCTCGGGGATAATCTTGTGCTTGCGGAGGATGTCATTCCTGGTACAGTAAGTGAAAGGTTCTGTACAAAGAACAGCATGTACAAAAGGAGCTCTGAGAAGGATAGAGTGACAGGACTTGGATGTGCAACTTACCATTCGGTATCGGCATTGGGGTCATCGATGGGCACGTTGACTGGCATGTCGGGCATACCGCCAGGCATACCTCCCATACCTTCCATGATTGCGATAGTTCCAAGGAGAGGATGTGGTGTGCAAGAAACGTGCCTTCCCTATTGCGAGTTGTTGCGGAATTGGAAAGTACGTCAAGGGTCCATATGGAGGGGCCTTGGCGGGGATGACGGGGGTTTGCGACGGAAGGTGCCGCGCTCGGGGGTTAGGGAGTTGTGGATGCTACGTTTACAAGAGTATAGTGGTATACGGCTCCTGACAACACGCCAGGCAATTGAAGTCCAACCATGAGTTACGACAAAAAGAACGAGGACGAGTCCAGCCTGCTCAAGGTCGACCGTACCTCGGTCTTCCAAGAGGGTGCGTGCAATGAGGATCAAGACGACCATCATCATCATCACATGTCGCTAACGAGGCCTCGATAGCTCGCGTCTTCAACTCGTCGCCCGTTTCCCCTCGCAAATGCCGTGTCCTGCTCACCAAAATCTCCCTCCTGCTTATGACTGGTGAAAAGTTTCCTCAGAATGAAGCCACCTCCCTCTTCTTCGGCATTTCCAAGCTGTTCCAAAACAAAGATGCCTCCCTCCGCCAAATGGTCTACCTGGTCATCAAGGAGCTCGCCAATACCGCCCAGGATGTCATTATGGTCACCAGCAGTATCATGAAGGACACAGCTGTTGGAAGCGACGTCGTATACCGTGCCAACGCCATCCGTGCTCTTTGTCGCATCATTGACGCTTCCACTGTCCAGGCCATTGAGCGCAACATCAAGACGGCCATCGTCGACAAGACTCCCTCTGTTTCCTCGGCCGCTCTCGTCTCCTCGTACCACTTGCTTCCCATTGCTCGCGACATCGTCCGCCGCTGGCAGAGCGAGACCCAGGAGGCTGCTTCGAGCACAAAGTCTTCGGGTGGCTTCTCCCTCGGCTTCGGTACCTCAGCCTCGCACAGTCTGGCTGCAGCAAACACAAACTTCATGACCCAGTACCATGCTATTGGTCTGCTCTACCAAATGCGCTCTCACGATCGTATGGCTCTGGTCAAGATGGTTCAACAGTACAGTGCAGCCGGAGTAGTCAAGAGCCCTGCAGCCCGTCTCATGCTGGTCCGTCTGGCTGCTAAGCTTATCGACGAGGATCCTGGCCTTCGTGCTCCCATGATGAAGTTGCTTGATGGTTGGTTGCGCGACAAGAGCGAGCTGGTCAACATCGAAGCTGCCAAGGCTATCTGCGAGGTTCGCGATCTGACCGACAACGAGGTCATGCAAGCCGTTCACGTCCTGCAACTCTTCTTGACCTCTCCCCGCTCCGTCACCAAGTTTGCTGCCATCCGTATCCTTCACAACTTTGCCTCCTTCAAGCCCGAGGCTGTTCGCCAATGTAACCCCGATATTGAGGCTCTCATCACAAACTCCAACAGATCTGTTGCGACATTCGCTATTACCACCCTTCTCAAGACTGGCAATGAATCGAGCGTCGACCGTCTGATGAAGCAGATCTCCGGCTTCATGGCTGAGATCACTGACGAGTTCAAGATTACAGTCGTTGAGGCTGTCCGTACGTTGGCTCTCAAATTCCCTAGCAAGCAGGCCGGTATGCTCGCCTTCCTTAGCACTTCGATCCGCGACGAGGGAAGCTACGAGTTCAAGAGCAGTGTTGTCGAGGCCATCTTCGATCTTATTAAGTTCGTGCCGGAAAGCAAGGAAGACGCTCTTTCGCATCTGTGCGAATTCATCGAGGACTGTGAGTTCACCAAGCTTGCTGTCCGCATTCTGCATCTGCTAGGAATGGAGGGCCCCAAGACCGCCAACCCCACCAAGTACATCCGTTATATCTACAACCGCGTCGTACTCGAGAACGCCATCGTGCGTGCCGCTGCTGTTACCGCCCTGGCCAAGTTCGGTGTCGGTCAACAAGATCCCGATGTCAAGCGTAGTGTCAATGTCCTTCTTACCCGCTGTCTCGACGATACGGATGACGAGGTCAGAGATCGTGCAGCCCTCAACTTGCGTTTGATGAAGGAGGACGACGACATGGCCAGCAAGTTTGTCAGAAATGGTAAGATATTGCCGACTATAGTGTGCTCGGAAGATTTGTGCTGATTTTACGTCTAGACTCAATGTTCTCATTGCCGGTTCTGGAGCACCAGCTTGTCATGTATGTGACAGCAGACTCCTCGGCTGCCTTCTCTCAGCCGTTCGATCTCGGTTCCGTCCCCGTTGTCACTCGTGAACAGTCGCTGGCCGAGGATCGTACCAAGAAACTCACTACCGCCACCCCCACCCTCAAGGCACCTTCGGCAGGTCCCAAGCCCGCAGCTGCTCGTGGTTCAGCAGAGGCAGCTGCTTCGGCAAGTGCGGCCGCTCAGAAATACGCACAACAACTCCAAGCCATTCCTGAGCTTGCATCATACGGAGGTGTTTTGAAGAGCAGTGCTATCGTCGAGCTGACCGAGAGCGAGACTGAGTACGTTGTCACCGCCGTCAAGCACTTGTTCAAGGAGCACGTCGTCATCCAATACGACATCAAGAACACGTTGCCCGACACAGTCCTTGCCGACGTGACAGTAGTCTGCACACCGACAGCGGCCGACGAGTCAGAGGACAGCGGTCTGGAAGAGGAGTTCACCATTCCTGCTCCTATGCTCAAGACAGACGAGCCTGGCACTGTATACGTGTCTTTCAGGCGTCCAGAGGGACAAGAGTTCTCAGCAGCAAACTTCACCAACGTTCTCAAATTCACAAGCAAGGAGATTGACCCGTCGACCAACGAGCCCGAAGAGCACGGCTACGAAGACGAGTACGAGATCTTCGACTTGGACCTTGTCGGCTCCGACTACATTGTACCTGCGTTCGCCGGCAACTTTGACAACATCTTCAACAGCATCCCCTCAGACGATGAGCACGAGGCCGAAGAGACCCTGCAGCTCTCTAATGCCAAGACGCTGGCCGAGGCTACCGAGTTGCTTGTCAAGAGTCTGGGCATGCAACCTCTCGAGGGCAGCGAAGTGGTACTGTCAGCAAGCACACACAGTCTGAAGCTTTACGGCAAGAGTGTGACGGGCGGCAAGGTGGCATCGCTGGTCAGAATGGCATTCAGTGCCAAGAGTGGTGTTACCATCAACATCAAGGTACGAAGTGAAGAGGAGATGTTGGCAGCTCTTGTCATCGGAGGAGTTGCATGATGAGAGATCTAGACTCTGTAATGCAAGGGACACTTGGCGTTATAAGGGTGGAGCATGAAACCAGCGTGTGTGCTTTTGTTTTGATTGTTTATGTGGTATATGGACGAGGTGGACGGTTAGAATAAAAAGCGTCTACAAGTCGTTTGTTCTTTTGGGTTGATTTAAATATATATGTTGTTGTTGTTGTTGTCGTATGTAACCCTGTTGAACCAAATGGTAACGTTCCTTCTTCTGTTCCTTGACTCCGTGAACAAATGCTTGAGGCTCTGGGTCTGCCTTCGTCTAGCGTACTCGTAGAAGAATGATACCCGGTTCCAAGAGTCGTGATCAGATATGAGGGGAGTATCTCATCACCCTCGGCATACTCTAATAGGCTCTCCATCTCAGAACGCCTTCTCTTCATAGTTAGAGGAGCTCAACGATGACGGGCTGGCAGTGTCCGTAGTCTGTGTCGACTCTATCGGGATGCCCGTTGTATATCATTGCATATGCTGCAACAAACGACGTGGACAATACAAGTCCTTCGATGGTTCGTCGGATGCCGAATTCCAGCGTGCTTGCATGAGTGGCAGGGAAAGCAAAGAGTGTAAAGCTGAGTACACTCTCATCTCATCTCATTCAAGAGGCAGCCGAGACAAAGATCTGAATGGTACTCGCAAAGCGAATCCTCGACTCTGGAATATCTTCCTGTCCATCATCTTTCATCTTCTGATCTTCCTCCTCCCCAGCGGCATCTTCAGAAGGCACGATATCGTCAATAGCACCCACAGTACCCGTCTCGATCCTCACGGCATACTCTGCCCTCTGCTGAAACCACACGCCCAAACTCAAGGCCTTCGCAATAGCCTTTCCCGTGGCTTTGAGTATAACTTCATCTCTTTCATGTTTATTGGCAGCCATTACAGCAGCCACTCTTTCAATATCTGAGATTTCGTCGTTGCCAGCAGCAGCAGCAGAGTACTTTGGTCGCGAGGAAGAGACTTGGGCGGATGCAGATTGAGCTGAGCGGGTTTCGGCGTGCAAGAGCAGTTTTTGGACGCGCTTGACGGCGGACATGAAGGGAGTTTTTGTCGAGATGTAGATGATTTTGGGGTGCTGGGAGGAGGCGTATTGGGTGGGGATCGGTGGGCGAAGGAGGGGGCGCTTTTCTACTCTGTAGTCTGTGGTGTGTTAGTGGGTTGGAGGTGAAGGTGTAAAGGTGTGGGCGTGACCTTTTGGCAGACGTTGCATCTTTGATTTGCGCTGCGAAGACTTTGAGTTAGTCTGCGGCATGATTGATGCAGTCTGTGGACGTGTCGTGGTGTGTTGTTATGGGATTGACAGGCAGAACATCAAGGTTGTGCAAGATTTAAAAAACCGCGGGCTTGGATGACGAAGGCTTCGGCTTCGGCTTCGGCTTCCAGTGCCTTGGCCAGGGGATTCGAGACTCTCGGGGCCTTGGACCAAAGACAATCAACACGACACGACACCAACACTTCAACTCACCAAGACATAATCGCCTGGACCCCACTCGGAATCAATCATAATCGCCCACACGACTAGACCTCACGCCTTGGACACGCGCATACACACACATCCCTCTAAGCCATGTCGGCAGCCACGTCGTCAATCCAGGACCGCACCACAGAGTTCCGCTCCATCCTCCAACAACAACAAAAACGACTCGCCCACACAACCACTCCCCAGTCTCGACAACACCTACTCCCAAACAATGGTCAACCCTCGGCGCAACCCACCCGCAAACAGCGCAGCGAATTCGCCCGCAAAGCCGCCGACATAGGCAGGGGCATCGCTGCCACCGTCGGCAAACTCGAGCGCCTGGGTCAGCTCGCCCGCCGCAAAACCCTCTTCGACGACAAGCCCGTCGAAATCGCCGAACTCACCTATGTCATCAAGCAAGACCTGGCTGCCTTGAACCAACAAATCGGTGCCTTGTCCACCATCAACAAAGTTGCCCACCCGAAAGGCGGCCTGGACCAACAAGGCCAACACAACGAAAACGTCGTCGTCATGCTGCAAAGCAGACTCGCAAACGTCGGTGGAAACTTCAAAGAAGTCCTCGAAGTGCGCTCCAAGAACGTCCAAGCCAGCCGCTCCCGTCAAGACAATTTCGTCTCTACAGTCGCAAACTCGGGGCATCTGGTGGCGCCCCAAGCGCGCAGCGACTCTCCACTCTACGCGCCTCCATCGCGGGGTCGCTCTCCCCAACCACCATTAACCCAAGGCCAAGATTTACTCACTCTCGACGCACCCACCTCGGCCTCGTCAGCACTCACCCGCGGCGTCCAATCAGAACAGCAAATGCTGCTCTTGGAAGAAGGAAACCAAGAAAACGGATACATACAGCAGCGCGGCGAAGCCATCGAAGGCATCGAACGCACAATCGCAGAACTCGGCGGTATCTTTGGCCAACTGGCTCAAATGGTCAGCGAGCAGAGTGATATGATTCAACGCATCGATGCGAATACGGAAGATATCGTGGACAACGTCGAGGGTGCGCAGAGGGAACTCATGAAATACTGGTCAAGGGTGCAGGGGAATAGGTGGTTGGTCGCAAAGATGTTTGGTGTTTTGATGATCTGTGAGTATCTCCTTCTGTCTTTTTCTTCGTGTTTCTCGATTGCTGACTTTTGCTCATACAGTTTTCTTGTTATGGGTGCTCATCGCTGGTTAGATGCGCATGTACTGAATCCCCGAGGCGTACGGTCATTTTCTTCTGGAGTCACTTTTTTGCATCACTCAGCCCCGACAATGGGCACACTTTTACAATTGGGAGAATTTCACATCAACCCGAGCAACACAAGGGTAAGCTTTAGAGTGCTGCTCTTCTTACCTCGTCTCTCCGGGTCCTTCTTTGCAAAACCCAAGCTCTAGACTTTTCTTGTGATAATACCTTTTTTTTTTCTTCTTCTTCTTTCCCTTCGGCATCCTCTGAGCAGGGTGTACTAGTCAAATACCATTCTGTTGAATCTGCGTATACTGAAGAGACAAACTTATAATGTTCGATGGCAACAATTCGATAAAGTAATCGATACACTACACAGAACTCCTATCTATGCAGAAAGAAAAAAAAGAGTAAAAAACACCTGTCAAAACACATTTGCACAAAGAACATAGGTCTTTCAATACATGGGAACGATCGGGTCTTCCTAGGCAAACTAGATCCTTCCTTTTGTTTGGTCACGAAAAAAAAACACCTTCTCGTCTATGGCGAATCCTAACACTCGCCATCTTCTCAACCTTGAAAATTTACGAGAGATGGTTTGTCCCAGCCACTTCCCGGAGAAAATATTACAACAGATGTACCTCAAACCCCTTTGCAATCCAGATAATCATGTACATCATTTTTGTTCGCCGTAGCTCTCCTCGGTCGTTTAGAAGACGTACTGTGAAGCATGTCAGTAATCTGGTCAATATCATGGGGAACGAAGGAACTTACAGGGATGAAAAGGTAAGGGCAACGTCTCTCATATTCCTTCCAAGCATCGCCGTACTTCTCCTTGCAACGCTGAATATCACGACTGGCACGGTGCACAATCATGAGTCCAAAGAAGACAGGGTAGAACCAAGGGAAAGGCGAGTTGAAGCCCGTGATCATGCCCCAGCAAAGAGCAAAGTACATGTCGCAGGTGTAGTGGATCTTGCGAGCGTACTTGTACCAGCCATCGCAGAGAAGAGCGTTGCCAGTGTCGGTATCGATCTTCTGGGGGTTCTTGACGGCCTTCCAGGGGAGTTGAGGGAAGGTCTTGCGGTTGAGCTCGTAGCCACGCTCTTGGGCACGAAACATGTTCTTCTGCGAGTTGCCGGTGTCCCATACCCAGTAGGCGAAGAGGTAGCTGGTGAAGAACCAGGCGAGAACGGGCCAGGAGTGCGAGTACACCTCAGGGTTGTGGTTGGCCAGGAAGATGGTGCAGTGGCAGTAGGATAAGGGCACACCAGCCAAGTTCCAGAAGATGAGCATGAAACCCCACTTCTCGTAGTACATGTCCCAAGTGGTGGGGATCATCTCTTCACCCTTGCAGCAGGCATTGGCGTACAAGAAATGAGCCATGAGCAAGAAAGCCATCTCGCCAGTGACATAGCCGTACATCTCGTACTGACGAGCGCATCCTCCGAGCGTGACAAGGAACAAGATGAACCAAGGCAGGCGGACCTCGAAGAACATCTTGAAATCGAGCAAGCCAAACATACGAGGGTTCAACTCGGCTCCCATGAAGAAGTCGTAGATGTGGTGGCCAGTCATTCTGTGCTGAGCACCACGCATGAAAGCAGAGACGTAGGCAACAACTGAGACGATGAAGCCTGAGAGGATAGCGACTGACATGATAGGGCCGAACTCGTCGATCAGGGTGTAGAGCTTGAAAAGGCCAGTGACGTGGAGAGTCAAGGCGGCAACAATGGTGAGGTAAAAAGACCAGACACCGGAGCAATAGTAGACAAGTTGCTTGTCGCCCATGTGAGGCAGAGGCTTGCCCTTTGAGTAAACACCAGGCATGACCAGATACAAGATGCCCTCGACGACGAAGAAGGTCCAGTAGATGATCCATGCCCTGGCGTGAGGGAAGGCACCGTTGTATGCCAGGCTGAAAAGCTGCTTGCCAAAGTCGGACCACGATTGATCGCAAGACTCGCGCTTAGGGAAGCCGCCATCGTAGTAGGTTGCGCCAACCCACATGTACCACATGAGGATGGGGAAACCGATCATCATGGCAGTGACTCCGGCGCTGCCACCAAACTCGTAGTGAGGATCCGCGTCCACCTTGGGGTCGGTACCCTCCAACCAGCCATCGATGATGCGCGGCTTCCTCTCCTTCTTGGACAAGCCATTGGCGTGCCTGTTGTTCTTGACCTCGCTGGCAGGGGCGTCGACAAGGGGAGTCCTGGAGCCGACGATTGAGGGCGACGGCGAGGCAGTACGAGCCGAGTCGGCTGTCTTGCTGCGCGACGAACGCTTTCTCGACGGTGTTTCGACATAGCCCTCGGGCAGTTCAGGCTTTCTGTTGACTCGGTGTAAACAGACGCCATCTGTATGCATAAGACACGCGTTTTGCACTCACCTGGGCGTCTTGCCCGTCTGGCTCCTCGTGACGGTCATGATGTGGCAATAGCAACAGCGATTGTTGTCTTGGGAAAGATGCCGGTGGCCAGTAGATGGAAGTCACGGAGGACTCGATATTCAATCTCCGTTGTTATTTTCCCGCGACCCTCGGACCCACTTCTGCCCAAACTTTGTATTTACATCGTCATCATTTTATCCATTTCTCATTTCCTACATCTGCCGGACCAATTGTGATTTTTGAACTTTTCTGATCATTTATTTCATGTCTGTTTAGCTGTATGTAGATGGACGTTCGCTTTCCGTCCAGAGGTATAATCACAAATGCAATGCAGTAGAGGCCCTCGTTGAACGCCGCATGTCGAATTTCCCAAATCATTCCTAGTCATCAAGCACCTCGTCTGGCCGTCGTGCTCATCAGCGTAATCTTCTTGCCCTTCTTCTTGCCTTTTGCAGCACTTGCAGCTTTGCTGGAAGAAGACGGTCCTTCGCTCAGACTTGCTGCCTGCACTCGAGCAATCAAATCATCATCCTGTGACAGTTCCCTCTCCCATCCGTCCAGCCAGCCATCATCCATGTTTCCATGATGTTGGAGGGCGGCGAGTTCAGGACTGCTTAACGCGATTGCGTTGGTGCCCCATACTGTTCTTGACGCAGCTGGGCTTGTGCCGGGCGACGCGAGGGACGCATAGGCAGAGCCTTGTGGCCGGTTGCTGTTGCTCCAGGGTGGTGATGAGGAAGATCCTTGGCCATCGAAGGAGCCTGCTACATCGGAACCGTTCGCACCCAGCGGGATGAAGTCGTCTGGTCGGAATTTGCTTTCGGTGGGGATGCTAATCCTTCTTCGCCGAGCGGCTGCAAACTCTCGATCTTCAGCCTTCTCTGCACGAACACGTTCCTTCTCTTCCCGTGCTTCTTTGTCTGTGTTTCGTTTGCGGCGTCTTTCGATCTCGCCCTGGAACTGTTCAAGGATTGCTGGCGGAACGGTGTCGGTCCAGTCACATTCCAAGAAGGTGACCTCACATCCATAAGGTAAGTGTCCGAGGTACTTGACTCGCTTGCGCAAGTCATCGTCGACAATATGGCCTGTCGACACCCGCTCAACTCGGGGAAGTATTGAGGAAGGGAAGTTGTCGTAGCTTCCAAACGCTGCCTTCAGAATACGAATATCCAGTGAAGACAAATAGTAATGTAGAAGTCCTTGGTAGAAGAAGTAAGTGTCTGGTTGACGCTCTGCATGTTGGCGAGCACGGAAATCGGCTAAAGATGTCGAGAGAATACTAGTTGTAGGATCGTCCTGCTTAGTGATGGCCTCTTTCTCACTAGAATCTGTTGGTCCGGTTTGTCCATTCGGCAGACTCTGGCCGGATTTCAAGGCGTGTTGGATAGCGTACATCTCCGGTACACCATCGTTAGTCTGATTGAACTGAATGGCTGGCTTCTTTTGCTCCGGCTCCTCTGGCTTCTTGGGTGCTGCAGGTGGATTTCCAATGCCCTTGATCCTTTCTTTTGCCTCGTTCAGGTTGCGTACTGCTTTGCTGGTCCATTGGGTATCATCTCCGAACATGACTTCATCCTCTTGTTCCATGGCCCTGACATTCTGAATCTCCTCGTCCAGTTGGGCAAGCATGTAATCTTCACCGCCCTTCATGACGCGAGCATAATCCATAACCTCGGCAGCAAAATACCATGGAATGTCGTCTCCTTTCCCAAGGGCGTCGGGACTCTCCCTAGGCATGGCAAGAGTAGAACCAGCAGGACGTTGTATCAGACGCAGTACCACGTCATCACCCTCTCTCGGAGGCTCAAACTCGGCGCCAGTATACCAACGAACCGGTCTTGTCTCTGATACGTAGATGGAGTCGTAGCAGATTGGGCACTTCTTCCAGCGTGCCTTCTTATCGGCTCCAGAAGCATTGCCATCATCTGAATGCATGTACCGAATCAAGCAAGGCAAGCAGAAAATGTGACCACACTTGGCCATTCTTGGGGCGGTGGGCGTACCCAGACAGATAGGGCAAGCGGAAGACTGCGACTCAGTCGAAACAAGAATCTGCAGAACATTGTTCCAGTCAATGTGGATATCAGCATCGACGCGTTGAGCTCGATAGTCGGCTCGAGGGTCGACAACGAAACGATAGTTGGCGTGAACGTATCTAGAAAGAATCAGCAGGGCCGAGGGAGAGCGAATGATCCAAGAAGACATACCTTGCCTTATCCACAGCATGATATCCTGAGCCCAAACCCCAGGTGGGGTTGCGTCGAGGACGACCCGAGGCATATCTGGAGTTGTGCTGATGTGCTTGAGGGCGTGGCGGAAGGGAAAAGTTCATGAGATGGGTGATAGAAGTCTGACCCTTGCGACTGCTGGTGGATTGCATGGCGGCCTGTGGCAAAGTGAGCAAGGTTGGAAGCTTGCTAACTGGATGGTTGTGTTACTTACGGATTCAGCAAGAGCATCCTCATCCGCGAGTCTGAACTTCTTCGATTGCTTGTGCTTCGCTTTGGCACTCTGATTGCTGCGCGGGGTCGACGATGGCTTCGAGCTAACGGCGTTGGAGCTGCCTGAACCGCCACTTCTACGTTGACCAAGAACTTCTCCAAAGTAGGCGTTGGTCTGGGAGATCGAGGGTGTCGATTGATTCGAGAGGCCGACAGATTTGGAGGGGTTGAATGCTTTGGCCGAGAGAGCAGTTTGCGGGTTCGAAGACATGGCGGACGCAGAGAGAAGCCGAGATGATGTCGTTAAACGCGTCAAAGAAGAGACACTGCCGCGGTCGAACAAGCAAAACTCTAGTCAACAAAAAGACTGAACACACTGCGAGTGGCGTATATGTAGAATTGGAGGTTGCGATCTTCCGACCGGCCCAGAGGGTGTCGACAAGACGGTTCAAGAGAAAGGAAAAGGCGATAGCGAGGAGGGAGGCAATTGCTCATCGCTCCGAGACACCGAGATGGCGGCCCCTCGCACGCACGTCACATGCATGCGATAAAGGCCGTCAGAGAAGTTCTTAGTCACCACATGCCAAGCACCTGCTTTTGGTCATGCTCTGACAACTATGTCTGGTTCATCTGATCATAGAGATACCCGAATATGGCAGAGCAGAGGAACCGATTATCTGCAATGATACTTATGGTTCAGCACTTCTAAGAGTCAGGTAAGTACCTTGAACACGGTATTGTGTCTCCAAGTCCAACTAGCAACATGTACCACCCTATCTAACTGTTCGATAAGTAAACGCTCCACGCTTTGTACCGACATCCAGCCATTCAGGGTTCAAAGTGCTTTGCTTCTAGCAAATGCTGCAGAGTCACTGAACAACAATCACCATTTTTGATCATCAAGATGTTGATCGAAGAATCTTACGAGGATGTAGCCACCAAGGATGGCGGAAACATGCGTATGTAGAAGAAAATGAACCTCCTAGACTTCCTGTCGCTGATGCTTTCAGGCGTGTTTACCTGGCACCCAACGGTGCCCAACTATCCCAAGGCCAAATTTCCTGGTGTAGTCGTCTTCAGCGAGATCTACCAAGGTAAATTACTTGATCTAGTATACGACTGGATGGAGGGTTGTATTATTCCTTGCATCAGAACTCAAGTTGACACTATTCATCAGTAACTGGACCTGTTGCTCGTTTCGCTAAGCAGATTGCTGGTCAGGGTTACATTGTTGCTGCCCCGAGTAGTTACCACGAGTTTACTGGGCCCGAACCTCTTGAATACGATGGTCCTGGCACTGACAAGGGAAACGACTGGAAGGTCGCCAAAAAGCTCGCTGCTTACGATGAGGATGCTGAACTGAGTGTCTCGCTGCTCCTGTCTCTTGAGACCTGCAACGGTAGAATTGGAGCAACTGGAATGTGCCTTGGAGGTCATCTGGCATACCGATGTGCTTTGGACAAGCGTGTTAGCGCTGCTGTCTGCTACTTTGCTACTGATATTCACTCTCAAACCCTTGGTGCTGGCAAGAATGACGACTCTCTGGCCAGAGCAAAGGATATCAAGGGTGAACTAGTCATGGTATGCATTCGACCTCAAGTCACAACATGTTCGCGTACTGATACTCAACTAGATCTTCGGCAAGAAGGACAACCATGTGCCACCTGAGGGCCGCGATCTTATTCGCAAGACTCTGCACGAGGCCGGCATCTGCTTCAGCTTCTTCGAAGCCGCCTGGGCACAACACGCCTTCATCCGCGACGAGATGAGCAAGGGACGCTACGACCCTGGACTTACCAAGATCTGCTTTGAGATGCTGTTGGAACTGTTCAACCGCACACTGAGATCTGATCTCGGTCCCAGAGTTGGAGGCGAGCAGGAGATTGAGGATGTCTGCTGAAGAAATAGCCGGACTCCAGCATACTCAATCCAAAGATGATAGTCATGTTAAATTTCAGTTACCAATATCTATATGCACAAATACATATATCAGCTGGATAAGGAACAAAGCTACTTACTAGATAGCATTGTTAGAGATATAACACAGACGACGATGGACCTGCCGCAAACGTATAGGCGGTCGACTCTATCAGGCTGCCATACTGAGTCTTGCGGCAGCAATTACATTATTTATGTGGCCTTCCACTTAGTGAATTGTTTGCTCGTCGAAGTGAGGCGGCCCAATCGAGTTAGTGCGAAATTTCTTCGCCAAGCGCACAGTCCGTCCACCCCGACCGATATTCAATTCAGCTGCGTCGCGACTTCTCCTTCTTTTTTCGACGACGAGCCTTTCAACGTAAGCGCGACGACTGCCCACGCTCATTTTCATTCACTAACCAGTTGCAAAGCCGACCAACGTTAATTCAAAGTCGACAACATGGCCAGAGGACCCGGGTAAGCATCTGCCACGACCGGACGGTGTCGAATTTTCGCATTGGACCGCGACACACGACTCTTGCGCAAACTTCTTACACACTCTGCAGAAAGCACCAGCACCGCCTGTCGGCACCTTCGCACTGGCTGCTCGACAAACTGTCGGGCGCCTACGCCCCCAAGGCCTCGCCCGGTCCCCACAAGCTCAGAGACTGCATGCCTCTGATCGTCTTCATCCGTAACCGCCTGAAGTACGCCCTCAACGGCCGCGAGACCAAGGCCATTGTCATGCAGCGCCTCATCAAGGTCGATGGCAAGGTCCGCACCGACGCCACCTACCCCGCCGGCTTCATGGACGTTATCTCGATCGAGAAGACTGGCGAGAACTTCCGCCTCGTCTACGACACCAAGGGCCGCTTCACCGTCCACCGCATCACCGCTGAGGAGGCCGAGTACAAGCTCGGCAAGGTCAAGCGCGTCCAGCTTGGCAAGGGCGGCATCCCATACTTGGTTACGCATGATGCACGCACGTAAGTCTGCATCTATCAGCCGTTGGATCAAGCTTTGGCGATACGGAAAAAAAAGTATACAAGGACAAGAACTGAATTTTGGTGAATAGTATCCGCTACCCCGACCCCGCCATCAAGGTCAACGACACCGTCAAGATCGACCTCTCCACCGGCAAGGTCTCCGACTTCATCCGCTTCGACACTGGTGTTATCGCCATGGCCACCGGTGGTCGCAACATGGGTCGTGTTGGTGTCATCACTCACCGTGAGCGCCACGACGGTGGTTTCAACATCGTCCACATCAAGGATGCCATTGACAACGAGTTCGCTACCCGTGAGAGCAACGTCTTCGTCATTGGCCGCGAGAAGCCTTGGATCTCGCTCCCCAAGGGCAAGGGTGTCAAGGTTCGTAGAATTGGATTTGAGAGTATGCGGAACCATAGCTGACATGATCTGCAGCTCTCCATTGCTGAGGAGCGTGACCGCCGCCGCGCCCACGCCATCGCTGGCAACTAAACTAGCTGACCAGCTTCTAGGTTCATGGGGTTCGTTGGTTGATGTGTTGGAGGGTTTCATGCATCAGGCAGCACAAAAAGGCGTCTGGGGAGCATGTTGTTCAGAAGTTTTCACGCGATGTGCCATGCAGCACTTTCGTAGCTCTACGACAAAAGAAAGATATCCAAGCTCACAGCCTCGCGCCCAAAATGATTGATGACTTTTTTTGCATTAACCTGTGTGAAATGTGAACGGTGTCTTCTGAAATGCAGGAATGTGTCAGCCTATTTGTAGATGATCAGCGTCGTAAGCTGTGGTCCCTGCTCGAGGTGAAGATGCAGTGGATTGCCCTTGCAGAAGTGGTAGTTGTCTCGGGCTCTCAAAAGCGGGAATGCGAGTGCCTTGGGTTAAGCCTTGGGGTATGTGAGTGCCTTGGGTTAAGTTAAGCCTTGGGGCAGTCGCGTTCGGTGACGTTGCGGCGTTGGTCGGGCGTTGTCACGGCGGTGCTCGGCAACTTGCAAGTGGACGGTCGATACAGTTCCAACTCCTAGGATATTGCTGCTCTCTATTTAACACTCTCTTTGGTCCCCGCTTGCTGCCCCCTCATTTCCGCCGTGAGCAGGGTGACTTCCTTCCTTCTGGTTTCGCCGTTCTCAGTGAAGCCCAATACCACACACCGAGTACACCCCAGCATCCGCAGCCACCATGTCGCTCCACTCGACGCGCAATGTCGACATGGGCAAGTATGTATTGCTCTGTCGCGAACTGCGCTGTACATACTGACCAACTCTCAGGCAAGAGACGGAGTTGGCCATCAACATCCGCAAGGCCACCACTATCGGTATGGCTCGCGACCAATGCATGCTTCTTGGACCCAGGCTAACACTGCACAGAGGAGACGGCTCCGAAGCGTACGCTACCCATGCATCCCACTTCCATACTCGACTAAAGACAGCTTCAGGAAAACACGTTCGAGCATGCATTGTCTACACCTACGACCACCGCAGTTCGCAGTCCTTCTGGGCTGGCATGAAGGTGTAAGCAACAGTCACTGCCCGCGACTGCCACAATCATACTGAGTCGTCATTGCAGTCAACCCATCATGGCCGACGAAATCCAGACCTTCAAGGCTCTCATTACCATCCACAAGGTCCTGCAGGAAGGCCATCCCATCGTTCTGAAAGAGGCTCAGGCACACATCGGCTGGCTGGAAAGTCTGTCGCGTGGCGTCGCAGGTGGTGATGGCATGAAGGGTATGTTCCGACCGGTCTGCATATATGCCAGACCCGGCTGACGACTTCCAGGATACGGCTCTCTGATCTCTGAATATGTTTACTACTTGATCGCAAAGCTCAACTTCCACAGAAACCATCCCGAGTTCAATGGTACTTACTCCGAGCAGCAGACGAGGATGCTACTGACGTGGGTATAGGAACATTCGAATACGAGGAGTACATCAGTTTGAAGTCAATTAACGACCCAAACGAAGGGTGAGCATTGGCCTGCGGCATGTGCACCAGTGGTTTGCTGACTTTGGCACAGATACGAGACCATCTCCGACCTTATGAACCTCCAGGATCAGATTGAGACATTCCAGAAGCTCGTTTTTGCTAACTTTAGAGGCGGGCTGAACAACGAGTGCAAGATCTCATGTCTGGTACCCTTGGTACAGGAAAGCTATGGAATCTACAAGTTCATCACCAGCATGCTGCGTGCCATGCATACCGCTCTCGGAGACGACGAAGTCCTCGCACCTCTCCGCGGACGTTACGATGCCCAACACTACCGCCTGGTCAAGTTCTACTACGAGTGCTCAAACTTGCGCTACTTGACCAGTCTGATTACAATTCCCAAGCTGCCGCAGGATCCGCCAAACCTCCTCGGCGACGACGAGGACAGGCCCGCTCTCCCTGCCAGACCCAAGAATGAACCTGTCACCAAACCCGCCGATACACCTCCGCGCCAGCCTTCTGTAGATCCCGAACCGATCAACGAGTTCTGGAAGAACGAGCAAGCTCGTCAGCAAGAAGAGTATGAGGCAGAGCAAAGAAGGCTGCAGGCACAATGGGACGAGGCTCAAAGACAACAGCAACAGGCTTCTCTGCAGGCTCAGAGAGATTTCGAAGAACAACAAAGACTACAAGCCGAACAGCAGAGATTGGCCCAAGAGCAGTTGATGCGCGATCAGTACTCGCAACAAACTCAGGGCAGAATGGCTGAACTGGAGCGTGAGAATCTCAATGCGCGCGCACAGTACGAACGCGATCAGCTCATGCTTGAGCAATACGACAGACGCATGAAGGCTCTCGAGGGAGAACTACAGCAGTTACAAGTCAACTTTGGCCAACAAAACGCCTCCAAGGACGAACAGATCCGTGCTTTGCAGGAGCAGATCAACACCTGGAGGACCAAGTACGAGGCTCTGGCTAAGCTTTACTCTCAGCTGCGTCACGAACATCTCGAGCTTCTTCAGAAGTTCAAGGGTGTTCAACTCAAGGCGGCTTCGGCCCAAGAAGCCATTGACAGAAGAGAAAAGCTGGAGAGAGAACTCAAGACCAAGAACCTGGAGCTTGCCGACATGATTCGCGAGAGAGATCGTGCTCTTCATGATAAGGACCGCTCAACTGGCGGCCACAAGGACGACCTTGAGAAACTTAGACGCGAGCTGCGCTTTGCTCTTGATAAGGCAGAAAATGCAGAGAGATCAAAGGGTTCCGAGCTTTCTTCCCTTCTTTCCAGGCACAACAGAGAGATTGCAGATCTCGAGGAGGCCCTGCGCAACAAGACAAGAGCTCTGGATGATGCTCAGAACAAGTACGGCGAGCAAGATTCTGATCTTGAGAGACTTCTCCGCGAGAAGGAGGATGAGCTCGAGATCTTCAAGGCTGGCATGGACCAGACACTGTTGGAGCTGAATGAACTCCGCAACGGACAGGGTGAGACAGACCAAGCCCTTGACGAGCAGATTGACACTCTGCTTCTTGACAGTGTTCGCAAGATCACTGACATTATTGATTCCGTGCTCCAAAGCGGTGTCCAGCGTGTCGACGACGCTCTCTACGAGTTGGATTCCACCATGCAAGCAGGAAACCAAAGTGCTTCTGGTGCCTTTGTTTTGTCGACCATCGAGAAGGCTGCATCGAGTGCGATGGAGTTCTCGACTGCCTTCAACAATTTCATTGCCGATGGACCCAACAGCACTCATGCCGAAGTCATCCGCACTGTTCACACTTTCTCCAACTCTGTCGCGGATGTCCTTTCCAACACCAAGGGACTGACTAGATTTGCTTCTGATGAGAAGAAGGCTGATCAGCTGGTGAATGCTGCACGCCAATCGGCACTCAGCACTCTCAGCTTCTTCCGCTCTATTCAGAGCTACCGTCTTGACGGACTGGATGATCTGCAGAAGACTGATGTCGTCATCAACAAGAACAACGAGGTTCAGATTAACCTGAACAGCTTGTCTAAGATTGCTGATGCATTCGCTCCCAAGCACAAGATTACCTCTGCTTCCGGCGATCTTGGTGATCTCGTTGATCGCGAGATGGCCAACGCCGCCAAAGCAATTGAAGCAGCTACTGACCGTCTTACTGCATTGATGAACAAGTCCAGAGATGGATACTCAACCTACGAGCTCAAGATTCACGACGCCATCCTCGGCGCTGCTATTGCAGTGACCAACGCCATCGCGAAACTGATCAAAGCGGCCACCGACTCTCAACAGGAGATTGTTAAGGAAGGCCGTGGATCTTCCATGTCCAAATCCGTAAGTTCTTACATCATGCGACTCGTTTGACTAAAGCTAATCGTTGTTTCAAGAATTTCTATAAGAAAAATAATAGATGGACAGAAGGCCTCATCTCTGCTGCAAAAGCTGTCGCTAACAGCACGAATCTGCTCATCGAGACTGCAGATGGTGTGATTGGAGGTCGTAACTCACCCGAGCAACTGATCGTTGCATCCAACGATGTAGCAGCATCTACTGCTCAGCTGGTCGCTGCCAGTAGAGTCAAGGCCAGCTTCATGAGCAAGACTCAAGAGAGACTGGAAGACGCCAGCAAGGCTGTCACCACTGCATGCCGCAGTCTCGTCAAGCAAGTCCAGGCAATCATTGACGCTCGTGCCAATGGCGAAGAACTCATTGACTACTCCAAGCTGTCAAAGCACGAGTTCAACAGATCGTACGTATTCCTGACTCCCTTCTACAATGAACAAATCACTAACGTTTTCTTCCCAGACACATGGAGAAGCAAGTCGAGATCCTGCAGCTCGAGAACGCACTTGGCAGAGCACGAAAAGATTTGGGCGAGATGCGCAAGCTCGCTTACCAGGAGGATGAGGAATGAGTGTTTTCATAAAAGCCTCTTTTTCCGTCTTGTCTGTGATACCAAATCAAGCTTTTTGTTTGTTGTTGTATTGTAATTACATATATCTTTGCTTGTTGTAAATCTTCTGACCTCGCTTCACATATGTTAAGTGACCTGTGTACTGTGAAGGCTTTTACTCGGTTGTTTCTTAGACTAGAGCGTGGAGATGCTTCTCTCCGTGTGTTGATGTCTGTCATACTCGACTGTAGAAATGCAGAGTATTTACTACATTATGATTGACTCCAGTGAGAGAATATAAACTAGCCTATCTCGATGGACAAGCCCCTAATCGCCAAAACACCATGCCATTTCATAGTGGCAGAACTAGTTAGATGCGTTTGCGAGATAAGACTGAACGACTTGTTACACTCTCTCCTCGCGCGAAGACGTGTTGCAGGGTATCCATAGAAAGGCACAGAGTTAGCCAGATCAGAGATAACCCCAAAGAGAGCCGGGAGTAAGTCGCTTCTCCATGGGTATCATGGTGTCTCTCAAAACTATCATGCAGTTACACACGGGGAAGGAAAGAGCGATATAGCGGAGAGCGACTGCTTAATTTGGTTTACATGCCATATCATAAGCTGCCATCGTTAGGATGTGTCTACTTATTTACTCTAAGTACAGATAATTTACTCTACAGTACTTAAATCAATACCATAAGGCAAGTTCTCAGCCGGAGGTAAAGGAGGAGCACCGACACCATCATAAGCTAGCGGCACATTAGGGTTCATAGGCGGCTGCACAAAGCCTACACCACTGTCGATCAAGTCCTTGGGGTTGGTAGGACGCTTAGGGAAGACGTTCGGCACACCCTCCCAGACTTTCACACCCGAGAACTTGACGCCAGTATCCAAGGTAGAGTTCTGAAGTGTCTCGGGGAACTGGAGGTAGAAGCCCATACGAGTGGAATCTTTGTACCAGTAATAGATGTGTGTAGAGATGGTAAGCACATCATTAACGTATACCTCGAAGAAACTGCCATCCATAAAGGCGCGGATGTTAAGGCTTTGAATGGAGTAGGAGGTGTTTCCTGCAGAGTCTGTAGAGGAAATGTTCCACAGGCGTAATTTGCCCATTTCTGGGTCGGTGTTGACGTTCGAGGATCCGAGAGCTACGTTGCGGGTTATCATGAAGGTTTCGTTGGAGGGGCGGTAAAGCATTGCTGCGTCGTCGATGGAAGGGAGGACGAGGGGAGGTGGATGGTGGCGGTAGACATTGCCAGATGCACCTTCCCGGTCGAACTCAAGGTGTAGTGCCTTCCTTGAAGCTTCGTAGAAGTAAGCATGTGAAGATGGCAAGCAGGACGGTGCATGAGGTGCACCTTCCAAACCTGTGCACACTGTTCTTGCGAAGCTACCTCACACCTCCTCAATGCTCTCTCTCTCTCATCTCCTTCATCCTCTTCACATCTGTCGTTTTATCAGCCACATCGACCCATACTACCTGTTTTGTTGTTTGAATCACACCCGTCAATTTGTCGATGGAGTCCTTCGCCTTGCCGCCAGCTATTGCGGCAGAGTACGCCGAACGTCGATCCAGAGTGAAATCGACATACCGCTCCAACTTGGAGCGTCTGCACAAATGCAAAATGTCCCTGCAATACAGAATTGCTATGGAGGACCCCGTCGATCGTACATTTGATTTCGACGCCGGCACTCATTTCGCCATGAAGACGTTACTCCCACAGACCATCAAGCTTCTCGCCGCCGAGACCAAGCCGTCGGTTGATGACCTACTCGAGTTATCTTGGGTCGATACGAAGAATCCGGGCGTCTATGGCGGCCTTGCCTGGTACACACTCCCCGACGGCACCAAAGTCTATGTGTTGAAGATCGGAAACGCCTGGGCTCACCTGGGTGGCTTGAAAGGGAGGCGTAACAACCATACCAACGAGCAAACTTCAATTAAATAGTAAGTCGATTCCGCTCCTATCGTAGGTCGATACTGATCTTGTTATTTATAGCGCCAGCACCGGCAGCAAATTCCATGGCTGGATCCAGAAGGCCCAAGCTGCGGGTTATGAAGTCAAGATCCACTGGTTCACCTTGGCCGTCGGCGAAGCCTTCAAGCGAGTCGATCCAGAGGATGACTGGATGCCTGCGAGGTTTTATCAACTGGAAGCTATGTTGTCCGCAGCCTTCGGCGCGTCGATGGACAGTATGAAGAACAAGACCTATCTCGCTATGAAATGGTGGCCTTTCGTCGATGACGATGCCACTCCACCGTGGACCGGCGTCGATGGACACAACGCACTTGAAGACAATTGGCCGCCACCTCCTGAGAGCACCGAGGCCAGGGACGATCGACTTCGGTGTCCGTACGAGGACTGTCCTCGTCATCAGCCTGGACAGGGGATGTATGATCTGAGCAGTCTCAGGAATCATATGTCTCTCCACGAAGAAGGAAAGTTTAGCAACAAACCCAGCAAATGTTTCGATCCAAGATGTACATATGACCGCCTGATCGACGCCGATGGCGAGACCCGTGGGAAACCCGTTCAATGGTCGATATTCGAGAAGCACGAAGCCCAGCACATCAATGGAACAGTCGAGTGTGGCGCCTGTGGTTTGAAGTTTGACAATGGTTCCTCGCTTCTGTATCACGTCGATAATTTTTGCGTTGTCGACGACGCATCATCGATTCATCAGAAATACATCGACGACCTACCACCAGACCCAAAGAAGGCTGATCTCGTTTGCGATGATTGGCGTTGCGGTGTCAGGTACCGGTACCGGTATCCTGACGCTTTCCAGGTCCACCTCCAGAGTCACGTCGATGGCACTCGTGTGTGCGGTGACTGCGGCCTCAAGATGCACTTCCAAGGTATAGCTTTACACAGGAAGGATTATTGCCCGCGTCGATTCGACCAGGACAAGGTGGTCATCATTACTCACTGGACGTGTCCGGAAAGCCGCTGTGGACTTTCCATGTCCATATTGCAAAAGTCGGCTATTGCCCTTCACGAAGTCTCGCACCCTATCGACGGACCGCACCGTTGCTCAGACTGCCAACTGCCTCACGCAAGTCTCGGTGGTCTCGGCCAACACAAACATCGCGGATGCTACAACAAGAAGTCTGAGGTCGAGGTTGATGTCGATGAGCAGGAGGTTGAGGTCGAGGTCGATACGGAAGAAATCGAGGTTGTTCCCCGTATGACGCGTGCTGCAGCCAAGCGCAAGCGTCAGGGTTGAGGGTTGAGGGTCAAGCTTTCTCATGAGTCGATCGAAAGAAATTCATTGCTTGTAAGGAGGGACTTGTGGGTCGATCGAAAGGAAATTATTGCTTCTACTCATGGCTAAATTGTATGGACGGGCGGTCGATGTTGCTCTGCAAACGTTTTATATGGCGGGACTTTTAGGTCGATTGAGAGGAAATCATCATCAATGATTATAGCTATATAGGCTCGACAAGCAGTTAATATTAATCTATAAGCATACTACCTCTAGAGCAGAAGGCATTCATCATGGCATTGATATGGAGATTTCGGGAAATTCTGAAATTCATAAAGTCATAAAGCTAGGGTACGTGATAAATCCCCCCTTCCGGTAGATTATTCCCTAGGTCCTCGTCGATACTATACATCTTAATGTCCGTTCCTCATATGGACTCCTGTGATTTCCACGTCGATCTACCTCTGTAGGTAGTGGAGATTCTACTCCTCATCGACCTCATCGTCATCCTCATCGGCCTCAGCCTCGACCTGATCTTCATCCTCATCGACCTCAGCTTCGACCTGATCGTCATCCTCCTCGACCTCATCGACGTCTTCGATCTTAGGCTTGATCTTGATCTTCTGCTTTCCGGCCTTGACATCGACGTTGACCTTCTTCTTTCCAGCCTTGACATCGACGTTGACCTTCTTCTTTCCAGCCTTGACATCGACGGGTCCGTGGATGTACTTCCAAGCAGCCTCGACGCACTTCTGGACGCCTTTCTCATCCATACCAGCGTTCTTGCCGGTGCCGTAGTGCTTGATCATGCGGTCGAAGACGTTGTTGGTAAGGACGGTGTCCTCATTGAGCTCCTCATCGACCTTGGGGAAGGCCTTGCCACCCTTCTTCATGGCAGTGTCCCAGAGTTGATTCTGGATGTCGAGGAGTTGGATCGACGTAGCGGCGGCGGGATGGGCGGTACCCTTGGGCTTGAAACCCTTGGGTGGGTCTTTCCAGTCACCAGCGCGAATGCGAGCCCAGTTCTTCTTGATGACGAGATCGACGTCCTTCTTCTGACGACCTCCGTTGTCTCTGTAGGTGTCGTCGGCTTTCTTGTTGGCGTACTTGAACTTCTTGCGAGGTGTATCGACGGTGTTGACAGCCGACTGGGGGCGCTTGACAGCGGTGGAAGACTCAGCGCCAGCGGTGGCGGGAGTCGAGGCGGTGTGCTCGGGGAGCTTGATGGCAGTGGCATCGACGGCAGAAGCGCTCGATTCAGCAGTGCGATCGACGTAGAGATGAGTGTGAGCGGCCATGGAAGGCAAGTAGATAAGAGTAGACATGATGTTGTTGATGATGTGTGATTGAGTTGAGATGTAGGTGGGATGTAGGAAAGAGAAAGGGTGTGGAAGGATGATGGATGTTTATAAAGGACTAGAGAGTGAGTGAGTGAGAAGTAATACTTGATTTCATGCAGTGATTGCAGTTCGAGACGTGGAAGTGAAGCAGTAAGGTAGTGAAGCAGTGAAGTGTGTTCGGTTTGAGAAATGCACAATGATTTCGAGGAACAGGATAGTATCCATTGATTTACCTCGAATCTTGAAGGTGTACCTACCGTATTGGATGTCTCTGTATTCTGTCGGATCAAGAACAGTGAACAACTTCGAAAAATGATTACTGAGGGCAACCAAGATTTGAGCGGCACTCTATTCGCAGTTGAGATATATGCTTGTCTTGAAAACAGTCGCTTTATCAGAATGTAGGCTATTCCGGTGGTCCAGTTGTGAATTCGAAGATCTCAGAAAGGACCGACTGCGGGTTGGCTTGACACTTGGCAGGCATACTGCGAAGCAGCGCTCAAGACAAATAGCTGATGGTGGACGCCCGGAGACACATCACATAGGAGCACGCAGCGATGAGCAGGCAGATCATGGAACTGCGGGTGGAAAACAAAGAAATATAGATGGAAATGACGATGGTGGATAAGAATGATAAGAAAGCCGGGTGTGAGCCAATGGGAGAGTTGGATGGATTTTTTGCAACCATGACTCCACGGCGCCGACAATCGGCGGGCAAGCTTGGACTTTGGGCTTTTCCCACGAACCTCCACCACGTTGCTCTCTTCTTCTCCAGCTACAAGTCCTTCAACCCCCATACTGCCTGTTTAATCGCGGGCTGATATCGTCCTTATGCGTACTGCGCCCACCGTAACTACCAGCCAAGGTACATACACCCCGACACGCCCTCCATGCGTCTCTGAGCAATGACTAACTGCCTGCCAGACTACATTAGCGACCATCTCTGGAAGGCCAACGTGAATTAAGACTCCGCCACCTACAAGACCAATCTACCAAGTACACATCGACCCAATTACAATCTACACCACCAACATCAAAATGATCTCCGGCCTTGTCAAGTCTGCGGCCATGAGACCCGCCTCCGCCAGAGTCGCCAAGCTCGGCATGCAGGTCAGAGGTAACGCTTCAGTTGTCTCTGGCAGCCAGCGCGCTCCTCCTCTTCAGAACAGAAGATCCACTGCACCCTCATTCGAGCGTGCTACCTTCACTATCAGAGTACGCCTATTCGCCTTCTCGAATATCTCAAAGTCAATTGCTGACGGTACATGATAGGATGGTCCCATCTTCCACGGCAAGAGTTTCGGTGCCAAGACTAACATCAGTGGTGAAGCCGTCTTCACCACCTCTCTGGTCGGCTACCCCGAGTCCATGACCGACCCCTCGTACCGTGGCCAAATCCTGGTCTTCACCCAGCCCTTGATCGGAAACTACGGTGTCCCCTCGTCCGTTAGAGACGAGTACGGCCTGCTCAAGTACTTTGAGTCGCCCAACATCCAAGCTGCTGGTATTGTCGTCGCCGATGCCGCCCTCCAGTACAGCCACTGGACCGCTGTCGAGAGTTTGAGCGAGTGGTGCGCCAGAGAGGGTGTTCCCGCCATCTCAGGTGTCGACACTCGTGCCATCGTCACCCATTTGCGTGAGCAAGGTTCTTCGCTCGGCAAGGTTGTCGTTGGTGAGGAGTACGATGCCGACGAGGACGAGGCTTTCGAGGACCCTGGTAACATCAACTTGGTGGCCAAGGTCAGCACAAAGGCTCCCTGGCACGTTGCTTCGCCCGTCGGCGACATGCACGTTGCTCTCATCGATTGCGGTGTCAAGGAGAACATCCTGCGCAGTCTTGTCGCCCGTGGAGTCTCGGTCACCTGCCTTCCTTACGACTACCCCGTCCACAAGATCGCCAGCCACTTCGATGGTGTCTTCATCTCCAACGGCCCTGGTGACCCGACTCACTGCCGCACCACCAGCGACAACCTTCGCAAGCTGATGGACTCTTCTCAGATCCCCATCATGGGCATCTGTCTTGGCCACCAGCTTGTGGCCATGGCCATTGGTGCTCAGACCATCAAGATGAAGTACGGTAACCGTGCTCACAACATTCCTGCTCTCGACTTGATGACTGGAAAGTGCCACATTACCTCTCAGAACCACGGATATGCTGTTGATGCCACTACCATCCCCAGCGACTTCAAGGAGTACTTCATCAACCTCAACGATTCTTCCAACGAGGGTATGATCCACAAGCACCGTCCCATCTTCAGCACTCAGTTCCATCCCGAGGCCAAGGGTGGTCCACTCGACTCGAGCTACCTGTTCGACGCCTACGTCAACAGTGTCGCTCAGTACAAGAAGACTCAGTCCTCGCTCCACCCCAACATGGCCAACCGCCCCAGCCCTCTGCTTGTTGACCTGCTCTCCAAGGAGCGTGTCGGTGTTGCTCCCGGTCTGCCTCTCTACCAGCACCCTGAGCCCGTCACTGCATGATTTGGCAGTCCCTGAATTTTGTCTGGTGCGGGATGGCGTTTGGTCTTGGGAAGGTGATGCCTTTAGTTATATGAATATTCTCCAAATGGAACCCTATCAATTGATACAAAGCTCCGAAGGTTGCAAGTGAATTGTGAAGTCGGATGTTGAGTAACATCTGGTCAAGCATCGAGCAGATGGAAGCGGTCTCATGTGGGTCGTTGTATTTATTCCGGCTCAGGAGGCCTGACGCGGTGCTCACACAGGGCTAAGATGATGAAGCATCGGTGAAACAGACTTGGCAGGGGAATGAGCCCCTTCTTGACGCGCGCAACGGTCGGCAAACCACGTCAGCGCGCTCATGCACAGCCCGCCGCTCTTTTGTAGAAACGATTCGTATTCGTAGACTGTGTCGCAAATAGCATCCAGCTCTGACCGTCAGACAAAGGATCGTGCTTAGTGGAACAAAGAAAGCCGTGTGCTCTTGACCTTGTGCCTTCAAGCCTTCAGCGACCTAGCTACACATCTGACGCAAGCGCATGCCGCGCCGCCATATTGATTTCTCGACATAAGCGGGCTGCAGCACGACTGTAAACAAAATCGCACTCGGACAAGAAACTGCGTTATGGTCGTTTGTAACACAACAGCTGAAGAGACGACAAGTACGGTTGCCATGGGTTGTCACTTCCAGTATACTTGCTGACCGAACTGGCAGTTGTCGAGGATCCTCTGTTCGCCAAAGTCACCTTCCATCATGTCGGCCTGGTCATATCCGCCGTCTTTGCCCTCATCTCGGTCGTTGTGGCCTTCTTCCTGATCTTCAAGCATGCAACACATTACTCGAAGCCATGGGAACAGAAACAGTATCTACCCCTCCATTGCGACTGCGCCGACATGACCAACCATGCTGACGAACATCTCAAGCATCATTCGCATCCTCCTTATGATCCCCATCTACTCGACAGTGTCCTTCCTCTCATACCTCTACTACAAACATTCAATATACTTTGAAGTCCTCCGCGACTGCTATGAAGCCTTCGCCATTGCCTCGTTCTTTACACTTCTGTGTAACTACATTGCGCCGAACCTCCACGAGCAAAAGGATTATTTCCGTCAAGTAACGCCCATAAACTGGTTCTGGGGAGTTTTCGGTCTGCAGAAATGTACAGGCGGAAAAGAGAAGGGCATCCTGCGCATACCTAGAAGCGGCCTGACCTGGTTCAATGTACGGGCTCTATATCCTTTGCGGCATTTGTCACCTTCATTGCTGGTCAGCATGCTGATTCTTATTGCAGGTCATTTGGTTTTCAGTCTTCCAATATGCGCTGGTTCGCGTGCTGTTCACTATAGTCAGCGTAGTCACTGAGGCTATGGACCGTTATTGCGAAGCTTCGCTACACCCAGCATTCGCGCATATCTGGGTTATGGTCTTTGAGAGTGCTTCAGTCACTGTCGCCATGTTTATGCTGATTCAGTTCTACTTGCAACTCAAGGACGATCTCGCCGAACACCGACCTTTCTTGAAGGTCTTGTGTATCAAGTTGGTCATCTTCTTCAGTTTCTGGCAATCGGTAAGCTTCTACAACTACTACATTTGCGGCTCACAACGCTAACATTTCAGCTTGTCATCTCGTTTCTCTCATCCTCGAGTGGTCCTTTGCAAGCGACGAGTAAACTCTCGTATCCAGATATCAAGGTTGGCATCCCTTCGATGCTTTTGTGTATTGAAATGGCTATATTCGCCGTGATGCATCTTTTTGCTTTTCCATGGCGCGAGTACGACCTCTCAAAGACCCCCTACGCTGATCCTGCAACGGCTCCTGGCTCTGGATTCTCTGGCACTGCGCCAAAATATCATGGCGGCTGGATGGGTATCAAGGCTTTCGGAGATACCTTTAACCCATGGGACCTCATCAAAGCGACAGCTAGAGGCTTCAGATGGCTCTTTGTGCGCCGTAGACACAGACACCATGACGTCTCGTACACAACACCAAAGATTGGTGTTACTGTCGACGAACCAGCAACCTCCATACCTGGACCCAACGTCACCTCGCATACTCTCCCGTCAGCGACGGAGCTCGAACATCAGAGACGCGCTAGGGCAGATACCGTCGATGACACTGATACAGCCGGTCTGTTGTCTAATGCTGAGCGAGGCGGCCTGTCAGCGCGTCCCTACCCGTACTCTCCCTCACATTCGCCGATACGAAATGCTTCGTTCGACAGCAGGTCAGGCCATGGAGAAACCGAGGCACCGGGCGCTGATATGAGCCTCATGGGGGCTTCTCGTGCGCAAGTGCCTCAGCCAAGTGCGTTCGGAGGCAGTGATGAACCGCGGCCCGGTCTGAACAGATGGGACAGCGATACCGAATACCACAGCACGACAGGACCTAGTATGGGTCCATACGCTGGAGTCGATGGCCATACCGAGTCCTCGGCAAACCAATGGGACCACTGGGCTGGCGCGAACAGACATCAATAACAATGGTGTCACGATTACTAATTGGTGCGTTTCTCCACATGACGACTAGACGGAATGAACGATCTACAGGTCAGGATCGCACTCTGGGAGGGGACTTTGCTTACGGAATTCTGTTACTATGATACCACTTGCGACACGGCGTTTCTTGCTTCTTTCATCAATGGAAAAAGATGATTACTTTTGCGGTTTCCATAGTACTGAGAATGTAACAAACATTTCGATGAATTGCTATTTCATTGCTAGCCTAATGTATCATACAAGGGCTGTCGAGGTAATTATTGAAACAACCAAAGCACAAAATGTAGCTGCACTCCCTTCTAGTCACAAACACTGACCCTGCCCCGCGGTGGTGATGAACAAAGCTTGGCGTTCGATCCGCCGACTCTCGGAGGAGAAAGTTTCTCTAGCAATGAGCAATAACAGACTCATCTTTGTTGTATATCACTGCTAGAGTATCTACGAATTTGTCTTCTAGGTGAGTCTACTGTCTATCTCTAGTCTCTGTCATGTGTATTGAATTTTCCTCTTCTTCCATGCACCTTTCACATCTTTGCACCATGCTTTAAGAGTCAATTGACCATTCACTTTGTACCTTTATTAAATTCGTTTGCACAACATCGATCAGAGCGAGCACCTCTCTCATAGCTTGACATGTCACTGTTCTTGCGATTGACAACGGTTCATGTTTGTTCGTGCGAACTCTCTGCTTCACAACCACATCAAAGTTTACCGAGCAATTGAAAACCACTGTACTGATGACACAACTAGAGGGGAACCCATCCAACAAAATGTCGACTCCTCCCACCGTCACTCAAATTGACTCGCAGGGTATATCTGTCTATGCCCTAGGTATCAAAATCATCATCTGACCAGTTTCACAGTCGAGCAGCATGGCCTGAAGAAGATCGCCAGCGGCAAGGTTCGCGAGATCTACGAGATTGATCCTCAGAGCCTACTCTTCGTAGCCACAGACCGCATCTCAGCCTACGATGTCATCATGAAGAACGGTGTGCCTCAAAAGGGCGCTCTCCTCACTCTCATGAGTGTTCACTGGTTCAACCTGTTCAAAGAGAAGATCCCTGACCTCAAGACCCATCTTCTCAGTGCTTCTGTGCCTGCTTCGGTTGCTTCGTCTCTCTCTGCTGAAGTCAGCGATCAGTTGCGTCTGCGTACCATGCATGTGCGTCGTCTGAAGGTTTTGCCTTTGGAGAGCATTGTTCGTGGTTATATCACTGGTTCTGCATGGTCGGAGTACAAGAAGAGCGGCACTGTTCACGGCATCGCTATGCCCAAGGGTCTGCAGGAAAGTCAGAAGCTGGAGAAGCCTCTCTGGACTCCCAGCACCAAGGCTGAAGTCGGCGACAAGGATGAGAACATCAGTCCTGAGCAAGCCACCAAGATCGTTGGTGAGAAGTATGCAAAGAAGATTGAGGAGTTGAGTTTGAAGGTCTACCAGATCGTGAGTGTCTTGGAAATGCTTGTCATGGTATTCGAGCTAATTAGTGTCTAGGCCAGAGACTACGCTGCCGAGCGTGGTATCATTATTGCCGATACCAAGTTCGAGTTTGGCCTTGATGTCGAGACTGACGAGGTTATCCTGGTGGACGAAGTACTTACCCCTGATAGCTCGCGCTTCTGGCCTGCAGACAAGTACGAACTTGGCAAGTCACAGGACAGCTTCGACAAGGTGCGTTTGAATAGAATGCATGGTTTAGAAGACTACTGACTGGGACCAACAGCAATATCTGCGTGACTGGCTGACCAAGGAGGGCCTCAAGGGCAAGGATGGCGTCGAGATGACTGATGCTGTGGTCAAGGAGACGGCCAAGAAGTACCGTGAGGCATTCGAGATGTTGACTGGCCAGAAGTGGGATGAGGTTGTCAAGAGCAGTGCTTAAAGTGGACGCTTGTAAGCAGTGTGTTTGTAGACATGTTCACCCCTGTGTAAAGATCGACGAGACATGACATTTGCTCTGCACATAGAAAACAGTCTGAAAATGAACATGGCGTAGCTTGGAACGGGGAGTGGTATTCGTAAAAGAGCCCTCAATTCAACATGGCTCGAGGCGGGTACTTTTTCTTTTGTATAACGCCTCAGTTGCAGTCAGGATCACGACCATTTTGTGCCATTGCTCCTGCCGGGATGATTGTATGGAAGTGTTCAGAAGACTCGATGCCATTTTTTGGTAAATCCATAGCCATAAAAAAACTCCCCACCCACAGCTAGCAAAAAAAGAGGCCCCAGGGTGCTCATCATCAGATCTCGACGACACCGCTTAGATGGCAGTGTCGTAGGCGATAGGGGCAAGAGTCTCGGGCTTGGCCTCCTTGTAGGAGATGGTGCGGGCCTCGCGGGGCATGGCGGGTTGGCGCTTGAGGAAGGCGTGGCTGCCGTCGGTCTTGGCCTGGCGCTTCTTCTCGGCGTTGGTCTTGACGCGGGTCAAGAACTCGTCACGCGAACGGGAGTGACGGACGTGCTCGATGCGGACGTTGATGCGCTTCTCGATGTAACGGTTGCCGACCTGGCGGTAGAGGATGACACCGACGGCGGACTTGGTCACGTTGTAGACGACACCGGTCTTGCCGTGGTAGACCTTGTAGGGCATACTGTGGTGGGTGTTAGAGGGCTGGTTCTTGCGACTCTGCGGGCTCTGGGTGGGCTGGCGACTGACCCCTTCTGGACGGCACCGTTGGCGACGACATCGACGATATCTCCGACCTTGTACTGCTTGAGGTAGGTCGAGAGGGCGATGTAACCCTTTTGAGGAGTTAGTTGGCGTGCTCGCGGGAGTTCGGAGGATCGATCGGAGTGCTTGCCTTCTTCTTGAAGTCGCGCGAGAAGGCGTATCTGGTACCAGCTCTGTTTTTCACCGCATCAGCGTCTGAGTCGAGAATCCGGGCGATTGCGTCTCTGGGAGCGCATGACGAGAGGCGAGTTGTACCTGAGACCTGCGGCGTGACCCATTTTGACTGTTGGTTATCGGAGACTGGGGGGTTGTCGGGATATAATGTCGTCGCAGCTTCAGAGGGAAACTTCGATGTGGCAGAGAGGATTTTCGACCGTGTGCGGAAGCCGCGATTCTTGGCACGCTGCGCTTCGCACGGGCCACCCACACTGTCGCTCCTGCCTTTTCACACTTTACCAACTTCTCGACTTCGACTTCCTTTCTGCGCGAGAGAGACTTCACCCGACGACAACCATGGCCCCCCGTTCTTACTCCAAGACCTACAAGGTCCCCCGTAGACCTTTCGAGTCCGCTCGTCTGTTAGTATTGTCCAATGGCCACTGAGCTAGAGCTTGCCTCTGTTCACGTCAACGGAATGCGCGGTTAACACCCTGGAAATAGGGACTCTGAGCTGAAGAGTGTCGGCGAGTACGGTCTCCGTAACAAGCGTGAGATCTGGCGTGTCCAGCTCACTCTGTCCAAGATCCGTCGTGCTGCCCGGTACGTTGCCTCGCTTTCTTTTCTGTTTTGCTGATTTTGCACGCGACAAGAGAATTCTTGACTCTTTGCGCATCCTCAACCCTCTGCACACTTTGCGCATCTTCGACCCTTTGCGCTCTCTCACTCTGCAATCTCTGCGCAAACTCTTCCATCACACGACAGCCACTAACGCCCCACTGCAGTCAGCTCCTCACCATGGACGAGAAGGACCCCAAGCGTCTCTTCGAAGGAAACGCCCTCATTCGCCGTCTGGTCCGTGTCGGTGTCCTTGACGAGTCCCGCATGAAGCTCGATTACGTCTTGGCCCTGAAGGTCGAGGACTTCTTGGAGCGCCGTCTCCAGACCTGTGTCTACAAGCTCGGTCTCGCCAAGTCCATCCACCACGCTCGTGTCCTCATCCGCCAGCGTCACATCCGCGTCGGCAAGCAGATCGTCAACGTCCCCTCGTTCGTCGTCCGCCTTGACGCCCAGAAGCACATCGACTTCGCCCTGACCTCGCCCTTCGGTGGCGGTCGTCCCGGCCGTGTTCGCAGAAAGAAGGCCAAGGCCGCCGAGTCCAAGGAGGCTGGTGGTGACGAGGAGGAGGAGGAGGAGTAAATCAATCGCTCCACCTCGGCGTTCTGAAAGGTTATCTGGTACAGGTCACGGGTACATTCGGGAATCATGCCAGGCCATGACAGCACGCCCTTCCAAAAGCTCAATTCCAATTTGACGAGTCTCTTCTGCAAAAATACCCTTTCAAATGCGCATAGTATTACGACCTTTATGTTGGTTTTGTGAAGTGTCCATTCGTGAATTTCTATCCTTCTCATCTAATATCAACATGTCCGACGTTTTACCTTAAATGCTCCTTCTGCTCTCTGCCGACCACTAACACACCGATCACAGGCTCACTATAGACATCTTCGACTCAATCCACTCGTGCTTTCCACGTCGATTCAGCTCTGTGGGCTGTGGACGTTGTACTTCTCATCCTCCTTCTCGACCTTGACATCGACCTGGCCATCATTTCCTCGACTTGGTTGTTATCCTCCTCGACTTGAGGCTCGGCCTTGACATTCTGCTGTCACTCTAGAGATTCTTGGGAGGATCATGAGAATTACAGACTATAGCACACAGGAGAGCAGGAACGACATTAGGTCAAAATTCAAGAAGTCGCACCTTCCCGAGGCAGGAACACTAGGTGGGCAACGTTCTTTCCCTCAGCTCCCAGCACAAGAGAATGGGCCCCGATTGTCAAACTAGCCCATTTCCACTCTACAATATTTCCTCCAACCACCATCATCTAGTCACAGCGCATCTATCAGCGATAGTGCAGCCACGCGACACGCTTAACTCTGCTTTCCTCAAGGGACCTGAGACCCGAATCTACCGCCTAACCATCCCTCTGTTGACGCTTTCATGCTGATTCAAGTCTGCTTTTGCGTTGTCGATCGAGTTGCGTGGAGAAGCGGGTTTTCTGATCAAAATATGATGTCTTGCGTTCTGATGATGACGAGGGTTGGCAGAGATTACTAAGGTGCAATGCGCTGACCGGTAAGTTTACTACTTTAGCATACCACTGCCAGCTGACCTGCATCTAGTTGTACCAGTGCCCGTCTACCAATGGAGTGACCTCCTTGCTGCTGAAGCACGCATGCTTACGATCGCTCTCACTTTCCGGCTCTTCTGCAATCACTACTCCGTACTTCACTGGCAACAACGCCGCGTCTTCGTCATCAGGAGATGTATGGCAGGCAGCAGTGATAGCCAGACTACAGCTCGAAGCCAACGGCATACCAGGCTCAAGCTTCCTCGCGGCACTCGCCAACAACGCTAGAATGATGACTGCAGAGACGAAGAGCGACAGCACAATAGCCATGGCCGAGAAACCACAAGCAGATATTTTCAAGTTGAGCGGGTTCCCATCATAGTCGAAAACACTGATTTTAACGAGAAAGATGCTCCGAGCGACCAGCCAGTGCAACACAGTCATGGCAGCCATGAGTGGCACGCTGTAACGATAGGGCAACTGCAACCTGTACGTGCTTCGCTGTTCTCCTTCAGGTCTACTCACTCGCAGTGGTTTGCGGTATTTGGCGTAACTTGAGTACTCTCGTCCGAGCATCATCCTGGTCAAGCAATTGTTGTAAAAGACGTAGACGAACCAGATGGCGAGTTGAGGCGTATTGGCCAAAAGAACATTCTCAATCAGTGGTCTTTGGTAATCACCACCTGCTCCGATGAGTAAGTCTGTCGAGACTGCACCAACACCATCTTGCCACATGCGGGAGAGCGTATAAGTTTGAGATGTACTGTTCTTGCGATAGTTGATGGCGCTCGTCAGAAGGTATACTCCAGTGAACCGAGCGATTGCGCACAACACCATACAGGCAACCCAGCTTGACCTTGATGGGGCCTGGTACCATCGATTTTTCTGCTTCTTCCACTTCACTGGTGCTGTAGCCGACTTTTCGGCTACACCGGTTACAATGGACGTGCCTCGGACCATCGGGATATCGCTGTTGGTGTAGTCGGATAGCAACGACGTGGATCGTTCGAAGTAGATCACTCGATAGTCTTTGAGAAGCCTCGATACCAGTGTTTCGCGGTCTAACAGGCGCACTGCCCTGCTTCTGCGTACACCTTTGGCGGTGATAGGACCCATCCCGTGAGTGTAGGGATCGGGTTGGCTTAAGCATGAGCTGATCAAATCTCCAAGTGTGGCCATGGGGTGAAAGTTTCGGATGAGAAGTGCTCTTGACAGACACATTACCTTAATCAGGTTGCAGAGCAGCACCACGCCGAGTAATGGAGTGCTTATCTGGATAGTACAGTGTTGTTTAGCAGTCTCAGCTAGACAATACTTGACAGATGCTTCGAAGTAAGGTCCCTGGGGGTCGTATCCATCCCAGCGACCGAACGACATAGAACGTCGGACCAAAGCCTCATCTTGGTTGACTTCGATATCTACAATAGTCCAGTTTGTGGGGTATGAAAGCATCGTCTTGGTGTCACATCTTTTATTGGCTCCTTGTGTTTGCTTCCCACATATCCAGCCCAAGTCATCATCCAGAAACTCGGCCTGATGGTAGTACCCTATGATCAGGGGCCCTGTAACATTGGCATCGGATACAACTAAGACGTTCTTCCGCTTGGACTGCAGAAAGTTGGTACCATAGGCCCGGATGCAGTCTTCGTTCTCGAGTCTCGTCAACTTGCCGATGTTGCTCTGCAAGCGCGCCACTTGTCTGGTCGCCGTAATGATGTTCTCTGTGTAACCGTCAAGTCTGCTGCTATTCCAAGTCGCACCTTGTAAGAAGTCATCGGTGACTATTGCTGCCACATAATTGCTTGTCGATAACGTTGAGTATATGACCGAGTTGTAGCTACCGGTGATCAGCAGAGAGAATAGAGCACGAAGATTGCAGTGGTCCTACAGAAGATGCAACGGTATCGAGCTTAGGAAGAGACCAGCACAGAGCCACTTTCGCCAGAGACTCACGGCCATAACGTTTCGTAAAGAAGACACGCCCACATCAAGGTACCGACCAGCAGCATGAGCATCGCCTATGTCGTTTCTCGTGGGCGCGACAAGAAGTTGTACGCAGTTGTTGGAGGCTCCGAGCAAGAGTGTAGAGAGTATGTTGATCATAAGGTCGACCCAAAAGGTTATACTTTTCGTCTCTGTGCAAGAACCTTTTGGTATGGTCAGCTTCCGGTCATCAATGGCAGTTGTGATTCTCTCTCATGTGCAGACATGTGACGGGTCTAGCGATAAGAATGCACAATAGTTTCGACAAACAGGACAGTCTCCATCGAGATGTCGCATAGTTTAGACTCTCTTTGGTTACACCCCTGGTCAGGAAACCTTTGTGTCTTTCTATAGCAAAGACGTCGCTCTACATGTTGAGGGGGAGAGTGGAATTAAAGACGTCGGAGAGACCCTACCTTCAAAGACAGTTGCAAATCCATCTTGAACGCCCAGAGTCAAGGCCCATATCAACACTCCTAGATTGACTAAGATCACGGTAGCTGCGACGGCGATCCCTGCTCGTACAGTAAATCGCCAGCTATCTAGTTGTTTTGTGGTATCCGCACTGCGAACGGACGATTCCTCGGATATGAGTCCAGTGTGTGATGTCTCGCCGGACAATGTTGTTTTGTCCGCCATGACCGCCAGTATTCCAGTCGGGAAAGATCGCAAGAGGAACAAGGAATTGAGAAAGAAAGAATCATACCTGATATGGGTGTTTCATGGCTTACAGGATGGGCGCCTAGCATGCATGTCGATATTAAAGTCTTAGCCTGTATTCAGCCTTGTTGCCATCGAAGGGTCGCTTCCTTTCATAGCGCTACAAGGTCAATACCAGGCAACAAGAACCATCAGGTTCGGCGGAGGTTATGAAGATTCGTATCAATGAGAGAGACGAAGCACTCTTGTTGTATTGATAATATGGCCAAAATATCCGTGTTAGCGTGTGGGGATGCCTTTCTTCCCAGTTGATGACGACAGTGCTGAACACGAATGCAAATTCGCCTGCAATGCAAGAACCAATCATGCACCAACCGTAGGCGAGAGTCTTGTCACATTGAGAAGGGAGCGAGAGTGGTTTGTCAATTGTTTGTAATTTCGTAGGTCTGCTGAACCTGGAACATTAAAGAAAGGCCGCTAATGCCTCAAGGAAGGGGTCGTTAAACTATAGTACAGATGAAGGTGGTATCGTTCGTGAATGGTCTCCGTTTACTTAGCATCCTTCTTGGCCTTCTCGACAATATCTTGGGCCTTGTTGGACTGCTTCTCGAGAACCTTCTGGAGCTCCTCCATGGTCTCCTTCAGGAGCTTCTCGCCCTCAGACTTGTGCTTCTCAGCAACCTCTCTGAGTTGTTGGAGCTTGGGCAAGATCTCGCCGCCGTTGGGGATCATCTTGAGGTACTGATCCATGCCACCGAAGCCCCACTTGGAGCTCATCTCAGAGCCCTTGGACTTGGCCTTGTCGACGGCTGAGTTGACGTAACCCTCGAGATCGCCAGTGTTGCCAGACTCGATGCTGCTCTTGACCTTCTCGAACAGCTCCTTGGCGTTGCCTTGCTTGAGAGCATCGGCGTTGTTCTCAATGATCTCCTTGACCTTGGGGTTCTTGTCAAGGTAAGGCTTGGCCTGCTCGAGACCCTTCGACCAGGCTTGGTCGCCGAGCTTCTTGACCTGCTCGACCTTCTCCTCGACAATCTTGCGAGCCTTGTTGATGTTGGTAGCGCTGATACCACCAGCCATGATCTCCTTGACCTGGTCCCAGGTTCTGTCGACCTCTTGCTTGACCTCGGGGCCGTACTGATCACCCATGGACTTGAGCTGCTCAATTCTAGGGCCAACCGACTCCTTGAGTTGGGGGTGGTTGTCCATAAGGTCTTGAGCGGCATCGGCAGCCAGAGCACCGATCTTCTGGGAGAGGTTGCTGAGAGCCTCCATGGCCTTGTTCAAGCTGTCTTTGCTCAGGCCAGTCTTGGAGACGTCCTGGAAGTCGCTGTAGGTCTCTCTGATGATCTTGTCGACGTCGTCCTTGTGGTTCTGACGAAGAGTATCGAGATCCTTGAAGGCAGTGTCGATGTACTTGCGACCGCCGGGAATCCAGGCGACGTAAGAGTAGGCGAACTCCTTGACGTAGTTGATGGCCTCGTCGGCATCAGGAGTGTTTGCTTGAATCTTGTTGCTCATATCATTGTAGTAAAGAGCAGCATCCTTGGCGGCGCTGTTGACCTTTCTGGACATGCGACCAGCAGGGCTCAGGGCGTAGATGGTGTAGCCGACGACGGCAACGGCAGTACCGCTGGCAAGTCCAGTAACGACATGAGAGTTGCTGCCAGTCGATGAACCAGTGGATGAGCCAGTGGAGGAGGACTGGAAACGAGTCTGGGTGTTGCGGGGAACTCTCGCTGAGCGAAGAGCTCTGGGGACAGAAGAGCGGGCAATTGGTCTAGCGGCGTACATGATGAAGATGGAATTGGGTTTTGATGGGAAGAGGATTGTCAGGAACGAGAGGAGACCAGCAATTTTATAGCTTAGCACAAGATGCTTCGCAACCGTGACCGAAGAGGACAGGGAACTGAGAGCTTGGGCCCGATGACGTGTGTAAACGCTAATAGCTTCGCTGCCATGACGATTTTGTGTGGACTGGTCTCCATTTGTGGGTATTCACTTTGAGCCACAACGTGTGTCCCATATTCAGCGCACCGGATAGCAGTGGAAGGCGGTAGAAAGGCTCATGCGTCTTGCTCTTAAGAAGCCGAGGGCACATGAACGTGAACGAGCAATATGAAAATGACGGAAATGTAGCTCCCGCATGCCGCGCCGTCGAGACAAGCGCCTTCTCCACAACCCCGCGCGTCGATTGTCGATCAAGCGGAGGATGCCTCAGCTCCCGTCAGGGACCTTGCGACCTTCTCTCTTTGCTTCCTGCCCGTTGTCATCCTCTTGCATCTTTGAGCCGTCTAGCAACACCGTCAGACTCCGATCATTCAAACTACACCAATTTCTCCCGTCCGTTTTCCCCTCGATCCACATCCTTCTTAAGCCATGTACTCGCGACGCCTTGTGTCACGCCTGTCGACCTTGAGCACCTCAAACCTGACACGCCCTCTGTCGACAAGCGTCGTCGCCGCTGCTCCCAAGAGAGCACCTTCGCTTTCCGATGTCGAGCCTAACAAGGGCCAGCTGTTCGATCAGAAATCACAACAGTTCCGCGACGACCTAGCTGCTGCTCAGAAGAAGCGTGAGCAAGAAGAGAGTTGGTCTACCCGCACATCCTCGAGTATAATTCACTCTAATTACGAATCGTGTTGACAGAATCCAAAGCACTCAACCAGCCAGAAGATGGCAAGAAGACCGGCCGTCTCTCCAACCTCCTCTACGGTACCCAAGAGGGCCGTGAGATGGACAAGGAAATTGAGCGCAGTTTCAGTCAAGTCCTTGCCCGTGGCAAATACGTTCACAGTATCGTTTTGCACGAAGTCAAGCCCGACAAGGTCGATGAGTACGTCGAGCTTGTCGGTACTTGGTACCCTCGCATGGCCAACATGCCCGAGAATAAGGTTCATCTGGTCGGAAGTTGGCGAACAGAGGTTGGCGACTGTGATACCTTCGGTATGTCACTCTGACTCGTCGTCTTACCTGTGATTTCCCTGCTGATTGATAATTTACAGTTCACATCTGGGAGTACCAACGTTACGAGGGATACCACGCTTCCCTGCACGCCATCCAGCACCACCCCGACTTCCCCGAGTTCGACCGCAAGCTTAAGTCCCTGATAAACTCGAAAAAGACATCGTTGATGCAGGAGTTCTCGTTCTGGCCCACAACTGCTCCTCGCAAGCTTGGTGGAGTTTTCGAGCTCCGCTCATACACCTTGCACCCCGGTAACCTCTTGGAGTGGGAGACCCATTGGCGCACTGGTCTGCGTGCCAGAAAAGAGGTTATGGAAGGCGTGGGTGCCTGGTTCGTCCAGATCGGAGACTTGAACACCGTCCACCACCTCTGGCAATTCGCCGACCTCGAAGAAAGACGCTCGCGCAGAGAGCAGAGCTGGAGCGTATCTGGCTGGGGTGAGACAGTACACAAGACTGTCCCCTTGATTCAGAGCATGAAGAGCAGAATCTTGGTGCCCATGCCATGGAGCCCCGTAGCATAGAGAGCTAGCTTCGACGTGGGATGGTCAGAAACGACGGATACAAACGTATCACAGCATTCATCGGTTGGGAATCAACAGCGTCCACATAGCATTCAAGGGTCTTGCAGCGAAGGAGGCGGCGGAGTCAGGGCGAGCGCTGTACAAACCACATTTTAGCCTCGATTGTCAGGTAGCCAGCGCAATTCATCGGTTTTATACTTAGCAAACGGCCGTCTCTCGAAGCTCCAAGTACGCAGCAGGAAGCTTTGCATCTCTGCACGTGTTTCACCTATGACGAGGCGGTCTGACCTTGGACTTGAAAGCAGGATCGTGCACGTCCTTATCGTGCTTGGCGCGTTTTTCTCGAGACTCGACATCTCGCTGGCCGTCCTTCCTTCCACTGTTAGTTTTCCTCATTTTGAGATTGTAAAACAGATCTGTGACAGATCGATCAATCAATCAATCAATCAATCATGGTGTACATTCGTCAAGACCGGCTTCCCAAGCTCAAGGAATACAAGTACTCGGGCGTCGACCACAGCTTGTTGTCGCGTTATGTGTTAAAGCCGTTCTACACCCACGTCGTCATCAATTGTTTTCCAATGTCTATGGCGTGAGTAAACTGAGTTCTACAATGATTCTGAGGAGCGGTTGTATCTGACATATTTTCTGTAGGCCGAACCTCGTAAGTTGATTCACCTTAGACTCGAATTCATCGGCAACTGTAGATAGCTCTGCAACAGAATGCTGAGACCTACAATCACAGATCACTCTGAGCGGCTTCAGCTTTGTCATTATGAACCTGTTGACGATGTTCTACTACACACCTGGCATGGACCAAGATTGCCCTTCTTGGGTCTACTATTCGTGGGCCATCGGGCTATTCACATACCAGACTTTCGATGCCGTAGATGGTAGTCAAGCGTAAGTTCTAGGATCTGTCAGTAAGCACTAAAGTCTTGTAGTACTAATTTACTTTTTCTTGTAGACGAAGAACTAGACAAAGTGGTCCCCTCGGCGAACTTTTTGATCACGGTGTCGACGCTGTAAACACTTCCCTGGAGGTCCTCATCTTCTCAGCTGCTATGAGCTTCGGCCAGGGCTGGAAGACTGTCCTGATCCTCTTCGCATCTCTGTTGACCTTCTACGTGCAAACCTGGGACGAATATCACACCCACACTCTGACTCTGGGAGTTGTCTCGGGTCCTGTTGAAGGCATCGTCATCCTCTGTCTCGTGTACGCATTCACTGGCTACGTTGGTGGTGGCAGCTTTTGGCACCAATCCATGTTCGCTTGTCTGGGCGTACCTCGCCTCGCTACAATCCCTGACGTCGTCTACGACCTGCCCTGGACGGACTGGTACATGGTCCAAGGCAGCGCGGTGCTGATCTTCAACACCGTTCTGAGCGCCATGAACGTTATGGCAGCCCGTCGTCTGCGCAAGGAGAATCCCGTCTTCGCGCTTTACGGTCTGGCTCCCTTCTTCCTTACTTGGACTGTCATCCCCGCCTACCTCTTCCTTCAGCCCGTCATCCTGCGCCAGCACCTTGTGCCTTTCGTCCTCTATGTTGGTCTCGTCAACGCCTACTCGGTCGGCCAGATGATCACTGCTCATTTGACCAAGTCGCCCTTCCCCATGACCAACGTGTTGGTCTTGCCTCTGCTCTTTGGTGTCATTGACAGTCTGGGTCCTGTCCTGCAGCAACACATCGGTCTCGGCTGGCCTAGTGCTCTGGGTGATGGACAGTACCAGATTGCCTTCATGTTCTCCTGCCTGGGTCTTGCAGTCGGTGTGTACGGCAGCTTCGTCGTTGATGTTATTGTCACTATCTGTGATTACCTTGACATCTGGTGTCTGACCATCAAGCACCCTTACGTTCCTGAGACTGAGGAGAAGAAGGTTCGTTAAGTATTTGATTGGAGAATGCATGCCTTTTTATGGACGTCATCCGTGGCATGTCGGAGTCGATGAGGTGCGATGAGATGCGATACTGGGGTATCAGACTAGACGAAAGTGGGAGTGGAGGATTGTACGAAGTAGATTATGGAAACGAATATTGATTAGAATGTCACACAAAGGTGTGAGACGGAAGCGAAAAGACGATGTATGGTAATGGTATACGCTTTTTACGATAGAATAGCCAGATTGGTGCACCTCGATCACCACTTGTCCACGTCTCAAGAGTCATTGCGAACGATATCTGCCGCTCTGACTTTCTGCTCGAGCCCTGTAACAAAGCACAGATGTTTGACCAACCTGCTGAAATGTCGTCATCACTTTTGGTTTCTCTAATTGAATCCAAGTATTTCCCTCTATAACATAAAGCATGCAGACATGTCGCTACACTCGGCACCGACTCCGAGTACATCTCAAATGGTCGCTCCTAACTTTCCTGCCCTGATTGGCCAACCTGCACCGCCTATAATACTACCGACAGTACACCAAACCAGCCAATTTCTCGCCTCTTTCTTTCCCAAGCGAGCGCGCGATGTACAGTGGCTATACCACGAACCTCGGAATCCTCGCTATTCAGCAGCTACTGCCCATGTTGCTCGGATAGTATGTAGCATCACGCCTACAGCCGGAGTATACACAGCCATGTATGCTGCTCGCGCACCACCACCTCTGGTATTCCTTCACCGGCCATTTACTCTAGATCGAAAACGCGTTCCTCGAGGCGCAAATGTTTTGAGCTCACACGTCGGTTTTGACGAAGTTCTGACGACTGGCTGGAACGAAGCCTTGGCCGAGCGACTGGATTTATATACCGGCGAGGACGCTGTATGCATACAAGGCTACAAAGGCGACCCAGACCGACGTATAGGTCTTGTGGCCGCATTCCGCACACCTGCAACGCTCGGAACCGTCTCTGATCGCATCAAGCGCGAATTTGGGCAGTGGGATGCTGTGCATGGCGCTGATGTTGACAGCGAAACCGACATGGCACAACCCGTGACCGTGGTTGCTATCATGAATGCCTTCCATCCTGAAGAAGTACAACGGGTCTCCGAAGCTGCGCTATCCAAGGGCTGGATCGCAGACATCGACCAAGGAGACAGTATAGTCTATCTTACTGGCCAAGCAAGGGAACCAGGACTTGCCGCCGCACTCGAAAAGAAAATGAAAGTCTTCTGTGTCGGTCATCGCAGCTGTGAGGAATGGGGTATCAGATTTATTGCCTCTGAGTTGAGACGAGAGTTCCCAATGGTTGATGTCGCCGAAGTGTTCGAGGATGAAGAGCCGCGGCCGCCTAGGGAGCCCAAGAAGCCAAAGCCGGATTTGAAAAGGAGTGTACCTTCATCGTCAGCAAACTTACCAGAGCAAAAACGCAGACAGAGTGATACTGTCACTACGTAGATATTCGCCTAGAAGAAAACAAAGAAACATCTGTCTCCATTGCACGCAAACTCTTTCTACTCCTGTGTGTTTTCAAAATCGAACATTTTTTTATGCTGCGAAGACAACCCTGTCATTATACTGCAACCTCGATTGCAACATCAAAAACATCTCAGTGCTGAAGATTTGCACACCAAGATGCCTGAGAATAGGCATGAAAAAGTACTGAGGTGTCTCAGTCTTCTGAATGTCAATTTGTTGCGTTGTGGAGTTTGTTGCAAGAAGATATTGTGGTTAGCATTTGCTCAACAAGATCTCAGCCTCATCCGTCTGCTGAAGTAAGTCTTGCATAGTGTTGCAGACAACTTATCGTAGCAGCTTGGTATTTATCGAGAAACGGTCTACCCGCATAGTTTTCTTTGGAAACACCTATATTCTAGAGCTTGTTGTGCCTTTCTATAGCGTCTAAACCATCGTGGGGGTGAGGGTCGGAGATACACAGACCTGTCAGAATGCAAACTTATATGCGTGACAGACATTTGCATATGCGAGGAAATAGCATGAAACGAAGATGATCAAGACTCAAGAGATGATGGAGCGACGTATGGAAAGAACCAGATGTTTTGTACTCTATATTAGTCTAAGGTGTATATGTGTCAATGATCTATCGCTACGCAACCAAGTTCTGTCACCACATCTGAGACTTAAAATCTCAGGTCTCCTCTTCCTCGCCCTGATCTTCGTCCTGGCCAGGCATCATCATACGTTTGGTCAAAACCGCCCTGGCGTGCGCAAAAATGTTGAAGAGCCAGATGATGAACACCAGGATACTCATTATACTTCCAACCCACTGAATACCTTGACTCTCCAACTGCTGACCGATGTTGATAGTCGCAATTGTTAGACCGACGTTGGGGAATACTAAGGCCCAGTTCACCAAAGAAAATGACATTTTCTTGATCCCGTACAGTACAGAGATGATTGCGATGAAAAACCACCATACTGCGATCATGTAAATGAAGATTGATACGAACAGTGCCATGGCCTTCAGTGCTGGGATTGCCATAGGATTGGTGGCGAAATATCCATAATTTCCGGGTAGTGCTTTGGACATACCGATCAAAGACAAGATTGTAAAGCCAGGAGGACCGACGCAAATGAACATGCCAGGTCGTGCGTTTGGCGGCGGGAGCCCGTATTCCATTAGTCTAACAATCATGACCGCGTAGAGCATGACTGCGACCGTCCAGCCCAATCCTTGACTTGCCACACCTGCGACGATGATGGGTAGTCTTGACTCTGGTGGCTGGTTGCTAGCGATGATGTTTGCGAGTGTTCCAGATAGCATAACAGGGAAAATAGGAAGGATCCAGGAGGGTGCCATGGATTTGACCAGCAATTGCTTCGCCATGAAGAGGTACCAATACTGGAAGATTGCGACCAAAAAAGTGCATGCAAAATAGATCCAGAACAAGACACGAAGGACCGTGATTAGCCACGGACCAACGTTGCCTACACCATAGTTGTTCATACCTCCAATGATGGTCGGTAACGAGAGCCAGAAGGTAGGGAAAAAGAGGGCCTCTGAGGGATGCTTGAGAGACTTATGGAATGATCCAGGATACATGATAAATCGAGCCGTGATGGCGCCGCAGAGTATCACAAACAGTACGAGGTCGAAGATATAGACTATCGTTCCAATGGTCATGAGTCCGGTGAATTTGTGTGGTTGAACCGAGAGGAGAGTCGCAAAACCTCCTGTGGACATCGTAAGTGTAAACCAGGCCCATGTGAAACTAGAATATGGTCAGAAATGTATACCATCGTAAGGATATCTCTTAGAACTTACTGTCTCAATCGCTCCTTAAGTGTGATTTCCTTATCTGTGCCTTCTGGAGCCACATCTGAGATGCGTCTATGGTGATGTGGTCTTTTGTGTGCAATCTGCTTTTCCAGGTCCTTCAATCTAGGTTCCAGTCCTTCGCCGGAGCTGTTCGTCGCTGTCGATCCGTGGCTCAGTTCGCTGGCTGGGCTCCCAGCTTGGTTCTCTCGTCTACGAAACGCCATCTAGACCAGATATGTAGTGATGAGGTTGATGACGGTTGTGTACTTGGATATTAAGATTATAGTGAAGGGTGCATGAGAAATGTTGAAAGCAAGAAGGCAAAGGTTCTACTTAGAAAACAAGAAAGGAATAGAGTTATAGAAGGCCCAAGAGCCTCTCCGGCGATACCTACTTCAAAATCATGTCTATTTGACCGTAAGTCAGGAGCCATTATGATGTCGCCGTTCCGCGGAATCGACGGCGACAAAAAAACCGTCAAGGTGGTTTGCTAAAAGTTGAAAGTTGCATGGAGAGGTGGGTCAAAATATTGTCAGGTATGACGTTTTTTTGGTTGAACATTTGTCGGAGAATCAGCCCGGACCCTCGGAATACTCAGATCCACCTTCTTGAAAGTTATTGCTGCTCCTGTCGACCTAGGGTTTAATTCCTGATGATTGGTCTTGCAGCCTGTTGTGCTGAGAAAGAACTCGAAACATACGCTGTCCACTGCTGGTCATAGAAAGACCTTGGAGGTTGGCAGATCGGGTGCTCTCGGCGAGTCAGATAATAAGCATGTATGAAGCGACTTGGCATCGCGAGTCGTTTTCGTGGTCGGAGCGATCGGGTTGAGAGATCATGAATGAGCGCATCTGTAGATAGCTACCAGGCACAGTGATAGGACTACTCTAGACCTGGAAAGCCAGACCGGCTTTCTTGACCATGTTGTTGCCTCCTCCAGCGAAACCAGTGCCTTCAGAGCTGATCTCTACTAGACCCGGTCTGATCTTCTCTTTCTCCTCTTTGCCCTCCTTCTTTTCGCGCTTCTTCTCAGTGACATTGGTCTGGCAAACGTAACATCTTACCACCCCAACCTCTGCTGTTGCATCGTGAGCGTCCTTTTCTGACGGCTTCATGAATTTGGCAGAACAAGGCTTGCACAGAACATGACCACAAGGCTTGGCCAATACTGCTTTTGTGGAATTGGTCAGTGCCTTTTTGCATGAAGGACATGAGCGAACGAGGTCATTGGAAGCTTCGGCCTTCTCTTCGGTGAAGTAAACAGAGACTAGCGACTTCAAGGAAAAGTCGTGAGGCTTGTCTGGTGTTGAAGCCGGACATTGTGGATTCAACTTGGTCGGCTTTGTCGCAGCAGTAGAGCTTGATGGAGTCAAGGAGGGAATCCAGAAAGAAGTGGCAGCTTTCTGGTCGATGGGATTCTGATCATCCTTCTTCAACTTTGTGTTCTGACCACCCAGACGCATCAGCTCGTCTTCATCAATCTCTAGCTTGCGCTTGGTGCCTTTGTTGTCGGGATTTTGTTCGTCGACGATGACCTTGCCAGCTTCTCGTCCGATGATGTGTCTGGCAGCAGCATTTCCGGGACCGAGTTTACTGTTCAAGCCCTGTTGAACAAGCTCGAAGTCTTGAACGGCGCGCTCCTTCTCTTGTTCTCTCTTGAGTTGATCGGCTTCGGCCTCCTCTGCTTTCTTGAGGATGTACTCTTTGTCAAGACGTTTGATATCCTTCTTCTGGGCGAGCAGGTTCGATAGGGCGCATTCTCGGCAGAAAATATGGCCGTGGGAAGAACAAGATACAGGATCGCGAGCGGTCAATAGACACAGGCGACAAGAGCCGAAGGGAAGAAAGGAATCTCGTGTGAGTCGAGTGGACTTTGAGCCCCATGTGCCCTTGAGCTCTTCGCGTTCGTGGGCTGTAAAGAAGGCGAGCGATGTATTGTGCTTACCTTTTCGAATATCAGTTGCGTGCTACAAAGAGAGAAGACGTCGACGTACTATGCGACATGATGGTAGAGTTGAACAGAAAGAAGTCGCGTAGGTAGATTGCGATCGCGAAAAGAATGCGGTCATCGAGTGTGGAGCGGCGCCACGTGGGTCGAAGTTGGCTAAGTTTGGAATGCTAAATAATGTTTCCCTCGTCGCCAATCGCTCCTCTGCTCTCGCACTGTCATGCACTGAGTCTTGTTGAATACCAGCAATGGCTGCTCCTGACGCTCCCGATCAGCCCTCGATGCTCTGGCGAACCGGTTCCTCGATCATCACAGGTGCCACAGGCTTCCTTTGCCGTACCTTTCTTGTTGGCCTGAACAGGCTCGAGGTGAAGGGCTATGACAAGTTCATGCGCCTTCTTGACGAGCGCGCGGACGTGAACGGCAGGACAAAGGGTCTCATTACTGGTGTGTATTCTTCTCTTTGCTTTGCGAAAACGTTGATACTGACTGCCTCCAGTTTCAAACCATACTAGCGTGTACGTACGTACAGCCTTGCTCGGGACTGAATTTCGATTGAGTGCTGACACCAGCATACAGTATGGATGATCCTATTATGTGGGGCGTATTGCCATACAAATATCATTGGAATCCGAACAATGTTCGTTGGAGTCTTGCCAGCCACGATCTAGCTTTCCAGAATAAGTACGTTTGTCACTCGCATTGCTTGGGCACCGTCTGATTTCGCCCAGGTTCACTTCCTTGTTCTTCAGTCTTGGAAACACTCTCCCATGCCACCGACTGGCGCACTCTCCGCATGGCGGTCTGTTCCAACCTACCATGACCCAAGCCATTCGTCTCCTCTCCGCTGGTCCCTTTGTAGCTCCAACTGCGACTGCCGCATCGCCCTCGTTGAAAAGCCCCGACATCGCCGATCCTTTCTCGGACGCACACCTCACGTACAGCACTGATGGCCACGACACTTTCCCTGCCCCTTCGGCCTACACTTCGAGGAGACACGCCTGGGTCCACATCTTCCCTGAAGGCAGGGTTCACCAGAAAGAAGACAAGACTATGCGCTATTTCAAGTGGGGCGTCTCGCGTTTGATCCTGGAATCAGAACCTGCACCAGACCTCGTACCCTTGTTCATCGAAGGTTTCGATTCAGTCATGCACGAAAGTCGTGGCTTTCCGCGACCCGTTCCACGAGGAGGAAAAGATGTCTGCGTCACTTTTGGCGACAAGATCGACACAGGAGACGCTTTCCGCGATTTGAGAGACAGATGGGCAGCCTTGAAACGACAAGCAGTACAACGAGGAGCAGAGAGCGATGAGCTCGGTGTCATTCGCGACGAACAGTTGATGCATGGAGCAGAGGCTGTGAGTTTGCGAAAAGAGTGTACGATGCGCGTCAGGGATGCAGTATTGGCTGTGCGGAGAAGTAGAGGCTGGCCTGACGAAGACCCCAAATGTGGTTTGATCGAGACCTGGGCCATGGAAGGCACTGGCGAAGGCAAGATGGCCGATGGATCTTACACGAGGGATACTTAGAAGAGGGAACAGCTACGACTAGGCACGGCAGTGAGTGTGCCGCATGTTGGATTATATGTCGGCCACAAGATAGACTTGAACCATTGATTTGAGCTTTGAATGCGTCACATAGGTTGGTGATATTTTCGCGTCTAAGAAAGTCGTTGTGAGATAGCAAAAAGCAAGATACGCGTTGAACGACGCGTGCGGACCTCTGCCAAAGCCTGTCACATTTTTGAAATGCTCGGCTAATTCTTACGCCATGGCAGAAAGCATGTTTGTAGATCTGAATATTGGAAGCAGAAGTGCATCCAAGGGTACTTGCTGGGACCCCAATTCTTGCAAGAGATCTGTCCGAGATAGAAGTTTTGTTTTGTGAATACCATGTTGTGACATACTTTCTAACAAGGAGGAAGGAACGTGTCGATGAGCAAACATAAAATTTTAGCGGGCGGAAGGGGTGGCTGAGCTCAGAGCTACAAATGCGTCAGAATCCCCATCGCGCAGTTTCCTTCGGCTTGTGCACCTTCCTCATCTTTGTTCTCAGATATCCGCCATAGGCTGCAGGCTTCGCCCATCGACCTCACTCCCCCACCGCCAAGAAGATTTGCCCGACTATCGATTGCTACCCGCACCACTTTTTGCCCAATCAAGCAAGCAGCGCGTTTGGAGCTGTGAACAAAATCTGGTCGTCACTTCCTTGTTTGCTCAAACCAATTGCTGTCGCTCGTGAGCCCTTGTGGCCAGGGCTGCGTATCACCTCTGAGCTGCTGCCTGTCGCTTGAACCATCAACCCCAAATCTTCACATGGACCAGTCATACGCCCCGCGGTCCCCCGAATTGTCCGGTTACGCGCCTCGTTCTCCAGACTTGGCCGCCTACCGACCAGTCTCTCCTCAAGGCCAGGACCTGTACGCGCCTCAATCGCCTGATCTCTCTGGCCTGCAACAACCTCAGCAACTATACGCTCAGCAAGCACCTGTCCATTCAAGCTTCGGCTTGGACCAGAACCAGCAACAACCATTGCATCAACACATTCCTCAAACATACCCTCCTCAACAATCAGGTTACACACTCGCCCACCACTCTCTGCAGCAACCCTCTCAATCTTTCCAACCCGATCCTTATCAAAATCTCGGCTTTGGTCAACAGCCCGCCTACCAACAGCAGTATCCTCCTTATCCGGAAATGCCTGTGCAAACCCGTAACAGGGGTGTGCGCACGCCCGCCGAGGTCGGAAGCTACAACTACGACAATGGCAATGTCAAAGAGGAGGAGGAGCAGCAGCAGCAGCAGCAGCACCCTGCATGGGAACAGCCACAACCTACAGCACAAGCACAAACACCCGCTCGCCGTGGCAGAAAGCCGAAAAGCGAGACCGCCAACGGTGGTGCCCCTCCAACTCCCATGAAGAAGATGGATACCGGTGGCGTAGAGGTCAAGACGAAGTTTCCTACTGCAAGGATAAAGCGCATCATGCAGGCCGATGAGGACGTGGGTAAAGTGGCTCAAGTCACTCCAGTGGTAATGGGTACGTTTTTTCACACCTCCCTCTGTCTTCTGCGTTCACTAACAGATCCTACAGCCAAAGCACTCGAACTATTCATGATCCGCCTCATCTCCGCCAGCGCAGGCGTCGCCAAACAGCGCGGCTCCAAGCGCGTCCTCTCGCAGCACATGAAGTCCGCCGTAATGCAAGACGAACAATTCGACAACCTCCGCGACATTGTAGGCAGAGTGCCAGACGCACCCGCAAAGGGCGCCAATGGCGACGACTCTGAAGACGAGGACAGTGCACCCAAGAAAGGCGCAGGCAGAGGAAGAAAGGCTGGCGCGGGAGCCGGTGCTGGCAGAGGAAAGAAGCGAAGAGATAGTGACGACTTCTGATGAACCACTTTGAAGAAAGAGCATGAGATCTTTGCTTTTGTACGAGCATATACAGCTGAGAGCAGGCATAATACTTCGAATGAGCCCAACAATCAAAACATGATACCCCAATCACTTTTTCTGCCAATGCTTGCTTGTGGCCCGAACTGAACCAACGTCATTGCATTGTTGATCTCTCATAAATCGTAGTTCCTGCTTATCAACCTTGAAACAAGATATAGTGCTCTAGGAAGCGAAATGACCAGAGCTGAGACAAGACATCATAAGCAAGATGAAAAAGATGATATCACGCTCCCCAGCCGAAGCAACAGATAGAAACGAAGAAGACCAGATTGGAGAAAGCAATATACAATTCGAAAAAGTGAAAACTCAATTTCAATATAGTCAAGGGAAAAAAAAGCTATGGTATCTTTCGAGTGTGAGAAAAAAACACAACAACAACAACAACAACAACAACAACAACAACAACAACAACAACAACAACAACAACAACAACAACAGTAAATGTATCGACAACGAACCGTAGGGAAACAAACAAGTACAGCCTTAAGATAGGACGAGCGTTTTCTGCAGAATCGAAGAAAACAAAAGGAAAATGGCGTTAATCTCGTAAGATGTGATGGGAATATGTGGCTTCCCATCATGGTGAACAAATGGAATTGATGGTCTGGAGAGGTGATTGCGGCAGTGGCTTTCTGGATATGTTCTGTTGCCGATTTGAGGAGTCTTGCTGAGTAGTGTGTCGCTGGTTGATATTTTGGGGGAGAAGCTGGTGAGGTATGCTGTCGATATTGGTGTAGTTTGCTCTAGTCTTCCAGCTCCAAGATGCGCTTGACGACAGAGACCTCGGCGTGGCCACGCATATTCTTCATGCGATGGCACCAGACGACCTGGCCGTCTTGAAACAAGAACTCGCCGCCAATCTGGAGCAAGTTACCACCCTTGAATTTGGTGGTACCCTTTGCCTTGGCCATGTTGGTCCATTGTTTCAGTTGCCATTGGTTGAAAGAGATGTCCTTCATGTATTCTGGTCTCTTCGGTCCGGCTAGGTTCAGGGTGAGGGTCATGCCTAGAGCCTTGTAGAGTTTGCGCGAAGGGTCGGCGAAGATGGGGAAGGGACAGCCAGTGGCTTGCTTGTAGAAGGGAATCATGGATGGTGAGCCACAGCCAATGACGATGATGTTTGTGGGAACGGCCATGGTGTAGTAAGCCTGCATGGTGATGGCCTCGGCAATGGCCTTCATGTAAGCTTGACAGGCCTGCAGGAACCGATGATCAGTAACGGTTGCTGACTCGTGGGTGAAATTAGGTATAACTTACGCCGCAGAAGAAGTGTCGCACAAAGATGATGAACTGTCTGTCGCCAATGGCATCCAGACCTGTGAAGAAAGTGCTGAAGAGTCGCGAGGTTCCATTGGCATCGTAAACAGGAACCTGGCCAGCGACAGCGAGTTGTCCACGGTCAGGACAGTCGTCCGAGACGTCTAGATCCTCACGGAAGCGTCCAAACCAATCATCTGCATCGGTGAAAGAGTGATCATACGAGTTGGTCGTTGCAGTATCTGAAGTTCCAGCTCCATGGCCGTTGGCTGACAGTTGGGTAGGTGAGAAGACTGGCGAAGAAATAGGGGAGATGTCCAGAGAGGAAACGGCACTGTTTCGGCTGTTGACACGCGACAGAGATGGCGACGAGATGGGAGACACGTCGTGGTCGCGATCTGGTATTTCGATGGTTGGCATATTTGAGGCTCGGCGATCCCAAGACCGCTAGATTATATGAGGCACGGGCTGAAGGATTTGGATCTAGCAATATGTATCGTGGGGAAGGCTTCAACAGGCGTTAGATCAGATGGATGACGGCGATGCAATTGAGCTTTTGAATGGCCGAGTGTAGTTGTGAATGCAAGGAGAGTATGGATGGACGAGCGGGAGGTCGAAGGGAAACGAAGGTGAGGAGCGAGCACAAGGCCGATAATAAGTTGGAGACAAAAACGTGCGTCACCAGAGTTGCGGATCGGTGGACTTGGTCCGAACTATATATCTCGGCGACGCAGCGTGCCATGCGTCTAGATCGACCAAGTTCCGGTGCCACCAGCTTTGAACGAGAGACGGCGCATCGCGGCCCGCCCATACTAATCCTGAACCGTGTCTGATTTGTGAATCGCGCACCAAGGTATTGCTGCGAAAAATTCCCGTCGATAGGGGCAGCAACTGCCCTGCATTGCCATGTACCAATCTTTCGGTCGAGGGAGCCTCTTCCAAGCAACGTGCCGTAGCACAAGACCGCTCAACTTGGCAGTTTCTCGAGTACTGACACACTGCAGTAGGGATCCCTTCACATGGCAGCGTCTCACCTTGGTGGAGTTCTGAACAGATCACATCCTCAGCCAATGCAAAGCTCTGTCCATATCTGCAGGTCCGGAACAGGAAATGCCGCGGCCCAGCTGAGCTCTCGCGAGAGGGAAAAAAATCGTTAGAACACAAATGGCTGACACCTACCTTGGGTCTTGAGGCTTGCCCCGCAGGTGACCGAGACGTGGACAAAATGCTTGTACAAAACGGTCCCGACTCCCCTTCTATTCTTCTACGCGACCATCGAAGAAGCAAGCATGCGCAGCACGCTGGTCACAATGATCAGCGCCGAAGATGGCAATTTGTAGTTAAAGAGATCCAAGACATCACTAACTACGTCGCTCGCAACCAAGCCCCTGGGAGCAGCAACCCCATTTCCCCAAGATCTACCCATCTCATGAGCTCCAGTCATGGGCTGAACATCGCAATTCAACACCGAGCTTGTTCCGCACAGCGGCATGGGCGTCAACGCCTCCAAAGGTCTGCGCTGGCATCTTTACAGCCGATAGGGCTCTGGCAGAGCTGGGCCTCCTACCGTTTAGGAGACCAAGCTCTCCGGGACGGCATGTTCTGCGACGAGCCCTTGTCGATGGACTCGAAGGCTCGCTCCACTCGACTATTTCTCGGTGGGCTATCCCACGCGACAAGCGGCACGCGTACAGTAAAACAACTGTCATGCAGGAAGCCCAGTCCAACCGATGGCTTTCCCTCCACGCCAATCAAAGTCTGACGGAAGTACATGTACGACTGCCAATTCGAATAGGTAGTCGTCGGAAAGGCCTTTCAGCAGAGTTCCGGCGATGCATAACATTACTGATGAGAAGTAGCTGTTAGTCTGTTTGGTAATTACGCGATATCCCTCAACCTTGTCTTGTCGAGACCGAGGTGGCTGACGCCGAACACGTCTCTGCCCGCGGCTTCGACCAACGAACTGAAGGTTGAAAAGTCACCTTCCGAGTTTGATCTAATCTTGGTTTCTCCCTGCAGGCAGCAGCTAGCCTCCTTCTGTGTCAAAGTCAGTAACGCGGATAGCTGTAGAGCTGCACAACAACCTCGAGAAACTCCACGGCATCCATATAGATGCGGCATCTCGAAGACTCTCTTTGGACACATCTCCAATCTAGAGACCATTGTGTCTTTTGATAGTGGAAACGTCGTTCGAGGTCTCCATGGGAGAAGCATGAGAGTCACAAACCTAGCACATGGAGAGAGTGGGGGGTATCGTAGGACATGCGCAGCTCTGACAACCCAAGATAGACCAGTTGGCTCCAGATCTCGTAATTCTCACATACATCAGGATACATTGTAACACGTACACTGCACAACCATCTCCTGTCAGTAGTCTGCAATCCAAGTGAGAGAAACTGCTGTATGTGAAGCTTCATCATCTGCTGATCGGCTTCAAGCTACTTATGATTCCAAGATGGGTTCCAAAACCGAACGATGCCAAATCATCATTCTATCTACTACAAGCTCTTAAGAGCCACCCTCTTTCTGCTGAGCACCTTCGATAGCCTGGCACCAACTGGGCCTGTTTTTTGTGTAGATTTCCATGGCTGGCTTGCCCAAATTCTTATAAACATCCTCATCATCAAGCGTGCCCATCTTGACAATGTTAATACCATCAATAGCCTCTGCCTGCACGTAAAGAACAGTAGGACACTTCTGGCAATAATTGTACGTGACATTCTTGCCACTGTCTCCCTTCCTGGTGAACGTCTTCAACGAGCCGGACAAAATCTTGTACTTGTCGCTTGGGATCATGAGATTGTATGAATTGGTCGTACCTATATTGATCGCGCATGTTAGCAATTACATCATAAGGCATGTGTGGTGAAACACCCTTGCTTGTCGACCATGAGATCAACGCTACAAAGGTGCCAGTGTCGATGGTGTTTGATGAACACTCACCAGATGTTTTGCGACATGGGAGGCAGTGGCAGGCGGCCTGTCGTAACGGTCAGTTCGGTCGAGCTCGGTTGCGAAAGTAGCTGGGACAGCTTACCTTTGCTGCTGGCTCGCCCTGGTACTCGAATGTGACATCGCCACAGAGACAGCTTCCTTTGGCCATTGCGATTGATTCAAATGTTAGAGAGGAGTGGTGATTGGAGTTGTCGAGGAGGTTTGTAGTGCTCAAGAATGATCAGAAAACTGACAGGTCGTTCTTAGATGCTTCCTCGGTAAGCTGAGCTGAGCTTCCATCTCCACCTCAATCTGACATCTATCCGTGACGACATACATGTCTTTGATTTGCCAAAGCATAACTTCCCCATGTGCTAAATTCTGTCACTCCCCCTACCACTTCCCCTCTGCTCTCACGGAAAACCACATGCGGCACTAGAAGCCATCACAATGCACGGTTTCTTCCAAACGGCAGCAAAGTCCACAGAGAGCCTACGATATATCAACTCTCTTTGGATACTCCTTATTCGCTCATAGGACTATGCATTTCTATACCCCATCCGCGTGGCATAAATTCGCACATGGGAAAACGCACGGTGAACTTACCTTACTTTCAGCAACGGTATTATGTGCGTGTCTGTGGTAGACAGCCGTTGAGCGTTACAGGTAGCTGTCAGCTGAGTTCAGACAACAGCAGATCAAGCGACCAAAGTCACGACAAGGAACGCGATAAGTAAAGAAGCGAAAGCAGATAGAAGAATAGCAAGCTTGACGAGAAGAGTGAATGCTCAGTGTATGAAAGCTAAGTGTATAGCGAAAGCGAGAGGGTATCCTAGTGCGCAAAAATCCAAAACCAACGCTGATATTCCCAATCCTGCGATTGCCTTGCAGAATCCCCATTCCTCTCCGTAGTCATCCTGGACCTCGGACCATTTGCCAAAAGAAGGTGGGTGGACTTGCCATCCGCTGGCGTCCTCTTCAAGAGCCTTACCAAAATTGACAGGCCCAATTCTGTTTGTCACCAATGTCGATGTACCCTGACCAACACTCAAGTCCTTGCCTCTACTACCTGTTCATCAAAGAATCCTCGCGCTTTGCGTGTCTTGCCTTCCTTCTGACCTCGAAGATCTTGAGCACTTTTGCTTTCCAAACAGGGTCCATTCTAAGACTCTCAACCTGTTTCTCGTTGAAAAAGTGTGCGTACAGCTCCTGAGAACAGTTTCGAAGTCTGAGCCCAGCGAACTGTGGTTTGATCTCACACGATATGGTTATTGACCATCCGTAGATCAAACTGCCGTTCTCTTTGACAATGTTGACTGCGGTATCATATCGCTGGTGGTCTGCGCAACGCGCAATTTCTCTAGGTTGAAGATCCGAAACGTTGTTCAAAACCTTGAACATGTGCTCAAGAATCAGCGCTTGAGTACAGAGCCCCGACATATCACTCACATGCCAGATACTCTGAGGAGGTTCCCAACATGAGGTTTGCAGCTTTCTGGTGACAAGGAGCACTTGGTCATTGGCGAAGAGCAACGTTTGCATGAAGAGCATGTCGTACACTCTGAACCCTCCGGATTTAAAACGCGCGTTGTGTTCCATCGTGAGATAGTCCATGAACTCATGCGGGCGCAGCTTCTTACAACAGCGCATTTGCATGGCATCGACAAGTTCCTTTTGGCTCGGATGATTGGCCTCACTGACGGGCTGTGCTTGGAGCCGGAGCTCATATGTGACGGTCTGTAGCTCAGGGTACCATACACGAGGAGGAGATGTTGAAGACTGCGGTGATGCTTGATGAGGGTGAGAAGGTTTTGAGACGTTGGGCGGCAAAGTGTGCAATAACCTCTCGGTCACAGGTATCGTTTTATCCTGCGATGGACTTGAGGCTTGAGGGCCAGCACGTTGCTTTATCTGTGGACAGTGCTCAGGTTTCGGGACGCTGGGTTGCGCAGCTTGTGACGGGCTCTGAGTGGGAGCTTGTGACGGGTTCTGAGTAAAAGCTCTTGTTGGATTCTGAGTGGGAAGTTGTATTCTACCATAAGATTTTGCAGGGACTCCGATATGAGGCCTTGACAATGGCAGACCGCCAATGGATATACTCTGAGATGTCGGAAATACCTGGCCCTCAGTTGGGTCTTGAGGACTTAACTCCACACCACCGGGCGATGGTGCTTGTGGGTCAATCAGATGCTGGCGTGACCGCGATTCATAAAGACGATATAAGCGATTCTGGTCATCAGGCGTTCGAACCTGCGGCATGTCGAATGCTTGAGGTTGGATTGGGCCACAACTAGTTGACGACGCTGAGCCGGTAGGCAAAGGAATATGGGACATGCCTTGCGAACAGCTTCCTGACAGAACAGGAGGAAAACGAGATGGTGGCACACCATATGGGTGCTGGCGAGGCTGGTACGGACCACGGTTGAATTGTCCGTGAGGTGCGCCAGGACGCATTTGAGTTGGCTGGTACGCGCGCTGAGTTGTGTTGTTCAAAGAATGTGAAAGATGAAGACTGGATTCTCGCTGCTGTTGCGCAGGCTGATATGCATGCTGAGACATCATTGTTCCTACTTGTGACACTGGGGGTATGTTATAGGAGATGCCTCCGTTTGGAAGGAAGACTGTGGACTTTTTACGTGTGGTTTGAGTTGTAGATGTCGATGCTTGTGACTGCGATGTTGTGGTTGCGTTACGATAGACGACTCCATTCGGAAGGAAGACCGGGGATCCTTGGTGTGCGGGCTGAGTTGTGGATACTGGTGTTTGCGATTGTTCGTGTGAGGGTAGCGGTACTGGAGAGAAGATGCGCGCTTCCGATGGGTACGGGCGAGGAGAGTGTGCGTGCTGTTCTGGTTGCACCACTTGTGGCCTCTGCTGCGCCATGGACCTCATGTCGTGGAGCGCTTGCTCGAGAGCACGCCTGCTTGCGTCGTCCATGTTTTGACAGTCGGTTCTAGCAGTGGAACGGAAGATTCGAGACGAACTGCGAGAACGTGTTGGAAGTTTGTCTCGGTCTGAGCCCGGCACAATAGGAGCAAGACAATAGTACGATAAACAATGTTGATGACAATGACACGGGGTTGTCCTGGAGTGAGGTCGGCGAAGGAGAGGATGTCATGTGGTTTCAAGCGCGCAGTGGAAGGTGCAAAGGTTTGGTTTGGTTGATCGCTACTTCGTCGAAAGTGGCTCCTTTGAGTCATGCAGATTTGCGATGTTTGCGGTCATGCCCTGTCAAGACTCGGTGCCCCAGTCGCAAAATGCATTAGCATGAGAGCGAACGGCCGCAATCTCTCTCACGTTCTTTTAGATATATCATCGTGTTCTTGGCGTGCGGCTCATGCAATCTTCACCCCCAACCCATACCACGTGGCACTGACGTTGTCACAATCTCGGAATAATGTGTTGAGCACGAGTGCGAGTGCGAGAGACATGTTGTGGAGTGGTCTCACTGATTCCCGTACTTCTGATGCAGTTGGCGAATCTGAGTCGCGGATTAGCATGAATGCTTCGAAGCGCAATCGGGGCGTACACTCACTTGTTCCTGTACATCTGTAGACTGGCTGCCTGGAGCACCAGGCGCAGCAATTTGAGATGGGTTAACGCCGTCATAGCTACCGAGCTCTATTCTCTTGCGCCTCTGGGCCTCCTCATCGCTAACGGCCTGGCCAGTGACAGGGTCAAAGACATCACTTCGCTGTGAAGCCAGACGCTTGAGGTTATTGGCAACGTCTGCAGTAGATAAGTTGGTAGTACTCGAGCGCTGGGCAGCAATACGAGACTGCTCGCGCCATCTAGGATCAAGCATTTCAACTGCGACAGTCAGTACAAGGGTAGGGAAAAGGTGGGACAGTGAAACGTACTCTTCATGTGCTGCTCAAGTTCATTGAACGGAATTTGTTGTTTGCAATTAGGACAGAGAGCAGTAGCAGCATTTTGTCTACGAGCTTGTGCGCGAGGGACGTAGTCATTGCGAATGCGCATAGGACCTTGGCCTCTTGCTGCAGCCTGAGCTTGCTCGGCGCGTTGACGTTCTGCGGTTCTTTCGGCGATACGGGCGTCTTCTTCTTTTTCCTGTGCTGTTCGCGGCGGTGGTACAAAACCACCTTGTTGAGCAGGAGAGAAAGCAGGAGGAGCAGGCGAGTAAGAGCTGGGTGGGGGCATCTGAGAAGGTGGTGGCTGATAGTAGGTTTCCTGACCTGGCATTGCTTCTTCGATACGCATGCCTGATGGAGCCAGACTCATCTGTGCCTTCTGTTCGAGCGATGCGGACTGGATATCGTTCAAGGACGTGGGTGGAGGAAGTTCTGTTTGGTCGTCTGCTTCGGTGAACAGAATGGTCTCGACGACAACAAAATCATGCCAATCGATCTGAGCGTATGCGAGCTTCTCTGCTTCTTGCTCCTCCTCCTTCTTGACCTTCTGTGCTTCTTGGAACTTGACCCATTCAGCACGCTTCTTTGCACTCTCCAAGACGCGATACTTGTTGTCGACGTTCTTCTCAAGCTCGGCAACAACCGCCTCTTGTTGTTGTCCTTGGGTGTTGAGAATCTCGGTGTACTGATCTACCAGACGCGAAAAGAATTGATGAAAACTGTGCTGGGGGCGAAGGAAATCGAACTGAGGATTCCTGGATTCACGTTGTGACAGAGTGGTCATCCAGGAGCGGCCGTTCTTTGCAACAAACAGGGCAGTCAGCTTGATGACTTCCAGATCGACGGAGCTGATGTTGGGCATGCGCGCCGAGAAGTGGAAGTCTGGAGGAGGTGCAGGGCCTTTGTTCTTTTTCGGTGTGGCCAGATCTCCTTCACGCCCAGCAGCGACATCTGTCCCTCTGCCATCTTTGATTTCTTCCAAGCGCCATAGGTAGAAGGGGTGGTACGGGTTGTCGGGCAGAACGAATTGAAGCTTGGGATTGCCCTCTGCGCTGTCGCGAATACGTGCTTCGAAAGCAGGGCCGTTGCGGACAATATAGCCGGCAGTCTTTTCTAGTAGTGTTCGGAACTCCTTGGGCGGTAGAATGACACCTGGTGGGGGCTTGAAGTCGGTGTTGTCGGGAGCATCATCGCGCTCTAGTAGCGGCGCGGGTGCCATCTTGGGAGCAAGTCAGATGAGGGTTGCACGCTGGTGACGGTGGATGGTTGTTTTCACAGAGTCCTTGTTATCGCAAGTTTCCTTTCTGTGTAAAATCGGACGGTGCACGAGAGAAGCGTTGAAAGTTCCAGTCGAGCGATACTCTCCACCAAGCGCTGCTCTCGGGCGCGACAAGCAGCGGCGGTATGCTATGACTTTTGTGATCAACCTTGGCAGCGGATCTTCCCTTATCTTATCTCCATGATCTGGAGCTATGCAGCAGCTGCTGCTCCTATTTTCAGGAGCCAAGACGCGCTTCCCGAGCTGTAGCCTGTACGTGGCCTCGCGACAACCGTCAGCTATTGGTTTCTGCTCCCCCTTGAATCGAATCCTTGGTCTCTACAGCTCACCCCTTTCCTTGGACTTGCTCCTTCTTCTTTCTTTGGCTTCTTCCCTTCTATTTGCACCTCTTTTCACTTTTCAATCGCGCCTGTCCAGCGATTGCATGGAGCTTGAAGTCTAAGCACCAAGTTCCCCGCGACGCCATAAGGAAGCTGCGAAGACCTTCCATCCAATATCCCTTCTAATATCTTGGACTTTCAACCATCCACCATGGCCAACAGAGCCGCCAAATCCCCTGCCCGCCGGGCCAACACACAGCCTACAACCAAGCCCGTTGGTTTTGCCTCAGAAGGTGTCGAGAACTACGATGTCTCGACCCTTAAGTCCAACGATTGGCTGATCTGCGGTGCCCTTTCCGTCGTCGCCCTCTTCGTGCGCTTGTTCCGCCTCTCTCAGCCCACTAGTGTCGTCTTTGACGAGGTCCAGTATGTATTCAATCACAGCTGTTTCCCAGTCCGCAACGACGAGCTGACCCTCTTCTCCTAGCTTCGGTGGTTTCGCTTCCAAGTACATCAAGGGCAAGTTCTTCATGGACGTCCACCCTCCATTGGCCAAGCTTCTCATCACTCTCGCCGGCTGGCTGGCCGGCTTCGATGGCGAGTTTGACTTCAAAGATATCGGCAAGGACTACATCGAGCCCGCCGTTCCATATATCTCAATGCGCCTTCTCCCTGCCCTCATGGGTGTCGCTACCATCCCCATCATGTTCATGACCCTCAAGGCCTCGGGCTGCAAGACCTCTACTGCTGCTATGGGTGCTGGTTTGGTTCTCTTCGAGAACGGTCTCGTCACCCAGTCTAGACTCATTCTGCTCGACTCTCCCTTGGTCATCTTCACAGCTCTGACCGTGCTCGGCTGGACTTCTTTCACCAACCAGCACGAACAGGGCCCTTCAAAGGCTTTCACTCCCGTCTGGTGGTTCTGGTTGGCTTTCAGCGGTCTCTGTCTTGGTGCCACCGTCAGTGTCAAGTGGGTCGGACTCTTTACCATTGCTTGGATCGGCAGTCTTACCCTTCTGCAACTCTGGCTTCTTCTGGGTGATACCAAGACCGTCACTCCCCGTCTTTGGTTCAAGCACTTCTTCGCTCGTTTCTTCTGCCTGGTCGTTATCCCCGTTTCCTTCTACATGAGCATGTTCGCTATCCACTTCCTCTGCCTCGTGAACCCTGGCGATGGCGATGGTTTCATGTCTTCAGAATTCCAGTCTACCCTCAACAGCAAGGGTATGCAGGATGTGCCAGCCGATGTCGCCTTTGGCAGCCGTGTCTCCATCCGTCACCACAACACCCAAGGAGGCTACCTGCACTCGCACACCCACATGTACCCCACTGGTAGCAAGCAGCAGCAAATCACCCTCTACCCCCACAAGGACGAGAACAACGTCTGGCTCCTCGAGAACCAGACTCAACCCGTTGACCTGGAGGGTACCGAAATCAAGACTCCCTTCGCATGGGACAACATTGAGCCTACCTTGATCGAAGATGGCGCTGTCCTCAAGCTTTACCACGTCATCACCGACCGCCGCGTTCACTCTCACGACCACCGTCCTCCAGTCACCGACGCTGATTGGCAAAACGAGGTTTCGGCATACGGCTACGAGGGCTTTGAAGGTGATGCCAACGACCTCTTCAAGGTCGAGATTGTCAAGCACTTGTCAGATGGTGAAGTCGCAAAGAACCGTGTCCGTACCATTGAGACCAAGTTCAAGCTCGTCCACATCATGACTGGCTGTGTTTTGTTCTCGCACAAGGTCAAGCTTCCCGACTGGGGCTTCGAGCAGCAGGAAGTGACCTGCGCCAAGGGTGGCACTTTGCCTAACAGCATCTGGTACATTGAGAGCAACGAGCACCCTCAACTCAAGGAAGACGCAGAGAAGGTCAACTACCGCAACCCCGGTTTCTTCGGCAAGTTCTGGGAGCTTCAAAAGGTCATGTGGACCACCAACGCTGGACTTGTCGAATCCCACGCCTGGGACTCACGCCCATTGTCGTGGCCAATTCTCCGCCGTGGTATCAACTTTTGGGGCAAGGACCACCGTCAAATCTACCTGATTGGTAACCCTCTTATCTGGTGGACCTCGACCGTCTCCGTCGTTGTGTACCTGGCCTTCAAGGCACTGGCTGTCTTGAGATGGCAGCGTGGATACAAGGACTACAACAATGTGCCATTCAAGAGATTCGACTACGAGGTTGGCACTAGCGTTCTTGGCTGGGCTCTTCACTGGCTTCCTTTCTTCCTCATGCAGAGACAGCTCTTCTTGCACCACTACTTCCCTGCTCTTTACTTCGCCATCATCGCCCTCTCTCAGACCTACGACTTCATCACTGCACGCGTTCCCACGTTTGGTCTGCGTCAGCGCCCTGTCATCGGAACCGCCGGTGCAGCCATCTTCTTGGCTCTCGCTATCAGTATCTTCTACATGTACTCTCCCGTCGCATACGGAAATGCCTGGACCAAGACAGACTGTGCCAAGGCCAAGTTGTTCGAGACCTGGGACTGGGACTGCAACACCTTCTACGACAGCGTAAGTTTGACAGGTGTTTGAACTAGGATGGACCGAGCTAATCCGTAACCAACAGTACTCCGAGTACCAGACTTACGACAGATCCATCGCTGCCGCCAAGCCGACAGAAGTAGCAGCCTCCCCCGCTGTTCAGTTCTCGCATGATGAGGTTCCCGAGGCTCAGGTCACCAACCGTGTGTTGGCTGGCGAAGAGAAGATCGAATACCGCGATGAAGCTGGCAACATCCTCAACGAAGAGCAGGTCAAGGAGCTGGAAGGCAAGGTTTCGTTCTCTACGCGTTACGAGACTCGTACCAGATTGGTAGACGCCAACGGTAACGAGGTGTACGATGGCAGAGTTGAGGAAGAGGATGAGAGCTACGCAGGAACAATTGCTGAAGGTAGCAATCAAGAGACTGGCGGAGTCGGACAGGAAGCTGCCTTGGAGCAGCCTGCCAGCGTCAACGTCAATGACGACGTTGAGAAGGAGAAGAGCATCGAAGCAAGCACAGCATCTGCGGAACCAGAAAGCGATGCCGGTACTGCAACAGGTAGAGACGAGCTGTAAGATGATGAAACCAACCAGGAGTTGTCAGGAAAATATCAGACAACGAGATTATGCTAGCCTCTACAAGTTTCAAGTAGGAGCAGCTTTAGGACTATTTAGTGATATCCAGTTTCTTTTGTGACAACTATCTACATTCTCTTCAAGATTCGTCTTCTCGTGTTTGGCCAAGGGTCGTTGTGTTTGAGGAAGGCGCATGTGATGATGATGACGACTTGCAGAGTGTGGAGAAAGATGGATGTTTGAGAAATATTTGGATTCTTCAATCTCAAGCCAAACACGAGCGAAGATGGGCAAGAACAAGAAGAAGAGAAAGGACCCCGCGCCTCACGCAAGGAGGGCAGCACCGAGTGAGAGACGACAGGTCATTTCATACGATGACATCGAGGGAGAAGCTGCGCCGCCCATCCCACGCCAAAAAGTCTCGTACGGCAGCGACGACAACGACGATGAAGGCGACCACGCCCCCGACCAGAGACATGCAGTCGTATCCAAAGAAGCCTTGAAGGAACGTGAGCGCCCGCAGACAGATGTCACCTACGGCCAAGTCGGCGCTTTTCCTGGACTGGACCCACGCGACAAGGATGTCTTCTACGGTCCTGCCAACGATGGTCTTGACTATCTACGCATGGTCAGGCGAGTCACTTCTACCTCCAATGCTGTTTGTCCATCTTGCTGATACGTTCCTAGATCCGAAGCACGTGGTATTCCGCACATCGTTCGCGCTCCGCCTCCCCAACCTCCTCAACCTATTGACTACGAAGACGATGACTACGAGGAACACGTCGACGACTACGGCGGCTACTACGAGGAAGATTCCGAAGGTGAAGATCAAGATGGCTGGTATGAAGATGGTGCTTATGTGGCTCCTCCTATTGCCGCCCCGGTCATAGGCCCTGTCCAGCCAGGCATCAAAGCCCAGGATGCATTCTACAACTACCTCGAGGCTTGTTTCGAAACACTACGTCGCAACTTGAGAGCGTCGCCTTCGGTCCAAGCTGTCCAAATTCTCGATGATCAGCATCCCATCTCTCTTCCTTCTGGCAATAAAATGGCAGACAAGGAGTGGAAGTACCACCTTCTAAACACAACTCCACTTCCTGCTCAACTTGCTTCTCTCGACTCTCCTTCTATCCTTCGCTTGCTGAAGCTTGTCGAAGGCCAACTGGAAAACTGCCGCAAATCAAACATTCCGAAGAATCTTGGCCTGTGGGCTTGGTCTTTATTGGCAAAGCTAGACGATGTCGGCTTGTTACAGACTAGAGAAGTCAGCGTAGTTCGAGACCTTGCCAAAATGGCCATCTGGGTACGTATGATGCATCACAAAGCCAAGCACGGTAGGTCCAACGATCCTGACTACGAACACATCGACAACTACCCAGACGAGAACGCTGCCCAGCATGAAGAAGGCGAAGTCGTCGACGCAGATCAAGCAGACGCCACCGCAGCTGGTGCGCCAGAGGTCAAATCAGTCGAGGATGCACTAGCAGCACAGATCCAGAAAGAGATCGCACCGGAACAGGATGCACAAGGAGACATTGCCATGGACCTGGACTCCGAAGACCAACTCTCAGATGCCATTGCTGCTAAGAAGCGCGAGTTGCAGACACAAGCCGAAGCTGAAGCCAAAAAGGAAAACCAAAAGCAAGAAGAGTTCCCTGACACTAACACGTGTGTGACTATTGACATGCTTGTCACGGTGGCTAGCGAGTTCTACGGTCAGAAGGATCTTCTCGTTGGCCGTTTGCCCTGGGATCATCCTACTACTGATTGAGATTGCACTAATATCACAAGCTCATCATTGCTTCAATAGCCAAGTCAGTGCTGCAACAGCATATGCATCGACAGCCACTTGCAGCGTCGGCATGATTACTGGTGCAAACAAGGCACTGTGGTTGATAGGCACGTCTCCAGGACGCCCATCAGCTGCCACTTTATCCCATATCTTAGGGTCCGTGCCTCCGTAAGTCCAGAAGGACGAAGGCTTTTTGATCGCGGTTGCTGTACCATAGTGTCAGCTCATGCACATACATATCAGAGTATAAGGGAGGAACATGTTAGTTTGTACTCACCTAGAATACCAAAGTCTTCGCTACCACCAAGTTTTAACGCAGAACTGGTGTATGAATTTTCATCAGATCCAAAGTGCTCAGCGAAGCTCTCTTCCAAACGCTGTGTGACTTCGTCGTCGTTGATTGTGAGTGGGAAATTTCGAGTCGTCTCGAAAGTAGGATCTTTGACCGCGCCACTGAATTTTCCTGTTAGTATTGGCAAACGAGAGAGACTCCACTGCTTACCTAGCCATGGACTCTGCGTTGACAATTCTCTTGACACTGCTGAGGACTTTACTTCTTGTTTCGGCATTCACGGCTCTCAAGTCCAATTTCAGGATGGCATCGTCAGCAACAACGTTTTCAGCGTCGCCTGCGATAATGCAGGCACAGGTGACGACCGCGCTGTCAGCAGGATCGACCTCTCTGCTGACAATCGTTTGCAATCTCATCACCGTGCTCGCTGCCATGACTACAGGGTCGACCAGTCTATGCGGTTGACTGGCATGGCCGCCCTTCCCATGCAGCGTTACTTTGAGTGAATCTGCTGAAGATGCCATAAGCCCACGCTTAGTACCCAGCGTACCTGCTCGCTGAGGCATAACATGTCCACCTAGAACAACATCAGGAATAGGGACTTTGTCGTACAATCCATCATCCACCATAGCCTGTGCACCCTGCCCTTTTTCCTCTGCAGGCTGGAAACAGAAAATCAACGTTCCAGACCAAGTGTCTCTGGTATTGTAAAGCAGAGATGCGGCAGCCAGTAAAGAGGTGATATGTATATCATGACCACAGGCATGCATGGTAGGTTTCTCCACTCCCTCGAGATCTACCATTCGTTTTGTGCTTGCCCATTCGAGTCCTGTCTTCTCCAGTACGGGTAAGCCGTCAATGTCAGCACGGAGAAGTACGGTGGGGCCAGATCCATTGGCGAGAACGCCTGCTAAGCCGTGTCCGCCGATATTGGTGTGTAGTTTTACTTCAGGACATGTTTGGGAGAGGTGTTCGGCTATCTTTGCTGCTGTTTCCTTTTCTTGATGCGAGAGCTCTGGGTTGGCGTGGAAGTTCTTGTAAACAGGGACGTAGTCTTTGTCCAGATCTGGACGGTGCGAGGACACGATGTCACTGATTGGATTGGCCTTCTTCGACATGATGTCTTTTGTTCTCAAGGGATTGAGAAATGATGTGAAGTGTAGGGGTTGATGTCGTGACTGTTCTGGTTCTATATAATTACCCCGCTTGCTCCCGAGTCTCCACCCATTGGCCGTGCCTATCGATGAGCTCCATGAGGAAGGAGCACGGCAGACGGATCCAGGAACATATTTGTGACTCACGTCTTCCCGCCTTCTGAGGTTTTGGTGATACGTGCGAATTGAATGTGCAACAATTTCACGAAACCACTCGTCGCATAGAATTACCTATACGGTTCTCCACGAGGCTCTCCGCAATTTCGCGGCGAGATCGGCCGAGGGCGAGGTTTGGCGGGCAGTTCGGGCAGCGCCGCCAAAGATACGGCGGGGTGTTACTCGATAGGAAATCAATCCATCGAGTAAGCAGTTATACCAGCCCTTTCGCTCAACAATCTCTTCTCCTTTTCTCTGATCTTCTTTCCTTTCTTCCTTCTTTTCTCTACATAGCATCATTTCCTCATCTTTCTCCAAACACTCTTTCTAAACTTATACTATATCAACCATGGCAATCGATACCGTCAACAATGGCCAAGTCAAAGCCATAGCAGCAGACGACATTCAATCCACCTTCGGTTCTAACAGCATCGACCTGATCAGCAAACCCCTCGGCTCCCGTATCCTCTCCTTCTCGGACGAATGGTTCGCAGCCGCCGAGAACCTCACCACCCCCACCGCACCCATTCGCAAACCCGGCGTCTTCGTCTTCTCCGGAGCCTGGTACGATGGCTGGGAGACCCGCCGTCACAACCCGGCACCCTTTGACTGGGTAGTCTTCCGCCTGGGCGTTGCATCCGGCAGAGTCAAGGGCGTAGAAATCGACACTGCCTTCTTCAACGGCAACCACGCTCCAGAAGTCGCCGTGCAGGGCTGCTTTGCCTCGGACGACAGAGAAGAAGAAATCAAGAGCGAGGACTTTAAAGAATGGGAGACTATCCTGCCCATTCAGGAATGCGGTCCTTCGCAACGACAGGCTTGGCTGCTTCCTGCCACCACAAAACCATATACCCATATTCGATTGCAGATGTTCCCTGATGGAGGTATCGCTCGCTTCCGCCTCTACGGAGACGTACAAGCTGTACTTCCCAAGGATACCTCTGCAGTCTTTGACCTAGCAGCCACCGTCAACGGCGGCGTAGCAATCCAATGCTCAGACCAGCACTTCGGCACCAAGGACAACCTGCTGCTCCCAGGTCGCGGCAAAGACATGGGCGATGGCTGGGAAACCAAGCGCACGCGCGGCGAACACGTAGATTGGTGTATCATTCGCTTGGGCACCACTGGCTTCATCTCCAAACTGCTGATCGACACCGCACATTTCCGTGGTAACTTCCCGCAAAAGGTGCAGGTGTTTGCTGCTGAGGCCGGCGAAGCCCCTGCACATGATAGCGGCAAGTGGACAGAAATTCTGGCGCCGCAGAAGACGGGACCCGATTTCGAGCATATCTACGAAGGGGATGTGTTGAAGGAATGTCAGGGCAAGGCTTATGAGTATGTTAAGCTGGTCATGATTCCTGACGGTGGTATCTCGAGGATCAAGGTCTTTGGTAGCAAGGCCGTCTAGATGGTAGACTCGACTATTATATGAATGAAAAGTCTGAATTTTGAACAGTGTAGCTTTGGGTAATCATCTTTTGTATGGTAGTAGATGAGATCCCGTCAAAAGTGATATCGCAATGTGATCCTGCACACAAAGGTTGGAATACGACTTGGTCTATAGATTCTAGGAATTATTGTGTGTTCCCATCGGACCTTACCTTTACTCCATTTTGCGGAATCCCAGGCATTTATATGATTGGTCTCGAAGAGAACGAAAGGTCGTTGATAAGATCGATTGTCCTTTAGTCCTTCCACCTCTGAGCCTTTTATGCAGTTCATAAAAGCTATGACCTTGTGACCAGGGTCGTACCGCATACAAGCAGTTTTGGAGTCGACGACTATGCCACGACCGCACCACCGCATGTTTTCCTCTCATTTTTTACCTCAGAATACTTCTATTGTCCTGATTATACGTCTCTCGAGCCATTGACGCGAATACCTGCGTTATTTGCGCTGCTATATCCGGAGATGTGTTTTTGAAACTGCTTGATCAGGAAGGCTCACTCATTCCATACAATCGAGTCTCAATGATACACCAAAATCGTTGACATGCAATTCGGCTATGCAAACACCCTGTACATCAGATGGAGCCTCTGGGAGAGAAGCAGAAAAGAGCGAAGAAGGCAAACAAACAGACAAACAAACAAGTAAAAGAAGAAAGAAAGACGAATTCCATTATGACTAAATCAAACTCCCCTTCCAACGCCCCCTCGTGCGTCCTACGACAGGGAAGTGTATTGCAGGCAGAGGCAACCGCGAGCAGCCCAATACTCAATATTGATTCTCACCCGCAAAGTCTCAGACCCTCTTCTGTGCAGGCTTTCTGAGCATCTTCTTGTTTTTCCGACTGGCAGATGCTTCATCAGCATCGTGATCACCACCAACACTCATCGAGGCCATCGCTCCGGTAATGTCATCCTCATCGCCAGCCTTGATCTTGGCAGCATATCTTGCCTCATTACCCCTAGCTCCTTTGCCGTAACAGTGAGAGAAGAGCGCATGCATGAGATTCTGGACCTGCTTGTTGGCATCCCAATTGGCTGGATAGATGTTCTTGCTGAATAGACTGCGGGAGCTGGCCCAATCCAGAGGAATCTCGTTCCAGCCGCCGAGGACTTTGATGATGGTTTCGAGGTCGGTGGTGCTGATCTTTGACCAGTATCCAGGGCGCTTCTTGCAGCAGAAAAGGACGATTGCCATGGGAAGCGAAAAATACTCGCCGTAAGGAAGGGCAATCTTCCTGAGTAGACGCAGTTCATCGATAGTATAGTTTACCTCGTCGCCGGGGAAGGCACGGATATTCAAAGTGTTGAAGGGGTCAACACCGTCCCTGTTCAGTGTAGGCAGTTGTTTCAGCAAGCCAAGATCACACAACTTGCGGTAGGAAACGGCCTTATAGAATTCTCCCTCGATCACACCGTGGACCAGATATTCCTCTTCGTACTCGTCGATTGTATGAATGATTTTGCCCAGGGCAGGCACATGAAAGGCTGTATTGGTCTTGGCCAATTCCTCAGTATCGATGATGGCGACATGGACACTGTCACACTGTCTTCCTCTGATGGGCATAGTGGAAGGCGAAGTATGGAGAGTGGGACCAAGAAGAAAACTCCGTCCGGACGTTATCATCGCCAGCTAGGTGGCAGTCAACGTTTTGGAAGAGTTCAGTGAGAGTCATGTCATAAACAGACTTGTGGCCCCGGGAAGAGGCGAAGGCAAGTGGTGTGATGGCGCTGGTGGTGTTGAGTTTGGGGCTGCCGCCCGAGCGAGCATCCCACATGCGAAAGAGGTATTTGGGGACGTTCTTGCTGGCCTCTGTATACCAAAACGATCAGCTATGGTTCTCATCAGGAAGGAAAAGTACCATGTTTCTTACGCTTCAGCTTTGTTCTCAGGACCCGATCATTCTTGATAGGCTGTTCTTTGGCATTGCTCGCGGGTTTTGAGATTTGGCTTTCTGCAGCACGGCCGTAGATACGGTCGGAAATGAAGTCGTAGATATATGGCATTAGATTGTCGATGTGTTGGAAAGAAAGGGGTCTGAATATAGTGAGAGGATTCGAATGGAAACTTGCTTTGGTCTGGTTGTGTGTTCTGCCCATGTTTGAACTCCATGACATCCGATCTTATATCTCACTCACCACCCGGTGTGACCAACCAGAACAAAGAACCACGAGTCTCATCTTCGCGCTGTTACTACAAGTAGTGAGAAAAAGAGACAATTCTGTCTGGTTCCTGGTGTGCTGGTGTCTCAAACTGTGCAAGATATCTGTGCTACACCATCGCGTGTAGAGGCCTTACTTAGCTGAGTCTATGACCATGGCCACACACGATACGCGCAATGCGAAATGATCAACCACGACAATGACTAGTAAGTCTCAACTTCGGGTTAATGTTGCAAATCCAGCGAGAGACAGGGGATGCTTGAAGCATGTCTGGGTAACGTTGTCTTAGACAGCTGACGATGTTGCTGCTCATTAGACGGGGGTCGGCATCATGACCAGTGCAGTAGGAATACTGGCCGAACAGGTGTGTTTGATCGTGGTGAGCTGATAGGTGTCTGTCGTCTGACTGACGTTCGAAAAGCCTGCAACTGGTGATAGATGATTCTTGAGCCAGATGCAGACGATAGGTAACGAGCTCCCGACGTACTCCCGATAGTCCTCGAATCCGTCCACGAAATCATTGAGGATTCGAACGAAAGGAAGACATAAACACCTGCCTGATGAGCCACATATCTCACCGCCAGCAAAAAGAACATCCTAGGACGTCTTTGAAAGACAAAACAATGAGCACGCCAGCATCTGCACCACTGCACGGTCCAAGAGAGCCAGAAACAAAATGATCACGGCAGGGATCGAACCTGCAATCTCTTGATTCGTAGTCAAGCGCCTTGCCATTGGGCCACGCAACCGATTGACATAATCAAGACTGGTGAACGCTTGTATGTAGTCCGTCGCTTCTGCACGATGGGACCACGACCATCGAATATGTATCTTCCAGCCGGCGCAGTGATGTCGCGGATGGACCAAGAGGGTGTTGTCTTCAGGATGCTAGAGCCTCTATTCTTGAAACTCAGCACAATTTGATCAGGACTCAGGAGTCCACTGCCAGCTGGCAAGAGCTCGCGACGTGCTAAGAAAATGCTCCCTGAACGCCATGTAAGTGGCACTCGTGCATCGACTGTCCTATTCTCGCAAGGAGAACTACAGCCAATATTGCCACTTACCGTGACGCTTCAGCTTCACGATCTGCTTTTGCAAATTTCCGAGTACGATATCGGACTATCAATTGTGGTCATTCGTAATCGAATCTCACGATGAGATCTGTGGCTCACAGGCTCCAAGTTTTGTGTAGTACCTTGAACTTGACTTGCCTATTCGTGACTCTACGAGGTGATGGCGGCTTACAGCCGCGATGCACTTACGAAGTTGTTGAGACTTTACCAAGCAGACGTCTGTGTCTGGCAGAAGCATGTGGGTTGAGGTGGCTGGGCTGGGCCCCCAGCAAGCCAAGAGCTCCCTGCTTGGGGCTCCAAGATATTCCCGGCACTCGGCGCCACGCTCGTAAATCCGAGTTTCGTGTTCCTGAGTTGCATCGATGGTGAGGCCGGCCAGTCGCAGCAGAACCAGCCTCCGGGTGACACTTCTGCATAGAAGACGAAGACAACGAGAACAACCGGGGTAGACTTCATACACCAGCAGCATCTGTCATACCCCGGTATCAAGAGATAGTACAGGATCTCGAGATAGTTGACAGCCGTGACTTGGGACGAATTGAGTAGCAACGGGGTGTTTATAACCGGCCTCGAGAGATGAGACAAACAAACAAGTTCGTGCCGAGTTCACCCCAGAGCGGACCCTCCAGGCGGATACACGGCGCCGAGATAGGGCCGTGGGCGTTCCTGATGCTTGCGGACCGTGAGTCGCAAGAGCAAAATCGCGCGCGATACGGCACATTTGTTGCTGACCGCGGATACACAATAAGATTCTATGGATGATGAGGAAGGACGCGCAGCTTTGTAACCTTGCGGCTTCCACGCAACCATTGACCTACGCAAGACAGAGCAAGCAGATTGCAAGCGTTGAAGCAGTTGATGATTGTAATTTTGCACGGTGTGTATCGGCCAAGTGGATGGTCATGGCCTCGCCCGCATTTTCCGTCAGAATGCGGAGTAGCATGGGTGGCCTGGGTACTCTGTAGTTGGACAAGCAACAGGGACAGCAAAACCTCTGTGATTGACCATGACGAACAGCGCAGGACTGCAAGCAGACGACATGTTGCCTGAAGCAGATGACACCGGTTGAGGAGCTTCAAAAGTTGATGGCAAGGTCGAGGCTCTTGAGGTGTTGGGCATAGTTTTGACGTTGGTTCTTTGCCGAGATTTGGTTACCTTGTTAAGAAAAGGCTGGGTTGCGCGATTAAACGGCCAACCAATCACGATGCATCGATAGCACCCGATGTTGCCTGAACAGGCAGTCTTCTCCTCGACTCAACGCAGAAGGAGCGCCAAATAGCTGTAGATGCACGGTTAGGTCGGAAGCATGCGTAGGTTATGCTCGGATGACGGAGAGGCTTTTTCAGGTGGTTTAGAGCAGTGCGGGACAAGGCAAGGCCCCAAGTCACCAAAAGCCAATTTCTGAAGGAAACGACGGGCTTGGGGGCCATCTTTGACAAAAACAAACCAGCCTCCACCACCCACTTCGCTTTCTTTTTACTTGCTCGTCCCCTCCTTCTCTCCCATCCCCCATCAGCCTTTCAATCGACCCGACGCCCAACTCGTCTCGTCCATCGACAACATGAAGTTCTCCGCCATCTTCGTCGGCACCTTCGCCGCTCTTGCTGCTGCCCAGGGCTCTCAGATCAGCAGCGCCGTCTCTTCGGCCATCTCGGGCGCCAGCTCTGGTGCTTCCAGCCTCGCCTCGAGCGTCACCGACCGCTCTTCGCGCTCCAGCTCTGCCAGCGCCGGTAGCAGCGTCACCTCGTCGGGCGCTTCCTCGACCAGCCAGTCCTCTGCCTCCAGCACCGGCTCGTCTGGAGCTGCCACCACCGACTCGGTCTACACCTCGACCATCTTCTACCAGTACCCCAACACCTTCCACAAGCCCGTATCCCCCACTCTCATGGGCAGCCAGGTCATCACCGTCTCCGGCACCGAGACTCCTAGCTACACTCTCCCCTCCGGCGCTTCCACCTTCGCCGTTACTGTCAGCAACGTCACTACCACCTACACTTCTACCAACACCTTCCACGGCGCTGTCTCCAAGTCATGGCTCGTCACCACCTCCTACACTGTACGTACTCCTGGCAACCGCGAGTGTGGACTGTGCGCTGTGTTCCGAATCTTCTCAATTGCTCTCCTTGAACAAGTTTTCTCGAAACAAAGAAAACCTGTCAAGAAACAGCATTGAGTCCGATTACAACTAGACGCATAGCTACTCTTCCTCGCTGAATACTCCAATCCATGAACCAAGCTAACTCCAATTTTAGACCACCATGGGCCTTCCCGGTACCTCCACCACTTCGTCCGAGGGCTCTGCTGGCAAGCTCGGCGTCGGTGCTTTCGGTGCCTTCGCTCTTGGTGTCGCTGCTCTCCTGTAAAAAGGTAGTCGCAATGGCATATCTATGAGATGAGAAGCGTGGACGGACGACGATGTTGGGACTAAATTTCTTATACACTTTTGCAAGGCGTTACATCCTTTTATTCTGGAGTGCATGATGGGGATGCCATTGATGCTTCACTGTAATTTACTCACTACCTCCGAGTCCCCAAGAGGGATTGACGTCAGATCAAGGGAAGGTAAACACACACCCGATACTGTTAATAGGGAATGAAAACCAAACTTTCCCTCTCTTTCATGAGCTTCACTTTTCTATGCCGCGAACAACATTGAGTGTCTCATCAAAATCCTTTGCGTGTGCAAAGGTTCGTAACACCTCTAGCTATAGCAATGCACAGTATGCTCGAGATCTGGATGGCATCCATCGAGATGCGGTGTTTCACACGCTCTCTTTGGATACATCTCGAAGCTACAAACTACTTTGCCGTTTTGTAGCGAGTATTGTAATCTATGCCTTCCTAGGAGAGAGGAGTCTAGGGTACTAAGAGTCACAAACTTTAGCATACGGAGAGAATACATTGACCTCATGAAAGCGCGTCTGTCTTCATCCACACACGCAATCGATGCCAAGCATTTCGATGCTCGCCGGTCCTCGGAGGTTGTCAAAGGGCGCGGAGTATGCGTAACGTGCTCCCTGCTAGAAAGCGACAAGATATATACATCGTCTCTGCCTGCATTATTATCTTTAGATAACATCCAACCAAGGGTTTCCCAAGCCACATCTCGAGGACGTTGCTTTCCATTCGGAGCCGACTTCCATCAAGCGAGATATTGACCAGCCCTGATACCCGATCAACACACATTTAAGAAGAGTATCCACATCTTATCATGTCCACCTCAGAAGAATTCAAACATCACGTCGTCCAACTGGATGGCCATGTCAACCTTCCTGAGCTACGATTCCCTCACACTTTCGAGAAGTACCTCCACACCTCATCCTCGGAACTACCTTCTCGCATCGCGTCGGCCACAATTGCCATCGCAACTACGACAACTTTTGCAAAGGAGAACTTTGCCTGTGCTCCTTCTCTACAGTTGATCTCTTGTCTCGGCGCCGGTTGTGACAAGTTTGATCTTCATGCTGCCAAGGAGTCTGGCGTTACTATAACCAATACACCTGCTCAGAATACTAGCACTGTTGCTGAACATGCAATAAGTCTGTACTTTGCTGTCAAGAGAAGGATCGCCGATTTGGATCGAGTCACTAAAGAGGGAGAGATGTGGAAGAGCCAGGGGATGTGTATGGGCGTGTTCAAGGGTGTGATGCCGAGAATTTGCGAGGAGGAGGTTGTGGGTATTATTGGATATGGAGCATTGGGTATGTATTCCTCTCGGTCCCCTTGTTGTCTTCTTTCCATAATATCTTTGAGAGCGCCCGATCACTGCAAGAGAAAGACGAAAGAGGGAAGATCGAGGAGCGAATTGAAAGACGACAAACATGCTAATTTCATAATGCTCACAGGCAAACGTGTCGAGAAGATGTGCAAAGCTCTCGACATGCGAGTCCTCGTTGCCGAGCGCAAAGGCTCGACTGACATTCGTCCCTCCCGCACATCCTTCGAAGATGTGCTCAAGCAATGCACAACCCTCATCCTTACCTGCCCCTTGGACCCATCCACAAGGAATATGGTCTCTCACCACGAACTATCGCTCCTTTCTCCCACTTCCATCCTCATCAATGTTGGTCGTGGCGGCATTGTAAACGAAGCTGCTCTTGCAACAGCCCTCAAGGAAGGCAAGTTGCTGGGTGCGGGTATGGATGTGTTTGAGCATGAGCCTGCTACCAAGCAGAATTGCCCTTTGCTAGCGGATGATGTGCCTGGGTTGGTTGCTACGCCGCACTTGGCTTGGTATTCAGACAGAACGATCGTGGGAACCAAGGAGACTGTGAGGAATACCATCGAAGCGTTTGTCAAAGGAGAGCCTGAGAATGTTGTTGTAGATGGAAGAAAATAGGTAGAGTGAAAGGCTACGGCTATTGTGTAGAGTCAACGTATGCTACGATGATCCCTGTGGTAATCTGATTCAAGCATATGGTATCTTCAGCAGCTGCCTAGCACAACGACCGAGAGGCTCGGGTCGTTTCCGATATTTGTATGTCACGAGTGTGTAACATCCGGGTGCCTACAGGCTGTGTAGCAAACGCACCAGCAGACTTGCGCAGAGGCTACAAAAGCTGCTCGAATCCTGATTATTCGAGTCTTGTTCACACTCACAGCATCATTACATCTGCAGCCAGAATCCTGTCCTGTTCCAAGACGCTGGACAAACTCTTGATTCCACGATTGGCTTGTTCAACTGCTTCAAGCGTAATGCAGTGCATCACATTGCAAACATATTAGTCTTGCTGAAGGAAGGCTCCGATTTCCAAGGAATCTCGCGCCGAAGGAGGCTGCCTACTCATATGCAAGCAGTCACAAGCGCTGTGCTCGGTCTGATAGGACGCCCCTAGTGTTGCCTCGGCCGCCTGCGGTGAGAGCTTTCGACCGGCCGTCATGATCCTCTAAGCATTTCTTCCACACCATGGGAGTAATCACGGCAGTCAAGCACGACAGCCCGAGCGACGTCAAGCTCGAATTACCACCTTCGATCACATGAAAATAATGTGTTCGGAGGTGGGCGACGGCAGAATCATCGAGGTCATGAGGGCTGATGGGCGCTCCCGAGTTCGCAGCGCCACTAGTGCAGGATCTAATCAGATTGATAGGTCCTCATTGGGCAGTCGGTGGATCTCTTACGACTCTGGCCACCCGTCAGTTTTCGTCAATAGAAGCCCGACCTCCAACACTTCTGCCGTTCCAGTCCTTCCCATTTTCCGTTTCCTGTTTTGTCTGATTATCCTTACGACCTCACATTCCTAGTGTTGTCAATTATCTCGAAGAGCGGTAGCCGTATCTTGGCATCCTCGGCGAATCGAAGCCCCTGTCCGCCGCAAACCTTCATCTTGACGCGCTCCAGCCAGCTTTAGGCCGCACCCTGCATCAAGACGTTGGTAACAAAAACAATACCAGTACGCACCGCTATTTGGTTTGTTGTCGTTTCAGAAGTAGGAGAGCCTCGCGCCTCTCGTTTCTCTTTGCTTCCTATGTCCATGCGACCAATAGCATCCTTCTAGTCCTCGGCATCTCTGATAGCAGTCATGCCAGGTCTTCGGAGACTCTCCAGCACAGGGGAGACCCTTCCTCGTCACAGTAGGGAGAAAATGAACAGGGCCCCTGTCGATGGCGTTTTCTCAGATACAGATTCCGAGTCTGATGTCGCCAGTCATCTGAGTGCACAAGCTGGTGTGAAGAGACTAGAGGCGACCGCAGCTCTGTGGTCAAAGTGGTCTCTGGTCTTTGCATACGGCGGGTAGGTTCACCCCATGTGATCTTCAGATGCAAGTTTGGCTCACGTCTTCCAGTCTGTATATGATGGCATATGCTATTTCGCTCGAAGGACAAGTGACCACCAACTTGACTGTATTCGCCACTAGCTCGTTCAAGGCACACGCACTGATCTCAACAGTCTCGGTCATCCAAGGAGTTGTGCTGTGTACGTTGTGGCAGGACATTCGTGAGTTGAAGACATGGCTGACTCAAGATAGCAATCGTCAAACCACCAATGGCGAAGGTGGCAGATGTCTGGGGACGTTTTGAAGCCTTCACATTCAGCGTGTTTCTATTCACCCTTGGATATATTCAGCAAGCCGCAGCCAACAACGTCAAGACATATGCAGCGGCTCAAATCTTCTATTCGGCAGGCGCTACTGGACTTCAGATTCTTCAACAAATCTTTATTGCAGATACGAGTGATCTGTTGAACAGAGCCATAGTTTCGACGATCCCGGATATTCCGTATCTCTTGAATGTTTGGATCGGACCTCCAATCGCGAGTTCGATACTGAAGAATTTGAGCTGGAGATGGGGCTATGGTATCTGGGCCATCATTCTGCCTGTCGCATACTTACCTCTGGCACTTGCTCTCTCACTGAACCAGAGAAAGGCCTCGAAGATGGGACTATTACCACCTTCGCCTTTTGTCGGCAAGGATTGGGTGTATACTCTCAAAAGTCTCTGGTTTGAGATGGATATCTTTGGACTTTTGCTTCTGCTTGTTGGTGTCGCTCTCCTCCTAATTCCGCTCACACTGGGAGCCAGTACGCCAGGCGAGTGGAGCAACGGAAGCATCATTGCCATGCTAGTTTGTGGTCTTGTCTGTCTCTGTCTCTTCCCTCTCTGGGAGCGTAGCCCACGTTTGGCACCTAGAGCATTCTTTCCTCCTCATTTGTTCCGCAGCACAACCGTCATTGCAGGAGTGCTGATTGCATTCTTTTACTTCAGTAAGTCTTGTAGCTTGTGGGAAAAGTTCATGGCTAACGACTTGCAGTGGTGTACTACCTTTCTGTGCAGCCTTACTTTTATTCTTATCTTCTGGTTGTTCAGGGCAAATCAGTCTCAGCCGCCGGTCACATTACTCAGACTTTCACCTTCACAGCGACTGTCACGTCAATCTTGACGTCCATCGTCATCAAGTACACAAAACATTACAAGTATTTCGTCACTGCAGGCGGCTGTATCTACCTGCTTGGTGTAGTCATGATGCTCCGCTATCGCACAGAAGGCGTGTCAGACTCTTTCCTCATCGGCTGTCAAGTCTTGGTCGGCATCGGCGGAGGCATGTTACATGTACCCGCTCAGCTGGGTGTACAAGCCTCTGTCGGACATGGCGAAGTTGGTGCAGTCACGGCTGCTTTCCTTACCATCCTCGAGATTGGTGGCGCCGTTGGCTCAGCCATCTCAGGCGCAATCTGGTCTTCGAATGTTCCTGTCAAGCTTGCCCAATATCTACCAGAAGAAACACGCGACCAGGCCAAGGAGATTTTCGGCAGTGTCAGAGTGGCATCAACTGAATATGCAATCGGCACACCTACGCGTACTGCCATCAACCGCGCCTATCAGGAAACCATGACCAAGATCCTGACTGTTGCTGTGTTGGTCTGCATTCCGCTGATCCCACTGTCCCTCATGATGAAGAACTACAAGCTGGACGAGATGGACCAACATGTCAAGGGCACTGTCATTGGCAACACAAGCGAAGCCAGCGACCCTTCGGAACGGGAACCATTCGCTGCGTCGTCGTCCGGTCATCGCCGCTACGACAGTGACGAGGACATTGACTATGATTACGATCGCACGATCAGGAGCGTGGCCAGCAACAATGGTCTGAGGACGTGGAAGTCGAACGCGAGCTTGCATCTGAATGACGATTGATTTGACATGGAGGTAACATGATATGACATTACTTGACGACTAGAGACATAGAAGAACGATCCGCCTGATTGCTTGTTAGATCGGGAGGCGTTTTGGATTTTCAGAGATACCACCGTACATATGCGCATTTACCTATTCTTACCTACTACCCATGGCATTCGGCTGCTATCTGTTCATGGCATATTCTATCTTCTGATCTTACTGCGTGGGGTCTAGTTCTTGACATGGATACGAAGCATTTCTACTGATAAGGTAGTCGTCTCAGCAGCCACTCTAGTGGGTCCAGCCTCAACATTCCACAACAGCAATCATATCAACCATCACAGGGACAAAAGCCGTTAATGTACAAACTACAAGGAATCAAGGAGTAGAATGCCAAGTAGATATACGAGCGAGTCATGTGGAAACAGGGCAGACAAGATGGGCACATGCAGCACAGACCATATTAGCTATATCAAAAGGGGCGGCTGGCGGTGTGGAGGTGCTAAGATTTGCTGGCGGCCTTGGAGGCTATTCAACAAGTGAGTGCGGTGTGTAAAAGTCTCAGTTGATTGTGTGAAGTTGGTTCAGTTGGAGGTGAAGAGGCCCTTTCCAGGCGGAAACGATAGCAATACTTCCAAGTGAAGCTTGGTCAAGGCTACGGAAAGAAGCCGAGAGAGTGGCTGTTTCTTTGTCGTCAAAGCCGCCGGACAAGGCTTGAGACATCTGAGGCTTACGAACCTCACAGCATGGCCGTTGACTGCAAGCAGCTGGAAGGAGGCATGGTTCCAGATTCAATATGGACAAAACAACGAAGGACATGGTGGATTGCAGGTCTGAAACAAAAGGATGACATTCGAGATGTTTGGCAGGGTCAGGCGTGGTGGAAGATTTTGGCAGTTGCCTGTTTGGGCAAGATTGGAGAAAAAGATCGACAAGATTAGGCCGGGACAGGCAATGCAGTTGTCTGGAACGTCGAGGATTGCGACGTCTGATGTGGAGGGAGCGCACGGAGAAGAAGGGCCTTTAGGGAGGACGAGGAGGCAGCGGGCGGCGAATGTGGCAGGCCAAAGACGGATCCTCGTGTAGATAGTAGCAGTGCGGTCGTATGTGCATGTCAGCGTTGACAAAGAGCATCGCTTCTCTTGCAACGCCTTTGGCCGAGGGTCTGTGATTGTTCTGCTGTTCTGCTACCTACCTACGCTTTGGCCCACGCGTCTCAGTGTTTACCTCCGCAACCTCTGCCAGCTCACCTGCCGGTGCGGGTTCGACACGACACGACACGACACTTTTGCCAGCTGCACCCATCAGCCGAGCCTCAGTTTGGTTGGGTTCTGTGACGCTCCGAGTAAGTGAAGCGACTGAGTCGCCGACCAAGCACGCCGGCCGACCAACTGACGGCTTCCTTCACCAAGCAGCGCCCACGACCTCCGCCGTCTCGCGTCTTCACATCAAGACTCCCTCCTCGTCGCATCGCTTCTACCCACCATCCTCCCGGCGCATCCCTACCAGATCGCAAGCCCCCGCTGTGCTATCGACAACTTCCCCTCGCTCAAAGCATAGCCCGCCGCACCGCTCGCAGCTAGCATAGGAAACCGGCTCTCTCGTAACACTATGGTTGTCGCTACTATCAAGTACGCTCTCCAACCCTTCTCGATCCCTGCCACACCCGCTGATCTCGCCTTGTGCAACCCAGGTGTGTCGTCGTTGGTGACGGTGCCGTCGGCAAGACCTGCTTGTTGATTTCCTACACTACCAACAAGTTCCCCGCCGAGTACGTCCCCACCGTCTTCGACAACTATGCCGTTACTGTCATGTAAGTTGGACTCCAGATCGTCTGCATCTCCTATGCCGACTGACGTCTTGCAGGATTGGCGACGAGCCCTACACCCTCGGACTCTTCGATACCGCCGGTCAGGAGGATTACGACCGTCTCCGTCCTCTCTCGTACCCCCAGACCGATGTCTTCCTCGTCTGCTTCTCCGTCGTCTCTCCCGCTTCCTTCGAGAACGTCCGCGAGAAGTGGTTCCCCGAGGTCCACCACCACTGCCCCGGCGTCCCCTGCCTGATTGTCGGTACCCAGCTCGATCTGCGCCCACCTAAGGAGAAGCGCGACGACAAGCAGGACCCCGTTCTTCGCAAGCTCCGTGAGCAAAAGATGAAGCCCGTCGAGAGAGAAGACGGTGAGAGAATGGCCAGAGAGCTCGGTGCTGTCAAGTACGTCGAGTGCTCAGCCCTGACCCAGGAGAGACTCAAGGACGTCTTTGACGAGGTAAATCATTCCATACCGTCGTCTTCATGCCCGCATCATTGACACATACCAGGCCATCGTTGCTGCCCTCGAGCCTCCTGCCACCAAGGAGAAGAAGAAGAACCACAAGTGTGTCATCCTCTAAACGAGATACACCACTTGAGGCTCCAATTCGGTTTCCGCGGCCCAACTTCAGTTCAATCTTGTTCAATACAGCGCATTCGGCACGGGACCCACCCCCAATGATATCTCCCGTCGCCGCTCAATGGTGTCTGGCGCAATGAGGCGCAATGTTTCGGTTGCTTTTTCTCACTTCTTCTTTGGTGTTTTCATCCAAGGATAGTCGTAGGTTGCGTTTTTTCTCTTTTTAGAAGCGGGGGGTGTCCAGTCTTCTGTTTTTTTCCGTTCCAGATCTTTCCATCTGCAAGTTTTCCTTTGCCCCGTTTTTTCCGCCTGTTCATCCCTCTCTTCAATGGCAGCTCCTGGGTATTTATGTTTCATCGACGAAATATCCAGGATGTTTTTCTCTGCTGCTGATGCGATGGCAAGGGTATGGTTTCCATGGTCGTTCCCCCCAAAGCTTTTCCCCGAAGAGGTGGAGATGGATTTCCATAGAAATGCACACGGCCAGAGTCGATTGATACGTTTTCCTGTTCCTGTTTCCTTGGTTGTTCCGGTGGTGCTGAAGTCTCTCTGGTGGGTGCTGTTCATTCGATGGTCGCTGCCCAGAGTCGCAGCAGACCCAAACGACATCTACACGGACCTTGGTTGCTGGTTGCTCATGATGATTCCTGGACGTCCTGTTATATCGTGGTCAGCAGCGCCAGACAGTACACAACACGTGCTGTGTAGGTGAGTCACGTTCGACACCTGTATCGAATGCTTGCTGACATATGATCAACGAGAAAAGCAGGATATAGTTTCTTTGAGATCTTTGGCGTGTCGGTTCTGGTCAACCTTGTCGTCGTCACGCAAGATACGTGTTGTGAACATGCATCAGGCAATACTCGTTGGCGTTGCTTACCTGTCAGGCCCTTTCTCGTTCCACATCCTCCGCCACCTCGTCGCCTTCGAGCAGGCGGGGCGAAAGCACTTCGCGCACCTGGAATCGGATGTGTGGATAGCAAAGGAGTGGTCGTCGAATGCGTCAAGCTGGATTCACCGTAAAGGTCAGGCCTTCTTGAGCTCTGCAAGCTACGGTCGTCCTGCGCTCTCGATCTACGGCCCCTCACAATATTGGGCTCCAGCTTATTGAGCTACGGCTTGCTGGCGCTCTACCAATTCCTCACATGAAGCACTCTTCCCTTTCTCTCGAACACTGGTTTCTCTGCGTATCATCCACTTTCTCCTTCCTCCCCTACAGGCACAATGCCGTACATCATCCCTCATGTCAGAAATCTCGAGGACTGTCCTCCTCGTATGCTCATTGGACACCGACTTCTTCCAGAGACGCACCCTCTGCGCCGCTTCGAGGAGCACAAAAGATTGGTATATGCCAGAGATTACGCTTACATGTGTCTGGTAGGGTTCGTACCACCTAAGGAGAAAGGTGGACGTCGTCCTGAGCGGAAGCTTCGTCGAGCTCCGCTGCCTCCCGGATCACATGACCGCAAGGTCTTGCGGAAGTCGCTGCCGCTAGATCATCCCGCTACGCCTTCCGGTACGGGCCCGTCAACGCCAAGGTCCCCGAGGCACTGTTTCCGCCGCAACCCCGCCGACACCCCTATCGATCAGTTCAAGAAGACAGTCGGTCCGGTGTTGAAAGAATCTCCTGACGCGACCTGGAAGCGTGTATTTGGTCGCACTCCTCCTCGTCGGGCTCTAAGATCTATCCCTGAGCCTATCGATATCAACAACATCAGAATGTTTCCCCATCCCAGTAACGAAGACAACCTTGTCCTCGTGCCCCTGGGCAGCGAGAATGCAGTTCCCACTGTCCGTGGTATCATTGAAGAATACTACGAGGAGCAGGAGTATGAGCAGACTCCGCAGACTAGCACCAAACAGAAGAGAACTCCTGTCTATCTGTCGCCTGAGATGGCTCAGCTTACAGCAGAGGCCATTCGCCGCAAGTCGAACATGCACCGTACTGCCGGTTCGAGTTCCGCTCGTCTTCCGCCCAAAGCTCAGCAGCTCCTTGGCTCTCCTCGACCTCCGAACGTCAACAACAAGGTCGAGCAGTCACCCCTTCACTTCAAAGGCAATTCGACCAATCCACTCAGACTCAGCGCCTCATCCAGAGTCGCCAGTCTGTTCACTCCTACCAAGGCAAGGAAGTCGTCCACCTCTTCACTCGCAAACAACAAAGTGGTAAAGCGCACTTCCTCCTCTTCTCAATACACAACCTTTTTCCACAAACACACCGCAACTTCTTCCTCATCTTCTCCCCTGAAACACTCCTCTACTCTTCCTCCTGTCAGCACACGCAACAGGATGTCTGCCCAACAATCCCCCACCAAGCAGGCTACCGCTGGCGCTCATTTCAACGAGAGCAACAGCGAGTCCTCCAAGTCTCCTGTCAAGTCGACTGCCTCTTCCAAGAAGGAGGAGTCTTCCATCAAGCGCGCTCTATCCAATGCTCTCACCCCTAAGCGTATGCGTGAGGATGTTCCTCCCCCTCCCCCTAAGAAGGACACCCCACCTGCTGCCGACGACAAGCCTGCTAGATTGTCTGCTAACATCGTTGATGTTCGCGGAGCTTCCGATGCCTACTCTGGCAACGGCTTCGCTGCCACCAATGAGGACACCGAACACGAGACCCCCACCAACAACTCCCGCGAGACCATCACCGTCGCCTTTGGTGATGGCTGCAGCCCCATCAAGGAGGTCAAGTCTCGAGTCGTCAAGATGACACACGCATCCCACTCGCCCTTCGTCGGACAGAAGGCTGTCTTCGAGGCCGACCCCAAGGTAGTCAAGGAGATCCAGGAGGAGTTTGAATCTCCTGCCATGGCTCCTGCTCTGTTCCGCAGCTCTCAAGTCGGCAAGATGTCGCCTAGTTCTGCCGAGAAGGCAAAGACTCCTCGCTACATCGCTGGTGGTCTGCTCGAGGGTGGTCTGCTCCCTGCCACTACCTACCAACCTCCACCCAAGATCTCCAAGAACATCGACCCCAAGGCTGATGTTTACTCGCCTTCCATGTACAGTGTTGCCACTGGTCACGATGTCTTCAACGTAAGTCTTTTGTTCTCCTTTTCTGTTGCACCTTCCTTTCTGTTACCTTTGCTTGTTCTACTCTCTTGTCTCTACATTTCACCTTCGTCTCCCTTACAACTTCCTCTCATTTGCACCTTATCCATCTCGCGCCTCGACTTCCACGTTCCCAAGTATCTCCCTCGCTTCTGTCCAATTCTTCATTCGCCTTCGATGTTCCAACCTGGCAACTTCTCGTAACCACGATCACTAACAACCTTCCCAGACCAGTACCTACGGTGTTGCCGCCCAAGAGTCATTTGCTACTCCTGTTGTCCCCGCAAACTCGCCTGTCAACACTGGTGAGCAGACCAACGGCGCTCTTCCTCATGGCCATGTCCAGCCCGTCCAGTACATTAGCGCTGTGCATGACAATGACTACATCTACCGCCCTGAAGACCACGTCTTCGACCGTCACCGTGGCGAGACTCCCGTCCTGTCGCAAGACTTTGCCAGTGCCGGTACTCAGCAGAAGCAGGTCTCTCCCGCCGATGGTCCCGTCAACATCGACACTCCTGCCAACAAGATCAGTGATTACGGCAATCTGCAGTACGATGCCTACGAGCACCCCAGCGCTAAGCCTCGCCCTCTCCGTCGTGTTTCGGGCTACAGCTCCAGCCGCTCTTCATCTGGTCGCTCTCTCCGCGACGCCTACCACGAAGCTGGCGGCCTGGGCATTGAACTCAGCGAGAAGTCGAACATCTACGCCCTGGACAACGGCACCACTCTCGGCGTCGATGGCGACAACAACTTTGAGAGACGCCGCGACATGGTGAACATGAGATCCCCTGACTTCTATCTCAAACAGTCCGGCTTCAACGAGCGCCGCAAGTCAAAGGAGCACAAGCACCACTCTCATCCCGTCGAATCACGCAAGTACGTGGACAGCGCTCTGCCCGCCTATCACGAGAAGGAGATGCAGCACCTCATCGATATTCTGGATGCTAAGATTGAACGTGTTACCGCCGTTCAGACCCGCAACGAGGGTCTTCTCACCAGCATCCACATGTCTGTCGCACATGTCCTGGCTGAACAGCGCAAGCTCCGCGAGACCATGGACGCCATTGTTGCCAATCACCAGGCTGTCCGCGATACCCTCGAGATCATCGTGGCCGACACCCACGACATCGCTACTGAGAGCCGTAGAATCCACCAGTCCATTGCTGACATGGCTGAGCACGGCGTCGACAATGAAAAGCTCGACCTCCTTGTGGACAAGGTCGTTGAGCGTCTTCACCCTACCATTGTCTGGGCAATGGAAAAGGGAGACCACAACACCGAGCGCGTTCTCACCCGTCTCGACCAAGGCAAGGACCGTCACCACAGAAAGACCCACGACCACGCCGCTGGTCAGACCTCCAACAACGGCTACACTTCTCCTACTAACGGAGTTCACTATGCCCCCAACAACCACTTGCACTTCACGCCCAGTGCTAACGGACCCTTCGCTGCCCACAACCACGAGTTTTTCAATCCTCCTGGCGGTACTCAGTTCCGTGGCCGCAACGGAACCTCCAAGTACTCTGAGGATCCCTCTCAGCGCTAGATGTGTTCTGGCTCATCATCATCGCATGTCCATTGTCTGCTTTGGAATTGTTGTATATTCTGGCTTTTGATTGTTCTAGCTTCTCTTGGGTGGCTAGGAAATAAGGGCAAAAGTTGCAACGGTCGATTGCGGCGTTTTTGGACAAGGAGCGGGGAAGAGGTTGGTGTGTCCGGTTTGGCGCTTTGCACTTTTGCGACAAACAACAACGACTTACGACTGTGTTCACGACTATGATGGACAAATCGATTACGGAGAATGATACCCACACAGCATGGCGAACATGGAGTTTGAAACTGAACCTTGGTTTCTTATAATTGGCGAAGAAATCATGTAGAAAAAAAGAAGGATGATGAGGAAGCATGAAGCACAAAAGCAAGGAATTGGTTCGCGAAGGATCACTCTAGCGAGGTTAGAATGCCAATAATTACAGTCAATTGAATTGTTGCTGTCGATCATCATGACTCTGACTTTTGACAAGTCGATGTGACAGATGTCGGAACAGCACATGGCCCAGATGTTGAGGCTACTGTTGGTGATGTGCGAGAAGGACTACCTATGTTTAGCTTGAGATGACAGAAAGCTGAAGAGGCGTGGGAGGCCTGGATTGTTGGCTGATGGGTCAAAGTTTGAGTCTGTCAGTCACGTTGATGGAGCGTGGCACGCGCGAAACGGGCAAGAGTGGCAGGCACGGACGGTTTTGGCGCGGGCTGGCAGTGGGGAATGTGCAATCACGAAGAAAGCCATGACTGATTTCAAGGAAGCAAAGGGCAGACAAAGAAGTGCCTGTCTGCTGACATTGGAGGCGACTTCCTCATTGTTCTTGGTTCTGATAGCCTCGTCGTCATCTCGAAGATAGGGAAAGAGCGATTGCATGTGCGGGATATTAAGGGCACAGCAGATCGGTTACCAACATGTCGGATGCGCGTGGTCCTCGTACCCCGTTGCATGCTGCTAGTACTGCCACAGCCATGTCGCCCGCTAACCACCTCTCCGACTCTGCCATGCACGTCGACAGCGACGACGGCAGAGTGGCTGCTGCCAGCCATAGCGACCCCCCGCTGCCGCTAATCCACACACATCATCACCGCGACCGCTCCTCGGACTCGTCCAACACCAACCCGCTATCCTCGTCGTCCTCGACCGCCAACACGCTGGCCTTCCGTCAGAACCACGCTGCTGGCCCAGGCCTCCAGATCCGAACCGATCTCCCGTCAGCCTTTGTCAATCGCAAGCAGTCTTCAGGCCAGCAGGATCGTCCCGACTCGTTTCGCTCAAGTCACTCGGCCGCCTCGCCATTGCTGACCCCAGCACTACGCCATAACCTCTCGACCTCCAGCCTGAGTCCCAATTCCGCTCTTACTTCGCCTGCTCTGGCTGCCATGCTCGACATCACGCCTTTGCCCTCGCCCATCATGCTCAACGACCCCAATTCACCCGGCCCATGGACCCGGATACGAAGCGCCCACTTTGACCACAACACAACCATGAGACCGCCCTCGAGACTCGCCTCCTCTCCTCCCACCACGAGTTCGTTATCCTCAATGTCTGCACCCCCCGCTTCACCGCACAAGAAAAAGAAGGGATATGGGAGTCTGGTTCACGCCGCTATCGAGGCTCAGACGACGCCAAAGGTCGACCTGGTTATGCGTAAACAGCACAGTCGCAATCGCAGCATCAGCGATTTCGTCCCCGAAGCCATGCACAACGTAAGGCCGAGAAACGTCACCGTTGGGCCGGCGGGCTTGCACATCACGACTACGCCGCCCAACGAGCAGCCAATGCAGAGAGAGCATTATCTCGCACAGCAGCGTGGTTATGTTCAACCCTCTGCCTCTTCAGATGATGAGCGCAGGGCTCCCAGTAGCTCTCAGAGTCATGCAACATCCATGATGAGAGCCTCTGTGGACTCGGCAAAGGTCCTACCATCACCACCTCCTTCGGCCAAAGACTCGATGGATGTGGGGGAAGACGAAGACACAGATATGCAGAGTGTAGGTGGGGCAGAGGATTCGGATGTCGAGTACTTTACCGTCCGATCTGCACACGAGGACTACAAGCGGAAATGGCGTTCAGTACGGACTCTTGGTCAGGGCACTTTCAGCAAGGTTGTGCTTGCTACATCACAACAACTACCGTCGGGATCTTCCTACGACGAGAAGCATCTGGATCCACGGAAACTGGTCGCTGTTAAGATTGTCGAACACGGTCCAGCTGGAGGCGCTGACGAAGAGCGTATCGAAGTATCCTTGAAGCGAGAAGTCGACATTCTCAAGAGTGTCTCACATCCATCGATTGTGCAGCTCAAGGCACTCGAGTATACTGATGAGCGAGCCCTACTGGTCTTGAGTTATTGCCCAGGAGGTGACTTGTTCGAACTAGCGAGTGAGCATCGCAGCATTCTACAGCCCAATATGGTCCAACGCATGTTTGCCGAGCTGGTAGGTGCCGTGCGCTACTTGCACCAGAATTATATCGTCCACCGAGATATCAAGCTTGAGAGTAAGTTCGCTCGATCTCATGTGTCTATTGCTCTTGCTTATGATGTTCACAATAGACGTCTTGGTCGTGCCCGCCTACGAGGCCCTCTCGAAACTCGACAACCCTCAAACGCATCCCTACCCATTAATCTGCCTCACCGACCTCGGACTCTCCCGCCGCATTCCCGCACCGCCAGCTTCACCACTCCTCACGACCCGCTGCGGCAGCGAAGACTACGCGGCTCCCGAAATCTTGCTTGGCCAACCCTACGACGGCCGCAGCACAGACGGCTGGGCCCTAGGCGTCCTCCTCTACGCCCTCATGGAAGGCCGCCTACCCTTTGACTGCCCACCTGGCAAACCAGAGCGATCGCGACCATCCCACCGTATAGCACGAGCAGACTGGATGTGGTGCAAGTTTGGTGATGAAGATGGAGAGTGGGATGATAAGAGAAATGACACAAAAGAGTTCAAGGGGTGGGAGGGAGCGAAGGGCGTTGTTGAGGGTTTGCTCAAGAAGGTCAGGATGGGGAGGAAGGGATTGGGGGATATTGAGGAGATGGAGTGGGTTAAGCAAGGCATGCAGGTCGAGGGCGGGTTAAAGGCTTTTGGGGATATGGAGACATTACGATCGTCGTGAGTCGAGTATTCTGCCACGACTGGCGAGGACGACATCTGCTCGAATTCGGACGACAACCACCTTTGCTGGACTGTACCGACAACCCAGCCAACAACAACTTTTTTTACGAAAACTCACGCAATACCAGTGCTCGACAACATATATATGAGCTCGATCACCACGATCACCGAGGATTGGAACAACTATTACACCGGGCAAGGGACTTACAAGGAAAGATTGGAAGGCGCGGGAAAGGGGAACTGGATCAGGACTCATTCGAAAGAGGGTATACCCATATTTTTATATTTGTTTTTTTTTTTCCTATTGTACTGTTTAGGATAAGTTTATTATTTTGCGATGTAAGACCAGCCGGCGTTGATGGATGTTCACAATTTTTTTCTTTCTCCCTGTCGATTGCTCTTCTTCCTGTCTCTTTTCGATGCTTGAATGAATTGTGGTGGTATCGACTATATCACTTTTCTGGGAATGGACTCCGAAGACAAAACAAAGCTTGGAAGGTGTACAGTAGAGTATTAAAAGGCTAGGGTTCAATGGTATTCTCTTTGGATCCCATCTTTGTATGTTCTGCTGTACAGGAGTTCGATAATGTTGTTACTCCTGTGATGCTCATCGATGCTGTTCACTTGTTGCTGTGAAAGCTGGATGGTTCTCTGTGATGCCAACAAATGCCGTCGACCGTCTGCTCCAGTATGCAAAACACTCGGTTGTGTCGCCGAGTCCACCACTGAGCAGCTCTACTGACCACCCATGTCAACGTCCTCACCCTCCTCTTGAGCGTTTCTCTCAGCCTCCAGCCTGAGCTCTGACATCGTCAGCAACACTTCTGTACTTGCCAGTGACAGCCTTCTGACGCTCGCCGTGCGCAAGCAACTGCTGGTAGACAATAGCAGCCTGTTTCTCAGTGGTAAGGCCAGTGAGGACGGGGGCAGGAACTGCAGGAACGCCTTCGTCGTCGGAGAGAGGCTCCGTGTACTTGACTGGGGACTCGACGGGCTTGTGTGAATGTTCAGAGGAAGGACCGCCGTTGGTCTTGTAGGCAGAGGCAGAGGCAGAGGCAGGAGCGGATGGGGGATTCATGGACTGCTTGCCCTTGCTGTCGTTGCGCATCTGTGGGTTGTGTTCAGTGCGGACTGTGTTTTGGGTGAGTTGAAGGCTACTTACGTCCGAGGTGGGGAACTGGGGAATGGTGGTGGTGAAAGGGATCACGTCGTACTTCCATGGAGACTTCCAAACGGGTGTCTTGGGTATGCCAGGCGAAGTGACGGTGCTGGGATCAGTACACTCGACACGCTTGGTGGTCTCGCTAGGGGCAGATGACTCAAGAGACGTGGCGGGCAGGACGGACTTGGGAAACTTGTGAGTTGCAGCAGACTCGCCAGCCGAGGCGGGCTCGGTAGCAGGCATGGCTGTAGGCGCGATATGAGGCGCAGCAGCAGACATGGCGGATGCGACAGGCATGTCTACAGGTCTGAGAAACTGTGGTGACTTGACAGGGCCTCCTTCGCGAGGCATTTCGAATGTGAAGTCCGACCGCTTGGGTTGAGCGTTAGGCGACTTGGAGGGCTGTTGGACCATCTCTGCGTCTTTGTTGTTGGCAGGTTGATCAGAGGTGCTGGACTGTTTGGCGGGAGAGTTGGTAGACTCAGGCGACTTTTGTTCCTTGTTGGGGCCAGCCATGTTCGCAGTGAGAGTCGCGGGATCTGAAGACCGAGCAAGACGTTTGTTGATCAGAATGGCGCGGAGTTCTGCCATCCTCTCTTGATTCTTGACTGCGGCTTGGGCTGTGACTTGAGAAGGTTCGGCTCCGAGTGATGACTCGTCAACAAGTGCCTGACTTTCGTCGTTCGTGGGTCCACTTCTGGTCTCTCTGTGCACCATCTCTCTACTCCTGATCTCTTCAACCCTGCGCTGCGTTTCGACCGCTTCCCACTCAACGTGGCCGATTGGGAGTTGCAGGTCGAAGCACAACTCTCGGAATCCCTCAGGATCGTTGGCGAGGGCTGCCACCCTTTCTAACCATTTATTTAAATGCTCAAGATCATTGTCCTCATCTGACAGGAAGATCCTGCAGTCCTCAAGAAGATGGAGAGTATCGGTGTCGTAGAGGGTCTTGCACGTCCAGATCCAGAAGGCAGTGGCTCCGATGTAGCCACGGTGGTACTGATCAACGATCTTGACCAGCCAGTAGTATTCAGAGCTATCATAGCCCAGTGTCTCCTGCGACGTGTGAGCTCTGGTCCATCATACTCCTGACGATCGCGTTGACTCAACGCACCTCAAGCTCATCCAAGACCAGTCCGCCCATCGTGACTAGGGGTATCTGCTGGCTGGTGGGTTGTGTCGTCTTACTTCCTAGACGTCAAGCCGACGTGCCCGGATGATGGAGGAGGGTTGCAGAATGCAAATCGAGACATAGGAGTCTTGAACAGGAATATTTGGAGGTCTTTCGCACCCACTCTCACACGTCTCGGCACCATACACATCACCGTGACAACTATGGCCTGGTCCCAACACAAAGTTGTGTGAATGGGGCGTCGATTGGTGCTGCCAGAATCTTCGAACAGCTACAGACGACCAGAACACTCCATGCTGGTCCATCCTTGTATCATCGAGCTTCTGATATACCGTCGAGTCAACCAGGCAGCATGAAGAAAACAGTATGTATAGTGTCTTCCAAGCGATATTTTGTATCGAAGAATGTACCATCCAGATGATTTCTGACAAATGTGCGTATTACAACAAAGTGTCAAATGTCCTCTATATGGATTAGATTATCTTGTAAGCCAGGGTCTGTTCAGCTGAAGGCATTGACCTCTACTCGATCAGTAGCCCGCTTTTAAAGACTTTCCTCTCACGAGCCCCGTCGTAAAGATATACGGCTTCCGAGACGGTGCGTCTGGTTCTCCAACCTGAAGTCTCCTTGCTGAACAAAAGCATATCTGCGGGTTGATCAGGCTCCAGCGAGAGCTTATTGACAGATTTCGAGTTGACTTTGGTGGAGAGGCCAATAGCGGTCCTGGCCCTGGTGGAGACACACTCGTAAAGGATCTCTGCGTCTCTCTTTGTACCGGCTTGGTAGACACCGACGCCCAGACTTGCTACCGAGAGGGGATCGCAACTGCCTTGTGGTGTGAAAGCATTGCCGATGTTGTTGATAGACACGGCAGCGTTGAAGCCATAGTCTTTGATCAGCTTGGGAATAGGCAACGTCCCACGAGCACCAGTTTCTGTTCTCATCATGAACAAGTCAGAGGTTGGCAGACCAACGAAGCTGATGGGCAGGTCAGCGATCTCCTCTCTGAGTCGCTTCCATTCATCATCTTTGAACAGAGACAGGCGGGTACAGTGTCCCAGGACAATTGTCTTGTTGGTACGAGTTGTCCAGCCTTTAGCCTTGAGTGTGTCTATCACATACCAGACCAATGGCTCAGTGTCGGGATCAAGGTTATAGTCTAGATGGAAGTCAAGATGAAGGTGTTTCTCGAGAGCAAGATCAATTGTCCAGTCAACATTCTTCTCCATCTTGTTGCGGTCGTCTTCGACGTACGGCGTACTGCCCATTACATCAGCGGAGTTTGACGTCCTGAGAGCTTCTTCAAAGAGGCCTCTTATCTCTTTGCCTTCGTCTTCACCAGAGAACAAAGGCAGCTGAGCAAACGCGCATAATTGAATATGGCATCGAGAGTGGGCCTTGTCTTTGAGAGATTTCCCTGCTTGGATACATTCAAGACCAACTATGGGATCAACCTCGACAAAGGCTCTCATGGAAGTCACACCAGCTCTAACACTTTCATCGACAACGCGCAAGCCACGTTCGAGCAAGTCATCGTGTTCAAAGGAGGATTTTGCCTTGGAAGTCAGAGTCATTGCTTCGTCGAAGGTGCCCTCTTCAATTTGCAGTTGAGCGTACTTGGGATGAGAGAGAAGATAAGCCTTGTCGATGTGAATGTGTGGGTGGCACAGAGCAGGTGCGAGCAGAGCTCCGTGACCGTTGATGAAAGGTGAAGAAGTGTCGTCCTTCAAAGCATCCAGGAGAGCAGAACTATGAGGGGTCACATTTTGTATAGTACCTTCAAAGGAAAGATTGATGTCCCAGAGAGATTGTGGGTCAGTACATGGCAGGGATACATTGAGGATATCGTGCACACGGCCAAAGGGCTGGAGGGCAGCAGAAGCGGAGATGTCTGTGGACGACTGAGCAGCTTCTAGCTCAGGCTTGATGTCAATGCCTGTAGATGCTAGAGATGGAGCAGTCATGTTTGTGATCCCGGTACAGACAGAGTTGGGAGGTGGAAGGTCGGGAGGCTTCACAGATGTCATGACGAGTAGGTACCTTCCCCAGATATGGAAGAAGGTCGGCAGAACAGGGTCGGCGTTTGGATGGACCGAGCGTGCCTGGAGGGTCTGTCAGAAGCACTCGCATCCGCATCCGAGTCGCGTCGTGGTCGAAGAGCAATTGCGCGCCTACACTTGTCGCATTCACACAAACACAAGATGCAGCCATCATCGCGAGGATTTGCAGCTCCGGGCCAGATGCGCCGTCCCACTGGACCTGGTAAGCCGCCAAAAACTTCTGTCGCATGACGACAATTCAACTGACTGCTGCCAGGCCCCATGTACGCAGCAGGCCACCAAGCACACGCGCCAGCAGTCTCACAGGCTGCTCAAGCACAGCAACAGCAACAAGAAGATGCTCGCCGTCGCGAAGCCGCTAGGAGACAGGCTCGCAAGCCTACAGACCTCGACATTGACGATGACCTTGCCGAAGCCACCATCACCGATGCTGCTATTCTATACCGCAAGCTCCGCGACCAGGAAAAGAGATTGGATGCTATCATGACAAAGAAACGTTTGGATATATTGGAAGGCACATCTGGCCAGATGCCGTCTGAGGGCGTGCTGCGTTTGTTCATCAGCAACACAGCCGAGGGCCAGCCATGGCAGATGGCCAACGACGATGGCAATGCTGGCTTCAACGAAGACGGTACTTTCGACTTTGCCGATAACAACCAAGCTCGTTATCGCGTCAAGATTGAAGGCAAGCTGCTCGAAGGCTCAGATGACATCCTCGAGGACTCGGAGCTGAAATCGACTCTGCCACCCATGGCCCCAATCAAGATGTCGCATTTCTTCAAGCGTGTCACCGTCGACTTCAACCGCCCCGCTGCCTTGCAATCGAACGATTTCAACAAGATTGAGTGGCTGAAAAAGGAGGGCGAGCCTGATGTCGACTGCATTGCCTTTGGTCGCAAGAGCGATGAAGAGCTCCAGGTCACAATCAACCTCTACCTTGATGAGCAGCCCGAGCGCTTCAAGCTGAGCCCGCCGCTTGCTTGGATCCTTGACATGGACACAGCTACGCGCGCCGACGTTGTGCAAGGAGTCTGGGACTACGCTCGTTTGTTCAAGCTGACCGATCCCGAGGACGAGCGCCGCGTCACCTGCGACGAAACCCTCAGGCAGCTGTTCCGTCACGAAACCTTGTTCTTCCCCAACCTTCCTGAGCTGATTTTGCCGCACCTTTCCCCTCTCGACCCTATCAAGCTCCCCTACACTATCCGTATCGACAAAGACTACATCGCTCCCGAAGACGAATCCATTCCACCGTCCAAGTACATGATCTGGGACATCCGAGTAAAGGTCCCCAGCACCACAAAACGCCTCATGCAGGCCATCATCTCGTCACCCAGACACATGGCCAGCCTCAAGAAAATCACCCAGGTCAACGACGATACTGCTCTTCTGCTCGAGAAGGCCCGTCATCTCAACTCCAAGCGCAAGTTCCTACTTTCGCTCTCACAAGATCCGGCTACATTCGTCAAGCGCTGGACGTCCAGTCAACAACGCGATCTCGAAATCATACTTGCTGAGGCTGGCAGAGGTGGTGGTGATGAAGGCTATGCTGGTGAAGAGTTCCGTAGAGGTGGCAAGGATGGTGCATGGGGCACAGATCTGGCTCGTGAAGCCGTGGGTCTCTGGTTGGCAAGACAGAAGACTCACTAGGAGTCGAGTTTATCACACGGTGACGGCTTTGGTTGATTTAGCGACGGCGTTGGGAAACTGGAGTCAAGGACGAGTGGGTCGTATGGCCGATCAAATATGCATTATGGAAAGTGGTTTGTGAAGATATCCGGATGATACGGGATTGGTGTCTTTTTGCATACCGTATCGAGCTTCCGAGAAAAGTCACAACGGTACTTCTGGACACGAGTCATTTAGGGGAGCGCATAATGAAAAGAACACAGTATTATCGGTTCACATCTGAGAAGGACAGCTATTGTAATCAATTGCGATCAGTGAATTGATGTGGTGAAGAATAAATAATTCAAGAATGCGGTCAGAAGAAGCCAAGTCGCTGCGCCAATCCCGATCGACAAGAATGTGACGTTTGTTCTCGTTCCTGCCATCCAAGCAAAGCATTTCTCAGCGAGCAAACAAGTTGAGCGTATCATTCCTATTCGACTCGCTCTTTCCGTCAAACAAGGCCATGTTTGCGCCTTGACCATGGTCGAGATCGCTTTGTTCCCATTGTAGACCGCTTCCATCATCTCACTCTTCCTTCTTCGACCATCCATCAACAGCTCCTAAATTCAGTCCTACCTCTATCTCTATATCTCCTCTGTACCTAACGGTTGCTACGAAACATCAACACTGGACAAGCAAGATGCCTCCCGTCACCATTCATTGCGTGCGTCACGCCCAAGGCTTCCACAACATCAGCGTTACCAACCATGCCATCCACGACCCCATGCTTACACAACTCGGCGAGGAACAATGCAAATCCCTGGCAAAGAACTTTCCCTTCATGGACCGTGTCGATGCCGTCATAGCCTCGCCCATGAAACGCACCGTATACACTGCTCTCTACTCGTTTGCTCCCGCCATCAGAGACAAGCGCCTGAAAGTTTATGCTCTTCCAGAACTTCAAGAAACCTCAGATCTGCCTTGTGACACTGGAAGTAAGGTTTCAGACCTCGAGACCGAGTTCAGAGGTCAACCAGTCGACTTGAGCTACATGTACACTCCGCCTGCCAAAGCCTGGAACAGCAAACTCGGCAAGTGGTCTGCAACTGCTTCAGCTGTCGATGATCGTGCGAGAATTGCCAGAGAATGGTTGTATAGCCGTCCGGAGAAGGAGATTGTTGTTGTCACCCATGGCGGCTTTTTGCATTATCTCACCGAAGACTGGATGGAAAAGAGCTCAAATGGTCCCGGTAATATTCCCCCTCGTCGTCACAGTCATCGTCGGCGGTCTGATGCGTCCCCTCCTCCCGTTGTCGTCAATTTGGGCCGAGTCCGATCTCGTTCTGAAAGTGGATTTGATTCTCCATCGTCACCTCGCCATCACCATCATCATCACCATCACAGCCATGACAAGCAAAAGCCTCTCTCTTCCACTTTTTCACATCGTGAGCACAGAATCCATCATCATCCACATTCTCACAAAATCCCAGGTACTGGATGGGCCAACACCGAGTATCGTTCGTATACCTTTAGCTCAAACCCTAAGAGCGGTAGACCTGTTCTTATCGAAACTCCACAAAGCCGTGCTCGGCGTTTGGGAAACGAAAAGCCCCTCACGAGAGCAGAGACGACAAATTTACAGCGCGTCGAGTCAAAGCAAAAGGCCGAAGAAGAAAAGGCGTATCAGAAGGCCAGCGGCATCCAAGCAAAGGTATAAATCTGTGCGGCTGTATTAATCCCTTTCGACTGCGTCGAGTGCTATCAAGGAAGAGAAGCATGGGAAGCGATATCTTGCGTTATGGTGTGAAGCCGTGACAAAAGATGCTCTTCATGTGCACATTGAGTCTACTTGATGTTCATCTTCATTGACTCAAAGCAAGACTAGGACGATGGGGCAGGATCGGGGGTTTGTGAGTAACACACCTTCTCTTGCGTATCACGTCCGCGAGCATCTCTATCTTCTGCATCCTGTTCGGACCTTCTTCTCAAATCGTGCTGACTTTTATACAGTTGAAGTTGAAACGAAAGGAGCGCGATCTCGGTGGTTACGCTTATGGTGTTTGATGACTAGTCAGACAGATGTCTGAATCTGTTCGCACACGAAGGATTGGGTCGTTCTTTGGAAAGCAGAACGGTCGAGGTTGTATTCGTGTATAGCATGTTGAGGGCGTTTCCAAGCAGCATGGAAGGTACACACAGCACATCATAGATTGAGAACCTGAGAAAGAAGACATCTATATTCACGCTGATTGACGTACCAGAAGCCGAAGCATCAATTCGAAGACCATCGTGTCAGTGCACTATACAACCATTGCTCACTCAATATCTGCATGCGCAAATGCGAATACCGACCGTCACGTACTTGACCAGTAGACCTTGCAGTAGTCTGGAAACACATAAGCCTCATCACCAGGGTGCTCCCAGCAGCTGTGAGATTATCTCTCTTTCTACTTCACTTCTGCATCTGACCAACGCAATATTCTTTTGACATTACTGTCGAAAGGGAGTATGTACATGCAGCAGTAATATACGACCGGGTCGGTAAATCTGTAAAGCTCCCCATCGACAGCAATTGCTGACCGTATCTGCTTCATCTATGAGCATTGTCGGGTACTCGCTGTCCGCAGTGCTCCTTCACGTCTCTATCACCTCGAACGGATACATACTATAAGCTATGGATGTGGCTGGTAGGCTTATTGGCAAGAGATATATGGGCTGTGATCTGCAGATGCATCGGCAAAATTTGATTGATGCTCAACAGTAGATTCCAAGGAGAAGGAAGAGACAGAAAGTACAAAGAAAGAGAAGCAACAGAATTTCTGCAAAACACAGGACAGCGAGGAGATGCGGGTCACGACAGAGCTTTTGTTTGTTGCAAAGCATCCACCGTGAGCAGAATGACACGACATGAATTGTGTAGGAAAAAGGGTATTTGCAGAGACCGCCATGCACCCTCATTCAACTCCCCTTGATTTGGTTCAGACTTGATATATCTGTATACTGCGAGGAAGGAATGAGAAGCACGACTAAAATGCGAGGCAAGGAGATATATGAGCGTTTCTGCGTGAGCAATACGCTCAAACAAACGAAGACAACAAGTTCGAGTGCAGTTTCGTCAAAAAAGAAAAAAAAAAAAGAAAAAGACTTGCGATGGAAATGAGTCGAGCGCATATTCTTCGCAAAAATGGCTGACGATATGCACTCTGCATGCGCCCCACGTCAGGACTTCCTTTGTGCCACATTTTAACTCTCGCATCAGCATTTGGGCAGGGCGTTCATGCATTCAAGGATGGCTGCATATGTCACACGTTACACAGCGTTGGAAAACAAAAAGCCAGCATCCATGGAATATGATGCTCAAAAAGGTACAGAGATACACTTTTGTTTGTACCTACCTTGCTTCGGCTTGTTTTCTTTGATGCATTCGTTGGGATTTGGGTTTGCTTGCTGGAGTTGGGCGTGGATGCAGATGGCAGAAACTATGTTTTTTAGATTTGTGATACTGCAGACTCTGTATAAGCAGGAAGGTGCACATGAGAGATATCGTGTATCAATAACAGACATCAGCAAGAAGTGGGACGCATCCGGGAGAGAGAGAGAGGGGGGGGGGATATTTTATTCCGGATTTTTCATGTATGTTCAGAGCACAACAAAGCTATTCTGTAGTTCTTTTGCCATTGTGTCATGCATGTGCATCATCACAAAGATTGGGAAGAAAGAAGCAAGTAGAAACACCGAGAGCCCGTGCAGAATTCTCGTCAACGAGTGGTCAAAAGGAAAGAATCGATTAAGCAGAACACAAAAAGGGGGGGAATAGGGACCATACGCCGGACCAGGTTTACGCCAATGCAACAAATACAAAAGAAACAGAAGCAACAAAGACAGTAAAGAGAGTCATGAAGGGGACAGCAGAAGATTGCTCTTCGCTGATCTGCAGAGAAGGAGAACGCGTCCTCAAGTGCGGCGGACGTACAGCACAAACCAGCCAAGCGCTCTATAGACAGCAATGATGGCCAGCAAGATACCAATATACTCACCAGTCTTGCCAGACTTGTAGCCATAGGTATCCAACAAAGCAGTGCCAGGAATCAAGCCTTGCTCATTGATGGGAGACTTGTAAGCACAGTTGTAACCGCCATTACCATCAGAGGGGCAAGTGTAGTTTCTGTACGCAAACTCATTGACCATCATGCCCTCAAAGACATAGCTCTGGTAGTCGATGTAGTGGAAGACGTAGCGCCAGAAGGGGTTCAAGTCGGCAGGGCGAACCATGAAACCCATGGTGCACATCCAGAGGCCATTGGCAAAGGCAGTAGCAGCCAGAGCAACGACAAAGATAGGAACAACGCTGGTGATGAAGACGACAAGGGACTCGGCAGCGACCAAGTCGAGGAAGAGCCACATAACCCACATCCAGAAGCCTCCAGCCGTGCCGCGGAAGTTACTAAGCCAGTACACGACGACGCTGAAGAGCAGAGTGATGATGAAGAGATACGGAAGTCCAGTCAAGAAGTTGCTAACAAGGAAAGACGTGGGTCCGTAGAGACCATTGGCACGCTCCTTCATGAAAATTGCGCGGTCCTCGAGGTAAGCAGGGATGTAAGCGACAGCCATGAAAGACATGAAGGCACCGCCAAAGAAGATAGCATTAGTAAAAGCTTGGAGATTGTCCTGCGATGCTCCCAGACGCAGCCAGACGGTGCCCATCATCACGGCCAGACCCATGTACATGGCGATACGGATACCATAGGCGATGATGTCACGGTAAGACTTGATGAAGTTGCGATGAATGAGCGCAATCACGATGGCAAACCAGTGAGCGCCGATCTGCTCGTTGTCGTTGGTCTCCTGGGGAGAAGGGTCGCCGTGCTGGATCTCGCGGTTGATGGTGTTCATCTTCTCTGCGTGGAGGCCGGAGCGCTGCCATGTGCCGGTGACCATCTCGAATTGACTGACGAGTTCGCTCCTGTTATGAGCAAAATCGGTATTGACAAAGTCGATGATGAACTCGGCGGGGTTCATGTAGAGAGGGATGGGGAAGCCGCAGGCATCGAAGAACGATTGGACTTCCTTGACTGGTCCGCTGTATGCTGTGTTGCCGTGCGAGAGGAGGAGAAGCTTGTCGAACATTGCAAATGTCGAGGTGGAAGGCTGATGGATGCTTGAGATGACCATCAACTGTGCTTGTGTTAGTATCCGCACGATAATCATACATGGAAGGGGTCAGGACTTACGTTGTGTTTCTTGGCGACTTCCTTGACGAAAGCGATGACCTCGAAGGCAGCAGCCGAGTCCAGACCAGAAGTAGGTTCATCGAGGAACAAGATCTTGGGGCTGGTGATGAGCTGGTTGGCGACGCTGACACGGCGCTTCTGACCACCAGAGATGCCCTTTCTGATAGGAGTGCCAACGAGTGTGTTAGCTTGGCCAGTAAGACCGAAGGAGTTGATGAGAGCCTCGACTCTGGCGATACGCTCGTTTGCGCTGATGCTCTTGGGCAAGGAGAGACGCGCAGCAAACAGCAAAGTCTCTCTGACGGTTAGTGAGCCGACGAGGGCGTCTTCTTGTTCGACGTAGCAACTGATCTTGCGCAGAGTCTCAGCCTCAGCTGGGCGGCCGTTGAGAAAGACATCTGATTGGGTGCGGGCGCTCTTAGCAGGAACGCGGTTCGCAAGCACGTTGAGAAGAGTAGACTTTCCAGAACCGCTGCGAGGGAATCAGCATTGGGTAGAGCATGGAAGAAGAAGAGGGATCACGTACGAAGGACCCATGACGGCCATCAATTCTCCAGCATAGACTATACCGCTGACATTGTTGAGGATAGGCTTGTCTTCGTGAGTTTGACGATCTGTGACCGAGACGGAAACTCCTCGCCAGAGAAAGCTGCGGATGTTGTGGTTGGTGAGCTGCGAGTAATCACCCATGATCTTCTCGACGTCCGACATGGTTGTAGACCTCGATGCGTGCATGGGATGTTATGTGTTGAGGGAATTGGTATAAGCAAATCAAAGTGATGTCCGTTGGTGCAGCCAAGCAATCACCACGATGACGAGCGAACGGATTATCGTCGTAAGGCTAAGTGAAGGGAGTATTCCAGTACGGCGAATGTGTGATTTGATTCTTTCTTGATTCGCAACGCTATTGGACAAGAGCAGCAGTGGTCGGAAGAGAATGAATGAACGGAGTCTCAGACACAGAAGAGAGGAAAGAACTGGGCTTGACTGTCTACAAATGGCAGAGCACCGCGGGAAGGGCAGCCTTTCCTATCTCGCTTGTTGAGGGCGTGAAGGCTGGCTGCAGGATTCGAGCAAACACAGACAGCCGCTATGACTGCACAAGGAAATGGAGAGGCAAACAGCGTGCACGCGAGAGACGTGGACTCAGAGACCAAACAAAGGTCACAGGTGGCTGTCGAATCACATCCTGGCCCTGGCACTTAGCTTACCTTCTCATGGTCGATCCTGGACGGCTGAAGGCAATTTCAGACGCATCCCAAAAGCCCGGTCACCACGCGATTGACCTGAGTGCATGAAGTCGGATGTATCAGATATTCTCTGGCTTGAGGAGAACAGGACGTTGCAGTGTGCCCCTGCAGGTGAAGACAGGAGGCTAATGCAGCTAGGCTTAGCTTCCCCGTACTACGTGATGTCCCCAGCCAATCCATCGACGCGAGCGGGCCGAGGTGACGTGCGTTCGAGATGGCGAAAGCATCGCAGTTCAATAAATCTTCATCGAAGGCAATATATCCAATCATTTGGAATCTGTTTTGAGCCTCTCCATGGCGGGAAATCTTGAGGATCTGGTCAGTGGTAATTTAATTTGACCTGAACTGCAGGACTTGAGTACGCATCCGATCTAGACGATCAATCTGTCAGCGGTCCGCTTCCGTCGAAGATCACATCTGTCTCTTTTATCCTTGACAGGGCCGGCTTTGAAACAGAACGAATCTCAGTACGATAAGTCGTCATCGTCTGAGCGTTTTCGAACGACAAAACCGCTGATATCGGCGCACGAGGGCTGCTATCGTTGGCCACGAGTGACTGCTCCACTCGCACCTCGCTCACGGATGGTTGCTCGTGCCTTCTCCTTTGTCAATCCTGATATCTCCACCTCTTGATCGCTAGACGCCGTTATTGCTCGTCTAACAATCGACGGACCCTGTCCTAGGATCGGAGGCCTGCAGTTTGTAAAATGCTGCTGGCCGGAACTGACTGGTCAAGCGCTATCGCACAGACTGCGGCTATCCTTTTTGCCAGCGACGCGCGCGCGTTCAGCACTCATCCTCCCATCGTCTAGAAGCCACCCTCTCGAACCCTAATTCTCGAGAGATTGGCGGTCATAGCGATGGTCCAGGATGGTTGATACGAGATGACCGGCACTTGCGGGGAGCCAGGAAGTCGTTTTGTGGCTTCAGCCAGGACAACCAGATGGCTGCTGGAACGTTTAAAGAAGGGCGTTCGGGCGTCTGTATCAGGATGCGCCAGCATGGCGGTACGATTATGATCTGGGGGTGATGAGCATCATGTCACGGCCTAGGACAAAGCTTTGCTGGGAACGGCACTGGTATGAAAGCCTCATTGATTGATGCGATAAGGTGCTCGGAAAGTTGTGGCACCGTCCGGCATCCCTCAAGCGAGCGACAACGGGTACCGTCGTAACGCTGTCGTGAAACAATCGAGTCTTGCCAGCCTCTTATTCTTCCGTCCTGCTTGCCCCGCAATGGAGCGCCGAGACACGATGGCGACGTGGAGATGGATACTTTGAAGTTACACGGTGAGCACCTGACATGGTCGGATAGGCACTGCCAATTCACCCAGACATTGCTTTGCACGGCTCGACAGTGGATGCCGAGTGGGTAAAGACACGACCTGACGTGAAGCCTGCGGAGGATTTTTTATGCTTTGAGCCGTCTGCTGTCCGCGGGCCGTCCGCGTCGTCCCTGGCTCCCGCTCGTCACAACGCTTGTGGCATAGCCCAAAACTCTGTGATATACTATCTACCATGGCTGACTGAGTCGTGATAGTGTCAGGGAGCATTGCGTATGGAAAGGGTTTGTTCCTCCTGCCTGCAAGCCCGGTGTCTGTGCTGCCATGGGCTGGAAACCTGAACCCGGCCTGCGGATTCCTGCTGCGCGCCCAGCAGATCATCCGTCTCGCAACTGCCTAGCAAGCTCCACTTTGGCCTCTCTGTCGCATTACCACCACCCAGGATACGCCTGCATTCTGGAAGTGAAAGCACCATGAGAGAGAGAGTTGACGTGCATCTCCGGCAGAGGACCAAGCGCTGTGTCGTTCAGAATACCGAACATCGCCTAGGATTTGATAGGCGATCGATGCATCCTCTGTCCAAAATAACTACGCGAGCCGTTGATACGTCAAACATTCACAACCTCTAGCTTAGACTTGGCCTGTGAGTTGACCGTTGACAGGTTGACGGGTCTCTACCGCTTTGACAGCCTTCAGGTTCTGGCTACCTGCGCGGAGTGGCTACTGAGACCATGTGTTTTGGCCTAGCAAATGTATCATTTTGCTGCAGATCGGAAGCCATGCCATCTGCACCAAGAACCCGGGAGCAATCATACTCCCTTCATGCAGAAAGAGATCTATATACGTCACGTCTGTCCCTTACTCTTTTACCCTTTGCCTCTTCCTTCCTTCATTTTTTTTTTCGGTTTGGTATGGTACCGTTGCTTGTCCCTTCAAAAGTCTAGTGCTCTTTCTCGTTTTCCGAAACATCTGCTTCGCCGCCAGTCGGTTACGATTTCATATCTTGTGGCTTCCCCCTTCTTCAAGGAAATAGGAAACCGTTTTACGATTCAGATTGCCGTGCGATCTAATTCTGAGCCTTGTACAACGGGCAAGGACCAGTATTAAACACACATAAGACATCATGTCGAGGGGATCCTCAATATCAGACGACGACATGTCGTCCATCAGCGGTCACGAAGATTACGATTACGAAACCGATTGCACGACACCTGCTCCATCATGTTCTGGAGAACATATTGAGAACGAAGAGGTCGAGAGTTTCAGAGCACGAGAGTACCCTCAACTTGCAGGCAAGGTGTATCTTGATCATGGAGGATCAACAGTAAGCTTACCCCACCACACATGACCACCCTTCCAACCCATCTAACCAATCCCAGCTTTATGCCAAGTCGATGGTCGAAGACTTCTCAAAAGACTTAATATCAAATCTATATGGCAACCCCCACTCGGACTCTACACCTTCGGCTGTTGCTGGTCACCGGATAGACGCCATTCGTGAGAAGGCTCTTCGCTTCTTCAAAGCTGACCCGGAGGAATGGGACTTGGTCTTTGTCGCCAACGCTACTGCCGCTATCAAACTCACAATCGAATGTCTCACAGATCATGCCGCCTCCGCACACAAGCAACTATGGTATGGCTACCACCGTGACTCTCACACTAGTGTCGTCGGTGTTCGAGAGCTTACGACTACGAGTCGATGCTTTGCCAACGATGATGAGGTAGAGAAATGGATCGAGTGTGGTGGCATTGGTGGCCCTCTACCTCGCCAATTGGGTCTCTTCGCTTATCCTGGCCAGTCAAACATGACCGGTCGTCGTCTTCCTCTCACATGGCCTGGAATGATCAAGCAAAAAGTTTTGCGAGCGAACACATACACCCTTCTTGACGCTGCTGCTCTCGCCAGTACGGCTGAATTGGACTTGAGCAATACCCACGAAAGTCCCGACTTTGTAGCCCTCAGCTTTTACAAAATCTTCGGCTTTCCCAACATTGGAGCTCTACTGGTGCAAAAGTCCGCAGCGCATGTCCTTACAAAACGCAAGTACTTTGGAGGCGGTACAGTCGATATGGTTGTGACCATCAACGATACATGGCATGCGAGGAAGACTGCCACAATTCATGACGCCCTTGAGGATGGCACTCTTCCCTTTCACTCCATCTTCGCTTTAGACCATGCCATCAACGTCCACAAACGCCTTTATGGACCCGAACCTATGAAGTTTATCTCCCGCCACACAGCTCAACTCTCAAAGCAACTCTACGACAATCTCTGCAACCTACGACACCGAAACGGCAAATCCGTCATTCGCATGTACAAAGAGCCTTCTAGCGTTTACGGTTGCAGCAAAACTCAAGGCGCTACCATCGCGTTCAATGTGTTGAAGTCTGACGGTTCACTCATCCCATATACTGAAGTTGAGAAACACGCCAATGGTCATGGCATTTACATCCGCAGCGGCTCTCTCTGTAACCCTGGTGGTATGGCCACCTACCTCGACTGGTCACCAGAGGAGATGAGAGCAGCCTTTGCTTCCGGTCATCGCTGCAGCAACCCCACTGAAATTGTTGGCGGCAAAGCTACTGGTGTCGTCCGTGTATCTCTCGGCGGCATGTCCACAGCCTCCGACATCAGAGCTCTGATCTCTTTCCTCCGCGCCTCCTACGTGGACACCACAATGCCGAAGACGATATCTCTGGCCAAGCAATCCGTTTCGATGCAAAGAGCTTCCTTCATCAAGATCCAGATTCCCGAGGAGCGAGAAATGGATGCCGTGTTCGGAGCAACAGCGCCCGTCATCAACGCACCCCTTCCCCCTCTCGTCCGCAACCGTCTTCGCAAATCCTTCGACTATGGCATCGGACCATCACCAGGTTCATCCGTCACTTCCATCTCCTCTGCCGGTCTCCCTCGCTCCCAGTCTTCCAACCTCATTGGCTTGAAAGCCAAACCCAACTTGAGTAGACGAAAAAGTCTACTCAGCCGTTCGGACTCGAAGCCTGCGGTGGGCAAGTGGGATAGCTTCTGGAGGGAAGAAACAGCTGCACTTGTTGCCGCTGGAGCTGTGGAGAGTGAAGTTGGGCTCGTTACTGCCTCTGCGACAGAAGCCAAGAAGAAAGAGAAGGAAAAGGAGAAAGACATAAGTGGCCTCAGAAAGGTTGCTCGCGCGTTCAGACGACATGCTTGATGTTTGATGTGTGCCTGGTTTCCTTTGACTGTTCATTACATATAATGTTATATGGCTAGTATCTTTTATTTGTTCAAATAGGTGGATGGTGGTTCTCGGTTTGGTTTTTTGGATTTTCGTTTTCGCTCTTCCTCTATCGTTAGCTTTTTTCTTTTGTCCTTGCTTTGCTTTACTTCTGGAGGGTAGTCTATATACCATGTTTTTCTCTTTCTACTTCAGCGATGATGAAATAGCGTCACCAGACAGTCAATTTACAGTATCTAGGATGATGATGCATACCTTCTTGAATCATCTCACATTCCACCTTACAATCTCCTACAGTCCAGCCAATCTATCTTCCTCGACCCAAGAACCGTGATCCCACCAACAATCATAGCCAGGTCGTCGGTGCACCCAACGTACCAACGCTTTCCATCTCATCTCCCTGAACAAATTGATCTCAGCCCTGAGAGGCTGACAGAAAAAGCTCGGCAGTCCAAGCAGCCACGAACCCAACACGTCGTGTGCATGAACGAATATTCTCTACCCGTGATCAACAGGGGCAAATTTCCGTACGAGATGCAGATACTGTACGGCTATGCATCCTACCACCGCGTGGAAAGTGTAATAGATAAACGTGTCAGACACGCGTTGTAGCCCTAGGATGCCTAACTTATGCTTTGAAACAGAAGAGGAGATCAAGTAGCAAGCAAGACAGTTAAGCTAAATACTTGGCTGAAGATCGTATAGTCACGAAGGAGTCAAGGTGGATAAGTATAGCCACTCAAGGCCCGATGACCAGGGCTACCTCAACTGCGAGATATAGTAGCAATTCACCTCCCCTACGATCACTGCGAGATAGATTGCTCAACAGCATAGACAGCACGAGCACGAGCACGAGCACAAGGGCAAGCGCTCTACTTGCATACCTGATTTGCATTCTCGAAACAGTGCTTGGGAAAGATAAATCCGGTGCTAAAGTGGTCTTGCAGAAAAGTAAAATATATGACCTTCCCACACGCTACCCATCATGCGCGAAGAAGGAAGCCCAGACGACTGTGCATACACCAAGAAGAGATAGATCCTAGACTTGAGCCGAGAGAAAGCAAAGAAGATGGGAGGAGCAGGAGGATGGAGTGGAGAAGGAGAGGAGCTAAGAGGCGATCGTGTCTTCTAGCTCACCACGCCGTCAGTGGGGCGAGATGCATATACGGATGGACGGCTCCCTTTTTTGCACACGGCCGTAGACTAGGAATGGAATTTCGACTCAAGAATAGTAACTCAAAGAGGTCACAAGGAATGATGGAAGATAAGAAAGGTGCGGTGTGAGGTAATCGTGGTTGTAATTCGAATTGGCTGAGCCGAAACATAAGTGATGAAGATATCCAGCACAACTTCCCAAGCATTCATGGCAGGAAGCAGGAGAGAACATAAAAGATGTAGACACGCAATGAGACTCGCAGACATCACGGATACAAAGACATTGCAAGTCAATTTAAACGTGTCATTCAATCTTGGAACAGTGATGAGGGCCTGAAAAACTCCCAAGGAATTAGGGAGACAAGCGTGACAATAGAAGTTCCTTTGCACATGTTTGCAAATCACTGCTGATAAGAAGGGAAAGGGCGAAAAAGGGTAAACTGTTGTTTCATTGTATTGTTGTGTTGAGGGTGAGCAAAGTCAGAGAGATGTCTCCGACTCATATAAAGGCCATCTCCATGTTTTTGAGAAGAGGCACTCGATAACTGCGGAAGTTGGATGTGGGACCAACTATAGACGCCGCATCGTGGAGGAGTGTAGATGGCGGCGTATATGCTCGTGGTCCGAAGGAAGGTATACTGTTGTGATTGGACGATCATGATGTTTCGGTGAGTGTCGAAGATGGGGATGAAGTGGTATCCGTGAGAGCATAGCTATAAGAATTGCTCTGTTGAGAGAGCAATGAACGCCGCGAACGCCTTGGCTGGTATGCTTGGAAGGAAGACAGAGGAGAGTCGTGAGAATGCATTGTTTTTCATCAGACTGGAGTTGTGTCAGCAGGGTGAAGGGTATCGGGGAGGGGAGGACTATGAGTTGCGCACCATTCAGATAGTCGGCCGCCATGAGCAGTTCAAGACAAAGCTCAGGCGGGATGTCGAGGTCAGGGACACCAGTAGCGTCGCGATTCTTCTCGTAGTAGTAGAAGTACTCGCAGACCTTCTCGAGCACCATGCCATTGATATTCTCGAACGTACATCTGTGAGTCTTTGATTCTGCGAAGCCCTCTGCGATTGACAGTCAGCATCGAGAAGAACAGGAAGAAGGAGCGATGCAAACGCACTGGTTGGGTCAAGCATCCTCTTGATGCGGTCGAAGAGACAAGCCGTTCTTGTTTGCACCAAAAATTCGAAGCCGTCATTGCTGATCAGCGTGACATAATCGGGCGTCTCGGTCTGTTCTACGTCTGCCATTACTGGTCGTGTTCTGCGAGGATGCGCGGTGATGAAGAAAGAAGAGGAAGGCGCGATTGATTGAATGAAGCTGTGGCCAAAATTGCTTCACTCATGCCAAGACTTGAACCAAGCTCAATCGTCCATCTGCTTCTGCTCTTGCCCATCTTGCTGAACATCACCAACTCGATTTCACGTTGATCAATGTGAGAAGCCATCACTCCATGTAGTTTCACGTACTAGGCTAAGTGTTTTGTTAGTTCTCTTTTCCCGTGTACCTGAATCTCCTTTCGAAATAGATTTTCGGTCTTTCACTTCTGTGTGATACCTTCGGTAAAGCATGTCTAATCGCATCTTTTCCTCGACATCATCAAAATTCAATGTAGCAAGAGTCCTACCGAAGTCGTCATTGAACCCTACACAAACTCGATCCCTGAAACTCTTTGCCTCCTCAAAACACGCTCTTCGCAGATCCACCTGTCTGATTACCGGAGCCTCTCGCGGCATAGGTCGTGCTATCGCGGTCGCATTTGCACGCGAAGGTGCTGGCTGTCTCCTTGTTGGCCGTGATGAGTCAGCTCTGAAGGAAACATATGAGCTCTGCACTTCTGCCCGCGGCTCAGTCGGCCGCAGCCATTTTGTTCTCACAGGCGACATCAACGACTCAACCTTCTGGTCTACTCTGGAAAAAGATCCCTGCTGGAAACATGAGAACGGCAGACTAGATGTTCTAGTCAACGCGGCCGGTATCTCGCATTCAAGTTTGCTGCTACGCACCACACAAGCCAAGGTGGACGACATCCTAAACACGAATTTGAGTGCCGCTATCCAGGCTTCCAGATTTGCAACCAAGAAGATGCTGAAAAACTCTGCCGAGGCCGCTAGCGGAGCCGGACATATCTTGAACATCTCATCGCTGCTTGCGACGCATGGCGGTGCAGGAAGTGTGGCCTACGCAGCCTCAAAAGCAGGTGTCTTGGGACTTACTCGGTCGCTAGCTGCGGAACTGGGTACCAGAGGTATCAGAGTCAATGCTATTTGTCCAGGGTATGTGGAAACCGATATGACAAGAGCGATGCCATATACCGCAAGAGATGCTGCTCTTGCAAAAATTCCAGCTGGCAGATTCGGCACGGTTGATGAGATCGCTGATGCGGCAGTGTTTCTGTGTGGGAATCAGTATGCGAATAACACCGTGCTGAATCTTGATGGTGGATTGAGTGCTGTATAGATATCTTATCAACATTTACTTTTAGATGAATATGAGCGTACAGCTCATCAAGCAACAACCGTGAAATTGTGCTTATTCTTTGTCGGATAAAATCGAATCTTCTTCCGGTAGCAGTGACTTCCTCGTAGCCTTGTTTTGCCTAATCTTATGTGCGTAATGTTCATCAAGCAGCCGATCTCCAAACGACATGTACTCCTTCGTTGCTTCCGCATTTCCGCATACCGCGTTTCAAATTGCGACGCCCTTGCCGCAAACACCCCACCCAGAACCACAACCTGTCCAACAGACTATCGCCTCCGTCCGTCTTCCGCAATCAGACACTGCGACTACTATCGAATGTCAGCTTCTACAAATCTCGAAGGGTTCCCGCTGGAAGTCTGGCTACGAATTCTGGATTACAGCACACCCAGCGTCCACAGAGCACTTTACCGGCTGCCGAGCCCTTTCCACCAGTTAATACGCAAGAGGACCTATCATACATTAGTCTTTGGCAACCAGGTCTATCTGGGCTGCACAAAGGAAACCGCTCATGATGGCACTTAGTGTCGTGACCTGAGACTATTTTACAAGTTACACAAGGACCGTGATGACTGGAAACCATATGTTCGCAGGGTGTACATACAATGCCGTAAGTCAGCGTCCATTATTCCTGATCAGTGTGCTCGCAGACAGAGTCTTGCCGGGCTTCGCAACAGTGCATCGTCTTCTCCCAGACTCCACATGCACAAGAAATGCACATTTCTTTTGGTAAATAGAAAGCATTCACCAGAAGTCGCAATACCGGCGGCTCTTCATGGACTTCGCTACCATCTAGACGGAGATGTGCATTGTGATGACTCGCTCCGCCGCTGGCTTCGGCTGAGTATCGTTGTTGGAGCGGGGTGGAAACCACATACTCTAGCACATTGGAAAGAACTATCGGAGAAAGGCAAGGGTCCCGCTGACTCAACACAGTAGACACCGATGGCACGAAAAACAGGATCTATGACGGGGATGCGTCCATGTTCCCCAAGATAGCCTCACTCTTTAGGAACGACGCCTCTAGCTTCACCAATCTGGAGTTCTTCCACACGACACTGCCATATATGCAGGGCACGTTCTGGGATGATGACAATCCCGACTATGATACGTCTAGTGACGACAGTCCCACGGACGAAGACGATGAGAGGTCCAATAAGCGTCTTCCAAGCTGTGGTATCACCTCGATGTCCTTGGCCATGCAAGACGATCAGGGGATCGAGTATGAATGACTAGACCGACTTTCTAGCATCATAGAGGAAGCACCGAAACTTCGTTTCCTGGAACTCAGAGATTGGAGTACGACAGACGACCCTACTCTGGAAGAACATTTTCTTGACGGCCCAAGGATCTGGAGTCCAACTCATCTCAGTCTTTTGGATTGTGGACCCCTCACTGATGGTGTAGGTAATCTTCTTCGAAGGTTCAAGGATCTTCAAAGCCTGAGGATTACATCCGGGTTGGTACCTAACAGCAAGCGAGACTTTATGTATGACCCTATCCACATACACGCGGCTGTAGCTTCGATCGCAGACGTTGAACATACTCTGGAGGAGCTCGAGTTTGATCCCGGACCATGCGAGCAATGGGGTCGCGGTTCGTTATATTATGGCAATGAGTTTTATCAGTCCTCCGCCTTTCTATACTTCCGCAAGTTGCGACGCCTGCAAGCACCTCTGGAGATGTTTTCACAGGCTACGGGAAAGATGCTCCGCGACGACCAATCCCATAACTTTTACACCAACTTCCCACAATCGCTCGAGAAGCTCACACTGGTTGTCACATGCAGAGAGCCCTTCCATCAAGCGCTCGAGGGTAGTCACATCCTATCCAGTGATCAGGTTGTCCTTGAGGATCGTATCGTGAACATCAGCGAGCTTGATTGTGAGACTGAAACATACGAAAAGGCTCACGAGTTGTTTGGGGAGCTATCACGACCGATTGTCCAAAAGGATCGCCGACTACCTGTTCTTCGAGAGCTCCATTTGATTAGGGATCCCTGTCAATGGCTTTTTTGCGAACACGTCAAGCAAGATATACGACTGTTGGAGTACGCTGGTATAGCCGTATACGTGCACGATAGAAAGATCGAAGGTCCTGCTCAGAGTAACTATAAACGCGTGGTCTCCGAGCTGTAACGGGTACGGTTGGAAAGAAAGCAAAGGCTGCTAAACCCACTTCTTCAGAAGAAAAATCAGATTTATGAATTGAACGAACGACCAGGGACTAGCCTTGGAACGATCAAGAGAGGACATACACGATATTATCTTGAGAGACTCAAAACACAGACCCAAAGCTTTGCATTTGCAACTCAAAATCGAACTTTCGTCTCGCATCAGGCTGCCGAATATACTCTCTAGCAAAGATGCTATAACGCTTGCGTCGGCTGTTGGAACACAGAGTGGTTTTGAGAAACAGTACGCTGTCGACCGAGGCACAACTCACGCTCTCGAGAGATACACCTCTGATCCGCAGACTTTCATGCATTACGACAACTATGATGTGGCCCAAGAGATTTACGGCACGAAATGAGTGTGGAAATCGCAAACTTCCCGTGACACATAACCCAAATTTGTACTGCCATCAATATCATCATCAATATCATCATAAGCCATCACCACTCCCACGATGTGGTCTTTACCCTCAACACTCAGATCCACTAGCTAGCAGCCCTAAGCAACTCCCCAAACAAGCTACCTTGTCTCTTCATCAACTCCCCGGGCACACCCATCTCCGCCACCCTCCCACCCTCCAAAACAACCACAACATCAAAATCCACAATCGTCTGCAAGTGATGCGCAATAGCAATGACAGTTTTACCTTCAAACTCTTCTCTGAGCAATTTCTGCACTGTAGCTTCGGTCTCATGATCCAAACCTGAAGTTGCTTCGTCAACCAGCACGATAGAGCCAGAGGACAAAATCGCGCGTGCCATGGCGAAGAGTTGGGTTTGCCCTTTTGTAAGCATGTCGTCGGGGTTAAGCTGGACGTCTAGAGGTGTGTTCCAGGTCGAGCCTTCTGCTTGAGCTAGGGTTTCGAATTTTGCGAGTAGGCCTACGCGGGAGAGTGCAGCTAGCATTTTTGCATCGCTGCGTTTGGTATCTGTGCTGCGTAAAGACAGATTCTCGCGTACAGTACCGGTGCTAAAGTAGGGATCTTGAGGTAACGCGATCATCTTTGAGCGCAGCAGTTCTTGAGATACGGTTGTGATGTCCACACCGTCGATCTTCAGGGTGCCGCTGCTGATGTGCAAGAGACCGAAGACGGCGGATGCGAGGGAGGACTTGCCGCTGCCTGTGCGGCCGCAGATGGCAATCTTTTGGCCGTGCTTGATGTCTAGGTTGATGCCTTTGATTGTGGATGGTGCGGTGTCGGAGTATGATGCTTCGAGGTTTGTGATGGAGATGTCGCCTTTGGCCATCCAGTCGGTAGGAGGGTTGACTTCGCCTTGCTCTTCTTCTGGTGTATCCTCGATGAACTCTTTCATGCGAGCAATGGCCCCCATACTGGTTTCCAACTGTGTCCAGGCTACTACGAGCATCTCGAGAATAGGTCCAATGTCCATGATGTTGATCAATGCTAGAGCAACATAACCAGCATCACTGCTCGACCTTAGTTTTACGACTATAGCCATTGTCACGGTTGCCAGACCGGCGACTACAAGATTCAGAACCAAAGAGAGCCAATTTTGTACTATTCAGATGTCAGTGTATATGTTTTGTTCAGTGTAGTGATAACTTACCTGATTCGAGAAGATAATAAGGCGTCTGGCTGTTCTCCAACAGTCTTTTGTTCTTCTCTCTGTACGCTTTGGTCCAGCCAAATGTCTTGATAGTTGCAACACCAGTCACTGTCTCCAGGAAGTGCGTGCATAGAGGAGCCTTTGCCTCGAGATCCATGATTCGCAATTGCTTGCCAGTACGCAGATAGATGTTCTGGATAATCCAGAAGACAGGCACAAGAATCGGCAAAGTCGCAGCGATGAACGGTGTAGCCACAATAATGATAGCCGTCATGGCGATGACCTCAGTGATACCTGCCATAACGTTGAGCAGAGCACCAGACAGCTGCATGTCAATGATCGAAATGTCCTGACTGAATCTGTTGGCTATACTTCCAGTCTCTTTGCCTCCCCAAGCAGAGTAGCGGATCTTGACCAGCGCCGTGAACTGCTTGATGTGCAGATATATGCTGGACTGTGGGAACAGATACATGAAGCCGAGGTAGAGAAGCCCGAAAACAACGAGGACAAAGACCACAGTGATGGCAGCCAAAATACCCACCCATTTTCCGAGTTCGGATGAGCTTGTTGCTTCGGCGGCCGCCCACCACTTCAATACGAGCTGTTGCACGCATTGCAACACAGAAAATGCTACGATAAGAAGTGTAAAGGAAGAGAAACTGATCGTGTTGAAAGAGCTGAAGTAGGACTTGTACAAGTGCCAGTTGGACTGAGTCTTGACGGTCGTAGAAGAAACACTGGACGATCGTGAAGACTTGAGCGGGAGTTCGGCGGGGCTTGCGTTGTCGATATCTTCTTCGTCGTCCTCCTGATGGGTCCGGCCAGCGTGCTCACGTATGAACGATGCAGGAGCTTTGTCAGGAGAACCCTGGTAAGCCAGCTTACCGTCCTCAACCACGAGTACCGTGTCAGCGTAGCGCAACCAACCAATCGCGTGAGTGGCGAGGACGGTCGTCACTTCGAGCTTTCGCAGAATTCCTCGAGGACCTAGGACACGATTGAAGACAAGCCGCTCTGTTTGAGTGTCCAGGCCAGAAAGTACGTCGTCGAGTAGAACTAGTGATCTTCGAGAGTAGACTGTTCGTGCCAGACTGATACGGTTTTTCTGACCGCCGCTCAGACTTGTGCCATCGTTTCCGACGCGAGTGTCGATACCATCTGGAAGCTCCTGGAAGTCTTGATCAAGTCCACAGGTCCAGCATACCTTTGTCAGCCAAGCGTCGTCGGCGACGTCAGCCCCTACGATGTTCTCTCTGATAGTGCCATTCCAGAGCCAAGGATTTTGGCTGCAATACGCAATCTCGTCGTCTGCGACAGTTATAGAGCCAGAACTGATACTGACTTCGCCTAGGAGAGCTTTGAGCAGAGTTGATTTGCCCGAGCCAACGCTTTAAAATATGTCAGCCAAGTTCTCGAATGATGACAGTCGTGTAACTCACCTGCCAACCACCATGTTGAGCGTGTTGCGAGGCAAATTGAGCTCAATGTTCCTCAAGATAGTCTTGTCCCCAGCAAAACCACAGCTTAGGTCCCGCACTTGCGCAATTTCATGCATTTCTGAGACCGACATACCCGTCTTAGTATTACGTTCGTGTGCCATGGCCTCTGAATCTACTGTACGCTCATCTGTGTGGTCTTTTGTGACGAGATATTCTTGAATCCTGGCAAGTGCAGCAAAAACCTGCAGTAGCATGGGTAGAAACTGAATAGTCAATAGAAGTGGGTTGGTGAACAGTTTCAGCACAGCCAATGACGTGAAGAGTGTTGCGTTAGTCAAAGGTTCTCCTGTAAAATGAGTCTTGATCGCGAACGCTCCATACATGACAAGAGTAGCTCCTTGGAAGTTGGTAAGTGAGATGACCAGATTGATCATAGCTGACAGACGGATTGCTTTTTGGGCGCGGACTTCCTTCTCGCGCAGTTTGTTGCCTTTGTCGAGGACTGATGGGCCCACGCCAAGTAATTTGATGTTCTTCATGGATCCGATGACACTAGTGATGTAGGAGACACGCTGCTGTGTTGCAGCGAGCCAGAGCTTCGATTTCGGCGCAATCTTCTTGCCATTCAGGGAACAGACTGTAATGAAAACCGCAAGCAATATGAGTGGGGCAAGGAAAGGGAGCCCAACTTGGCTGTAAAGAAGTCCAAGAGCGATGATAATTGAGACACCGCAGGCCCAGAACTCGTGCATCGGCCTGATACCAGTAAGTGTCTTTTCGACATCAACATTCATCAGCATGAGAGGATTTGAGTTGGTATCAACTCTAGAACGTAAGGCTTTATCATGGATCAGACTGATCAGACAACCTCGAAGTTTTGTCTGGAAACGCGCGACCGACTGCCAGTACCAACTTTGGAAGGTTGCGATGGCGATATACACGATTGCTGTGGCAAGCACAAGCAATACACCCTCTTCTGTTCCGCCTTTTGCAGGATTGTCGATGTAGTCGACGAAGCGCAAGATCAGATATGGTTGGCAGAATTGTATTGCGAGCATCAGTAGACGAGGAATGATTGGAAACAACATGTCGTATCCGATAGCGCTGAGGATGATACGGACCATGCTGACCTTGGGATTCTTTGTAGTGTGTCTGCGCCACTCAAGACGGAATCGACGTCGCGGATCGGTGGATGACAGATCCTCGTCCATCTTGTCGAGATCAGTAGGTGCAAGCACAGAAGTGTATCCTCGTTTGAATGTGCTGTTCAGCCACCAGAAAAGCCGTTGACTGAACACATCGTTGGTGTCTTGAGGGCTACGCTTCTGACGTTGTAACAGTATAGACTCTTTGCTCACGCTTTCCACAGCAAGGAATATAGCGCAAGCAACGATCTGGCCGATGCCTAGACCTCTCATAGTTGTGTCGTCATTGCGAAGCCAAAGCGAGCGAAGGTGTACGGCTTGTACTACCAGGGCGACCATCAGGTAGAGTTGAAGCAGGGCACTCGGCCTGATGGATCGTGTGTGTTCCCATTGTGATAGAATGGCAGCTGTAATCGATGCCAGGAATGAGAAGACTTCCGCGGGTATCTCTGCTGATGGTGCATGTGGTCGCAAACAACCTCTGATGAGGACTGCTAGGCTCAGACCGACAAATGAAATGGAAGAGACCTGCTTGACTGGTCAGCCTGATCATGGAATGACCGATACCTCGGAACGTGTAGTCGGAAGGGAGAATATGATGGGTATCAAGAACTCACTGACTTGGTCCACCAGAGAACAGTAGGCGACATGACTTTGCGGCTTCGTCCCCATGTCCTCCTCAGTCTGATGGGAGCCATGAATAGCAAACATGCAGCCGGTATGAGGATCAAGACATAGTCTTCGAGACCCAATGTCAGATCAGGACGTCCACCATGACAGACACCTGCCGTGGTGTCATCACAATTTTGCAACGACATGGCAAGGTTGTGGAAGGATAAGTTAAGGAATATGACCGAGAAGCAGAGTGCCCAGCTGGAGGCAATATGAATCGCGAACGAGATAGACTTGTATTGAGACTATTGTGGTCAACCAGCACCTACATCGTTATATGTGAAGCGTAGATTTATCTGACTGCCTAAGGTCGGCAGGCCTGCTTTTTCTTATCGTTCGACAGCGATGATCAAATGCGCTTCAAAGTACGGCTATGACTCCCGAATGTGGCAGCCTACCATCGTGGACGATCGTATTGATGGCTTGCCAAGGAAGGATTCTCGTTGTAAATTCTGCGCTTGTACCGGTACAAGCTCAAATTTCCTATGACAGGAAGCAGTGTAAGAGCATCTTTGTAGAGTTATCACAGCGGCGCTCATGCTTGGAGAAGCCCTCGTTCATTCGTTCCTCGACCGGCAGGAATGGCGGTGTATCGAGCGAGCATGCAAGTTTTGGTGGCCGACTCGTCGAAGCACAATGGAAGGCAGAAGCTTCGGTGACTCCAGGCCACAAAGCTTGAGTTGCTCCTGCCTAATTTGGTTTATGGTGCAATTATCATCGAACTGCTGAATTTCTAATTGGTTTCTGAGACCGAGATCTCGAAGTGATGACTCTGCTACTTGTTCGAGAACCAGCAATATACAAGGACTGCAGGGCGTCTACGTTCGTGTTTACGTTACAGAGCTTCAACCTTAGGACCCCTATGGGCGAAGCAACGTCTCAAGCTACCGTGAGCTGTTCGTGGCAGCTACATTCTCATCGATACTATGATTTTACCGCGAGTTCAACTTGCTCCTTGAGGTACAATCTCCAAAGTCCTCAGCTTCTCGCAAAAGAACATTTCGTCCATGTTGAAGAATGTGACAGGGTCGTCTTCGTGGTGAAGATGTAAGCACAGACCATTTCAAGAACGCGGGGTGAGATCTCCGTCCGCTGAGCGGCGGCCTCTATCAAAAAATAAATCCAGCGACCATCAAAGTCATTTCTTCTCACATCACATCACAAAAAAACATCAAAATGTCGCGTAAGCAATCTTCAGAACCTTGCAAACACATGAGAAAACAGACCAGCTGCTCACACACTTCCAGCATCACGAGCAGAAGACGTGGAAGACGACGACCCAGTCATCGCAGAATACAACGTCTTCATCACCCCCCGCCAACTCGAGCAAATTTACCTCTTGCAATACCCAAACCGCAACCGCAGTCAAGCCTACAACGACCGTAATGGTGCACGCCCCACAGACTTCCGCCTCAAACCCCAAGCCGGCTTCATGGAAATGGATATTGGCATGAACCCCAGTGCAAACTTCAACAAATTCCAAAGTCTGGTCTGGGGAGAGGCGATTCGAAAGGCAAAGGGTAATGGCGGTAGTGGCACTTTTGGTGCTGCGGCGGGCTTCGCGCCGACGAAAGGTGGGAAGGGGAGGGGTAAGCACGAGGGTGGTGAGATGAGTGTTGATCAGGGATTGTCGAGGTTTCAGGAGGCTGTCAATAGGGATGCGGTCTTTCAGAAGCAGACGCTGGGAGGGCAGATTCTGCAGGATGAAGCGGGCAATCCGAATTATATGTTGGGTGCCTTCCGCGGTGGTAAGTTTTGCCTCTTTGCCTCTGCTTTTCCTTTTCTTTCTTTCTTCTCATCGATTTTCCTTCCATCCTACCACACCTCTGCTCGCCAATTTCCATCCACGCAACATCACAAATTTTACAAGAAAGAGAGCAATTTCTCCTTTCCCCCCAAACACAACCACCTAACCAAATCTCCAGACGAACTCCACCTCACACGCGTGGACGGCGTAGTCCAAATGCGCCCCCAATTCCACCACGTCGACGCAATAACCCACGCCGAAACCGCCGCCCGCCGCACCGAAGCAGCAGAAAACAGCTCTGGCGGTCCCGGCGCCACCTCCGCCTCCACCCAAAAACAACCCCAAGCCTTAGCTCTCGCTCAAACCTACAAGGACAACCGCGACGTCGAAAACCTGGAGGCTCTGCGCGCCAAAAACTTGTTGCTGATTGCTGCAGAGGAGAAGTGGACGAAATTGGAGTACTTTGATGAGGATGAGGAGGCGAGTTATGAGACGTATCATTCTAGGCTTTTCCATGGCGATACCAAAGAGGCCAAGCATTTGAAGAGTCAGATGAAGAATGAGGAGTATTTGGATGCGATTTCGGCGCCCAGAGTGGATCCGAGTGGCAGGAAGAAGAAGAGGCCGTTGACTAAGAAGCAGATGGAGAGGATTGAGGCTGCCGAGGATGATGTCGAAGGTGCTGGAGAAATGGGCGGAGAGGTTGAAGTTGAGATGAGCTGAGATGGAGCAGGTCAATATATTGCACGGCTGGCGGACGTTGGAGCGACAGTTGCAAGTCGTATACAAGGGGTATCTCGAAAAAGTCTAGCATCCGAACGAAAGCACTTCCCCCTCAATGTCTGGTTCCATTGACATTCTTCGCGCCACTGCCCAGCAGACTAGCAACAACAGTAGCCTCTCTGACAGCTCTCGACACATGGCTCCTGACAGCTCCATCCTCTAGCGCGAGCAGACCTCCAATAGTACAGCCACCAGGTGTCGACACCTTCTCTCTCAAGATAGCGGGATGTTCTCCATCTTGCACCAATCCTGTAGTACCTCTCATGACCTGTGCAGCCATAAGATTTGCCTCTGCTCTAGGAATACCCATGGCCACACCGCCATCTGCAAGAGCCTCCATGATCAGAGCCGCAAACGCAGGACCAGAGCCACAGAGAGCAGTACATGCATCCATGTTCTTGGGCTCAATCTCGACAACCTTGCCAATACGCGACATCATCCAATGAACGAGATTCTTGGTATCAGTGGGCAGTGGAGGAGTCGATTGATTGATGACCGTCATGCTCTCGCGCACCTTTGAAGCAGTATTGGGCATGGTACGCACGATCGTGATCTTCTCTCTGACCTCCTCATGCGATAAACCAGGGTATAGCAGATCTTCCAATTGAGCTTCGGGAACCCCAGCAAGAATACTGATGAGCAATTTGCCCTCGAGGGCTTCACGCACACCCTCTGCTTGCAGCACATCCTTGACGTAGAAGGGTTTGCAGGCCAGCAAAATCACATCTGCTTCTTTCATGGCGCGCACGTTATCGGATTGGATGACATTGAGGTTGGCATTGTATTTTTGCAGCTCGTTCTTGATGCGCGAGGCACTACGATCGCTGCGGCATGTGGCATTGAAGCGGTTTGGAAGACGGGGAGGCAAGTTCTGTTCTTGTTCAGAGGATTGGGAGGAGTTGAGGGAGTCCATGATGCCGCCTAGGATTGCGATACCCATGGTACCTGTGAGGATTTAGTGACAGTCACAGTACTTTTTGCTGTGAGTGAAGGTACCGCATCCAATGACGGACAGAGTGAGGCCATTGTCGGAAGCCATTGTGAAGTTGTTGCAGTGAACAGACGTTATCAGTGAAAGTGTTGAGTGAATTCAAGAGTGAGAGCTGCCAGAGTGACTGCCCCGCCAAAGCTCCCGCTCCGCTGTCGCTCAACGCTGTCGGATCTTATCTCTCGGATCTATCCGGCTCTAACGACCACACCAACCACAATGGATCTCGGCAAGCAGTCTGCCGAGCTGCAGCAACTGCGGCAGCACCACCACCACGTCGTCGACGACAACAACAAGGCTCCTCTGCCCCCTCTCCACGCTGCGCCCCGCCTCCGTCCCAAGGTCGACCTGCCTCTCTTCCCTGCAAGCGCCGAGGAGGTCTTGTATCTTGGCCTCTCCCTGCGCACCTGCCTCCTCGCCGAGCAACGTTCGCAAGGCACCAAGCAAACCACTCCTGCCGCACCGTCCACTGAAGGCCCCAGATCCCTCTCTCACACCATCCAATTCCATCAACTCCTTCGCCCTCTCCGACCTGCTCCTCCTCCTCCAACTCTTCCACCATGGATCCCTTCGAGGTCCGCATGCGCTTCAACAGCCAGTTGCAGCACCTCAATGCCTCAGTCACCTCTGCACAAAAAGCCGCCCTCTGGGCAATAAAATACCGCGAATGGGACGAAGATCTGCACTCCTGCATCCTTGAAAACCTCGAACGCAACTCCCTCAACAACCGCGCCAACATCTTTTACTTCTTCGAAACCCTCTGCGATGTCGCTTCCGCAGCCAACCACGTCGAGTTTGTGCGCATGATGGAACGAGATATTCTGCGCATTGTGGATTTGGTGGCGCCTGAAGATGGTAGTGGAGCCGCCAACGTCAAGGTCGTGCGCAAAGTCCTCAGAAACCTCGCTGGAAAGAAATACTTGCAAGCACAGACTGTGGAGGAATTGGAAGACTGCATCAAAGATCGCGACAACATTGGTGGTATGGCAGGCACCGCTAGCCCCGAGGAAGCACAACGTCACAGCAATGGAAACGTCAGAGTGGAAAAGAGGCAAGCAGAACAAAGAATCGAGGAAGATCGTGAGCGCCACAAGAGACTTAGAGAGGGCATTTGGGCGGTGAATGAAGATGAGCTCGACAAGGTCTGGTTGGAGGCTGTGGATGTGCTGCAGGATGATCATCGCACTGCTACCGAGGAAGACACAGAGCGTGTGCAGTATGCCGGCCTTCATCGCACTGAGCTGCTCATGACATGATGGAAGACCAGAGATGAGAGAAGGAAGTTTCGTTTTTTTTACACCCAACCCCGTTACAGAGATACCCCCATTGCCCCCAAAGAATTTCAGTTTTCCATTGTCCTCCCCTCAAACTGCTTCCACAACATTCAAGTAGGGAAATGCACGATAGAATTGCATCTATCGTCGTTGGTGCAGTAACAGCCCGTTACTATCTTTTGTTCTACTGGATAGGCTCCAGTGCTCCATCTCATCCGTGAAACTCGACCGCTACCTCTGACCCCTTCAACTCTAGAAGCGATACGCACCGGTGACTAACCCGTTCGAGGTACCTCGATGTCATGGATGAACAAGTGGTACCGTTCATCAAAATGACTGCTCTTTCAACCCGCTTTTGAACGATCGTTCTCCAACTATTCTGTCTTACGAGACCATCACCGGCGCATGGCAACAATTTCATACTTGTGAACTAGAGCATTAAAACCCCCAGATCACAACTCTCTCAGCCAAGTATGAAATTGCTCACAGCTGCATGAAGAACGGTGACCGGACTGTCTTCCCTCCCCTTCATCTTCTGTGCTTGGTCTCCGTTCAACGTCCACTGGGTCGCTCGAGATGCTACGAGCATTACTCTGCATGGCTCAGGGGTCGTAGGCCAGGTACAGCGCTACACTCGAGAAAGCGATCAGGTATGTGATCTCCTTGTGCTTTCATCACGGATGCACATCCATCGCAACCGACCGAGACCTCTCCACAGATATATTCCCGTGCAGTCGACAAAGATCGGAGAACGAGGGCAAGATCAAAGGACCATGGACCTGATCATGATCTCCCCCGGAGCAGACTCGACAAGGGCACTCACGACTATGGATATGGTATTGATGGACCCCGTGGACCGAATGGTAGAGACGACATCTTTTGACGAAACGAGGGCCACGAGAATCTCGGTAGTAGCGTATACATACTCCTTGCTTGGTTTCCTTTATGTACGGTTACTGTAGTCAACAAGGTATGTCATTGAGAATGTTTCATGCCATTGAGAATGTTTCATGCCATCTCGCTATGTAAATCGACACTCGCGTATTCGTTCGATATACTGACATCGTGTGAGGGGAAGGAATGTCACTTGGAGTCCTCGGCTACAAGTCATAAATCTCAATGATCCGAGCTGTTGTGCATATTATTGATTTCTCAATGGGTAAGAAAGACTTTGATGCCGAAGCTCTGGACTTTGAACTCAACCAAGCTGCAAACGTGGCTCACGACGAACTGAAGCTTTCTGTGACTGCTGCCCTCGCCGATAATCATGCTGTTGTATAGACGCTTAGCTCATGCGCTACAAAGAGAGCAGGAGCAATCAGGTCCGTGTTCTTCCCCGCGAGTGTCTGTCAGCTAAGACGGGTTGAATCATTTTACATCTGCCGCTAATCAGTGTCTGGTATCAGTTGAAGAATGGATGTGTCGGCTGACAAGAGAAAGATTGTGAGACCGTAGAGGTTATTGACCCGATTGTTCTCTCTCTTGAGCAGAAACAAAAATTCTCAAACATCGTCCGTCCTACACCCAGCCACGAGCTGGTCGTAAAGATTGTCCATCTCGTATTGGTAGCTCTGAGATGTTTCGGTGATAGCTTCGGAAGTTCTTGCTTCCCTTGATTCTGTTATGTTTACAAATCTAGTCTTCGTAGGATATACAAGCCCTCTGCTGGTTGTAAGCGTTTCCATGCGACTGCATAGGACAAGATCTACTCGTGCCATTGTGTACTAGAGATACCAAAAACCTCACCCTGAACCGTAGGCAAAATGAGTAGAATACCGCAACGAGTAGGAATCAAACTCCATCGTGAGACAAGGGCTTGAACTTGAATTCCGTGTCCGATCTATGCGTAAGAGACTGAATGATTGTTTGGAGGCTGTGTTGGGAGCTAGTGGTCAAAGGGATAAAGCGTATCATGAGAAGGAAGGTGCCAAAGGACTTGAAGATAACAATGTTGTAGCAGTATAGAGTGAAGCGATGATCGTACAAGCATCGAACCAAGAAACCTTGGAACTCCATCATCTATGCACATCATGACCAGGCAGCTCAGCAATACCCGTGCCATCAACTTCCGTCGGATCTTGCTTCTTCACATCCGAAGACAATTCTCCAAGATGATATTTCTTCTGATCATCCGAAGGCAATTCACCAATCTTATCAGTGTGCGTACTTTCGACTTCGTAAATGGGTGAAGACATTGGCTCAACAGCCGGTTTGGGCTCATAGTCTGATTTCTGGTGCCGAGCATTGTCTTCTTCGTCAAAAGAGATGAGTGCAACATCGCCATATCCGGCCTTTGAACGGCGGCGGCGGATGTAGAAGAATATCGCTGCGGCGATGAGGGCGAGACCGGCTACTGCGCCGATGGAGATTCCGGCGATTGCTCCGCCCGAGAGGGAAGAGTCTTCGGAAGAAGAATAGCCTTGGGAGCCATCGACACCGCTTGACTGGCCGGTCTGCGATTGATTCAGTTCTCTGAGCGTCCCGTTCCAAGTCGTAAGCCACACAGGTGCATTCGGCATTTCGGCAATTGTGGTATCATCCTCTTCAATGATGACAGGTCTTGATGGGATTGTCATGTTTGGGCCTGGTGCTTGAGACAGCCATGTCGTGTTTGTCTCCCAGTTCTGCACTAGGAGCGCTGCTTGCAGGAAAGCACGACCGAGATGGTAAGGCTGACCTGCCTGAGGAACAAACGGCCTGCATGGGAAGTATCGCGTCTTCGAGGAAGTCAAAGGCGAATTGAGCTCTAGATCGAGAAGAGCAAAAGGCACGTTGATGTCTTGCTCTGTTTGAGATGGCTCGTCGCGCAGTGTGAACGTCAAATAAGCGTAACTTGTGGTGATCTCCTCGTGTAGCTGAGTGTCGTTGTCGGTATTCCATAGATATAGGCCCAAGGCATCGCTGTAAGCCACCGGGAGATACCTCGCGATTGCGTCGCAAATAGCTTGTGGTAGATACATATAAGGTACACCGGGGTTGGGCAGGACCTGAATCCCAGCAGTGTTCACCATCAGCCCATTGCTTGAGAAGCTCATACCATCCGCTCGTTCATCTCCGAAACTGACTGGGAATGGCCACACAGAACCCTCAGAGCCGATGGAAACATTGGTCAAGTGGAATGTGCTGTTTTGAGTTGTGACAGGCTTTGTTAGGCAGAGTGATCTGTCGTAGCCACCCAACACCAAGCTCGGATCAACGTTGAGACTCGGAGAACCGACCTGGAGCCCGTAGGAAAGGGATTTAATCAGCGAGTTCGACTTTGCGGTGGCTAATTGAAGGCCTTGGGTATTATTGACTCCAGTGGTATTCAGCCATGTCATGTTGTTTCCGGCACCGTTCAAGGAGAAGAAGCCAGCGTTCATGGTATATGCTTGGCCACCAGGATAATTTGAAGTCAGGTTGTGCGTCAAAGTGATTGCTTGGTCGTTCAGAGAATTCGAGTCGTTGTTAGTGCTCCAAACGATGGCTCTCTCATGTGCCCATTGCACGTCTCCCGAGACATTGAGAGGTGCAGAGACAGTCTCATCCCAAGATTTGCTATCGAACAACGGACCATCCATGTAGAGGAAAGCCGCGTGTGCTGCGGATGATGTCCACATCGGCCAGTCTCCAGATTGTACTTGATTGGGGCATGCCGAATCTTGTCGCGAACAGGCGTCCGCTGCAACGATCAAAGAGTTCTTTGTCAGAGAAGGAAGCATTGCAAACACTTGCGATGGATTGGCATCCCACGAAACGTTGAGACTATTCCAAGGACCATCAGGGCCAACTGCGACGCGTCAGTACACGGGAAAAAGCCTTCGCAAATGTATCTACTTACCCGGCGTTTCGCTCCATTTCATCACCCAAAAGTCGCTCGCGAGACATGCCTTCGTAAGAAGGCCGAGTGTGAGTATCGACAACATTTGAGCGTTTCTATGATCACAACAAAAGTTGTCGAGTTCTTCCGCAGACCTACACGCACGAAGATAGCGACAGCGCCTGGCCAGATGGAAAGAAAAATCTACGACACAAAGAGCTGCTTACCACCCCTGCTATGAAGAGCTGACTAACCATGGTCGCGCAGAAAATCAGGTTGTCAGCCGTCGAAGCACAGAACATTTTTGGCCTATTATTGTACAGAATTGAGGCAGTAATGCATGAATAGATGAATTGGTTGTTGGAGGATTCGGCAGATCAGGCTGCGCTGCGGCCTGATTCGCTGACTCGAATATGCAGCAGTGTTGGTTGGAGATGAGCCACGGGCTGTTCAAGGCTGTGTAAACCATCAGGAAAAGACTCGAGAAAAGACAAACTCGGCGCAGCAGGAAATCATCAACTTCATCTCATAGCTCCCACGAAGCGATATGGTGCCGACCACGAAAAGAGTCGCGAGAGGTTGAGTACGATCAACAAGGATTGTGATCTGCCAAGACCCGGGCGGACTAGCATATTGCCATGATCCTCTCAAACCTTGGAGGAAATCCAAAAGATACTCAAGAATATGAGGCCGCTGTGATGGTTAAATACCTACAGGTTGGAAAGAACTTCATCGACGAGCATACGATTGGTGATCACTCGGGATCACTCCACCAGCTAACAAAGATGCGGGCCAAGACGATGCTGCATAATGGCGAACATTTTGGCAAAACAAGACATGCCACAGATGCTTGACCATTAGCCGTTCTACCTATGTCCTGAGTCGACACAAGAAGTAAGCAGACATGAGATCTTGCGTGATGACAATAAATCGCGCGTGGCAGGATTGATATACATACGACATCGATAGCGATGCGACATTACACGGCATCGATTGGACATCTCTGCATGCCACTCCGCCACATCGTCAGTTTGCTGTTCGTCTGCGCAGACAGATCACAACGAGCGTCCAGGTGGATGCCAGTTTCCACGCTATTCCTGAGGGATGGCGATATACACTGGTACAAGGTAGATCAACATTCTGATCGCGGAGACCATATCACCTGAGTCACCGCGTTATATGAGAGTCAGACCTTCCTGTCTTAGGACTCTGAGCCTCGGCCGAAACAATGCCACAACGCGGGACACCATGTCGAATTCCGACATAAGGCGCAATCAGTTTCTAAGCGCGATGCAGAAGGTCAGCAGATTGCACGTAGGAACGGCTGCATCCTTCACATAGAAAACTGGTGTGTTTCTGTTGTGTCAAAGGTGACAAGCAGATTGGAACGACCTTACGGACCTGCCCGATTCGAGTGGAGGAGCCGTTTCGCGCTCCCGAACAAAGAAGGAAGCTTTCGCTTGATCTCTTGGCTCCGCGATGCCAAGAGCCGAGGCTGGCAGTTTGGCTCGTGTTTGGAAGGCACGACGAGCCTGCTTCAAGGATGGAATTATCGAATTCACATGCTTCGTGAGTTTGCGGTGCGCCTCGGACAGCTCAAGATTTGAGCGCACGACCAACCTTGTGAGCCCGCGGGTCAACTTCTTCGGGCTCTCCTTAAGTTGAAAATACATTGGTACTTTGTATACCAAGGAAAGCCGATGCAGAACTATCATCCTTCGCCATCTTAGCCATGCTTCTTATCGTGTCCGAATTGAGGAACACGAGCACCATTTGAAACCCCGTGGAGTGCGGATCGATCAGGTCGCGAGAGGATCTGTTCGTATCATCGTATGCTCTTCAGCCGACCGCCCTGTCACTGACAAGTGCACCACCCACCGGCAGCATCGGGAAACCCGCTCTACAGTCCCGCCCTCGGCCGTCTCAGGCACAGTCAAGACTCGAGAAGAAAGAGTCATCCATTTCGGACCGTACCCTGAGGGCTGGTTCACGCGAGCACCGCGAGGTTGTGCTTTGGAACCGATGAAACCTCCGGCATCTAATTTCTCTTTGCTAATATCTCTGGGGGCCAAATGTCCGTGTACAAGGGTCTGTGGGGAGACATGTGGACAATTAGCCGAGCCCGTCTATCATCTCAGGAAAGCAGTTCTCGAACGCTACTCTGTACTGTTGCGGCGATTATCACGAGCGGCCCAGCAGAATGTCCAACGGACAGTTTCCATGACTCAATTTGCACGTTGTCTATCTGCAGGCTTCGTGCTTTTTATGCGCGCGTGTGGTCCATCATCCGCCACGATGAGGTCGTATTTTACCGTATGCGGAAGGAGGTAAGAACAGATCTTCCTGCCAAGGATGGTCAACGGGGGCCAAGATCAATTTCACACCAGTCACCGGAATGCTCGCCTATCACTAACCAATATATGCAACCCGACTAGGGCCTAATGGTAGGTTCTGGCCGCCACAACAGACAGCTCAGAATGGCCCGTATCTGCGAGCTTATCACAAGCGACGGTCGTTCAGGAGCGACAGTGATCCTAAGCACTGCTGGATAAATATGCCATGCCCCCTCGTTCGTTCTTGTGGATTGTATCTGTGTTACACGAACAACATCAATCATGCCGAATGTTGTAGAGGTTCAGGCTGAGGTATGATCTCTACACCCAGTATGCCGTCGATGAACAAGTTGCTAACCAATCACCTTAGCCAATTGGCGGTGCTATTGATGTCCACGGTGAAAAGCACCAAGAGACCCTCTCCGTCAAGTCAGACGCCTTCGATGAGAAGGATCCCAACCTGGTCAAGGCCGAGGAGGATACCGACTACGATGAGGGTACCATCGCCGACCCCTTCGCACCCTACGATGATCTACCCGATGAGCGCCACTGGGTTGTCACTTTCCGTGCCATGCTTGTCGGTTGCATCTGTGGTGCTCTTGTCAACGCTTCCAACATCTATCTCGGTCTGAAGACTGGCTGGACTTTCGGTGCCTCGCTGTTTGGTGCCATCATCGGTTTCGCCGTTCTCAAGCCTCTTGCCAAGGCTCTCCCCGAGAACTTCCCTCTGTTCGGTGGATCTTTCGGTCCCCGTGAGAACAACATCGTACAGACAGCTGCCACTGCCGCTGGTGGTCTCGGTTCCGTCATGGTCTCGGGTATCCCTGCCCTGTACCAATTGAACTTGCTCAACACCCCCAAGGAGGACTTTGGCAGACTCATCTCGTTGACCATCGTCGGTGCCTACTTCGGATTCGCTTTTGCTACCCCTCTCCGCAAGTTCTTCATCATCTACGTCGCCAGAGAGCTTAACTTGATCTTCCCTACTCCTTCGGCTTGTGCCTTGACCATTCGCAGCATGCACGCAGCTGCTACCGGTGAGGCTATCGCCAAGCTGAAGATGAAGGCTTTGAGTTACTCCTTCATTGGTGCTCTTGTTCTCCGTGTCATCTCTCAGTACGCCACTGGCATTCTGTGGGACTGGCATATCTTTACCTGGTTCTTCATCTGGGGTGGCTACAACAACGCTGCCATTGATGTTGAGAACTGGGGTTGGTTCATCGAATGGACTCCTGCTTTCATTGGCTCCGGTATGCTCGTCGGTCTCAACGTCGCTTTCTCCTTCTTCGGTGGCAGTGTCCTCGCTTGGGGCATCATCGGTCCCCTCCTTGTCCGCAACGGCGTCGCTTTCGGTGTCCAGCCTTACCCTGATGACCCGAAGTGGCACAGAGTCACCTCTTTCTACTCTCTCAAGACCGCGTGGGCCAACAAGGACACTCCTAGCCCCCGTTACTGGCTCCTCTGGCCCGGTGTCTTGGCCATGATTGTCATCTCCTTCACCGAGCTCTTCCTCCAATACAAGGTCTTCTTCATCATGTTCAAGGCCATGGGCCGCGGAGCCGCCAAGGGTTTCAACGCCATGACCTCCAAGGCTGGTATGAGCGGCACCACCATCAACGTTGCTGACCAGAAGGAGGAAGATGTCATCAAGGACTCTGCTGAGGATCACGAACTCGTCAAGATCTGGATGTGGGGACCTATCCTCATTCTCAGCATCATCGCTTGCTGCATCGTTCTCGGTGTCCAGTACGACATGCCCGTTGGCATGTCTCTTCTCTCCGTCTTCCTGGCCTTCTTCTTCGCCATCCTCGCCGTTCAGTGCGCTGGTGTTACCGATGTTACTCCGTTGACTGCCGCCTCCAAGGCCTCCCAGCTTGTTCTTGGTGGAGCCACCAAGGGTGAGCACTGGATGACCGAGCACGCTCAACGCCTCAACTTGATTGGTGGTTCTCTTGCCTCCATTGGTGCCGGTCAGGCCTCTGACTTGGTCGGTGACTTCCGTGTCGGTTACCTCCTCCGTACATCTCCCTTCCAGCAATGGGTCGCTCAGGGTCTCGGCACGATCGTTGCTTGTGTCCTCGCCCCTGCCATGTTCATGCTCTTCAGCAAGGCGTACCCTTGCATTATCGACGTCGAGGCTGAGACCTGCCCCTTCGCTGCCCCCAGTGTTGGTGCTTGGCGTGCTGTTGCCGTCGCTGTTACCGACCCCGTCTTCCCCGTCCCTAAGACTTCGGGATACTTCGCCATCGCCTTTGCCATCTTCGGTGGTGCTATGGTCGTCATCCGTCACTACGCTTACACTGGCTCGTGGGAGAAGTACAAGGCTTACCACCCCAACGTCATGTGCATTGCCCTTGCTTTCGTCCTTAATGCGTAAGTTTCTCACCCTTCTCAAGTGACCTACTACACCTTACTAATTTCAATCACAGTACTGTCTACGGAACTGCCATGGTCATCGGTGCCGTCCCCGCCTACTTCTGGGCCAAGAAGAACCCCAAGTCGTTCGAAATCTACGGATTTGCCGTCGCTGGTGGTCTCATTGCTGGAGAAGGTATCGGCGGTGTCATCAACGCCGTCTTCCAGATTGCTGGCATCTCTGGACCCGACCCCTATGGCACCAACATTGCTTGCCCTGCTGACGCTTGTTAAACGCGGGGGTTCTTTGTGCAAAAAGTACAAGGATTTTATGTGTATATTGGGTTTTAGGAAGGCGATGATACCAGTTTTTGCTTTTTAGCTTCACGACGATAAGATGTGTCTAGTATGATGACATATTTATAATGTTTCTTTCATATAATGGAAAGATTTCTTCACCAACGCCCTCTTCTCCATGTAGCCTTGTGTTTCTCAGAGCCGACCATTTGTCAGGTGCCCTCTTTGTATCAACATCGAATTTGAGTAGACCGTGGCAATGCAGCAGACTTCTTCAACAATCAACATCCAGTCCCTCGAGATCACAAGAAAATTCGTACCCACCTTTGGCGCACACCTGTAGTCCGCTGTTGATGCAACGGGAGAGCAGATTTTTCGTTCTTCCAGAGCATTCACATAGGACAAAACAAAGGCTGCAAAGGTGTATGAGTTTCTTTTTCTCCCCCAGAGAATGGCTCACTAATGTTTTGCTAGAAGCCTGAAGTATGAGACAAACTCTATGGGATCAGATCTTTGATTTGTGAACATCATTATGCATCCCGACCGCGATCGTTGACAAAGCTTTGCACTGGAAGATGTAATGTTCAACATGCGCTGCTCTCTCTTGAGAGGATTCTGAAAGATGTAGTAATACAGAATGCACGATAGTTTCCGAAAACCGAGCAACGACTACCCAAGCATCGCGATCCCAGCATCTCTTTCTCTCTCTCTCTCTCCCAAAAGACTCGTCACTAGTTTTTGATGTATACTCTGCGTCTTCCACAGCCAACGCAAAAACACCACTGTGTAAGCAAAAGAGCTAGCACACTCCTCTCCACCAATGTAAGGGCATTCTCCTTTCATATAGTGTTTTGCGTACCTACCGTGAGATGACCCTAAGAGTACTGTATACAATCTCTATTTACTTCTCCATTATCCAAAAAACGTGCTTAGTGCAAACCTTGTAGCTCTGGCTAAGAAGTCTCAGATACAGTATATCATGCCACGAATTCCAGGAAGTCTCATCTTCGTTCTCATTGATTCTGTCCTACGCATTGTACATTTACATCAACACAGTCTCATGGTCGAACGACACAACTCTATTGCTTTGGCTCTCGTATCTGGCGTATCTGGATATGATTCCACTGTTACGTCAAATGCATCCACGAGCCTGAGGGGAGCAACGACTATTACAAGGGGAGTATAAGATATCCATAGATTTTGAACAATCAAACTATACCAGTCTCGTATGTTTTATTTACTGTGGAAATCTAGGATCAAGCATCGAACAGCAAGGGATTTCCTCCGGAGTTCACAATACTGATTTTCTTGTTTTCCACTCCCGGGTCGTCGTACCTGTGCTTGACCTACTCCTTGCATCAACGGAGCTTTCCTTTGGACTTGGCAGGGGAGGTGGGGGAGGTACACTTATGCTAGAGGTCGGTCTTATACCTGGTTAGACTGCTAAGACCTGACTGTGAATGGAGATACGGAAAGATTATGCCAATCGCAAGTGTAGCGAAGGTCTTTGGGTTCCCCCAGGATAATAATGGATATAAGAGCTCGGTGTGCCCCCTAAATCAAGGGTCAGGTAAATCTAACCACTGGCGCAAACTCACAACGATATTTTCGGATTTTGCATTGGTGCCTTCTCTTGTACAAGTCTTCGTATCTCGCGCCCCTAATGCCGTTGTTCCATAAGCAGGTATTGTTTCCGTTTCCATGGCTGCCGGATAACTGAACCCTTGTTCCGTTTCTTCCATCGTCGCTTCCTGTTTGACCATAGTTTTTCTGACTTCGGGGGCCCTGGCGGATCATGTTGTAGCCAGGATCCATTTCACCATAGAATGTAATACTACGTGCAAGCTCTCGACGAAGGTTACGTTCCGGTGTTTCCACTTGATCTAGTGGTTTCTTTGACTCTGCTGTCGTCGAATCGTGGATGTTGGCAGCATTTACTCTTCTGATGACTGATGGGAGGGGGTCCATATGTTTCATGTACGCGGCTGTTGCCTGAGACGCACGCTGTGGGGTGACGTTCTTTCTCATACGGGAAATTGATTCTTCTCGAGCTACCTCTGGTATGCTGAGCGGTTGTGCCATGGTCCTGTTCGACATTGACTTTATCTGCGACCGATTGATCACAACTGGGGCGTCCTTGTCATTGTCATCTGGATCTCGTGTCTGGATGCGGCTTGGTGCTACATAGAACGACGGCGTGATCGAGAAGTCGTCATGATCGTCCCAAGGGTCTCTCGTTGTTTTAACATCCGAGCTCGACCTCTTTCTCGTAACAGCTTCATCAATGGCCGATATAGGATCATTAGTGATGTTGTCGAGGCGGTTAGCTGGGAATATTCTCTTGTATGCGGGTATTGCGCCTCCAGTGTCCTCGAGCAGCTTTCGCCCATTCTTTTTCTGGGACGTAATTTCATCTAGCGTAAGCGCTCCCCATCTTATACGTCCATCGAGCTCCGGTAATCCAGATACAGGGACATAGTGTGATGAGTATGACTGAAATTGCTCCCAAGAAGGCAAGTCAGACTCAGATTGGTCTATCAGACTGGCATCTTATCAGCTTCGCTTGGGACAAGACCAGACTCGTGCCGTTCTAGAGGGTCAGCGGGTACTGACTCTGTAGTAGGCTTCTCGAGTGCTTGTTGCGCTCGTGCTAATTTGGCAGCTTTTGCTCTCTCCGCGGCCTTTTGCACCCTGATCTTGGCCTTGTGGTCCTTGTATCTTTGCTTGGCTGGATCAATTTTGCCCTTTGCTTCTTCGACAGCCTTGATGTAAGCACCGGGGTTGTTGGTGTGCTGAACAGTGATCAGGACAAGGGCTTGTAACGTGTATGCAGCGTCGTTTCCTGCGTTGTGAAGATTCTCTGCGCTGACACCAAGACCTGCCAACAACCTGCTGAGGCCGACTGGTTTCTTCTTGGTACCAACGAATCTTTGGGTATCAATATCCTGTATGACGTTGCCATTGGCGTGAGGCGCGAAGTGGAGTTTATTCAAAAAAGCAGTGTCGTTGGAGAGACCGTGGCCGACCAGGATGAGTTTCCTCGCACCTAAGTCCGAGGTAAGCATGGAGCTCGGCGAGGGGTTGTCGAATAGTTGAGTCAGTGTCGAGTGAACGCGATCTAACGAGACGATCTCTGAATTCCCAAAATTGAACTTGTCAGGACAGCCGTGGACGAAACGCTTGTTGACGAGGTGTTTGTGCTCCTTGATGATCAGATGACGGGTCGTGATTTTAGACAGCCATTGCATTCCATCAGGGCCAGGATTATTGCTCAGCACATGGCGAGAGTCTAATACAGATACGCCAACCTCGGTGATTTTTCCTTGATCAAACTCAAAAGCTTCCAAGTCGATACAAATAAAGACAGGCTCGGCTGCTTTGAGGCGTTGCAATCGTTCCAGCTCCTTGGGCTTGACGTTGAGCGACTCGTCGGATGCATCTTTGAGACCAAGGATATGCTGCATGGTCAACAGCTCTGCTTCCTTTGCAGAATTCATAGTGTCTTCTTCGAGCTCGAGTTCAATGGGTAGTAGTACTTGTTCGGTGGTAGTAGAAGCGGGAGATGATACCAAGCGAGCTACGATAGGATCTTGATTTGATGATGCAATATCGGATCTTGTGAAGGCAGGATTGGCCGATGTGTCTTGAAGAAAACTGAGTTTCCGACAAGCAGTTCTAATGGGTATCGAAAGAGCAGATGAGGCAATAATGGTGGTCTGAGAAGAGAATTGGTCACACCATTTTTGAGGTGCAATGCTCGTCGGGGTATCATTCGCCACTTGGTGATATGTCGCAAATCATACAGAGGATGGTCGTGGGATGAATATGAGCAACAACCCGAGCCTAATGGAACGCAATTCACACAAGTCGAAGGTGCAAGGCGAAAAATGGCAAGAACGGAAAGAGCAGTAACATTGAAGCGTCCCTCGGTGCTTGGATGACGGCGACTCGGGAGTGTGTGGCCCGTGCACGCCCGCATCTCGAAAGTTGAAGATGGCCGGCCGGTCGTCATGGAGCAGCGGCGACCAACAACTCAACCTCCATTCACGACAAACACAATGGCAGCGACATCACTACCGCGAACTGCTCTGCAGCGCTCCCTATACTCCGTCCGCCCCTCGCCGCAATGTCTCTCGCAACCCATGTCGTCCCGCCTCGGCCAACCCACCACCCGCACATTCCACAAGTCATCGACCATGCGCTACAAGACTGTAGAGGAAGCAAAGTCGCGATACCGCTTCGGTCCCTTCAGCTGGCAAGCTGGCTGCCTCTTCCTCGGTGCCGGCGTAGGAATGGCCTTCTACTTCCGCTACGAAAAGGAACGCATGGCCCGCAAGCGCATTGCCGAGCACAGCAAAGGTGTCGGTCGTCCTCTCGTCGGCGGCCCTTTCCAATTGATCGACCAAGACCGCAAACCCTTCACCGAACAAAGCCTCAAGGGCAAATACTCTCTGGTCTACTTTGGCTTCACGCACTGCCCGGACATTTGCCCTGAAGAGTTGGACAAGATGGCGGGCATGATTGACAATGTCAAGGAAAAGCATGGAGACGTCATGAGACCTGTGTTCATCACTTGCGACCCTGCGAGAGATACTCCCGAGGTCACAAAGGAGTATTTGAAGGAGTTCCATGCCGATTTGATTGGTTTGACTGGAGATTATGAGCAGGTCAAGGCTACTTGCAAGGCTTTCCGTGTCTACTTTTCTACTCCCAAGGATGTCTTGCCTGGTCAGGACTACCTGGTTGACCACAGCATTTACTTCTACTTGATGGGTAAGCTACACGCATTCCATTGCCAAAGGCAAGCACTGACTTGAAATCATAGATCCCGAGGGTGACTTTGTCGAGGCCATCGGTAGAAACTTCACTGTCGAGCAAGCATCCAAGGTCATCAACGACCACGTCTCGGATTGGAAGGGCAAGATTGACAAATCTGCCTAGATTGCCGCATGACATGAAAAAAAGCTGTACGAACATTAGACGCCTTGTAAAACCACCTTGTACAATACAAAATGAAAGACACATATGAACAACTTTACCGACTATATTTTTGTTGATCTTCATCTCACGAGCATGAATGATCTAAATCTCACTCTTTCTTGTCCTCACTCCAGATCAACAGCCCCTTCCCATACAACCCACTAACGACACCAACTCCTCTCTTCTCATCAATCCCAACACCACTAGACGCATAAATCTCAGTCCCCACGTAAACATCCTCAATACCCCCTTTCCTAGTCCACTGCGCCACATAACTGGGTGCAACTGCATCACACCCCACAGCCTTAGTATCAGCTCTACACTTCGCTCTCGATTCCGCAAACTTAGTCAGACCAGAGAGTTGAGCGTGTCCTGCTATAAACAGTTTATCGCCTGAGGTATGCAGGTTATCGGGCCAGAAGGGTGTGCTGATTGATTCGGCGAGGGAAAGAGTAGGTGGAGAGTGACTTTTGTCGAGGGAGTAGAAGAAGATTTTTGCGGAAGAGCTCGAGGCTACGGCCACAGTGGTCTGGTTCAACAAAGCGATGCCGTTTGCAAAGGGAATACGGGTGATTTGAGTGGCTTCTCCGGTTTGCAGGTTCAAGTAGGTGACGCCGCCTAGAGGTAGTCCGAAATAGGTTTCGATCTTGTTCAACCATTTTGATGCTCTAGGGGTGAAGAAGTGGTCGTTGGTGACTAAGACTTCGGTGTTGGAGGTTTGAAAGACGGCGTTTGGTGCTCTGAGGTATGGAGAGGAGAAGCTGCGGATGTAGGTTGCTGAGTTGCCGAGGCGCGAGAAATGGAACTGGTCGAGTGTACTGCCGTGGATACCGTGGTTTACAGCTAGTATGGTGTTGGTGGGGAGATGCAAAGACAGGCCTAGGGGGTGGAAAGAGTAGTCCGGTGGGGTGTTGAGGAGGCGTATGGTTTCCAGAGATGGACGTGCTCGCGAGTAGTCGTAGAGGTAAAGTGCACCATTTTCGGGTGAGGTTTTACCAAAGACACCCTGAATTGGTGCATTAGTAAAAGTCAGTAGATCAATGTGGAATTGCAATAGACTTACCATGACAGTATTCCAGACATCTCTACCTTCGTCACAGCCGAGGACCATATATCCCACTTTCTCATCTACAACCAAGTCTTCGCAGTTTCTGAGTTTGTCGACATATCTGAGCTCATAGCTGCCTTTCTCTGTCATCCACCCTCGAGGTGTTGAGAGCTTGGAGGGATGGTTGTTTGTTTCGAGAGTATACAGCAGAGATAAGCGTGAGTAGATGTGCGGGATACAGGCCGCGATGGCCAGCAAAAGCTGTCTTTGTCAGGACTTTATTTCCTATTAAGCAATACGAGACATACGATGTTGAGCTTGAGACCCATGATTATGTGATGGTGAGATCAAGGTTGAGGTTACGAGGAAGCTTTACAGCAACTTATGTATACAGAAAGACGTTGGCGCTTTCGCAACGGTTTTTGTTATCGATTACAGTCGACCCCGGCACTTTTTATCATCAGTCGAGAAGATCTACAGGTGGTTCCAAAAGCAGATTTTTGACTGATGGGCGACACAGAATAGGAGGAGAGAGCAAGGTCAGGGAATGATGGGAGCTCCTTCTGTACTTGGAACCCCACTCAAAGCCGAGGCGCATCCTCTTCATCCTTCGACTTTCCAACACCACCACACATGTCACGGTTAGCATATTGGATATATGCGAAGCCTAGGGTTAGTCAGTACTTGTCGCCCACTGCTCTGTCCGATTGAGACGACCTGAGAAGAGTCGCAGTTTGTCTTCTACCATACAAGCGTTCTTCGACATAAGCAGCCGCGGAGTTTTGAGATCTCTGTGATACAGCTCTTTCCTCCTTATCAGACCCCCACGCATCATGTATGTCCTCGCAGTAGATCCACGACCCTCAGAGATGAGTCTCTTCGGGCCGCTGCTCAATTTGGATGCGCAATTCCTGGAAAATGCTTCGTGGACGGCTCTTTGTCTCATAAAGCTTCAATGTGTCGCAAATTCCTTTGTAAGACGGATGCCCTGAGCGGTTCGTCGACTGTTGCGAGGAATGTTGGTCTTTGTAAGCTGTCCGCATGCGGGAAGTTAGCATTATAAGAAGAGTTCGGCATTGATCTACCTCACAAATCTTAGATGCGAATCAGTCGACTTGCACTTCCACGTCGAAAAGATCAAAATGTCCATCAACCTTGATGTGGACATGGAAGATGCCCCGCCGGGTGGGCCTCGCGAGTTTACAGTTCCAGATCCCCCACAGAAACCCGGTTTCATACATGGAGTCGACAACGTCCATTGGTCTCAATCTTCCAGAAGATTAGCCGCGCAGCTCAATCATGACAAGACTGGGTTTGATGTCAAGCTCTATGATCCCTCAGATCCTACTGCGCGTGGGCTTGATCCTAGCATATCTCCATGGTATAGACTTGGACCTCCTAGCAATATTCCCGACTACCCTCCCCTGCTCGAGAAGTACAGTGTACAGATGTTAGAGGCTGCTGGATTTCTTAACCACGATACTGGTTTCGACATCGCCAAGATCAATGGACGCCTAGCATTCGCACCCTGGAGAAACTATCACCGGGATCCTGACCTTCAAATAAGGATTCATCCGGTGCTGAGACGAGACAAATGGCTCGGTATCACAGACTACCAGTACTCCCTCATGCTCCCATCTCTACTATTAGCATCGGCCATTTTGGACGACCCGATTACATTGAACTACTTCTGTGCTCTTTCCAGACCGTCTGCCGATATGAAGACCGTAAAACATGTGTCCGCTGGTCTAACGGCTGATTGTAAAATAATGGAAATACCAGCCACATTGAGTTATAATGATCAGCAAGAAACATATAATAAATTCATTCTCATGACGACTTACCTGGAGAGTTGGTCGTTTGAAGATGTGGCCGGTCCAATTTTCGGTCTCACTGGGAGAACCCTAGGCGTGTTTGGCCAGCCCGAACGTGCGTCGAAATTGTGAGTTGAGCAAGTTTCCAACTTCCACGTTGAATTGAGACTGATGGTTCGCTTATGTTACAGACACACTAATCGCTCCAGAATACGCCTCAAGCCTGTGTACATGGAGATTCTGGAATGCTTTGATCGGCATGAGAAACTGAACGACGGTCAGTACGAACGTTTGTTCAAAGATATCCAAACGATGGCTGGCATTCCCGAGTCAAGACGAGCACGTATCGACCCAGTGTCGGCGATGTACCGTACCTCTTACGATCTAGCTACGCTCCTTCTTCATGAGTTCACTCACGCTTTCTGCATGGCATACTTCGAGCGTCCGAATGTTTTTGATATACGAGAACCTTGGGCTCCAATGAACAGGACAAACGAGCAAGGGTATGCGTTCGAGAACTTTGCGCTGGGTGGCGTACTCAAGTCCTTAAGAGTGGGTATTCCACCCATACACGATGAATTTCACAGTATGCAGGCCGTTCTCGCACCTTTTGGGCTCTACACCAACCGCGAATGGGACGCTTGGTTTGGAAACCCAGCCAACAAAACTCATGCTACCATGGATTCGGACCTGGATCATGTGGAAGACCGTAAGCCATCAAGCAGGGAATATCCGGTTCCCCAGGCGTGGACACAATGGTTGTTCTCGGAAGATCTCTGGACCGATCAGGTTCTTCGATTTGGGCTCGAAGCAATCAAAGTGCCAAAACACAAGAAGTGGGAGGTGGTCAAATTACCCTATGGTACGAGGGGTTGGAACGGCACAGGCGAGCACAGATGGAACACTGCTCCTGGCACAGATGACAGGATATGGGTGCCAAACTGGGATGATTTCTACCTCGACGGGATTCCAGAAGAAGCCCGAGTCTTCAAACATCCAACATGGGATCCATAGAGGTCCTGTGTTCTCGTGATATTCATTTCCAACTCGGCGGCAGCAAGCAAGGACGTTCGTTGCCATCTCATGAAATGGCTTACGATATGTTGCATTGGACCAATCTGTGCTTCCTTGTTTGATTCACTCACTGTGTTTATGTTCGTTTGTATGCCAGCGTCGAGGGTTTTTTTTATGAACAACTTGTTTTGTGCCTGTTAGATTTTGCAGTCTGTCCATTGGATTTGATGTACAAAAAATCAAAAATCATCACATGTCCCAAGTAAAGACAAGTGACCCTCACTCGGAGAAAGGGCCTTGTTTGACCACAAAAATAGTGAGTCTCGCTTCTTGCATGTATGCTCGAGATGCTGTGTCGTGTTCACGACTGAGAAGCGGATGAGGGATGGATTATGCAGAGTTGCATAATATATGCACAAGATAATCGTGGAGATATCGAGTTGTCATGGGGATGTTTGCTTATCAACAATGATGATAAATGGGACAAGCGCATACCACGGCCGTTACATCCACTGAGAATAGCAAGCGTTCGGTATGGCAAAGTTGCTACTGACGAGCGGGCAAGTTCAAGTCTTGCTCTCGTCAGCCTTTGGTATTACCATCATTCTGTTTCTCCAAAGTCAGTCGCTAACGAACTTGCAGTGGCAGCAATCACCTTCTTCCTGTTCCTCGCCGGCTACACAATCCAGCAACGGTCAATCGCTGACCTTAAATCGCAACTTAAACCGCGCATTCCCGTCGCTCCTCACTCAATATCCGCACAACAACCTTTATCAGGACCTCGACACCCTTCCCGCCTCTTCAACCCCGAGCAAAATGCCATCGTCTCCGAGCACACAGACTCCCAACAACAACCAGAAGTAGATTGGCAAAAGCTTGCACACGTCCAGATAGTCACCACACACCATGACGTATGCAGTACAATCATGTTCTTCGGCGATCTCGCCCGCCTCAAGTCACCAGCCCGCCGTATCCTGCTCTTTCCTCAGGCTTGGGCAATGGAGAAGCAAGCTGCCAAACATGACTTAATCGATCCTTATATGGATATCACTCGACGTTTGCTGCGCCGCGCTGCTCGTCGCTACAATGTCGAACTACGAACAGTTGCTGCGATTGCCAGCAAGGAAGATATTGGGTTGGCTAGTCTTTGGGCGTTGACGGATCTAGAGAGAGTGATGCTTCTGCGGACTCCGGGACTGGTCCAAGATGCTGAGGCGCTGGATGCCATGTTGGCATATACAAAGTCTGCGCCTATGACTTTGTTGCAGCAACAGGCCTCCGGTCTCGCACCAGAAGACTTGATTCTCGCAACCTCAGCAAAGGAAACCCATCGCGTTCTTACCACCAACGCCTTGCAAAATATCACGTCCATATCCTCAGCGCTACACCCCGCTTACCTCTCCTCCTCCAACATCATCGCCAGTATCGGAGCTCTGCATGAAGCCTCTCAGCCGAACAAAACTGCATTTCTCGAGACTCCATATATCCGCTTCGACGATCCTAAGCTTCCAGGTCCGGAGTGGGAGGTGGAATACTCGAGGGTTGTGCAGGCTCGTCCGGAAGACAAGGATGCGGATTGGTTGTGGACGAAGATGTATGGTGAGTTTGCGGGTAGGAGGTATGATGTTTGTGGGTTGGGGCTGGAAGTGTGGAGGGAGTGATTCGATTACGATGTTATGATGATGATGATGGAAGTAATGGTGTTTAGATACAAGGGATGACTTCGAGAAAATCAGAGCACTGAGGCACAAGACTATCCTCGTCTTCTCTCAGACAAGAGACACAGGACTCACACATTTGCTTTGCATCACTATCCCCGCTCACCTCTCATAAACCCTGGAAAGCGACGTACGTTAACTCAAGGTCCATGAGCCTCATCGTTTCCCATGCTCTTCTCATAATGTCTTGCTCTGTGTGTATCTTTGATGCCATTCCAGACCACTATTTGAATCAATAAAGCAGAAAGACCGATTGTCGGCAGCTTGCGAGTGGTGCATCTGCTGGATTTTGTATACTTCTGCTGGTACATGATGAGTAAGGATATGAGGACTCTGTGTGATATATCGCAGACCCATCGCTCACCTGCATATCGATGCTGTCCTCGGTTCTTCAGTCCAGCTCCGTGGGAAGTGACCAGACAGACAACTCCTTGGTGTCTCGCGCTGGACAGTGGTGCGATCAGTGCAGAAATCACGAGAAGCAAAAAGAAACCCGCCGACGCCGCGAGTTGAACCCACGTCCATCAGACGATCAGAAAATCTTGGCGTCAGAAAAAATATCTTCTCGGCCTCATTTCGCTGCCAACAAACTGTGACAGAAACGATCAGACGAGAAACAAAAGATGATTCCGACACGGGGAATTGAACCCCGGCCTCCTCGGACCTAGTTGTGGATCATAAGAAACACGGTTTGAGAGCGAGAAATCCTAGCCACTAGACCATATCGGATATTGATGATGGACCAAGAGAACAAAGATCTATATGATGTGTTTATCTGGTGCTAGACTCGTCTCAATGAATTATGGCTGGAGGAGCATAGGTGACCCAAGCATTATCAGTCGTCTAAAGCTTGAAAGCATCGGTCGGGCTCTACAGATCCGCACTCTTGAGCACTCTCCTTCCATGTGTAACGACAAGCTCTATCAGGAGAAAGTTTGCGGATAGTTCTGCTACTGGTTAAGCAAACACCCTGCTCGAGTGGCAGATCTACATTAATCTGATCATCGCATACTCAAGCGATGCCCATCTGTAGGAACTGGTGCATGTTCGACTTCCTCACAAAGCATATCCTCACAGCTTCAACTTGCTCAGTTCCTGCACCTCAGTCTCAATCCCCCAGTCCTCCTTGATAAGATCAGAAGCCTTCTCAGCTACAGTGTATACACTGCTGCAAATGTTGCCGCTGACATGGTTCGGGAATACACTCGCGTCCACAACTCTCAAGCCCTTGACACCTTTGACTCGCAGTCTGCTGTCCACGACTTCTCCCATGGCGCAAGTGCCAATTAAATGGTACTCTCCCATGACCCAATCTCTGACTGCCTCTTCACGGTCGGTGGCATTGTCAAGATTCCTGGATGCTGGAGGGTAGGATCGTTCCTTGATTAGAGGCGCAAGGTGCGCGGTCTTAGTTGCTTTGTGTGCAAAGTGGAGGCCAGCTGCCAGAACTGTGACGTCGGCAGAATGCTTCAAGAATCCAGGATCAATCGCAGGATGTACCGATGGATCTGTTGTACAATTTGTCAACATCGACGTCTCGAGACTTTGACGAAAGCTTTGGTTTTGTTCAGGAACTTACCAGAATCCTTGGTGTGGCATGAGCCTCGGGAGACAGGGTATTGCAGACATGTCGCCAGGACCATTCGATGGGCACCACTGTTGTCGGGCGGAGGAAAGACCTTCTGGGTGCCGATGGCATCGTAGTCAACTCCAGCTGGGATCATGATATACTGCAAGTTTCCGGACTTGTCACTTTCGAGATGGGTGATCACCTGGTCCAGCTGCCTTCTATAGAACGGTGTTGTGTCGGGACTGCTTTGTATCGCCCGAATGTTCTCGACAGTATTCTCCAGCTCTTCGGCAGAGACGTGAGACTTGTAGGGCAGGAAACCCTGTGTGCTGGCTACGGATGTCAATGGTCCTCGCTGATGCTCCACATAAGCTTTCATGGCTGCTTCCATTGTGTCTGGGTCGCCGAGGATGTCAAGAGTCACATTGCCAGGCTTGAGATCTAAGCCAAGCACAGCGCAAGCATGATCTTGCAGGTTCTCGCCGACACCGGGCAATTCAACCTTGCACTCGACGCCAGCATGCTCGAGGACCCCAGGCCGACCAATACCAGAGAGCTCCAAGAGTTGAGGTGAGTTGATCACGCCACCACACAAGAGGACTTCTTTCTTGACGTAGACAGTCTCATGCATGTCATCCCAGACGAACTCTACCCCTGTAGCGACTCCATCTTCAAGCAGAATCTTGTTGACTTGTGCTTCACAAAGCACTTTCAGATTTGGACGGCAAGCATTCGCTTGAAAGTAGCCACGAGCGGCATAACTTCTTTTACCTTTGTGAGGTCCGGATCTGGCAACGGCACCCAGCGTGTTGAAAAAGCCGATGTGATCACCACTCCAGGGATCGGTTGGCTTCCTGGATAGACCGGCGACTTCGTCCAACGCTTTGATCGTCGAATCACCGATTGGGAATGAGCTGTCGTTGAAGGATGTATGGACCGGACCAGTGGTGCCATGATGCTCTCCGATATGAGGATAATCAGTCTGATCTAAGATTGATTCATCGATCTTTTCAAGGGTTTCATGCTTGCGCATATATGGTTTGAGAGCTTTGGACGACCACTGGGCGTCAGCTACGAGATCAGCCCAATCGTCGTAGTCTGCATCGGACCCTCGAACATAGCTGAGAAGATCAGTAAGTCTGGTCGATCCATAATAATAGTGTGTACTAGACGGACAGCATATAGGTGATGGCACTTGAGCCTCCAAGAGCTTTTCCCCTACTCAGATGATGGACGATACCACGATTACCTTCCTGGGGTTGCTGTCAGCCATCGTCTGATTTTGAGTGTAAGACAGACCTACCTGTGGTACAGATTTGAAACAATGATCATATTCGGGCTCGCCCAACAGCTGTGGGAATGTAGCCGGAGTATCAACGAGGGGATCGTCAAGTCTCGATTTGCCGACCTCGAGTACTCCGACAACGATATCAGGATCCTCAGTCAAACGTGCAGCGACAGCGAGGCCAGCAGTACCACCGCCGATGATAATGAAGTCGTAGGATTCGGATAAGAAGCCTCGGGCGCAAGCAGCGAGTGCTGGAAGGGAATTCGGAGCATTGTCGATACCATACAATCCCTCACTCTGATCGTTAGTATCGATGTTGTCTGACATGTTGAGTGATCATTTGTAGTCTACGACGAGCAGAGAAGCACAATGGCTTTATACATGTTGTTCGCGGGAGCTCCGATATTGTACCCCATGCTTGGCCATAAGGGAAAGGGTTCGGCGCCCAGATCGCTGACACCTTGAGAAAGTTATGTCTTCTTGTTAGGGTCGGTCAGCCTGTAAGAAAATCGCGATCGAGACCTGGAGACATCACACCAAGGATCGACCCCTCTTTGGCGTCGCGCATCTGACAAGGATGTCGTGAGATCAATCTACCTTGTTCATCCTGAATCCTTTCTGGAGCCCAGCTCAAACTCATCTAACTGTGATTCTGACTTCTGGGAGGATATCCATAGTGTTGTGCCGTGATGATCGTGTATCTAGATCCACGTTCTATGGCATATGCATGCAAGCGAAATTGCGTGCATAGCTGAACACAGCCTTGGTCCAGGGACTGTATTTAGGATTCTTGGAAGCCGCAGCTTACAGTCCAAAGCCCGTCCTTGTGTACGTATCAAGATGTATCATGGGTGGTGTACGACATTGAATGTGGCAGGAGGAGCGTCTGCTCACTTCGTTGTGTACAGCAAGATAGCAGCTCCGTCAGAGAGAAAGAACAGCCGAGGGTCTTCGAAGCTGGCTGGAGGAGTAAGCTTTAGGGAGGTTCAGGGGTAAATTACAGCTTGGCGGATGTAAAAAGCTGAAGCTTTGACCAGCGCCTTTGCGATGAGGACTTGAACTGCTCCAACTCGATTCTCTTTACAAAGGAGCAAATTCATCGTCACTATTGTAAAATGCCTGATTAGCATCATCAGCTTACGACAACTCCCAGAAACCCTCCAAGATGCTGGCCTGTAAAGCGAAAAAGCGTCTGACCGTACACGGCACATTGAGCGGTCGTTAGACATGAACCGGACTGCGTACAACGGCTATCGCCACGACTGTCTTCAAGGTTCAATATCTGTTATACACACTTCCTAAGTCACTTTAAGCATGACAGAATACCTTGGTCGGTCGACAACAAAGCAGGGGCCGAATTGTCAGTCACAAATAACATATGCTCGACTACAGAGTATACTACTGAAACAAATGTGTACCAGCTGTATGCTGATATTTGTACCACTACATATATTAATGATAAGCTCTAGCAGGATACAGACTGTCTACAGTCTCTCCTGAGCTGGCTCTGGGTGTTCGACCTCACTCTGGATTGCAATTCGACTCAAGTGTCTCAAAAGGGCGGGCGGTAGCTGGTGGCGTCCAAAACATCTTCAACGGCGATTTTGGCTGGAAGTACAACGTCTTTGTCGAATGCAAGAACTTAAGTTGAACAGATGTCATGCTCGACTTAACAAGTCGCACTCACTTCTTCCCAGCGTGGGTTGTGGCACTCATTTCAAGATGTTCCTTTCCTCTGTTCTAATCACTACTACAACACTGTACAGCTTGTGCCAGAGTCAACCATTGACCACTGCCGATGTCAAAGGAAAGGCCGTTTTCACCCTGGGACAAATACTCAACTCCAACACAACCACCAAGCCTCCTGCACAAAGACTTCTGCAGGTGTACCAAAAGTATGCGAAAGCAGGAGCATCCGCTCCGAGCCCCGTCCGGAAAGCAGCAGCATCAGCAACAGTGGCAGCCTCGGTCGCGGCATCACCAGAACTTAGTGATGTTTCCTATCTCTGCCCAGTCACTGTAGGAGGCAAGACCTTAAACCTCAACTTCGACACCGGCAGTGCAGATCTCTGGGTTTATTCAAATCTGCAACCATCATCACAGCGATCTGGTCATGCTTACTACAACTCCAACAACGCAAACCTGATGGCTGGCTACAGCTGGGACATCACATATGGGGATGGCTCAGGTGCGAGCGGCAAAGTCTTCGCTGACAAGGTCGTTGTCGGAAGCGCTACCGCAACCTCCCAGGCTGTCGAAGCAGCAACATCTGTCTCGTCTGACATGATTTCGGACATTGAGAGTGACGGCATCCTTGGACTGGCGTTCAGCTCTGTCAACACAGTTTCGCCCAACCAACAAAAGAACTTCTTCGACACCGTCAAACCACAGCTCGCTACGCCTGTCTTCACTGCAGATCTGAAGAAAGGAGCTCCAGGCAGTTACGACTTTGGCTACATTGACTCCGCCAAATATACTGGGAGCATTACATATGTCAATCTCAGCACCACTGGCGGCTTCTGGCAGTTTTCCGCAGGCGGATATGCCATTGGCAGTGGTTCCAAAGTCAGCAAGACTTACAGCTGCGTAGCCGACACAGGCACCAGCCTCTTGCTGCTACCCTCTGATGTTGTCAACGCATACTACAAGCAAGTCAAGGGTGCTGTTTACAGCAACTACCAGGGTGGCTGGGTCTTTTCTTGCAATACAAAGCTGCCAACTTTCACTGCAATCATCGGTAGCAAGCCGTTCATTGTACCAGGTACATACATGAACTATGCAAACCTTGGAAATAACATGTGTTTTGGAGGTATGCAAGCTGATACAGGCATTGGGTTCAGCATTCTGGGGGATGTGTTCTTGAAGAGCCAGTTTGTTGTGTTCTCGCAGGCGGCTGCAAAACCACAGATCGGTTTCGCTGCGAAGAAGCTCTAAGTGAGAAAAACATTCGGTTTGGGAACGAGCAGTCGTTATCGGATTCAGCTGCAGGACAGCTGGTCATTCACTCAATCTATCAATTATACATTGCATTACACATCTAGCAATAATTCTTGTTCTTCATCGCTTGAAGACTCCCCTCCCAAACATCTATCATCCTGGCCACCCATCTATCTTGCTGCATTCCACTGGGTCAAGCTCAATAGACAAGACTCTCTCCTGTGCCATTATCTCCATTCGCCCAGACTCTGCAATCATATCAAAGCCAATACCAAGGCAGAACTCTTGTCATGTCGAAAGTCATGAGCACATATGTTGGAAAAAGTGGTAGATTGATGAAAGTCTTGTACAGTCGATGTCCACGGCAACAGTCATGTGGTCGTCGTGGTCACATCAGAAGGACTGTACGGCTATCTCGTGGGCGAAGAAGTGCTTCGCGTGGAAGACCCAAGTCTAGGCCAGATCACGGAAGCTCAGGGATTGAGTGAAGCCAACAGGTCCTTGAACCAAATCAAAGTACATGTATCCCCTTGCGTCAACATCAAAATCTCATGTGGGCGAAATTGTTGCACATCGACAAAGTATACAAGCTTTTGTAAGGGGATAATGATACGGCTCGAAATTTTATGGACCCTGTTCTCCTCTCTGGGTCAATATTGATCTGCTGTTCATGTTGACACGCTTGTGAGGTGGAGAGGATATCAAGACTTCTCTAGCGAGAGAAGGGAGCAGCGGATGGGTGGAAGTGTGCTTCAGAACACGGTTCGACATGCAAAGTATCAGAGTGTGCTTGAGATAGTAATCTGGACAACGTGATTCAATGGAGACATAGGAAGTCGAATACGATTGTCTAGCAAGCTACCTATAGTAAAACAATGGAAAGGTTGTCCACCGGCGTGGAGTGAGTCTTCGGGAGACTGAATACGGAGTTGGTTGTCGTCCCATGTCCATGATTGACGTGTACGGCATATAAAGTTATTAGACAAAAGCTCTACTCTGCAATGCAAAAGCTCAACACTCTCCTACGATGTATTACAACGTCGAACTGGAGACATACTTCGCCCGGCACGACTAGATATTCAAACAGGACCACGATCATAGCAACGCCAGCACGAAACCACCCGTAGCACCAGATCGGAAACCATGCTCACAAGATAACTAGGTCCATGAGCCCGAATGTGTATCTCTTATCTCACAGAGCTCGACGAAACTTTTGAGGACAACACATACCGCTCATCCCTGACCTCCTTTCCAGGGAGATGGGAGTTCGAGTATCAGATTACTGACCTCCTCTCCTGCTTTCTCTCTTTGCGTCGCCACTTAGTGTTCAGAGCTCACGAAGAACAGAGGGTCCGGGTGAGACATCGAGGTTGCCATAACCCATCGTCAGACGGGAGATGACAATGAAGAGAACTTAGGTAGGTGGTACTGAGAAGGATTTAGAGAGGTATCAGGCTGGTATTTACACTGCTACAGTTCAGTCTTTTCTCATAAATTGAGAGGTGGTGGAGCAGGTTATTCCGTTCAAGTTGAGTATTACATCTCTGCTTGGATGACTTCTCTTCCAGTCGATGCGACCGACATATGGTTTCTTAGCCTGCTTATGGATGTCACAAAGATTGCTAGTTGGTTGAACTGCTAGACTCGCACCTATGAATCCACCGTCGTCACGAGCAATATGGATGTGCAACATGAAAATATACGCATACCAATACAGCAGTTCTTCTTTCGAATCATTTCCGACAAGCGATGATATATAAAGATAGATGACTGCTGCATAAGAAGACTGGAAGACCAGACTCTCCATTTCTTCGAGACTTCATAAAAAGCATTGGAACACAACTCTACCTTGAGTACGATCTTACAACGGCCGAGTTTGTTACACCGGTCGAGACACCTGCTAAGATGCTGAAACACACTGTTGTCGAAGCCTCGCATGCAAACAATACATCCGATAATACTGATAGCGTGACAACACACCCAAGAATCAACCGGGTCTGTGATCCCGCATGCATATCTCCCGTCTCTCGTTTACGATCACTGCACTATGTGCGAGCACAACTTCTTTCATTCGACTCAAATCATGCGAACCCAGGCATTTGCGACATGGATCTGGTCTTCTTCGCTCCTGTTCCATCCCACTACTAAAAACCTGGATTAAAAGTCTACGCTTCTTTTGAAGAGACAACTCAGTCAACATAGAAAGGGTCGGACCCATAACTACTGAGATGAAGTTGAAAATGCGGGAAAGTAGTATCTATACTCTTAGATCCCAGTCTCATTGGTGCATTTGAAATAGCGACAAGAGGTTCTGTATCTTATCTGCATACCATCAAAACTCGTATGGCGGTTTTATCTGCTTGACATAAGGATCATGATGACTATCTATGCCGTTTCTTACACATGTATAGGAGACGCTACTTCCAAACCACATACATTCCTAGAAGCGAGTCGGATCAACATCTTCCTGACAGTTTTGATGAACCTCGAGTGCTTATCGCAAGGAGGACTTTGAGCTGGCATAGGGAAGAGCAAGGTCACAACTCACGATCCCTGGTTTTTTTTTTTGAGCGAAGATCCAGGTCTCTGATTTCCCAAGCAGTGTTGCAACATCTGTAGCAATGCATGACTCAATCCACACCAGCAGGTCCACCTCGAAGGATCAAAGTGCCAAGAGTTTTGCACTCAGGAACACTCCACAGTAATACCGTTAAACGACATCCCGTCATGTTTAACAACAGATGCGCATATCAACAATTCTCTCATTGCCTTCTCATCACCTGTCTTCTCCAAGCAAATTCTTTGCAACAAAAGTCACGGTCAAAATGATAGACTCACCTCTACCCCTCAACATATCCGACCTCATCCTCACAAGCCTTCACTTCCTCTACATCAGCCTGACCACCATTCTCCTCTGCCTCGCCAGCTACATCCCCACCTACTTCTCCATCACCTTCTATATTGCCACCTTGAGCTACCTTTGTCCGCGACCAGCCTTTGACGACTTGTACTGGACCCTGCGCACTTGCCTCTACGGCCTCAGCTTCTTCTTCCACTTTGCTGTGTTGCGCCTTTTTGCACTGCCCTTTGAGTCAAATGATCGTTATGTTGCGCCTAGCACTGCATGGGCTTGTGCTTGGACTGTTGCGTTAGCTCTTGTGGCCACGACTACGGTTTTTGTCGTCGCTGTTGTTGTTTTCAAGCCTTTGCAGTTGCTCGGGTGGTGGCCAGAGGAGAAAGCTACGCAGTCTTGGGTTTACGATTCTTCGAAGCCGAACAATGGTGTAACAGCCCCAATCGTGAGGTTGGAGGTCAAGGATGGTGGTATGATTGGAGGGCTGTGCGAGTGTGTTGACGATGAGGCGGAGGTCACGATTAGGTCTCTATGTGAGGATGTCCCAGCTGGGAAGACGGTAGGAGTATATCGAGCTGGTACTGAGGGCAAGAAGAATGAAGACTTCATCGGGTTTCTTCATGTATTCAGGACTGAAGCAGGCAGCGAACAGAGTCCTGGGAAGAAAGAGGGATGATACCTTATAGAGCAATATGGCATGGATGTATACAATATTTATAAGCCTTAACCAACATCTCCTAGGTTATGCTTATCAACGGCCACAAGTTCAAGGCATGGTTGTTGCTCCCTCTACCCAAGGGCCCAGAACTACTCAAAGGGAAAGAGAAGGTCGAGACTAGTACCTCTACAACTAACATTATGGTGACCGGGGTCTGGAAGTATTCTGTGTAAGAGTTGTATCTCTAGCTTTTTATTGCGACACGAAATGGTATAAACTTGCATCAGCATTCGACGCGCGAGGTCCGAGAAGGTGTTGCAGAGATGAAGGTTCATTGACCTCTTCACCTCGTCATGGCAGCCGGGCCCAATGCACCTCCTTACCCTCCTTGTCCCAAACGTAGTGTAGCTGGAATCGACACACTTCATACCTGAAGCTCTGAGCTTTGTTTGAACACCGGCTTGATAAAATCCTTATATCCAGAGAAGCATTGCGGTTTTATATTCGACTCAAAGGGCGATGTTGAGGTGGGAGGCACTTGTACCTGATGCTCAGTTGTGCTGCGAGATCTGTTTAGCAGACACGGTATAGTATATGAGGTAAGGATCGAATCTGGAATTCAGCATGGATTCAGAATGGACGTTATATCATCTGTGACTACTCTACACCGGCCCTCGTTCCTCACCTATCTCACCATCCACTTCCTCCCTGCCTCTCCTGCCCTCATACAGCAAACCTCTTTCTTCGCCCTCATCCCCTTCCCTCAAAACTCCCCCTCCAACGCCTCTAGTCCTCCCATTCCCAGTCCCGTTCTCATCTCCACTATCCCTACCACCACTCTCATCACCACCGTTAATTACAAACCAAACATCCTTCTTCGTAAGCAATCCCTTCAACACACCTCTATCGCAGAACCCTAGGTAGCGCAACCCCAAGCGTTGGAAGTAATTCACGCATAGTTCGAGACCGCAAGCGGAGTTGAGGGTGATTGGTGTTTGATCCATCCAGGGGCGAAGATCGAGTGTGTGATTCACGTCTGCAAGAGGCTGATGTGAGAAGAAGCATGGTGAGTTTTCGGGAAGGTTGCGGGTCGTGAGGGCCGAGGATAGTGCAAATGACAACTCGGTCCTGGAGATAAAACCTAGTAATACTGCATCTTGAGCGTTTGAGATAACAGGAAACCCTCTGTAACTGTAGTTGTTGAGGAGATTCCGCAGAGAAGCGATTGTATCGCCTTCAGCAGTAATGGAAATCAAATCCTCCGTCCTCGTCATGATTTGCGAAACCGGGATATCAGGAATGGGCCTATCGTCACGATTATCCAGGAAAGGGTATTCGTTAAACGCGATCCACGCTTCGTAGATACCAGCTTTGCCAAGTGCATCTCCCACCCATTTTGCAATCATGACGGCAATCATAATGGGAAGCACATAGGTGAGAGCACCAGTGAGTTCAAACATGATGACAACGATGGAAACGGTCATTCGTGTTGCTCCGGCGAGAGCTGATGCTGCGCCTACAATGGCGTAGGTGCCGGGGGTGATGCAGGGAACGTCGGGTTCGCAGGAGGCGAAAACAATCCACTTAGGATGTTCGCGTTGCCAGACTTCGACAATGAGGCCAATGACGCGGCCGTATAGAGCGCCGATTGTCATGGACGGGAGCAAGATGCCAGCAGGGATCTGAAGACCAAAAGTCAAGGCTGTGAAGAAGAATCCGACGATGGCGGAAATCAGTAGCAGGAAAATGACTCCAGTATTGGCGATTCCGCTTTTGCACAATCCGAGAGGATCAGATTCGATATCTTTGCACTCTGCGAAGAGGTAGTAAACCAGTTCCGAGGCCTGAGCGCGGAGGAAGGTGACAGGGAAAGCGATGACAGAAGTGGCAATGGTGATTATGCAGACCTCCAGAATAGGTTTGCCCTTGAGCGGGTAGCGAGGTGAGTCTCGGAGCGCTGCCAGTCGCATATTCAACTTGATCAATAGACCACCATAAAGGCCTCCAAGCACACCGATGATGGCGTATGCAACCATTTCGAAGCCGTGCCAGCCAGTGTGATAAGTAACAGAGTATGGCACAGTCTTGCCTGTACGGAAGGGATCGACCGCCTTGAGGGTGAAGGCCGCAATCATGGCACACACGAAAGATTGCCACATAGTCTTGTCAGGGAAGTAGTACGAGAGTGACTCCAGACTGAACAGCACACCACCAACGGGTGCACCGAAAGCAACTGATATGCCAGAAGCAGAAGCGGCAGACAAGACTTCACGCTTGCGGGCTATGCTACGTCAACAAGGTCCGCTGATGTATGATGAGCCTTCTCAACATACCTTCGTTGCTGTTGATGCTTTCAAAAGGCTTCATGAACAGATTGGCGCAACAGCAAGCGACATGAACCAGAGGGCCTTCCTTGCCGAGCCATAGACCAGAAGCTACTGCTAGACACTAAGATATATCAGTATGGTGATCTGATGCGGCATGCACTTGACGTACTAGACCGACGGATTTGGTGACCAAGGTCCAGACGCCCATGAAACGACGAATGACGAAGCCTCCAAGCACAGTCTTGATCTCGGGTATACCACTCTGCTTGGCATAAGTCGAAAATCTGGTGACAAGATAGGTAGCGACGGACGCGAACAGGACCTGTAGGTATCAGCTCACAACTCTTTGCATCTCTCGGGCTGCGCATACCGAGTAGGCAAGGTACAAGACAAAGTTGATGATCCAGCTACCAGCACTGGAAGTCACACCTATCCCATGGCTCCACAACTGCCAGTCCGGACATGTCTCGTAGTCTTTTTGACCCCAGCAACAGAAGCCTCTGTTCAGATAGAATTCCCCACCATCTTTGACGTTGCTGCAATAGCCAGCCTTGAGGTCGCCCAACCAGCCACTTGTGATATCAATGGCAGCAGCGATGGTACCAACAGCTACTCCAGTAGCGACCAGTATGATCCAAGTCTGACTGCTATCGGCGAGCAGTTGGAAGTATCCTAGCAGACCGACGGCATTTGATCGTAAGGCGCGTAGTCGTTGTCTTTCTTTTGCGTATTCGAAGATCCAGTCGATAGCAGTCAGGTTGTCGTAGCCGACACGACGACCAGGACCTTCGGCATACCAGTCGAGAGCAGAAGGATCTTTTGCGTCTGTTGCGACGGAGGGAGTGTTGAGGTAGGAGAGGATGGTGGCAGTGGTGGGCTGAACGGGTGAGCGTGAGCTGACACGGCGTTGCTGTAGATGAGACGAGTGGTGGAATGCAGGCGACGGACTGCGGCTTGTGGACAAGGGCGAATGAAGGTGTGCAGACGATGTGCGGAAGTCGGAGCTGAATGAGGTGTGTATGTTCAGGCCACCATCACGGTCATTGTCGATCGGGGACTCGAGATATGGCGACTCGTATGGATTGCGACTGGACTCGGCCTCGACAGCGTCATTGCTGTGGGAGTTCAAAGGTGCTGACATGAGGCATGCGATGCAGCCTGCTAATCAGTCAAGCTGGCATGTTGATGTTGATTAACCCTTGTCGCATCAACTCCATGTTTCTCGTTGCACTGCCGCTTGCGCCCCGCTGTCTCAAGCTCATTCCTGAACCTTCCTATACTCAAGTCCATGATACAACGTGTAAGAGCACTGGTTACATTACAATGCGGACTTTTGAGATCCAAGCGAATTTTATATGCTACAAAAGATGGAGCATATCTTGCCATCCTGAAGACGATCCAAGAGTCTAAGAATTGAGTAAAGGTAGCAGAATGGATGGTCTTGGAGACTGAATTTGTGGATATTTCAAGCAACAACAGATTAACTCAATTTGAGCTCGCAACAACCAACAATACGGTCCGAGACTTCGTCACTAGGTCACAAAAATATAGATCTAAAAGGGTATCATGGCAGATCTGAGCATAACTTACGTGGGCATGCGTCGCCGACCATCTGTTCAGGCATTTGATGGTTGAGGGGATGACCCGGATCAAATGAAGACCGATCCAAGAATGACTTTTTGCAATATGGCCATCCGATTCAACGTCGGGAGCGTATAGAGTCCAACAGAAAATGAGAGTCATCTGACAGAAGGCAGAGACAGATCATATGCTGGATGTAGTAAGGTTTTTGTACACCATTTTGCCCCGAATATACAAGTACATAAAACGCCGTCACATGTATGCCATGTTCGTGTCTGAGAGAGGAAGGAAAAGAAGCCTGACGGAAACGTCTACTCCATGACAACAACGGCACCAAGAGCCTTGAGTGTCTCGACAATCTTCTCACCCTCCTCCTTGGGCACACCCTCCTTCATGAGCTTGGGTGCGCTCTCAACGAACTTCTTACTGTCAACCAGAGACAGACCCAACAGACTCTTGATCTCCTTGATGACCTTGGGCTTGGATCCGGCGTCGAATGACTGGAGCTTGAGGTTGAAGAGAGACTTTTCTTGTGCGGCGGGAGCGGCCTCCTCCTCTTCGACGGCAGCAGGGGCGGCAGGAGCAGCAGCAGATGCGAAACCACCAACGGGCAGGTCGGGAATGTTCAAGCGGGTCTGATGTTTTTATCAGTATGTAGAGTCGAGCGGCGCACGGCTTGTACCAACCTTGAGCGACGAAACAAGGTCAGCAGTCTCGAGGAGGGTCAATTGGCCGATTTGGTCAACGATGGCGGCGATTTTGGGGTTGGTGGGAGCAGCGGCCTCGGTTGATTGCCATCTCCTTGAGAGGAAGGTGTTCTGGGTGGATGAAAGAGAGGCGCGGACGACGGGCGACTGGACGGTGGCGCATCGCCTGAGAACGCGTTGGCAAGAGAGCGACATGGCGGCGGAATATGTGAGAGAGTCGTGGAGGAAGGGAGGTGCGACTGGCGGAAGGGGCGACTGGTGGACTGCTATGCAACTGCAACTGCCTTTGATCTTGTGCTTCAAAGTGTTCCTTCCTCAGATTTCCCACGCTGGCGGCCCGTGCGCTGCATTTGCGGCGAAGGCAAGAACCTCCGAAGCTTTGAATCTTGAACATTATTTCCAGTTCAAGAACTTTTTTCGATTCTGCAACAGATTCTCACAAATTAGTCCATTTTTGTGCCGCCAGAATGGACGTCTCGTGGGAAACACACAACCTGGCATCACGCGCCTCACAGCTACCCAACGAGCTTGCTGAAGCGTTACGAAAGGGCGACGGCGCATACTTTCTCGCCCAACTGAGCAGAGCCGCTCTCGACAGACGATACACCGATTTTCTTTTGATTCACGCCGATTCACTCATCCCGCACTGTTGCGCCGAGTTCCAATCCTCCCCCGACTACGTCTCTGTCGTCGCCGCATACGCTCGTCTCGTCTCGCTCGCTCCTCACATTTCCGAATACGCCGAGCGCTACCTTAGTTCGCATAATGTCGATAGCATCTCCGACTCCAATCTATTCACAACCGAATACTTCTTTGCCCTGATCCGTTTGTTGCGATTCGATCGCCAGACCTTTGCAAAATTTGTGCCTTTCTCACGGATACACCAATTACTCGACCACAATGCTCGTGCTCTGCGTTATCTTGCTGTCCGTGTGCTATGTCTGTATCTGAGCGCCGCAGATGCTGCTCTACAGGACATGACCAACAAGTACCTCGCAAACGATGCTGGATCCCAGGACTTGATCGCTCCGTTAGGCTCATGGGAGGACAAGGAGATCGATTACCGCCTTCTCACTCTGTGGGAGGAGCGACGCCAAAAGAATCTGGAGAAAGAGAGGGAAGCTTTACAACAAGAACGTGCTGCCTACTTGGATGCTGGAACCGCTCCTAGACAGGCCGTCGTCTTCCCAGCCAATCTTTTCCACCCTTCGACAGCATGCATCTCTGGTGTCTTGCTGCCTCGCGGTGCTGCCCCTACAGACGCGTCGACAAATTCAATAGTCGACACTCCCACCACAGCCGCAAATCTGCGCGAGCTGGCCACCTCGCTGAAGGTACCTAACCCGGTACTGTTGACAGGTCTTGCTGGCTCTGGAAAGACACTACTGGTCCGCCATGCTGCACGTCAGCTCAACAAGCTGAAGTCGATGGTCACACTACACTTGAACGAGCAGAGCGATGCGAAGCTGCTCATCGGAATGTACACAACCGGCAAGAACCCTGGATCTTTTGTCTGGCAGGCTGGTGTCTTGACGACTGCCGTACTCGAGGGTCGCTGGGTGTTCATTGAGGACCTGGACCGCGCCCCGAACGATATCATCAGCACCTTGCTACCCTTGATCGAGAGAAACGAACTTGTGATTCCTAGCAGAGGGCAAACGATACACGCAGCCCGAGGCTTCCGCATTATCGCTACCATGCGCACGTCTCTGTCGAACAGTGGCCACGAGACCAAGCCTGCCTACAACTTGCTAGGTGCTCGCCACTGGAGGTCAGTACACGTGAGTATGCTGCCATCAGAGGAGTTGAAGCAAGTAGTCGTTGGACTCTTTCCATCACTGCACGAGTTCGCCTCACAATTCGTTACAGTCTTTCAGAATCTGCAACTACTCAAGCAACAAGCACATCTTGCAAGTCGTAGCAGGACCGGTCTGATGCGTGAGGTCAATCCCAGAGATCTGCTCAAATGGTGTGCCAGAGTTGCGCTTATGCTTGGAGACAGGCCTAACATGACTGCTGGTGAGCTTGATCAGATCTTCCTAGATGCTGTTGACTGTTTTGCCGGTGCTTTGCCTGAGGGTACAGCTTACACTGCTTTGACTTCCTGCATCGCTGAGAACCTGCAAATCGATCCTCAACGCTGCCAACATTTGCTAGGAGAGAGGACTATCATTCACAAGGAGGAACCCTCACGAGTCACAATCGGTCGATCAGTCTTTTCTCGTCAACAACGGAAGAGTCTCGCTGGTCCTACTGGCAAACGCGCCTTCTCAACGAACGCACACACTCTCCGTCTACTTGATCGCGTTGCTGTAGCTGTTTCCCAGAAGGAGCCTCTTCTCTTGGTTGGTGAGACAGGTACTGGTAAGACTACCAGCATTCAGCATCTTGCAGACCAACTCGGCAAGAAGCTTGTTCCTTTCAACTTGTCGCAACAGAGCGAGAGTGGTGACCTGCTTGGTGGCTTCAAGCCCGTCAATGCTCGATCCATCATCGTACCCTTGAAAGAGGAATTCGATGATCTGTTTTCTGCTAGTTTCTCATACAAGCGAAATGCCCAGTTCATCGATATGCTCAACAAGTGTATGGGTAAGCAGCAATGGGTTCGTGTATGCAAACTCTGGAATACAGCTCTCGGTATGGTAGAACAACAAAGAGTCGCTGCACTGCAAGCTGGAACCAGATCTCCCTCAAGAAACGCTGAGAACCCTGCCAAGAAGCGCAAGGTTGAGCCAGCCATGACTGCTGTTCTTAGCGGAAGATGGGACAAATTTGCTTTGGAAGTCAAGAGCCTGGAAAACCGTCTCTCTGCTGGCCAGGAGGCGTTCGCTTTTGCCTTTGTCGAGGGAAATATCGTAAAGGCAGTCCGGAATGGTGATTGGGTACTTCTTGATGAGATCAACCTTGCTTCGCCGGATACGTTAGAGGCACTGGCCGATTTGTTCGATGTCAGCTCTCCGTCTCTTATGCTGAGTGAGGCTGGCAGTGTCGAGGTCATCAAAGCTCATCCTCAATTCAGAGTCTTTGCTGCTATGAATCCTGCCACTGATGTAGGTAAAAAGGACTTGCCTCTCGGCATCCGTTCGAGATTCACCGAACTCTACGTCGAGAGCCCTGATCGTGACTATCAAAGTCTGCGAAATATCGTTCAAGCCTACCTTGGTCAAGAAGCAGTTTTGGACAGATCCATCGCTTCGGACGTGGCCAAGCTACATCAAGCGACGCAGAAACTGAATGAAGAGAACTTGCTGGTCGACGGTGCTGGCCAGAAGCCGCATTTCAGTTTGAGGACACTTACACGTGCTTTGATCTACGCGAAGGATGTCTCACCGCTGTGCTCGATCCGCAGAGCTGTTGCGGAGGGTATCCAGATGAGTTTCTTGACCTTACTCGACAAGGAATCTGAAGCTCGTCTGTTGCCGCTGATTCACCAGCACATGTTTGGCAAGCTTGCAAACGCTGCAGCCGAGCTCAAGAAGCCCTTCCGTGAACCTCAAGATGGACACACCTATGTCAAGGATGGAGCTTACTGGCTCAGACAAGGCAACTTCGCAGTTCACGACCAGCCACACTACATCATTACTCCTTTCATCCGCCGCAACCTCGATAACCTGATTCGTGCCTCCTTCACCCGCCGCTTCCCTGTCTTGATTCAAGGCCCTACCTCTGCCGGAAAGACCAGTATGATTGAGTACCTCGCCAACAAATCTGGAAACAAGTTTGTCAGAATCAACAATCACGAGCACACTGACTTGCAAGAGTACTTGGGCACATACGTGTCTGGCTCCGACGGTCGTTTGCAGTTTCAGGAAGGTGTCTTGGTCAAGGCTCTGAGAGAAGGTCACTGGATTGTGCTCGACGAATTGAACTTGGCACCCACTGATGTTCTCGAAGCGCTGAACAGACTTCTCGATGACAACAGAGAGCTGCTCATTCCGGAGACCCAGGAAACCGTGCGCCCGCATGAGAATTTCATGCTTTTCGCCACCCAAAATCCTGCTGGTCTGTATGGCGGCCGTAAGGTTCTTTCCCGTGCTTTCCGCAACCGTTTTCTTGAACTTCACTTCGACGATATTCCGGTCGAGGAGCTCCATACGATTCTTCAACGCCGCACACAAATTCCAGATACATGGTGCAAGCGCATAGTCAGTGTGTACAGAGAACTCTCGGTCTTGCGTCAGGAGAATCGCTTGTTCGAGCAGAAGTCTTTTGCAACGCTTCGTGACTTGTTCAGATGGGCCTTGAGAAAGGCTGACACCATCGAAGAGCTTGCTGTTAATGGTTTCCTACTTCTTGCCGAGAGGGTTCGCAAGCCTGAGGAGCGTGAGGCTGTCAAAAAGGTTATCGAGAAGGTTCTGGGCCAGAAAGGTCCCAAGGTCTCGATCGACACCACTGCCCTATATGGCGTCCAATCTCCTCTGCTGCAGTCGTACCTCACTCAGGCTGGCTCGAAGGGTGTCGTCTGGACAAACGCTATGCGCAGACTATACGTCCTGGTCGCGACTGCTCTTCAGAACAATGAGCCAGTCTTGCTGGTTGGTGAGACTGGTTGCGGTAAAACAACGGTCGTTCAAATGCTCGCCGATGCCATCCAGAAGGAACTGCATATCGTCAATGCACACCAGAATACCGAGACAGGTGATCTGATCGGTGCTCAGAGACCTCTCAGAAACAGAGCGGCCATGGAGCAGCAGGTCCGTGAGATGCTTGTGTCGCTCCCTCATGACGAAATTCAAGAAGCTGCACCTACATCTAGCCTGGATGAGCTGCTTGTCACTTACGATCAAGTCAAGGCCAATGCTGACTTGAGTGATCCTTACACGGCGCAGATCTACCAAGCCATCGACGCGAATCGTCCACGTCTGAAGGCTTTGTTCGAGTGGGCCGATGGTTCCCTTGTTCATGCGATGAAGACTGGCCAATACTTCTTGCTTGACGAGATCTCACTCGCAGACGATTCGGTCCTCGAGCGCTTGAACAGTGTGCTCGAACCCTCGAGAGAGATGCTTCTTGCTGAAAAGGGATCGCTTGACTCTTTTGTCAAGGCACAGCCTGGTTTCCAGTTCTTTGCTACCATGAATCCTGGTGGCGACTACGGTAAGAGAGAACTGTCACCTGCTCTGCGTAATCGTTTCACTGAGATCTGGGTCCCCGCGTTGTCTGATATCGAGGACGTCCTGCAAATCATTCGTTCTAAGCTCAAGGACCACGCAGCACCTTATGCAAATGTGCTTGTTGAGTTTGCTCAGTGGTTCAACCAGCGATACAATACCTCGGCTGCATCTTCAATCTCCATTCGTGACACTCTTGCTTGGGTGGAGTTTGTCAACCGCCAGCCTCATCGCGATCCTGTCTTCTCCATCATTCATGGTGCTGCTATGGTCTACATTGACACCCTCGGAGCCAATCCTGCTGCACTGCTCGCGATCAACCCAGGCACTGTAAACTACGAAAGAATGCAGTGTCTTGATGAGTTGAGTAAACTCATCAAGGCCGACGCATCTGCAGTATACAACACGCCAATCCACGTCGAGGTCACGGACGAGGCTCTGGAACTCGGTGCTTTCTCTATTCCGGTCATCACTAAGGGCAACGAGCCTGGATTTACCTTCCTGGCCCCGACTACCAGGTCCAACGCCATGCGTGTCATCCGTGCTCTTCAACTCACTAAGCCCGTTCTTCTCGAAGGCAATCCCGGTGTTGGAAAGACCACTCTGGTCACTGCTCTGTCACAAGCAATTGGCATGCCTTTGACGCGTATCAACTTGTCAGAGCAGACCGACTTGATGGATCTCTTCGGTTCCGATGTTCCTGTTGAAGGAGCCGAAGCTGGCACATTCGCCTGGCGTGACGCACCGTTCCTCCGAGCCATGAAGAATGGCGAGTGGGTGTTGCTCGATGAGATGAACCTTGCCTCTCAGTCTGTGCTGGAAGGTTTGAACGCTTGTCTCGATCACAGAGGTGAGGTTTACATCTCTGAATTAGACCAAACCTTCCGTCGCCATTCAGACTTCAGGCTGTTCGCCGCACAGAACCCTCATCATCAAGGCGGCGGTCGTAAAGGTCTGCCAGCCTCTTTCGTCAACCGCTTCACTGTTGTCTACGCAGATGTCTTCAGCCCTGCTGATCTTGTACTTATCTGTCAGAAGTCGTTCTCCAGCTACGACGCAGACAAGATCGCTCCCATTGTCTCCTTCATTGACCAGTTGGACATTGAGACTCAGCGCCGAAAGATTGGTTCGCTTGGTGGACCTTGGGAGTTCAACTTGCGTGATACATTGCGTTGGCTGAACTTGATCACGGCCGAGCAAGGTCTGCTGAAAGGAGGTGAGGTGGACGACTTCTTCTCCACCATCATCTCACAGCGTTTCCGTACTCCTATGGATAGAGCACTTGTGACACAACTTTTCCAAAGCGTTCTACCTGACGCTCCTGTCACTCACAGCATGTTCCATAACATTGGGCCTAAGCATTTCCAAGTTGGCTTGGGAATGTTGCAGAGAAACGCTCACCTCGCAAGGGTTGGTGCTGATCACCAATACTTTGACTTCAAGCCTCATCTTCGAGTTTTGGAGTCTGTCATGGTTGCTGTTCAGAAGAGATGGCCAGTCCTGCTTGTCGGACCCTCTGGTTCAGGCAAGACTGCTATTCTGGAGAAGCTTGCAGCAGTTCTTGGTGTCGACATGACCACCTTTTCCATGAACGCCGACGTTGACTCCATGGACCTGGTCGGTGGCTACGAACAGTCAGAGCCTCAGCGTGCCATCCACAACTTCCTGGAGAAACTTCGCACGTTCGCAGCCCTGCAGACTGTTCGTTGTCTTGGCCTCGATGCAAACAAGTCTGCACTCGAAACATTGCAGCGTCTCCGACAATTGGCATCCAAGGCAGACACGAGTCTCGTTACTACAGGCCGTAATGAAGTCACTCTTGAGGTCGCTCATCTGCTCCAGAACTTCATCACAGTCGCTCAATCATCTGGTACTGTCTCGTCAAACACTTTTATGATTGATGTTCCTGAGGCAGAGTCTCTGCTCGAGCAAGTCAACGTCCTGATTTCTAAGCCTACGGCCATCAGTCGAGCTCAATTTGAGTGGATGGATGGTATGCTTGTACAAGCATTGGAGCGTGGAGAGTGGCTGGTGCTGGACAATGCCAATCTTTGCAGTCCTGCCGTCTTAGACAGACTGAACTCTTTGCTCGAGCCTAACGGCACGCTCATCATCAACGAGAACACTGACGCTTCCGGACAAGCTCGCGTCATTGTACCTCATCCCAACTTCAGAATCTTCTTCACCATGGACCCCAGATATGGTGAGCTGTCTAGAGCGTTGCGCAACAGAGCTGTCGAATTGTTTCTCCTGTCACCCACTGCAAGCTCTGAGCACTCTTCAAGCTTGGAATTCTCATCCGAGTCCAGTCTTCACAGATTCCGCAACACAGAGGTTCTCGAAAATATCGATCTCGAGAGTGCCTTGACACCGCACATTGCACAAACCGTCATGGAGAGTCTGTCGTATCAAGACAGTCCCATAATGTCTCATTTCATGGCTGGCCTGGAAGCTGGGCTCTACCAGACTCCGAGCAAAGTACTCGAAAGCAGCAAGAGTGTTCAGTTCAAGTTCAAGACTCTGCACTCTTCTCAAGATGTCAATCAAATCGTGCCTGATGTTGCCGATTCTGCTATCCAGCCTTTCCATCCACTCAACAATGTCGCACTTGCCCGTTGTAACCTTGTGCCGACTGAATGGGCTGCTGCTCTTTACGAGCTGGAGTGGGATATCCATTCCATGCAAATCGCGCTTGACGGCGCCAGAAATCGCGACGTGCCCAAGCGTGAGCAAACAAGGCTCCAGCGATCTGCCCTTGGACAGGGCCCAAAGCAAAAGCACTTCACCAGCAATGTATTTGGCCTTCTTACTGGTGCAGTGGATGTGTGGTCGAGATTCCTTGATACCGCCGTCTCTGCAAAGCAGCAGGGTCAGCTTGTCGAACAGTATCCTGTGGACACTTTCAAGCCATGGAGAAGATACTGGTGGGAGTTCTTCAACTTGGTGGATTCTGTCGAGGTTGAGGAGGCGGTGTTCAAGGCATACATTGAGATTGGTATCCGTCTTGAACAAAGCCATGGCATAGAATTTGCCGCTCGCTTTGCTCCAGGAGGTGCTCAAAACGCTGAACGATTTAGCTCATACTTTGTTCTGCCTTTGGACCGAGCATTCTCTCCAGACAACAAGGGTGCGTCTATGACTGCTCTGTGGACAGTCATGAGACCCAAGACTGCACGTACTTTCCAGCAGTTGCAGGACATCATCGGACTCGAAGCCATGGCAGACAAATTCGACATCTTCGCAAGAAGACTTGACGCTCCTCTTGACCAGCTCCTACAGCTGCAGCAAGCGTTCGGCAAAGCTCTAGCTCTCGTCTTGGATGGCTCTGAAGAGGCACCTGCTCTCATTGCTAGTCTCAAGGAGGCTATGTCTGCTTTCAGCACTGAGGAGACCGCGATCGCACATGTTCTGCCTCACTTCAAGCAGCAATTCGAAGGTATTGCTCAAACCTTCGATCTTCTGTACGGCAAAGACATGTCTCAATACCCTCAGTCAGGAATCTTTGGTGCATTTGCTGGCAAGAAGCTGAGCGAACAGTTACAGAAACAGTTGCAGCGCGTCAAATTCCTTGCTTACAGACCTACCAAGTCTATCTCTACCCAGCAAGGTGACATTTTTGAGCCGATCGGTAAACATGTGGGGTACTATAGCGACGACCAGAAACCTTTGGCCCTCGAGACCAACCTTCATCAGCATGTTCTTGCTGGTCTCGACCACATCGATGAAGTGCCTTTGAGCAAATTGGACTTGCTCAGAACAGAAGCTCAAATCATGGCCCAGGTCATCACAAGCAATACTCATGATCTGGAAGCCAACTACATTCACGTCTTGGACGGACATCTTACTGTTCTGGCAGATGTACTCTTGCGTTCCTTGCGTGAGGTATCCCGTGCAAAGGATATCAGACAAGCTGACTGGCAACCCTGGATCGATTGGGCTTCCGAAGCCTTCAGCTCGGGCAAGATCACCGCTGCTCCATCCATGGCTTCAGCACAGGATGCTGCTAGTATCTGCAAGCTTTACCTTGATCCTCTGGTTGTCTACCTTGTCGATGCTTCTGCAGCACGCTCGACAGACCCAGCTATCTCTGCCAGAGCTTGGTTGAGATTTGCTCTTGGATGCATGTCGCTGTACGTCACCAGCAAGCCTTCCGACCCTGCGCTACGCCCCATGCTTGACAGACAGATTTTCCGTAAGACGTTCGCCGACTTGCAAACCAAGCTCGCGGCCTTGCAACGTTTTGCTGATGCAACTGGTCTTTACTCTTCGTTACGCACTGCTCTGGTCCACCAAGATATCACTGATCTTGGTCAGGAGCCCAGCGTCCAAGACATTGCCAGACCAACCGTGTCGGAAATCACTAAGCTGCAAGGTGAACTCAATGCTTTGCAAAGAGCCTTGGCTCCTCTGTACAATGCTTCCGAGGATATGCTTGTAGGCTTCGCCAAGGATGCTGTCTTGCGTCAAAACGTCAGACAAGTCAAGGCCCGTCTCAGCGATGGTTACCGTGCCTACGCCGATATCACTGGACCTGTCATGGGCTTCTTGCACTGTCTCGAAGTTGGTTTCGCGCTTGCAAACCTCGTTCTTGAAGATGATGTCAAGATGGACAACACAGTCGACATCAAGCACTTCTCGCCTCTCACTGGAGCACTGCCCAACTACGTTCAGAAGGCCACTGCCATCACTGCTGTTATGCAGTCACCTCATCACAACAATGTCAGGATGCATGCCTTGAACTCTTTTGCTACCATGAGTCACATCATGCCTGAGACTTCCCTCTCATCCTGGGACGCTGTCTTTGACATCTTTGACTCCATGTACCAGCAGTGGCATACTGAGCTGCAGAACAACCAGCAGCAAAATGCTGCCGACCACAGTTTGTACACCCACCGCGGTGATGAAGAAGCAGAAGAGGAAGCAGACCAAGCTGAACTCGAAGAGCTCTTCCCCGAGTATGATAACGTGGATGGTACCGACACTAAGAGCAAGTCGGGCGCACCCCAGAAGATGCAGGCTCTAGCCCCAGGTCTTGCTACTGTGATGGCCGAGATCTTCAAAAAGGACGACACCAGCGAGGACGACCTGCTCGCACTTGTCAAGAAGTCAGCATCTCTGCTCGGCAAAGAGTCTTACGAACAGACTATCGAGAGCATCGACGGTTCAAGCGGTGTTCTTACTCCTCTGCTTGTCCTTATTTTGCATGAGAAAACCCAGATGCTCAATGGTTCTGGGTTCAAGAAGAACCTGTACAATATCTACACAGAATCCAACCTCGCTGAAGCTGACAAGCTCATCGTCTTGATCAGAAAGGTGCAAGCTAGATTCATAGAGATTCAGCTAGTGTGGCCTGAACACGCTACCCTTGCTGATGTCCTGCGCGTTTGCGATGAGCTTCTGGAATTTGCCCATACTGATCCTATCGCCAAGATCATGCTCAAGGTCGAGAAGCTACATTCTCACATTCACGAGTGGCAGGTTGTTGCCAGCAGAGAGTACAGTGCAGCTGCGCTCTTCGACAGCATCACCGCCCTGATCGTCAGTTGGAGACAACTCGAATTGTCCACTTGGTCAAGATTGCTTGACATGGAAGTCATTAAATGTAACGAGGATGCGAAGAGTTGGTTCTACATCGCTTACGAGAACATCGTCGTTGTACCATTGACTATTGGTGAGACTGAGACTGAGATGAAGAACCACGTTACCGAGCTCATCAAGACACTGTATGGCTTCTTCACTACAACCGGTTTCGGTCAGTTTAGCGCTCGCTTGAGGATGCTGGCCAACTTCCGTGAGTACATCAAGACTCGCGCAGCAATCTTCCCTCCTTTGAGCATTCTGCACACTGCTCTGGCGAATTTCATCGCCTATATGGCACGCTACGAGCCTCTGGTTCAACAAGCTCTAGATGCTGGCAGACAAAAGCTCGAGAAAGACGTGAAGAATCTCATCCAACTTGCTAGCTGGAAAGACACGAATATCAATGCGTTGAGACAGAGCGCCAAGGCCTCTCATACGAAGCTCTACAGAGTCGTTCGCAAGTTCAGGGATCTGCTCTCCCAACCCGCTCAAAGCATTGTCTCGGCTGGACTGCCTGATGTCGTGTTCTCAGAGACACCCACCGCCGCTGGCTTCCGCAAGACTGAGGTTCCTGTCGATCCCAAGGCATCAGCTATCTGTACTGAAGTGGTGCCAAAGTGGAATGAACGACCTGCTCGTTTCAAGAACACTGCTACCACTTTGACGGTCATGCAATCCAAGGGCGCTATCAAACCTGAGCACATTGATTGTGCTTCTGAGATCAACACGTGGCTATCTGACACCGAATCGATCGCTGCACAGCTTCGCAAAGCCACACCGACAACTTTGACAGAGGAGAACACGGAGACTGTCAAGCACCTCAAGAACCGCAAGCGTAAGCTCTTCGCCGATGTGCTCAAGGAACTCAGAAACATGGGCTTCAAGAGCAATATGACAAGTGATGTGCTGGCCAGACAAGACTCTTTGCAAGCTGTATTGGCTGCTATCCCTGTCATGGACGAGGATCTGGCGGAGAGTTATCTGCATCGTCTGCTATACCTCATGCCCTTAGTCAGAGAGGCTGCTAGAGAACATAATGACGATCTCACTGGTGCTGAAATTGCGAGATCTGTTGCCCTTTGCGAAAGTATGCTGCAGGTCCTTATTCAACAGAGAACTGTCCTTGGATCTGTCGTTGAAGGTCAAAAGACCTTGGAGACCCTGCTCATCCAAGCTCAGAACCTTTGGGGTAATGGCAAGCTTGAGTTTAGTGCTAAGAAGAAGCAGAGCTATGATGTTGTCACTGCTATTGCTTGCTTGCCTGTCATCATCAAGTCTGCTGCACGCATTGTTGCTTCCCAGGCTGAGCTCGGTACGCTTGGCTGCAGCGATGTTATCAAGACTTTGAATCAATGGGCCGTGAAGTTCGAAAGCTTCAAGACACAGTGGCAGAATCTTGCTGTTCTTCCTGCTGGTATTACCAGCGATCACCATACCAAGGTCATTACGGACAGCGAGATTGCTATGGGAGAACTGCATAACGAACTCACTGTTTGCATTGAACAGCATCCTTATCTCGGAGCTGCTCTCAGACAGCTTCAGCTCTGGGCAGAAGCCAGCGACAGCACTTCCAAGTCAAAGAAGATCTCACGCAAGACTTCTATCAAAATTCATGAGTTTGGACAAGCAGCCTGCGACTTGGTCGACTCTATCCTGGGTTCCGTCCAGGATATTGAGAAGCCGCTCAGCCAGCTTCCCGTGTCAGCGGAAGATCCCAACTGGGTCCTTCATGAGAGCCAGAATCTGTCTCTTGCAGCCAAGACTCTTCGTCTTCCTCACGTCACTACTCGTATGCAAGAGCTTATCCTGCAAGTATCTCAGCTTGATACCAATCTCGATGTTGCAGCTGCGGTTGTTCACTCTTTCGTTCCATTCATTGCTCAGTACAACAACCTTGCTGTCTATCTGTCTTCTCGTCTTGAGAATCTTCACGCAGCTCTTGGCCAAATGTCCTTCCGTCTTGCAAAGATCTTCGTTCAACTCTCCAAGGAGGGCTTCTGCACTCCTCCTGAGAAGTCAAATGATCAGAACAAGGGCGATGATAAACTCGAAGGCGGCACTGGTCTGGGTTCTGGAGAAGGCGCTGAGGATATCTCGAAAGATATCGAAGATGACGAGGACCTTGGCGAACTTGCACAAGAAAAGGACGACCGTGACGACAAGGATGAGATCGAAGACGAGAAAGATGCTGTCGATATGGGCGATCAAGAAATGGAAGGTCAAATGGGCGACGCAGAAGAAAAGGACGACGAAGAAGGAAGTGACAAGGAAGACGAAGGTGAAGACGAGATGGAAGATGAAGTTGGTGATGTCGATGATCTTGGCCCATCCACCGTCGACGAAAAGATGTGGGATGATGGTGGTAAAGACGAGGACAACAAGGACAAGGAAGGTGAAAACAATGCCGGCACTGAAGATCAGAATGAGATGACTGCTGCCGACGGTGAAGAGAAGGATGAAAAGGAGAAGAAAGAGAATGATGATGATGCTGAGGAAGAGGAGGATGAAGGCGAGCAGCAGGGTGCTGATGAGACTGAGAATGGTCCTCCTGACGAAAGCGAGAAAACCGATCCTCACCTGGAGGAGCAGGATAATCTTGACCTACCTGACGATATCGACATGGACGGCAAGTCTGAAGATGGCGATGAGTCGGGTATGGAAGACATGGGTGACCTTGATCCCATGGACCAGGACCTGCCTGAACCGGAAGGCGAACAAGAAGGCGAGATCGACGACCCAAGCAAGGAGGAAGATGTCTCACCTGAAGACGAAATTCCCGCCGACCTCGATGCTCAACAGGAGGAAGCCGACGAGAACGCTGACGAGGATGGTCAAGACAAGACCAACGAAGCCGGTGAAGATGCTGAGAAGCCTGAAGAGGAAGAAGAAGCCCAAGAGGATCAAGACATGCTCCAAGACAACCGCAAGGATGACACTAACGCTGCCGATGAGATTGCGCCCAGCGAAGCCCAAGGTGCCGGTCTCGATGACCAGGAACCTCAAGACGACAACAAAGACAACGACGCAGGTGCCGCCCAACGGGAGTCTGGCGAGCAAGGTGCCCAGCAAGAACAGCAACAGCAAGCAGGAGCCGAAGGCGAGCGAGGCGTCGCCGAAAACTCTGCCGCCGCCGCCAACGAGGAAAAGACCGAGGACAAGCAAGAGTCTCTTCCGTACAAGAAAATTGGCGATGCACTCGAGAAATGGTACAAGCAGCAGAAGCAGATCCAAGATGCTCAAGCCGACCAGGGGGAACGCAAAGAACAACCTCCGGCCGATGTCGACATGAACGATGCTGAGTTTGAGCATTTGCAGAATGAAGCCGAGGAATCTGATGCTCAGGCTCTTGGTGCCGCTAACGAGGATCAAGCCAAGGCTATTGATGAAGAGGCTGGCGTCTCGACCAATGACAAGGAACAGAGAGAGGACTTCATGCCTGAAGATGAAGAGGAAGGTGAAGCCTACCGTCCAGACGAGGATGTGGATATGGGCGACCGCGAGGAAGACGACAAGCAAGATCCCGAAGGCGGCGCCGACAACATTCCCAACGCCTTCGTCGGAGAAGCACAATCCCGCGAGGATGCCATCGATCAAGACGGCCCCGAAGCCCAAGAAGACAACGACGACGAGATTGAAGAAGTCGATCATCAACTCGAATCCGCTCACATCTCGTCCATGTCCGACTTGCCTTCCCTCTCTCTCGATGACGCCAGAGCACTCTACAACACCCACGAGTCCTCTACCCGTAACCTTTCCTTGTTGCTGGCCGAACACCTGCGCTTGCTGCTCACACCCACGCACGCCACAAAGATGCGTGGTGATTACCGCACCGGCAAGCGCCTGAACATCAAACGCATCATCCCTTACATCGCATCCTCGTACCGCCGCGACAAGATTTGGATGCGCCGCTCCGTGCCCTCGAAGCGCCAATACCAGATCATGCTCGCCATCGACGATTCGCAGTCGATGGCAGAGGGTGGAGCTCAAACCCTTGCCTTCGACACTATGGCCCTCCTCGCTCGTGCCCTCTCCATCCTCGAAGCCGGCGAATTGTGCATCCTCGGTTTCGGTGAGGGTGTCAGCGTCAAATTGCCTTTCGAGACACCATTCACAGCCGAAGCTGGCGCGAACGTGATCAGAGGGTTCAACTTTGAGCAAACGAGGACGAATGTCAAGACACTTGTTGCTGAGTCGCTTGAGCTGTTCAGGGCGGCTAGACTCAGGGCTCAAGGTGCGAGCTCAGAGTTGTGGCAGTTGCAGTTGATTGTCAGTGATGGTGTGTGCGAGGACCACAATGGTATCAGGTCGCTGGTTAGGCAAGCGCATGAAGAGAGGATTATGATGGTATTCGTCATTGTTGATGCCACCGCCACTGCACCCTCTTACTCAGCCGCACCTTCTACTGCTGTTTCAGGCACTGCTACTCCTGCTGCCCTCTCCACCGCTGATCCTGCTGGAACTCAAGCACAGGCGAAGACAAAGAAGCCGAGCAGTATCTTGGACCTTCAAACCGCTGAATTCGTCAAAGATCCCAATACTGGAGAGATGAGCGTGAGGACGGTCAAGTATTTGGACTCGTTCCCCTTTGGATATTATTTGGTGGTCAGGGATGTTAGGGAGTTGCCTGGTGTGCTTGCTGGTGCGTTGAGGCAGTGGTTTGCTGAGGTTGTTGAGACTCAGGGATAGATATGAGAGAGAAGCGTGTAGGGAGGACGAACGGGGAAGGATGTTTCTCTGTGTTGGGGGAGTTCTGGTTGTTTGTGGTTTTGGTATGTAAAAGTGCTCGATTTGTTTTACAGAATATTTGTGTGTCCCATTGTGAAGCTCAATATGTGTGCAGTGAAAACTCTCGATCAGGTCACGCTGGAAAAATCTTCATCAAGTTGATTGACATAATGCTGTAGACTCAAGAAGTCAGTATCCAGTCAACAATGACTCGAGCACGATTCTCGCACGTGAAAAATGGATATAATTGTGTATCACCAGTCCGACGTCATAGTGACTTCCTTCGTGGATATCCACGGAACATGATGGTACAAAACTCCACCTCTTCAGCACTTTCTCTGCTCTCACCGTCTGCACAGCCTATAAAATTTCACACCTATTCTCTATTGATTGAAACCAATCACAAATCATCGTCACAAAAACACCAACCATGGCTTCCCCACAAAAAGTCCTCATCATCCTCTCAGATGCCGACCACTTCGACATGAAAAAGACCTCGGGCGCAGATGCCGGAAAAACAGTCTCTCAACCATCCGGTTTCTTCATGATGGAACTCGCAAAACCTCTCTCTGCCCTCCTCGACTCCGGCTACGAAGTCACCTTCGCAACACCCGAAGGCAAAGAACCCGTCCCTGATCCTCTGAGCACCTCTCTTCTCGCCTTTGCCGGAAACTTCTACGAGCGACGCCGCGAGACTGAACTGCTTGAGCGCATGAAGAAGGAAAATGGATTTTCTTCGCCGAGGAAATTCAGAGATATCAAGGATGAGGAATTGGAGCAGTTTTCTGGTGTTTTCATCCCTGGTGGCCATGCGCCTTTGACGGATCTGGGCGATAACAAGGATTTGGGAAGGATTCTTGAACACTTCCACAATAAGCAGAAACCCACTGCTACCATCTGTCATGGACCTTGGGCTTTCCTGTCCACCAAGGTATCGAGTGGGAAGTTCATCTACGCTGGCTACAAACTCACTTGTTGGTCTGATATGGAGGAGTCAATGATGGAGACGATATTGGGTGCGGAGATTCCCAAGGTGGAAAGCGCATTGAGGGCGGAAGGTGCTGACATGGTGGAGGGTGCAGCTCAGAAGGTTGGATATATCACTGTGGACCGTGAGGTTATCAGTGGTGATAACCCTATGGCTGCCAACGCTATGGCAGACAAGTTTATCCAAATGATGAAGGCTTAGGACAGAGAAGTCTTTATGATTCAATGACCACAAATATCGAAAATGACTACACAAACCATGTAAACACACTTCTTGTTGTCAATCCCGTCCATCGACGTTGCTCTCGCAGACCATGTCGACCTTTTAGTCGACGATATGAGGATCACGTACGCTCGTTTGATGTTAATGATGAGATCGATGATTGTTCCAAGAATGCCTAGGTCTTGGGTGAACAAGCAGAAGAAGCAGAAGGCTGCGGCTCTTGGAACTCTGGAGGAATCCTTCGAAGCTCGCAGAGTCTTGGTCAAACCGGAAAAGATCGGCGAGTGACGACGACATTTACGAATAGGAGCCTCACCGCGAAAAGGAACCAACCACTTTGCTTGCCTATACCATGTCCAAGATACTGTAAACTATCGCACGCTTGGAGATATAAGCGCTGAGCGGTATAGTTGGCGGCCGTCCTATGCAGAGAGGTCGTAGTGATGGTAGGAATGAAGGACAAGCAAACCTCGACGAAGTATAAGCAGCGTCGGATATACACGTCGCACATTCATTTCACGATCCAGCAACCCATGGTTGCGATTTAGCGATCGCATCGTTATACACAGCCTCTCTCGATCTTATGGATGCGATGGTATCACTAAGAAGTACATTCATAAAAGTAGCAGATGCGTTTTAGAGTTCTGATACTCCAGGCACAAGAACACGCTATACCGCTTTCGGCTCTGACTGCGATATGAATCCTTCTCGCACTGCGAGGTCCAAAGGAGTTGTATACAAAGAACATGGTGACGCAGCATTCTCTTGAAGAGTCGAGGGAATATATAAGGAACACCGTAGTCGCTACTGATGTTGAACTATCAATTGTTACCCCATCTCACGTATCAAATCACACTTGACGTCGCATCACTGCAGAAATCAGATTACGATGCCTCCACCACCATACATCCCACCTTGTGCCCCTTACGGCTCGTATCCATCAAGCTATGGGTACCAACCATCTCTCGCTGCAGGAATCTTCTTCAGCATCTGCTTCGGTCTCTACACTTTTTCAAACATCCTTCAAACCTTCCGCACCCGCTGCTGGTGGATGGGTCTCTTTTTCAGCTGCGGAACCATTCTTGAGCTCGTCGGCTGGATCGGTCGCACCGTCGCACACTCCTGCTCTTTCTCGGGCGAGGTCAACACCATGCAGATCGCCTCGCTGATCATGGGACCTGCATACACGCAAAGTGGTGTTTACATTGCGCTGTGGATGATCATCAAAGTGCTGGGTACGAAAGTGTCGCCGGTGCCGCCGAAGCTCTACTTGTTTGTGATTTTCGGTGTCGATTGTGTGTGTCTTAGTTTGCAAGCCATCGGTGGTGGTCTGGCTGGTGCTGCTTTCGATCAGGGTACAAGCACCGCTCCTGGCACGGCTATCATGGTTGTCGGCATCATTGCTCAACTCGTCTCTGGGATGGTCTTCGCTGGATTCTTGTGTATCGTCTTTCCGCGAGGAGCGTCGCGAATCAAAGAGAACCATTCGCTACTGCTGGCGTGTACAGCTATTGTCATCAGCACTACTATGATGAACCTGAGAGGCTTCTACCGTTCCATCGAGTTGTGTCAAGGTTGGAGGGGTCCACTTATTACACAGCAGGGATACGTTATTGGGTTGGACGCGGCACCCATGCTTGTGGCTATGGGTGTGTTGGCGGTGTTGAACCCTTGTGTGCTTTTGCGCCGAGTGGAAAGGGAGCAGGCTGTTGGAGAGGGTATCAACCCAATCGACGCGGAGAAAGGAATATCGAAGAGATTAGACTCTGATGTCGAGACTTGAGACTCGAGGAAGTGAAGTGTTCCTGCGTGCCGTGCGAGGGGTCATTATAGATGAATTTGATGATAGAATGAGCAAGTTTGAGAGTCAACGGAGAACTATCTGCAAAATTCTGCTCATGTGTTATGATAAACTTTGTTGGGCTCACCACGCACTTTGTATGATGCACTTCATCATCAACAGTCAAGTTTGTAAGAGAGCACGATACCATACCAAGCAGAAAAACCACCATGGCCACCCCAAGGAGATCACATTCACCTCTTGTAGGCAAGAAGCCACTGCTGTCAGTCGACTGGGTGGTCAGATGTGCATTGAACAGCATCGCAAAGATTTTCACCTACAGAAACATCAGTGGCAGAAGTATTCCGAACTCCGAGATTGATATCGAGATGCAAGCGGTCGTTGTAGACCCAAATGGCCATGACGACGGCGACAGCGAGCCCACGCTCGACCTGAGAAGAGATCTAGAGAGCCAAGCGGACGCCGTTCTGAGACGTAAGGTCGGTCATGTTACACGCTGCGTCTGAATCATGCACTCACGGCCATACCAGATCTTTTGAGTACCAAAATCTGGAGAGGCAGTTGGAACTGAACGCACTTCGCCATGAATCATCCTCAGCATCGAACCGGACCAGCGGTTGAACGAACCGCGAGCGAGACTCTTCTCGCACGATCTGCGAAGGCTGGGGGATGCAAAGATTCGAGGCAGGGACGCCAGCCAGGCACAGAACGAAGCTTCGCAAGGAGAGTTCGGGAGTCGGGATTCTGCTTCGACCGGCATCGGACGCGTCACCAATAGGTCGTAGCATACAGATTCGCAATAGAAAGAGATGGTTGTGAGAAGCACAATCTGAAGCACAGTGGCTTTCTGTTTGGTTCAGAAGCGGATTGAATGTTTTACGTGCCGTGGTGCATTCGTGCTACATGCTGAAGCCGAGACCGGAGGCGGACGCCGACAGCGTAGATCCTCGTAGATTTACCGCCTTACCAAAGCGAGGGGTCAGGGATGATGCGCCAACGCAACAAGAACACCTGGAACATGAGGAGCATGTACGAGCCTGCGAGGGAGCTCCAGGTGTTGTGCCTGGCCTGCTTCTGACCCTGCTCGTGGCGCTAAGGGCGTGTGTTGCCTGGCCCGTCCTTGGGGATCCATTCGCTGATGCAGCTAACGGCCGGAAGTTGGTGAGCGCCCGTACGCGCCATCAACCGCATCAAGACCGACTTGATCTTTCTGTTCGGTTGAGCTTCACAAGACAGAGTAGAAGCCAAGACCAGGTCTACGAGATTGCCAGAGGTAAAGGTGCAGAGATCCGAGGCAAGAATGACATACAGCGAGACGGTGGAATGGCTCGATGCCTTGTCGGAGCGCTTCGGCTCCTGACTGGCGACGCTCCCGCCCGCAGAGAAGAAGCCACTCCCGGGCCGTGCCTGCCTGCGACCAAAACAAGGCCGACCCCCGCCGTCGCTTTCCCTCTCGCTCGCCTTTTTCATCTCACCTGCCGCCCTGTATTCATCCTTCTAACTTTGTCAACGATAATCGTATACCCATCGATAAATGGAAGCATACTCGAACCCGTCATCGGATGATAGCCGTAGATTCGCTCAAGGACTTCCCATCGGTACGTGGTAATTGCCATCTACCGTCGCATCAGGAATCGAAGCTTATACTCTCTTTAGCCGCCGAACAGAACAATTCACACAAGCCTTCATCGCAAATCAAAGACAATACCATGGCAGACGTTCGTAGCAGTCCGCGTGAAAGTCACACTGGCGCCGAGATGAACGGTGAAACCCGCCCTCAAGTGCCAACTTGGTCGGTGGCCAACGCAAAGGAGGCAAAACCTCCGTCCGAGCCTGAGGGCCGAACGACGGGTCCCAGGATCGACGTGGATCCTTCTAACGGAAGTCACACTGCTTCGGCCGATGCTGATGCACAATCTGATATCGACGAACTGCTTACTGGAGGTGACGCTGAGCCTGAGCCCCCTCGCTATGATGGGGACTTTGACATCGAGAGGCACGACTACTGGTGGAATCTGCTTGACATGGACAATCCTCGACATGCCAGAGCTTCCAAGGGCATGCGCTATGGCCAAGAACGCAATCCTAGATGTGATACCTGCGAAAGACAAAACAGAGCTTGTATGACGCGGCCCAACAGTCATGACAAGACTGGATGTGTTCGATGTTCATACACACAGAGCGGGTGCTCACACGCTAGAGAAGCCAGAGAGTCTCACGTAAGTCCGGAGTATCATAAAATCGATGAACAACAGCTGACATCCTCATAGCAACAGCGGACTGGTTTCCCGCTTCTTAAGATTGCTGGCGCCCGCAAACGTGATGACCTGGACGACGATGACTCTCGCAGCCCTCCGCTTGAGCTTGCAGCAAAGCGAGCGCGTCTCTCAAGTTACAGCGGAGCTTTCCCAGAAGCAGGCAGAAATTTGAATGCTACTCCATCGCGACCTACCTTCGATGCCCCTATCTCCGTCAATGGACGACATTATTCTCCGGTCCATGTACCAGGGTCAGCGGCCGAGAGAGAACCAAGCGGTGTCAATGGTGACAGTGCACGATCAACTCGACCGGACGCCGACAACCGCCAGTACTACGATACGCATAACGAACTGTCTCGACATGATGACAGGTATCAGAATCACGACCGTTACGAAGTCTCTGCTCGTGATATGAACAATTTGTTCAGCCTGGTTGATAAGCTCCAGCGGGAAGTCAGAACACTTCGCAGTAAGCTGGATGGAGTCGAGGCCCGTGTAGACACTATCAGTGGAGCTGTTGATATCTACAGGCCGTAGGAAAGTCGGGATTGTTGTTGGAATGATGAGGAGCTTGCAAAGCTCACACTTGCTATGATATGGGGAGAGGATGTGCACGCGTACACTCATGGCTAATGTTAACGATCGGATTGCGAGGCATTACAAACGGAGTCAAGGGGTTTCATATGAAATACGCACACGAAGTTGGCGGGGTTTTATTCGCTTGTGATAGAGGAAGCCGTAGCTCGACCTGATGAACATTGTCCTTATGGGAACTCAAAATGTATCAACAGACGGTCACTCATAACCACACTGCTGTAGCAGCGGCCAGAGTTTTGCCATCTTCTCCTATCAACTGTGTCCGTGCGATTTCCGTGATCTGCTTGCCATCGAAAGCCAGCATGAACACATACCCCTCCTGACTGTCCGTCATAGCCAGGTACTCTGCTTCTTGGCCCTCAACCATCGGCGCAGGTTCGATAGCATTAGCGATGCCACCGCTCGTCGCAGTCTCAAAGATATCAAAAGCCTCTCCCTGCACCAAGCCATTTTCGTCCAGCCCAAACACCGCCACGTAACCTTTCGTCTCTTTCTCTAAACCGCGCGTTGACGTATATAGATATCTCGGTGGGCCAGAAGCAGGTCTACTCAGCCTCACTTCGTCGGCCCAGTAATTCTTTTCATCCTTGTTCCTCGGGATAATTCTTGCACCAGATATGAGGTTCAGGCTTGTTTTGTTCGAGATTGATAGTGTATCCACATAACAACTGTGTTCCTGCACCGAATAGAGTATTTTGCCATTCGGATGCGGCCAAGTATGTCTAGGTCCGTCGTTTTCCCTGCTCGCGGTCCACTTCTGGCGATTTTCTAGTTTTCCTGGTTGTTGAGAGGTTGAGGAAACATTGTAGCTCCAGACACAATTGTGTCCGATATCCGCAATGAAGAGTTGGTTCCCAGAAGCAGAGAGATCAACAGAGTGAGCACCATGTCTCAAACCTCCGAAATCTCCGTGTTTGACTCCAGATCTAGCTCCGTCGTTTTCGCTGCCGCCTTGATCTCGGAACTCTAGGGTTTGGATGAAGGGACCGATGCTACCGTCAGGGGCCAAGGAAAACACTTCGCCAGTGGGTCCGCCGGCTGAGTAGAGGGTTGTGGGTGATGAGCATACGTAGCCACTCATTGCGCGTACGGGTTGAGAGTTTAAGAATGTTAGGGTGTGATCAGGTTCAATGCGGTAGGAAGCTACAGCAGGTGGTGAGGCCCATACTGTGGTGTAGAGGCGTGTTTTGTCGGCGGATAGAGAGAGCCATGAGTGTCCACCTATGGCTTCGGAAGTGTGCTGTACGTCCAATTTGCATTTCGAAGTGTCCTTGCTCGGTGTGAAGCGTAACGTGAACAGTTTCGGCGTGTAGAACGTGCCGACCAGAAAATCCATGTTTGGTTACGATCCAAGTATATGCTATTTTCCCGGGTTGAGATGAAGCGACAAAGGAAGCAATCGACAAATGTTTGAAGGATGTCGTGCGAGCGACGGGTATTATCAAAGAAAACAGGTGGTGGCATACTTTTTCGGAAGTAGATCATTGCCCGAAGTGCAGCTTCCGAGGAAGGGCTGGAAGCGGCTTCGCGGTAAAGTTCAGCCCCCGAACGGCTCCTACGAATCAAAGATTGGTATGAAACAAACCATAACGAATCGCATATCTTGACTGTGGGCAGGGTATATTTCTGGAAAGCTTTGGTGATCCAAGCCTCCTTCCAGGAGCTGTTGCGACTCAACTTTTGCTCGCTGGTCGTGGGGATACTGACGGCCCCTCAAGCTGTGCGAGATTCTGCATGGCATTGTGATGCGTGCCGTCCCGAGTACAAGGTCCTCGAATCAACCTGGAGGTTTCTCCGACACTTGCAGCATCTGAGCTTGCAGTTCGATGCTTTGACGACTTTCAGATCGGCAGTTGGACTGCGATTTTTTCGAGATTCCCGTATCCGCGAGCACCTTCCTGTTCGGGTTATCACACTGCAGTCCAAGTTCAAAATCCAGAGGCTGGATGCTGGCAACTGTAGGCGTGCTCCGTCGTTCGGCATCTCGTCTCGACGCAGTTGATCGGGCCTCCGCTGAGGATCCATGTTGAACCGCAGGGCTGTGGCAGGACAGAGGACTAGGATGCGGCAATCAGGGCGGAAAAGGACAGCTTATCAGTCACTGGTGCCGGCATGCCTCTTGATGTTGCGCTGTCTGCGAGCCTCCTTATCGGCTCCCCGAGCCTGGTTCATGCTGCCGCCCATGCTCGACTCCTCAGTGATTCTTTTCTCCAAGCCATCTTCGGTGACTTCATCCAGAAGGAAGCGCCCCCATAGACCGTTTCTCCATCGTTGGATCATCCAGAGAGCTGTAGCCTCAGTATCTGGCTCGCCACCCTTTTGCAAGCGACCAGTCTTGTTTGCGATGGCGTTAAGCAACTCGATGATATCGTTGGTGGGCGGACAGTACTCTTTGTAGAGTCTAGGGTCGATGAGGTTGACACGATAGAGGAGGTAGTCGGCCAGAGTAGCAGGCGGGATGATGGTGTCTTTGACGTTGCCGCAGAGAGCGAGTTTCAGCATGGCTTCGGCATCCGGCACGTATGGGATAAAAACACCGGGAGTGTCGAGCAGGTAAACGCCCTCGCCATCTTCGGTGCTGTCGATGATCTTGACGCTTGTTGAAATCTTGCGTGTTACTCCGGGCTGTGCGCCTGTGTGTGCAGCTTTTCCCTTTCCAACTCCTTCTTTCCGTAGTGCGTTGAGCAGAGATGACTTTCCGACATTGGGCATGCCTACGACCATGATGCGGGATCCCGTCAAGGAAGTGCTGTTCTCGAAGTAGCGACGGGCGAAGTCCAGAACTTTGCGGATGTCTTTCTTGTCTTTGTGGTCAGAGAACAAGACCTCCGAGGGCTTGTGCCATTTGCGGATAATGTCCTCTCGCTATGTCATCGTGTCAGAGGAGGTCAGGTAGACGGCGATTGATAGACTTACCTCTCTGTCAATAGGCTTGTTGCGGCTACCCAAGTCACGCTTGGTGTAGATAATGATGCGCTCGCGACCTGCTAGACTCTGTTCGAACAAAGGGTTACGAGAGGTTAGTGGCACTCTGTAGTCACGGCACTCGACGATCAGGTCAATTTGCGACAGCATAGTGTTCATCTTGGACAATCCTGCAGCATGATGACCCAAGAAGTACGATCTAGGGAGAGACTCGACTGGCGGAAACACCGCTCGCGCTACAAATTTTGCTGCCATCTTGTTGCGATGGACTGTTCTTGTCTCTGGCAAGTCTCAAATCTTTCCGCTATTTGTCGCGTCTCAGAAATGTTTCCGGCTCGGAGAAGCTTGAGCCGAGCAGCGCGTCACCGCCTTGGACATCTGAATCCTTCCAACACTCTTCCCTACTGACACCATCCTATCTTGTATAAGAGACATGTGTTGCAACAATGACAATTATGATCTTGTTGGCGAGATTCAGAAACACGGTACTGGATGACTGCCTATGATAGCGCATAGACCTTTCTCAGATTCATAGACACGCTTGGCCACCACGTGTTGTGATAACTAACAGTTTATATTCGACATGTTTTCGGCACATTGGACGGCTTCTTCCCCTCCAGCACAGCCTGCTGCGGAGGAAGCATCAGATCCAATGCCGAAGTCGACTTTGCAGCTTGCATCTCTACCTCCCATATTCGTTTCGGAGTCCCACTTGGATACCTGCGAGTTACACGAAATCGAAGATGATGTTGTCGAAGTTGGTGGCTTACTCTCCTATGACTTGAAAGAAGCACAGATTGTTCTGACCAAGGCTGAACGGACGCGACGTATCCAACTGGACTTGAGATCAAAAGGATGCCATACCGAAGAGGTCGAGATTGTCAAGGATGCCAGTGCTTTGGAAATCACGTCTGGGGAGCCTGGTGCTAAGAGACAAAAGCTCTCACAAGCAAACAGCATTGGCAAGGGCGAAGCAGCAGACACGGCCATTGACGACGTTAGCACCGAATCGGACACCGAGGACGAGTCTACGCCTATCAAGCGCAAGCGTAAGCATTCACCAGTCAATCGAGATCCCAACGCAGGATACTTCTCCAATCCTTATATCAAAGTTTTGAGGCTACAGTGGTTCGTCGACTCTCGAAGACAGGGCGCTGTCCTGCCCATTGAACCATATCTTCTCTATCAAGGTCGCCGTGTGGAAAAGCCCGAGAACACAAAGACTCCCATCAAAGCCTCCAGCTTCTCAGCTCAGACCAAGACACCACAATCGATTTTGAAACGAGCAAGAGCAGATGCCGAGACAAACATATCCTCGCCAGTTCAGCAGCGTAGTAATCGGAAGTTAGGTCAGATCGGCGGAGGTAGAGTCTCTGCACCTTTCCAACCTACACCGCATACCAAAAGGGCTCACTTGTTGCAACAAACAACCTCAGAACATGACCTAGGCCAGTCGAGCGACCTGCCTGAGCTTCCACCATGGGTTCGGAATGACGTCAAGTACGCTTGCCAACGTTCAACTCCAGCTGACCCGCCAAATACACTCTTCATCGCTCAACTCGAGAAGATCAAGTTGGCTCGATTGCTCACGGGTGATGAGATAGGTGTGCGAGCCTACAGTACCAGCATTGCTTCGATAGCCGCCTACCCATACAAGCTCACATCTGCCCGAGAAATCTTACAACTGCCTGGTTGCGATGCCAAGATAGCGAATCTCTGGGTCGAATATGCAAACTATGGCAAAATCGAAGAGGCAGAAAAGGCTGCGAATGATGATGAACTCAAGGTCCAGAGGCTCTTCTACAACATATGGGGTGTTGGATCTACAACGGCAAGAGACTTCTACAAGGAAAAAGGATGGAGAGATCTGGATGATGTGGTCGAGTACGGCTGGAGCACCTTGACTCGAGTCCAGCAAATTGGTGTCAAGTTCTACGACGAATTCTTGCTACCTATACCGCGTTCTGAAGTTGACGACATCGCATCTACCATCCACAAACATGCCGTCAAGGTTCGTGACAAGGGCATGCAGAGTCTAGTGGTTGGCGGGTATCGGCGAGGCAAAGAAAATTGTGGAGATGTGGATATTATCCTATCTCACCCAGATGAAGACAAGACTCTGAACATCATCACGGATATTGTGGCGAGTCTGGAGACAGAGGGATGGATCACACATACTCTACTGATCAGCACGACGACTAGTAATCGTTCGCAGCAGACACTTCCTCTCAACTCGTCGTCATCTCATGGACATGGGTTCGATTCATTGGACAAGGCGCTCGTGGTCTGGCAGGATGCCAGCTTTGACTCGGGCCCCTCTGACACCAAAAAGAAGAATCCAAACCCTCATCGCCGGGTGGACATCATCATCGCGCCTTGGAAAACGGTTGGTTGTGCAGTCATGGGATGGTCGGGAGGTACGACTTTCCAACGCGATCTACGTCGCTACGTCCGACAGACGTACAATTACAAGTTTGACTCTTCTGGAGTCAGAGATAGGAGGACGGGAGATGTTGTTGACGTTGATGGGACGGCAGACACGATGGAACAGGCAGAGAAGAATGTGTTTGGTGCATTGGGATTGGAGTACAGAGAGCCTTGGGAGAGATGCACTGGATGATTGCAGACTTCAGACAATAATTCAGCAAAAGAAACAAATGATCCTCACATCAATATGGTATTACTACATGCATAGTCAGCAGTATGAATTGTAAAAGAGTGGAATGTGGGATAGAGTGTGGCTGGCAGTTGAGCAAGTGTGGCTGACGTCACAGTATGTCATGGGAATAAGGCACGCGGAGCATTTGTGAACCTTCGCAACCACAAAACCAGGAGCATCAGCACCCCTCTGTTCTACTCGAAACACTCACATTCCTCTCGAGAAACAGCGATCATGACAGCACAAGACAAAGTCAAGGAGACAGTCCGCGAGGAAGCGCAGAGAGTGGCCGGGTTGGCACAAGATGCTGCTCAATCTGGAGCCTACCTCTATCCCATCAGGGTAACATCATGTCAATGACCATCTTTTGACCAAGCTGACATGTATCCAGGGTATCTTCTACTTCCTGTCGAAGCGCGAGCTCTGGAAGCCCCTCGTCTCCAAGCTGATCCCCACCATCGCTCTCGGCATCACCACACTCGCCGGTGTCTTCTTCTTCGGTTACCTCCCTCAAGCCGCCGTCCTTGCCGTCTTTAACGGCCCCTTGGCCGCAGTCAATGCCGCTCTGTTGTGTCTCAACGAGAGCAGCACCATCTTCAACACCCTCTCCAAGACATTCCTGGTCGAGGAAAGCCTGATCGACACCTTCGACGGCACTCTCGTCGCAAAGGGCGAGGCCGAGCTCGTGTCCAAGGAGCGCAAGGTCGGTCGCGGCGGTGATGCCATTGGCCGTCTGGGCAAACTGGTCACCAAGCCATTCGCCAAATTCGCTCCCAGCGCCATCATCAGATACGTCATGTACCTGCCGCTCAACTTCATCCCCATCGTCGGAACCGCCATGTTCATCCTGCTCCAAGGCAAGCGCGCTGGACCCGCTGCTCACTCTAGATACTTCCAGCTCAAGGGTATGAACAAGGCTCGTCAAGAGGAGTGGATTGAAAAGAGACAGGGCGCATACACCGGCTTCGGCACCGTTGCTACCCTGCTTGAGCTGGTCCCCATCGCTGGCGTCTTCTTCGCTTTCACCAACACCACTGGTGCCGCTCTCTGGGCTGCCGATCTCGAATCTAGAAGCAACGAGAATCAGTCCACTGCTCAGCTCAGAGATCAGTCGAAGAAGGCACGTTGAAGAAACCTTCACGGTCTCTTGTCGTCTTGGTAGTGCCGTCTTATCGCTCAACGACAGATATGACACGATAACAACAGAACATGTCAGCTCTTAGAACCAATCCACGGCTACCTATCCAAAATATCATATTCCATGCTTCGTCACTGTACCTTGCCCTGTCGCTTGAGTGAACCTTGGGTGTGCCGACTGCGGATCATCATTCGCCAAGCTGTCCCCACCATGCGGTTCGGTTGGCCTCACCCCCGCTCCGACCTCTCTCCGCCTTGTGTTTCATCGATCCGGCATCATCATCGCTGTATTGCTACAGGCGGCTGAATGCATCATGTCCACAGCAATATGCGCCAGCTTGCTAGCCACAATAAGCGCGACTGAGTGTCCAAGGTAGCATGTGCCCGCACAATATAAGTAGCTAGGTGACACCGCATCACTCCTCTCTGATTGACCCCTTCTCTTCCAACAATATTCTCCATTTGCCTGTGAAGATGCTTGTCCGCTCACTACAGCTTTTTACTGCGGCATCTCTGACTGCTGCCACCAACCTCTTTGTCTCGGACTACTCTGGCAATGTCACAACACTGTCCCTGACCGAGCACGGCGGCCACTACTCCCTAACCAAAACTTCCGCCAACTCCGGCTGTGCTCCGAACCCCTCATGGCTTACTCTCGATCCCAATCACGCCACTTTATACTGTCTTGATGAAGGCCTCGAAGTCACCAATGGCTCCCTTACCTCCTTCACCATCGGCGACGACGGCAGCCTCACCAAAGTTCACCGCGAAGAAACAATCAACGGCCCTGTCAGCGGCGTCATCTACGGCAACCCTGCCCAGAAGCGCAATATCGCATTGGCACACTACGTCGGCAGTGCGTTGAGCATCTGGAACTTGGACGTCAATCGTACGGGCAGCTTTGCTCTCGAGCAAAACATCGTCTTCAACCTCACCAAGCCCGGCCCCAATGCCGAGAGGCAAGAAGCCCCTCACGAGCACGAAGCTGTTCTGGACCCCACTGGCGAGTTTCTAGTCGTGCCCGACTTGGGAGCAGATCTCGTCCGCATCTTTTCTTTTGATCCCGAGACTGGCAGACTAAGTGCTGAGAAACCATTGGCTGTGCTTCCTGGCTCTGGACCCCGCCATGTGGTCTTCTATCAACCTTATGGTGTAGTCAGCAAAACAGGAACTAGCTTCATGTTTTTGGTGTCCGAGTTGGGGAATACGGTTACTTCATTTGCGGTCTCGTATCCTTCTGCGGGAGGCATGAAGTTCAAGCAAGTCTACAACACTACTTCGTACGGCGATCTCGTTGTCCCTGACGGCAATGCCGCGGCTGAAATCGCCATTTCCGTGAGTCTCTCATTCCTCAACTCTGTGTCTACCACTATACTAATTGTCGCAATCACAGCCCGACAACCGCTTCCTCATCGTCTCGAACCGCAACAACACCTCCTTCGACATCCCAAACCCCAACCCCCACAACAGCACTTCCATCCCCTCAGACTCTCTCTCCACCTTCTCGCTCCAAAAAGATGGATCACTCAAGCACATCCAACTCTGGCCTGCAGGAGGAATGTTCCCGAGACACTTTTCGCTATCACCCAGTGGAGATTTGGTGGCTGTGGGTCTGCAGTACGATAAAGAGGTTGTGGTGTTTGAGAGGGATGTCGCATTGGGCACGGTGGGTAAGCCTGTGGCGAGGTGGGTGGGTGGTGGCAATGTCACTTGTGTTGTTTGGGAGGAGTAGGGGAGGGTTTTCGCTGGGGCCAAAACGTGTCGTTGAACGGGAGCTTTCCACAAGTAACATTGAAGTAGAATTGAAATCACTTGCTTAGTCTCTACAAACTGTTATTGGTGCTCAGAAAATGTGTTTTTCTAGTGCAATGGATTGGAACGAACCATTACACACTATGCTGTTCCAAGCAGATTTTCAACTTGTCGGATTACAGATGGTTTCAATCAAGCCCGAGAGCCGAAGGGAGCGTGCAGGACCGGGTCCAGGTCAGAGAACGCGGTTGCATATCTCTAGAGGATGACGAGAAAACAACGGTCGATTTGCAGAGACTACGAACCGCCTTCGATGAAGACATAGGAGCTGGATAGAGTCTCGAGAATCGGGCTAGAGAATAAATATCACTTCACAACCCTATCTCAAAGACGACGTGAAGGATTGATCAGTTTGCGGGAAATACCGAGCTCCATCAACGATATTGAGAAGGATGCTGAGCACTGATGACCGGGTCGGAGGTCGATGACGCTTTCCAGTTCATGTCGATTTGTATCACCAAGTCAGAGGAGAACAGTACTTCGGAACTCTTCAAAAGATGTGAGAAGAGTCGGCATGCAAGAAGTATCGAACTTTTTGAATCAGATGGAGCATCGATGACCAGGTCAAACGCTGAACGTGCTTCGCAATCCTTGCAAAAGGCGACTACAAGTAACCGTCGAGTTGCAAGAACAACCAATCACCCGAGAGAACATTTCAAAGCCGGGTATACCGACGATTACCGGGTTTAAGGTATATTGGACATTGAGCAAAACTATTCAGAGGTAGCAAACTCCAACCGTTGGCATGCAGAGGCTGTCAATCGCCTTTGACAGGACCCGACAGCTTTATCAGAGCATCGATGACCGGGCTAGAGGCGGAACGTATTGAGTTCCATCTTTGAAAGGCGGCGAGAACGGCGTCGGTACGCAGAAAGGTTCATCTGAAGACGTGTGACCGACGAAATCAGTAGCATCAAACACATGGCGACGAAGACCCGGTTCGGGCGTAGTGCAAAGGCCCAATGCCGCTGTGACCATCGAACGGGCAGGAACGAGACATCTGATCATTGCGCTTCCTCGTCTTCTGCATGAGCTGTTGTTCTCAAGGTTGGTGGACGAGGTACTGGGGAGACGGCAGATTATGCACTCAATTGATGAAGCAAAATCCGACACTGGCGGTGAAAGATCATGATAAGTATCATAACTCTTATTCCGTTGGGTGATAATCTTCCACTACTTGATCTGCTGCTCCCCGAATACTTGCAGAGCAGATGGCGAGAGATCGATCGTCTTGTCCAAACCAGACACGAACAAAGCATCCAATCTTAACAAGGCCAAGTTCAACAGATCGCCACTGCGAGACTTGATACGCAGCAGACTCCTCCATGAGTTGAGCAGATCCAAACATTCTTTTGCATCTGTAGAGTTTGGCGAAGTGACAAACAGCAGGAGCATGAAGTTGCTTGCTATCATAAAGTTCGTGCGTGAATCTGTTTCACAAATCAGTTTTGAGCTCAATCGGTAGTAAGTCACGGGTGGAATGCTTACATGATGGCCAGTAGGCTTCCATATGATTGGTATCTAGACTCTCAACAAATTCGAAGAGATCTTTTCCCATGCTTATCGCACCAGTTCGCAAGGCGGTGGTTGCGTAATTGTCGGGCTCGCTTTCTGGACGCAGCATAGCCCGGAACAATTGAATCTTTGCTGTGATGTAGGCTAGATGCAGTCCACCCTGTGCGTTGAGGCCCTGTCCGTAGCTAGCTTTGACCGTCGGTAGAAGGTTTGGCGGTAGTTCCTGGTACCATTGGCTTAATCGTACACGTAAAGGTCTGGCTACTTCAAGCGTCATGTCGAGAGAAGTACAGAGCTTTCTAGCTGCTTTGATCGAAAACAGACTTCGTAGGATGTCGTCCACGATCTCTGTCAATGCGGCCAGTTGGATGAAGTGTTCCGAGTAAACACGATCGTCGCTACCGTCAGCGAGCTCGAAGTCGTCTTGTGTCAGTGGGTTGACGTCCCAGTCGTCAGACATAAGGTGCGAGCTTCTACCAGTGTTTAGAGCAATCCATTTCTCTTGAACAAAGACCGCCCAGGATAATCTTCGTCTCAGTCTTTGCTCCCATAGAGGTAGTGGCCAGTCGCTCGGATCCAGATTGAGACCTAATGACTGTGCTATCGATACAGCGTCGGTCATCATTGTCCATTTGAATGGCGTATCGGCCACATGCTTATTGGTTGGTCTCCTCTGCACAAGGAGGAGAAGTGTTTGGACAACGGACAGCGAAGGCGTGTGGTAATTCGGTTGCACAGCAGACCAGGCGATGCGGAAAAGCGAGTCGGCAGATGGTGGGGTATAGACCTCGAGACAAAGTTGATCGTCAAAGGTACAGTATGGCAATGCATGTCCATATACTGCAGCGAGCAGCCAGGTGGGCATCGTTCCTGGACTATAGTCGCCGTTGTCTAGACTACGCTCTCGAGATAAGACTGGGAAATATGGCTGAACAAAACGGAAGAACCTGCATCATCAGTATGCGAGTCACATGGATCCAGGTGCTTCGGAATCTTACAATTTGATAAGTCTTCTTCCATGATCATTGCTGATCATCTGGTCAAGCTCCAATCTTAGACTCTCCAGATGGTCGAGGCTCTCTGCAGGTTCGGCTCTGGCAGTAGTCTTGTTCTGCTGGATGAGGAAATGAACAGGGATTTTATCATTCTCTCCTACTCTCCGTATGCGGCGCGTCCTAGAGATACATTCGTTGTTCCCGTCATATCGATATCGACGAAGTAGGTATGGATCATACTCGCCGCTCAGGCCAATCAGCTGAGAGTTGCTAGGGCCTTGCACGTCCAATGAAGGCTCCTGAGCATTGTCGAAAAATGAGGTCGGAATGGATTGTGCAGATTCTGGTGAATGAGAGGATTGAGTCAACGGTGGTGCCAGGCCTGCTTGAACGGGATCGAATTGTTCAAACATAAGAGGTGCGAACATTGGCGAATCAAACTTGTACTCGCCAGGCAAGCCGCCAGGTAAGCTTGCGGTCATGAAGGACGGCAGGGGTTCCCAGCTCAGGAGATCACTTCCGAGGTCAAAGGTATTGCTAGGTGGCAATGGCAACGGCAATGGCAATACAGGCTCTTGAGAGCGTTCCTCGCTGAGATTGGGACGTCGTCTCTTTGCAGGAGACTCTACGAATGTACAGTCCTTGCCATAGCGAAGACAGAGTTCACAGGGCGGTTTGCTTTCGAGATGACAAGCTGCCTTCTTGTACCGACAAAAATCACAAGGGCGCTTGTTCCGGCTTTTGTAAGCTCGAGCTCTGTCTTGGACGTCACTTTGCCCGAGGGTCTGTTCTTGGGAGGTGACAATGGCCTCCATCTGAAATGTGCTGGCTTTGCGCGTGCGCGTACGATAGGCGTGATAGGCCGAGGTGTCAGCCGAATTGTCGGCCTAGTATGGGTGCGTTGGAATAGGAGTTATAGAGCGGACAAGAAGGAATGACTCTCAGGATGGGAAGAAGGCGATCACTTGGGATTTGTTTCTCCCCGTGGCGGAATCGTGTCGCTATCGACCCCAACTCGATTGGCCCCATTGGATGCCACCCGTTCACAGTTGCTTGCGGTATCGCTTGTACATGCTCCATCAGATGCCGATCGTCGGTAGGATTGTCGTGCTGTTGCGTTGCATGCCAGCTGCAGTTGCTTGAAAGTGGGGTTGAACAGCTGCCTCGGAAGCAACCGCCGGCGCTGATTGAACCCTGGATCTTTATCCGGCGGAGAATTGTAGGCGGAAAACTTCGGCAAACTTTGATAAGAACTGCCTGAGTCATGGAATTCTACAGAAAATGCCACCCTCGTATCTACGCCGTCGCTCAAATCGATACTGCTCAGTCCTGTCTTCAATCGGTATCGATGCCACGATAGATGCATGCTAAAGCACGCAATGACTGCAATATACACATGGCCATCATCTTCCATTATTTACTATCGAAAACGGAGTCAGGCTCGACAGACAGCTCGACATTCCCGAGACATTCTCTAATCGCTGACCAAGGACTTCTCCCCGGTACCCTGTATTCTGACACGCCCTATGCATATTGCTTCCTTGCGATTCTGCTGTGATAGCTGGTATAACGCGATCTATGGCCTATCGAGACCCTGGTAACTTGACTGCTCAGCAATCGCATGTGCCCCACTTCGTGTCGGACACTCCGATCCCGAAATCTGCTTCCGAAATTTACCTATCATTCTCGCTGTCACCATACACATGAACCAGGGTTCGACGTTAAGTCGAGTCCTTTTCGCTAATCCTAGACATACACTTTCTTCATCCCTCATAGTGAAGTACAGTACAAGAGTAAGGTATCACCAGTCCAAAGAGACGTGCTGGTGGTGAAGGCTTTCTTCATAATCTCTGATCACAGAGAACATCATGCAACTTCACCCGCCACTCTCATCAGCTATCCTCTCTCGCATGTGCGCAGCGTTTCTCGTGTTCCTGTCTTTTATCTCGTGAAATGGACACATTCAATCCGACTGCAGGCAGTCTCTAGAAAGAAGATAGCGGCTCGGAGAGATGACAGGACTTGCCATGCTTGTAGAGCCTGGTAAACCTCACCCACCGAACTTGATCAGACGGTTCTTGCGCCCTTCACTTTCTTCGATTTGGCACAAATCAAACCTGATACGAAAGAACACAACGCCCGCCTTGCAGACTCTCCTAACGTTGGCTTCGTAAGATTGAGGGCATGCCCTCCGGGTTTAGACGGAAGGAACTATTTGAACGCTCGTTGGACAGTCACATTGCCAGAGATCTGCTTCCTATGATTGTCAGAACAGCGACCCGAAGACGAGAGTCGGGTCCTCATCGACTAGCAACAAGTATACTTCGCTCACACGACTCAACACGAGCGTATTCTTTGCGTTGAAGCAGCGGGCTTGGAAATTAAGGGCAGGGTCATCCTATCGGAAGTGGTTTTGGTTCATACCCGAGGCGACATGTGGTCATACAAAGATGAGTAACTATTTTTGATTACACCGAGGACGACAGTGATGTAGTATATGAGCATTTGCACGAAGACAGAATGGAAAAGGCGTGGCCGCCTGGGGCACTCGCAACATTCTTGGATTGCTGGAGACCTGAATAGACCATACCCACTGATCACGCTGAAAGATTCTCTTTCACACTTCCCATCAAGCTATGACTCCAACCTCTGATGGAGATGCAGGGAGATATCCAGGCACTTTAATGATCCATTAAGATCAGGTTACGTCGGGCTTGTGAAGCCGAGTAGAGCGAATCCCTCTTTTTTCGAGCTCAAACCACAACCACGCAAGCTGGGCAAAGGATGCAAGACCCCTCACCAACCCCTCTCTCTCAGTATATGAACATTCTAGACAAAATCCTTCTTCGTCGTAATGTTGTTGTCAGCAAACATCCTTGTCATCCTTGTGCACCACATGCAAACCCCGCGCTGCACCCCGCATACCCACAATTTGTCCCTCTTTGTCCGCAGCTCCGTAGTGCGAAACAATGATTTATATAGACGATTTCCATCAATCGAAACTCCAAAACAATTCTCCGAAAGACATCATTGGATTTAGCTTGTTGAACAAAAGAAAGTCGTTCGCCCGTTTTTACGATCCATCGACCGTTCACATTCAAGACACATAGAGAAAAAGAGCAAGGAAGAAACACACAAGACACAATGGCGACTCTAGGACAAAACAATAATAACATACCGCAAAGCGATCAGGTGGATCCAGCGCAAGCCCAAGGAGCTCAGATCCCACTCCAAACCTTTTCGCTACCTCAGTTTCCAGCTCAAGCCGGTGGACTCAGAGCCTTGACCTTGACCTCCGACATCAAACTCGACGACTACCAAACCCTCCTCACCGAACCCTTCTCTATTCCTCGACTACCTCCAGGTATCGAGTCCTTGACTCTCGAGCTGTTCACTCTGGGATACCCAGTAGGCTGGCTGAGCCAACTTGCCGATCGCTTGCCCAATCTCAAGAGTCTGGTAATTTACAGCCAGCTTTTCGGCGGCGTGACACCAGAGTCTCAAGCCGACGGCATCGAATTTTTCAGGAAGCTGCCTGGGCTACGAGCCCTGCATCTCCTCGATGTATTCGCCCAACCAAAGTTCTTCGAAGGCATTGGACCCTACGTAACCTACTCATCCGACGACGAGACCGCCCGTCGCGGCTTGATGTTCCTGGAGATCAACTACACAGTCCAGCATTCAGACCCAGAGTTTCTCGGAAAAATCCAAGCGACAGAGTTGAACGCGTTAGTTGGGCCTGGTTTGGTGACTTTGGCGTTCAATGTCAGTCACGCTGACCTTACCGACGACCCTGAGGATCCGACCAACAATGGCGACAAGGATGCCGAAGAAGCGGCAAAAGATGGTGTGGTGGCTTTGAACAAGACACTAGGCTCTACACTCGTCAAAGCCTTGACAAATGAAGCCACACGACCCAGAGGCCTGCGAGTGCTGAACTCGACACTATTCACTCTCACCACGGACCAAATGCGCACCATTCTGGAGAAGCAGAAGAATGTGATGGTCTTGAACGTGACTCTTGAAGTCGACAACCACGAGACCTTCAAGAAGGACTTGCTCTCCATCCTACCACCACTCGAGTACCTCGAGCAAGTCGAAGTAGTCGCAAACCCAAGCTTACAATTCTTCCTCGCTGTACGCTGATACCTTACCCCCCCACCGCTCTTTCCTCTCACTGACAGAATACTCAGATCCAAAACCCCAAGCACAAAGCTTTCGAAAACACATTCCCCTCTTCCTCCGAAATCGCAACGCTGGGCCAGAAGTGCAAACGCCTCACAAGGTTCAAAGCCGATATCCTACGCTCGAGTGCCATGCAAACCATCGAGTGGGAAAAGAAGGATGAGAAGTGGTCTGGTGGAGTCAACGCCGCAAAGACAGAGTTGAAGATCTCGGAAGCCGAGTAGAGGATAACTGTTGGATAAATACAAACGGGAAAACAAATCTATGATACCGTTGCTGGAGTCTGTACCTACTACACTTCTCTCACGCAGGTCTAGAACGACGGTTGCGCTATCGAAATGCACAATGGGTTTTCAGACAAGATATCTGTCCGAAGAAAGCGCAGAGTACATTGCTTCTCAGCGGATAGTATACTACCTCTTAACACTACAGTGCTTTTGTATAGTTACACGGCTCTTCATAGCGTCGCGAGAGGCGCCAAACATGTTTGTCTCACGTGTCTCATTCTCCCATGGAGTTGCAAATAAGCTGTCTTTGCGTTCCGACCGCTGCCTCAACAAGCTATATCATGCAGAATCGGGAACTACAACCGCCAATGAAGGACTGTTGCCCGAACAGTATCGTCAAAGGGACCCGACCAGCGTTGTGAAAAATACACGAGACATGCAGAGCAACGAACGAGCAGTTGTGGTTTTCGTACGATTCTGTGGTTTTGTTTAACGAAAACTATCTATAAGATGCGCAACTGGTCTGGGTGGAAGCAAGGCCGCCTTTGGTGTTGAACAAGCAGCAATGCGGACCGAAAAGAAGAAAGCAAACAACAGTAAAGTAAACTCCATCGACCTTTGTCGAAACCCCTCATGTAACACCCAGCAAAAATGCAGCAATTAACTGTGAAATGACCTTGTGCGAAAAGAGAGGAACAAAGCGAAGAAGTAACCGCGAGAACATATTGTTGAAACATGCAAAATCAAAGAGCAAGCAAACGGTGTGTATGTGATGTTGAGCTCTGACGGTCGTATCTTCTTTCATCTTGGCGTATCTCGTGCAAAATCATATCTTATGACAGGTACTGTGTCATAGATGTGGTGGTGGTGATGGGATGGCTCCACTAGTAAGGAGACCAGTCGTTACCCCAGGAACGTGGAGTGTAGCGTGAATCACCCCCGAAGTAGGTGTACTGTCTGCCGTCACCGAAGAAGGGCAGAGGCAGGTTGCTGAACCAGTTGTAGGCTTGGTAACCGGCGTAAGGACGCTGTCTGTGCTTCAGGCGCTTGGGTTCGACGCGTGCAAGGTGCTCGCCGCAGACGTAGGTGAGCTGGAGCATGAGAGCGTCAGTAGATTGTTCTACACGTGTTGATGTGTTGGGTAGCGTGGTAGACTTACAGGAAACTGACAAGCCATGGTAGCAGAATCCTCATTGTCAAAGTAGATGAACGCGTAAGTGATGCCCTCTGGAGACTGGTCAATACTGGAGCACAGAGTGGATGGAAGGGAGGATTGACTTCTGGAGGCTTGGTGCACCTCGACATTCGAGATGCGTCCGTAATGGCTGAAGATCAAGAGCAAGGTTCTCTTGTCGATGCCGTAGGGAAGATCGCCGACGTAGATGGCGTTGCGAACAACCTCGGGAAGAATGATACTGTACGAGGTAAGAGCAGGCTGACGTTTCTCGACTTGCGCGAGGGTGAACGTGAAAGTCTCGTGGTTGCGGAGAGCCTGTTGATGATGGTCAGCGAGGTTATTCGAGACAGACAGACAAGACAAGATGGACAACATACTCTCAGAGCGATCTGGCAATGCTGGAAGAACTCAAATCTCAGGAAGACTCCAGCGGGCAAGTTGTACATGGCCCTCTCGGTGTGAGATGGGGTCCAGAAGTGCTCGATCTTGCCGAACTGCTCGAGACAGTATCTGGCCAAAGGAACACAAACATCTGCCTGATCACGGCGTGCCACGAAGACGGTACCTGACTTGGATTAGTCAAGGGTCAAGCTGAGAATGGAACAAACTTACGAGGTGCTCTGGCATGCTTAATGCGGCAAGGACGTCCAAAGATGCGGGCACCATGGAGCTGGGCATCAGCTTCGATGGCTTCCTCGTCGGTCTAGAGATTGTGTCAGCGAGCGTCTCGTTATTGACCGACGATGCGACGACGATCTTACCTGGTACTGCACGAAGGCTGCTGGGATGTTCTTCTTGTCAAAGCGAACCTTGACCCAGCAGGGTCCGATCTGTGCAAAGAGGTTCTGAACTGCCTCAGTGAGATCGTTTCCACTGCGAGTACGATCTAGGCTGGAGGAAAGGTTAGTCAAGACCTTCGTGCGCGTGTACAGTTGACTTACTTGGCCACAAAGATGCATGCCGAAGGTTGGAAGAGGGCCTGGGCATTCTCGGGAGTCACCAAGGTACCTCTGAACCAGACCTGCTCGCTGGGAGCTGGTCGGACAGTGTCCGAGGATCCCTCGGAGCTGGTATCGTCTTCAGACTCGGTGCCTTGGGTGAGAGCATCGTGCGTGCCGTCATGGGCGACGGCAGGCAGCTCATCAGTCGAAGTGTTGTCGACTGGAAGCTCGGTTTGGGTACCCGACGAGACTTGCTCGGAAGAGAAGTCTGTGATCGATGGTTAGTATGGTACTGAGACCAGTAGAATGGTTTGAGAACGTCGAGGTTCGATATTGGAGAAGGGGAAGAATAGTGGGAGGAAGTGTAGGGTAATGAAAGGCAAGCAAGTGAGGGTTGTCCGTCGTAAACAACACGTGCTCAGACGCGTCATACGATAAGCAGGAGGAAGCTGAGTGGTCGAGACCAGAATCCAGGGGACTGGTCGACTGACTCGCCAAGTCCAGCGACGACGTATCACAGCGAAGAACATGACGAGCATGGTAGAGATAAAAGCCAGACATACCTTGAGGTGTATAGTCGATGTCAGCATCAGACTTGCTTCTGATGCGCTGAGGGGGCTTAGCAGACATGTCGTCGCCAGGGTTGGACGAGGATGGAGCCATTGGTGCAAAGTTTGTCAACGACGAGTGCGAAGTTTGTCAACGATGGATGGAAGAAGGTAGACAAAGAGAAGATGCAGCAGATGTAATAAGCGCAAAGCGATGATGAGTAGCTGTCCGAGCGAGTGATGCACGGAAGCGAAGGATGGTAGGTGAAGGGAGGTGGATGAAAGAAAGATGGTGTCGCGGAGAGGAAGAGATTAGTTTTGACAAGAGCCCAGGGAAGGTGCAACTTCCTCGGCCTGATCCGGGGCAGGCACTCGCGATAGCAGTCACAAGACGAGCTGTGGGCTGCTCGAGATAGAGCAGGTTGTGCGAGACCAACTGTGACTATGTGCTGACCACGCGTGAAGAGTATTGGATATCTTGTCGAGGATGTCTACTTGTAGTTTATCTTGTCCCCGAGCACAACCACGATGACAATTGCCTCTTTTGGACGGCGTCGGCGTCGGCGTCGGCGTTAACACGGACAAGGTAGAGGGGCAGTCATCAGGTGGTGTAAAATTGGGTGACAACTTCGGCCTCTATCCACCCGGCCACGGACTCCGATTCCAGTAAAGCAAGGCACCAGGAAAGAGACCACAGCATCTACAACGACGTTCCGTATAACTGAGAAGTATTCGTCTGCTGGTTGGGTTGATATCGTTGACGTTGCAAGCTTCAGACCAAAAATCTGCATGTAATTGCTGCGAACCACCACCAACCTCAACCAGGTCTTGTATTGTCCGAATACACTCAAGATACGTTCCAGATGGTTGCTACACCAATGCGCAAGACCTGAGAGAAAAATTGGCTGGATAAGAGTGTGGATCCTGGCTGAACATGACCAAATCTGGCATCTGAAGCTGACCGACAACCATCTCTTTTGGACGCCTGGCCATGTTGGTCAATCTGTTTGCTTCTTGCTGTACGTATCAAAGCATGGTATGTTCTTTGTGGCTGGCATATGGCAAACAAGTTTCCCTGGATGCTGCCAGGATATTCTCATGGATCATTCCAGCATAGCACCAACTCTTTCCATAGCAGAAACAGGCAGTCTCTTGCTTTTCACTTGAGCGAGGATGAGGATGAAAAGAAAATAAGAAAGGAGAGGTATATGCACCTACCAGATCCTACCGAAGCAAGGGCTCATCCAGTCCAGCATCATGCAAGGGGTATCTCGATCAGAGGGTATATATACCTATCGCAGTCAACATCCAGAACTGTCCTATGGATTCACACAATGACCTCCCTGGAAATGACTGGATAAATGCCGAAGGAAAGACGCCTGCCTAGCAGTCTAGCCACCTACTTTGTCGCCCCGGCGACCCAAATTTGTTTACCTAAACGTCTTCTAGAAGAACATGATCATCAACGGGTATTCTCTATCTTCATAGAGTAAGCATCCGCCATCGTCGGCGGATAGATGACATTTCGAGGTCTAAAACAAGAGGTGTGGTTACTCGGACATCGGTTGTCGGCAATACGTAGCCTATCGCCGCGACAAAAACGCCGATCCCACGTGGGATGATGCCTTTGTCAAGAAGATAAGCATAAGCCATCTCACTATTATCTGCACGTAGGGATTTTGTGACATATAGCATAGAGAGTAAACGGGAGTCAGTTCGACAAAGCTTTCTATGGATACCTCGCTATTTCCCCCAAAGCCTAGGCAATCCGGTTCCAAGATATACGCCTCGTAGTATCATTTAGCGAGTGAGCATCTTCGACATATTGACCCAAGGCATCGAATTCTCTGGAAATCAGGCGCAATCTAATCTAAGGTTATGCGAATGCGTAGGAGAAATCATTATAGTACCCTCTATGCCTTGAGATAAATAGCTAAACTCTCTATCAACCTACTGCTCAATTACAAGATTGAGTAATCTATTCAATAGTACACACCTAGTGGCATTCCACTGCATTGCTCTGATAATCGTGAGCCATGTAGTGTCAGAACAAGGAACAGATTTGTTTTAGATTATGGCTATAGAAACGCAAAACTCTTGAAATTCTGTCCGGTGAAGCAAGGAGTGACATGTACCTTGAAAAGCAACGAAGATCAAGCATAATTCGAAAAACGCATTTGTTGTGAAAAATCATATCAGTCATCACATCCTATCCGTGACCTCCCACAAAGCCCGACTCATGATAGAAAGCTTACCAGCCCCAGGTCGTCCAGGAGGTAGTGCTCTTACACTTGCTCTCAGTGCTGTAACCAACAGAAGTGTAAGGCTTCTGGGTGGTGATGGTCTTGTACTCTGTGGTAGGAGAGTAGGTGACATAAGTCTTGGGGACCGTGGTGGTCTTAGTCTCAGTGACGTAAACAGTTGAGGTGAAAGGAACATAAGTGACCACGGGCTTAGTCTCAACCCAGGTCTTTGTAGAGACAACTGGCTTCTTGGTGCAAACCTGACGTATTCATGAGTGAGCAGTCCACAAAAAAACAAGTCGATGCAAATGTGAAAGACACTTGATGGTAGGCAAAAAGAACAACTCACCTGGGTGTAGGTGGTCCAAACATTGGATTTGGTGACGGTGCTCCAGACTGTCTCAGTCGACTTGCCGATGGTGGAAGAAGCTTCAGTAGTTGTGTAGACTTTAGTCTCGGAACCTGTGTGAGTGGAAGGGTAGCTGGTAACACAAGTGGAGACAGAAGTCTCGGGCTTGGTGAAGATGGACGTGTAGGGGACGGTAGTGGCGGAGCAAGTGGACTTGGTGATGCAACTAGAAGTAGTCTTGGACCAGCCGCCGCCGGGCATGGAGTTGACCACAACGCTGTGTCGTTGTTAGCAAGCATCATGACCCAGAAATAGGTTGAAACTACCTGCAAGCAAGAAGAGCGGCGATTGTGAAGTGCATTGTGAAGGAACAATGTATGTCTTGTTTGAGAACGAAGGTAGATCTGGTTCAGCGAAGGTATGAGTAGTAGGCTTGATGTTTTGTGTCACTTGGGCCGTATGAGTTGAATCTTGGAAGGATATCATGAGCCTTTTATGTTCTCAAGAGGCGACCGTTCCTCCCTTGCTGCCCAATTGAGAGGGTACCGATCGAAGACGGAGCAGAGCTCATTGTTCGATCTGCACGAGAAGACAACTCATCAAGCTGACCCACTGCATGTATGCGACCTGCACACCGTGAGCTGTATGGGAGCCGTCAGAGTGATGGCAGGCCGCTCTATGGTATAATGACGGTATACCCCAATTCGAGCATACCGATACTGGACCAAGGATGCGCTATTGAGCTGACTGAGGCAGCTGCAGATGCGAAAAGCATGCAGAGTAGAGCCACATGAGCATGGTATGTTGTGGATTGGGTGGTCCTGCAGTGTACCAGGACATAATTAGCAAGCAGTCTGGTGAGAAGACGGTTACCTGTTGTTAAGATCCTCAGAGACGTAATGCCGATCCATCATTGAGGACCCGTGACAGTTCCAATATACCTGACAGACGGCATCGACTCGAGGGTACTTGATACGTCTCAAGATAGCCGATGTGCCTATGTACAAAGTCTTGGTCCAGAGTTTAAATGAAGCTTCAATTCATGCGACGGCAGAGGCAACTGTTCCTGCAATTCATGTCGTGGTACCACGTACTGCCGTGAAGAGACTACTCATCAACGATGAACGGACATAATTCACTGCTTCCAACCGGAGAAATCAGACTTGTGCGATTATCGGCTTTATTCTGGCCAGTGGTCATGTGCAGAATCAGCCTGAGATGCACCAAGGCTGGAGGACGAGGCTGCTGCTGACACGAAATGTCGATGCAGTAGATGAGGTTGTAAAACAGCGGAGGTATCCAGTGTAGCCCGATCTGAAATGCGGGGTGCATACCGAGTGAGACCTAGCAAGGATGACGAGGTGTTGTTTGGGGACGGGAAGCGCATCAGGTACGGTACTCGGCCGTGCAATCCGACCAGATGGAGGGTCGAATGTGGAAGACACGGCATGCGTTAATATCGGAACATCATTGGACCTTCGATCCACGACTCGATCAGAGCAACGGATTGAAGAACTCACAGGCCGTGTACATTGACGTCGGCTACACATTGCAGAGGCTAAATCCAGATTTGGAGGCGTCCATAAGCTATGCAATATACATCTCGAATATGCAGAGAGTAAGGCATCAAGATTGCGATAGTGGAAGTTCCAGGCTGTGAGACCCAGTAAGTTGAGCTAGCATACTGTTGACGCGGCTTCTCCGACGTGATGATCAAGGAAAATGGTAGAGACGTTGTAAGGAGTGACGGCGGGCGGAAAGAGGAAGGAAGTGCTTGGGGGAGCGCACAGGCCTCCGAGTCTGCGGAGAAGGCAACAGCGATCAAGGTGGAATGTTCTTTCTTTTTTTTATCCAACACCAAAATACAAACATGGGCATCCTTTCGAACCTACTCACGCAGTACTCAGGCCCAGATGACAAGGCCAAGGCCGAGTCAGTAAGCCCGCCTGTGACACAACCCCAACAACAAGCAGTTCCGCACACGATCAGCCAGCTTCCAAGCTCAAGTCCGAAGCAGAATGGCCTTCTATCAGTCGACGATGACCTCCGGGAGAAGATGCGCACAAACCCGCGCGCACGAGCAGTCAGACAGCTATCGCTCTTCTTTGCCGGGGCCACCTTCTTCGGCTTGAGTCTTCTTGTCACACGCAGAGCCGTAGCCCGGAAACTGCTTGCCGATGCTCCCAGACAGTTCACGCCTTCCAACTACAAGCCCACCAATGTCAACGGTGGTGTCGAAGCCGCCCAAGCCTTCGTCCTTGCTACTGCAAACGTGACCAGCGCAGGCATGATGGCCACTGGCTTCATGATGTATGCTCTAGATGTTACAGACACCGAAGACATGCGAACCAAATTCAGAAAGGCCTGGGGCTTTGAGCGTACCGCCTTGGACGAGGCCGAGCAAGATGAAGAGATGGAGAAGATGGTCAAGGAATTCCTGGACAAGAAGGAAGGTGGCGATAACAAGGGCATGGCCGAAGGTCTTGCGGGTCTTGTGGCTGCCATGGCCGCGAAGGAGGAGGAGAAGCTTGCCAAACTGAACAAGATCAAGGAAGGTCTGCAAGCCACCAGCCGAGACAACTAATTGCTGCATCTTCCAGACCAAGTACGGAGTCCAAAGAAGGCATATCTCGCTCGACGTGGTGTGCAGACATCTACCACACTCAGGCTTGGACTGCCACTATCCATCAACCCAACCAAAAGATATCACGGCTGCGAGCGCCGTCTAATGTGTCATGACCTGTATTATAATATGTACAACAAAATTCCTCTCGATGTTTTCAAGAGCCTGCAGCTCAATTGCTGATCTTCACACCTGCCTGTCCATCTCTGTTGGCTCTCCAGACACCACCCTCTTCGCCGCCAAACTCCTCAAGTTTCCATACTTCGACCTTCTCCTTCGCCAACTCGAGTGCTTCCTCACCTGCTCGCCACGCCGCTTGCCTGTGTGGTGACGACACTGCAATCAGAATGCTTTCCTCGGCAATGGGAACGACACCAAGGCGATGGATCATGGCCACGCCGTTCAGCCCATGCTTGTCCTTGATCTCACGTGCAATCTTGGTCATGGTCCTGATTGCAAGAGGAGCATATGCTTCATAGGCCAGGTGTACCACGGGTTTGTCTCCGAAGTTGTCGCGAGTTGTTCCTCGGGAGGTGTCAGACATGATTCTCGGGTCTGGTAGTATTGCTATGGCATACCAGCGAACAAGACAATAGCTCCAGCTTTTGGGCTTCGAACTTTATTCATGATAGCAACGGCGTCCAGTGTGTCGTGAGTTAGAGCAACAAAGACACCATCTTCTTCAAATTGAGTGGGCGTGCCATCAGACTGCGTTTGCTTTCGAGTCGAATCGGCCATTGTGAATTGTATTTATTGTCAGATGAATGACTTTGTGTTGTTTTGGAAGTGGCTTTGGTAAGAGTTGATGATCGGCTACCGAGGCTTCCCGTCACATGGCAATCAAACAGAGCAAACAACCGGCCAGAGGCACGACAATGTACAATCGAGGGACACAAATCACTTCCTTTTTACTACACATCCTTCAGTCCTCGAACTTGATCTCAAGCTTGTCGCAAGACTCGACACACTTGACTATCATATTTACATCACTTCAGCGATCGCTGCTGCATACCCGTCGGCCATCACCGCTGATCCGACCTCGAGCCCCACCAAAGCTTCACATTCGAGGGCGCCTTCTGCAACGCTGACAACCACTCAGACAGCGCACTGCGTGTAATCGAGCAAGAGAGGAGGGTTCGAAAGAGTCACAGAAAGAGTCAAGGATATTACTGCTCTGGAAAGCATCCTGTAAACACGGTCAAGGTCTTGGACGCGCAGCGTACTCTCTTCATCCGGCTTCTTGTATCGCTTTGCCAACCTTCGGAGGGGACAACTTATCGTTTGACGCTTCTTCTTTTGTTCTGTTTCTGTACCCTTGCAAGGAGAAAGAGAGCTTTGTCTCGTACGCTTTCTGTCAAGCTATTGCTGAAGCCTGTCAACATGTACGTATAACGCGTAGCAGTCATCACCATCATATGGTTATCATCGTTCATCGCCTCGTCATCTACATGGCCTCTCGGCGACCTGTCGCTTGGACGCTCGCTCACTCGTCCACTGTTTGCTCCTCCTTCGGGAAAGCGACAATGTCGAATCACTTCTAGGCTGAAGTGACCGGGCTTCTTCCATTTGAGCCAAGTGACTGGTCGCTGAGGGTGTACTTCTGTGCCGTCCGCAGATCTCTGCTCGTCACCTTCACATGTTCTTCCTTACTGATTGTTTGCTCCAGACAAAGGCACACTCCAGTGAGCTTACCTTGAACTGCTAGTACCGCACAGACACTTGTAGCCAAGCACTTCCTCAGCAAACAAATCCTTCACAATGGCTGATGACGACAACTTCGACATTGACATCTATGGTGACGATGAGCAAGATCTCAAGCCCGAACCCCAGCCCGAGGAAGAACAAAAACAAACAGACACCGACTACAACCCAGGCCTTGATGGTACCAACTATGGTCAACAGCCCAACGAACCAGAGACGGAACCACCAATAGACAACGACGTCAAACTAGAGGGCGACCCCGACGAGATGAAAGTCCAGTATGAGAAAAGTCACGGTGGTGTCGACTCTGGCGGTCTACAAGAGCAGCAACAAATCCTCAGTACTACTGGATCATCAGCCGACCAGTACAACGCCCCGAAACAGGCACCAACAGAACAAGGCACTAAGCGGAAAGAGGGTGAAGATACTCGCGAGGTAGATCCAGGTGCAACATCAGCTTTGAGGCTCGGGGAGCTTCAATGGTGGATCAGCGAGGACGACATCAGAGGCTGGGCCAATCAATGCGGCTGCGAAGATGAACTCAAGGAAGTCACTTTCAACGAACACAAAGTGAACGGAAAAAGCAAAGGGTATGCCATTATTGTGTCAGCAAGCAGGTTTCCAGAGCTGACAAAATCATTTAGGGAAGCCTTTGTTGAGCTCGCATCGCCCCAAGCGGCCACAGCACTCAAACACCGCATCGACTCTTTCGGTGCAGACCAGCAATATGTCAAAAAGCACACCTGCATCTACGCACGACCGGATTACAATCCTTTCAAGACATCGCCGAAGGATGCGCCTCAGCGCAACAAGGTGGTTGCCCCGGGCGCTTACAACAACGGGCCTGCCTTCCAGTCTGGAGGAGGCTTCCGCGGCGGGCGTGGTGGATACAACCGAGGAGGTATGAACAACATGAATACCGGCATGAACATGAACGGCATGGGCCGTGGCAACTTCAACAACCCCCAGATGAACATGATGGGTGGGTTCAACGGAGGTGGTATGGGAGGCAACTTTAACAACAATATGATGGGTGGCTTCAACAATGCCATGGGAGGTTTCAACAACAACCGTGGCGGCATGATGGGTAACAACATGCGTGGAAACTTCCAGAACAACCGAGGCCGAGGCGGTATGATGATGCCAAACATGAACATGGGCATGGGTATGGGCAACATGGGCATGAATAACATGACTGGCATGAACAACATGGGAGCGATGGGTGCCATGGCTATGGGCAGCATGAACATGGGTAAGTACGAAACATCTCAAACGATCAACTCGTGCTCACATCTGGCAGGAGGCTTCGGTAACAACACGCAAGGAGGACACTTCAACCCGGGCTTCTTCAACAACGGCGGTGCAGCAAATGGCACATCGTCGGGTGGCAGCATGTCGCCTACTGGCAACCCTCACGGTGCCAAAAGACCTCGACCGGAGTAGAAAGACGATTGGATGGATTCTGAATTCTGGCACGCGACAGCCGTTTGAGACTTTGAGGGAATGGTTTACAGGTTTCATAGCATGCGGGTATGGGTTTTATTCTCGACTCTGATCAACGATCATATCTATTTTTGCTGCATTCTCTTATGTGGTATTCATAGAATTGCGCAATGCTTGACGGAACTGAGCAATGTCCAACAAACGTCATGAGTTGATGACTTCCACCAAATACAGTCCTAAGCTCGTAGCCTTCACGCATCTTCATAGCGATGCATTGAACCTGTATGTTGATCCGGAGACCAAGCGGGGCAATCGAGAGGTAGTACAGTCCTCCAGACAACCTTTCCGCGGCCAATGCAGCTACATAGACGTGCATGTTAATTACCACAAAGAGAAGTAATTTCATTGAAAGAGAGATGAGCAACGGATCCGTCCATTTGTGATATACCACTATCTACTTCAGTGAGCCAGGTATCTTTGTACCTCTTGGGCGAGATGATCGGGATTGCGAACTCTATGGCAGTCAAGATAAAAGCTGGGCAAGCAATAAAGCTTCTTGCATGCTTTCGGAGGATTGGTTTCTGTTTGCCGGGTGTGAATCATGGACTGTCGGTGTATTGGCAGACAGTCGTAGTTGCGATGGAAATAGAGGCAAGGGCAGACAGAGATACTTATTAGCCAGCAAGGAAGTGTCATCGTTTGTCGATTGTCGTACAAAGTACTGGGAACAGCCATGGAGATTTCAGTGGCGAGGAGCGAGATGCAGACGACCCCAGGGTCTCGGGTTGAGCTTGAGCCCAGCGGGAGCGGCACGGGTTTCACTAACTTTCAGCCCTATACCACGAATAAATTGCGTGGAGGGTGGTTGTCTTCTTGTTGTTGTGTTTCATGGGCGTGTTTGGGTAGTATCAGAGGAGCAGCGATGGGTGATAAAGTGAAGGCGGCACACCTCATGGTCGTCGCGAAATCGACCACATCTGCAGCACTCAGGAGGTTTGCAGGACAAAAACTTGGAAAGCTCCCCACCTCCGTACCGATTCGGCCTCGACCCTGCATCTCAGCACCGTTCAGCTCACCACTCGTCGAGGGATCTTCGAGAGTGTTTTATCGTGACAGTTAGCGTCTTGTACGTCAGATTGCGCCGGCCTCCCCCACTTGGCCAGCTCTCAAACTGAGGGAAGGTCGAAGTATAGAAGGACGCGGCTCTGCCGGTCTGTGAAACGCGACTCGTAAGTCTGACCATTTTTCTTGTCTCATTTGCGCATATAAAGCAATGTCGGTGGCCTCAATGTCTTCGATGTCCATGGACGACTCGCTAGAATTTGTACCGTCAAGACCAGTTCCGGCAAAACCACCAAAGCGAATGTCAACGACGACGCAAATCGCCGTCAACATGGCAGGTCTAACGAATTTTGACACAGTGCAGGAAGCGACTGCCTTGAGCGGTTCAGAAAGTGACGAACAACAAAATCTAGAGCAGTCGCGACCACGACGCCGTGGTAGCTTTTCCTTTCTCACTCGCTCAAAGTCACACGAAGTCCCCGTCACTCGCAGCCCATCAGGACGAAGGATGCTACGCAACAAGAGACTCCGCGATCAGGAGGAACGTCGTCGTCAAGAGCAGCAGATGCCTGTGGTATCTCACTCTCCCCCTACGTTGCCTATCCTGCCAAACATGGAGCCAATCGAAGGCGCACGGCCCGACTCGGTCGCCATTGTATCTGGAAGAGGCCACGACTATCGCTCTTCTCCTCCTCCGGCCAACTTCTCTCGCCCTGGAGCCAAGCAGACAAGCATGTCAAACTCGTCAATGCCATCCATGTCGTCGACCGGCAGTCTCAACAATCCCAACTCCTACGGCGTTCCCCTGCCTCCCATGCCCGAGTCACTACCCCGTACCGAAAGCATTGTCAGCCGCGGCAGGGAAAGCTATGCTCCCAGCATCTCAGCCAACATGCACTCTCCTCGCCGGATGCGTCGTCGCAAGGAGCCAGAAGCTTTCAAGTATCAAATCATGCTTGCTGCCATCGATCTAGACTAACAGCCAACAGCATCCTCATCACCGGAGCCAAAGGATCGGGAAAGACTTCGTTCGTCGAGTTTCTCAAGACCGCATTGGCCTTACCTCCACACAAGCAGACCCGCGGTCACACACCTCCACCTCACATGCACAACGAATCTCCTTTCGAGCCATCATACGTCGAGACTGACATCGAAGGAGAACGCGTGGGCGTCACTCTTTGGGATTCCCAAGGACTAGAAAAGAGCATCATCGATCTTCAGCTCCGCGATCTGGCTGCTTTTGTCGAGTCCAAGTTCGAGGAGACCTTCAACCAGGAGTCCAGAGTCGTACGCACACCTGGTGTCAAGGATACTCACATCCACTGTGTCCTCTTGCTACTCGACCCTGCTCGCCTCGACTCTACCATGCGCTCCGCCGAGCACTCTGCGACTAAGAAATCTACAGGTGCCGAAGACGAGGCGCTCGACCTCGATGTTATCAGAGGCCTTGAATCAAAGACGACTGTCATTCCTATCATTGCCAAAGCCGATACCCTCACAGCGGCCCACATGGCACACCTGAAGCGTCTGGTCTGGTCAAATGTTAAGAACGCCAAGCTCGATCCGCTCGAGGCTCTGAGTCTGGATGAAGAGGATGAGGATGACTCTCCGGATTACGAAGCCCTTGACAGTGAGTTCTCAAGTTCAGAGTCCGGGATTTCTCAGGCAGCACGCTCGTCACCACACAAGGTCACCGAAGACACCAATGCCGAGGAAAGCGACACAATGGGCAGCACCTTCTCGCCGGTTAGAAAGTCGTCGAGAGCAATGCTTGGTCCTGTCTCTTCGAAGCGTGCCGACTCTTGCACCCCTGCACCCGAAGAGCTGTTTTTGCCCTTCTCGATCTTGAGCCCAGACTCGCACACTTCGCCAGGTGCCTTGACCCGCGTATTCCCTTGGGGCGAGGCTGATCCTTGCAACCCTGCTCATTGCGACTACATCCGTCTTCGCGAATGCGTCTTTGGCGATTGGCGCTCCGATCTGCGTCTTACTTCCCGCGAGAAGTGGTACGAGAACTGGCGTACCAGCCGTCTCAAGCGCAACCCTACATCTCGTGTCCGAGTTTCTGGCGGTGTTACTCCCATCGCTGCTGTTCCCAAGGAGGGACGCACGGTCTCGCCTACTCTCACATCCAGGTCCCGTGCTGTCAGTGCTTCCAAGCAAGCATCGAGAATGTACGACGAAGTGCCTGAGAGACCTCGCACAATAAGCACTAGCAAGGCTGAGCGTGTCTTGGGTAGTCCCAGAGGCATTGCTTTGTAAGCTTTTGCCCGCAGAGCGTACTTGTTTCCTTTGTCTTTTCCTTTACCCCAGGCGTCCATGATTCGATTGTTGAGCGTATGATATCCCGGAATGATCGAGGAGTTTCTGCATTACCCACTGTGGCACACACTCGCTTTTTTCGATCTTGGTCATAGCACGAGCAAGTTTTGTTGTTGTTTTTGGCACGGTGATGATGGATACGAGGCGCATATGGAACAGTCAAGGAAGACATGAATTTGTGTTGGTAGCAGTACTTGCGATATCGAAACAGAATGAACAACGATTACATTCATTCTTGACACACAACGGATGTAGGTGTGGGTCTGATCGAAGGAAGAGGACAAAGAGTTCCAACAAGAATTGGGGTCCGAGTAGACACCTTGACCTCTCTAGCCTTGTTGTTCGACAACGCACATAAATATAATTTGATTTGATTTTCTTGAGCTATTTACCCCGCAAGGGGTATGAGCTGGCACATAAATATAAATGACGTCTCCTTACGTCTGGATGCAAATGAACATGACAGGGTGAACCCCTCAACCATAATTTTCTCTCAATATGACAGTGTCATCAGCGATGTCACAGTACATGATAGAGAAGATTTAGATACATGACGAGAAGAAGCCGATCAAAAGTAATCTTGTATCTGAGCTACGATATGCCAGATTCGTGCATTGCTCAAGAATATTGTGCATTTGCGTGGCCAAACGTATGACAATGTGTCGATACGGGACATGGCAGCTGAAGAGCATACCGGGCGCCCGCCGCGCAACCCATGACACACTATACCTCTTGACTATTGCAGCAGACAGGCAATGAGAATATCACCAATCTGCAAGACTCAATGTGCAGACAGAAGTCTTGTTGTAATGGTATACTTTGATAGTCGTTCTCGCGGCCATGACCCCCGAAGAGAGGCCCGTGCTCAAGACTTTCGAACATCTGCTCCACCACAAAACATCTATACCGTTGCTTTTGCACGCACACACACACGCCACACACACACCCACCATGCCACCACGTACGCCAGTGCAGCGCCTGCTGCTACTGCCTTCGCCCTCCACACCTCTCACTACCCTCCTTACCTCCCATCTCTCACAATCATGCTCGCGGTCGCAACCCACCACCCGCCTCTTCAGCACCACACCCAGCACCCACGCCGGCGTACGCAAACCCCGATCCTTCCAACCGCACCAAACAGGCATGAAACAGCCCTCTCAAAAGTCCTTCGAAGTCATGAAGAAAGAGCAAATGAAAAACATTGAACAAATGCCCAATGATGTTGGTTTGATCCCAGGCACTTTTATCATGCCCACCGGATCGCGCTTGCCGAGTTTGACCCATAACTTTGGGCTGAGGTTTCAGTTGGAAAAGTACAGGCTTTGGTTGAGGGTCAAGGAGGTTTTCGGGTATGTTTTTTTGTTTGTGTTGTGCTTTTCTTCTGCTTTCGTGTTGCTTTTTTTCTGTTTCTTCTGTCTTGGGTGGGACTTGAAAGACTGACTCGAAGTTGATGCTAGTCGCCACTACATGGGCTACTTCCACGTCAAACCCCGCGCAGACTTCCAAACCGCCCTCATCCCCTCCGTCTCGAAATCCCTCTATTCAGACATGTACTCGGCATTCGCGGCCGGCAACCTCGCACCCATCGCCCCAAAACTCTGCGAAAGCATCAATATGACACTCGAACAGCGCATTGCAGCCCGCGGCCCCAATGTAGGCGTACTCTGGACTCTGCACTCTTGGCTCGCCGAGCCCAGAATCGTGAGCCACAAGTACATGCCGATGAGTTTGGAGGATAGCAAGGACAAGACCAAGCAGACTACTATTCAACAGGTGTGTGTGAGGATGCAGAGTTTGCAGAGTTTGAAAAAGGTGAAGAGGGTCAAGCAGGGGAGGGAGACGGTGGAGGTGTTGGAGGAGGGGAGTTCGGCTGAGCCGAAGAAGGTTGTTGAGTATCTTGTCGTGCAGAGGTTGTGTAAGAGAGGCAAGATGGGTCCTTGGATGGTTTGGGGTACTACTACTGAGTCGGATCCTCAGGAGGCTCTGTCATCGTAAGAAGCCGCCATCGCAAGAGACTGGATTGTACAATACTTTTACAAAATACACTACATTGTAACATAGCAGCACACGGGTCAAGATAAACCATACATCCAACAGCCTTGAAGAATACACAGCACGAGTTGTTTCGATCACTTCGGACCAGGGAAACTCAGGATGTCACAGGTTGATGAAGAACGATTGTAAAAGCAATACTGAGCATTTCCATGATTTCATAAAGCAATATCCTCTCGCCTGGCGAGAATAGCAAAGGCAGTAGAAGGAAAAAGACTCGGCCGAAAGGTATAGGAAAAAGCATAGAGCAATCGTAAAAAGAGTTGCTGCAGCAGTAGAGACAGGGTTTGGGTATACCGAGCAACGCCAGGGTCTCCGCGCCATGGTCTCGTTAGTGGATGATTTTGGCAGGAGCAAAAATCATGTCTAAAAAGGTCGTAAGGGTCGTAGAGAGATGCAAAACAGCCGTAAGGATCGTGGCAATGGGCGCCTTGTTGACAATTCGAAAAGAGGAACAAATGTCGTGATGATCCACCGGCTGGTCTCTCGTACCCGACGAGGGTGCATGGCGCGGCTGTTGGACGTTTAGAAACCGTGGACCTGGTTGGAGCAGTCAGTACAGGGTCGAGACAAGACAAGCAGCAAAGAAACATACCTTGATGGTCTTGGCATCAAGACCGAGGCCCTCCTTCTTGTCACACAAGAATTCCTGGACATCCTTTCTCTGATCACCCTGAAGTTGGATGACTTCACCCATCTCGGTGTCGCTCACGATGGTGCCATTGCAAGCAAAGGCCTTCTTGATGACCTTGAGAATCTTCTTCTGATCGAACTTCTTGGGGAGTCCCTGAACAGTGGTCAAGGTCTTGCGTCCATTGCGCTCTGTGATGGTGGGATTGTGTCAGCATACCCCGCCTTTTCTGTGTTACCAGCCCGTCGCTTGCTGCCAAGGCGGTGAGGATGTGATGGAAAAGAGACGACGACGTACGCTGGATACGGATGTGGATGTAGCTGCTCTGGTTCGACTGCTTTATCTCTCCGGTGTCTTCATCGGCTTCGGCGAAGGGGTCTGTTCGAGGCACATGAGTCAGTGAGTGATAGTCAAGCGTGGCGGCGTCGGTCGGCGTTTCCAGTCGCTCTCACATCTGACAGGCGCGATGGATGCTTGATGGAAGCAGCAGTACGCATGGCGTGAGTGAGAGCGAAGGACACTCAAGCGACTCGGTCGAGGCGGGGAGGGAGGTCGGTCTGGGCCTGACGTAGTGGGGAAATTCGGTCGACATACCGAAGGACTTGAGGTTTTCGATCGAGGCGGACATAAAACGCAGTTGCTGTTCTCTTTCCGGGGAAGGGGTTGAAGTAAGAAGATGTGTTGGTTGGTGTGTCTGGCGGGGTCTGCGCGGTGGACAGTCGTGTGTTTGTTTGAGTGGAGAGTGGTTGCGTGAGAAGCTGCGATGTTGTGAAGTTCGAAAGAGGGTTGAGAGGCTGCGCGAGGGGCAGACTGCCAAGATGCGCTAACATCACGTGATGTGCTCTTGTCGAGGCGCTTTCTTCGATCGACATGTCTTTCGGTCTGTCACTCGAATGATAAAAACTGACATCTTATGATAAGTAATTGGAAGCTCGGTTCTGCGCTGGGAGAGTCTGCGTTCAACAGTCTAGTCATTGGTGGCACCGAGCTATGGTATGGACAGTATCACATGCAACTTTTCCAGAGACAATCAGCAACGAATGAATGGCTGTTGGTAGTGTTTTGATGTTTGTTGCAAGCCCGAACTAATGCTAATCATACACCATTGACGAGGTGACCTGCACCGTCGGCAGGAGCAAGAACCCAGTCCTTGACACCGCCCTTCCAGTCAGCAATTCTGCCCTCTCTTATCCTGACAACGACGACTCTTATATCCTCGTCCTTGAGGAAGGACTGTCTGCTGGCTTCCTCGTCTTCGGCATTGCTCGTTGACTGGCTCAAGACGTTCTGTGGTGTCTCCTCCCTCTCAAACGTGTTGTTCTCCAAATGCTGTAGCTTGCACCACTTTTCCTCTTCTGATCCTACAGGTAGGACAACAGCGTTGCCGTTGATGGTGGCACTGATGGAACCCATCTGTGTTGTGTTCATGCCCATGAGCAACGAAGCCAGCGAACTACGGCCGGGAGCCCTGCGGCCTTCAGGTGACGAGTTTCTGTTGTTGGTAGCAGGCCTATGCGATACCCAGTCGTGGACGAGTAGCGAGACATTGGGATTCGCGGTGAGGTTGACGGTCTTGCGCGAGGCTGGATTCGAGGTCATGATGATCACAGGACCAGCAGGCATCTGCGACTGCGAGTCGGCAAAGGGATGTGAGGCGAGGTAGGTGTAGTTCATGAGGGCGACATGAGGTTGCAGCTCTGTGCAGGTTGCCAGATGGAGCTGGTATGGGGGTCAGCGCATGTCGGACAGCAAGCATCAAGGTGGGGTGAACGGACGTAGCGGGCATTCTCGAGACAGTTGACGACTTCGGACGGTAGAGACGTGGCTAGCTGAGGTTGTGTATGGGTGGAGGTCTCCCAGGTCAAAGGAGCGTGCGCGTCAGACATGATGGTTTGGTAGCGATTGTGTTGTGGATACAGAGAAACAGCAGCAGCGTTTGTTATGGACTTGAAGATCGAGACGCTCTCCAGATCGAACCATGACGCTGCCGAGCTGTAGCGCGCGGTCCGAGCCCCCCAGCATTCGTGTCCGGCCAGCCAAAGACGCGTGTGCCAAGGACATCGTCTCCATCCACCTTCTGTACAATACCCATTCATCGCTGCTCTCTGTCTCAGCCCGCGCCGCTTGGTCATACAGATCTCACCATGTCGTCCGACCTCCCGCGAGACAGCGACCTTGCGACCAACGGCGACTCGAACGGGACCTTGCAAGATGTACCCACCGTCGCGCCCGCAACTACCGCAGCGCCCGTGTCCAAACATGTGGAGAATGTCATGTACTCAGACGTCTGTTGTGTCGCATCCCGAAACACGAGCCCGTCGTCTGACTTTTTGTAGATTGGAATAAACACCTTGTTGAATCGTCTCAAGCAGAGTATTGCATCTTCGCGCGTACGCTTCACCTCATCACTTCCGCTGTTAGCGCTAGGCTGAACATCACCCCCAGGACTTTTCCGACTTCTTGAAAAAGCGTGGAGCAGTAGAAGAAGACCATGCCAAAGGATTGCGCCGCCTGGTCAAACAGACGACCGACAACATCCACTCCAAGGAGTCGAGACAAGGCTCTTATGTCACCCGTCTGGATGAGGCTATGCGCCTCCACGACCGAATCGCCGACAACGGCATGCAATTCTCCCTGGCTCTGCACCAAATGCACGAAGATCTGAATGAACTCTCGCTTAACATGGAAAAGGGCAGGAAACACTGGAAGCACGAAGGCTTGAATGCTGAGAAGCGTGCTACCGATGCCGAGACCGCCATGGAAAAGGCAAAGTCCAAGTACGACGGTCTGGCAGAGGACTACGACCGTGCCCGTACCGGCGATGCCAAAGGAACCAGACGCATCGGTCTCAAGGGTATGAAGAGTGCTCCTCAGCACGAGGAGGATCTTCTCCGTAAATTGCAAGTCGCAGACTCGGACTACCAGGCCAAGGTTCAGGCAGCAAAGTCGCAGCGAGAAGACCTCATTAGAACCTCTCGTCCTCAAGCCGTCAAAGCTTTGCAAGAGCTGATCAACGAGTGCGACTCGGGACTCGCTCTGCAGCTCCAGAAGTTTGCTTCTTTCAACGAGAAGCTTCTCCTGGGCAACGGTATCGCTTTGAGCCCACTGCCTCCCAGCGACCCCTCGGCTCCCACCCAACACAGTCTGCGTGATATTGTGCTCGAAATTGACAACAAGGCCGACTTTGACAACTATCTGACTGGTCATGTCTCGAAGATTCCTGTCAGGACTTCTGACATCAAGTACGAGCAACACCCGACACTCAAGCCAAAGCAGCAGACTCCCACTCCAGCCAGTCGCCAACCCTCTTCGACGCTGCCGGGCCCAGCGCTTCCTGAAACACCCTTATCAAATGTGACGACACAGCAAACCACTTATGCCACTTCGCCTGGACCAGCTCCCCCACCAACAGTACCTTCCCCAACTCAGCCTCTCTACGGCCCTGGCAACCCACCATACCCCACAGATCCACCTCAGTCATACAACAGCGCACCTTATCCTACCACTTCGGGCGCACCTCGTGGCTTCTCCACCTCGACCCAAGGCACTGGCGCACCTTATTCACCTGCTACCCCAGGCAGCATGGGAGCACAGCAGAGCTTCTCATCGCAGCCTCGCGCTGTATCACCTGGTCCCGTCGCGACTGCTCTGCCTCCGCCCCTCAAACCCGTCTTTGGTGTCAGCCTAGACGAACTATACAACCGAGATCAGACCGCTGTTCCTATGATCGTCTACCAATGCATGCAAGCTGTCGATCTCTTCGGTCTTGATGTTGAGGGCATCTATCGTCTCAGTGGTACCGCCAGCCATGTCCAACAGATAAAGGCTCTCTTCGACCATGGTATGTTGATCTACACCCACTGACTGAACTCAATTAACCTCATTGCAGACTCGCAAGTTGTCGACTTCCGCAATCCGGCATCCTTCTACCACGATGTCAACAGTGTAGCTGGCCTCCTCAAACAATTCTTCCGCGAGCTTCCCGACCCTCTCCTAACGCGCCGCTCGTACAACAACTTCATAGACGCCGCTCGCATCGAAGACGCCACCACACGTCGCGACGCTGTTCACTCGGTCATCAACGAACTTCCTGATCCCAACTATGCCACTCTCCGAGCTGTGGTTCTGCATCTCAACCGCGTGCAAGAGCATTACGCCAAGAACCGGATGTCCACTTCGAACCTGGCCATCTGTTTCGCTCCCTCGTTGATGGGCTCGCATACTGGTCCACAGATTGCGGACGCAAGTTTGCAGGCGAGGGTCTTGGATACTATTCTAACGAATACGTACCAAATTTTCGATGAGGACTGAGCTGGTCAAAGCTACCTAGACGCTGATTATGTTGATGATGGGACGTGTATTGATCTGCACCTGGCGTTGGATGTCTTTATTAGCGATCGAGTGTTTCTTGCTTTTCTCAAGATACCTTTGTCTTTTCTTTGCGATCCGAAAAATAGCATTTTGTTCTTGCACCGTCTGTCTTGTTACTAGGCCGATTTTTCTTAGCACTGGGAGCACGCTGACTTTCTTCGTGTTTCCCCTCAAAGAGCTCTCTGTCCTGGGAGTCTCACAGTGCATCATGATGGCTCGTCTTGCTCAACCCTTCCGATCGGGGATCCCTCATAAATGAGTTCTTCCTCCCCTTATGCCAAGGTTCACCCTCCCCCCTTGGTATAGAGAGCTGAGTTTTCGCTACAAGAACTCACAAAGATCTTCACACCAGAGTTGAATCCATAAGAAACAGAGTGGCTGGCCTCTCTCATCGGATACCTTCTGTGACTCGAAGACATTGTGCATATCTATAGCGAACACGTGTGAGGTAATGCGGATGAGAGTTCACTGACCACCTCTCCATTTCTTTCGCTTCGACCTTCCAACCACTCTCAACACACACCTACTTCCTTCCCTCACATCACCAACTGTGGCTTTCTTCTCGGATCCACAAGAAACAATTTTTACCATCTTTTCCCCATCCCCACCTACAGGTCAGCATGCCTGCCGACAATTCTGGCCGAGTTCTATTGCAGTAAACTACTGCAGTTTCTATGTGCGTATAGCAGAACTACACACTCACTGGTTTGATCGTAGTCCTAAGCCTCGAGCAGATCGTCTCTCACTTTCACTCGGAAAGCTGACCTCCATCATCAGCAGTTGCTCCTTGCTACGTTTTCTTCTTCGCAATCCCCAAACATCCTCGCCGGTGAGTATTCCCTCCAATCGAACGAGTCAACGGTATAGAGCCACCGAAAGGCTGAACCACTTGCTCTCGCCAGCACAATCCAGCCGCTTCCGCCATATATCAGCCTATCGCGAGGCTCTTTCTTCTCGACAGTCCGACTCGCTCTCGCTGGCGCGCAAAGAGGTCGTCCTTCACTTTTTGTCTGCTCCTCACTAACCAACGCGACGATCTCTTCGCTTCCACCTACCTCTGCGACTCTTCTACACAACTCCTCCAACCATCACCTCTACCTATCTCTTCCCTTTCCCACACTGCTCAGACACTTTATCACTGCGGTCTTCTGCGATACTTGCCACCCTTGACCAAGTTTCATGGGTTCTGTCGTACTTGGTCAAAGTCGCCAAGTACAAGCCAACACAACTTGAGGAGTAAGTAACGGGTTACCAAGGTGGATACTCAGTTACTGACAGTCCACAGACTTGTCTTCCCTACCATAACCGATCACCAAGCCACCACATATCACCAAGATCTTCCACCAAGTTCAAAATGCCTACAGCAAAGCGTATCACCGCCGACGCTCTCGACAATGAGCCCCCTCTGAAGAGATACAGACTGGATGATGATCAAGTTACAGAAGGTGTGGACCGACTTGTGGCCCACTATAAACTTGATGCAGCTCAAAAGGCAAGATTGGATCGCGTCGCCAAGATAACTCGATACACGCCCACCGTCCGCGAAGTTGAGTGGGTCGTGAGAGCGGCTGAACTGCCCAGTGATGGTACCAACTTGGACATGTGGATGTTCGCATACATGGAGTACTTTGATTGGTTTCTGCGAAGCCAAGGCCAAGACCACAGACTCTGGACCGGCGCACTCAGGCGCTACGACAAGCGAGTTGCGTATCTATGGATTGGATTCAAGGGCGCTTCCAAGTCTGGTCCAAAAGGCACTCTATACTTCGACGGACCACAGGGCCCGAACAAACCCAAGAACGTATTCAGACCTCCTTTTTGGGCTCGCTGCTGGATCACTTGGCACGAACCCTTGGAGACTTTGTTCGCGCTGGGCGAGAACTTCTCCCAAGATATCACCGACGACTCCGCAAACAAGATCGCTGCTGGCATTCAAAATGAAATCTTGAAAGCAGTCATGAAAGTTCTGGCTCGCTTCCCTGGACTGATCTCGGAGCTCGAAGACGAAGATCAGTCTATCATCTACCAGCTCCACGCACGTTACAGTGCGACACCATTTAAAGACAGAGAGGCATTCGACCCAAGTGGTCCCCTCGCCAAGCTCTTCGAATTACTCTGCACGAAGTCCCAGGAGTCCACGCCCAAAAAGACACCCTTCAAGACACTCGAGCAAGAATACGAGGAGGCATCCGTATCAGTCAAGGCCGCCAAGACCCTCATCCCAAGAGGACGCGGGGCTATGTAGCTCACCTCACCCAAGAAGACTACCAAGGAGGAACACCGACTTGGGAATGGGACTGAAGTTGTGGTTGCGTTTGGCCCTGAAACCCCTCGGGCCCTTCGAATGAGAAAGATTTGAACTTGGTCTGATACACGACGGATGACGGTCAAGTGGACAGGGATCAAAGGCTGGCACACTCGATTGATACAAGGAAGCGGGACGAAGAGACAAGACAGGATCGAGGAAACGCAACAGTGACGAAGCAAAGGAACCAAACGAAAGAGAGAAACGAAAGAGAACAAAAAGGAACGAAGAAATAGGACATAACAATGATCAATTCCCATAAGTACTTGGCAGAAATCCATAATCAGTTACCAAGTCTGCATGCTTTTGAACATAATACTATATTCCTCTGCTCTATCCAAGTATGTGATGCGTGAAAACGTGTGTTCGCGCCATAAAATTGTAAGCCTTCCCAAAATCTATCGTGATTCGTACAAACAAAATTCCTTAGGAAGCCTCTAAGGAAAAGATCTATGTATTGTAATCTATTTTTGGCCGAGCTGCAGTCGTAGAATGGTATTCACATGCAGGCAATAAGATACCTTACCCCCGCTGTAGGCTGATGAAAGGGACAAATCGCACGAGTGGGAGGCTTCTTGCGTCAACACTCAATCTTCTACCCAAGTATGATTTCGTTCATTTCTCCTTTGGATCATCTTCTGGCCCATACTTCGAGTATGGCACTTCTGGCAAGAGGGAGATCGTCGGTAAAGCCCACATCTTTCGCATCAAGGTTGGGAAGGCTGATTTATACTTGATTCGAGGATCATAGACGACGAGCAAAGGCCAAGGTACTGACGGTGATTTTACTCTCAACTCGTAACTACTCCCCGAAATGATACAACAGAGTGTCTGATATCACGTTTGAGGATGAAAGTTGGGGCGGTACGGTCATTCGTTGATGTTAAAGCATAGATGGATGAGGACGCCTTGTCAACTGTGTCTGGAGGAAGGCACAGTTATCGACAAAGCCTGGGATTGACTAGCAGCGACAACAGCAACAGCAGCATACATCTTTTAGCAGGGTCGTTGTTCGCTGCTGCAAGCTCCTCAGGCGTGGGCTTGTCGTCATCGATTCCATTGAAGTATCCTGTCTCGTCTTCGTCGACTCCCTCGTCATCTCCATCGCTTAGTTCACCTTGGTCTCCACTGTTGAGGAAGGCGGTGAACTTCTGGTATGGATTTTCGTCGCGATCTTCCTCACGATCGGCGAAAGGAAACTTCTTCCAACCTCCATGAATTCGATAGAGCTTGTGATCATCCTCAGGATGACGGTCGCACACAAGTCCCAAAAAGCGAGCCAGAACTTTGGCAACAGCGAGGATGTGAGCATCTTGCCACCTGGCCACGGCTTCGGTAGTTTCTTTGTCGTTCATCTTCATGTTGTTGAGCTCGAAGATTATGTTGAGCGGCTCGTGCTATTCGATATGCTTGCGAATGTCTGGAGTTATGTCAAGCTTGATATCTTCGCTATCTTCGTAGGTGTGCCCAAAGAACTCGAGATGGGGTAGATCGTCTGCGGTATGGCGCCAGCCAACCCAAGCTTCGCACTCATCTTTGTATGTGGCCAGGTGACCGACAAACAGGCGGTATGTTTCCTTGTATGGTCTTAGACACCATGGGTAGAACTGCATGAACCAAAATACCGGGATGTTGAGTATGATGTCTTTGTCGCGACCAGGGACAAGGTTGGCCTGCACGGTCAACCAGCAAAGGTGGTCTGTGTTGAGATCCGTCTTGTGCTGTCTGGACAATTTGACATAGTTGCTCAAATTCAACTTTCCGTCCCAGGCATCTTGCCTTTCGGACCATGTAGCCTCAAAGCGAGGCACATACTTTTCGAGCACCGTCTTCATGCCTGGATCTTCAAAGCGAGAATCTTCATGACTCTCTGGTCCATTCTCTTTGTTCTGGGCGCTGTGCTCGATTGGACGGAAGTCGGCCAGATCTTTCAGATCGTTGAGTCTCTGTCTCAACTCCTGAGCGTCCATTTTCTTGGATCCAAGTTTGTTGACTCAGTTCCTTTTGACGGAAGGATTGGGCGAGGCGTGTCGAAGTAAGGATTAACTTGGAAGGAGGAAGAACTTGGGAAAGGCTGTAATGATTGTTGGTGGTGTGGCTGGAGCTGAGTTCAAGTTAGGTTCTGGAAGCGTTGAGATGGGAAGAGAAAAAGGGGGAGAGGATTGGACCGACCTTGATTCTGCTCAAATAGAAGGGCGGATGTGAAAGTGGAGGATTCTAGAAGCGCGGCGAAGGTCGAAGCAGTGACGTATTCGAAATGTATGTTATTGTGTGGTTCTTTCACTGGTCGATGGAGACTCAAGCGTTACGATTCCAGCCGGTTTGTGTATGGCCTGCAGTCCTTTCAAGATATGGGCTGCGATATCACGGCTCTCCGCTGGTCAATGTTGGTACTGACACGGAGATGAGACGACCGAGATGAAAGCATGTACTGGAGGATTGTGGTTGCAGGTGTCACTGGTCTACGAAGTGACGTGCGAAGGAGGGGTCAAGAAGTGAAGTTTCGTCGTTTGATATTGATAATTCTGACAATGCAGCAAAGCACAATGAACAACTAAGAAAACGGTTATCAATCGTGAGATTGCCACCGTTTGTACCCCGGAGGGGTATTGGCAACCCTCTTGAAGGGGTTGTAATGCGTATAGTTGTTGCAATTTACGACATTCTCGAAAGCTGAATCATATTCATTGAGATTGATTTCATGCATCTCTTCCCTAAATCCTGCTCATCAAAACGATCTATCGGCTATACAATCAGGAATACTCGGGATTTGGAGTTACGATTTCAGTCTGTTCCTTCCTCGTCATTTTCCACATCAATCCGTCAATATTCAAACCAAAAGACTCGACGTTCTTTGTCAAGCTTCGCGCCACATCGAAAGATTTCCTCCATAACCTTCTAGTTATCGACAACCTAGGAAACTCTAGTACTTGGACCGGGAACCTTGGGTACTAACGACCAGGTTAAGAAGAAACAGGTACTCTTGACAGCCTCCACTTAACCATCAAAATGGACATACAGATTTTCCGAAACTTCGGCATTCCATCTAAGACGGGCCTTCAATTCTTCACCAACTTCAATCTACCTCCTGTCCCTACGGTCTCGAGCAATCTCTTGCCAAGGAAGCGTGCTGCTTCCGCAGACTTAATCAAAGGCCTTCCACCAAGAAACGCCAGACCGCCGACATTGAGGTTGAGCAAATTCCAGAGGTATTTGTCAGGCGTGAGGCCGAGATCTTGCTCGGCCTTGAGGCACTCCTACGACATCGTACGATAGAGCAGAGATATCGAAAAAGAGAGTTTTATTGACTTCGCCATGTTCCCGCTTCGTCTATGACGAAGTTGAGTGATGTCTTCCTCTCTATCTCATTCAGAGCTGTTGTCAGTAGACCCTTGACTTGGAGAACGTCAGCCCAATAAGTCATAACCCATGTCGTTACGGATGCCTGACACCCACGATGTTGACGGTTGCCAGGTTCATGAATTCCTCTCATGTCATGTCTCTATGAAAGTCCAGCGGTGATGGCAGATTCTTGGAGTCGCAGCTCTCTATTCGTATTTGCTAAGTATGCCATCGCCTGGCTACTTCCCATGCACTCTTCGACCGCCTGATCAAGGTAGACTTGGGTTTGCCTTCCATTCTCTTGGTTCCAGGCAACATGAATGCCAAACGGTCTGTTTCATTCCAAAGTATAGTTGCTCACTCCTCTCGAATATGCCAAAACTTTTCGTCATTCAAATGATCATCGGGTCCTGTAGCAATGTGCTTCTCGATCAATGCGAGTGTGTCGTCTTTCTTCACGCTGTCTGACGATGTGTTGAGGGAGGCGATGAAGCTATGCAGACGCATCTGGAAACGGTAGTCCCAAGTCTGAGCCTTTTCCCTATGGGTGTACCAGACTTCGCTGTGCTGCTGAGCGATACGGTGAAGTAGGTTGATGTCGTAATTTGGCTCAATCGTGACTGTGTAACCCAAAGCCTGCAACCTCTTCTCATGACTCGAACTCGAAGGCGATCTTGAGGAACTCTGCGAGAAACAGAAAAGATCAGACCAAGAACTTTTCCAGATGACACAAGTACCTCATCGTTTGGACGAGACCGAAAAGACGCAGCAGAAGTTTATGGAGAACTTGACCGAGCTGCAAGACCGCACTTCGAGAAGAGTTCGTTTTGAAACTTTCAAGAAAGAACGTGCTGATGTCAAGAGGAGATTTGACGAAGTCCACCGTCAATTGGAAGACCGAACAGTCCATGCTGTCAGGAGAGGAGAGCACAAGGTTCTCGAGCATGATCTTGATCAAGATTCCCCAAACCTCGAAGATGATGGCGGCGAGGACGACCGCGAAGCCCAAGACATGGTCTTTGATCAAGAAGATGACCAAGAGCAAAGACCAGTCGATTACCAAGTCGAAATTTTTGAAGAAAATGGAGACAACAATCTCTACGACTACGATGACATCGATCTGCTCCAAAAGGGCCCTCCAACCACCAGTTCCGACGATGGTGTTGCAGAATCCGACGATGATGTTGCAGAATCCAACGATGGAGAGGACTTCTCTGTCTGGCTTGATGATCATGGCGACCTTCAAACAAATGTCCAAGACCCGGATGATACTTGGAACGATCTTCTGGAAGTCTGGGTGAAGCAGAAAGCAGAGTTTGAGAACAAGAACAAGGATTGGCTGTCTGTCGACTTGAAGAAGCTTCCGCTGCAATGTTTGAGGACCGTCGTGTTCCCTCGGACTCAGAGATGGACCAAGTCGAGTCCTGGCGCATACGCGTACAGTAATTGTGCGAATAAGCAGAAGATCTGCTTCGGAGAAGTAGATGGTCGATTTACCGCTCTTCCTCTCCCAGCTGAAGCTCTTCCTGAGGACGTACCAGGTGTAATGCGGCTTTTTGTTGCGGAAGTGAATCTTGTCTCCAGAATTTATCGCTGTAGTCACGTCTGGAGAGACTAGTCTAGGACGAGCCGAAGGACCCTTAGCTACGAACCTCGAAAATAAAACTTAGCATGGACTCGTTATAGCTCTAAGTTTAGCTTAAGAACAGTAATGTATACATAAACTTGTTAATAACAATACACTTATTCCAAAAGCGTTATAAGAATTTGCATAGAGCATATTGTTAGCTTTATCTATTAGGTAGATAGGATCAACGTAGAAAGAATAAAATAAACCTCTTACTAGAACTAAAACGTATAAGTCTCTAGATAACCTTTCCACAAGATAGCGAAATCATACTTCATAAATCACTCGGCGACGATGTTCTTGGTCCTTCTTTGATGAGAAACGCAACTCTCTGAATCTGGAGAAAGTGCCTGACCAGAGGCAGGCACGACCCTGGAGCTGGTCGACACCATTGGGCTGCTCGCAATGAAACCCTACCTACCTCTGAATGACAAGATTGAGGATTCAGAGCAACCCGAAGTCAAGGTTGTCGTCTTTCTGGCATGATATCCACTCCATACATCTCTTATGCAGGCGACCAAACATATTCATCTCGGAATGGAACTAAGGGTTTGAGAAGGTCAACACGAGCATAAGTAGACAAAGAATCTTTTCTGATAGCAGCATCTATCTGTCGTGAACCAGATACATTATAACACAAGAGTGAGCTTTGTGCGGTTGTATTTGACCTTTCAGCTCTACCCCTTTGATCTCACTCGCGCTTCAATCGAAACGTGTATACCATGCTCTGTGTCCAAAATTGAGCTTGTACGATCTACTCCTGGATTTTGCTTTGAACACTGTAAGCGAAATTCCTGATTTCGAAGACCATCCGTCACCAGCATGTCTGACCGTCTTGATCATTGATTTGTCCATGGTTTCTTGTACGCTTCGTCCATCCCTTTGTATTCCTATTTCTTCTTGGTGGGCCTTCTTGAGCTACATGGCTTGCGCCTCGACAATTTTGCTTTCGGCACAGGTTCTGAAGAGCTTGAAGATTCTTCCTGAAACGACATGCGGAACTTCTTGGGAGGTTGGGGTTCAGCGGACATCTGGTCGGGGGCCAGGGACATGGCAGAGTCTCCGTCTGCATCCAGGTTTGAGGCCGAGCCGCCCTCGTGAAGTTCGCCTGGAGATCTGGGAACCATTCAAGTTAGTAAGGCTACATGATTGAGAAGCGGATGGTTCTCGACCTACCCTGTAGAAGATATGGGTGCGAACCCCAGCTGCTGTAGAGCTTCGCCTGGAACATCAATTACTTCTCTAACTTCGGCGCGGATTCGCTGGAGTTGAGGAGTACCTTGTTGGGAGCTGATAGGACGTTGCACAGGTCTTTCGATATTCGCTTGTGAGTCCGGAAGCGTTTGGTCGGCATTCTTGGTATGGCTGATTTCGTTTTGAGACTGGCGTGCTAGCTCCCTTCTGCGAGTGTAGGACGTATGTTTCATCTTGAGACCCGCAAATGTGGCTTTGAGTTGTTCATGTTTGGCGATGTGCTCGTCACGTCTGGTCTTGTATTCCGTACGCATATTCTCGTATGCCGCAGAATCGACTTCGAGTCTACGACGTCTGACTTCGAGTTCCTTGCTTTTGGCTTCCATCTTGTCACGTTCAGCATCGAGCTTCGCTTCCATGACTTTGTGTTCCTCAGCTTCAGCTGTGAAAGATGCGAGCTCAGCTTTATAAGCCGCAGATTCAGCTTCGATATCCGCAAGCTCGTTTTGTAATGCTTGCTCTTGGTTGAAGGAATTGGGAGCCGATGATGCACTGTGATGGTACCAATTAGCAGGTATACAGGTTGGCAGTTGGATTTGAACCTGCCTTGCAACTTGTGTTGCGATTCCTGTTTCTTGATCAGCCTCGTCAGAGTCGTCCAGAATCTCTACAACGACGTTTCTGCCAAGCCCCATCGGGCGTACTGCCTCAGGCATATTTGAGGGTCCGGCTGAGGTTGAGTGATGATTCGCCATGTCGATGAGTTCTTTGTGCTGAGAGATGGCCTTCGAAGTTCGAATGACCACGATATCTCATCCCTAGGACTGTTGAATGAGATTAGACTGACACAGACAGAGCAGGCGACAGACAAACAGGAATGTATAAATGTGTCATGCGGCTTGTGGCGTCGACAGGCAGGATTGTTATCTCGCGTGAAGGATGATCCCTGAGCTGGAAGTGACAGATTAGTTTGGAGGCCGATCATATTTGTCGTTGTTGATTCTCGCGAACGCAAGTTCAATCGGCCAGGCGACAGAGTCTATCGGATCCAACATGCAAGAAGCACCAGGCCGACAGTGATCAAAAAACCCAGCATGCAAGAGGGGCACGAAAGAGGCGGGATGAGGACAGATGGCAAAAAAGACAGGAAGTAATAGGAACGTAGGTAAACGAGCTTGAGGACTTGGGACACTAGGTCGGGTGTGCTATCACTGCACCACCACGGCTTTTCTTGGTTACAACGACAGAATATCCAGATGAGATAGAGGTTGATTGAAGTAAGTGGTCACAAGGGCAGAAGTAGTGATGTGAGAGCAAGTTTGATATGGTTCCCTCCCGGGTACTTGATGCAATGAACACCTGTGCCAGTAGAAGAAGCGTCAGTACATTTTTACGCGCTGTAGACAACGACGACTCAAGTAGCTGAATCAAGTTTTTGATTGGCAGGGCAGAACTATTCCCTAACTCACCTATGCAGAGGTTACGGTAATGCGTCGACGCACGCGACTTACGCGATGTAGAGTACAGATGATACTAGGAGCTGACAGCCGTGTACGATTCTGCATCAGTCATCATGATGCTTGCTGATATAGTTTGATTGTGCTTCGGTGAATCAATCGAGACGACAATCATGGCTGTGGCACATGCTTCGCAAAACCAGCAGCACTATGGCACCTAGTAGGAGGTACTGAACGGTTCATCTTACAAACATGTAGTCTGCCTCATTAATGATGCGACGGCTCGGAACGATAATCTTGATGATAGCGAAGATTGAAGCCTGTGCTGTCTCGAGATGAAGCGTGGTCTAGCAGAGATGAACGGTCTGGAGGGCACAGCCACACAAGTCAGCCACGTTCCGCCACAGTGTGAAACAGCCGCCAATCGAACCTTCTACTTTCGACAAAACATCCCCATACCTCGCATCACCGACCATTCTATCAGACATGTTAATACGCCATTTGAGATTCAATGGCGTTGTGCCATACGCCAGAGCTGCCAACTTGCAGCAGGATTTGGTCACCAGATTCCTAGCACACAAGGCCTCTCCAACAACAGTGCCGGCCCCAAAACCCACCATCATTACTGCTCAATTTTCTCCTGTTTATACATGCGGTCGACGTGAAGTTGGCACTGTTTCTGAGGAACAGCAAATTTTTCTGAAGGACAATGGCAATGCTGAGTTCTACGAGGCCCTCCGCGGCGGTCAAACCACTTTTCATGGCCCTGGTCAACTTGTCGCATATCCTATCATCGATCTCAAAACACACGGTCTAACACCAAGAAACTACGTATGCCTGCTGGAGAAGACCCTCATCAAGACTTGCGCGCGCTACGGTATAAAAGCAATGACTACCGAGAACCCTGGAGTTTGGACAACGCCCGACGACAAGATATCTGCACTGGGTGTTCATTTGCGAAGAAACATAACCAGTCACGGTATCGGCCTCAACATCAACACTGACCTCAAATGGTTCAGTCGCATTGTTGCTTGCGGTCTTGAAGGCAAGCGGACCACCAGCTTTGAGAACGAAGGTGTTGCTGGCAAGTCTGTTGATGAGGTTGCTGATGCCTTTGTTCATCAGCTCGCTGAATCAATCGAAGGTATCGACGGTGTTGAAGAAGAGCTCCTCATATAGAATATTCGGATTGCCGGCGACTGATCCCCACATTGGAGTCATGGCTAGGTGTAATTATGCTTTGACGACCCCAAAGCATACTGCCTATAACAAACTCATCCGAGCTCAGTTGGAGCTCACCTCTCTTTCAACGCTCCTAAATTTTCGCGTCACTCTTTTGCCTCCACTTCGCATCTCTGGATCTCTATCTTCCATTCAATTCTCGACCCAGGTCCGACTTGCCAACTAACTCGCCAACGGAGCTACTGTCTCTTAATTCGGTGATATGGTGCTTTCCAGCCTCAAACGGCTGTCACGAGCTCTTTCGCTTCGCGATGCGACAACGGATGCAACTATGCCAGATCAATTAGACCAATCACAAGGACACATGGACCGACTGCTGCACATTCACCACCGCTCAAGCCCAAAGGCATCAGTCTACGAACATTCCTCAGCACACTCCGCGACTACACTCCATAATTCAGAGCACATACCGACAAATCTGTCGGCTCAGGACTCCATGGGCTCTTCAGATGCCATTGTACAAATTATGACTATCGGCGACAGCGTCATCACAGTGGAAACCCACAGAAGAGACTATGATGAGACTGAAGAAACAGTAGCCAAGCGAAGAAAGAAGAGTTTTGGTATTCGTAGGGTCAAGTCAGCTCCTGCAGCCACACTCAGTGTACCTTTGCACGGCTCTATCACGACCATAGAGTCTACACAGAACGACAATTGGCTAAGATCCTGGTCGTTTCCCTTGGTCAATTGGAAGGATCTCAACTTGGTACGTCGTATGCGTCGAAGCAGCAATCTCAAGCATGCTCGGAAGGAAGCTCGTAGGGGTAAAGCTTCTTGCGACTTGACCCTCGACCGACAGTCTTCAGGCAGTGCCGCTATACATGAATCAGCGGATTGTGCATATCCAATGATGTCTGGCGCTTATCAAGAGTCACCGTCGCATTTGAATCTTGCAACAGATGAGCCTGGCATCTCACCACGCACCTCGATCCATATGGGGACTGGACTTACAGACTCAGAGCGGAACGGCAACCATCCTGACAGCTCTAACGAAGGACAGATCCATCGCAAAGACTCGCACTTCCATGAAGCGAATCAGCCTAAAGAACGAGCTGCTGCAGAGCTGTCAGCAAGCACTAGAAGACTTTCGTCCGATGAGCGTTCCTCTGGACATTTGGCCTTCCTGTTGCGTCCAATAGATTGGTTCAAGGAGCACCACGCCTCGGTCTTTGGCCTTGAGTACTCAGACTCCTCGTCGTCCTCTGCCTCCGCTCCGCCGTCTCCAACATCCCGGCTATCGCAGCCACCTCGCCGAACAGAAGCATTACCGATCCCTCATACACGACCAGCTCAGCGCAGGATGTCTCTGGGGTCCACTCGGAGTGAGGTGTACATGGAACCTCCGCTTCATCTTCCGCCTGGCTTTGAGGTTCCAGGGGCGGGGCAAGCGGGCCCAGCCGACTGGCTGCATCGCGGCTGGGAAGAACACTACCGCCAGTCAGCAGAACATTCTCACCGGGCATGCCATCCTTTGGCCGCTGCACGCTGTCTTCCTACCAGAGCCGAGGAGCCGCAACAGCACAACGTATGCCAGGCAGGTCCTTCAAACAAGCATCCACGAGATCTAGCGGGACTTCATTCTCGGTCTTGGGAGCTTCCAGCAGGATGGAAGGGCAAAAGCCTCAGACGTCCTGACTGTTTGGAGTGCTCAGGAGCAGGGGGCGAGGGACACAGGTGTACATCTAAGGAAGGGGCATGTGTCACCACCATCACACTTGGCGAGTGCATGTTTGCGAAGGGGCTTGAGCAGCCGGCTGAATAGATACTAGAGTAATTCGACCAGATAATTGTTGTGGAATAGACAAGTGAAGGGGAATCAAACCATGACTCTTCTCAATCCTCCACTTCCACCCAACAGCCTGCGTCCACTAACTGCGCATCTGCCTCTTCCGTCTTCCCAACTTCCGTCTCTATTCCCACCTGACTGGTCTTTCCAGCCTTGCTCTTCTGTGCCTCCCTGCATGAAGGCCACCTGACGAGGATGCTCACCTTCCAACCAACGGAAAATGCATGTATAGCAGAAGACATAGCCCGTTTGTGCTGCCGTGGGTGTTTGAATAGCTGACAAGCAGATCGGACAATTTGAAGACGCAGTCGGCGGGGCGACGGTGAAGATTGGGAGGCTCGTAGTGGCCGAGACTGGGGGGTTGATCTTTTCCTTTTCTTCTTGTTCCTTGTCTTCGTCTTTCGCTTGGTCCTGTTCGTCGGCAGAAGTGGCAAATGTGACTCCAGACTTCTGAGCAGTTGCAGTAGATGGGACAGACTTTGGTATGCCTGTGATGGTAGGCGCAGGTAACTCCAACCCTTCTGCGGCTTTCCTACTCAATTGTCTTGCAAAGTCACTGGCATGCCACCATTCCAGGAACTTGAGTGCGAATATCGATGTCGGTAGTAAGATCTTCAGACTGCTGAGTAACCTCGGGTAAACGACTTGTGTGAGTGTCCGTGGACTGAGGAGCGATTGAGGTGCAGGCTTTGCACCAGAAACAGGCAAAGGAGTAGCAGCGGCGGCAGCAATGGCTTTGTAGTCTGCTGAATTCATTCTTCGTATCCGTGTGCCTATGAGCCAGAAGAAGGGATTATGGTACTTTGAGGTGTCGAAGAGGTAGGCAAGGTTGAACGCCAGCAGAGAGAAGTAATATGCAGCATTGACACTTGGGTATATTTTCCGCAGGAACCATTTGTAGTAGTGGAAAATTCGTTGCTTGTAGGTTGCATTGTCCTGCAGTGTGTCTCCTCGGAAGCCTGGTCCGAGAATATTGGCAGATGCGGCGTGGATGTCGTAGTGTTCGTCCAATTTGCGTTTCGTGTATGGTAGCAAGACCATGACGAGCAAGTTCTTCCAGACATCGTTGTTGGTGAGTTTGAGGGTCTCGCGGACTTGTTCGGGAGCTCCGATGGAGGCGCGAGGAATCTCGTGGCCTTTGGTGCGTAGTAACCTTTCTCGTTTGAGACCGTAGAAGTTTTCGGTGAAGCCGCCGCCATAAGTTCGTAAGTAGTGTCGTTCGACAAGAAGAGAGACAAAGGCGTAGAGTTCATCGAACGAGTTGAGGATGCGGAGGAGGTAGCGAGGATGTCGATGGGTCGCGGTGGCGAGGAGGTATCGTAGGGAAGGTGGTATGAGGGCGCCTAATTGTTGTTCAGACAGTAGCTCTGATTGGAGTGTCAGTCATGCGATGCTTGGTGTTGCGACAAGTATCATTGGGATACCGAAGAGGGAAGGCTTCTGGTCGTCAAGGCCGCTTTGCAAATTGGTCATGAACTCCATGGCTGTCGAATGATATAACTCATCCTACTCTGTTGTCGTGTCCCGTCCAGAAAAGACGCGAGAAAGTTGTTGTCTTGTTCTGACTGTTCATGTTTCGGTTCACATGCTGTTCGTGACGCGCATGTTCAAGTCTGGGGGATGCTCAACAGGCCGAGGTCGCTCGGTCTCGGCAGTCACTCTCAAGCCGATTTTCGTCAAACCCACCACCCTGCACCCTGCCGTTCAATCGGGTTCATGCAACTTGGCGAGTCTGCAGGCAATGAACACAACAGCATCTGACAAAGAAAAGAGTCCTTAGAGACATGATACATCATTGACATCTAATTCGATCTTCTCCCCAACCCTGGAGTCTTGTGCGGACCAATGACGACGATCAAAGGTTCGGTAAGGGTGTCAAATCTCTGAATGGTGTTTCTCATAATTTGGATGACCTTGGAAATGCCTTTTCACGCATATTGACATTTGCTTCTTTGAAACACATGTTGACATCGAGATCACTTCGGAGATTTATAGAGTTACTGTTATACCACTCGCCCAAGACTGTTGTAAGACTTCAATATCTGGAGCCGGGACTTGGGTCTAATCGTGAAAATGCAAATAAATGTCCGTCAACCTCATGTCTTAAGCTCTTGGACTCCGTTTGACTCGATATCACGTTTTAGTCGTCCCTCGGTCCGTCCATACTCCAGGTGCATCGCCTTGACACTCGCCTCGAGTTCGACAACAATATCGGGCATTCTTGAATGTAATTGATGCAAAGCCTCAAGTGTGTCTTGTACCTCGGGGCTATGGGCTTCCTCCGCCTCCGTCTGGTTATCTGCCGTAATCTTTGCGTATTTCTGGCTCTCCTCCGCTGTCTGGGCACGTAGAGGATCCACATGATCTTCGTATACCTTCTTGTTGGTATGAGCCGGGGTTTTCTCCTTCGCCCATTGTGTGAACTGACCATGTCAGACCAGGCTGCTTGTACATCGGCTTACTGTTTGAGCCAGCTGGCCAATGTGAGAACTCTGCCCTCTGTCCATGTAGCCGTGTCCGAGAAGATGAAAGAAGTTTTCTGCTAAAGAGGCTTGCTCTGGTGCGTAGCAAAGATATATGACAAATTGGTGCAAAAAGAACTTTCCCAGGAACTTGATGTAAAGTGCCATGGTATCCAAGAGTTGACATGTTTGTTTGGTAAACAGAAAGCTTAGAACAAAAAGGAAGTATATCGGCAGTCCGATGGTCGAGGTCCTGACAAAGGCTAGACGTCTCTGCCTGATATAACCAAGCTCAAGACGTACACGAAGGCTGGAAATTCCTTTTCTTCACCATGATCTTCGCAACTATCTTCCCATAGACTCTGATCAGGCACTCTTTCCAAGCTGCTCTCCACAGAACACAACTCTTGCACTTATCTGGTCTGTTGTGCAGGAAGTCTGCCAAAGCAAAAATAGCCTGCTCCTCCGTAGCCAGTTCAGTGCTAGGCAGGCCTTGAGCGAATCTCAAGAACAAACGTACCAAGTCACTCGCTGTGGTCGATAGTTCTGCATCTGTTTGCGACGCAGTAAAACCAGGATGGAGGTCTGATCTGAGGCTTGGTGCTTCTGCCTCGTTGACGGCGACGTATGGTTCCTCAATACCCAGCTCAGGTTCTGCAATGAGAATGTCTGGAATAGCGGCCCCGTGGAAACACCATGCTAAGCAAGTCATCAGTGACACGAGCCAAGGAATCGCGAAACCGTCGTCGTCAATATGTTTGGGAAGCGAGAACGTCATGGTCTCGAGGTTGAGGTCCATGGGTAGATCTTCTGTGTGTACAAGGTGTAGTGACTCCTTGATCAAAGTCACGTCGCAAGAATGGAAAGCATAGCAGATTGGTGTATCAGGTTCGAAGAGGAGCAATTCACCACGGGCCAGTCTCACAGCGCGCGAGTCAAAAGGTTGGCGAACTTGAATTTCTGAAGATGTTGACCTGATCCGTGGACGCTTCTCCCTTGTTGGACCTGTCGGCAGATCGGGTATGTCATGTGGTGATCGGGCACGCTTCCTACTCGTAGACAAAGTTTTGTGATCCATGAGGAGTTATCCGATTGGGTAGCGCAGATTCGAATGTGGGAAGCAGGTCTTCAATACCTGAAAGCAGTGTGAAAAGCAAGCCACGGAATGTAGGAATAAGCTCGAAATTATATCCTGATGCTGGTATTGTGATATAAGGTACAGCTGCTGCCTGATCAGTGCAGGGTATCCACATGAGCACAGGGATGACTCTGGCATGACTTTGCCTTGATCAGGCAGAGAAGAGGAGCCGAAGAATATCGACAAGCCCAGAGGAAATAGATCCGAGGTGAAGATCCTGTATAGATGATGAAAAGTTGATAAATAAATACAAAGAATTGAGAAATAGAGATCGGAAGCAAAGTAGAAAGAGCCAAACGCTCAGTGATGATGAGCAGCAATGCATGATGGCTTGGCGCATAGCTGTCGTGTAACCCATTAAACTCCTCCGCTGATTGAAAGCAGTAAAGCTCCTTGACGAAATGCTAAAGCACCTGTTTCGTGTGGTTGAAAGAGGCTTCTGTGAAAGTGGACGATAGCCTAATCGCGATGAAGGAAATCCTTGACCTTCTGCTTCAAGCTCGGCGAAGATTTAAGCGAAGGATCGTCTTGCTTTTCGTATTCCTCTGCGACCACATCTTGTTGTTCGACACCCTTGGCCCAGCCTCCAGGAACAGTCTCAACACCCTTGTCTTCGGCGACAGCGTTTGCGTCAAAAATCCGTTGGCCTGCAGGAGCGGCACCGGGAGATGGGAAGTCTTGTCTTTCGGAAGTTGGAGGAGCGAGCTTGCTCGACGAGCTCAAGTTGAGGCTCTCTGGAGGAGCTTGACGAGAACCGCGTCTCAGAGTGGCAGTGTTGTCGGTAGGAGATAGTTCAGACGAGGAAGAAGCTGTAGGTGCAGTCTCGACGGCGGTAACGATGGTGGGTTCGACCTGGCTGGATATTTTGGACATGTTGATGTTGTTGGGGGTGTTTGTTTGTCCGTAGAGAGGCGGGTGGGCAAGCAGATGGTGTATAAAGGCCGTTGGGCGACAGGAGATATATATTTATCTCTGGGATGGTCAGTCGCGCTAGGGCCTACGTCACGGTCGGGATGGATTCGACCACTCCAGGACATGATTTGCACAGCTCCACACAGTTCCCGTGCGGTAAGCTCACGGATACGAGACATAAGCAGAGAAAGATCTGACTCGGCTTGCGCGTCTGGAGATTTTTCTCAGGAGCAGCAAATTGGGTGAGAGTGGCAGTGTAACTCCTACAGGCAGATCCACGCGCAGATACATGTATACGATGCGGGTGAGATTTTGATGGCACACTACAGGCGCATCCTATGCAAAGCATGTGAAGATAGACGGTCTCCTGGAACAAATCAGCAATGATGAGCCAGGGCATGCCTCGTATCTGGCTGCGTGTCGACAAAGCATCGAATGCTGTCTCGGTAGCGTGTTCCGTCTTGTGAGAGGACTTGGAGACGTTCTTTCAATCGAGCCAACAGCCAGAACTTGAGCCCTCTCGAGGAAGGTCACCGTGGCACCATGACATATACTGCATCAACAAGCTAATAATCGACTTCTGTGTAATTATCTGCAGTTCTCGAAGATGGTTGTCTGTACATTTTTCGGAGGCTCCATGAAACTCTGTACAAATCTCTTCAGCAGAAGGTCTCGACCCTTGTTCACCCCGCACTTTTCTGTACGTCACTTTTCAAAGCAAAGACACAGCGGCGAACATGCATCACCGTCTCGCAACAAAGCCCTAGGATTGAAGACACAGTACAGGCAAGAGGAGGACGCGCAAACAGTATGGCGCTCGACCAGCAGCGCAATTGGACCATCTCCATGGCCGAGAGCCTGCAGGCCGTGAAGAACAAGACGGCCGCCAACAAGGACCCATCACTCGATCAATCATCGCTCTTTCCAGTCCGAGACGACGACCCCAAATCGCACAACTACCGCGCCACCGAGCCAGCATACCTTCCCAATGAGCTCGTCCTTGACATCCTCGAATATGTCGCCATCTCGGCCGAAGCCCAAAAGTCGCTATACACATGCTGTCTCTTGACGCGACAATGGCTCATGGCCGCCCTTCCTTACCTCTACGCATACCCAAAGATCTACGGCAAGAACTACGAACCCTTCTGCCGCACTATATGTCCTTCAATCAACCTCCGCATCAAAGAGAGTCCTCTGGCCGGGCTCGTAAAAGTCCTGAACCTAGGCATGCTAGTCCACCACAGCAGCAAGAGTGTCACAGCAAGAGTCTTGCGAAGAACAGAAGGAAGTTTGGAAGAGTTTGTTGCTCCACAGGCCTCGTTCGCCCTCAATAGCTATGCTGCCCTGTCCAAATCCCACAATCTGCGCAGTCTGGACTTGTCTCTCGTTTCCGAAGCTCAACCCTTGGACATGCTCTTCAAGTCGCTCAGATCATTGAATCACCTCGAGCGTCTGCGATTCCCGCGCTCATCTGGCTTCGGCTCCAATACTGTCAATCCCGACTCGATCATCTGGCCACAGGCCTTGAAAGATCTCCACATAAGCGGTGGTATTGATGCGAACTTCCTCTACGGCATTGTCCACTTTCCTCCCGCCCTGGAACGCTTGACCATCGAACACTGCCCCCAAGCAAAATCTCACGCTATTCGTCAACTACTCTCCACCCTCTCGCGCGCACACCTACCTCTCAAAGCCCTCTCACTATCACACATGCCACGACTGGGCTCAAGCTCCCTGGATCCCGTACTTGGCCTATTTCCGGGCCTTGAAGAACTCAGCGTCAGCGTTGACTACATCACTCCTGCCATCTTCAATCCTGACTTCCAAGAGTGGCAATCTGAAGATACGCCCAACTTCCTCGATCACAAGCTACGCATGCTCAGCTTCACCAACTCTGGCAACCCTGGTGTCGACGACAAGTTCTCGCCAATTGATGTTCTCCTCACACTTGACGAGGGCTCGTTTCCAAGTCTGCGCCGGGTCAAAATTGCAAAGAGCTTGGGATGGGATCGTGGCGAGACCCGAGACGAGACTGAGGCCCTGATCGACAGACTTCAAGAGCTCGGAACAAAAGACTATGACAACAAGACGGGTGTGTACGCAAGCATGTCTACACAGCAATGGAAGACCGCCGACTGGAAAGACTGGGCTGGTGTTTGGATCATTGATTGAAGTGCGATTTTTCTAGCTCTGAGGTGGGCGATTTGCCAGCGTACTTCGAGGCACGCTTGGATTTGTTCATACCACCTCGCACCTTGACCTCATAACGTCGCATCTTGTTCTCTCTCATCATATGCATGTACATAATATAACGAATTACGATTTGATGGCCTCAATCACACGAATCTGATTACCTCACATCAATTACATCTTTGTATCATGTTATCGCGACAGAGTTGCGAGCGGTGATAGCATTTCGCCTTGTCCCACTGGTTCCAGGCACCAGTATCGGAGACACCGGCTGTCCTATCCTGGTGACACGTAGGGCAACAAATACGGGTCAAAAGACATCTGCTCTAAGTCGTCGTCACAACCGGATTTGAACCGACCTGCGCTGCATACAGCGTTGAGCAGAAAGGATGTGGTTCGCAACCTTCATCCTCAGTCTTCTGAGTATAGCACTGGCTACCGCGACACCCTCATACCTCGCCAAACTGGCCAAACACCATCATCATTCCATCTTTGGAACACAGATTCCGCCACCTTCAACAGCGAAATCTTTTCCATTCCTGGCTCTTCCACCAGAAATTCGCCTCCAGATCTACCGCTATGCTCTTCCTCAGCGTCAAACCATCATCCTCACCAAACCATCAGCAGCTCATTGTCCTTTCCCGCCTTCATCCTCACCTCTATCGATATACCTTCCTCAGGTGTTTGAAAGGCTTCACTACGGCTGTCCCTGTCAAACCCGCCTGACGCCGCCGTTTTTGCCACTGCTCCAGACATGCAAACTCATACGCAACGAAGCCCAGGAGCTTTTTTACAATAACAATGCTTTTGTATTGAACATTGATATCCCCAGGACTTTGCTCAGGATCCCTGAACTGCTTTCTCTGTTCGACAATGGAGGGGATGTTTTGGCAATGATCAAAGACTTTAGAATCAGAGTGGGAGGCAATGTCATGGTTGATGTTTGTGGTCCTAGCAGTAGGTGGAAGAAGTACGGAGGGAAGGTGTTGGTTGCTAGAGTTCCTGCTGATGAGATAACGGGGTTGTTGAGGAGTGAAGAGAACATTGGGGTGTGTGTTGAGAAGGTCTTGGATGACGTGGGAGCGAAGGGAAATGTGAGCGCTGATCTCGTGAGGAAGATTTTGGATGAGGTGTTCTGGAATTGGGAAGGTGGTGCTTGAGCTGGAGAAAGCAGATATCACGCGCTTACTCGCCCTCAGTTCCTCTCCTCGAGATATGCGGAAGATTGCGTCCTCAACCAGAAAACATGCACGGTAGCTACGCAGCCTCTGGAGCATCCACTGAGAGCCCTCGTTCAACTACCTCTCACTTGGCAAGCCCCACACTCGGACAACACCATGCAAATCGCCAGGTCGCGATTTGCTGTGAGCTAATGGGAACTTGCTTACATGCTTTCACTTTCAGTGTTCACTTGCAGTCGTTCAGGGATGCAAATCATCACTTCCTCTGGCGCCTCTCATTTTCTGGACAGTACCGTGTATAGCGACAGCTACTATAACGGTCGCTCTGGTCCGGGGAGACGGATCGACAATAGCTCAGGGCACACGATATAAAATCTACACCCTTTCCTTCTCTCCACTCTTCTTTTTCGATCCTGCACCCAACAGCTCGTGGTCGATAATCAATCCACTTCAATTCATCTCCAACTCACTCTATCAACTTCTTTCAGATACTTCGCCAATATCTTCCAAGTCTACAGTCAACGATTTGATAACTCAACTGAGACACCAAGTCATCTTTCACTCAAGCTAATACGACGAAGTTCAACTTGATCGGACTTCGCCAATAGCATCAAGTCTCCATCAACATAATTATACAAGCACAAGCAAGACTTCGGTGTCAGCACGAAGTTCAAGTCTCCTGGCACAATCTTCGACGTCAGACACATCTTGAGCTGTGGTTAGATATGACGACCCCTGCTGCCTCTCCTACCGAACAGTATGGAGCAGCCGAAGTTGGCGTCGTCGTTCGAGACACCAGGAAGTCCAAGCCAACTCCACAAGTTGTTCGCTCCGCCCCCGTCTTCCTGCTTTACAAATATTACCTTCGACCATGGACTGACGCCGATGATCCCAAGCTGAAGACTTTGGAACAATTCTGCCGCCGCTTCAAGTGGATCCCTTCACTTGAGTTGATCAATTCTATCATCCATAAGGCCAACATCATCGACGAAGAGGTCCGCCTGAACTTTCCCATCTACGCTTTCATGGAGTTTCACAATTTCAAAGTATGCATCTCAGACACGACCGGGGAGCCCCGCTTGTTTGTTGGCCATCTGGTTCGTGAGCACGGGGCTACAGAAGAAGTTTGGGCTGGGTGGTCAGGAGCGAAGAAAGGTTCACGGGAACGTATCACAGCCGCCAATACGAGACTCTACCATGTACCCCGAGTTCAAAAGGAAACTTGTGAGATAGAGTTCAACCCGGAGGTGCGCAAGCATATCAGATGGGACTACGCCTTGGACGATCTCTTCGGACTCGGTCAGCTCCACCACATCAGAAATCTACAATGTATAGTACAGATCCAGAATGCAATCTTGCTCAGCGTCGCGAAAGTGTTACTTCGCTTCCCTGGTCTTATGCAATTGGCTGACTGCAGAAGACGCAGACGAGGATTTGGCTTCACCGAATGTTCAAGACGCCCCTTCACTCGATTTGACCGAGCTGGCAGGCGATCTCTCCCTCTCCGACATCCTTTCCAGGCAACTCTCGACATACTCAACTTCGGACCAAGTCCTGCAGACGGAGTGCACGACTGTCATCCCCCTGACCCTACCAAGACTTGGAGGCAGAGATATTTGGAACACTATCCTGAAGACAGCGAGTTCGACTTGGAATCGATACCTGATTCTGATAATACATGAGGACTCGATGAAACTTCACGTCGGATTGGGCCAGACTTGATTCAGGAGACGAAGTCTCTGGTTACCACACGAACATCTGCTTTCCTTTTGCTATTTGAGATTTCTGCGACTCGAAACTCCTGGGACTTGATATTTCCGCGATCTGACATTTCACTTTCTCCATGCAAACTTCGAGCTTTCTCTTTCAGTCAAGTATTTTCATCCCAGCAAGGCGAACACCAAGGGAGGACTCGGGTAATTTCTCGAAAACGTAGCAAAAAAAGAAATCACAAAAAAAGCTGTTTAGAGTAAACCTTGGTGTTCTTTTGTGCATTCATCTGTGAACTTCGTCCTTCTCTCTTCATTCATCACTGTCCAGGTCTTGGACATACGGCTTAGTTGCCATCGACTTGGTGGCTCTCGTGATGCTGGAGCTTGGTAGCAAGAATGTAGGCCTTACTTAACCATGAACGTGAAAGGTTATTACAGACTTGGAGCGACTTTGAATGACCTCAAAGTCCTTGATAGGTGTTCTGATGACTTCGAAGTCATCTATAATCATGAACGAACTTCCAAGTCTGTCCAAGTCTTCCCTATTCGTTTGAAGACAAATTTGAAGCCATCCAAACGACTCTGAAGTAGTTCATAGTAGATTCAAGAGATGTTCTACACAACGCGGTTAAGTCTGAATTTCTGCTATTGTGATTTCATGGTGCTGACTACGATAGCTGTGCGCTTTCGAGACCTAGCGGGGCAAATGATCAGGGTGAGGAGTTGACTGATGGTTGTAAATCATCAGCACAAGTGAAACATGACTCTAGGATTGCTTGAGGCTTAGAGATCGATCAAAGAGGACTCGAGGCTAGTAAGGAGCTTCTTAGTAACCTGGATCGGCTCCGATTTCAATTGTGGTCTTCGTGCACTCACGACAACACTCCAACGTCTACCCTGGAGTTGTGCACTTTGATGTACTTGCGTGCTACAGTTATGCGTGCGGGAGCCAGAACATGAAGACCGTGACGCTCGAGAACCACAAACCCATGAATCTGGAACACGTTGTCTTGAGCTGGAGCGTTAGAGATTAGTTTGGATCTTCCCTACCGTTCCCATGCTTTTTCATTGACTTTGATAGTCCTCTACCGAGTATTCAAGTTCTCGCCGAGCAACGCGTTTTGGAGCTACGTACAACGCACTGGGTCCTAAGGGTTGGACATAGTTGACAATGAAAACATCCCGTGGAGATCTGAAGACAAAATTGTAGATCGACGTAAACAAGATGTAGCGCAGCTATAAATCAACACGGTCTATGCAAAAGGGAACAAGTAATGAGAAACAAGAACAGAGAACGCCAAATCCTCGACCATCTAAGCAGATACAAAGTTCCAAAGCACCCATTTGCAAGTACTGGGCCAAGTATCACCAGTGATAAGTTGAATACTGCTGTAGTTGTCAGACGAACAAACAGTACCAGCAATACCCCTTCCGTTGACACCGCAAGCAACACCGCCATTGCCATCAACAGTGCAAGTGAAGTACGACTGAGAAGCACTGCCTTGCTGAGCAAAGTACAGAGGTGAAGTAACAGTGGTGGTACCCAGAGCGAATGCGTATCCAGCAGCACTACCGCTTTGCACAACCATGTGCTGGTTTGTCTTGTCGACGACAAACTTGGTTGCATCGGAAGGGTTCGAGACCAATTTGCTCTGACCGCCATCGCCGGAGATGAAGATGTACTTGCCGTCAGCGCTGGTGCCTGAGCTGGTGATCAAGATGTTGAATTGCTTCGAGACGGAGTTGGTGGTAGTGTATGTTGTAGTGACCTTTCCGTTTTTGGAACCAGAGACGACGTTGGTGCCTGCCTTAGAAGGCGATCCAGCTTGTGTCTTCAGCCAGCATGTTCCAGCGCCAATTCCATTACTGCCGCCGACGTAAGTGAAAGCTTGACACCTTGAGTCGGCATCGCAAGAGGTCATACAGTCCTTGTACGAGCTCGAAGCAGCAGTGTTGGTGTAGGCGCCTTGTGTCAAGTCCGAAGCGGCATAGACCTTGTAGACATTGTCTGCCGCATCAGCGAATGTAGAAGGCGGGGTGGTATCGGGCTGAGCTGCGAGCGCTGCAGCAAAGGAAGTGGTCATGTAACCACTGCTTCCAGAGATGAGTACCTGGAAGTTTCCTCGCATCTGACCAAAGTTATTGGCATTCGCAGCCACCACTGCACCTCCCCAGAAAACGCATTTTACGTTGATTGTGCTAGGGGGATCAAGGCAGGAAGGTCCGTCGGTGGAAGAACTAGGGTCTCTCTCGTAGTAGATGTTGACGGAGTTGCAGCCCTTGATGGCCGAACACTTGCTTGTGCAACCCTGCACATCGAATGACGACAAAAGAGTGAAGCCAAGGTACTGATCAGCAGAGTTGGAGGCATTCAGACCTGCGAATGATTGGACCCAGCCAGAGGGGATGCCTGCTAGACCAGCTTGAGCCGAGTAGTACGTATCGGCAACGAATCCAGCTGCAGTGTCGGGAACAGAATTGTAGGAGATACCAGAGGGCTGGGGAACGCAGGTAGCAGCACGCTTCGCAAGATCGGTGGCACTTGCCGTGGCTAGTGCAGAGGCGGAAGACAAGGCAACCGAGACGTCGTCAGCGGAGTCAAAGACCTTTGTGGCCAGAGGATCCGAAGATGCGGTTGCAGTCACAGCGAGCGTAGTCGCGGTGATGGCGGGAGCGTCCTCCGCAGTCACGTAGACAACCGGAAGGTTGAAGACTGTGGTGGGAACAGCCACAGAGATGGCGTCGATATCGATAGAAGTGGTGCTCTGAGCACTGACAAGAGCTGCACAAGCTACGGCTGCTGCAATGGCTTGATGCATGTCGGAAGAGTGTGGTTGTGATTGTGCTTGGGATGGTAGGTGTTGCTGAGTTATTCTGGTCAATGGCAATGAGGAGTTTCCACTCTACTTATACATTCACTGTCCACACTTTGATCATGGATGTGCAACAGAGCGTGATCTGCTACATGGTTCGACTTGACAATATTGCAAGCCACGGTCTATCGTGCTCAAGTCCGTCAACGTTGGGGTTTCACCCTTCAGCTGGTTCGGCATCCCCGTCGTATGTGAGTGAGCACGAGCTCGAGGGCTCTGAACGACAAACGACGAGCCACGTGAGTCCAAAGAAGCTGGATCGTTGGTATAGATGCCTGACATGGCTAATTCATTTCTTCTGGAAGCCTTCCACAAACCGTTTTGGCTTGTCATCGGTAGCGGAGTGACCGACAGTCTGAGACAGAATCCAGACCAGACTTCGACCACTGCTATCACACAGACTCCTCGACGACTACTGTTCTCAGCAGCAACAGTCTTGCATGACTACAACGGTAGGGGTATGTTGTTACGTGAAACTACTGGAGAGGGTGAAAAAAGTGGAAGGAGCTGTGAGGTCAAACTCTACACCAGCGGTCGTCTCCGGAAAGTTTCCACTCGCGTAAAATTGTCTGAGACGCTTCAGCTCGTCTATACTTACCTTCATCTTAGCTCGAGTACACCTAACCCATCTGATTTCTCGACATTCAGGCCACTCCCAAGGTCAATAGGGTAGATCACCTTGTCTCAGTCATACCGATCGAACAGATCCTTCTGCTTCGAGTCGATGGAATCTAGAGCATGTGCGTATTGTATAACCGCAACATAGCTGTTTGCAGTTCTCGTAAGGACATATCTTGGCGGGATATCCCATCCATCTAGCAATTGCAAAATATTTCGCCAGCCAGATACAGTATGGTATGTTATCGGGATTGCTGTGACGGTCAAACAGGCTGTCCGCAACACCTAAATCCGACTTTGTTCCTAGAGGTGTAGATTCTCAATTGCTGGTCCTTGGGAAGAACTGGAACACCATCGTCCACGTCTTTCTTGCCAGCTGATGATGATTCTGTGTAAGGCGGATCGACGATGAGATCCTTGGATTCCTTTCGGTCGTGTCCGAGCGTCTTGGACTACCGCTACTCTGCCATGGTCACAAAGCCATACAGACTGATATCAACTGGCATCATGTGCTTGACAAGCGGTCTAACACGCGCTTTTGTCTGTTGGCTACTCGTGTATCTTGCTAGACATGACGATGGCTGGATTCTCTCAATCGAAGAGCTGCCTTGGAGAACTTTGTAGATTTCTTCGAGGACGAAATTGATCGTGGTCGGATGCTCTCGTAGTCTGCCAGACTTCGGATGGTAGTTCGAAGCTGCCCCTCATACGGGCTTCGAATTGCACGTCGTTCTTTCCTTATTAGTTCCTAGTAACAAATCTCGAAGCATGTGACTCCCTCCTTTCCAAACGACACAGCGTATCACCTCCTCTTCTTTCGCTGCAGTGGATAACCGCTAGACTCCACGACGCTGACCACGCACGATGGTGACAAGCATTGTCCTTGCCGGCATCCTCTTCCCTATCGCCATATACCTAGGCATCGCGGCGATCATTCTCGTCATCCTAGGCTGCGCGAGCTATGTCTGCATTACCGCAGTCCGTCAATACGTGGAAAAAGCTCATCGGAGGGTCTGAACAAATCCATCCAAAGTTCACCCCATCCACTGACCTGGCTTCGTGCACAGCTCAAACTTCGATACTGTCGAGAACAAACTTTCGACTTCCTCGGCCTTCCACCTGAAATTCGCCTGATGGTCTATCGCTGTACACTCCCTCCAGATCGCACCTACTACATGACTGCTCGCAAGCAGAGATTCTATGGTCATCCTCTGCACAAGGAGCTCAAGAACGAGATGATCCCAAATCCGCCTCGCCTGCTTCGCGTCTGTCGCCTCATAAACCAAGAACTCTGGCCGCTGATCTACAACCAATGTATCTTCTACATTACCATATACTCAATCAGGGATCTGCTATACGCCGTGGACCTTTTGGACCATTATGCATCCCTGTATGACCCCGACTACGCTACGGATATCTTCTCGTATACAAGCAATATTCGGATCCGAGTCAACGACCTCATACTTGATGTCCACCCTTCGTATGACGGTCGGCATGGATGGCTGGTGGAGCTGAGCCAAACAACTCCACTGTGGGTAGGCCGTGGTACGAAGACGATACTGCAGAACCGAACGCAAGCTGCTAGAACGGTGAGAACGAATCCAAGAGGGGAGATTGCCCCTGAAGCTATCAGCGCTGGACATCTGAAGGAGTCCATACGTCGTATGTCAAGGCTCCCTGTACTGGACAAAGCCGCCTTGAACAAAATGCTTCCATGGTATCATCGATATCAACGCCAGCACCGTCACAAACTGGCCACATCACCTGTCTGAGAAGAGAACATGCACCCACGGCTGTATCAGAAGAGACTGTTACTATACGAGATGGACGGAGAAGCTCGGCGCATCCTGCTGAATAAGAGTGATGGAAGACGATACTTAGCTATACACACGATCAACACAAGATCTAGCTCCATACACAATCAACCGACATACTTGCCTCAAGAGCTCATCGTATCCACCTGCCTAGAACGGAGTATCACGGAGTCGTTAAGGGAAAGACCTACCTATTTCAGAAAATTCTTGCACCGGTATCATGACTATAACATAAGTGGTTTCGTATTGGAGGCTAGACAATTATCTCTTGACCTGTCCAGTGTTGTGGTATGCTGATGCCTATCCTAGACCGAACCTCGCGAATATACATATAAACCTTCTGACCCCTTTGCTGTCCCTGGGGTATATGACTCGCTCAAAGACCCCGCCTTTCCTGTTTCCCTGCGTGAAATGATAGAAAATATGCTTTCCCGTCCATGAAAGGTGACAAAACGCCGAAGATGGGAGATACCCTAGTCCCATGTTTGCGCCGCTGAAAGATAGACATCCCCGAACGCCAAAAGAACGAAACAAAGAAAAATGATAGAGCGTAGTGTGAAGTGCAAAAAGATATGCAAAAACAGACTTTTCTTCCACTGAAAATGTAGAATTGAACGAGTCTAGATGTATTCCCGATTCGTAGATCGAGTGGTATGAATGTGATTAAACACATTTTCTGGCCTGGAATAGACCGAGGCTCAGGCTGGTATCGTTAGCACCCATGATAGGCGTTGGGTCGGGCATCAACTCCCAACGTCTCAACATGTATGGTGTTTGCTTCAACTCAACAGGACCCCTGTTTGCGCCTATCCCCATGGACAGTCTCTGTTGCTGGACTTGTTGTTGTTGCAAGTGTGCTTGCGACAGGACGGGAGTAGTGGCAGTGGAAGGCGGACGAGCTGGCATGCCAGGGCGAGCTGGAACGGGCCACGGTCTTTGCAGCATCGACGGCGACTGCGTGGCTGATACTGGCGAAGAGGAGACCTGCAACGGGGTAGACGTCGGATTCTGCTGAGCGGCAGAAGCAGGAACCACTTTTGACGCGAGTGACAACCAGGCATCTGGGGATGTATGAGTGCCGAACAAATAACGTAGACGAGGTATGCATCGAGCTTGAGGTGGCAGATTGCGTAGGATCGTGTGCAAGTGCTCGTGAGACAGATCATCTGAAATCATGGAAGCAACATCAAGAATATGCTCAAGGATCGTTTGCTGGCTCTGTAACTTCGGATGAATGAGCAGGGCACACAGAACACCCATTAATGGAATGAGATCTTGTGCGAGAGCATTTGCATCGTGAAGTGTATGGAACTGCATGGTAGTGAGCTGTAGCAACACGCTGATACCAAATGCCATGCGCAATTTTCTGTCTGAGTGTGTAGGATCGAGCGGATTGATGCCTTCTACAAATTGACCCAGTCGCTTAAGATACTCGACAAGCATGGAGAATGCGGTCGACGGCATGAATTGAGATGATGCAGCAAGTGCAGATGATTCGACTGCTTTCAAGTATCGCCGTACAGCAGCTTCTTCAGCCATGGAGCCATCAGCAGTGATGATCGAGGACAGCTTCTCCAAGACACACTCACCGGCCCAAGAGTGGATGTGGTGGATCAAATCCTTGTCAAGCGCACCCAATAGCTGCGGCCAGGATGAAGAGGTGTGTTCGATTGCGCTTTGAAAAGTGCGAACCAGACTGGTCTTATCATTGTCAGATAGGCTACTACCGCCAGACAGAGCTGAAGAAAGCTGTTGCAGAGCTATTTGGCTGAACGGCAAAGACAGCTCTGTGGTCGACTGGACAATCTTGTTCACCTTGTCGATTATTGACATGCTGGCCTTTTCTGCCTGGGGTGCGGGGTCAAGTAATGAGTCGAGAAGAGGCTGCACAGTGTTCTGAGATATCATGGGATTGTCCTTGCAAACGAGTTCATTCGAGACCAGTTTGGAATCCATGACCACGTATCGGCGGAGCCATGAGACGACCTTGTCCCCTGTTTCATTGCCATTCTTCGACAAGATCGACTGAGGATTGAGTTGCAGTAGTGATCCGATGAGACGCAGTATGCTTGCCTTTTGGTCAAGGCAAAACATGTTCTGTGCAACTTTGAATCTGTACGCTTCAGCTGACTGATTGAGCCCCATCGATGTCGACGGTATCAAGATCTTAGCGCAGATGGTTGCAATGCGAGTAGCATTGGCAGGCTCTGTAGCTTTGATTGCGTTCAGCTTTTTCTCCCAGATTTGGTGGAAAGTGTCAAGTTTCAGGCAGCTAGACCCAACAAGGGAAACAACGACGCCTTCCACGGCTTCGTAAGGCGCTGCTGCTTCAGCCATTCGGGTCACAAGCTTGTGCACCAATTGCTCGAAGCTGGTCTGGTCGAACGATCTCAGTTGCATGAACCATGTGCTGGCACGAGACAGGCCATCAGGTCCCATCTTGACACTACGGTCAGCGATGGTAGTGAACATGCGTACCAAGAGTTGCTCATCCATGGTGTTACCGCTAGTGAGCACTCGGTCAATGTCTTCGTTGGATTCAAGACTTCCGGAATGCGAAAGTGCCATGCTGTCAGATGCTGGAGAGCATGCAGCGGTGGAGCTTTGTATCTCACACGTTGCAAGCTCGCTGTCAAGAACCTTTCCATACGCTACACCCGCTGGTACACGGCGTACGAGTCCGGCGAGCGAGAGCAGGAAGGAACGGTCCAAAGGTTGTTTTGCTCGCAAGCGACGTTGTTGTTGGTAGATCTGGGAGACCAGAGCCGGCAAGAAGCCCATGGTAGCAAAGACCTCGATATTGAGGTTGACGGTGTCTGCCGTTGCTGCCAAAATTTGAGGATTGTTGCAGCTAGATGCAGCGGCGAGTACCTTGGCTAAGCTCGGGTAATCTTCGAACTGCTCCAGGGTATGACGGACTAAGCAGAAAGCAGCAAGGTTTCCATTGAAGACGGTGTCGCTGACAGATTCGAAGTTCTGCGATATCACTCTCTCGCAGAGCCACTGGGCGACCGCCATTTTGACAGCACCGACAGGCTTGGAGGTGAGGATAGGCTCCTGAAAAGCTACACCAGGACTAGGCAAGGACATACCGCCGAGGTGTTGAGACAGGACGGTCTTGTAGTTCTCAATCTCACGCGTTTCTGCATAGGCGTTGTAGCCAACACGGTTCAGAAGCGTACGTCTGAGATTGACAATGTGAGAAGAGAGGTAGGCGGTGGGTAGTTCGAGAAGGAGCTGAGCCTCACTCGCAGCAGCATTGGAGCCGGACAAAACGCCAGTTGAGATGAGCCACTGAAGATATCTGCCAACCGAAAAGTGACCAGATCGCGCCAGAGCGGAGACGAGTTTGTAGATCAGGCGAGGCTCCATATTGCGATCGTTTCGAGCTTTCTCGAGCATTGTCAACACTGCATCGTCGGCACTGAAGCCTGCAAAGCTCCAGTAACGAATCAATTGAGCAGCGAGATACACGCGAGCGATACCGGAACGGTGCTTCGAGGCTGCCCATTCCAGGATCGTAACCAGCATCGACCGTGTGTCGAGTCCCAGAAGCTCGCATCGAGCGGCGATTTTGTCGACATGGACATCCAAACCGACAGAGTCCAAAATGTCTAGTAACCGAAGTCTGGGGGTACGAGAGGTGGCTTGTGGGGATGCCCCTGACAAGCGATTGTTGCGTCTTGTAACATTGATCAAGCTCTCGGCCTCGACATTGACTCGGCCCGTTGGCTTGACAGCAGAAAATGTGGCCTTGTATTCAATCCAAGACTTTGGCAAGACTAAACATCCCCTATGGTTGACGGCTAAGAGACTGATGAGTTGGTTGATGCGGGTGGTAAGCTGTAGGTTGATGCCATAGGGTGTGGCGGCAAGAGCTTTGGCGTGTCCAAGAAGAGCTTCAGCAAGTCGGCGACCCCTGTTTCGATGAGAGATGAGATGTTTCCAATAGATTTGTATAAGCAGAATCCAAACGGGTAGTCGTTCTGGAGAACTTTGCTTGAGTGATGCAAGAATCCAATCCATATAGTGTTCCTCATCAAGCAAATGGTCAACATAAAATTGGGTGCCGAGACGAACAGCATAATTCATCTTTCGAGACCATCCCGGCTGGCCGCAGCTGGCGATGACACCATCAACAAATTGCTCGACGAAGACAGTCCATTCCCTGATCCACTTGAGTTCACCAGCCAAGGCAGCAGGACCAGAGACACCCTTACGCTTGAAGGCACGAATCTCATTAGCTCCGACGCACTTGGAGAGCCAAACAGCTCTGGCGATGGGGATATCCTTGGAAATGCAGTGATCGAGGAGAACCTTGCCGCGGATACCATGAGGGATGGTTCTGCTGAGTTTTCGTAGGGGTACTTCCGGGTTGGCGAGGTCCTTGAGCCAAGCTTCTCTCTTTGTGTCGGTCAGGGTGACTCTGGGTGGCGGTTTGAAGGTCGAGGGGGCGGTGCAGAGACGCATTTGAGATCTCTTGTCCAGCACTTGGACGAAGAGTGCGGACAATACGCTCAAACCATTCTTGTTCTTCAGACTGGGCCATAGATGAGGGCGAGCCATGTTTGATTCCTGCTGAGAAGCACCGGCGGGCTTGTCGCTAAAGCCAGACTTTATGAGGTGCTCGTTGAGCACATCTTCCGGATGCTTGCCCTCGATGTTGGTCCATGGGAAGAAATCGGCGGCCTTGTCTCGAGGAAGCTTGGTAGCGACAGCGGGTGGGTGTAGGCCGTTGGCTCTTGTTGATGGATCCAGGACGGGTGCGGGGGTCGGCTTGGGTATGATTGTACGAGATTGACCTTGTGCGGTCAGAGATTGGGGGCGACGGGGTAGAGGTAGTTGTGTTGTGCGGTGGGAGAGAAGGCGAGGCGGAATGTGCTGTGTGGGCTCGTCGGGGGTGTTGACGGGCTGGGCGGCGTATTGGAGCATGCCGTTTGCCGTGTACGCCGAGCGGTTTGCCTCGTCGACGTCGGCAATGTCATCTTGTCGACTCAGGTTGACGTTACTGAGTTTTGAGGGAAGAGCTGGGCGATTCAGAGGGCGTGGGTGAGGGCCAGGAACCTGCGTGCCCGCCGATGGTTGGCTTATCATGGCACTGTTGCGGAGTGGGTGCGCCTCATACTCGAGGCTCAAGCCGAAGGAGCCATGGGCATAGCAATGGCAGCGGTGGCAGGAGTTGAGTGATGAATGCTGAAGGAGTCCTGAGTGGTGCAACACGACATGGTTGATGCTCAGTCAGTCGCAGGCACAGGTTGCACACGAGACAAGAGGTGAGAGCGAGGTTCTAGAGCAGCTGATAGCAACATGTCATATCCGATCTAATACCGTACCCCAAATGATAAACTTGGCTGCTCTTAGGCCAACGCTCGATCCGCTGCCCGCACAATTCACTGCCCTCGCCGTCACTTTTGCCGACACTGACAGCCTTTCGTCAACCAACAACAGCCGCCACCAACTATCGCTTCATACTGTAGCAAGCCACCCGCGACATACCTCCTGTGAATCTTCTTGACCTGCCCCAGCCAGGTCCAGATTGCCGCTCCAACAAGCCTGCACGCTCTGCTCCTTCCGAATGCACTCCAGCAAACATTCTCCGGCTTTGCCAAGCCTAACCTGATCGTGACCTGACTTTGTCTTTTCCATTTACCCCAAAATCTCCCAAAGCATCCATTCCTACCGCTAAATCGCCGGCACCTTGTTATCTCGGCCCAGCTTCTTCCCGGTGGGTGGAGGGCCCCGGCATTTTCTCTTGGTCTGCTGCAAACCTCCACCGTCACCGCCATGTTTGCTTCTTTCTTGCGAACCCGGTTCATCATTTGGCGTGATGAGCGCTTTTGCTCTCGAGTTTCGTAAACATCCGTAGCAAAGCGGATCTTCTTTCGGTGCTGGCCTTATGCAAGCCGTCTGCGACAAGCAACTGATTTGCAAAAGCCGAGATTCCATGTTGCTTTTCTTTTGCTCATCTCACTCCCGTTCCTGCCTCCTTCTCCGCATTTTGCTTCTCTTTTGCCCTTTCGGCCATGGCTTCTTCCCAGCTGCCCGTACCGTTGGTCGGGAATGCTCCGCGATGCATTGCGATGTGCTTCATCTCCTTGCAGGCCATGCGCCAGCAGATTAGACCATGTCGTGCTTCGCTCAACACTTTTCCAAAAACATCCGCCCTGTAGCTCATTTTGATCCTGAGCTTGCGCCAGGTCCGAGGTGCACGCGCGCTTTTCTGCTAACATCATGTCTCCTTTCATCTGCATACCTTGAGACAAAGCGAGGCGTCGCATCTACATATCGCAAATGGCCGCCTTATCCGTACCAAGGCCCATGTGCTCACTCACCTCCTTGAACAAGCAGGTATCTATCGGTGTTACCTTCGGACACGGTTGCATCTACTCTATCTGTTGTGTTGCGTATCAGGCACGCAAAGATACACCATCTTCTCCGCATCTTGCATGACAAACTCTCCCGTATCTATTGAACACGTCGGCCGTATGGAGCGGAGTTGTCTTTGAAGCGTCGACTTTTATCGCTCGACGTCGACTCATGGTCCATTCTTCGGAGTGTAGATCCCATACACTGCTATCTCAAGCATGTCGATACCGTCGACCTGGGCTCTCCGACCTCGCAGCAAGCCCGAATTCTCGTGACAAAGAACATTGGATCTGTCGGACTTCCGCCCGTCTACACTGCCACGACGCTCTCTTTTTGAGCCTCGAGGTTCTTTGACCGAATCCCCGATTGGCGGCTTGTGTCGAGCCTCGAGAGTTTGACTGCAATCATTTCTCCACATTCCGCAAGCCGACTATAGCCGACCCTGACCTCAGCTTTTATTCTCTCAAAGGATACAGTACTCCGATTCTCCATCCTTTGTCACTAAAGAGACACATCCAGAGCGATCTCCAAGGTCGGAGATGATTACAAGTCCTGGATAGGCAAGTGTGCGCATGAGTGTCCGAGAGCATTGCACCATATCAATCGTGTCATATCATTGACCGTTTCGCCTGCTTGCTTGCTTTTCCAGCACGAAGCGATATAACATCTTGATCAGATTGTCACTACTGCCATCAGATGAAGATACAGCGGCTGTTGATACTGCTTTTGGTTATCTCCCCACCATCCAACAGGTATCGCACGGCTAAATATACCAATAAGGTCTGGCGGAACCAGTTTATGTCATCATTGCTACGATGTGATGGACGAAAGGTTATCTCGCCGATGCGGAATATCGTTTCCTTCAGATCTTCGAGATTATCAGCCTCGCTGCCTCGGTATTTGGTAACTCGGCCGAGATTGATGGTCGCCGGTGAGGAGACTGAGGAGACCGAGGGGATCACGATTTTGTAAATTGCATTCTCAGGTGCGATGGGACGAGAGGCTCCGAGCAGTCGGCTCGGAGCACCAACAGAAGAGCTTCGGGCACCGAATGCTTCGTTGATCATGAATAACGCGCTCGGGATTATGTATGCAGGGTCTGACACTTCGAGCACATACGGCCACAGTCAGCTGAAAACTGGGCATCCCGTCCGCTCTGCCATACATAAGCAGTTGAACGGCAGATTAGTACTACGGTGGGTGACCACGTGGGAATCCCTGCTGCTGTATGTTTTATGTTTTTTTGTTTTGTTGACCATGTCCTGTCGTTATCCTTCGAGCTACTCTCTGAGAGCAGATGGAACAGCTCGTCAGTCACATCTACAGTGTATATCTTTTGGTGCGGTGTTGAAGGACTCCGTCTCGGTCCCAAACGTTGTTGTAGAACACAAATCCGTGGTGATGCGCTTTTGCTCACTTACCAAACCTGTGGCTTGTGTACACTGATGCAACGATCTCTTTGTGCTATAGATCTATCATACAACTCAGCGATATACAGTAACTTATCCTCGATCTTGATTCCCTCACATTTCTCGCCCTCGCTGGTGTTATAGCTAGATTTTGCAAAAAAATCATGGTCGAAGGGGTGACCCGGCCATGTCAAAACACAACCTGCTTTTCCGACAAGAATAAAAAACAGTTGCAACCTATGCTTCACCCAATCTACAGTCTTGAACAAATGCATCAGAGAGCGATCGTATGCATGATATCATCTGCCTGGTGATGAAGGTGAAGAGTGGAATCGACGTCTTCTTGGTTCACTCGGGTGAGCCAGCATACCAGATTGTCACGTCTTGTGGATTAATTCTAGCGAGAAACGCTCACAAGTGGTCTACACATACAACAACCATCAGATAGGAAGGCAAGTGCAAGTTTATACACATGTAGAATTCGTAGTGAATGAAGAGCTAGCCGCGAAGTGATGGGTCAAACGAATGCACTTCATCGCCCAAAAGAACTGGCTTTCCTACCAGGTATCCAACAACACTCAACGAGAAGAACGAATGATCTGCCTTTTTGACGCCGGAACCCATCCCCCCCATTTCTGTAGGCGCATGGAAAATATGTCTGCCCTACCATGGTTGCCCTCCTTGAACAATGCAAACAATGCCATTCGGTCCACAACAAAGGAGAAATGAGCGAAAGTCAGAAATATGTGCAGCAGCGTGCGTATTACATTGCGCTTGCTCTTCTTGTCCAAAAGACATCGAGCACCCTTCCTCCTCATGGCTGATCTTGAACAAAACATGAAAACAGAGAAAGACTGGGTCGTGAGCTTGTTATTGTCGTTAAAGATGGGTATGTCTGGGCCCCGTTGGTCGATCGGCTTCTGCAACCGTTCCAGCAGATTACGGTTTTAATGATCAGGCGTGTGATCTGCGAGCGGAGTGTGCTTGTTGCCATGCTTGCTCGCACATGTTCAAGAAGGCGACCTTTAGGTGACCGCTTGCAATAACCATGGCCTGCGAGGTTTGGGTCATAACATTGCCGAGACTACTTGTATGCCCAATGTCAGTGGTCAAACTTCAATCCTTGTGATTGCGCCACGATCTGAAGTGGGCGAAGCGAGTGCATGTTGTGTATGGGATGGTTCATGCTCGTGATGATGGGAAAAGTGTTAGGTGAGTTGATGTTAACTTCACCTGTGCAGTTTCTCCCAACCATCCAAGTAGTGCATGAGAGCCATGCCAACAACGACCACAATGAAACCAGATCCAAGCGGCAGGCCGTGATGGGCAAGTTGCTCCTTCAGATTGTCGGAAGAGTCATTGGTAACATCACGTTGAGCGACCGGCATCTTGCGGGCGAGCAGTCGCTGAATCGACGCAGCTTGCTCTGGTGACAAAGCCGCATTCGCGTTGATGCCGGCTTCAGCCAAAAGATTGTGCAAGCTCCCTTCGACCAAAGACTCTGAGATCTGGCCATTCGAAGACATTGTAGTGCTCGAGGGGCTGGAGAACGAGCTTGGAGGGGTAGATGGTGTCTCTTGCTGGCGCTGCAATTCTGCATTCTCCTTTCGCTTCTGCTCGACCATTTCGGCGAGCGTCTGGTGCGCATCATCACGCTGCGACTCTGCTATTTCTGCTCGACGTCGATAGGCCTCCATTTGCATCTTCATATCCTCAGTAGAGGCACGAAGCCTGTCAAGCTGCGACTGGAGATCGCGGGTTTCATCTTTCGGTAGTTTGTCACTCGCGGCAGAGTCATCCTGCTGCTCAGTGCTAGTGATGTCCTCTGGGTCATCAGGAGACTTCTGAGACGACTCCAGCAAGGAAGCTCTTTCTTCGGCGTTCTCGCGAGCATTGCGCTCCAGTTTGAGTGCCTCTTCCAGGTTTCTGACACGATCTTCAAGGCTTGGAATCTGATCTTTGGCAATTTTCAACTCGTGTGTGAGGATTAGAAGAGCTTGTGAATGGTCGGCTCGAGTGGGAGATCCATTGGGGGCAAGAATAGGGCGTGCAGTCTCGGAGCGCATAAGGAGTGGTTGGATAGCAGGATCAGCAAGAGCCTTCGCGACATCCGGTTTTTCGGGCAAAGGCGCTTGCGGTGGCGGAGCAGGAGGTTCGGAGAAGATGACTGGGGGTTTCGAGTCGGACTTCTGCTGCTTGACAGGTGAGGACTTAGCTGACTTGTCCTGCTTGCCTTTTGAGTCAGCGGCCAACAAGCCCTCGAGGAAAGATCTGCTTCGATTCAGATCCGAGGATTGCTTCTTAGCAAGACTCAACTCGCGGTTCAGACGCTTCACAATCGTCTCGGTGGTCACAGTCGAAGGCCATCCACGAGCCCACTGCGGCTGTTGCATGGCGTTCGAGTCCCTAGCAGCCATGACGGCAGCCATAGCGTTGGCCTTTGCGCTTTGTTGCGAAGACTGGCTACCGCTACGCTTCATCTGATGGGAAGGGTCCATTTCACCAAAGTTGAGTTCGGCAGTCTGATTGTAGATTCCAGCGTGTTCGACACGAGCAGCAACCTTATGGTGAACAATCGTCTTTTGATCCTCGCTGACGATATCGATACCGAGCTCGAGAACATCTTGCTCACGCAATTCATGTGGCTCTGACTCCTTGTTCTCGGGTGACAATCTCTGACCATTGACAAAGGTACCGTTGGACGATTTGACATCGCGGATGTAGATTCTTCCATTCAGGTTGCGCTCGGCATAAATTTCGGCATGTTGACGGGAGAGAACCTTGGAGTCGAAGAAACCATTGGCAGGTGTCGGGGCGGTTTTTGCATTTGTTTGACGGCCGATGCGCAGGACATCAGGGTAGAAGGGGACGCTGATGGTCTTGCGTTCAAAGGTGCCGTTCATGGGGGAGAGATGAAGAATAGCGGGTGTGTCGGACGGGGGCTGACCTCCTCGAAGCGAGCCGTTCTGGGCAGCGGACATTTGCTGTGACGGAAGCATTGGGCCGTGGAGGGCTGAGATTGCGGATGCGGCAGACGGACCAGACGAAGTCGAAGATACGGGCTGAGGACGAGTGGTGGAGAGGCCGGCGGTGGGCTCTGCTTTTCCTGATGGCCAGATGCCTCTTGAGCTCTTCTTGCGCGTAGTCCATGAGGTGGGATCTTGGTTGGAGGGCGAAGGCTGCGACGGGGTAGAGACCTGGGAGATGGTCGAGGAAGAGGAAGAGGATGCGGAGGTGAGGGAGGATTGCGAATTGGAGCGCTGAGCGCTCTTGCGAGGGCCGGGCATAAACATCCTGGTCATGTCGTCCTGGCTCATTGCGGGCGTGCCGTTAGTCCATGTCGCACCGGAGCGGGCAGGCGGCTGGAATGTGACGGGGGGCGCGACTGCCGTCATTTGCTGCTGCCGGACGAGACGCAGAGGTGGATTGGCGACTTTCTGAGCGACGGGGAAAGCGCCGCTTGAGGCTTGGGTGCTCGCGTGGTCGTGTGGAGGGGTGCAATAGGGTCGTCGTGGATCAGCCTCGTCGTGTGTCGATCATGTCCAGGGCGTCCGACGTGTCTCGGGAGCTTGACAGGAAGCGCAGGGCTTGAGGGAAGAAATAATAACAATATGCAGGCCGGGCTGCAATCAAGAAAGGGAGCACGTCGAGCGTCACAGAATCGAGACGCACAGACGGTCGGCGCTGCTGCAACAAGAGGTTGGACGCAACAAAGTACAAACGGCCAGAGCGATACGGGGCTAGATATCTCGACCCGCGACCGTTTGACCGGCTAGATAACTGCGCCGACAAGACGACAAAAGCACAAAATCATGCACAGAGAAGAGAATGGGTAGTCGGACGTCGAGGGAGAGCGAAAGCCACAACAAACAAGGAAGAGCGACTGTGCCTTGTGTATCCTGCTGCCGCCGCCTCGGGCCAACAAGTGGAGCTGAACTCTCTGCCAACCACCGCATCGTTCCTTCCTTCTGTGAGTGACCTGCCGTCACTCGTCATTGTTCCTCTTCACGTGACTGCCAAGCGCCCCTCCACCTTGATCGTTTGCCAGTAGCTCTGGAGGCATACCGAAATCTGGAGAAGACTGCTTTGTCGCTTCGTGCATAGCTCGTCGCTCTATAGTTTTCGACTCGTCACGATGCCTGTACCCGTAAGCTCTATGCCCGCTGGTGCTCATGGCCCTTCTACCTTTGACAAGCGTAATCAACTTGCTCTACTCACTCTTTGCTCAATGACATACTGACCAGCTCACAGTCAAGATGGGCGCCATGATGGGCAGCAGTACGTCGCATCCCCACTGACTGATCTCCCTCCTTTGCCGACACTCACCACCCATCCCAGGTGTCGGTCTCATCATCGGCTTCATCTTCGGCGCAACCAACATCATTCGATTTGGACCTGGCCCTAACGGAATGCTGAGAACCTTGGGCCAATACATGGCTGGATCCGCCGCCACCTTTGGGTACGCATTCCACCTTCTTGCAGACACATACACGGCCTTGTTGCTAAGATCGGACAGATTCTTCATGTCCATTGGTAGCACCATCCGTACAGAGGGCACCTCCCCCATCGTCAACCAGGCCTACGCCAATGCCTACCGCAAGCCCTTCATCCTGCCGAGACAACACGCCACACGTTCATAGGCTTGTGAATCCGTACAACACTCTTCAGTTCGAAGATGCTCTCGAAGCGACTCTATCGACAGGTGTCATACTGCAACCATTGCAAATCGCCAAGCTCACACATGCATGAGATCTCACGCTCCAAGTGTGCTGTACAAACAACACAATGGAGCAAACTCAATCCGTCGAGTCGATAGTCGGCCTCGTGTGTCAAGACGTCGAAATACCTCGCCGTATGTACTTTTTATACCACTTCTTGTAGCAATATCTATCTTCCTCGACTTTTCTTCTCATGCCCATATTCCCATCTGAATGGGCATGTCCGAGAAGCTTTTTGTGTTGGGGCAATGCCCGCTCAGTGCGCACCTTCTTCAGCTCATCCTTGGCACGAGTATGCGAGATTCACATGTCAACACTTCACTTTGCTTCCTTCACTTTTCTGTGCATCTTTCGCGCCTGCCTCCTGTACGAACACCCAACGTCGGCGAACGTCTGTCTGGTCTTCACGCCTGCCTTTTGCAAAACTCACTAAGACCTCTTCGTGTCAACTGCTTTCCACATTGTCAATCGATCATCGCTTTTGACATGGCCGCTCGCATTCCCCCAATCACTGTCAACCTCGAGATTCCGGTGCTGGCTGAGCTTCTTCAATCAAATAACGATCTCCGGAGAGAGATTCCAGTTCTTCGCATCGAACTTTCATCGCGCATGAGCGCCGTAGAAGCTCGCATGCCCAGCCAACAAGTCGACCCAGCGCCGGTAGCAGATCTCGCCGACGACGACTCCTCCGTTCAGCAAGATTTCAACGCCCAAACCAGCAGCCATGCACATCAAGATGGCCACGTTCTAGATGATCACGAGGACGATTTCCAAAAACATGGTCCCGCACCCGAACATGATTTCGCCCATGATTCTTCCCCTAGCGCTGATGAAGGGATCACCATGCCTTACCAAGCCTCTCCACCACCTGCTCATGGCAGAAAGCGCAAGCGTACGGCCAACCCTGTTGCTAGTAAGTCGCCATACATCAATCACTCAGGCTTCGTGGTCAGAAACTCTGACACCCAGCTAGCTCAGCAAAGACCCGAAGAACCTGGATCTTCGAGGTCAGAGTCTCCTTTCGATTCAAACATCGACGTTCATGAGTCGTCAGACAGACTCGATATGATACCAGCCGTCCGACCTCAGTCCAAAGCGCCCGCATCGCCACAGAAATTTCGCCCCCAACGTACTGAGACTGTCATGGATGATATAGATGAGACTCTTACCCAGGTTTCCCCAGAGATAACCATGAGGTACGTTTACTGTCTTGCTAAGCAAGTGTAATGCTAATATATATTTGTAACAGTCAGTACGGTAGGCTTCGTAGACAAGCTCAGCGACCACCTGGCTTTGTCGACACTCCAAAACCTGGTGAGCTGGCGAAGACGATAAGACAGAGCAAGAAACAAGGAAGTCGAGTTGGTGGCAGTGGAGCATAGCTCGATGGAAAGATGGACCAGAGACCAACGACCGTGGCAAGGATGTCCAGTGAGATTGAAAGATATGAATGATGACAATTTGAATCGTGCTTGTCCACAAGATGTCCTCGTGCCTGCTGTCTCGTGTCATAGGAGGTGATGCTGTGCTTCTGTATCTACATGCACTTTGCTTGTCCCTCATTCTGTAAACTTTCCTATCGGACTTTCGCTTATCTGTTAATCTGCGAAAGTTGTGTCCTCACGTTAGCTGCTCATGAGTGCCGCCTGACCATCGATTCTCACCCACCATAAGACACATACAGACATCTCGATCTTGTGCTCTGTTGACCGTAAACACATACAGCCGTGAGTACAAACCCTCCATTCTATCCGATCTTTCCTTTTCTCTCCCTGCCTGTCCCACTATCAGGCAAGGCTGAGCTCAGAATTACGTGATGAAGGGACGGTGTACAGGGTGTGCGAAATCCCTTTTCTAAGTGAAGTCACGCTTACACTGCTAATTTGCATTCTAACTGCTTGAATAGCACTCCATACTGCACCTTCCTTACGTCTCACTTTAGTCACAAAACACAACTCTTGTGATCAAGTGAGTTTTGCTTTATGATGGCTTCTCTGCCCTGCTTGTACTACCTATATAAACCACCTGCAGTTAACGATCTCTCCTACTCCCTTCCGAAGAATCCATCTATTAACTACAAACACATACAGCCGTGAGTATAAACCCTCCATTCTGTCCGATCTTTCCTTTTCTCTTCTTGCCTATCCTACTATCGGGAAAGGCTGAGCTCAAAATCCTGCAATAGAGTGACAGTGTATAGAATGTGCGAAACCCCTTTCTTAAGTGAGGGAGACTCTTACATTGCTTACTCTAACTGGTCGAGCAGCACTGCATACTGCACCTTTCTCCAGTCCTACTTCTGTCACAGATCTTGTGATCAAGTGAGTTGTAATCCGTGAGGGCTTATCTGCCCTGTTTGTACTGACTATACAAACCATCGACAGTCCACGATCTCCCCTTCGTACCTTATCCAAACAGACTTCTCAACCAGGTTTGTGCTCTTCCTCTTCTTTTTTCGTCTTATACTTACATATGTTTGTTTACAGCCACAACATGAATCTTCCCATTAGCAGAGCAGAGGTGTACAACCTCTTACACCAACAGAAGACCGATGCAAACCGCAAGATGGGAATTCTCTACCATCATTCAAAAATTCATAACAATCGGTTGAATCGTAATGATCACAACATCGGGGCAATGGATACCAGTATCCAGGGTCTGACTAGACAGTTGCATGATCTGGGCACAGAACAACAGAGACAGGCAGACGTTCAACAGAGACAAGAAGAACGTCAGCAGTCTTATCACCAAGATGTGAATCAGTCCTTGCGCCAGATTCTCGCGGCCGTGGAACGCAACAGACAACCGACTCTGCCAGACGAACAGGCTCCGTAAGGCATATTTACCCTCGATTTCTCTGTCTCGACGCTAATGGTCACACAGAAACCCAGCTAGTCACGAGTAAGTGGCATCAAAGACAACGAAGACTCGCTGTTGACACATATAGTCGTACTAGTGAAGTGACTGAAGCCCATACCGAGGACGAGGAAGTAACGAGGCAATCATCTTGCATAGCAAAATCCGTACAGCCGAAGCCTGACACTTCTACAGACAGGGACCGGTTGAGCCTCAAGCAGAAGAGGAGGAATCCGTTGTTTCCGTGCGATCTCCCACACCTGAACTGAGACGTGGACCACGCATCATACTCAAAAACAGCAAGATCCCTCCCACCCAAGTCTCGAACGACGGAGAGTTTGAGCTTCTTGTACACAAAATGCCTGGGAGCCAAAGCCTGACATATCTGCAGAAACGCCCGCCGAGCATTGCCTCCTCCCAAGGGGTAAGCATCATCTTCTGAGCAAAATCATATCAGCCAGCTGTTGACACGAGCACAGTCCTTCCAAGATCCCCGGCACTTCCAAGATTCCCAGCACACAGAGAGGCCGCGAGCAGTAAGTGATTGCTCTTGACACGATCTCTTCTCCTAAAGTGCGAGTGCCGAACGCTGACATACCCACAGGACTGGCTGGATCAGTCCTGAGCCCGTGGGCACATCTGACCCGGAAGGAACCTGGCAGCCCCATCCTAGGGCCTGCTACAACCGTGGCCCCGCCACCCGATCAAGTGCCAGGATCGCAAGCCGCCCGGCGGTACAGTATTACTAGGAAGACAATCTCTAAGAGTTAGAGGCGCTACATCACAAAAAACAAGAGATGATGGGGAAACATAGGAAGTCCCATGGGGAATCGGGCAGAGACACGAGAGTAAAGAGCAGACAGGAATGGAAGTCCGATGGGGACGCCGGCACAGACACAAACCATCAAATCAGAATCAGAAAAAATCACTCAAAACCTCAACTATCCAAATCTCCAAAACGAAAACGTGCAAGCCGTGACGTGACACCAGACCAGAAAGCCTATAAACACAGAACGTAAAGTCGTTGCCTACTAAGCTTCTACGACATAGCCCCAATCATCAACACCTACCCCATATCCCAATGATCCAATTCTCCAAAATGAAAATATGCAAGCCTTGACATGACACCAATCCAGACAGCTCACGACTACAGGTTGGGAAAAAGTCGAAATTTCGAATTCAAAATCACGACGTGTGCTGGCTTCAAAGTTTCACCGCCTGGCAGTCTCACACTCGCCTTTCTCCCCTTTGCTGTTTCATATCGCATTGCAGTCCGTCCTTGTCAATTGTTGTGAGATATCGGATCATCGCGGTCCATCTTGATGGCCTTATACCTATAATAGGAGACACTGACCGATTCGAACTTTTATTTCTCGGTTTCCCTCATTTTTTTTTCTTTGCCAAAAGCATTAGAGGATAGTATAGTAGTGTAGCATTAGAGGACAGTGCAGTAGTGTCTCACTAGACGAGGGTCGGAGGTTATGCACTCCCCTCTTGACCTCGAAACCTTCCCACCAGACAGTTCTTGGGAACCAGACGAGAATCCATCTGAGAAGAGATGTTCAAACTCATCACATACACATCGGCTTTTCTCTCATCATTTGATAGGTTGACATCTTCATCAGAAGATACAATGATCTTCCAATTGACAACTTCATCTTCCCTTTTGCTATTCTACACTACAACCCCAACATCGTTACTATGCTCTCCTCTCCTCCCCTGCAGTCATTGCTTCGTTAGGCCAGACCAATACCCTCCTGTGGCAGACAGAGGTACCTTCGTCGTATTCCTCTTCGTCCGCCCTTGATGCAAATGCAAACCGTCGCTAGTTCCGTGGACCCAGACATGTGGGAGGGAACCAGCTCCCAATAAACCTTCGCCAAGCATTCCTCGTGCTCGTCTTCCTCGTTGACTCGAAGGGCCTTGGGTAATGCCTCGATCTTGTGCAGATCGAGCTTGTTGCAGATATGTTGTCCGTGAGGAAACACTTCTCAACCCGTCATCTTCTCATAAAGCAGAATATATGCGACCTTGTTATCCTTTACACTGCTCTTGTCCTTGGCCAGTGGCGTACGCTTGCCAGATGACGATCCATTGGCGACAGCCGAGGTCCAAGTGGGCTTCTTGTTGGCACCGTTGACCTCGTTCCAGCTGCGCACGCTATCCGTGTCATCATCGCCGTCCAGACCCTCGAACAAGTTACGCTTGGAGGCATCCGAGTCTGCCTTGTGCTGCTCGAGCGCGCGCGCCAGAACTCTGGGATCTTCCTCGGAACCACCCTCTGCCACATCCTCGGGACGAATACGGCGGATGATGGTGTCATCGACACGGATCCATTCGCGCTCGTCTTGTCGAAGAATGTCAACAGTGTAGTGACCGCCAGCAGCACTCTTACCATGATGGTAAACGACAGACGTGAGGCGGTACTTGGGAGCACCACCCTGGGCAGCCAAACCACCACGCTTCTGAGGAGCAAAGACCTCCTTAGGGATTTCCAATTCAAGCGGGTAGCCGACCTTCTTCCAAATCTTCTGGGTGCCGCCAGTGTTGTCATACTGGAAACGCTTCAGATGGAGGATCAAGACCGGTGGAAGGCTTTCAATGAAGACCTGCTTGACAGCAGTTGTGCCAGGCCCACGAGGCGAGCCGAAGTCTCCAGTCAAGGTCTCCGGCTTCGTGATGGCCTTCAATGCTTGGATGATGTTGTTCACATCGGGTGCACCAATGTCCAGTTGCAGAGGTTGATAGGGTTCCATAGTGACCGAGTTCTTGAGACCAGGAACGCGAAGCTCCGAGCGAAGAGAACCTCCGAAAACGCGGGTGATGGGAGTGGACAAAGATTCTCCACTCTGACGAGTGACAGACTGCTTCTGCTTGGGACCGACTTCGAGCCAGCCAGCGTCAGGGTTCGCGCCGGAAGTAGTGCTGGCAGGCGATGCGGGTTGAGCAGAATCATCCGAGTCGACTCCAGCCTTGCGCATTACAGTCATACATTCATCGTGAATGCCATCGAGCAAGAAGCCAAGGAACTCCTCAGCATCTTGTTGATGACCACGTCTCATCGATGAAAAGCGAGGCAACTGCTTGATTGTGTCGTAAACATATTCGGGGGTAATGGAGTCACCATACTGTTCGAGTTCCTGGTCCTTCAGGCGCATGCGCAACTTGTCGGCAGACTCTGCGCTGTCAATGGTCTTGAATTCTCTCATGAACATGATCCTGCAATGGTCAGCAATATGCTTTTCACACCAATCAAACAAAACCTACATGGCATCCACAAGAGGAGTGTCACTCTTGAACGAGTGAGCAGCTCTCTTGCTAACTTGATCCAAGAAGTTGTAAAAAGGCATACAGTAGACGAGTATTTGGAGAATCTGCTCATGTAAGTGATTGTGTCGATGCTGGAGCGATACGGGTAACATACCGAATTCATATAACACATATTACCGGTATTTACAAGTCCTCTGGGCTCCAAAAAGGCAATCTTATCATTATCATCGACATTAAACTGCTTGAGAGCTCCTGCAAGCGTGCTGGCTCTTGAAGGGGTTGCACCATTAGTCGGGCTGGCTCCATTCACAGCAGCGGCAGAGGCAGCGGCAGCAGCGGAGTTCTTCGATCGCATGAGGTCTGCCCATGACTTGGGAGCCGCCTTGGGTGCAGGAGTGACAGGCTCGGCTGGCTTGGGCTCAGCGTCACCCTCGGGCTGAGGGGTAGCGGAGTCAGCAGCGGGTGCACTTTGCTCATCAGCACCAGCAGCAGCAGGTGCCACCTCGGTCTTGGGTCTAGCTGCAGGTACTGCGGGTACAATTGGGACAGCGGGTCTTGTATCTTTCTTTGCCTGGCTCTGAGGAGTTGCGGGCTTGGTCACTTCTACGGCTGTAGATGAAGGAGTGGCTACGTTGATATCGGCCTCGGACGGAGCCTGCGAGGTTGCTGGGGTTTCCTGAGCAGATGGAAGCTGGGAAGGTGCGGCCACGGTGGAGACTTCGGACTGAATATCGGCAGTGGGCTCGCTGGCGGAAGGGGCATTCCTGGATGGCAAAGCGACGGCCTCGTTTCCAGCTGTCAAGTCCTGTCTCTTTCTTCTGCGCTTGGATGCTTTGACGGGGAACGTCTCGTCGGGCGATGAGTACCACGGGAGCTAAGGAACGATCAGCATTGCGTAGGCAGGATTTGGTCAGAAAACTTACGTCAGGGTAGAAAGGCATGCGGCGAACGGCAGGTTGAGCAACAGACGACCTGCGTGAGGCAGGAAGAGATGGTGTCGACGCCTGGACAGAAGCAGGGCGAGGCGAAGGCACAGACTGTGGAATCGAAGTGGCGGGAGTTGGCGGAGCGTGGTACAGAGGCGACTGGGCAACAGGGAGCTGGTGAGGAGGCGACTGAGACGGGGCGGGCGGAGGCGGTGCCATATACGGCATACTCGTCTGTCGCGTGACGGGCTGCGGCATACCAGCCATCTGTGGTTGCGAGCTGACGACTACAGGCGAGCGCGGGGGATACTGCGATTGCTGATGCTGCTGCTGGTACTGATGCTGTTGATGATGTTGGTGCATTGGGTAGCCGTAAGCCTGGGGCATCCACCGTTGTTGCGGAGGATAGCCCATATGCGCGCCGGGATGCCCGTAGTAGGCCTGAGCGCCTGGGTGGTGAGCATACTGCGCATACGGATTCTGGACGGCCTGTTGCTGGTGAAATTGCTGGTAGTCCTGATGACGGCGCGATTGGTGATGATGTTGTTGTTGCATGGGTGAAGAGTGAGCAGGCAGAGCGGTTTGCGGAATATGCGATGGCCCTGCCGGCAGATGATGGTTCATCATGCCGGCGGTTGACGAGATGGAGATGGTCGCCGCACGTCGATCGAGTCTGACGTACTACGGCTAACAAAGGTGCGCTGCGGAATAGGGAGAGAGTCGCGCGAAAGGAGCCAGGTTGGGAGAAATTGGCGGCAGCGCAGAATGCAGAGCGGTGATGTTCAACAACTGGTTGACGACGATGAAAGACTCAAGTGGTCCAGGCGTCAAAGCTCGACAAGACCCGCAGAGAGATCGATGACCGCCGGACTCTTTTTTTTTCTTTCTTTTGTTCTTGCGAAGGTTATTGTTTTCCGGTTTGGATAGGAAGCTGCCTCTCTGTCGTTCTCACAAGACGCATTGAGAGCAACTCAGACAAAGAAGGGAATTCTTGTTCTCTCTTTCCTTTCTTCGCGCGTGCCTTCCAACCATTTGTCTGTGACGCTGTTGCTCTTCTTGGCCAATCGGCGCTTAGCCATGTATATCTCCGACAATCAACCGCCGCAGCAAGCACCGACGACAGCCGTTCATTACCATCGTAACGGACCTCTATAGTCCTTGGATATTATTGCTTGAACTCATTGCTTTGACTACATCACATATCCAAAATGGTTTCCAAGAAAGATATGCGCAGAAGCGACCTCAGTATGATCCATTACGACCATGGACATTCGATTCCCAAGCTGACCACGCGACAGTCGTCCCTTACGCCGAACCAGCCAACGCAAAGAGCGATGGCGATGTCACTGGTATATTCGAGTGAATATTCATATACAGACAAGAGTCTAACACGAATCTCAGCCGTCATGGGTAGCACACTCCCAATGGCAGCTGTAAGTACACATCCTGTTATCTAGTCACATGACTCGACTGACAAGAGGCCAGATCTTCACCAGAAACAAGTAAGAACAGCCAGATCAATATATCGAGTTATTGTGTCATCGTGTTGATACTGACATGTGACTGTTTTCAGGATGATTGGATGGGTCGCTGTCATCTTCGCCGTCCAGAACTGGCTCTCAGAAACCCCCGAGTCGCAGAAAGCCGCTTCGACTCCTGGTTACATGACCGTGGGCATGGCCCGTATGTCTACTCTGTCTCATTGTGTGAGCATACACTTGCTGACCGGCTCGAACAGTCATGTCCACCGCTGTTGCATACCTTCCCCTCTTCATGCCTCCCGTCGCAGCACCTGGCATGGGAAGTGGTACCGAAGCACCCGCCGCCGCTGCTGCTTACACTCCTTGATTTCTCTTTTTGTAAACGATACCAGAACTTGTATACCACTTTTCGCCTTCTCTGGAACATCTTCTCGACCTATCATGTGCTCGTCTGTAAACCGTAAACTTTTTGTTTATCTTAGATATGCACTTGGTATGTCTCACGGTCGATAAAGTTTGCGTTGATCAAAGAACGTAACATTTTGGTTCGAAAAAGGGAGGCAGGGGGTATCTAGCGAGTAAAAAGAAAAACAAAACAGCAACATGCAACATCCGTCTCCTCCCGACTTCGAGTGACCCAACAGCAACAGGATCTCACAGCGTTTTGGCGGCCTCAGCTCTTCTCTTCTCAACACTCTTCGCCGTGACAATTGGTCCAAGTCTCGAGGACGCTTGGATCAGTCCATCGATAGTGACCACACCTCTAGCCATTTTGCGATCCATGTAATCATAGATAGCAGCAGCCGAGTCTAGCTTCAGCAATTCGTCCTCGTTGAGCTTGAGAAGTGCAATGGCGACGTGCAGCAGGAAGACTTGCTGATTCTGACCAGGCACTCCCAGCACGACATCCCAGACACGGAAAAGTGCTTCCACTGACAGTGTGGAGGCAAAGGCAGTGAGGAACCAGTTGATCGGTACCGTTTGCTCATCCAAGACATCTAGCTCGTCAAGATGAGTACCCAGGCGAGGTAGCAAAGTTCGGATGTAGTGACGCAGCACGATGGTGTCAGCACGCGGGCCTTGCCAGTCATGCTCAGCTGTAAAGTAAGACGCAGGCAGCACTTTTTCAATCAAGAAGCAGAACACCCAGAAGGCTTGTTCAGTAGTCGGCATTGCGAGCAATAAGTAGCCAGCGATGATGTTGAAGCCTTGACAATATCCGATATCCTTGTTTCTGATCGCAAAGCAGCCAAGCAGCAAGGCTAGCGCATCTTGATTCTTCTCTTTCCGGAAGTACACATTGTTGGTCAAGGTACGAGGCGTGTCCATCTCGATATCGTGTAGATATCGCTGATCGTCTGGGTGTGTGTTGTACTCGGCTGCCAGCATACTGAAGTCGTCGGGCGAATAGTGGATGCTGGACTGAGCACTTTCCAACCAGATCTTGGCACGTGTCTTCATTGGGATACCGTCGAGGACGAACTTGACGAATGGACCACTGACCCCTGATTGTGCAAGATTCGCAATACCCACAGTGCTGGTGCCCATGGCCTCGACTCGATTCTTGGGCACCGTTTCTGCGTTGGTGAAGATGCGCGAAAATCTGTTGCTAGCAAGCTTCGGCTCCTCAACTTTGGCCATCAGTTTGTCGTATGCTTGCTCTCTAGCGACCTGGAGCTGGGTGTATTCAGAAGAGATTTCATCACGCAAACGCTCTGCATGCGAAGTAAAATCTGCGGGATCACACAGCTCCTCCAAGCGTGGTACGCCATCGTCAGTGTCGACCGAAGAGATGCTAGAGCTGTCGGTCGTCTTGTTGCCGTTTAGTTGGATTGGGAGACGTGAAAGCAGTGCTTGTTTTGTGACTTCGAGTGTGAGAAACTCGTGCCATGGACGAGACTCTTCATTGGTTTCGGCGTTCCCATCCCCTTGAGCTGTGACTTCGACGGCTTCTTCGTCGTTACCTTCGTCAATGGAGGTGATGGATGCAGAACGAGTACCGGAGGTAGCACGGGTGGCGATTGAAGTAGTGCGACTCTTCGAGACAAACTTATGTCGCTCTAGAGACCAAAGCCACTGTTGAACTCGAGGACCATCAATGATGAACCCATAGTTGTCAGCGATGAAAGCCCGGAAGAGAATCTTGATGATTTTCATGTCAAGCAAGGGTGGTGGTAGATCCTCGTTCTCGATTTTGTGTTCCATCTCCAGTGGCTGGTATGAGGACATGGAATTCGACCGAGTAGTCTGTGCAATGCTCGGACTGCGAATGCCCAGCATCCTTGGGTCCAGCATCGAAGCTATTGAATGTCGGTTTTGTTGTTTCGGTGGTTGGCGTACAGAGCCTTGACCACCGAACAGATTGAACAGACCACCTCGCTGCTTGGGCATTCTGTTACTGCGAAGCGGTTAGTCAAAAAAAAAAAACAGGTGCAGTAGTAAAAAGTTAGACACTCACGTGTCCGCCTTCAAGCTGGCAGTAGAATTGCGTGGTGCACGAATCGTCGAAGAACCAGAAGGGAAGCTCGGGCTAGCCGAGCTATCAATCCTGACAAGCGGCGAAACAGATGCTTGCGTGTTGGTCATGGCGCTGAGCGAGTCGCTAGACAGAGCGGCCTTGGTTTCGCCGAAAAGGTTGTCCGAAGATGCAGATTCCAACTCTTCTTTGAGATCGTTCGTAGAGGGTTTCGAGAAGACTGGCGAATCGCGTACAGTCCTGTCGGCCTCCAGTCGCGACATGTCGTGAACGGCCATCATGTGGTCCTTGAACATTGTGCCAAACTCTTCGACTTGTCTGCGCAATCGCGAGATTTCGGCATCGCGATCACTGACGTCTTTAGCCAGTCGGCGAATGACCCTGCCTGCACCTCCCTGACGCTTGACGTAAGCTACGATTGTCTTATCATCGGACTTTTGAAGAACTTGAGGATTGTTGAGTTGATCGTTGACATCGTTGAAGAGGGGTGGACGAGACTCGTCCTTGGGAGCCATGTTGAGGACGTTGATGAGCGAATGCGAGGCGGCCGAGACTTGCTGCAGTGGTCGTGTGTCGTGCTCGGAACCAGAAGTCGCTTCGGCCTCGGTCTCGTTGCCCGAACTGGCGGCCACTTCGCCGTAGACATCTTCGGCAAGAGAGTTTTTCCTGTCAGGGGCGTAGATTGAACGGGACCGTTTGCTGGATGAATATGAGTGGACCGAGGCGTCATCGCGACCAGCGAGATTGTTGCCGTTGCCATTCATGACTGAGAGGCCATTCGCCATGGTACTCGCATTGCTGTTGTAACTCGAGGTGACGTTGTTCGGCGGCGAGAAGGGTTCGAACGAGGTGAAGGTCGTGTTCTCTTGTGGTCGGCCAGCGCTTTGAAGCGATTGGTTGGATGCCCGAGCCCGCGGCCTGACGATTCTCTGGGTGGAAGACCTCCTCGAGGACGACCGAATTGGCCGCCCACGGTCGTCCATAGTGTCGAGAGATGTGCTGGACGAAGCTGATGTCTACCTTGGGCGTGAAAGACGACAAGGACAAAGCCAAACAGTCTCGTTTAAACACCTTGGTGCCCTCGCTGATCAATCCACACTAAAGGTTCGGTCCGATGAGCTTTCCCCGCTTCCGCTGCTGCAAACCGTCATCAAGCCTCATCCCTCTGTCTCATTTCCACGATCGAATCCAAGGGGTCAAAGGGGTGCCCAATCTCTTCTGCATCAAGGACGCATCATATCTCGACCCGTGCCATTACCTTCATGAACGTCATCACACTCGACCTTGGGCTGTCATATCATCTCAGGCTTCAATCTACATTTCCTGGACGACACGCGCGATACACGTTCCGCCAAGCTGAAACCTCCAACCATGACGTCTGGTGGCTCCGAAATAGATGAAAAGCCACATCTGCAATTCTTCCAGAAAATTTCTATCAATCTAAACAAAACATGAAACCGGTACTGGCCAGAGTGACACAATGGTCCGGCACCGAGTACGCCAGACTTGACAGATGGCAAACGGTTCCCAAAAATGGCCATTTTCCTCCGCTGGTTCGCTGTCGAACAGGGTTCAACGGTCCCGCATGGTCCTGAATGAGATGATCGGGTCTTGAAGCAGCAAACGTCTATCAATTCGACCAACTCTACTATTCAGACTCTGCTGAGCTCTCGGATACAAGTTCCAGCAGGGCTAGAGCAATGCCTGTCTCATTTGCCGCTACAGGTGTCACTGTCTGACAGGAAGCACTTGCGCATAATGGTCCAGCAGACCTGGAACCACCGAGCTGTTCTCAAGAGGCTTGGGAGTCTGGCGCACCATCATTGTGTGACAGTATTTCAGTGACGGCCCGGTAGGTCGTAAGTGCGTGCAAAGGCTCGACATCCCATACCACTACGCGCTAGATCCCTGATGCTGTCGTGCTGCATCGAGGCGTATTCGAGTGTGTCCATAAAGGCTCGGGAATGTACCTTGGCCGAGGTCGTTGGACGTGGAGAACCAGCTCATATTGTCACCGTAGTGGCCGATGCCCGCTGATCGCAGGATGCTTCTCTTTCTCATCTCTTGTAGCACCGGGCAAATGAAACAGAGCAGCAATCTGTACTGTTCTCCATCCTTGGGTTGGTCCACTCCTCTGACGTAGATCGGAACATGTTTTTCATCGTCTTCCGACGCAATCTCGCAATGTCGTCTTGACCGTACAATGGCTGACCTGGTCTTGCATTATCCGACCGCGTCCCGGATCTTGGACCAGTCCGAATGCAGGTGCAGCTCGGGACGTTGCATTCCTCGACGTCTGCAGGGTCCCGAGATGAGGAATGTGTGGAACAAACTCATTGTTCAACTTGCGAGATTCCTTTGTGGTATATCAGTAGGCTGAGAGAAACTCTAGGTCTCGAGGCCGCTGGCTTCCTTGAAGCTACCGCATCAGGCCTCCCTGAGAGAAACCTCGCATGCCTGCTTTGAGTACCACATCCTGACGGTGGCATGTCTCGGTTTGCCGACCACTGTTGAGCAATATTCGTGCCGCCGAGTACGCCATCGAATGCCGACAACAGGATGAAAGTCGAGTCAATGGTGACCAATGAAGTCGTGTACTTGAGCAAGGACTCGAACGATGCTTGGAGGTCATGGAGTCCCGCTATCCGTCCCCCTAATCCATGGACGGCCACGATTGCAAGTCGAAAAGTCTCCGGGCTCTTGAGACGTCGACATTCTGGAGCTTTCGACGTTAACACAGATTCTCGTATATGGACGAGCTCTTCACAGAAACGTTTAGCCTTGTATCTCATTGCCCACCCCTTCTCAGGCAGTAGGGATGCGTAGCAGAGTCTCAAGTTATACGAAGCTCAGAGAGATGCCACTTGTCCTGGTGAACATCATCGTCCTCAAGAAAACATCTTGCATCTCGATGGCATAATCACCGCATGATCACGTCGACAGGATACATCACAATTACATGGAAAAAAGAACAAGACATATGTTGATCGAAGAAGAATTTTGGATACGAATAAAACAGGGGGTATCACCCAGTGAACGCCAGACCCAAGGAAACCCTCAGAACGCCAGTGCTCGATGATGCTCTGTCACTGCGTCAAGCCTATCTGCACAGCGATGGCGACATGTGAGATGAAGAATACGACTCCTGGTCTTGTGATGAAGAATAACGACACTTGGTCTTGAGAAGAAGAAACGATTCTTGGTCTTGTGCTTGTCGAAGACGCTGTGGAAGGCACGTCAGAAAAACATGTTCATGACACCAGAGAAAAACACTCGACACATACCGCTATGCTTCACTTGCTAAAGGCATTCTTGACCTTCTTGACAGCCTCCTCGATATTGTCGGAGATGGTGTCGCGTCTGCGCTTGGTAGGACCAGGGTAAGGGTCGTAGGTGCATTTGCCATAACCACATGCAGGCTCAGGAAACTCTGCGCCATCGTCAGCATTGTCAAAAGCATGTCGAGAGAGTGAAGGCACTCACTGCCGTTGACAGCGATCCAGTCGGCACGGTGCTCCTCAGGCAGCTTGATAGCGTTGGCAGCAAGCTGGATCTGACGCAGAGTGATGTCGCCGTTCTCGTAGTCCTTCATGTACTTCTTGGTGTCGAAGGCGCGGTGGTAGGTCATCTTGGACTTGTCGGCGTCGGAGAGGGAGTGCATGCTGTCGATGCGGTCTTGCTTGATGTCGTCGACGCCCATGCTGGCAATGCGGCCGTGGGTTTCGTCGAGAGCTTTGATGATGTCGCTGAAGGTGGTGCACTTGGAGTCGATGGAGTTGGCTCTGGTGCGCACAGACTCGGTGGCAGGAGAGGACTTCTTGGGAGTAAACTTGAGAGGCGCAGGAGACATCTCTGAAGTAGGAGAAGACATGTCGGCAGCGAAAGAGGTCTTCTTGGGGGTGACAAAAGACATCTTCGAAGCAGGAGAAGACATGATGGAAGCAGCAGACTTCTTGGAAGAAGGCGACATCCACTCAGCAGGAGAAGGCATGGACATCTCAGTAGGAGAAGAGGAAGACAAGGGCATCTCAGAGTAAGCGAAGGAGAACTTGACAGGAGAAGACATGCTTGATGATGAGGTGGTATGGATGTTGAATGAGAAGAAGAGTGTGATGAAGGTTGGTATGATGTTTGAGGTTGGTGGTGGAAGAAGGATGTAGGGCGCGAGTGGTGGTGAGAAGGTATGGGTGCGTGGGGAGGAGTAAGTGAAGTGAGTGTGAGGGTGGTTGGGTGGTCGACTTAGGCGGTCCAAGCTTTGGTCGTCCTTTTGCTCGGCCTGCGTTAGGTTCTACCACTTTCCGTACGAGCACATGATGATGCAATCCTCGGCGAGGGGATACTCCCTGTGGTCGACACTGGGTTGTTCGCCAACGAAAGACATCACAATGGTTGGGTTGGGTCGGGGAGGCAGGAGGAAGGTTGGCAGGATCTGAGCAGAGGAACCTATCTTTCCATCTATCTGCCTGCCTACTTGCCTGATACCAGTCTACGCATGTTCAAGACTGAGAAAATACTGATCTTATACATCTTACTGTCTTTGAGGTTGCGAGCCCTGGTCGATAGCACGCCGTGCCTGGCCAAATCGGCGCGGCAGCCTGCACAACATAACCGCTACCTCGACATCTCCTAAGTGTCCCATTGTGTGCGCTCTCAGTTGTGCAAGTCGAAGCGGCGGAGTCAATCGCCCCTTACGATGGCACAGCGCGCTTGACGAGCCTCACGTTGACACCTTGCTGCATCACGAACCAGCTGCTCAGTGTGTTAGCAAGATGGGCGAAAGACACCATCGACAAGGCAACTCACAAGCATGTCTCCGTCCATTCGGCGTCTTGGTCTGCGAGCTCGAGATTGTAATGGAGGAACAGAGTGGGAATCAGCTTGGACATTTCCATCCAACTTATGTCTGTTATCCAGATGATCAGCAGTCATTTCCAGCTATGCGGCACGACAAGCACCTACTTCTTCCTAGGCACATTCGAGCACCTGAACCGAACGTGAAAAAGAAACGACCTGGCTGTGTCAGCGCAGTCAATAGGCCCCATGGAGACAACAACGTACGCATGTCTCCAGTATCCTCCTTCAACCAGCGATCTGGGCGGAAGTCTTCGACGTCCTCGCCGTATAATTCTTTGTTGCGGTGGATCACCCAGGGATTGGCTCCAACGACAGTCTGCTCTCAAGTCAGCGTGGTCTCTCGAAGGACGGCAGTAGACATACTCCTGCAGGGATGAAGGTGTCGGCGATGGTGACGCCGCCAGCGGGAGTCACTCGAGGCAAGCTCATGCCGACAGCGGGATGGCAACGCAATGCTTCATACATGACAGCCTGTAGGTAAGGCATCGAGTCCGCTTCTGACAGCTTGACAGGATCGCTCAGCTTGCCTTGTCTTCTAAAGTCGTCAATCTCCTCGACCAGTCTCTGCTTGTACTGAGGGTTCTTGAGGAGGTAGTAGATGATGGCGCGAGTGGAGATGGCAGTCGTGTCGCTACCCGCAAAGATATTCGAGGTTGCCATACTGATGACACCGTTGTCGTCCAGTTCGGCTTTGTCCTTTTGTGCTGCATGCAGTTTCGAAAGGATGTCTTTGCGGTCACTGCCGCGATTCATGCGAGCAGAGATCTCTTTGGCTGCGAGAGTTCGAAGGGATCCGTGTCTGTTGTTGAGAGCTAGATGGTTACCGATCACGGGCATTAGGCGATCGTGGAGCCAGTACAGCCATGGGACTTGTCCAATCCATGAAGCGGACTTCAGAGCACCCTCAATCTGGTTGAAGGACCCGTCATCGGCTTCCGCTTCCATGAACCCGAAGCTTTTCGAGAAGGTGATCTCTCCTATGATATCTTCACAATAGATCAGACAAGTGAGTGCTCAGGAGAATACGACACTGCTTACCGAAGGCGAAGAGCTGGGCCCATTTACCCATGTCGACAACTTGGTTCTGACGCTCGCCCATCGCATCCATGAATCGACTGACAGTATCGTCAACGTATGGCTCGAGGTCCTTCAGGCTAGTCATTGCATATGCCGAACTTATCGAGCTTCTTTGCTTGCCATGTAACTTTTCGTCCCTTTCTGCAAACAGATCAAACTTTCTGTGACCTTGCCAGACCGAGTACCAGTCGCTCTTTCGAAACTTTGTGCCTGCACCGTAGATTGTCTTGATTGCCGACAGATCTGCTATGCTGACTTCGTTTGGGCCATTACGCACGATGGGGCCATGTTTTTCGTGCAGCGCAATCATGGTCCTGTGCATGTCTCCGTCCCAGCTGTGCTTTGTGATCCATAGTCGGGTGAGACTCGCCCAGAAAGGTCCAGGCACGGAGGCAAGCGGATGGAAAGATCGCTGATAGATTATGTATGCTGACAAACAAGCTGTGAAGAGGAAAGACAAAAGTATGATGTTCGAGGCCTGTCCGGCGAGAGGAACGGTTGACGTACTGGTCACAGACATCTTGAGTCAAGTGGATAAAGCCAAACCAGAGACGAGAGTCACGTTCAGTGAAGAAGAAGCCTGACGACCATCTATATATTGTCCAAGGCATAACCGCGGATGAGACTCAGGAAGAGGGGCTGCACGACAGACCATTTGACGTCTTCATAAGCTTTCTAAGCTTCGCGATGCGGATGCATGCATGCCGGATCCGAGACTTGGTCAACACTGGCTAGCAAGCGCTGATCTGTGCAGCAAGAGGCTCAAAGCAAGTAGAGACTCGAGAGCACGACGGATCAAAATCGTACCGAGTCCGAAGGACACAGCAGATGACAACGCGGGGTGTCGAGTCTTGTCGATGCCAAGTCATGGGGATTTGTGGAGGAACCGGCTGCCTAAGCTAAAGAGGTTCGATCGCAGCAGCTCCCCAGACTCCCGAAAAACACCTCGACTTGTGCCGGCCTCTAGCCCAGGCGGACACACGACCAACGGCAAAAGAACTGCTTGTTTTCGGCCTACCAAATCGTTCTAGCTTGACCCTAGACTGACCCCAGGAATCATCGCGATTGGTGATTTCGCGGCACCGAGGCCCCGCATATGTCATGTTGCCTTGTTGCGGCAGAGCTAAGTCGTGAACTCGGTAGCAGCCAGGCAGCCGAAAATGTTATAGACCTCTGCCGGTGGGTAGGTACACTACCAAACCAACTTCATACATAAGCTGTGTGATCGCCTCCTTCTGATTAGCCTTTGTCTATTCATCTCATAATCACACATATCTAATACTCAATCATAATGCCGACCGAAAAGTACGACATCGTCATCGTCGGTGCTGGCCCCGTGGGCCTCCTGCTATCGACCTGCCTGGCAAGATGGGGTTACAAGATCAAGCACATCGACATGCGACCCGAGCCGACAGCCACCGGTAGAGCCGACGGTATCCAGCCACGATCACTCGATCTCCTCCGCAACATGGGCCTCAAGCGCGCAATCATGGCTCACGAACCTGCCAAGGTCTACGAGGTAGCTTTCTGGGATCCTGCTGAGCAGAGCAAGGGCATTCACCGTACTGGCACATGGCCCTCATGCCCTAGCTTCCTCGACGCCCGCTACCCCTTCACCACTCTGCTCCATCAAGGTCTGATCGAGCGTGTCTTCATTGCCGACATGGAAAAGTACAATGTCAAGGTACAAAGACCTTGGAGGATCACAGGATTCGAAAACGACGGCAAGGATAAGGAATACCCGGTCGAAGTCAAGATCAAGCACGTTGATGGTGACGAGCAAGAGACAGTCAGAGCCAAGTACCTCTTCAGTGGTGAGGGTGCTCGCAGTTTCATTCGCGAGCAGCTCAAGGTTGGCATTACACACAAGGATCCCATCACACACGTCTGGGGTGTCATGGATGGTGTCGTTCGCACAAACTTCCCCGACATCAAGATGAAGTGCACAATTCACTCCGACGCTGGCTCCATCATGGTTATTCCCCGCGAGGACAACATGGTCCGTCTATACATTCAGATCGCTTCGTCAACAGACAAGGACTGGGACCCCCGCAAGCAAAAGACAGAGCAAGAGGTTCAGGAGGCAGCGAAGAAGATCATGAAGCCCTATGAGATCGAGTGGGACCGTGTCGAGTGGTTCTCAGTCTACCCCATCGGTCAAGGAATCGCAGACCGCTACACACTTGACGAGCGTGTGTTCATGGGTGGCGACTGCTGCCACACTCACTCCCCCAAGGCCGGTCAGGGCATGAACACTGCCTTCCTGGATGCTCAGAACCTCGCATGGAAGATACACCATGTCGAAAGCGGTTTTGCAGACCGTTCCATCCTCAAGTCATATGAGTCGGAGCGTAAGTTGATTGCAGAGAACCTCCTCAACTTCGACAACGCATACGCCAAGCTGTTCTCGCAGCGCCAGCCTAGTGCCGGCGAAGTCAGCTCAGCAACACAGCAGGATGGTGAGAAGCAGGTCGAGGAGAACGAGTTCATCAAGATGTTCAAGAGCTCTTGCGAGTTCACCTCAGGCTACGGTGTTGCATACAACCCCAACATCTTCAACTGGTCAAAGGATCACCCTGCCAAGTCACCGCTGTTCCTCTCCAACGAGGACAAGACCACTACCCAGCGCACTGGACGTATTTTGACAAACGCCACCGTTACCAGAGTAGCAGATGCCAACGTCGTGCACCTCGAGCAGGAGATTCCTCTCAACGGAAGCTGGCGCATCTACCTTTTCGGCGGTGTCCCAAGCAAGACCAAGCGCGCCATCGCAGACTTCGGCGCCGGCCTAACGAAGAAGGGCTCGTTCTACAGCGCATTCGGTCACCCCAATGTCGATCAAGTCTCTTACCACGAAAGGCACAACCCTCACAGTCTGTTCTTCACCATCAACACCATCTTCGCTGCCAAGCGCCCGGAAATCGAGATCAGATCATTGCTTCCCGAGGTCCTCGCCCGCTACTTCGATCACGTCTACGCAGATGACATCTGGGATCAGAAGGTTCCTGATGCCAAGGCTGCTGCTCACGCAAAGATGGGTCTATCGGAAGAGGAGGGTGGTGTTGTTGTGGTCCGCCCTGATGGCTACGTCGGCTGTGTTGTCAAGCTTGTTGAGGGCACTGGCACTGTCGATGCGCTCAACAGCTACTTCTCTACCTTCACTTCCAAGAAGGTTGGCGGTGCTGAGAGAGCAAGTCTGTAAGAACATGATGTCAAGATATGATGTGTTGCATGGTTTGGTTGGTTTTTTGTTCTAGATATCCCCAAAGATTAGCGAATTCGATATTCTGTTCTACCTTCATCCATATTCACGTCTTGGGTTGTGCTTCTTCATTCTCTCATCCCGGTAGCTCATGTGTTCTGAGTGGCTTGATTCCGACTTTTGCCATCGGTAGTGAATCGTGGTCAGGGTGCACAGCACAGCCAAATATCTTGTTCTTGTCTTTGCTCTGTCGAGGCCACAACACGGCTGTGATTGCTCATATGTGCAAATTGCATCCGAGTAATGCTCTGAAGGGCGTTCGTGTTTCTAGATATTGTCTGATGGATTGTGTTGACGATATCCACGACAGTTCGCAGTACGACAGGATTTTTCTCAGCGCTACACTCTCACGCGATGATGTTGCGTGCAACCATATTTGCCATTTCAAATCAGTTCTCCACAGCTTAATATGTGGTAACAAGCATCTGGAGCCAATCCATATTAAACGCTACTCCTAGGTAGCTCGAAGACTCTCGACATGTCATGAGGCCATCTTGTTGGTTGTGCAAGCAGTTCAAAACATTCCAAATCAGCCTCGGGATCATCAATGCTGATTACAGAACTGCAGCCGTAATATGTCTATCTGGTATAGGCAACAGGTATCAATGTATCAGGTCTTAGGCCCTCTTCCCCATCACTAATTGACCAAGATGGGCCACTTCTCATCTTAAAGTCAGCCAGTGTCACAACTTAGCGTGTGTGGGGATCAAGGTGGAAAGGCAAGCCACCAACGACAGAGGCTTGACGGATTCGTCTGGCTTTTTCAACGACCGTTCCAAGGCCATTCGACCACGTCAGAATACGAGATCGAAAAACAGTTCCTGAATCAAGAGCTGAACAGGCGACATTTGCGCAATGTTTGCCTCGAGCAGATGTGGCAGTGCCTTGTCAACTGAGGTAAGTTTCGAGTCTGGAACTCGGGAAGATGCAAATTTACGCGCGGCCCCTCGAGGCTTGCTTGATGGGGGGAGAGAAAGCTGCTCTCGTCAAACGTGCGTTTCAGATTGCAAGCTGGGATAGGTCAATCATTTCGCAAATAGATGTGGCAGAGCAGAGCCACTTTCGACTCACAAAATAGCGCCGACTCGCTGTAAGTTGTGCGCCGCTGGGTCCCTTTTTTCTCTACTTCTCGTATCAACCAAGACCCGAGACTTCTTCTTCTTCTTGTGCTCTTTGCAACTTGCTACGGATTTCTTGTTTTCCCCTCTTTGAAGACGCCTCTCGACCACGCATCATACACATCCAGCAAACATATAGGGTTGTCCGCGGATCCTTCTTTCCGCAACTACATCATAGGTGCAGCAGTTCGTCCTTTTGCATACAATCAGACGCATAGCCGTTGTCACAACAGTTTTCTCCGCAAAAGTCAACAAAAATAGCCTCAAGAAACACAAAACACTCAAGGCCTTGAAGGAGTACAGGCAATTTCAGCACTCTCAATCTCTACTTGACCAATATCGCCAAACAAGTCGGAAGAACGACAGCCATATCAACGACCACAAAACACAACACACATACAACCAACAATCATGTCGCGCAATTCATTCGACGAAGGTGACGACCAAATCACCCCTCTCGCCCGCCGCATGACGGCCACCAACGAAGGCAACCGCGTGCTCCAAATGGGCAACATGGCCGCCGCCCGCCGCAAGAACAGCATCCACCGCACTTCTCCCCCTTCAGACCTCGACAATCGACACCGCTCTCCCTCTGCCGACCGCCACGTCGAGATCCCCACCGAGTTGCCTGCACGCAGCAAGACCACCAGCGGCAACGGCGGCATGTCTCGCTCCAAATCCATGAAGAAGGCACTGGGTCGCGCCCTCAGCGTCCGCGAAGAACCACACCAAGCCCACAACATCCCCAACACTGGCTTTGCACCCTCACGCTCAAAGTCCCTGCGCGCACCACCGCCTCCACGCCTCAATCTACGCAGACAGCAAGAAGCAGCCAAAAACGGCGTCGTAGAGGTGCCACCCGTGCCTGATTTCCCCTCACCAGGACGCGCTCCCCAGGGCCAGAGAATCTTTGATCCGCAAACCATTGCAGAGGATGAGGGTGTGGATGTGGAAAAGACTGGTGGGTGGGCTGTGGACAAAAAGACGCAGAAGAAATTGGATGACGAGAGGGCTAGGATTGAGGAGAATGAGAGGCAGGCGGTGTTTAGTGGTGAGGACGGGGATATCAAGCATAACAAGACGAGGCAGCGAAGCAAGAGTTTCAAGGAGTTTTTCAGGAGGGGTTGAGCTTATCCTTCCTGCTTCTGGATGGCCTTTGGTTTCTTACGTCTCATCACGGTAATTCTATACCCTAATCTGTCGTTATAGACGCTCCACGCGACAGCCTCGCGGAAGTGTTCTGTTGCGTTCTTGTACAAGCATCTAGCATAGTTTTGTCTATTATCATTGTTCTCTCAGTCACTATATCATTATTGGCCTTAGATCTTTCCGACATCTACTTTTCCTAGCATTCTCCCGTATTGCGTTACCTTGCATTGCTTCCATAGCTGTATCGTCTATGAATAGCTGTATTTTTATCTTATTCTGTCCCGCACAACCTTTGTCATACTTCTAAGTCCACTCTGCCTCTCCTTCTGGCCATCACAAAGGAAAAGCTTCACCACCGGCCACGCATGAATCCATCCTTTCTCTTCATGCACACTCACTTCCGTCTTGACATCATTTCCCAAGAAGTTGACTAGCTCGACAGTCTCTGGTGCAAAGACCTCTTCAGCACCGTAGATGAACAACCAGCCTTTGCTGGGCGAAGCCCGTCTCCACCATTCCGCGTCTCTGCATTTGCCAGGGGATACCATGGGATCAGAAGCAGAGGCTTTCGAACCAACGTATTGACTGCCGTAGAGATGCAGGGACTCAGCATTGAGGTAATCGCTAGGTGTATCTTTGTTCTTTGGAGATACAATGACGGCCCAAGGTGATATCATCACACCCAAGCCGGGCAATTGAGTGCGTAGCTTGGGCTCCTTGGACATGTAAAGCAGTAAACTGAGCATCAGTGTTGCGCCTGCAGAGTCACCGCTAACCACTATTCTTGACGAGTCCGAGATCTTGGAAAGCACGTATTCGTAGCCGAGGAGTGTTTCATGGACTTGAGTGGGATACGTGGACTCAGGGACCAAAGTGTATTCGAGGGCGAAGAGAGCTGGGTTCTCGTAGCCGGATTCTTTGAGGATGCTGACCCATGCGAGGAGGAACTCGAGGTAGAAGAAGCTGCTGCCCATTGAGAAGCCGCCACCTAGATACTGTTCAGCGCAACTCCAGCAATCAGAGGTGTTTTTGTATCGTACCGTGGCAGTAGTAAATCACAATATCAGGTTTCCTGGCCTCATCACAGATCATCCAAATACCATGAAGACCAGGCTTCTTGACCTCTTTCCATGGAATAGCAGATCTACGATATCCATGCCTCAACATGCGGAACCAGAAGAATGGCAATGCAACACCTTTCGAGAAGAAGACTTTCCCGATGGTAGCAGGAATCTTTGCAAAAGCATAGCGAACGCAGCGAATGACAAAGTCCTGGAAGGGAGTGGCGTGTTGGTTGAAAGCAGACTTTTGTGCTTTTGCGGTGAAGAAGCGTTCTTTGATGAATGAATACGGGAGTTGGACCACTGGGATATATATTAGCATAAGCGATAGTCTGGTAGCCTGAGCCTGGAGACATACAGAAGAATGGCAATGCCTTGACGACACAAGTGATTGTTTCTATAGGACCGACTCTGATGAGCAATTGAGGAGCAAGGAAGACGAGGAAAGCGATGCAATCCAGATAGGAAATCTGATTGAGTATCATTTTTGGTTGTATATAGAAGTAAGTAGAGTAAATTGAGCGATTGAGAGAGTCTCGTTGGGTGATTTCGTGAAAGCAATGATGTAGTTGATGCTTCTCAGGGTCTTCCATTTACGGAGATGATCGTCAGCGCATGCCGAGAAATGCTCAAACTTATATTGCAACAACGACACTGGGCTTCCTATAACACATGGACAGACAGAGGACAGCTCACCAGTCCAACTCATAAGCGATGGCCTGTCCCCGAATTGGAGATCAATCTGGAAGGAACGAATATGTGGACGACCTTCACGTGTCAGACTCGGCAAAGCTTCCCTCGCGTTCAACGGCGGGTGTAGCCGTAGCCGCAGTCGCAGCGTTGGTCCATCCAGACTTGTTTCCGAGCAACTTCATAATTCTGTTTGCAGCATTACGACAACCTCCCTAGCCATCTTACCGACTCTTTCCATCGAGCTACTATATTCACACCGGTGCGCGCACTGAGTCGGCATCATGGCGGCCGTTCAGGACCAAGTGGCCATTGATTTCGCCAGGTCAGCTCCGATCGAATTCTCGCAGCATGCGCAATCACTCACATGCTGCTCAGCTCCCTCACCCAGTCCGAGATTCCTACAAAACTTCGATGCGCCACCTGTAGCAAGCTCGTCGTCAATGCCTTCAAGCTCCAATGCTGCGACTCGTCAATCTGCCAACATTGCCAGGCCACGCTCCCCGACGCCTGCCCAGTATGCAGCCACTCACCTTTGGATCCGGACATGTGCAAGCCCAACAAATCTTTGCGCATGACTGTTAGAGCTTTCATCAAGGCCGAGGAGAAGAAGAAGATTGCCGCCGCCGAGGCTGCTGAAGCCGCAGCAGCTGCGGCCGCAGAACAAGACAAGGCAGCCGCCCAACAATCGGCACAGATCGCGGAACAACCGCAAGCAGACCCTGAGATTCACGCCGAACCAGACGTTGAACGTCCGCAAGAAGACAATGTAGCCTCCGAGGATGCGACAGAAGGTGCTGTTGCGCCGGAAGCTACCGATCCGCTTGCTCAGGTTGAAGAGGTGAGATCATGTGAAGTTGACGGCCCAAATGACATTCTGACGTGTATATACAGGTATCTGAGCGTCCAGCTGGAGAAGAATCTGCAGGAACCGATCAGATCGAACAACCGACTGGAGTCGAGGAAGACACTGTTGCACAGTCAATTGAGGAGACTGACCCCGATTTCGAGCAAAAGAACGAAGCCGAAGGTCAACAACAAGACCAGAACGGACAGGACGCTTCTCAGCAAAACCTTCAAAACATGGACTGGAACGCCGCTAACGGATTCAACCCCATGATGAACATGGCCAATGGATTCAACCCGATGATGGGCATGATGGGTGAGTTTCAACATCTACAAAATCTTCTGGACATGTACTTATATCTTTACAGGCATGCCTGGAATGAATCCCATGTCCATGTTCGGCAGCTTCGGTCCCGGCAGTATGGGCATGCAAGACATGAGTGGTATGAACATGGGAATGGGCTTTGGAGGCGGTTTCGGTGGCAATTGGAATGGACAGCAAGGGATGGGCGGAAACTTTGGCGCTGGCTATTATCCCAACGCTGGATATAATCAAGCGCAAATGCACCAAGGAGGCTATGCCAATCAACAGTTCCCAAATCATAATAACTACCAGAACCAGAACCGCTTCCAACAGCGTGGTGGCTATGCTGGCCGTGGGAGAGGCGGTGCTGCGTTTGCTGGTGGGAATGCTGGCCCATCTAACCCTCAGGTTCAGCAAAACGACGCTGCTTACCCTCAAGATGCCGAACATGGCGAACATCGCCCCTCACGAGCCGGTACTGAATCTGCTGATGCTGGTGCTGATAGACGCAACTCTCAGTCTGTAGCTTCTGTGTCTCAGATGCCCGGAGATGATGCCACTGCTCCTGAGCAACAGCCAGATGCAATTGTTGAGGATACTAACGAACAGATCCAACAAGGTGAGGAGCAAACAGAAGACCAAGGTCTTGAGAATGGCGATGAGATGCAAGGAATGCAAAACGAAGAAGGGAACCAAACGATGAATTTGAACAATGAAGGTGAGTGCATCAAGCAAGTATCTGTCGTGTCAATTGCTCACGCGTGCAGGCCCGAACATGATGGACTCCAATGCCTTCAATCCAGCTATGATGGGTATGGGTGGTTTCAACCCTGCCATGAATCCAATGATGCCTTTTGGAAATCAAAACGGTTTCTTCCCGCAGAACAATTTCAACGGTGGATTTGGTGGAAGAGGAAGGGGCGGATACAGAGGCAGAGGTGGTTTCCGTGGCCGGGGTGGCTTCAACAACATGCATGGCGGCTTCAATGGACACATGTCTCAGCCACCTGAAGATTTTACTGTTGTCGCAGGCTCGACAGAAGGACCGCCAATCGATGCTCCCAAGGGTCCCAAGGCTATGCGTGAGGGCTTGCCCAACAGCGGCATCTACAGTAGGGGCGGATACCAAGGAGGAAGGAACGCTCATCCTACGCCTACACCTCAACCCCAATCCCTGCCTGCACAATCACCTCAACCGCAAAGAGAACGCAGTCAGTCACCTGCTCACGACAACCGCGAGCGTGGTCGATCGCCTTCACACTCTAGATCAGGTTCGCACAGCCGCAAGCGTAAACACAGTGTCGAGTCGCAAGACAGTGAAGCACGAGCTCGCAGACGTGAAAGACGCCGACGTCACGAAAGGAAATACGACGACGAGCCTGCCGACTCCGACAGAAAGAAGGACACGACAAGATCCGACTCTGGCGACGAAGACGCATCTAGAAGATCACGCCGTCGCAGAGGAGACAGAGAGAAGCATCGTTCAACCCGCGAAAACAGCAGAGACCGCGATCATCGTCGCCGCCGCAGCAGATCCAAGGACCACCGCACTACCAACGACGATCAGTCCTCTCGCGCCAAGAGTCGTCGCGACCGCGACCGCGAGAGAGAAAAGGAACGTTCAGACCGCGATAGAAGCGATCGTGACCGCAAGCGTTCACGCAGAGATCGCTCTGCCTCCGCCAATGGCTCCGCTGATCATTACTCTTCGCGCCGCTCCCGCCGTGAGGACCCAGCATCTACCGCCGACGACCAAGGTTTCAAGATCAAGGGTTCTCGCACAAGCACCAAACCCTTCGCTCCACCCACCGGTCCCCGCAACTCTCGCAACGAAGACAGAAACAACAGACGACCTTCTCTTGCCTCTGTCGCCGTACCCCAAGACAATGCTGCTAGCACTTCTGCAGACCCATATGCTCAAGAACGCGAAGCTCGCATCAAAGAGCGTATGGCCAAAGAACAGCAACGCCGTGAGAGCGCTACCATAGGAAAGAGAGATAGAGGTGGTGAGCAAGGAAGACGGGGATCGAACGCCGGAGGTGAGGGCAAGGGAAGAGGCAAAGGTAGGAAGGTCAGTTATAGGTATGAAGATGAGGAGGGCGAGGAAGCTAGAGCCGAGAGAGTTGAACGCGAGAGGGAGGCTGCGAGATGGGGGTGAGTGAGAGATAGAAAGGGGAGTGTAAGATAGAAAATGAAATGTCGATCGGAGACAAAGAAATCAGGGCTCCTGCTCTCCCGATCCTTGTACATGTGCTTTGTGCTTTGTGTTTGCCAAAGGACAGGAGTGTTGTGCCCAAGGCATGCCCTTGATCAACGCGATTCTGTCGCTAGCCTCGGACATAATCCGACTGCATCAAGTACTTTTCCAATGAACCAATCTTCTGTCCCCGTTCATGGATTAAGGATTCCATATGCTGCAAACCAAAGACACTGACTGCTGTATGTTCGAACTATTAGAACAAGTCGCTTTCGCTTCAAAAGCATTTTGGTGTCTTGAGTATCATTTAAAGTGCCGTAGGATGGAATAAAGCCTCAGTGGAAGGGCGTCGAGCCAGAGCAGATTGACCGCATTCATCCCGCCTTGCCCATGGGAATCACCGAGCAGACCAACGGCAGCGACTTCATGTCAGTACAAGGATACCTTCGATAAGGCGGATGAGCACGGATTCAACGGCAGGGTCAGTCAAGGAGCAGTGCGGGTAGAGGTTGTCGAGAATAGATGCACGTGCTGACGCGAGTTACAGATCAGCAGGCGTGGTCGAAGGGCACGAGAAGTGCCAGAGAGAACCACTGACCCTCTCATCTCATTTGTAGGACCGAAGTGGCTATCGAGTCGCATCCCTGCAACAAGACACGATGTGATTGGTGTCGCGTATGAGGAGGAAGAGGTGTCAGGGAGATGGCTCATCGACCTCATATATGTCCAACGTACCTGCTTGATCTCGAGGCACTCTCCCTGACGGCCACATTCTTCCTCGAAACGATGCTTCTTGAGCAGCTGGCCCAAAACCCCAGCTGGAATGCGGTGGCGAAGGGTGTGTTCGGTGGAAATGCCGAGCTTAGGGAAAATAAAGAACCAAGACGATAAGTCACGAGTCTACCCCCGTCTCAATCGTAAGAGGTGGTCTGCCGCCAAGTTTGAAGCATATCTCCACTTCAATTGCACCGAGATGTATGACGACGAGAAAAAGGCCTACGAGCTCATGTCTGACATCCAGGGACAATACGTGCCTAAGGTCTTCGGACAGGTGATTTTGGACCAGCCGTATGCCTTCAAAGAGCTTGAAGACGATGAAGAAGAAGACGAAACACATACATGCCTGACTACTATCCCGGGGATCCTCATGCAACACCTTGATGGCTTTCATCTCACAGATCTCCACAAACATCTGCCCAGTGAACACCGGCAATCCATCCTCGACTCGGCCGTCCAGACAATCAACAAGATTCAGGATTGCGGAATATACAACAGTGATGTCAATACTCGTAGCTTCATGGTCGATCCTCTGACCCATCAAGTCAGGATGATCGACTTTGGCATGGTTCGCTTCCGCGAAAATTTCAAAAGCCAACGAGCCTGGGAAAGGTTCCAGGCAACTCGAGATGAAGAAGGTGCCGTTGGAGTGGTCATGCCGAGGTACTTGGAGCGAGACACCGGCATAACCGTGTACTACAATCGTAGCGAGCGAGCGAGGCGAATGGATTGGCGGTTCAATAGGGAAGAGGGAGAGCACGAGGGCGTTACCGCAGAAGAAGATGAGTACGTGAGGCAAGGCATCCTTTACGAGTAAGAGAAAAGGAAACTGATGTCGGCTTGACCCCGATTGCGATGCATTCTTGACTGGAATTTTGTGGTTTCGACGGGGAGAGAGGGTATCTAGAAGCATAGCAAAACGAAGACTAGTTTTTACTGGCTATCACTGCGTAAAGTAGATTGCTGGGGCTGACTGGCAATACCATGTCCGAAAAGCCTGCTGAATGGCGCCGGAGACTGAAGAAATGTCACCCGACAAGTTTGGTTAGGTGGAGCGGCTCTGATTACACGGTTGGGTGAGCTGTCCAGGTTCAGCTGCGGATGTCCCAGAATCGGAGAGGCTAGAGCCTACATGGCTCTATGAGCATCACATGTGCGGAAGTGCCCTCTTAAGGCTCACACAGGCGGGCAGTCGGTACAGTGTAGCAAATGGGCTGTGACTTTCTTGCAGCATGTTGCACTTTGTATACAGCTATCACGATGCAAATTAGTGTCCGAGAAGAAGCAGTGACCATTGAGAGCCTCTGATTCGGTAATCAGAGGACTCAGGGGCTCTTCCAGTAAGTAGTGATACTGGACTCACCGAAAGTTATTACGGTCCTCACTCAAGGCTCACACGACGAGAGGAAGTGATTGGAAACGATTGAAGTATGATGGGGAAGTAAAGCAGTGTTGTCATTCCAGCGCAATGCGCGATATCAAAGAGCGACTGGACGAAGAGTACCAAAAACGCCCAATAAGTTCTTCCTCCTGAACCATGAAAAAAGGACCAAAAACCGCTCCCAGGGGTATCTTATGCGCATCTCAATGGTGGTGCCACTTTATGCTCGTGTGGCAAGAAGAAAAAGGATGTAAAAGAAGGCGCTGTTTGATGTTGCGCAGACCAAAGAAAGGAGGTCGTGAACAGCTTCCATAGTGACGGCGCACTTCATGGATAGCAGCACAACCGTATCTGTTGTTGGTTGGGTTCTGTTGCAGTAGGGGGTTAGTAGTGGTTGCCATGTCAGATACGAGTCAACCCGCTTTGCGAAGAACAATCGTTTGTCGTTCAAGCCTGATCCTCAACGTAGAACACCTTTTCCTGCTTCCCTCCAGTGGCCCTCTCGCGCATGACCTTGAGAATCTCCATCTTGTTGCCAACGTCGAGCTCAAAAGAGTCCTGGACATACTTGACACTCTCACCACGGTAGACGACAACTCTGAACTTGACATCGGTGGTCTTCATGGTCATGGTGCGGAAGATGACACCATTGATACCCGAGCGGAAGGACTTGTTGGCGCCAATGATCTCGTAGGGCTCGCCAACTGTACCAAACTTGACGTCGAACCAGCGATTGTCAATGTTGAGGGCATAGGCGGCGTAGGCCTTCTGGCACTGCTTCTCGCTGAGGTACTGGTTCTTGTAGACTTTGACCTGGTATGAGTGAGCAAGACTGGAGATAAAAAGGCAAGTGGAAGGCAGATGGACTAACCATCTTGGCTGATAGAGTTGTGGAAGGTGAGATAGAGTTGGAATGTGATGTAAGGGTGTGGTAGAGTGGAGTAGTGCTTTGTGAGAAGGTGTGAGAGAATGATGTGTTGTGGTGGTTGAACTCGCGTGGTGGTGTGCTTGTAAGCTTGTGCATAGTTGTTACTGGTGAGGAGAACAGACAAAGGAATTTCAACAACTCGACAAGTCACGTCGAGTCTCGGCGGAGTGAGATGGAAACAGACGGAAAGTGACAACACGATGCGGTGAAAGTCGAGAAGCGGGAGATTCACAACGGAGCCAGAAGGAAGTGAGAAGAAAGTGAGCCATCTTCCACTCTGCTCTACGCTACCAGTGACTCGACACGATATAGCAAGACGCGCTGCCAGATTGACAATCCGAGTCAAGTGGAAAGAGTGACCTACCTCATCTTACGCTCAACGAGGATCATCCGAGTCATTCTCCACATACGTCAAGTTTGCTGCGAATCTATCAGAGCCTTTGATCACTTGATGCACGTAGCCGTCACTTTCACACGATCTTGATTCCCAGACACCGCCTTCAACAAATTGAGACACAAGGACCGCAAAAAATCCAACTGCGAAAAACGAACACTCAACTTTTCCTCTTACTTTCCACGATATCTTTACGAGACACTTGCCCTGTACATCAACGACCTGGACAAAGCGGGTATCTCAGCAAGTTCCTCTCATTTGGATCGCCATGTCGCTTTCTGGAAATATGACCAACAGCAAGTGCACTTCTGCTTGCAATGGTGCGTCAGGCTCGTCAGCACAAGACAAGAAGTTCAAAATAGTCAATTTGAGCGGCCCGATCAACATCCTGCTGCCAATGGATGAAGTTGAAGGGGTTGACTCGCAGCTCACTGACCGTGTCAGCCCATCTCCTTTGTATGTTTTATCTTGTTCCGACAGTACAATATGCTTGACTGACGAACCAACCAGCTGTCCATACGTTGTCGGAACCGAGATTGATCTCAAGACCTCTGACGAAGGACTTCCGATCAAAGCCCAGGTTATCAAATGTTTCGAGGCGACCTTATCTTGTGTCATGGTCATCCGCTTCATCGAGCCTCCAGTCTTCAACAACACATCTGAATGCATTTTGAAACTCCTGGACCGCCGCTTCTCAACCCAGGCGCGTGGAGATTTGGACCTCGCCCCCTGGACCCCTACGCTTGAGCAGAAGTACCAAGCCTTTATTCGCGAAGGTAAAGCAGAAGAATTGTTTGGTTACTGGGACGCCGCAAAACAGATCAACCGCGAATGGTCGGCATATTACGTTGCCAACCACCGCAAATGGAGTCCGGCAAAGTGGGAGACATATATCCAATGGCAGGCTCACGACATTTATGAGGATGAGAAGAAAGCTTACCAGCTCATGGCTGATCTCCAAGGCATATCGATTCCCAACATGCTGGGCGAAGTGTACTTGGATCTCCCTGCAGAAGCTGCGGTCGATGATGACAACGAAGATCCCGACCAAGAATCAAGAAGTACAGAATCTGGGAACACGGCAGATGAGCCAAGCGTCCACTCAATCCCGGGTCTCCTCCTCCAGTACGTCCGCGGCTTTCACCTGAACGAACTTCACGAACACTTGCCGCGCGAGCACTGGCAAACCGTAGTCGACTCTTCCCTCACGACTCTGCGACAGATCCAAGATTGTGGTATACTCAACCGTAATGTCAACCTTCGTAGCTTTATCATCGATCCAGCCACACAACATGTCATGATGATAGATTTCGGCATCACCAAATTCCGCGACGACGTGGGCAGCGACAACGAGTGGGAGAGGATGCAAGCATGGGAGGATGAAGACTTTCAATTAGCTATGTCTATGCAGGGCATGCTATGGAATCTGACTGGCAGCACCATAACGTACAAGCCTACTGAATGGCGCTGGCGACTGAAATATCGCTACCACATGGGAGGTGAAGAGGAGGGCGGTACCGAGGAAGAGGAAGAATATGTGAAGAAGCAGAAGGACTTTGTCTTCGAGAGATGAGTAGGTTCGCATCTGGCAGCATCTTGAGCCGTTGGAGCGGAGAGCGATGAGCAATAATATCGAGGATGGGACAGGCAAACGGTCCTAACTTATCAATGAGTGTGTCCATCTCAAGACCGTGTCCTAAGTCTGAGTTCGGAGGATGGTCATGTACTGGCTTGGAGTTCTGATTCGCAAAGCAGCAAAAGTAGTTTTCGATGATAATTGATCAATGTCCTTCAAGCACCTTGCCAAAATTGCTAAGTCATTTGGACTGAGTGTCTTCGTTAGTCAACGAGAGCTCATCAAGTCTCAGCATGAATTGCGATAGATCTCGGATGATGTATCGCAACATGCAGCTATGCAGCTTGTTCACTCTGGTGTTGGTGTTTTGCTCCAAACTCTCATTCAAGCAAGATCTTCGTCAACTGAACTCCAGAGAAAGATCATTCCACTACTCGAGGAGTATCGTTTCCTTGTCGCAAAAATCTGCCGTAGTAAGATCTTCGGGCTCGGGATCCCTTCCCAACAAGGTCGAGGACAAGAGGAAAGTGACTACTGGTAAATCACAATGACCCATACATCTACAAGGTGGAGGTCCCGAACAGCGACGATGAGACAAAAGCAAGACAAAAGTAGCCAGAGGAACAGACCGAGCCGTAGACAACAGGCCTCAGAATCACATTCCATCCAACTCATCCAACAGGGATTTAGACCTTGACCTTCAAAGAGGTTTCGTTGTCATACTGACAGAAGAAGTAGGCAAGCTTCTCAGTATCTTGGCTGTATTTTGCAGACAGCAATCCCACAACGTACCCGGTCATGACCGTCTTACCAGAGCCCAGTGTAAAAGTACACCAGAACACATTTGGTCTACTTCCAGTAACCCGTTGCGCGAAGTGATCCGTTTGGGTGAGCCACTGACTTGTAAAGCCGTGTCGTTACGTTCGAATCTCCCAGGAGGCGATTCCGTTGTGGAAGTTGGAAAGTTGCACGAAACGCATTGAGTGCTTGTTCACAGCAACGTACAACCATTGAATAGGAGTCGCAAGGCGCCTTTTGTAGATCTGTCGAATTCCCATAGAGCTTTGGGTATTCTTGGAATCTCGGGCAGCACTTGCCGATAGTCGTGAGCATAGCCGAGAGCTTGTCATAATAAGTTGTGAAGTTGGATGCAATCTGATCAGAGGTAGTAAGTCATGCGGATCATACTTCCCAGAGGACTCTATGATCGACTGACCTGCAAAACAAGCTTGATGCTGCCCCAGATGAGTGCAGCGATCTGAGGGTGCGAGGAAACAAAGGTCTCGATGATACCAGAGAACTGCCGAATTGGATCTAACAACGGGTGAGGTGCGAGCAGCGACACAACGACTTTTCCTTTTGGCATTGTCTTGGTCAAGCTGATGAGTAAATTCGGCGACTGCATGAGCATCAGGTACTGCCTTGGTAGCCCCCGGCTTGCGCTTCTGGTCTGGATTCAGGCAATTCTGGAAAGCCTTGAGAGCATCATCCGAGGTATCGGTTGGCGAACTTGCGGCAGCAGGCAAAAGGGGTATCGGAGATCGAGGTCTGAACAAGGACAACATTCAGGTGGGGTGACCTCGAATTATGTGAAGAAGAATGGAAGGTCTTTCCCAGAGTCGACACGAAAACAGCGTGGTCAAAGCTCCTTCGAGCTTCAAGAAAATAGCGAGTCAACCTCGACATGTCCTAAGCTCCGACACAAGCATGGATCGAAACGACAAGGCGCGCGAATCAATGGGAAGATCGAAGCTGGGTATCATACTCGTCGGAATAACTAATTCTCAATACACCCCAACACAGACGCCTGCCTTTCATCAATGCGATCTCTAGATGCCTATACCAACTGCAGAGAAAATCACTCTTCCTCGTCTCGGAATCTCAACATCCCTTTATTGATCTCCGTAGCAATCTCCTGCGCTTCTTCCCTCGTCGAAGCCTCAAAATCATACCGCTTGGTTTCCTTCTCGCGGTAGACAAGCACGCGCACAACCTTGGGATGCTTCCTGCTGACTTTGCAGCCAACCACACTGCTGAGATGGACGCTTGTTGTTTTGCCGCCTGGAGGTGCCATCGCTGGGTCAGCATTGGCGTTGAGTGGATCTGTAGATGAAGCAGGCATGACGTGCATGAACTCTGCATCGAGTGCGAGGATCCTTGGGTGCGAGGGAGCAAAAGATAGAGGCTGGCGGCGGATGACGAGATAGCGTTTCCCTGCTCCACCAGCAAGACCCCAGAGTGCGGTCGCATTGATGTCGTTGGTAGATTTTGCACTTTGCAAGCCCATGAAAGGCTTCCGCGTTTTGGCTTTTGTGTTTGTGGCGGTCTCGAGAAGCAGTGGTGCGTTGGGACTCTCACTGCCTGGGCTGCCTACTGCGCTCACCATACCACGGCCATCGCCTACACCGACGAAGCGACGCCGGACAAGGTCGAGTGCCAATCTTTGGCCAAGCGCTTCTACTGTTCGATCCTCTGGTGCAACAGTCTGCGTACCGCGCACCTTGAGGACATAGAGAGCTTTGTCAATGTTCAGCCTTTGGCATGCCGTGGTGAATAGCTCAGCCAGATAGGTGTCAGAGGTGGTTGGGATAGGTAAAAGAGTCGTCTGGAACGAGTGCGGATCTGTGTAGTGTATGGTGACTGTCTTTGATGAGCCCGTCCTGGGGGTGGACCGAGGAGCAGGAGCAGCTGGTGCATCCATCAGAGGTATACTCGAGTTCTTCCTGGCCATCGGGGCAAAGGATGGCGTGATAGGGTTGACGTTGGGGATATACGTAGGTGCTGCGGGTGGTGCCAGAGTTGGAACATCGGACAAGGTCCTCTGCATGTTGGGAGGCTGCGGTGTTGCTGTGCGTGAAGTATCTGGGATGGGTGTACTCGAAGGAGCCAGACCACTAGGCTCGCTGAACTGTGGCGTGGATTCCTCGTTCTCTTTATATTGCTCTTCAGTCGCTCTCACGAGACCAAACTCATCCCAAGGCTTATCTCTTGCTCTCGCTCGAGGTGGCCGATTATTGTTCGAGGTAAAGTCTCCAAGAGGTTTCGTCCGAGTCAGGGCTGGGAAGTCGTAGTCGACCTCTTCGTCTTCAACCATGCGCAAAGTCCAACGGTTCACGTCCAGATCGTTGCCTTCTAATGGCGGCTCAATTTTCTCCTCAGCATATCGCCACAGACTGAGCCCGATGAGCTCAGCAACAATGGTTGGTACACCTTCCTTTGCATTCTTTCGTATAGGAACCTGTATGGGAGATGAAGCTTTCTTTGAGAAAGGAGCATAAATTTTGATCCAGAGAGGAGTCGATTCACCTTTGCCGGAGAGCTGGGCAAATTGTTGTAGAGGGTTACCAGCCTTTTGTGATGTATGCTTCAAGGCCTTGGACAACAGACTGACAGGCTGAACATAACTGATTGGACGACCTGCAGGAAGCCTCGGTAATTCCGGAGGAGGAGCCATTTGCTTCATGCGTTTGGGCGATGCTGAAGTATGAGGGGTGATAGCAGGCGGCATGCTAGGAACGTCTCCAGGGGTCGACTCCAGTGTGTCGACAGTAATCAAGGGAGCGCCCATGCCCAGCAAAGACTCTGAACCGGCAGTTCCAGCAAAGTCATCGGATATGTCAGAGGCCTCGCCGAGATCAATGTCAGACTCGAGGTCTTCTCCTTCTTCCTGGATTCGGTCCTGAATCATCTGGCCATGCTTGGCAGCGCGATGCTGAACCCTCTGTTTACGGAAAGTGACGGGATCCGTCTCGTTCTCGGACGAGAACTCGCTGCTTGTAGCGGTATCTCTCCTTGGACGTTGTTTGAAGAAGGAAACAGAGGGTAGTGAGCCGCGTCTTGCCGTCTCCTGGGCAGCGAGTTTCGAAGGCGAGGCGTTATGTGGAGGGACATCTTCTCCTTCTCTTGTAGTGTGTGTAGGAGAAGAACCAGCTCTCTGACGGACAGGCATCTTGCTGAACTTGATCTGAGAGATGGCACTCTTGTCGTCTTCATCGTCGCTGTCGTCGCTCAAATCACTGCTGTCTTCCTCTTCCAGCTGCTCTTTCCGTCGCCGCCTCTTGTTGTGTGTGTTTACAGCGATAGTATCTTGACTGCCTTGGCCAGTGACCATTCCTCCTTCTTCGTCATCATCTTGCAAAGCGTAGGCGGGCGCGAGGGAGCGTTGTGGAGCTTGAAAGTATTCGGAAGCGACGGCGGTGGGGATGGGAGGAGAGTATGTGCGATTGATGTCCTGGGGATTGGGTTGCCAGCCAGCAGCACGAAAGGCAGGGTTGTTCAGGACATTGGTATTGAGGGTGATGAGACGCTCGCCAACGCCGTCCTTGACGTGGTGCAGGTAGCCGGCGCGTAGCTGGTAGATGGTAAAGTCTTGGTTGTTAAGGAGCGACATGACGAAGGAGAGAGGGCCAGTCCTGCTGGCTCCTAGTGCATTGTGTCGGTCCTGGTGACTGAACGTGTCCGGCCGACAGTTGGAAAGGCGTCTGCTGCCCTTCTGGACTGCTGCTTGTTGCTGTCACTCTGAACTTACCCCAGCCTCGGCCCGCCAAAGAACCCAGATCTTGGCATTGTGATCGATTGCTATTTTGGAATCTGTCCAAGCCAACAGCAGCAGAATTCGACAACACATAACGGACTCAAAGACATATTCATGTGAGATTAACATTCGATATGATCTCAGCTCGCATAGCCGTGACAGAGCAGATCGATATTGTTCCAGCAGAGTAGCCGGAGTTTACAGATCGAGGCTCCGGCTTGGCAACAGCTTGGACCCCCCACTTCCATCATCTTTGACGATTCGCGCCTTCCATTCATGATCATATTGATTTACACATTCCCGTCGCATACTCAGCATGGCTCTTGTCGGTTACTCAGATAGCGAGGGTTCTGACTCGGAATCCCCGAACGTTGGCCCCATCCCCGCCACCACGAAACCCTCAGTCAAACAAGGAACTTTCCAAAAACTAGTCACCCCTTCTGCGCCACGGAAAATCAAAGTCGATCTACCTGCCGTGCAGCCAGAGGCCGAAGCAGATGCCCCTCCAGCGAAGAAGTCTCGTACTGCTGGAAAGTTTGGCGGCTTCAACTCCTTCTTGCCTGCTCCGAAACGCACAGCCGACGCCAAAAAGGGCCTTGGGTCTGGTGTGAACCTCAAGACTGGCGCTGAGCCTGCCTTCAGCAGAGAAAGAGTAGAGCCAGACCCTTCCGCGTTAGCTCCAGCCGCGACGAGCGAAGAGATCAAGGACAATCCAGAAACGTCAATACCAGCACCGTTCCAGGACGAACCGCCGCAAGAGGTCAAACCAATGGGCAACGCCATGAAGTTCAAGCCTCTGTCTGTCAGTCGGAAAAAGGCTCCCAAGAAGAAAATCATGCCCAGCGCTGCTCCTGCTGCTCCGTCACCTGTCGCGCAACCGCTCACAGAGACGCCAAAGCCTCCTGCACCCAAGCCAAAGATCTCCTTGTTTTCGGTCACTCAGCACGACAATTCAGCACCAGCATCATCCTCCGTATCAGAATATCAGCCTCTTTTCGCCGAGCCAGAAGTAGCGCCCGCCGAAGCTCTTGACTCGACTGTGGCCGCCCCAGCTTCCATACCCTCAGATCCCAACTCTCTCACTGCCATTGCCGACGACCTAGGTCTATCAGCAGCAGAGCGAAGAAGATTGTTCGGTCGTAACAAAGATGCTGCTGCACTCGCCAATGTCACGTATCTCAACATGGAAGAAGAATACAACAACAATGAGCAGCTTCGTATCCAAGGCCAGGCTGTCGAGCACAGGGCTGTCAAGGCTGTTGCTCCCGGAAAGCACAGCTTGCAGCAGCTTGTCAACTCTGCTTCCACGCAGAAGGAGGCTTTGGAAGATGCCTGGGCTCAAGGCCGTAGGAATAAGGCTGAGGCTGGTAGCCATTATGGTTTCTAATCACATCATGACTTTACGATCATTAATGAACATTCTCTTCACGAGCATTTAGATCTTCCAGTCATTCGCGTATATCATGCCAGCCTTCCAAGATGCGCTTGCCGAGGCTGCTGAGGGGTACTCGCTCCTGCTTCTTACCAGAGCTTTGCACTTGCCAAACACTCATACGTGGGTGACTCCCCATAACAAAGGTAGATACGCTGTTCATCAACAAAAGCGGCGGTGGTCTAGTGGTCAAGACACTGCATCAATGGGTCTTGCAAACACAAGCTCGTTACCAAAATTGTCGTGGTTTGCGTACCGCAATCACACAGTGGTGATGGTTCAGAGATCGTGAGTTCGAATCTCACTCGCTGCAATATCTTTTTGCTGTTGTTTCGTTATATCCTTATCTTGAAAGCAGTATCTGTTATCACAGATACTTCATGGTAATGCAGTCAAGTTTTGTAGCTGTTCAATAGGTTGAGGGCAGAAATAGGCTTGAGGAGTGTTGAAGTCGTGACGTCTGTACGTGATCATGTGCGATCATACATCACACTCTTGATGCTCGAACCATATATGTAGTCTAACGACTTCTCAGAAGCCCCTCTTCTGCTACATCTATCATCGCTACGCTCCTGAGACCATCTCCCATTCTCGTTTCATCCACTATGCCAAACCCATTCTCACCACACGGCTCCAACGGTCCATTGTACGTCCGCATCTGTATTTTCGTAGCACATATCACTTACGGGAATCACAGGCGCCAGAACGCAGTCCTGCTCTCGGTCCTCGCGGCCAGTGGTGCGGGGTACTGGCTCATCAAGTCGAGCTCCCTAAAACGTGACAAGAAGAGGCAGGAACAAATCTACACCGAGAAGAGGAAACATATTGACACGACGAAGAGTGATCACTGAGCCGGAAAGGTCGATGGGTCCGTCTGTAGGATTATGATGCTATGAGCTTTAAGCTGGTGTTAAGCATGACGAAACAGGAACTCACTCCGAACGTGGGGCAATTTGTTCTTTCACCTTGAACCTCGTCCTGTGACTTTGACTCTTCCATCAATTCTTGTATACAAAACTGTCACAATGGATCTGGATCACAAGATGGAGTATCCTCAGAAGAGGCTCAGCATTGCCGTGCTCGGTTGCGGTCGGTCATGCAACAATGTTTGATACTCTGAACCATCAAGGCTGATGCTCGAACTAGGCTTCATGGGAACCGCCATCATCAAAGGCCTACTCACCAGCATCCGCTCTGGGCAATCAGATCCTGATGACTTCAAAATGGAGATATACGCCTGTGTCCGGTTCCAGGAATCCTTCGAGCGCGTGCAAAAGGCTCTCGGTGATGAGGCTCATCGCGTCCAAAGCGCTACACATCTTCATGCATGGGCTCAGGCTGTCGACAAGGCAGATGTGATCATGTTAGGTATTCCACCTGCTGAGCTCAAGTCTATTTCGGAAAATGTACCCCTGTGCAGGTCTCTGAGAGGGAAACTTGTTATCAGTTTATTGGCAGGCGCTTCTTGTGAGCAGATCACAGATGCATTTGTTCACAACGACAAGGCGAACCGAGCAACACAATTCAACGTCATACGCGTTATACCGAGTATTGGAGCGCAGAATCTGGACTCAGTCACTATGATTGCGGACACACCACATGCTGGGGATGACCAGAAGGCCTTGTGTGACTGGATCTTCAAGCAGATTGGAAGTGTGCACTATCTGCCTGAGAACCTTATGGACGAAGCCACTGCTACGCATGCGACTTGTAATGCTCTCACTATGATTGCTGTTGATGCCGTCACGGATGCTGCGGTGGCCGAGGGTATACCTCGTGCACAGGCATTGGCGCTGGCGGCACAGAGTCTGAAGAGTGCAGCTGGTCTGCTGGATAGCGGTATGACTCCCGAATCACTCAAGGAGTCGATGTCTGTTCCAAAGGGTATCACGATCAATGCTCTACTTGATCTCGAAAAAAGTCAAGTCAGATCAGGAGTTTCCGATGCAACCAGGAATGCCATCAAATATACGAGGAACATGAGTTAAACAAACCGACCTCTGTCCAACGCATGCAACATTCTGAAATTTAAAGGCTGGTCTACAACAAATACTGAGCACTTCTATTCGGTCTTACGATCAAAATCATAGTCCGGCAAGTCAAACTTGGGCATCTTGTACCCGCCAATCCACCGCGTGATACCACTCCAGTAAACAAGCCAAATCACCGTCCGAATTGACCAAACACCTAGCTTTGTCTGTGGAACAAATACCTGCGGACCTCCCTTAGGTGCACTCTGCGCCTTTTTGACATACCCCGCCAGCTTATCCTCATAAGCCTTGAACGCAGTCTCTGGCTGATTTGGAGAACTTAGAATCTCTCCCGCGAGCATATATCCGCCCAAAATCGCAAGTGTGGTTCCAGTCCCTGTGAAAGAACAATACGCAGCATCACCAACCATCGCACACCTTCCCTTGGACCATCCTCTCCCCCCAAGTTCAATCTTTGCAACATCCTGAAGGTAGAAATCCTCGGTGTCTCGCATACCTTCAATCACTCTTGTAGCCTCCCACCCAGCATCCGCAAAGATCTCCGCCAAAGCCGCTTTTTGCGCATCCATACCTTCTCGTTGGACTTTTCGGAGTACAGGGCTATCCTTACTCAAGACCAAGTATCCAGAACTGACTTTGTCGTCTTTGGGTCGTATCATGATAAATCTACCTCCTACTGCATTATACCCTCTCGACCTTGGATGATCTTGATCCTGCCTTGGGATGGAAAAGTACGCAACCCAGCAATTCTGGCTTTGGATAAAGGCTTCAGTGTTTGTGTTTTCGAGTATCAAGGATCGGGTTTTTGAGCGGAAGCCGTCGGCTGCAATGAGCATGTCGTAGGATTCTTGTGTGCCGGAGGATGTGGTGATGGAAACTGAGTCAGAGGTTTGAAGCAGAGAGGTTATACTGGTATTGAAGAGGAAGTTTACGTTAGGATATGCCGAGGCGGCGGTGTATAGGATATCGCAGAGATCCCCTCTCATGATTTCGATTTCAGATGTGAAGCCTATCACTTTATCAGCCTGTTTCCTCACACTCCAATCACGTATCGAACAACAGTACCTATATCATTCTGCTTGTCGCCTACATCAAAGGTCGCAAATGTTGAATTTTTCTCATCCACAAACGCAACACCCTTTTCTCCTGTAGTTTTTCCTCGGATCAGTGCTTCCACGCCCATCTTTCGCACTATCTCGACAGCAGGTCCTTCCATGTCTATGCCTTGACCCAATGTTCGTAAAGAGGGACTGCGTTCGAGGACTGTGACGTCGAAGCCCGCACGACCGAGAAAGTAGGCTGTGACGCTACCTGCGATGCCAGCTCCTGAGATGTGTAGAGATAAGGACGAGATTTTGATGTCTCTCAATTTTCTTGGATGTTTTGAACGTCAGGTTGCTCAAGAAGAGAGCGAACGTGGAATATGAGAGTTCTGATCGAGCAGAGAGCGATGGTTATAGATGTTGTGAGTTGTTGTGATCCTACTGCCTGGCTGCATCCTTCTCGGGGGGGCTTCCCCGATATATGCTATCTCGGTCGAATGGCCGAGATGCACAATAATGAGATCAATCAGCCTTCAAGTCATATCGCTATACTTACAAGGACTACAGCGGCGACTCGTATCTCCTGTGGCCGTGTTTCGTATATAATCGCGACTTGGAAAAGACACTCGATGTCTGCCTCATCGGAGTTGCTTCCATTGAGTTACAGTAGCGAGCCGCAAGCAAAAACTCTCGTTTTCTGGTGCGGCTGAAACTCTGTCTACTCAACGTCATTTCCCCTTGCAGACGACAAGGATGTTTTGTTCGTCTTCCATGATACCCGGTCAGAATCACATCATGAAAGAAGACCCCTCTCTATATAAGTCAGAGGTTGCAGTATCCTCGATGCTCTGTGCAAGCGCGAATCTTTTTGCATTGGCCTCCACGGAGGGATGCAAACTAACACCCGGCTCTGTCGGCCCTAATCACAAAATCAATAAGAGGCGTCTTATTTCCGCGTCCGCATGCCAATTCCTTCAGCAATCCTTTTTCGCTTGGGAAGCAAAGCGTTCTGGTTGGGATGTGGATCCGCCTCCCAAGGAATAGGAGAGCACAGGCTAAGGCACGGTCGATGAGCGCATAGTCAAGATGTAGGTCTGCCTTGTTATTTGTTCCACGCGCGCATTCTCCGTTCTTCTTGCAACGATCGCATTTCTTGATACGCAGGGCTTGTGTGCCTGGTCCGCCGGATAACGATGTTACGAATTAATGCGCGCGGTGTAGTGCTCACATCTGTCATCGCACTAGTACTGGTCTTGCTGTTTGTCGCGCAATGGAAGCGCGATGAGATCGATGCCTGGCGTGGTTCCATGTCGACACCAGATATCGCCAACCAGGACAACAAACTGGAAGAATTCAAGGATGATACCACCACTGTACCCTCGCCTCCAGACTTTACAGCCGCAAACTCGACATTAGGCGTAAGTCACCTCTGCCCTCCCTCTCCGCTACACACCAAGCACATCTCGCTGACTTGAAACACCACACAGTTCCAAGCCATCCTCGCCCTCTCTCAAGGAACACCCTGGCGCGTCAACGGCCTCCACGCCGCAGCAAAAGTCTCGGGCATCACCGTCACCGTACCCCAACAACCAAAGTGGAGCGATCCCTTCATCAAAGCCTTTCAAGAATTCGGTCCCATCGAAGCCCACGGCGCAGCAATGGCATGGCTAGGCCACCTGGACCTCTTGAAATTCGTGATTCAACACAACTGGGGCTCTGCTCTCATCTTGGAGGATGACATGGATTGGGATGTTGAGATTCGCAAACAAATGCCACCGATTGCAAAGGCGGTCAAAGAGTTGACAAAGGCGAAAAAGGGGGATCAAGGGCCGTATGGAAGTAATTGGGATGTGCTGTGGTTGGGCCACTGTAGTGATCCTCCCCCCTTCCCGAAAGAAGGCAAGATCATTACATTCGCAGACAACACCACAGCGCCAGTGGACAAATACCGCGGTCTCAATCCCCGGCTCAAGGATGTGGTCAAGGATAACCAACGCATCGTCCACTACTCCATCAACCCCGTCTGCACCTTCGCCTACGCCGTCTCTCATGCCGGCGCGCGCAACTTGCTCGCCCACGCTTCCCTAGGCAAAGGCGGTGCTTTTGACTTGATGCTCATGCATGCTTGTCAGGACAAAGTGCTCAAGTGCGTTTCCGTCAACCCAGAGGTCTTTGATCCGTATTTCCCGGCTGAGGGTGGTGCGAGTGAAGTCAGAGCTGGAGATGCAGGAGTGGACTTTGATCATGAGGTGGGAAAGGCAATGGGACATACGGATAATACGGCGAGGAGCGCGAGGTGTTTTGCGCAGTTTGGTACGACGTGCTTGGAGTAGGCAAGGACGGCATGTCTTTTTTGCATCGTTTTGGCATTGTTTTTGGGAGCGTTTCTAGCGAGTTTTTGTTGTCTGCTTTTGGTTAATCAGGATATCAGATTTTGGGTTTCTGTCAATCGCCCTCGTGGGGTTCTGCTCACTGTGCAAGTCTTCTGATCCACAGCGTCAACGTGCTCACGACCACTTCAACTCGAAAAGACTAGCAGATGTATGATCACCAAGACACGACGATCCACAGAGAAACCTACCCAAACCCCCTGACTCATCAGACTCTCTCCGCACAAACACTTTTCCAACTGAACTCCTTCACTGCATATCGACAATGTTCAGAAAAGTCCACCTGAGCCTCGAGATCACGCATGTGTACAAGCAAGGTATGGTGACCTTGTGCGTTAGCCGGGGTGCTTTTGTCTTGGGTAATCATGCAGTGTATTGGGGCTACCTGAATTCTCTCTGGTGCTCTGGCGTGGGATTGAGCCAGTCACTGGTGTCTTTGGAGATGGTGTGGTCTGAGATGTCTAGATATAGCGGCAATGTGGAAACCTGGTTGGTTGATTCACAGGCACTCACACTGAGTTACGAACTCGACATGTACCAACTGTGTTCCCAACGGTGCGATCATAGGACAAAGAGACTGTAACAGCGGTGTATAGCACATAACGTCTAGACAACGACTAATCATCTCAGCTTACACAACAAGACCGGCAGCATCATGACACCCAGAGGCACAGTCATGACAAGCATGGAAGAAAGATTTTCAGAAATAGATAGATACAGTTTGAATCGTAATATAAGCCACTAAAAGCTAAAAAGGTCATTATAAGAATTCATATCACCAACACGGCAGTCCGTTTAACCGAACATGGCATCACCGAGTCTGATGCTGACGGTCTTGGTCTGGAGGTAGTTGTCCAGAGCAGCCTCACCAAGCTCACGACCGATACCCTGAGAGAAACAGTTAGCAAATGTTTATACATCAACAGAACAGATACACATACCGAAGCCTTGAAGCCACCGAAGGGAAGCTGCCAGTGAAGAGTGTTGTATGTGTTGACCCAAACGGTACCAGCCTTGAGGGCGTTGGAGACCTCAATGGCGGTGTTGAGGTTGGATGTGTGGACGGCGGCGGCAAGACCGTATGTGGTGTTGTTGCCAACGCGGATGGCCTCCTCCTTGGTCTTGAACTTGGCGATCGAGCAGACAGGTCCGAAGATCTCTTCTTGCATGATGGACATGTCGTCCTTGACGTCGGCGAAGATGGTGGGCTCGATGAAGTATCCCTCGTTGCCCTTGCGCTTACCGCCGGTGACGACGGTGGCACCTTCTTTTTGGCCGGCCTCGATGTAACTGTTGGATGTTAGTGTCTTGTCCTGAGAAATATGAGTAGAGATTGAGAAACATACCCCATGATTCTGTCGAACTGGAGCTGCGAAACCTGAGGACCCTGGAAGGTGTCGGCAGCGAAGGGGTCACCGACAACGTTCTTCTGAGCACGCTCCTTGAAGCGTTGGACGAACTTGTCGTAGATGCCCTCTTGCACGTAGACTCTTGAACCGGCACAGCAGCACTGGCCGTGGTTGAAGAAGATACCAAAGTTGACCCATGAGATGGCGTTGTCAATGTCGGCATCGTCGAAGACAATGTTGGGAGACTTGCCACCGAGCTCGAGGGTGACCTTCTTCAGGTTGCTGCCAGCAGCGGCCTTCATGATTTGTCTTCCGACGAGAGTCGAGCCGGTGAAGGCGACCTTGTCAACATCCATGTGTGCGGAAAGGGCGGCACCAGCAATCTTTCCGAAACCAGAAATGACGTTGACGATACCGGGAGGGAAGCCAGCTTCCTTGCAGAGAGTGGCAGCGAAAAGAGCAGACAGAGGAGTCTGCTCGGCGGTCTTGATGACGACGGTGTTACCACAGGCAATAGCGGGACCAATCTTCCATGCCCACATGAGGAGAGGGAAGTTCCAGGGGATAATCTGACCACAAACACCGATCTGGAAAGATTGTCAGTGTCTGATTATTAAACATATTCACAGTTAAACTTACGGGCTCCTTTCTGATGTAGTTGAAGGTGTCGGGGCTGGTGTCGACAACCTTACCCTCGATCTTGTCTGCCCATCCACCGTAGTATCTCAAGCAGCCGGAAGCAGCAGCGACATCACCCTTTGCCATTGTGAAGGCCTTGCCGTTGTCGAGAGACTCAATGGCGGCGAGTGTGTCTGATTCTCTGTCGAAAAGGTCGGCGAGCTTGACAAGAAGCTTGCCACGATCACAAGGGGTGACCTTGCGCCAGTCACCCTCAAAGGCCTTACGGGCAGCTGCAACGGCAATGTCGACATCCTTCTCGCTGGCCTCGTGGACCGAGCAGATAACCTTCTCGTTGGAGGGGTTGATGACCTCGAAAGTCTTGCCGTCAACACCCTTGACGAATTCGTTGTTGATGAACAGACCAGTGGGCTGCTCGTACTTGCCCGTAGTCGGGGTCTCGAGTTGGATTGAAGTCATTGTGAATATATATTTGTGGGTATCTCAAAACACAGAAAAACAAGAGAAGAGAGGAACAGGTGGACAGAAAAGAGGCGGGCTCGATCAAGGTATTTGTACTCGACGTGCTCATCTCTGTAAGCTTCACACATTCTGGGTCCACCGAACCCAGTCTCCACTCGTCCTCGAGCGGACCATGCCAGATTGGGTCAAAAATGGGAGATGATAGGCGACCGCAAGACCTCGGACTCGCGGAGTGTGTTTGGTTAGGCGGGGCAACAGCGACACTACCCCGCGCGCTGTCCTCTTCTTGGAGTTACCGGGGAAGGAACGATGAACCATGCCTGAGTAAGAACCAAAGACGCTTGAGTCAGCCACCACATGTTTGCATCCTCTGCAGTCATCAGACGACATCCGTTGCTCCTTGAGCCCTTGTTGAATCTCGCTGAGCACACAGCAACGAGATGGTCACTACTCGAAAGCTTTGCCTCTTCATCATAGCGGATCGTGTCAGTGCGTCAAAACCGCTCGGGTGAGCTGCCTCCGAGGTAAGAGCTGCCACATATCATTACCAAAGCTCGTTAAATGGCAGCCTCGGGATACCTCCTTGATTCGACCTTCTATAAGCCACCTTGCCGCACCCCTCCCGATCCTTAGAACTCTTCCTCCTCTCCGCATTCAACAGGACCCTTATTATGACATTCCGCAGGACCGGCTGTGTACACATCCTTGGCACGATAATTGCCAAAGCTATGCATATATCCCAATCACTGGGAATCCGTGTGTCCGTATCTGTGTCATGATATCGTGTGTTATCTTGCAGACATCTTGTAGTGTTATTTCCTGTGGGGCGATTGTCCGCATGGACTTGCCCAAAAGATGAGAAGTTGGCCGCTGGCGTGTCAAAAGTGGCTCGTGGGTCTAGACGCCGTTCCGAAATGCGGAGGAGCTCCCATTTGTAAGCCAGAAACTCTCTCCTCACTTGGCTGTCAACATCAAGGTGTCGAAAATCAGTGTGCCGCTCCCTGGCCGCCCGTTTCTCAGCCTTCTTGAGTGGATAGATTCTTGATGAATCTCTTCCATCAAGACATGCAAGTTCCGACATCGCTTGTCTCTTACAGAATACGCCAAAAAGAGAGGACATTATCGAAAGCGGGTTCTCGCGAAGAACGATCTACAGCCTCACAAGAAGGCATGGCCAGGACTACTGCCTCACCTTGAGCTTCGGCTTGTTCAGGTTCCTCGCTGTTTGACTCGGAATGTTCACTGTCTAAATCATCTTCTGAAGCGCTCGAGTTTGTATCGTCTTCCGAAGAGCTCGAGTCGGAATCTGAGCTTGAATCGTCCAAGCCTACGAGATGGCTGGGACTGCGACGTTGACCAGACGTGGTTATGAGCATTGGCTCGCGACGACTGAGAATTGTATTGCTCACCGCAGCTGGGTCGGTCGTCAGTATAGGTAAGCCGAGATCGAGTCTGCATTTATGCTTACCAGTACTTGCTTGCAGTGCGAGGTCTGACTCTATGCAACCCTCTCTGCTTGTGACGTCTCGCCAGACTCTGACCTTGCCATCCGTGCCGCCGGCCCAGATATCAATCTTCCCGTATGCATCGCTCACCAGATCGAACGAGAGCTTGAGCGTAGTGAGTCCTTGTCGGCCAGAGAGATAACTCAGGCGCTGTCCGGTGTGTCTTATATCGTAGACAAGCAAAGCATCACTCTGGCGCTCAGCGACAAAGAGGTAGTTCCCACAAGGGCTCCAAGCAAGTTGGCTGACACCGTTCCCTTTGAGCAGACGATCATCGGCATCGTTGTAGCTCAGATCGAAAGCGGTCATAGACTCTCCTTGTCCAGCATGTTCGAACAAGCCTACCTGACGGTTGTACGTGCCTGCAGCCAGAATATTATCATTGGACAGAGCCAAAGACGACACGATACCGCCAATGCCAGAGGTGTCGGCTCCGTAAAGTTTCCTTGCCTTGCGGCCTTTTCTCGTCGCAGACTCGTATGTGGGACCGTCTCGGGTGTATATGTTGAAAACAGCGAGGGTGTCTTTTGAGCCAGCGACGAAGTGGTCGTTGTCGACAAAGAGGAGGGACGAGGGTGATATGTAGGCTTCGGTAAGGTGATTCTGCCACGTGTAGGATGCGTGGGTATATGACAGATCGAGGGCGTTGGTCAGACGGATAGGTAAGTGTGGTTGCGACGTCAAGAGTAGGGTGGTTGCAGGCTTAGAGACTTCGAAGGCAGGATGTAGGGTGATTGAGGTGAGTTTTGCCGGTGATGGCGCGGAGCAGTATGGCGAGAGTTCAGAAGGCTTCTCGCTCGAGTCGACGACGGATGGACTTGAAAGGGTTAGCTAGACAGAGCCATGAACAGTCGAAGCAAAGAAAAACGAATTGGACGAGAAACAGAGATCCCCAAGTCCTTACACTGCAAAAGTTCTCAAGATGAGATCCTCGTTATATGTGACTACAGCGGTGCCATCTGCCGACAGAAGAGCATGGCGAAAGCAATTGCTCTCATCCTTGTCGGCGCGAGTCGCATGGCCGTGGACAAGATCAGCCCAGCCGGGATGTGCTTCGTCGACGGTGCAGCGATATTTGTCGCCTGTTGAAGCGACGCATCGAAGAGTCGACTGCTCTGCTACAGCGGTTTCGACTGCGACAGCAGCTTCGGCCATGACTGTAGCGATTGGAGGGTTCTGAGGAAAGTGCGATGGCGGAAGAGAGATGCGGAAGGCAGGAGCTTTGACCGCCTGACCCCCGGCCGAGGTGAATCGTCGAGCGACAGCGCGGTTTGCCCTTCTGGAATTTTCCACCGACAGCGATACATCAACTCCTACCTCTACAACATCTGACACGCTCATCTCCTTCCTCGCCCAAGCCACTCTCCACCACATCTACCACCGTCACAATGGTACAACCTCCACTCTACGCCCACACACCGCGCAACCACCCAGACTAACACCCACCACAGTCCACCATCGCCGCCAAGTCCATCAAGGCCCTCGCACCCCTGCTCGACCGCGTCCTCGTCCAGCGCATCAAGGCCGAGACCAAGACCGCCGGCGGTATCTTCCTCCCCGAGTCTGCCGTCAAGGAACTCAACGAGGCCAAGGTTCTTGCTGTTGGCCCCGGCGCCTTTGACCGCGATGGAAAGCGCATTGCTCCTTCGGTCCAGCCCGGCGACAAGGTTTTGATTCCTCAGTTTGGTGGTTCGCCCATCAAGGTTGGTGAGGATGAGTATTCGCTTTTCCGCGATCACGAGTAAGTTTACATCACTGCGAAGACATGTGTCTCAATCGAGATGCGTGCATACAGAGATGCACATGGCTGACTGAGTGTAACAGGCTTTTGGCCAAGATCAACGAGTAAACCACACGATACCCCCTGAACGAACACTCTCAAAAATTACATACCGCGCATATACCTGTATCAACAATTTCACCATCTTGACGAACCACCATCACCACACTCTGCAGGAGAAAAGAGAAAGTTCCGTCTTTGTAGTCATATCAAACAACCTTCTTTCCTGTTGTATTTCACCGCTCAATGCGATCTATGCCGATGCAATGCTTCTTTCATGCCGTTTCCTCCTGTCTATCCAACATGACACTCCAACACCCTCCCATGCCACCTCATCAACAACATCTCTGGTCTTCTACTCTACATCAAACATCCATTCTTGATAGACGAATGCAACTCGCTAGTAGCAACGCGTTGACGCACTCCATTGACCGAAACAAACACTTCGACCTGCCATTCGTACCATACTTTTCTGTCGTCGGTTTGGCGCCACATGGACACTTCGATCTCAGAGGCGGTGGGGATGGTAAGAGGTGTCTATATCCACAAGATCAGCAACAGGTCTCAACGAAGGAGGTTAGGAGATATCAACATACCTTCAGCGGGAAGAAAATCGGGAACCAAGAAATCATATCCTTGCTCTTTTCCTCCATGGTGTTAGGGTTAATACTCAATTCAATAGCTTTCTTGCTCTTGTCCTCAGGCGTATAAAGAACAGTCTCAAAGTATCCTCCCAAACCGTGACAAACGCCTCTCGACGAAGCAGTGAAACGCAAATGGCAGAAACGAGCATTATGTTCGTTCCAACCGTCTCCGCCCACCATTCCACTGCCACCAGCTTGTACACTGCCACCTCTGCGCAAAGCAGATTGCTGGAGAATGGCCGAGGGCAAAGGATGAGTGAACTCCCACGCTGTTTGTATATCAGGGGTTCCCGTAGCGGCAGAGATACAAAGGTCATCGTATTGATGCAACATAGTCACATACGGCAACTCCCACTTATCCTTATCCGCATCACCTCTTCCCAGCAACTCTGCATAAATCTTGGGATGCGCAATGGGGGTAAAGTGCGCAGTGTAGGAAGTAGGTACACTGATACCATGCTCGGGGTGCAAAACATGTTGCACGCCATCCAAGCACTCGGGACTGAGTTCGTTGTCTGCGAAACTACCGAGAAGCTCCGAGACCAGGATGTCTACTTTTGCGGGTGTGGCGGGGTCAGCGGACAGGAGAGGGCCTTTCCAGGCGCGCATGTCGGTTTTTACGACCGTGACGCGCTTGTTCCAGAGGGGGTCGGTGGCGTTGCGGCGTTGGAGCAGGACGTAGGCGTTGGGGTTCTTCTCTACTGCCCATTGCTGCACGGGGATGCCTGTGCTGGCTGAAGCTTTTAGGCAGCGGGTTACCAAAGGTCCTCTGCCTGCGCCGACTACAGCGACGACGATAGGTCTTTGCAGTTTCTGGTGCAAGTCCTTGAGGGCAGCGGCAACAGCACGTTCGTACCACTCGTACTTAATAGGGTCCTTCTCAAAGACCTCATATGTGATGGATTCGAGGTTATCAGTCAAGGGCTGCAGAGGCGATTGCAAGAAATCCTGGTATCCGGCTGCAAAGCGGTCGATAATGGGGCGAGGGGGCTGTGTGCGTTGTAGATGGCGCATATAACTCAAGTAGGGTGTCAAATCCTTAGGCTTTTGTTGTTGCTGTTGCTTGCGTTTGGATTGAGATTGAGCTGGGGTGGGGAGCTCGGGAGAAATGGATCTGGAGGGCAGGTTGACGGGCATGCCTGGGTGGTCTTGGCCGGGAATGGGACCGACGTTGGAGAGAATGATCCAGGGGACGGTCTTGAGGCGCATGTAGCGGGTGAGTAGAGCTTGGATGGGCTTGTTGAGCACTGGGAAGCCCTTTGCGTTGTGCACGAAGGTCGACTCGGGGATCATCAAGGTACGCAGAGGCTCGGAGAACCAGCGCGATTGAATTGCCGAAGAAGGCAACTTTTGAGGAATTTCGAGAGCGACAGTGAGGCGAGGATGGTACTTGCAAGTCGATCTGATCAGATCCCAAGTATCCCAAGACCAGAGAGCGTCGGTTGCGACGGACTGAAGAGTCTTGAATGAGTCTCTTGCGCGGCCAGCAAGACTCAATCCATCCTGAGCGGCCTTGCGCTCGGTCGGCTGCATAGGAAGCAGAATCTGCAAGTTGATATACGGACCAACCTCCAGCGAATGCCCAATAGCTCTAGCATACTGGCTAACCACAGAAGAAGCCTCAAGGTTAGGTCCCTGGATCATGATATTGTTGACACCGCAGAAAGCAGCATAGGCAACTTCATGGTTGAATACCTGGCGAGAGACATGAGCGATCACTGGGTCTGGAGAGGCAAGATCAATCCAGGGGCTCGTGCAGCAAATCATGGTGGACAGCATGGTATCGTCAGGTACCAAGTTGGTGTCTTCAGGTGTAAGAGGTGCAATGAGAGGGTAAGGAACAGCATTTGCGTCGGAGGATGCTGACACGGACTCGTAGTATGCATCTACCGATGACAGAACGCGTGCTTGGAATCCCGGAGATGTAATGGGTCTAGTCATCATATCGTACTATTATGCTGATTAGCCATATTCTTTCTTGTCCGCTCCTGAGACAATAAATCATGTTGAAGAAATTCTAGCAAAGAGTTCGCCGCAGTATCATACTAGTAGCAAAAAAAGTCAGGAGCATCTGGCAACCTCTTGTACCGTGAACACAACTCGATGATGCTCTGAATCTGGAAGAATTGCAGAAAAGTAAACTTACACCAGCATCCTGGGCCTGTTCCGCCAGCTCAGTCGTCACAGGAACAGTCCTCTTCGTCTCATGTTGTCCAATGTAGAAATAAGTATTCTGCTGCTCCGGAGGAGCAACTCCAGGTAGAGTCTCCATTTTTAGGTTGTCAAGGGGTGATGAGAATATGTTCTAATGTGTCTTTTACCGTCAGCGTTCATCAAGGTCGCAGGAAATTTCGGGCGTGCCAAGAAATGTATGTTTGGCGCTTGGAGGGTGACCTTGTCTTTGAACAAGGGACATGAAATCATCGACAACCAGAGACCATCTTCTGCAGAACAAATATCGTGTGTTATTTGTCTTTTGTAGCCATTGGTGAGAAGAATCTTGATCTTAGGAGGCTCGGTCGATTGTGTTTGTAATAGCATACTGTGCGACCAGTTTGGCCAGACGAACGTATCAATAACAATCGTCTCCGGGAGGCCAATGTCTGTGCCGATATCAGTCCTGCACGCTGAATATATCATTGACAACCATACTCTGTGCAGCAGAGTGGAATAAAGTATGTTCTGTATGAAATACTGTACAGGTCAAGCGTGGGCCATCGGATCTTTGATATCTCGACTCCAAGGTGATGATGTTGATCATGATCGCCCGTTTCGGGAATAGATATGCAATGATCAGCATGACCTTACATGTGATAGCAACAGCGATGCCATCGAAGACTGCATGTCATCGTACTCACCGTATCGCGACACAGCATATAAATGAAGCCTTCCGCAGCTGAACTCCATTCTTCCATTTGAACGACCGTTTTTCAAAATGTCATCGCGTTTCACATGTCTTGTTCCACGTTTTATTGACACTTCCAGGGCCGTTTGAGCAATGCTTGAGATGAGCTAAGCTTCCTGCTCTCGGCTTCCTCGGCTCAAAGTCATTTGACATCAACCCCTCCATCATAGCAGCCGCTCCGCTTCCTGCAGCACACAACCACCAACTGCCGTCCTCCATGATCACCACTGAATCAGGTTTCTCGAGTCGTAAAACAATACACAGGCTAAGTACAGGCCGAAAAGATCTCCAGCCGACCTTGTCATGATCTTCCCCGGACCTTCCCCTCAATGAGCTACAGCCAAGAAGAGGAGAATGATCTCGATATAGCACGAGTCAATAGACTTTTCTTTTGCGACCTCCACCCAGCCACATGAAATTGCATCATGGGGCGTTCTTGCAATGGTATGGAGATTCCTTCGAACTGTAGCCTCTAGTCGTGCATTACCGTACCCCTCTTCTGACGGGATCGTGGAGAGAGATGCCCCGAGTTCGTGAAGCTATAAAGTTAGGTCGCAAGGTACCTTGATGAGAAGAAAGTCAGTGATAGTTTCGAGCTCTTTCACAAGAATATGCATCCTCCATTGAACTCAATTGCCGTGGCTCTGGCTGCCATCGGTCTTGCTGGTGCTCAGAACAGCAGCTGGGACCACAATTTATTCACCTCAAGTCCGCCGGTATATCCAAGCCGTACGTCTTCATCCCATGAGGCCTTGAGCCATCTGACTTCGGTCCGATCCAGAGCTATCAGCCTCACCCGATTGGACAACACGTTCTGACTGATCACAGCGGAGACTGCTGGCATTGGCTGGGAGACCGCTTTGGCTCAAGCAGAGGCCTTCCTAGCCAACCTCACCCTAGAAGAGAAGGCTGGAATAGTCACAGGTGAGATAAACCAACTTGATCAACATGACTCCGGCTTACAAACCCTTGTCCAGGCTCTGCCGGACCTTGTGTAGGCAACATTGCCCCTATTGAGCGCCTGGGCTTCGACGGTAAGCTCTTTCGTCTAATGTCTCTTTCCAGACAACGTTTGTTGATCAATTACACAGGACTCTGCTTGCAAGATGGTCCACTGGCGATCAGACAGGCGACTTATGCTTCAGTGTTTCCTGCCGGACTGACAGCTGCTGCCTCGTGGGACAAAGGACTCATCTACACCAGGGGATTATACATGGCTCAAGAATTCAGAGGCAAGGGAGCCAACATTGCGCTTGGGCCAGTTGTCGGACCTCTGGGTAAGGCCAGCATGTTTCCACGTGTGATTGTATAGTATACTTACACCGGAACCAGGTCGCAACGGTCGCGGTGGACGCAATTGGGAGGGTGAGGGATAACTAAGTCTGGTTTGTAATCCAATACTAATCACTGTGTAGGTTTCTCACCCGACCCGTACCTCAGCGGTGTTGCTGTTGAACAGACTATCTGGGGCATGCAATCTACAGGAGTACAAGCTTGTGTCAAGCGTGAGTCTCGACCATCTCCACTGTCGAAGGCCCAGTCACTAAGGTCTCGCAGATTATATCGGAAATGAACAGGAGACTCAACGCAACCCAAGCACTCGCAACGGAACGACTATCCAAGCAGTCTCATCGAACATCGATGACCGAACTATGCATGAGCTATACTCCTGGCCGTTCGCTAACGCTGTCCGAAGCGGTGTCTCTTCCGTAATGTGTTCGTACAACAGACTCAATGGTTCCTATGGCTGTGCGAACTCCAAGACGTTGAATGGCATTCTCAAAGAGGAGTTTGGCTTCCAGGGATACGTAATGAGTGATTGGGGTGTATGTGTATCATTACTGCGTGTAAAAAGGCTGTACTGACTTTCGTAGGCTACCCACAGCGGAGTGGCATCGATCAATGCGGGTCTCGACATGGACATGCCCGGTACGATTGGGTTCGTCGCAGGAGGTAACAGCTTCTTCGGCGGCAACATTACCACCGCTGTCAACAATGGTTCACTCTACGAGGCTCGTCTCGATGACATGATCAAACGTATCATGATACCGTACTTCCATTTCAAGCAAGATACCGATTACCCTCCCATCGATCCGAGTGGAGCTACCAATGGCTTTTTCGGTGCTGCCGCTTTGACCGTCGACTTCCCTCTTGGCTCTGTTGCGAATGTTGATGTTCGCGCAAACCACGCTACATTGATTAGAGAACTCGGTTCCGCCGGAACAGTCCTCTTGAAGAACGTCAACGGTGCTTTACCATTGAAGGCACCGAAGAATATTGCAGTCCTGGGTAATGATGCTGGGGATGTCATCAATGGCGAATACTTCGCTACCGCACCTTATTCGCAGAACCCATTTGGATATGGTAAGCTTCATTGTTCGGACCGCTCAGACTATTGCTGACCGTCAACATAGAGTATGGCACACTTCCTGTTGGTGGTGGTTCGGGCACCGGGCGCATGTCCTACCTTGTCGACCCACTCACTGCAATCAAAGCTCGTGCTGCACAGGATGGTACTCTTGTGCAATATATTCTGAACAACACATTGTTGTCGACACCACGTGGTCTTGCAGGCCTCCAGCCATCACCACCTGATGTCTGCCTTGTTTTCCTCAAGACCTGGGCAACAGAAGGCCTCGATCGAAGCTCACTGCTGGCAGACTGGAATTCGACCGCTGTTGTCGAATCGGTGACTAGTGTGTGCAACAACACTGTCGTTATAACCCATTCGGGCGGATTGAACATTCTGCCCTGGGCTAACAACCCCAATGTTACTGCGATTCTTGCAGCCCATCTCCCAGGTACCGAGACAGGCAACGCCATCGTGGACATTCTCTTCGGTGATGTCAACCCTAGCGGTAAACTACCTTACACCATTGCCAAAACACAAGAGGACTACGCCTTTGCCGACATCACCAACGGCACTACTTTAGCTACCACTAGAGACCCTAACGCTTGGCAATCGGACTTCAAAGAAGGTCTTCTGATCGACTATCGCCATTTCGACTACTACAACCAAAGTGTCCAATACGAGTTTGGATTTGGTCTTTCGTACTCGACCTTCGACATCTCGTCTTTGAGTGTCACTAAAGTTTATGGTGGTTACAACATCACCAGCACTCCTCCCCCTGCCAAGATCATCCCTGGTGGCAACCCTACTCTCTGGGATGTCCTTTACCGAGCTACCGTGACTGTGTCAAATACAGGTGATGTTGGTGGTGCCACCGTCCCACAGCTGTATTTGTCACTTCCTCAGGTCCCTGGTGAGGATCCCACTCCACTCTATGTTCTCCGTGGATTCGAGAAGGTTAGCTTGCAACCAGGGCAGAGCACGGTGGTCAACTTTGACCTCACCAGACGTGATCTCAGTTATTGGAGCGTGTTCCAGCAGGAGTGGGTCATCGCTGGAGGAGACATCCGAGTCTCGATTGGTTTGAGCAGCAGGGATTTCAAGGCGACCTCTTCGATCAGGGTTCTCTGAGGACGCTTTTCTCGCTTAATGCTTGATATGGTTGATAGTTGTTCATTCGTTGCTTCGGCAGATATTGTAGTAGGGCATGTAGTCCTTGCCCTCCGCCGCCAAGAGACAATTACCGTCCTCCCAAGACTTTTATACGGGGTTGTTCCGTCCTGTTGATCATGGAGCTCGTGCATCATTTGAGCTTGATTTGTTGCAGCGGCCTGATCATGAGACATGCGAGAAAGCTTGAGGCTCAGCAAGCATTGCTGATTACTACCTCTGTAGATACGTACAGAGTTCGGTAGGAGCTATAAACGCACCTTGCGCGAATCACTTTCTACGATAGATCTGATTGCGATATGTGAAACATCAGGGCAGGGTTGCCGCTCGCCTACGTGAACGAGCAATGCGCTCAATGCCCTCCGCTTTGTTTGGGCAACGGCCGCTCCGAGTAGGGCTATGCTTGGCAGCAAGGCTTCTCTGAGCTAGAAGCTTGTCGAGAATGATTATTTGATCGTGTTCCGTATTCCTGTTCGTTTCATGAAACACTACAGCTGTCAAGCCCTAGAACTAGGCGACGAAGAGCATCGGGTCGAGAAACGCCGAATCTCTAGATTCAGCAGTCCTTTGTAATCACTCGGATGCTATATTGAATAGACCGGCGGAGACTTGCAGGGCTTCGTTTATGTTTTCTGGGTGAATAGTCCGATCGATGTTTCGAATAGATTCGCTAGTGGTGCATGGACAAGCTTGTCAGAAGTCGTTGTGGGGCGGCGGCGACAGCTCCCTGATCACAGCGTTTCAGCAAAGTCCTCTTCCGAGCCATCGACATCAATTTCTGGTCTTGTGGTCGTCACGCCCGATTCCGAGATCATTGTAGAGTGCTTTTTGACGCGATATGAGCTCTGCATTGATCCAATCTGTGTGTAAAGTGGTGCATTGACATGAGTGTAGCCATTCACGTAGCCCTAGCACATCGACATGCGATCTAGAAGGACAGACCCCGAGAACGTTATAAGTATCATCGTCTTTCCTTCCACATTCGATTCGTCTCTCTCATCACTCACACTCTCTCTTTCTCATCACACACCAACTCTCGAGCCGGTCTCGTCTTTACACTCTTTACTTCCTCAGCACTCTTTACCAAAAAGCAATCATGGTTCAATTCTCTGGCCTCGCTGTCGCCGCTCTCATCAGCGGTGCAGCCTACGCTGCTCCCACCCTTCAGGAGCGTGGCAGCTGTACTTTCTCTGGATCTTCCGCCGCCGCCAACATTCTCAAGCAGAAGAAGTCTTGCTCCAGCATCATCATCGACAATGCCGTTGTCCCCGCTGGCACCACCCTCGACCTGACCGGCCTGAATTCTGGCACCACCGTCACCTTCCAGGGTACCACTACCTTTGGTTACAAGGAGTGGGTTGGTCCTCTTGTTTCCGTCTCGGGTGACAAGATCACCGTCATCGGTGCTTCTGGTTCCGTCCTTGATGGTCAGGGCAGCAGATGGTGGGACGGTAAGGGCACCAACGGAGGCAAGAAGAAGCCCAAGTTCTTCTACGCCCACAAGATGACAAACTCCAAGATTCAGAACATCAAGATCAAGGATTCGCCTGTTCAGATCTTTTCCATCAACAACTCTCAGCAGCTCGCTCTTAGCGGCGTCACCGTCGACAACTCCGCTGGTGATGGCGACAACAAGGGCCACAACACCGATGCTTTCGATATCGGTTCTTCCTCTGGTATCACCATCACTGGTGCCAACATCCACAACCAGGACGACTGTGTCGCTGTCAACTCTGGTTCGGACATTACCGTTTCTGGCTCCACCTGCACTGGTGGCCACGGTCTCTCGATCGGTTCCGTCGGCGGTCGTGACGACAACACCGTCTCCAACGTCAAGTTCCTGAACAACAAGGTCACCAACTCTCAGAACGGTCTCCGTATCAAGACTGTCTACGGTGCTACTGGCAAAGTCTCGGGCGTTACTTACAGTGGCAACGTTCTCTCAGGAATCTCCAAGTATGGCGTTGTTATTGAGCAGGACTACGAGAACGGGTCCCCTACTGGCAAGCCTACCGCAGGCGTGCCAATCACTGGTCTTACCATGACTGACAACACTGTCGGTGTTACCAGCTCGGGCACCAACACCTACATTCTCTGTGCCTCGGGTGCTTGCTCTGGCTGGAAGTGGTCTGGCAACAAGATCTCCGGTGGCAAGAAGTCCACCAAGTGCTCTGGTATCCCCAGCGGCTCTGGTGCCGCCTGCTAAATGTCTTGACATTGACCAATTAGCGAAACAAACAAATCCAAGGAGATGCATCTAGCAGTTGAGCGGATGAACCATGATTTCTTTCAACCTTTCGTATCGTTATGTAATCTTCTAAACACTCAAAAGAAATCCTGATCGACCAAAATTTCCTTTTATCCTTTGTCTCCATCGCACTATCGTGAATGTCGCCAAGATGAATATTGTATCTCGTTCAATCTTCGGAAAGTGGCCGAGGCTTTGCGAGTCAGCTCACGTACAGCCACTTTCTTGCGGCGGGAGGGAGATGGCTGACCAGAAACCTCGCTGTCAGGTATGTGCTCGTCGACGACTTGTGAGGCGGGACGTGGCTGCTTGGAAGGGCGCTTCTTGTTGCCGACAGGAGATGGCTCGTTGGGCCTCTTGCGGCTAGATGTGTGCTGTCTGCCGCCAGGCTTTGACGATGATGTGTGTGATGAGGAGGTCTCAGGCTTGGATGGAGCACTGCGGCGGGCCATGTTCTTGGAGTGTCGTGCTGCCAGAGGGCGGGCGGAAGCTCCGTGTGACGAGGATGCTGATGCGCGCTGCTGATCCTGGTGACTGCTGATGTCAGTGATGGTATAGAATGAAGAGACAGTGAGGCATGTACTCAATGTCGAAGTGTGCTTTGATTATCCGACTGGTTGCGCGTGTGAGACTACGCTCGCTATAGTTGTGATCCTTGACGGTCCTGATCAGTGCCTTCACGGCGTGGTGCTTGTAACGTGTGGCTGGCAGTTCGTCCTTGATCTTGTACGTAAGCTAGTAAATGTCTATGGTGGGCTAGTAGGTGGATGGGAGGTGTTGCAATTGACATGAATGCCAGTGTGGTCTACAATGAGGAGGGAGGGAAGATATATGAGCTTGCGAAGAATGCTCATAGATAGGTCGTGTTCGTGGCCATGTGGGACAGAATATATCTGTGATATTCCATTGATGGACTACATGAGTGTGGAGTGTGAGTAGTCGAGTGGTATATGATTTTTTAAATACTTAGAGAAAACATCTTAATCAACTGAAATCTCCTAATTTTTATCCTTTATTTATTACACTATCATAAATGTTACTAAGATAGATATTATATCTTATCTAATCTTTAGAAAGTAGCTAGGCTTTATATAATAGCTCTTATATAGCTACTTTAGCGATGCTATCTGATTATGCGCCTTCCCTGGTCGTTTAATGGGCTGCCATTTATCTTGCACATCTATCTCTCTTCTCCTGCCTTACGATTACTTAATTCGGAGTCTACCCCGACTCCGATGTGGTTCGTCTTAGGATAAGGTCGTGGAACATCGCCAAGCCTCGGCATGTCCAAAACCTTACTTACGCGCCACTTTCTCCGCGCGCATCTTCGACGTGAACATAACCCTTTCCAAAGTTCTTTTATTTATGATCGATTACGATTTTGACGATGAACGGTGATTCGAGTGCACTGGACAAGCTGTCGGCTCATATCGCCAGAGCGATCATGCAGCAGATTGCGACCGTCAGCGCGTCCGGGCAAGCTTCACCGGCCGCCTGCAAGCTCGATCTGAAAGGATATATTGATGGTGATGTTTCGTCATCTATTGATTTTGTAAAGACCCATATCATATCTACGCGGAGCATATTCCGGATCAACAGAGTCATTGTTCGCTGACCTGATGTCTGTACAGGGCAGTTTTGACATTTTGCCGCTCATTGAGAGCGGAAAGGATGTTTTCACAAATCCCACAGAATCGGCTCTTGAACCTTTGGTCGAAAGAAGGCAGACTGAGCAGGCTCATATCGGGAGCGAGGTGATGATTTCCGGAGAACACATCCCTAGACGGAGTAGCCGGCCACGACGTGCCTTGAACAACGATTCGGACTCGGAAACATCAAAGCGGCGGAAAATCACTGGAGGACTGAGGTTACAACGACCGACTGGATCGGCAAACCAGAGTATGTCTCCCGAGGCAGAAGGAAGCGAGCAAGCGCCTGTCCGCCGTCTGCAAGCAGATGTTCGCGAGAAACCACAGAGACGCACCGCACGGGATGAACCGGCATTACGTCCTTCAACATTGAGCAAGTTGGTAGTGGGTATCTGGGAGCAAATATTCAGCAGCATGAGTTTCGACATCAGTGTTGTGACGAGTGAATGGCGCACAGCCGGATTTCAGGGTCGATCACTTATAACGGACATGGCTCAAGACGGCCAGCCACCCAGTGCGGTACAAGTGCCGCCAGCAACAGCACCAGAAAGGACGTTCACCCGGATGAACTTGTTGTGTCGAAAAATCAGTCAAGCCAGTAGATGCTCACGAGCACTCGAGGTTGTGGTTCAGGCTTCATGGATCGAGCATTTTGACCGGCAGGTGCAAGAGATTGGTAAGGAGAACCCCCAACTATCGGCTACGAAAGCAAGGATGAAAGCACTTGCGCAAGCGTGTTCTGAGATTGGTTGGAGTGAGAAAGAAATACGCAACAAGATGTGAGTTTTCGTGCATCCCTTGTTGTCATTCGTTGCTAAAGAGTAATTCGCAGGGCGATATGGCGTGGCTACAAGGAAATCAAAGACCATGGAGGATGGGCTTGTCTGGTCTTTGCAGGAATGGGCATCTACAGATTTTGCAAATATCGCATCGGCTTCGACCCAGAGTCTATGGCACACCTCAGGCGGACACGCGCCAGATTCGAGGTGGCTGCTGATACACTGGTTCGTTCGCTATTGCTTTTCCCCATGATCGTTGCTGATACCCGATATAGCACCCATACTGGCGAGACTTGCTAGCAATTGTCGGCGCCAACTCCTCCCGCGTCTACACCGGCCACCCCCACGACTGGGTCGTCTCAGACCACGATGACCCAGTGCCTCTGAAACAAACTTACCTCCAATACGACCCGCAGTTCTCCTTTACACATCTCGACTCCTCCATCGTCGACCCCTACGCCTTTGGCGCCAACGACCCGCGCCAAATCGCCATAAACTCTCAACAAGCAGCTCACATCTGCACCGTATGCGGCGAAAAGCAATCAGAAGACGCCACAGAAAGCACCTGTCGCTGTTTCCCGAATCTGTTCGGAAGCGACCATTTACCCATGTCACCTGTTCAGATTTTCCGCACCAAGAACGGTCGCAACAATGGTCTCATGGCTTGCTGCCCCTTCGAACGCGGCGTCGCAATTGGAGAATTCACAGGCCTCATTACCAAAGGACTCGAAGGCATGGATGTCATGCAAGCTGAAGCCGAACAACGCTATCAAATCTATCAAGGACGAGAAGGCAACTACACCCGATTTGTGAACCACTCTTGCCGACCGAATTCGCAATTTCAGCGCTTTGTGTGGTTGGGCTGTCAACGCATTATTTTAGTGAGTAGGGGTATTGAGGCCGGCCAGGAGATCACGGTCGATTACTCGGATGCTTATTGGAGGAATTTGCCAAAAACTTGTTTGTGTCAGGAGAGTTGTTGTAGGTTCAAGGACAGGGACAGGGGGCAGTTACAGAGGGTTGAGACTCTGACTCCGTCTGCTACTTGAGAAAAGGGAGAAAAGCGACGGGGATTGTTCCCTTGAGATATCGCTCATCGAAAGCCTGTTGACTCTTGCTCAGTCCAAAGTCTCGATCTTCCTTCTCGCTCAGTTATCCATCCATCAACTGGACCAGGACGTCCTTCGCTTTTCCAGCAGTTTCTCTCGCGTGAATTTCATACCCTGCGTCCTTCTCGATATCCTCAAGTCTCCTCCTCCAAAACTCCCACCTCTCCTGCGAAAATCCAGGCTTCTGTTTATCCCATAACTCGCCACAACCCGGTGAACCCTCGAGTTCTGCTTCCATGAGCTTAACACCAGCTAAGCGTAACCAATCATATACGATCAACACATCCATTGCACGAGTAGTGATGTACGTCTCTGCTGTCTCCAAAGCGTGTGAAAAAGCATGTAAAGCTTGATAAAAGCAGATACTTATCCCATCACGGGTCAGGCGAGCCATGAAAGCGTGTAAATTGCGCAGATGAGCGCGTTTGACTGCATTCTCCGGTGTGTCGATGTGTAGACGACAGAGATCTTGAGCGCCTGTTTTACCAAGAAGAAGTCTGTCAGCAGTGGGGTTTTGACATTGGTCTGATCATAGTCCCTCCTCACCTTGGGCTTCTATCAAAAGATACGATCCAGTTTGAAGAATATGCCGCCATTGGGGCTGGTGATCTTGTTGTGGAAGTTCTCTCAACGCCTTTGTTATCTCCACAAGTCGATCCTGAGAAATGTGGTTGGCGGGAAGGTATTTGCTGGTGTAGATGCAGATATCCTCGACTTCATCGCTGAACCCACCGATATTGTGTTCGGGTTGGAAAGATGAAGCTATGTCGTTTGCTACTTCATGGGCGGAGATTGTGGTTGATTGAGTTAGGAAAGAGTGGATGCTGGTTTTGACTTTTGTGTCTGCTTCGTCGTCCCATCTGTGAGTTAGATCGAGGTCTAGAGGATAAGTGTCGATAGACTGCATGTCAAAAATATCCATAGGATAGTGGTGGCGTGGTTGTTCAGATGTATGTGATGTGTGTCATGAGATCCTACTACGAGGTGCAGATTTTGTGCATTTTTATGAAGATATATGCAAGCTTACGCCCGAGAATGGTCGAGATAGGGGTTCGGAAATAGTGATAGGGAGCAAGAAGGAGTGAGATCAACACTGCAAATATATTCATTATACGAGAAGCAAAAGGGGTGGTAGTCTCTATGGGATCTTACCATTTGACAGTCTATCGTCGATCAAGATTTTCCCTCAGAGGTTATACACAAACTCCAACGCTTGATCTCCAATCTTGCCATTGTTCTCAACACCTTGCACGCTTAACTTCTCCTTCTCCTGGTTCCTGCGCCTCAAGGTCCACCACACAACCACCACACCGCAAAGCGCCAACGTCTCCATACCAGCACTAACCGCGTTGCCCATCAGATACCTAGGCCCATCGACACTAGGATAAATGTTCGACGAAACAACTCCTGAGATGTTGGCAAGTGAAACGAAGAATGGCATAGCCATACTGCGCTTGTAATCGGGAGCGAGGTTCGTTGATATCCAAGTGAGAATCAAACAGTTGTAGCTGTAGATGCCACCGCCGCAGAGGAACATGGCGAAGTAGCCGGCTGCATGGCTTGCGGTGCCGCAGGCAATGATGTAGCCAATGATCGGGGCGATAGGCAGGACAACTAGGACGGCTGCTCTTTTTTTGAGACGGTCGGATGTGAATGTTGCTGTGATGAGGGTCAGAGTGGCGAAGACATAGACCGGGATGGTCAGGTAGTTTGCTTGTAAGGAAGTATATCTGTTGGGGAAAGGTCAGTCGCGTTTCATCAAAAAAGAGTAAGATTAGCACTTACCCAAGCCCTTTGATGATAGTCGGAAGGAAAGTACCAAAGCCGAAAAGAGCAATGGAAGCGGAGAAGAAGCTGGCCGACGCAATGTAGATGATTGGATCGGTGAAAGCAACGCGGACATGAGACCAGGAGAACTCCTCCGTGCCTCTGGTGACAAGATTGCGTTGTTTCCTAGCAACCATGATGGCTTTTTCTTCGGCGTTCAGGAACCATGCTGTCTCTGCATTTCTGGGCAGCACAGCCCAGCAGATGCCGCATAAGACAATTGATATGGCCCCTTCAACGATGAACAGCCAACGGAAAGACTCGAGCCCATGTCTCGTACCCATGCTTTCGATACCATACTAGTCCCGTTAGCGAAGTACACAACAGGCATAGTTTGCAACGATAACTTACAGCAATCAAACCGCCAAAGGCACCTGAAAGACAATTGCATCCATAAATGATAGCAACTCTCTTGCTCTGCTTTTCTCTTTCCCAAATCGTACTGATTATAAATACCACCGACGGCACCAGGCCAGCCTCGAAAGCTCCAAGCAGCACTCTGACGGCAATTGCTTGCGAGTAATTCTGGATGAAGCCTGTGGCAAGAGTAATGACAGACCAGGCGATCATAGCGATACCCAGAACACGATCGGCACCAAATCGTTTGACTGCCATAGTCCAAGGCACCTCGAACAGAACGTAGAACGGGTAGAAGAGAGTCGAAATCGTATTGAACTGGTTTCCGACAAGACCGATACCTAAGGAATACGATTAGCGGAGGTTGACGTGTGTATTTCATCTGGTTATTCCTTACCATCTTCAAAACCAAAGACTTTTGCGTTTCCGAGATTCGATCTGTCCAGGTAGGCGACAAGCAGAATGATGGCAAGAGGTGGTAGCAGAAACTTGTCGAACTTCCTCAGCACCTTCTTTTCTGCCTCGCTATCATAGCTCAAATCTTCGATTCCGCCGATAGAAGTGTCGGACTTCTCGTCCGGTAGTGCAGTGTCGTTGAATCTGTTCTTGTGTTCGAGCGACATGGCTGAGGCAGACTGATTTCAAAAGCTTGAGATTTGAACAAGGAGACAATCCATAGTAGTCAGACAAATACATGCTGTTCATGTACTGTTGCCAGAGTTGGGGTAGGACTCCGAATCTGATAAGAGAAAGGGAACATGACCCGCAGTCGGAACTGCCATATCATGGCTAGCTGCTTAAGTGAACGGGAGATAAGGAAGGCAGGCGAGTTACAAGTGCCTCTAACGCGGTTGAGACATCTTGGCTGACAACTTGGTGAGCCAAAAAGTGCTTGATTGAGGGTTCCAAGCCTCAACAGCGGATAACTAGATGGCAGGTGATGTGATGTCAAGATTGCGGGATGGCAAAGATAGGAAGTTGCGAGTGTGAGACACGCAAGATTTGTGCGTAATTGTGCAAACATATGCAGCTTGATGACCGAGATACGAGCGAGATAGGCAGTTGCGTTTCGGCCTATCGCTCCAGGCAACTCCTCTTGCCTATCTAGAACAAACAATATCCACTCAAAGCGTTGTCTTGTTTTACACAACCATTGAAACATCAGGCAGGTTCAGGAAGCGAAATATTGTGGCAAAGAAATGTTCAGTGTAAATGATATTGATTATAATAATTATATCGTCTTCTAGAGACAATGTCAATAAAAGCTATGTACATACAACCAGTTGTATATATACAAGAAAGTAGTAAAAAAGAGAAAGGGCACTGCCCAACAACTGTCTCTAAGATCATCAAGATCCTCGTGCCTTCGTTAGATAGTCATGCTTCTATCATGGTTTTTTGTCTTTTCTGATTAGTGAGCCCGATAGTTCTTGCTTTTTTGTCCTCCTCTTTCTGAATAGATGGTTGGCCCTGCCGTTATCATTATGATGTGTAAAGAGGAAAACATAAGAAAGAAACACAAGGAGTCTATGCTTTGCGGCTAGAGGTGGTGACCTTGGAAGAGGTGGTGGCCTTGGAACTAGAGACAGTCTTCAAAGTAGAAGTAGCCTTGGTGCTGGACGAAGACTTTGATGAGGAAACGGCCTTCTGGGCGACTTGAATGTTGGCAGAACCAGAGCTGGCAGGAAGAAGCTTAGCACCCTTGATGCCGCTCGACTTGACAACGTTGCCAACAGATTTCTTCATGTAGCAGGCGGTTCCAGAAAGGGAGACATCGACACAGCCAGTGGTCTGAGCACAAGTTTGAATGCAAGCGGCGAAGTCGTTGACGTAGACCATCTTCAAATCACCGCCAGAGTGATCAATGCCACACTCGATGAGGAAGCGAGCACCGGAAGTCTGGTCAACAAAGATAGTGTTATCCGAGTTGGGGCAGGCAGCAGTGGTGCTGGTAGCAGTGGCAGTAGCGCTCGAGGAAGTGGTAGAAGCAGCGGCCTTTGCGCTGGTGCCGGAAGCAGTGACGAAGCCAGAAGCAGAAGAGATGGCAGAGGAAGAAGATGAAGCAGATGAGACAACAGCCTTGTTGCCGAGGCTGACGCGAGAGCCAGTCAGGACGTTGCTGTTGGATGAGACGGCGTTACCCATCTGAGTCTTCAACCAACAAGTTCCTGATCCAGCGCCGTTCTTACCACCAACGTAGGTGAAAGCGGTGCACTTGGTGTTGGCATCACAAGCAGTCATGCAGTCTGTGTAAGAGCTACTAGCTTGAGTGTTGGTGAATGAGCCTTGACCAGAGTCAGAAGAGTAGTAGAGGTTGTAGACTGAGCCAGCAGAGTTGGTGGCTGAGCTGGGCCCCGAGCTAGTAGACGAGGCCTTGGACGAAGATGATGCAGCAGAAGAGCTGGTCGACGAAACCTTGGTAGAAGATGCGACGGCAGAAGAAGAGGAGGAGGAAGCAGAAGCAGGCTGGGCAGAGACAAGCACAGCATGCTGGGCACCAGATGACTTCAAGGTGCCGACGGTGCTCTTCATGTAGCAGGCAGTTCCAGACAAAGAGACTGCAACACAGCCAGTGGTAGTACTGCAAGTCTTGACACACTGTTGGATACCGTTGCTGACGTAAACCATGCTGAGGTCCTTGCCGTTGGAGTCGGCAGCGCAGTTGATGTTGAAAGTGGCGTTGTTGGGGGTGGTGAAGTTCTGACCGTTGCCGGAGGGGCAAGAGATGGTCGATTCGGCCAAGTTGGCAGAAGTGTAGTAGATGCTCAAACGGTTGGCTCCACCGCAGTACTGCGAAGAGTTACCAGCACAAGGGGAGAAGCAGTTTCCGAGGACGCCCTTAGTGGGAGCGAGGGCGTCGGGAAGAGAGCTACCGCAATAGCACTGAGTGGCGTACTCAAGACCAGCGTAGTTAAGACCGCGGTTCTTGCAGTAAGACAAGCAGCTCTCAACAGTCATGTCAGAGGACATGTAGCTCGAGTTGCCCAAAGTGCGGCTGCTGACAGAGTCAGGAGCACAGCCGACGTAGTCCCAGCCAGTGACGTTCTGGTAGTAGACGGGGTTGTAACCAAGAGTAGCAGTATCTGTGCAGCCAGCCTCGGAGTAAGGGGCATTGCCAGGACCGTAGGTGACAGGGTTACAGCCAGGTAGCTTCTCGAGCTCTCCGGTAACGGCTTCGTTGATGGTAGGTGCAAGGACACAGGCTGAGGACTGAGCGCTGGTGAAGAAGTCGAAGACAGGGCAATCGGTGATGAGACCAGAGTCGTTGTTACAGGTATCGGTGGCCTTCTGGAGAGTGGGAACATCCCAGCCGTTGAGGAAGTCACCGTGGAACCCGTAGCCAGTAGGATCACCTTGAGCGAAAACGAAAGGCTGGGTAGTACCGTTCCACCAATCGAAGCCAGCAGTGGAAAAGATGACTTCGTAGAAGATAGAAATCATGTGAACAGGGTGGGTTGCAGGGCAAGGGCCGTTGTCGTAGGAATATTTGGTAGGGTAGGCCATGTGCGACTTGTGGTCGGCAGAGTCAAGGTTGACACCATCCCAGCACGAGGGGAAAAAGACTTGGGCACGCAGGCCATCAGGGCAGACCTTGTTAGGAAGACCACTGGTGTACGAAGAGGTACCACTATAGTCGAGGCAGACGAAGCTGACGGCCTGACTAGCAAAGTCACTGCCACCTGCACGCTTGAAAGGGTTACCAGCGAGCATGCGGAAACCCTCGGGGAAGGCGGTCAGGTTGTCGTTGTTGGGACCACCTCTCTGCAAGTAGTAAACAGTCATACCACCGAAAATACCCTGGCCGTCGCCGGCTTGAGGGACATTGATGAATGTGCCGTTCTCGGATTGGTAGTAGAGAGAAGGGGTCCAGTAGTTGGACATGTCCTGCTTGATGGGGCATGAAGAGCATGCACCGCCACGAGCATCGGCATATGTCATCTCAGCCTTGAATCCCTACACAAGAGTATTAGATCTGGTTTTTTGTTGAGTGAATACTCGACTGATAACTCACGTTTGAACCAGCGATGGTGTGAACGTGACCAGAAACACCGCCAGGGCTGACAATGGGGTCAAGACGCTCGGTAGCGACACGTCCAGGGCAGGGCATACGCCAGAATGCGGAAGCAGATGATGCCAGGGCAAGGATGCTGAGCGCCGAAGCGCTGAAATCGAAGGACCTCATTATGAAAAGATTATGAACAAAGGGTATTAGAATCCGCAAGCGGATGAGCGAACAAAGTGAAGCTGTGATTAGTAGGCGAGATCGTTGCGGTCTGGAAAGAGCATTGAGACACGGATTGGCGACTGTACTTATAGAGATGTTCAAGCATCATGGAGGAAGCAAACCCTGTAGATGAAAAGATCGTTGAGCTGGGAAAGGGGATGTCTCTCCAAAACAAAACGTACAATAGCTGAGTCGGCAATTATCGATATGCTTAACGGTCGATGGCGCTCACGGAGCGTTGCTGCAACGGCGCACGCGAAAGCCTTCCCAGACAAAGTTTGACATATTCATAGTGCATAAGAGTCGAGAAGTGGATTTGTTGCCCACGAAACTTACTGTGATCCTTTTCATCTTGGAGTCGTAGCGCAGTGGGAAAATCTCGAAGTCGTGGCTCGATATGGGAGATTTGGAAGTTGGGCTCAGGTGAAGTGTTGCTCGTGTTCAGCTTTTTATCTTTGATTGCTTGTATAACGCATGTGCATACGACGCGCCGTACCGCAAGCCCGCGCGGAAAGCCGGGAGGTTGTCGATAGCAAAGGACGCAAGGGATGATTGCGACGCGCACGCACAAAGATGCACCCTCGATGGACGACGTTGTTCTACCAGCTCGCTCTGGCGGAGTTCGCAGATCACCTCGTGGTGAGTAGCCTGTGCTCCGGCCGGTGTGCCTGATCCGTGCTTCTCTACCGTTCCATACAGACACGTGAGCTCGACTGCCTTTGATGTACGCATGCCGGATATCAATTCGACCGTAGCCCGGAGATCTGTACAAGGAACATTTGGACAATCGCACGCTTGAACTACATCATGTTCTCTCTTGAGGATGTGTGATGCAGAAAGCAGCGTGTAGCAGCTGAGATGGTGTTGGGAATCATCAGGGTTCATGAAGAACACGTCCGCAGATGCGCCGCTGAAGCCTCGAATTCCCAATCTGCGCCAACGTCCAGCCTCCAACTGTTTTCCCTTTCCACCACACGCATGCCACTTTTGTCCAGCTCGGGATATATCCACAGTCGTCATGAGTTCGCTACACATCGTTATCCAATATCAGGGTCTTCTTGTCAATCCGCCGCTCTAGCTACACGGCACTTTCCCGCACCGAGGGAACGCAAATGCGCACAGCAACTCCTGCCCGCGCGATAAGAGACATGTCTCTTTCTGACGATCAACTGTTAAAGGCTAGACATGACCCCCACGACTGCTCCGAATGTTCTGGCCATTGGTATACACAACGCGCATCTCGAAACGACCTGCTCAGCAACAAGGACGCCTCTCCTGTTCAATACCATCGAGTGTGATGTTTGACGAATTCCATGGTTTTGTGATGATATCACCGGCTTTTGTCACTTCTGCAACGTTTTTTGCAGAGCGGCCTACCAGACCGAGCAAGAACGCCCCATTCTCGTTCCCATCCCTCCGCGCGGTCGCCACATCAATCGCTGCCTGTCGTCTACTCAGCCTCATCTCTTACGGTTCCAGCCTTTGCAAAATTGACTCTTTCATCACGAAAAATGCAAGCAATTATTGGTCTCACATTTTTAACGTGTCTATTAGACTACTCCCGGGACGTTGTTAAACAACGGCTTCAGTGTGGAGTAGCCGAGTGGCTTTGCTTGCTCTGGTAGTCTATCTTCGCCGTATTCACTGATTGAATAGGCCTGCTTCAAAGGCCCAGCTCTACATGGGGTAGAAGATCTGCAGTCTCGACATGTGAGATACAAAGTATGGCAAGGACAACCGGCCGAACCGTTCAAGAACACCTTACCCGATCTTGTTTGCCATGTATCACTTTGGGACAGACACCTACTTCGAGGCACACCCATTCCTGCTCCCAACTGCTGTCTCCACCATGGCCGTACAATGTGGGGTTGTCTTCGTGAAAGCCACCAATATCGAGCGCATTTCTTTGCCGCCTCTCGGGAGTGGACCTTCTCAAATCAATCTGTGCGTATATGTTCAACACACATTTGCACTAGGTCTAGGGAGCGGGGTCATCTTTCCAATCAGTCAACCTGAATGTACCTCAACGGGCACATGGGTTCGTATCGATTCAATTGGCAGTGCCACGCGTGAGACCGGCATCGCGACAACGACATGTCACTGACCATGAACGGTTCTTGATGCATCAGATAACAATCTCAGACAAGTAGACGCGCGCGGGATATTCGAACAGTTTCTTGCGTTGCTCCGCAAAGCACAATTCCAAGTATGGGAAGCGCAGGAGGTTGTGGTTGTACACTCCTGATATCTCATCGGGCCGATTGTTTTTGCTGTACCTGTCAACCACAACCTTATCGGATTTCCGCAAAACTCCACTCTCGTCAGCGGGGCTTACTACATACGGTCATTGCGCTCCATCACCCTATATCTGAACCTTGGTGAGCCATGTCTCCGACGATCGTTGGGATCTGCTGTATTACTTTGCACCGTATAGGGACGATTTTCTTTTTGAACGGTATATGACAGCGTTGATCGAACCCAGGTCCAATTCTTCCGAACTGGTCTTGCTCGGCTCCACTCTCACGAAGAATTATTGTCTGAGGATTTCTTTGTCCACTGTTTCCGAACACCAACCCACTTAACTCCGGCGATCAATCCTACATAACATCATTCGGTCTCAGCTCAGCTCGAGGTTGACCGACCGCCACGCTGAACAAAAAGACAATATCATCATATTGTCGTCAGTCGGTTGCGGTTGGCAATTCGTTACTGTGATTCCACCCACCCAATGGTCAAATATGGACACTTCTGAAATCTCATGCGATGATGCGATAGAGACACCTGTCGCGGTCTGAGACATCCACATACCAAAGACATACTCTCAGTCAACCCCTGTTTCACGCTGCAGTATCTCGAGACAACCTCTGAGCCAGCGGTCGTCCAACACCATTCCAGCACATTCGGACCACAGGCGATTCTTGTTCAACAACTTGATCCAGTGCACGATGTCTCGAACTTTTGTGAGAATGAAGATGCTGAGGCTGAAGACTAGCGACACCTTGTATGACCAATTTCACTTCGCTCTGCACGCGAAAGGCGACAACACCCATTCATAAGACTAGTCCAAGGCAGCTTTCACATTCTTTGAAGCAAAGTTTCTCGTGTTGTACAAATCAGCAAATTGATGCGTCAACTCATACTACTGCCCGCTACTTCATCCATATAAGTCATAAAGCCAAAGAGTCGCTTCCCCAGTGTCTACCTCCCAACCATCGCCCTATTAACCCACTACTCTTTCGGTTCCATACATCGGGACCATGGGACCATAACATCAAAGACCACAACTCCATCTTCTTCACCACCTTCCCGATTCCAAAAAGGCAAGTCACCTCTCACCTCTCACTGTAACCCCTGCTCGTCTCGCTAACCTCACATAGTCCGTTTTGGTCTTCCACAGCCCCAAACATCCAGATCAATCCTTCCTCTTACCTTCCAAAATCAAACAAGAAGCATGGATATCATTAGCATGATGTTCTTCGCCGTCTGCATCCACTTTTACCGCAATCCGAACAATGCAGGCTGGTTGCTTGTTTTCTATTGCCTTTACTACGATATCAGGGGTATAAGGAGTTGGCTGCGGAGACTGGCTATCGAGTATCTGGATGGCGCCGTGTGAACATCACGAAGTCGAACGGATCAGATACAAACGAAAGGGAAGTGATGAGCATAGAGGGAAGATTCGAGACGTGAAAGGCCTTCTGGGTCACAATTCGGGTCGCGATCTCTTCTTGAGCAGGCCGTATGGACGATCCCCCAACAATTGACCTTCTCTTTCCATACTCTGACCACTCGACTCTGAGTAAGACCTGCCTCAACATCTGACAACCGCTTCTTCGTCACTGCTTCAATCTGCTCGGGCTCCATTGCCCAGCACTCCAAAGGCTTTCACTTGATCGCACAGCGGTTGGAGTACTTGAAAAATGACAATTGCCATTTCCTCGACTTCCTGACGGTAAGGCTGAGGTACTCTGCTCCAGCGATCTGGGTGCCAGAAATTGCGTTCTTTGAGCAATTCTGTACGGCTGAGCTCTGCATTGTGGTAGAGAGCGCTCAGATTGTGTACACAAATCTTCAATGGAGTGCGAGTGTTGTGGCAGCCGGGTTTTGCGCAGGGCATGAAGGGTGGATGTGGCAATTGTCTGATGAGATCAGGCTTTTCGGACATGTTCCAGCATTCTTGTCGCCATAGCTTGAAAGCGAGATTCAGGTAAACTGGTATGGGAGGATGCACAAAGATGTGCGGTTGAGGAAGGTTGGGGCTGACAAATTTGGTATGGTCGCCTTTCTCGTAGGCTTTGTATACCTCATCGAGATGGCGATACAATTCTGCCAGACGAGCTTCTTGCTCTTCCGTGAGACGATCTTCAAGCTCGTCGTCGAAGATTAAGTCATGGTTGATGGTAGATATCAATTTGTCTACTCTGCGTCGCTCGGCATGGACATGTTGCCAATGTCTGGCAGCTTCTAGGGTGGAATCCACTGGAGCATCCAGGAGGCAGGTGAAGCGCGACCATGTGGCACGATCCATACAAGTCCAGTCTTGCTGGAGTCTTGCGTGATGTACCGAGGTTTGATAGAAACAGCTAGAAGCGCGACCATATCATGTGCCGGTGGCCTTATCGGAGTTTTGGAGGCGGAGATAAACAGCCGAGGAAGGTGCTGTGACTGTTGTCCATCAACAGCAGGTCAGTGTCGCCCCTCCACCAGTCTTTGAAAGTGTACACCGCTAAGCTCAGTAGTTTTACAAGGTGACAAGGACGAATGGAAGAGAGCTGAAGGATGTGAGGTTGATCAGCCAGGGTGTGCAGTAGTTCAGCTGCAGTGAGGGGCATTTGTAAGCTTAGATTACCCCGCGTCATGAGCGCCTCACGTTTTGGACCACCCCCACTTTGGGCCGTCATCAAACATGTCGGTTGCGAAACAACAACGAGCTCGCTCCTTCCACTCTCTCGACTCTCTTATACCAAGCACCTCAATTCGCCCAAACAACCCAACCCACAACCCTCAAACACCACCACAATGGCCGCAGCAAGCACCACAGTACACCCTCTCCCTACCCCCCTCTCCCTCCCACGCAAACAAAAGCTAACACCTCGCTCCCCCCACAGGTCCTCTACCCCAAGGGCACCGCCTTCAAGATGGACTACTACCTATCCACCCACATGCCCCTCGTCTACAAGAACTGGTCGCCTTACGGCCTCAAGAGCTGGTCTGTCGTCGAGTTCCCCTCAGACGCCGAGTACTGCGTCCAAGCATCGCTCGAATGGGAGTCCGAGGCTGCTCGCGACAAGGCATTGCAATCTGATACCGTGTCTACTGTCATGGGCGATGTGCCCAACTTTTCCGACAAGTCTCCGTTGTTGATCAATGGCAAGGTTACTGGTACTTCGTAAGAGAGGTGGAATGAGGAAGAGATGAGGGAGAGAGGATGTTGATAAGGCAGAGGGTTTCGCTTTGTACATAACTGCGAAATGTCATTTGCCGGTCACGTTTGACGATTGGGTTATACGTTATGACTTGCCAGTTGTGCTTGTCCAATCGTGGTGTCTTGCGATGCCCTCGCTTACGGCAGCGGCATCCTGCGATCCTTCGTCTAGACCACAGCTTGACAGCTGACCTTCAACCATACACAGCATTTACATAAGTACCTCTTGTCAAGATGGAAGCTTCCACTAGCACGTCTTATCACAAACGACCGCATTAACCTCCCCGCTTTGAACATTTCCGAGAGTTAGGCTGAAAAATGCCACACAGTATTCTACACTCCCCATGACGCTCCTCTCACACCAAACCAACATCACTCATCCACATCTTTACCCGTTACCTTGTGTATCACTCTCTCCATCTTTGGTCCTTGGCACTCTACTCATCCTAAGCTTCCTTGATCCTGATCTTGTGATTGGATCTTATATCTCATCTGAAGCCCTGATTTTTTCTGTTCGTCGTCGAAATCATCAGCGGAGCTCTTTGCTCTGTTACTTCTGTACAGCTACACACCTCTGTCACTACATGATGAAGGCGGGAAGACGAGAGGAATAGACACAACGAACAGGTGTTTGGATATGCAAAGGTGTGGTTTGTAGATGAATGGTATGTTCACTTCCAAGCATCTTCAAAGTGCATCGACCGAACCTTACGTTCACAGACAGAAAAGCAGCACTTCACGGAAAACATGCCACTTTTCATCTCGGGAACGAGAAGAGGAAAGCGAGGAGAAAAAAATGGAACCCCCAACAAGATAGCAGAAATTCAAAAGATGCGACAAGAGATGCGACAAGAGATGAGGAAGTCAAAGGTCAAAATTTGAATCTTCTTTTTTTAATGCAGAGAAAAAAAGTATACTAAAAGAGATATAAATTGCGTCCATCATGAGAAAAATAAACCAACAGATAGCTTCAAGCTCAGAGACAAAGTCATCTACATAAAACAACCAGAAGAGATATCAACAAAGAAAAAAGGTCATCACAAACAGATCCCATAACCAGACAGGATCCCCCTTCACACACTATATACAAGAAATTTTTTTCCACCCAGTCCCAGGACCTCAACCTCTCACATGACAAAGAACGCACCAATAAACAATGCCAATACGCAGAGTCCGATATCCGTGTGCACGTTGCTAGCAGCACCCTTGGCTACAGCCTTCATCTCCATCTGCTGCATAGCCGCGCTGCGCTCATAAGCGCCAGTGCTGCTGTTAACGGCAGCAGAGCCATAGACACGGCTGTTTGATGCAGTGCCAGCGACGGCGGCAGCGGCAGCAGCAGCGGTCTCATCGGCAACGGCGACGACAGTCTGAGTCTGCAGGACAACAACTTGAGACACTGCGGCTGATGATGAGGAAGCAACAGCAGAGTCGGAAGAAGCGATGGTGACGGTTGTGTAAGCTGCGTTGAGCACAGTGCCGCTGGGAGCAAAGATGTTGGCGGTGGCGTTGTTGAAGGCAAAGGGTGCAGCTGAGGCGCCGACGCGGATGGTTTCGGTGAAGGTCTTTGTGGTTCTGACGGTTGTGGTGGTGGTGGACATGCTGTTGGTGTTTGTGGGTGCGTAGTTGATGATGGTCGAAACGGGGTAGGAGGTAGTGTAGGTGACGACGGATTGGCGGATGGTGGCAGTCACGTAGGCGGTGCTGTACACAGTCTGGGTGACAACGCTGTAGCGGGGATCGTTGGCGACGGCGGGCATAGTGTCGCCGTTGGATGTGTTACCGGATTGATCTGCGACGGTGTTGTCGGAGGAAGAGCTGCCAGAGTTGGAGGTGGACTTCTTGGGAGTGGCAATCTGAGTGGCTACGGGAGTGACGGTGGTGTACACACTGACGGTCTTGGTCACGTACTCGGTGGTCTCGGCGCCTTGTGCGTTTGTGCGAGTGACAGGCTGGATCTGGGTCTGGTAGAAGGTGCGAGTAACGTAAACAGTAGACTCGACGATCTCCAAAGAGGCAGCGTTGTTGTTGTTGCCGGCGTTGGCGTTCGAGTTTCCGGCGTTGGGTACAGCAACAGTAGTGGAGACGGGAGTAACAGTGGTGTACTCGTTGATAGTCTTGGTCACATATTCAGTGGTGGCAGCACCTTGAGCATTGGTGCGAGTAAACTGCTGGACCTCGGTCTGGTAGTAGGTGCGGGTAACGAAGACAGTAGTCTCAACGATCGAGACAGCGGCGGCTCCGGCACCGTTGTTGAGATTGGCGCCAACGTTGCCGAACTTGGGAGAAGTGTGGTTGCCGTAAGGTGCGACCTGAGGGAAACCGGCAGAAGGAGTGACCTTGGCAGCAGACACGGGGGCAGTTCCGTAGATGGTCTCGGCCACGACGACGGTAGCGCCAGTTCCAATAAGACCGCCGGTTCCGATAGGAGCGACAATGCCAGTTCCGAGAGGGGCAGCGACGAAAGATGCGGGAGCAGTGCCGAGGGGAAGAGTTGAGTTGTTGTCACCGGCAGCGAACTTTCCAGCAACGGCGGCAGCCTTGGTGGAAGTGGTAGCCTTCTTGGTAGAGCTGGATGTGATCTTCTTCGAGGAAGAAGACGAAATCTTCTTGGAAGAGCTGGATGAGACCTGAGTACCACACTTGCCGAACTTGGGTGCACAGTTGGCAGTGCCGCAGTAATCAGCCGAAGAACCGCAGTATCCGTACTGAGAGCAGCATGAGCCGAACATTGAGCCAGCACAGGTGTATCCGTTGTAGCCGCCGCAAGTACCATCCTTGGAGATGGGTGCAGCAGGGCAAGGGTTAGTAGCGGTGTTAAGGGAAGTACCATCGGCCTGGGCATTGAGGATCTGCTTCATCCAGGTGATGTAGTTTCTGTTGCAGATGACGTTGTTGGCGGCGTAAGTAGCCTCCCAGACCATGATACCACCGAATCTGGTGTTGCTGTAAACCTTGCTGATGAGAGTCTTGACCTCAGAGGGTTGAAGGTAGTAGCTAGCGTTGCTCGAGGCAGCAGTGCTTCCAGGAAGACCAACGAAGAGCTTGATATCAGCGTTCTTAGACTTGACGCTAGTCCAGTCGTTGTAGCCCTTGAAGGTGCCAGAGGTAATGGCCTGGCGGGCAGAGCAGGCAGCGGTGTTGTAGTACTGGATGAAGAGGAAATCGAACCAAGCATTCTCGACGACACCAGAGAAGTGTTGGTCAGGAACAACGCACTGAGGTGCACCAGATATATAGTAAGGCTTCATGGAATCCTGGGGGTAGAGAGTGTTCTTGAAAGTGGTAATCATCTTGACGTAGCCATTGGTCTTGTAGTTGGTGAGAGCCTTGCCGTTGACAGTAGGAGCGGTGGAGAGCTCGCTCTCGATGTCAAAGTCGAATCCATCAACAACAGCATCACCAAAAGGACGAGGACCGCCAGTCGAAGTCCACTCGTCCTTGACAGGTCCGAAAGCACCCCACAAGAAGTTGGCAAAGTTCACAGCACTGGTGTCGTTGTTGATGAAGTAGTTGGTAGGGTATCCACCACCGATAGACAGAAGAACCTTCTTGCCATAGACCTTCTGGCAGATGGCGATGTCGGTACCAATGTCAGGGCAGTTGGAGTAGAGCTGAGTTTTCGTGCCCTTGTAAGTGTAGGTCTCGCTACCACAAGCATTGCCAAAGTTCGATCCAGGCCAGCCACCTGCTCCTTGGTCAGGGAAGACGTTGATGAATCCGATGTTGACAATGTCGACGTTAGGGTTCTTGCAGACGTCCTGAAGACTTCCTTGGTTGGGACCTTGACCCCAGTATGTGACGACGTTGTTCTTTGCGCTGGCGGTCAATGCAGATGCCAGACCTGAGAAAGCTGCAACTGCAGCTGCAGTGCTGGTAAGAGTAGATGACGCACGCATATCGATTTAGATAACGATAACGATATGGGTATAATCAAACAAACGGTCCGGTATATGGTCGTATAAGAATGAGTGTATAACAGCTTTGAGCCGAAATGAGAGGACGCAAACACAGTTTGCTTAAGGAAAGTGGACGACGACCGAGACCGGCTGGCAAAAGAAACACGAACACGAGATAGGTAAGAATGAGTGTATAGCAGAAGGGGAGAACAAGCAGATGAGAGGGAAACGGCCCTTGATAAAGGTAGCCTCCAAATCTCCCCCATCCTTCGAGTCGTGCCTCTGCGAACCTACCGGCTTAGGAAACATGGCTACCGTAGCCCGCTTACCGTTAAGCATCACGTTGCGGTCCAAAACGGTATGGACTCGAGATTGAAATTACGGCGCCACTGTCAAAAAGAGGGGCGAGGAAGGCCTTGGTGGAGGTGACGAACCGCATGTTGCGATGGACGAAGTCGAAAAAGATACTCCTGAGGTCTGTGCATGGCGTGCCGAGCAAGCGCCAGGGGCATGATTGGGTGCGGAAGCGTGATAGCCCAGGCACCAAAAGTCAATCTTGCCTTCTCTGAGTCCACTCGACCGACACAAAACCTCGCATCCATAAAGTAGCGACTCGTGCAAATTGCTGATTCCCTCGGATGGTGCAATATATTAGCCGGCTGCCTTGAAGCTCGTCTGCAAAACTTGAAAATGACTTTGCACACCCGGACGATCCTCCAGACACATCAATGATCACACCCACCCGCCGAAAAGGTCGAGAACGTCGTAAAGCATACTACTATACGAGCAAGTCTACTCCCTGAGACCGTTCTGCTCAGGAGAAGGATCGTAGATGCTTGCTGTACGTTATACCAGGCGTGCAGTGCAATCGATACACAACGGCGAACTCACCTCCTGCTCCTGAACAACGGTGCTGGGCTTTTGGCCAAGTGTGTTCTGGAAATAGCGACCGCGCGAATATTGTACTCGCGCCGAATGTTCAACAGACTGTGCAGTTGTTCTGGACTTTGAGAGTTGTTGTAGATCTGCCTAATCATTACTCACCCGTGGCAGCCCATGAAGATCAGCATGAATAGCATCGGTGGTTCTCATGTGTTTCAGGGTGGTGTTTAGGGGTTTTGAGCTTTCGTGGTGGCTTGAACTTTAATCCCTCTGACCCACCTTGAATCACCCAAAGCCTCTGACTTCACTTGCTCGCTTCACGACGATAGCTGAGAACTCCCAAGGTCCCCAGATATTTGGAGTACTTCTACAGATGCAAAGGTGCCGGGACTGTTGTTGCTGCACCGCTCAGACTTCCCGGCAAGTTCGTATCGATAGACGATAGATAATCAAGGCAGCCGTACGCCACTATCTGAATGTCTCGGTACTGCTGAAGGCAAGGAAACGATGGTGCTGTAGTATGAACATGTTTTGAATAGTGGGGTGATGCCTCGTTTGTTGCTAGAAACAGCCTATCGCTGTGTCTATATGGGGGTATACTGATGAAGAGAGGTGTAAATCTTTTGAGCCCTTCCTCTAGAACTGAAATCATGAAACGCCTCTTGCCGAAAAGAAAAAAGCAGAAAATCCCATCTTTTGGTTTATCCCCAAATCCCAGATGTACGGAAAAGCGGAAAGTAGGAAACCGGATGGTGCTCGGTCGGTCTCAATGGCCAATCGATCAATCCAGCATGATGCTACCATCGTCGTCAACGGTGATGGCGGTCTTGTTCTCCTCAGCGACCTTGCCACGCTTGGCGATTTGTTCGGCTTCGTGTTCTCCAGCATCCAGATCAGCATCTGCAGCAGTACGCTTGGTGGACGAACGAGTAGGAAGAGTTTGTCCGTTAGAAGATCCGGCGTCAGTCGTCGTTGCGGTAGGGGCAGGAGTCTTCTTGGGGATGGTCTGGAGATCGGGGATCAGCATGAAGGACTCGGTCGTGGCGGCTGTAGATTGATCGAATTCTCTAGGAAGAAGTTAGTATTACGGTCAATGCTGGAATGAGGATTTGGTACATACATATTAGAGATGGAGAGCTCGAGGTTTACACGCTCGCCTTCGTCGTCTTCACCACGAATCACAACAGTCGAGTTGCTGACGATGCCAATATCGTTCAGCGTCTTTTCGAGGTTGTCGTTTTCGTCCATGGCCATGTCAGGATCATACCAGACACCACCATCGTTGCTGACTTCGACTTCACTCTCCTTGTAGCCGAGCTTGGCAACCAGAACCTCTTTAACAAAAGTCTCCAGAGTGGTCTTGTCAGTGTTGATGACCAATCTAGCGTAGGCAGTAGCGCAAACGCCACAGTCAGGTCTAGGTGGACGCAGAGACTCCTTATTTATGATGCGCTCGGTCGATTTTGTCAAGAAGACCATCTTTGCCTTGGCCCAGTCGCCACGCATAATCTTGAAGGCTTCCAAGACACACAGAGCGGCTGTGGTAGCGTTTGTGGTAGCGATGGCAGGGATGATGTTGCCAGCCATCTGCTTGATGTCAAACTCTGACTTGGTCTCGATGCCGAAAGTGACGGAGCGGAGGTTGGCAGCAGCGGCCACGAAGTCGAGTGTGTCTCGGTCGTCCTTGTCGAAGGTCAATATCGGAGGAGCGTTGCCAGTCTCTTGTGATGCTCGCAGCTTGTTCAGACGGTCACTCAGACGAACCAGGCTGTCCGAGAAGACAGCAAAGTTCTCTTCCAAAGACCAGTTCTTCTGGTCGTCTGCTATCGTCTCGCGGTCGACGTTGGAAGCTGCAGCACTGACGGCTTCGAAGTCGAGGGCGGTCGGAGGCTTGCGCGTCTTCCACATGTCCTCCATGCCGAGCAGTCTGTTGATGTCCTGAGTGAAGACCTTGTCAAAGACCTTTTGTGGGAATTCTGTCGAGCCCATTGATGCGCGGATCTCTTTCAGGGCAGCAGCCTCCTTCTTCAGCTCGGCCAACTCTTTCTCATCGTTTTCATCGGATTCGTGATCGAGGTCGGGAGCTTGATCTTCGCTGATTCCGAACAGCTCGTTGAAGAGGTAGCTTTTTGCCCAGACGATACAGTGAATGGGCTGGCTTGGAGTGCTTCGGATGGTGCAGACGGGGAAGGACTTGGGAGTTTCTTTGGGTGCGCAATCGTAGCATTCGGTGAGGCGCTTGCGGATGGGTTGGACCTGGCCATTAAAACCGGTCGTACCACTTTCGATCAGTGGGACGTCTGCGGCAAGGCACATGCGGTTAACGTGACGGCGGGCATCGAGGTTGTCGAGGGCGTTGAAGACGATGACAAACTCGCGGAACCAGTCGACATTGAACTGTGGATCCTTGATGTTTGCGTGGTGTGCCTCGATCTTGACATTTGGATTGAACTTGGAAGCGGCCTCGCGGGCGACCAGAGCTTTGGACTTCTTGATGTGGGCATGGCGAAAGAGGAATTGGCGGTTGAGGTTGGACAGGTCAATTGTGTCGAGATCGACCAGGTGGATCTCGCCAAAGCCAGTGCAGACGAGGTTTTTGAGGAGTTCGCAGCCAATGCCACCGGCGCCGACGACAAGGATGCGCGCGTTCTTGATGTTGGCGAACTGCGAGCCGAGTGACTGCTTGAGGAAGCGTTCGCGCGTCATGGTGCTGTGCCGTGGGTGTGCGGTTGTGGTGATGGTGACAAGAAGAGGTGCTATCGGCGAGGTGGCATATGATGTCGCAGACAGTGAAGGCGTGTTGGCAGCCGGCTCGAGTGAGCGACAAGGGCGTGTGCGTGTTGTTGATCGAGGTCAAGGTTGCGTTGATTCACTTGGTCAATTGTCGACCCCGGACCAATTCTGTCTGCGATGACGCGCCCAATTCTTGCAAAAACACCGAGGTTCAGTGCAGCCAGTTGAGCTGAATCAAGACCTGTCTTTTCAACAATCACATTCGATTCTTCTCGAATTGTGACTGTCAATTCTAGCTATACCTCCGGCGGTTGCTCTTCTCCTTCTCTATCATGATAACCTGTCGATGTTTAGGCAACAAAAGCAAAATCCGACAGGTCGCAAGCTCCAGTCAGATTAGGAAAGAGCAAGTTTAGACTGCCAATTGCCGCCCTCCGTCCCTGCCTTCCCTCTTATTCTTGCCCTTTTCAACCCCATCACCCATCCTTTCACTTCTCGTGCCACTCTACCGACATGTCCGACGACGAAGTCGACCACGAGCTGCTCGATCTTCTACGCAAGTCGCTACTAGGGCCCACTCCGAAATCTGACGAAATCGGTTCCGATACAAAAGTTCTTCGACATGCCGAGTTCATCTACGACAATAGTATCGATGTAAATATTGATGCTCGTGGCACTAGAGCTGCTGCTCAATCGATCTGGGACCAGATGCAAGAGCGCAGCTACAGCACAGAAACTTGGTCTGAACATGACCTGCATCCAAAATCAAAGGATGAAGCCACTCTCAACTTTATTTTTGTCATGGATCTCCTAAACTTCAGCTTCTGGAGTGAAAAGCCCGAGAATGAGAGATATGCCGTCGAATATCGTGGTAAAAAGTGGACTGGCTACTGGAGTTTGGTGGCTTGCTTGCAAAGGGCTCTCGAAGAGGGTAAGTCTTGTTGTTCTTCATTATCTTCTCTGCCCTATACCATTTTGTGGTCTCAATATTCTCTACATCGTTCTTATGCAACTACAGATATTCCTATCACAACACCTTCCTACTACGCCGATGGGCTGGAATGTCCAGACGAAAAGCTAGCATATGTCTTCCGTTCCTCGACCAAAGAGGAAATCCCCTTGCTACAAGAAAGAATCGACTGTCTTCGAGAAGCCGGTCGTATTCTAGAAGAGGTTGGTTGATGGCAAGCTTTGCTCTTACTTCTTACTAACTTGTCCAGCACTTTGGTAGTGTTGCTGGCCTTGTTGAAGCCGCCGACAACAGTGCCGGTAAGCTTGTCAATCTCCTCGCTCACCATTTCTCGTGCTTCTGTGATGAGTCCGTTTTCGAAAAACGCACCGTTCGCATCATGAAGAGGCCGCAAATTCTGGTCGCCGACATCTGGGCTGCGTTCAATGCACAAAGCTATGGCGAATTCATCGATATCGACTGCATCACCATGTTTGCTGGTACATATATCCTCCTTCGCTCACAAATATTCAGCTGACACACAAAGATTACCGAGTGCCTCAAATCCTCCACACACTGGGCTGTCTGACGTACAGTCCGCCCCTAGACAGCACTATACGTACCCAACAACCCATTGCTCACGATTCTAGCTACGAGGTTCAGTTACGTGGTTGCAGCATCTGGACTGTAGAGATGATTCGCCGAGAGATTCTGAGGAAGTATCCAGGCGCCAAGGTCAACGCTATCTTGCTCGATTTCTTCCTCTATGATCTAGCCAAGGAGAAGGAGAAGTCTGGCGAACCTGCTATTCCTCACCATCGGACTAGGAGCATTTGGTATTAAACGACAAACACTGCTACAACTTGGCCACTCCCTGTACTCTACGCTACACCTGACAAAGGTCTCGATTCGATCGAACAAACTTCAACCTCTGCATCACCTTGAATGGCAGACTGTGAGAATGATATTGCAGCCCGCTTCTCAGACTCACATCAATTGGTTGCGTGGCCCAATGGCAAGGCGCTTGACTACGAATCAAGAGATTGCAGGTTCGATCCCTGCCGTGATCATTTTGTTTTTTGCTCCCTTCAATCGGTGCAGTGGTGCAGATGCTGGCGTGATGATTGTTTTGTCTTTCAAAGACGTCCTAGGATGTTCTTTTTGCTGGCGGTGAGATACGTGGCTCATCAGGCAGGTGTTGATGTCTTCCTTTCGTTCGAATCCTCAATGATTTCGTGGACGAATTCGAGGACTATCGGGAGTACGTCGGAAGTTCTTTGGATTGACGAGCCTCATTGTTCTGCTGCACATCGACATGTGTGTGGTCGTTATTTTGCCTATGAATAGGCCTCTGCCCGTCGTGTCTGCTCTTTCTCAGACTTTCAACAGGCTATACACATTACTCTCTGGCCCTCACGCACTGGACTAGTTGTTCAAATCATCTTCTGTCTTCTTTTTCGATGGACAGGCAGGCTGCTCGTTTGTTGAGCACAGACCACGCTCAGGGTGGTACCCTCAACTACCACCAAAAACACTTCTGGCGACATTACATTACCATCACTACGGATTTTCTCTTTTGTACCATCTTAGCATGTTTTTCGAATATATTACTGAGGCTCTGGGGCACTGGACAACACGTTTTGGCTTCGTTGCTGCTCTAATTTCATATTCTTATTTTTCTGATGCCATCGTCCAGAGTTTGGCTTTGCAACCAACGAGTTTATGCTGTGCTCCGTCGACAACATAAACAATTGCTGATTTACATCCATTGACTCGATACATCATTCTGAAGTGCGTTGAAAGCGATCAAGACGGTCAATGACACATCTCTGCTACGGTACAAATGTTCTATTACCCTGGTACGTGAGATGGGCATCGTTTGCCAAAACGCTAAGAGCTATATTGTTGTTAGGTTATCTTTGCCTCAACTATTGGTTGTATAGTGTAATGGTTAGCACATCGGATTCTGATTCCGGTAATCCAAGTTCGATCCCTGGTACGACCTTCTTCTTTTGCTCTTCTGGCCCCCTTGCAGCTCCCAACAGGCACAGTCCAATGCATTGTTGACTCTTTCGTGGAAGGAGCGTTTCTTTTTGCTCTGGAATTTGGAGAGCTTAGACCAGAGGGAGGGGCTCAGGCTCAGCCAAGCCGCGATGGCTGACAAGCACGCAATGTCACCGAGTCTTGTTTCTGTCAAAACCGCCTCCCTTTCCTGCACTCTCTGCTTCTCTCCAGAGTCGCCTAGGGAGAGATGTGACAGCACGCCCACGGTGGGTTTGCAATCATGCCGGAGGGAAGTCCAACAAGCAAACAATGTTTTGCAAAGCCACCGCCTCTCGGCACGCGACTTCCGAGTTGTGACGTGCCGACTTCCTTCGAATTGCATGTCGGGACCGAATACAACAAACATCGTCTGCCTGGCATGAAATGATGCCGCCTTTCAATTTCATAACTGTCGGAGTTCGGATTTTAGATTAAGTCCTCTCTCCGAGATTCTATTTCAATAAGTACAAGAGGCACTACCGCCGTTTGAGAATTCCCTTATCTGTATTCTTTCTGTTTGCTGCGCAGTCTTATCGTCATGGATGCCGATAACGAGACGACACTGCAGCCCATCCGCACTGGACGCTCGACGCGACAATATTTATCACGAACGCGATCGGACCGGTCGAACAAATCGTACAGGTCACGCGAACGATCTGGCTCAAGGCCAAGTCGACCAAGCAGTCCTCTACAACGACTCACCTCGGCAAACTTTATTGACGACCATGGTATCTACCACCATCACGCTGAGTCCGACTACGAGGAAAGAGTAGAGGAACATGAATCAGAACACGATGGCAGCGATGCTCTATCACCACACTCGAGTTCGGAAACGGACAAGGAAAAGCAAGAGCCGGATGAGATAATTATGGAACCATTCGGCGCAGAGACTGGACGCGATCTAGAAGCGCAATCAGAGAATGAGAAGCCTCCGCTATCGAGAAAGTCCACATCCAAGTCAGTCAAGGATCCGAATCTAGTGACTTGGGATGGTCCCGACGACCCAGAGAATCCCAAGAACTGGGGCAAAGGCAGAAAGTGGGCAGCCACTCTTGTCGTTTCCTCTTTCACCTTTATCTCACCGGTATCCTCCTCAATGGTTGCGCCAGCTATCGGTGTCATCTCCCACGACTTCAATATCACAAGCACTGCTGAGCAGCAATTGGTTCTGTCCATTTTCGTGCTTGCCTACGCCATCGGTCCTCTTTTTCTCGGACCCATGTCTGAGCTCTATGGTCGTGTCAGAGTCCTTCAGATCGCCAATGCTTTTTACTTCGTCTGGAATCTTGCTTGTGGCTTTGCTCAGAACAAAGGAGAAATGATGGCTTTCCGCTTTCTAGCTGGACTGGGCGGTAGCGCTCCTCTTGCTATCGGTGGTGGTATGCTCAGTGACTGCTGGAAGGCAGAAGAGAGAGGCAAGGCCATCAGTATCTATTCACTAGCACCATTGCTAGGACCCGCAATTGGCCCTATTGCTGGAGGTTTCATCGCTGAAAACACCACTTGGAGGTGGGTATTCTGGTCAACATGTATCGCCTGCTTCTTTATCCAACTTTCGGGCGTCTTCTTCCTGCAAGAGACGTATGTCCCAGAATTGCTGAAGCGCAAGAAGCTGCGCTTGATCAAGGAGACTGGAAACACAAACCTACACACCGAATATGATGATCCAAACCGCAAGCTCTCCGTTCATCTGAAGACGGCCTTCACCCGTCCTTTCGTCATGATCGGAACCCAGCCCATCGTCCAGTTTCTGGCCATCTATATCGCCTATGTGTATGGTCTCATGTACCTCGTCCTCTCCACCTTCCCAGGCCTCTGGACAGGCATCTATGGCGAATCTACCGGAATTGGTGGTCTCAACTACATCTCGCTAGGCCTCGGATTCTTCCTCGGCACACAGATCGGCGCCCCATTGAACGACTACTTCTACCGCACCCTCAAAAAGAAGAACAACAACGTCGGCCGCAGCGAGTTCCGCGTGCCCCTCATGTTCCCAGGCTCTGTACTGATCCCCATCGGCCTGTTCATCTACGGCTGGACCGCCGAATACAAGACCCACTGGATTGGGCCTAACATTGGCGCTGCCATATTCTCCGCAGGCAACATCTTGGTCTTCCAGAGTTGTCAGACGTACATCATTGATAGTTACCAGAGATATGCGGCTAGTGCTGTTGCATCCACGACGGTGCTGAGATCGCTTGCCGGCTTTGGATTCCCGCTGTTTGCGCCCGCTATGTACGATGCGCTGGGCTATGGATGGGGCAACTCTGTGCTAGGATTTATTGCTGTTGGGCTTGGGTTGCCTGCACCATTCATTCTGTGGAAATTTGGTGAGAGGTTGAGGGCGAGGAGCAAGTTTGCTTCTGGAGCTTAAAAGTGCTGTTCTTGGCTTTTTTTCAATTAGAACAAGGGCATGTATAGAACTTATTAATGCGAGAACGATTCTTTTCTTCTTCTACATCGGTCACTGGCCAATGATCACTTTCCTGTTTTCCTCTGCTTTTTTGGGGTCGGTGAGGGGTCAAGATGAGACACGCTGGATATGGTTTCCATAGACGAATCATGATGTTACATCCAAGTCTTTCTTGCGACCGAGGACCAGGAAAGCAACAACGACCATACAGCAACCGTCGCCTCTATAGCTGCTGAATCTGTGCTTGACACTCCCATCATACCATCTGATTAGTAGCGCCGTCGAGAGTCAACGCAAACTCCATCCCAACAGCCGCAGCTCCAGTATCAGCTTGCGTAGCATCGTACATCAACTGCTTATCCGGGGTAGACACTGATACCTCAGACGACGAATGCTCTGACATCGACGCTGCCGCTGAGAACGACGAAGGATCTGATATCGACTATGTGAGCACTGCTCAGTACTCGGCAGAAGACATGCGAACATACAAGCACTTCATGGCAGCACAGATCAATGCACCTTACCGCACGCATGGCAGTCTTTAATACAGGACAGTGGCTCAAGTATTCGGCGTGCCTGACGCACATGTCACCTTCGCATGTCCCTGCCCCGATTGTAATGACACGTTCGATGCTGCAATTGTAGCATACAAATTCTACCACCATCTGGAGCATCCAAAACACTAGGAGTACTTTGGTGGAAACCGGTCTACAGTGTGAGTTCGACTGCGGCACAGGGTTTCTAGACGAATGTCATCGATTCTTGCATTACAACTCGTCCTCGTGCAGCGAAATGGCTAAGCTTACATTGCCGACGGCCTTCCAATGTCCAGCGCAATATATCAACGAAGGACTCACTCCCAGACAGATCTCGGCAAGTTGCAACACCGAGCATGAATTACAATTTTGCATAGTCTGTTTTACGACAATATATCGTAGGTGCTCTAGAGTGCCGCGTGAGATAAAATGTGTGACTTTCATAACGTGCTGCTTCTGCTTGATAGTTCTCCAGTTGTTGACCGCGTTGTATAGATATTCATTTACGTTGTCGTCGTCTTCAACATCTGGATTGATGCACTGGTTGTAGAAATGGATGACATCGACGTTGTCGTGTTTATCAACCTTGATGGTAGAATCAACGGGGGTGTTGGTTGGGGTGTGGGTTCGCATTCTAGTGATTTGGGGCTACCATGGATCGTGTGGCGGTCAACCATGTCTTCTTCTTTGTCTGGTGAGTCAATCCCTTGTCCTCCTTCTCCAAGTTCAGGTCTCAAAGAATGCGCGGTGAAGTCTACTCAAAGAAGAATGCGCGGTGAAGTCTACTCAAAGGTCGTAGAATTTTAAAGCTGCATCGTTATCGAGACTTACCAGCGTCTTTGACTCGTCCAGCCAGTAACAACCTCTTGCACTTCGCGCGAGAGCAGGACCACGAGGTCTCTCGATCCTCCACTTGACGTTTCTGTCCTGATCCCACACTTCGATAGTGCCACTACTCAGCCTGGCCATCAACATCTTTCCTTCTTCGACCCACATGAGCTCGACGAAGTGGGCATACAGCCGCATGAATGCGTTCTCTAGCTTTACTAAGAGAGATGTAGAGGTCGTGTTCTCGAATGGTTTCCAGACCAAAATGCGTGTTTCGCTTGCAATGGCGATATCGTTTCTGGGAGACCAGGCTGTCATGATGGCTTCGGATCTACGAGCGAGGTCCTGGGGTTTGTACTGTGCAATCTGCTCTCCTGTCTGGGCTGAATATACGGCCATGTAGGCAGTCTGGCTGACGGTCTGCCGCTGTTCGTTGATCTGTTTCGCCATACCATGGAGCAAGATATATTTCGAGTCGGGGGACCATATGCTCCTGTAGCGCTGTCCCCTCGGCGCACTGATTACGTGTTTGCACTCGCCTGATTTCGTGTCAAAGATGCGAAGAGTCCCAGGTCCTGCTACGGTGGCGATGATTCTGTCATCGGGACTAAAACCGACGCAATTGATGGCGTCGCCTTGATTATCCAGAATGAACTTATGTCTACCTTTGGCAAGGTCATAGACGATAACCTTTGTATTTTGTCTTGGCCGAGAAGAATCTTGTTGGAAAGGCTGGTCAGGACGAGCATACAGCAACAGTTCGCCATGAGAGCTGATAATACTCATACAATCGCCTGTGACACTATCCAATTGCAGCAAGTCCTTGGCTTCCAGAGTCGCTTGCAATCTGGCCAGAGCACTCTTGTACTGCGCGCGGGTGGCATCCAGCAATGAAGATGCGACGGCAGATCCACACAGGTCGTTCAGTTGGGATGTGACCGGACTCATGGATAACTCCAGTATCCTGTTGACGTTCAAGAGCTGTGGCTGAACCATTCTTCTTCCATCAGGGCCCAATTCCAAGAACATGAGACTCTTATCGCTGTCGGGTCGGTCAGATTCAGAGCTTGAGATCATGAGCGTATATCCGCCTGTCTCTGTGAGCAAAGGACTGAACTCCAGACCACGTACCGGCAGTGTCAAGCCTCGAAACACCATGTGACACTCTTTTGTCTTAATATCGTAAAGATTGATAACAAGCCCATTCGACGCTGCGATGAACTTCTTGTCCGGTGTGAGAGCCGACGTGACCAGACGGCAAGTGGGATCATCCGGATGAGGAAGTTCCAATCGGTGGTCCTCATCGCCCCAGTATCGATGGGCTGGGTTTAGTCCAGTGTCTGCCCAAGATGAAGGTGTACTGTTGACGTCGAAGTCTTTCTCGACCTCGTATACAAATTCCTCGAGAAATCGCTCTCTGTCCATCTGCATGCTGGTAGTCGGGGGCTTGATTATTCTTGTCTTGTGGGTTAGCAGTACATTATAGGCAACAACATCTTGTAGGCGGCAGTATCTTGTAGGCAGCAGAGGTGTAATTCGAACGCTTGTTGACGTCACTTCACATCGAAGAGTAGATGGCAACGGCATGTTGCAAACAGCACAGAGGTGGCCCGCCGGGACATCTTTGCCGAGGATGTTCGAAACAATTGATCGATAAGAACAGTTTGTTCTCAACTGTTCCCACAATTCAACAATCAAGGCATCTTAACGATACAAGCAGGAGAGCTACGAGTAGGTGGATTGTTTCTTACAAATGAGAAATGGTCAATCCTCCATTTATGCCTAAGGCTGTTGCTTCAATGTCATGCCACTAGGAAGAGGCTCCGTGCAGGCCGTAGATCTGGCTAACACCATAATTTAGATCTCAGAACAAATTGGCTTTTGACGTAGCACGGTAGATGGCGGAGAGATTCCAATACTGTGCAGTCTTCAAAATCGATTCAACATCGTGATGGAGAACGCCGACGTCGAAGAGCGGCGAGCCCAAGAGTATCGGAATATTGGTCTTGGGAGTTCGGAGGTCGCAACCGCAAGTTGTCTTGGCTGCAACATTGCACTTTTGTCGGATCAAGAAGAGTTGTGAAGTGTAGTCATGATGTGAACAAACTGTGTCACCACACGGATACAAAGAGAATCAGAACCCGAAAGCAGAGGGCCTTTCCAGAATTTGCGTTCAAGCTCGGAAATACAACCAGAAGAAGACTTGAAGTGTTTGTGTTGTGGATAGAAGGCGAAAGTGGATGCCACGGCGGAGAACGGTGGAAGCGGAGCCCACTTTTTATTCTTGGATTGATCGCTCATCCTCCAGATTCGGAGGCCGATCAAAGCGAGATCTTGGTAGCAGACTGACAGTATTGGCGGTCTGCTCTCGAGCTTTGATATGAATGGTCAACACATGGTTGTCGCAGACGTGTGTTCGGTCCATGTCTTCGTATCACCAGGCTCGTGTTTCAAGGTCGCACAAAGTCTCCAGATCTCAACTGTTATGCTCAACGGGCAAGCGCAGAGCCGCAACGTGGCAGGGATATGAAGAAGGAAGATAAGTCATACTCGCTTGACAACAGAAGCAGCCTGACACGTCAATTCAATAGCGCAAATGTACAAGCACACCGTAGCAGTGGGTCGACATTCGTTTCTGCACGCCAGGGCAAGCAAAGTGAAGCAGAATAAATTCCCGAAATGGCTATTCTTGGTCGAAGATCCATGTCTGCAGGCAGGCTCTATCTTCTAGCGAATTCATGCATGACAGCCATGCGATGGCAATTGTGTTGATTGGTCGCGCGGAGAATATCTGCGAAAGGCGATGAGATGTGGGGCTCTGTCGCTTGAACTTTCTCTACAACACTCCATGACCATCATGACTGCTCTTGGTGCCAACGGCGATGCGGTCCCAAGGATTCGAAGAGCAGATATGATAGTGATGATTTATTGGTTGATGTGTCGGTCAAGAGACCGATTCACAAGCTGCCTCTGCATCCCGCAGACATAGCCTTGTGGAGAATCGGACTCCTTCGTTATGCACTGCAAAGCTTGAAGGTGTCGCCTTTTCAGGCAGATCTCTTGGATCGGAGGCGAGTCTTGATAGATGCACGTCAAGCAATTGGCGCTGACAGATCTCCATCGCGACTGCTCGCTCATGTTTAAAAGATGCGTGCTGCTTCTTCCATCGCTCGCGACAAGACGAGGTCAACCAGGATTCAGGCACATTTCTCAAGAAACATCCTTCCGCAACTCTACTCGGTACCACGAAGTCTTTTACAGCCTCCAACCCTTGTGCCTGACTACAGGAGCCCTTTCAAGAATGATAAGCGTACCATGGAAGCAAACAAAGATGCATGTCGAGCCGTGTCACGCCATGGATTTTCACGCTATACCCAAGATGGACGGCGCCGTATCAAGCTCAAGCTAGCGTTTTGCGCCAGTTTCCACTTCATCTTGGAATTTTCTTGGATACGCTGGGGCAGCTAGAAAGCTCCAAGAACTACTATTTCTGCAGTTCCGAGCGGAGAGCCGTACTTCAATCCTCTGTGTCGCCACTTTCTGCGTGAGAGAAGTCCAAGACTCTCATAGCAGTCCAGCAAAATAGCGTTATTGTGTAGACGAAGGCAAGGGAAGATCACTGCTATCAAAATGTTGAATCCAGACTAGGTTCGTACTCCGCTGTACCTGCTTTATTCACCTGCATTGATCATTGGCTCAAAAAAGTCCGACATGGTCGTACAACAAGGTAAACATGCAGGTCCTTACGCCTGAGCCGTCGTCCGAACACTCTGTAGCTTCTCGGACTTCGAATGCACTTCCGCACGCCATCCACCTATTCTCTACCTACGCCGAGTGCTTGGACCCGGCTTCCTGCAACAATCTGCTTGTGAGCATGCTCTTTCTCGGTACGCCATGGTGGATGCCATGTTTTCACGACCAAATGCGTCTAGCATGCCCGGGATGCAGCCTGAAATGCTAGGGCTATGCATCCCAAATGGCGATCAGGTAGATTCTACTCGGAGAATATCCTCAAGGAAGCTCATATAAGTACTCTGCCAGCCTCTTCTATTACTCTGCATCTCCAACATCAGCATCTCCATTATACCCTCCAGCAGGCGACAGGATCCAGGCTTCAATCGTTGGCCTTCTCACGCCTAGCTACCTTTCGTTCCTGATATCACAGTTGTCATATCTTTACTTTCGTTTTACTGCTCAACCAATTTCTAGATGCGTTTCTCCACAATCTCCGCACTGCTGTGTGCAGTCGGAGTACTTGCTGCTCCCAGCACATCTCAAGAAGCCAATGGACTCACCATCAGCGAGGATGGAAAGTGTGGTGGCTCCACCGGCCAGACATGCTTGAACTCATATCTTGGTGACTGTTGCTCAAAAGCAGGCACTTGCGGTGAAGGTGCCTTCTTCTGCGGTCTTGGCTGTCAGAAGCAGTTTGGTGGTTGCCTTCCTACTTACAAGGGCAAGCTTGTTAGCCAGAATGGTATGTGTGGTCACGATATCACCTGCAAGGGCTCCAAGTTCGGTGACTGCTGCGGAAAGGACAACTGGTGGTATGTACAGCACATTCTACTCTCCAAATATACACCTGCTAACGCTTTGCAGTGGTGGCGATGCCAAGTCATGCGGTACAGGCTGCCAGGAAGACAATGGTTCTTGCAATGGCGGGTGGCCTTGGAGCAACCTAGTTTCTAGAGCCGACCCCAACCCGACCTGCCCCAAGTCCAACGGCACCACTTACACATCAGACACTGGTAACCAGTACAACATCACTTGCAGTCTCGACCATTCTGGTGGCGACTTGAAGATGGTTTGGATCAGCTCGAACAAGATTGCAGACTGTCTTGCCGAGTGCGACAAGACCGACGAATGCAAAGCCATTGCGATGTCTGGTACCGCTTGTTACATGAAGAGCAAGATTGGAACACCGGTCAAGAGCTCGAACGTGCGCGGTGCCATCTGGGTCGGCAAGGTTGTGAGCTCTTCTTCCAGCGTCTCATCCACTGCATCTGCAACATCTGGATCTTCGTCTTCAGCACCTATCTCATCTTCGGGATCTCTGACTAGCTCTTCGACTGTTTCATACTCGAACTCTTCTTCAGCAAGCTCTTCATCATCAGCTCTTCCTACCTCGACTAGCCCTACCTGTCCTGCCGCAAACAACACTGTTTTCATCGCTGAGAGCGGTGCTACTTTCCTCATTGAGTGCTTCGTCGACCACCAAGGTGGTGACTTGAAGTCTGTCAACATTGGTAGCAACAGAATCGCCGACTGTGTCAACGCTTGTGATGCCACCGAGGGATGTATCGACATTAGTATGTCGGGTACCGCCTGCTACATGAAGCAGAAGCTCGGCAAAGCCATCCCCAATAAGGGTGTCAGAGGTGCACGCAAAATCAAGGATGCACCAAAGAGCTCGAGCAGCAGCAGTGTTGCACCATCGACCACATCCAGTGATCTCTCGAGCACTTCGAGCAGCGTGACTTCCACTCCTTCAAGCACCTCCAGCGACGTCTCCAACACCACATCAATTGTATCTTCTGCATCCTCGACCGGTTCGAAGATTGTCACTGCAAACAGCACTATCTCCTCATCATCTGTCATTTTGACTACTGGATCCTCGACTGCGAACATTACTTCTTCTCAGATCTACCAGAACAGCACCGTCAGCGCTCCTCTGACTACCACTTCCATCTCTAGCACTGTCGCATCCCTGAACGGCACTGCAACTTCTACGTCGACCCTCTTCGTCAACGCCACCAGCACAATCACATCTGGCAGCACTGTCGTGGTCGGTCCCACTGCTCCCATCGGTGTTGGACCCTCGAGTGTTGTTTCCTTCAGCACTGTCAGTGGAGCACCTTACGGTAATGGAACAAGCAGCACTGTTTCGGCAGGCCCTACCGCCCCTATCGGCACCGGTGTATCGTCAGTTGTCCCTGTCAACTCTACTACCAGCGATATCTCATCATCGTCGATTGCCACAACTCCTATTGGCACTGGCGCTTCGAGCAGTATTCCTTCATCCGCCACCAGTGGTGCTCCCTATGGCAACGGCACAACCAGCACTTTGCCCGTCGGACCCACCGGTACTGGCGCCTCGAGCAGCATTATCTCGTCTGCTGTCGGTAGTGCTCCTTATGGAAACGGAACCTCAAGCACCCTCCCTGTCGGACCTACTGGCACTGGCGTCTCGACTTCAACCATTACCAGCAAGACTGTCATCGTCAGCCCGATCGGTACTGGTGCTTCCAGCGGCATTTCTTCGAGCACAGCCATCAGCGCACCTTACGGAAACGGCACTACAAGTGCTTTGCCCGTCGGACCTACCGGTACAGGTGTTTCCACCCCGATCATCACCAGCAGTAACAGCACCGCTACCAGCCTTGCCCTGAACTCGACGGTCTCTCTCACCACTAGCTACAACCTCACGTCAAGCATCCAATCGACAGTCATGACGGTTTCGGCCAACTCTACCACCAGCGCACCCTTGACGACTGCTCCTGTTGCTACTGGCGGTTCGGCTAGCCTCTCAACCTCGTCTGGAAAGTACACCAACACCACCAGCTCAGCATTGACCACAAGCTCTGCTGCACCTACCTGGGCCTTCAACAACTGGGGCGGTATCACATCAGGACATCCAGTCGCTACCAACACCACTGCCTGCTCAGTCAAGCCCACTTCTACCGCTACGTGTGTTCGTTGCGAGGGTCAGCCAGGAACTGACAAGTACTGTGGTCTCACCATCAACGATGACTCTTACGCCGTTGTCCCCAAGACTTGCAACCAGGTTGAGTTCAGCCTGGACTTGACTGAGTGTGTTGTCGCACCCGATGGTATCAGCCGCAAGGCTCTCTGTGTCAATGGCCAGTTCCCCGGTCCCCTCCTGGAAGCTTCATGGGGTGATGAAGTTATCATTCACGTCACCAACTCCATGACTCGCAACGGAACTTCTATCCATTGGCACGGTATCAGACAGAACTACACCAACGAGATGGATGGTGTCGTCGGTCTCACCCAATGCGCTCTTGCCCCTGGCCAAAGCATGACCTACAAGTGGACCGCTGAAAGCTACGGATTCTCCTGGTACCACTCTCATTTGACTCTCCAGGCATACGAGGGTCTCTTTGGTCCTATGTACATTCACGGTCCCAAGTCCGCTGAGTACGATGTAGATGCTGGCCATCTTATCATCAACGACTGGTCTCACATTCCCGTTGATGACATGTACAATGATGCGCAGGTTGCTGGCGTTAGAACAATGGACACTGGATTGATCAACGGTATGAACATCAACCCTGTTGCCAAGGAGGGTACGCCTGCAGGTCAGCGCTACACTGTTCCTACCGAATTTGTTCCCGGCAAGAAATACTTGTTCCAGCTTCTCAACAGCGCCATCCAGTCGACCTTCAAGTTCTACATTGATGGACACAAATTCACTGTCATCGCGGCTGACTTCGTGCCTATCGAGCCTTACGAGACCACCGTCTTGTCCATCAACATCGGTCAACGTTACGAGATCATCGTCGAGGCTGACCAGGAAGTCGGTGACTACTTCTTGAGATTCGACAACCAGAACGCTTGTGCTACCACCACCAACTCTGACGATATCAGAGGTATCATTCACTACGCAGGAAGTCCTGGCGTTACACCCAACTCGACTGCTCACACCTACCCTCGCAAGGATAACGGTGTTGGTGGTATCCTCGGTACCTGCGAGGACGAGCCTCTTGCCAGCTTAGTCCCTATCCTCAAGAAGACAGTCAGCTCTCCCCATCAGACTGTCCAGCACGACGTCGCTGTCTCAAACTCCAACGGTATCAACCTTTACCGCTGGTACCTCGACGGCACCACTTTCCAGTCCAACTGGGGCGATGCAACTCTCTACAGCATCATAAACAACGACACCATCCCTACCTACTCAGGCGATCTCGCTATCTCTACTTCCCTTGGAGAGTGGGTCTACGTCATCATCGAGTCCCCCGTCCCGCTCGGTCATCCTATCCATTTGCACGGTCACGACTTCTACGTTCTCGCAGCGGGATACGGCAACTATGGCAGTGGTACCGCCCTCAACCTCGACAACCCTCCCCGTCGTGATGTCGCTTTCATGCCTGGTGATGGTCCCACTGGACAAGGCGGTCATCTTGTCATTGCCTTCTTCACTGACAACCCTGGTGTCTGGCTCATGCACTGCCATATTGGTTGGCACGTGGCTATGGGTTTTGCTCTTCAGTTCATCGAAGGCCAAGAGCAGATCAGAGAGACTGTCACTGATACCTGCCTTGTCAATGATGTCTGCGCCACCTGGCGTCCTTGGGCTCAGGAGAAGGGTATCTACGTCGATGACAGTGGTGTGTAAACGCCTTTTGTCTTTGCCTCGGATGATCATGACTTTTTCGTACTGTTTATACACTTCTCTTCGTAATGTTTTCTGGATCGGTTGGGGGGAAAATTATATCTTTGGGTGTCCTCGGATAGGACACACCTTTTTTCTTAGATGTTTTTAGATTCGTTCTCGCTAGACGATTAGATTGTTGTCGCCTTTTGTATATATGCGGTTTGGAACAATTATCGCTTGTTACTCTTTGAGAAAACACGTCTATCTATCAATCTCTATCTGTGACTAGAGCATGATCACACATAGTCCCATCTAGCATTGTCCAATGATATCCGATCAACTACTTAGAAGATCATTCTGTACACAACCGGAGCAACCAGCACCTCAAATGCGGCAAGAATCACCACCATCTGCAGATGCAACAATCCAAACCAGATAGCGGTGTTTCCGAAGCACAGCCTGACAGTCTTGGCATACACATCCACTCCGAGACCCCAAGCTCCTCCTCGACCATCGGACGGACCACTTTCTCCTACATCCCTCCTACCCATGTCCATAATCTCACTGTACACATACGCCGCAAAAGCCGGATACAAAACCAACATCCTCAACGCAAAGGCCGCAACCAAAACCACACTGTCCGCAAACACAATACCTCCAATCTCATCCCCACGGTATCCAGATGCCATGTCAGCGATATGCGTGGGCAGTTTGGCAGTCACTCGATAAGCCAGCCCGTACACCAAAGCCGGCAAGATCAGACTCTTTCTTGGTAGCGAAAGAATTTTTATCCGTGCAGGGCGCTTGAGAGATAGGATTGTCCATGTCCAGCGAAGGTGCAGGGAGGATAGAACCAAGACTGCGATGATGTGGCAGATGAAACGCCAGGTCGTGGAAGCGAAGAAACCAGACAAGAGATTGGTGAAGAGCGAGTGGAGTATATTGTAAGTCAAGTCCAGAAAAACATCTCTGCGTAATCTTCGAGGAGAATCAACGGCGAGTCGTAAAAACCCGAAGATATTGCCATGATTCGCTTGGCCGCCGGAGGAGGAGGAAGAGGAGGAGTTGCTTCGATGAACCCGAGTTTTGTTTTCCACCATCAATGTCGCTGCTGTGCGGAGAACGATATGGCGGATCTGTATTTTCGTAAGCACAACCCGCTCTCAACCAAGACATTTGAGCATTTCATCAGCTTACCAGATAGACCAAGATCCCTTGCATAACAAGCAACACAGCAAATCCCACTGGATGTCTTATAGATTGCCATTCTTTTGTAGCACCACCACTTTTGAGCAGAGAACTGATACCGAGTAGCTTGTCGCCTCGGTTGAGATCTGCTAGTGTGTGCAGTAGATCGTGAGCGAGATGCCCTGTTAGTGTTGTAGGACGATTCTCCATGTTTGATGTAGAGTTGTGACAAGAAATAATGTTGGGATACTCACTCGTATTACTTATATGTAGTTGGTTCATCCGAGGAAGCACCGTCGCGAAGTCGTTGCCTAGAAGTTTTTATCGATGAAGGCGACAGGTGGCTAGAGATATCGGACCTTTGGCTCTTGCATGGATACGAGCTGCAGATGCTGTGTCTCTCTTTCCTTTAGGCCTCTAGAGTTTGTCACACTATCATCGTTCCTATGGCCGAAAGTCGCTTGGGCTATGAATATGCGCCATATGTCAGGCAACAGGACGTCATTTCTTGAGAACCGCGTGCTCTTTCAAGCGGCATGTAGCAAGTATATGTATGGTTGGTCTATGAGTGACACTCCAGATGTTCGTAGTCAACAGTGAGTCACAAGCAACCATACGTCATTTGTAATCCTTCGCATCTTCAACCTAGGTAGGTTATAACCAACACGCAACCTCCTACTATATCCATCTATCTCTAACTAAAAGACGAACTGCCTGTTATTCTATATATCCACAAACCGGCTTTTTCGCTCGAGAGAGTTAAAAAATGCATCTCCGTCGCATAGCCCAAGAACGCGCAAATCTCCAAAACGACCCCCTTCCAACCTGCTCTGCCCGTCTCATCAATGACGAGGACCCATATCACTGGGCTGCTACGATCAGCGGGCCTCCGGCTAGCCCGTATGCAAATCAGAATTTCGAATTAAGGGTCCTGTTACCGGACAATTATCCTCACAATGCTCCAAAGATTTTCCTCACAACGCCGATATTCCACCCGAATGTGTCGAGCACAGGAGAAGTCAAGATGGGGGATTTGGAGCCAGATCAATGGTGTCCAGCGCTTACAATCAGGACGCTGTTGATCTCTGTGCAAGCTTTACTTTCGGATGCGAATTTAGCGGATGGATGTATAGTTAATGAGGAAGCTGCGAGTTTGTATTTAAGGGATATTGAGGAGTTCAAGAGGAAAGTGAGGGAGTGAGATGGGTGTTGATTACTGCGCGAGTGGGTGTTTACCTGCTAAGCTGTCTGGAAAGCGGATGTGTTGATAAAATATCATCTTAGCCACAGACAAGTGGGCAAGGGATGGAAAAAGAGGCTTTTCCGGCGCTTACATTGACAACATCTTTCCAAAAGGGTGAATGTCATTCTCTTTCTGCTTTTGCATTTCCACGATCTATGTCAAACTTGCCAAGAGAAACAGAGACCTTTTACTTTTCCTCGACATCGAGGTTCTTAAGACCCTCCTCAGCCTTACCAACATTCACTTCAGCACTATCAGAGCCTTCAACATGACCGTCGGGTTGAGCAACAACATCCTTCTTGGCAGCACCGGGGAACTTGCTACCCTTGTCCTTCTTAACCTTGACCTTCTTCTCAGGTGCAGGAGGGGGAGGGTAAGCCAGTTTCTCAACCTTCTGCCATTCCTCGTTAGCCTGGAAGTCAGCTTGGATGGGCTGCAAAAGCTTGTTGAGGGCTTCGGTGACAGCAGGCTTGAGGATTTGAGGAGACAGAATGTCCTCGCGGTAGTCGGAGTGCATCTGGGCGATGGAGTTGTAGACGAGGGGTTCGCCTTCTCTGCGCTCGACAACGAAGCGGGGCTCGCCGGTTTGGAGGGCAGAAATAGGGAGGAGGACGAATTCGACGAAGCTGAGGACGCCGTTCTCTTCGACGATCTTGGGAGCAGCGACCTGGGGGAATCATGTTAGCATAAAGTCGAGAAGACAAAAGAGAGATATGTATGATAGACACTTACAGCCTTCTTGAGCTTCTTCTTGACAATCTCGGGACCGTCCAGAAGATCAATCTTTGAGTCAGGGTCGGAGGCCGACATCTTGCCGCCAGTAAGACCAGGGACCATCTGTAAAGTGGAGACTCAATTAGCATTCTCCTCCTAGACTTAGTAGCTATGATGTCGAGTACGTACCGAATTCATCAAATGTGCTCTCTCACGGAATCCAACCTTAGGGAGGACCTCCTTTGCCAGAGCGAAGATTTTTCTCTGGTCGACACCACCGAACTGTGCGTCAACGTCGAGGTACTGCTCGTCCAAGCACTGCATGATGGGGTACTATTCCGAGAGTCAGTTTTGACCATTTTTTTCACATGTCTAATGTAAAGTGTTCGTACAATCAATGCACTCAAAGGAGCACTATCTGTAAAATAGTCAGACAAATTGTACTCGGGAAGATGCTTGACATTACTGACCAGTCTGCTTGACGACTTCGGCGCCTGCCCTCTTTGCGTCGTGTGCGCTGACAATGCTGTGGAGACGGTACTTGATACACAATCAGCGAACTCTATCACTTGTTGAGATTCTTAACCACTTACCATATCCATGTTAAACTCAGGAGTGAGCCTGTATCCGTCAGTGGTGTTTTCAACGCTAGTTCAGGAGAATCGAAGAGGCGTCTTCCAGCCAATGATCCTGATGAGGCCAAAGTGCTAAACAACCGAAGTTCCAAAAGGACGAGAATCCGTAACGAAGACTCGCAGTCGTGCGCAGACCAGAATACACGGGCATATGGATCGCTGGGATCACAAGATGTAGACATGATGTGAACTTACTGGTAAGAAGAGCCAAGGACGAACTCGAGCCTGAAAGAGTAGATGTCAGTATATGATGTCGGATAATCCATGAACATATATTCAAATTTCTGACGATTCTTTGACGATCGTCTGACACAACACTCACTTCTCGATCGAGACACCGACGGCCTTCAAAAGACTTGTGATGCAGTGGCGGTAGCTGTGAAATGGTCAGATCCAGACAGAAATCTGTCCTCTGAGCGGGGCTTACTATTCAGCGCGGAACTTGACGAGCTCAATGGGAGCCTTGAAGATAGTCAGATTTCTGCTTCCAGATGTGCGAGTTGTTGGGCAATCACCTTCAAGTTGTCGAGAAAGCCATGAATCTTTCGTAATGGTTAGCAAATTGCAGGTACTGAAAAATTCAAATTGACATACATCGGCAAGCAGAACCTTGACGCGGCATCCAGCACGAAGGAAAGAAGCGATCTGTGTTGCAGGCACTAGGTATCCACAATGAGGACTTCACGGCGAATTAGTAAAACTCCTCCGAATTCTAGCCACTGCACCTACCGTCCGGTTGTTGCGGTTCCCCAGTACAGAGATACGGTTTCCTGTTCAGAGCTCATCAGACAGGCTTTGTAATCATTGATCTGATTATTGACATACGCCTTTCTCAAGCTTGGCCTTGATAATGTCGGCGCCAAGCACTTCCTGGAGATCCGACACGACTACATGAAAACCATCAGTAGACGTTGATTAGATGAAAGAGGTTTCGCGACGTTTAGATTGTGTTGTGGAGAGCGGAGTGGATTGAAATGGGCGACTTTTTGAGAAATTGATTGTCTAGGAAGGAGCGATTGACGTACTCAGGTCGAACTTCTCCTGGGGAGTCTGAGGGTTGATGTTGACGCTGGGCATTTTGATGAGTCGCGCGGTCGATTGAGCAGCGGTAAATATGTCAAACACAGACGACAGCTGTATGGCGGCTCCAAAAAATTGCGGCAATGAGGTCGACCGAGGAGAATGCCAAGAAGTCGAAACAAGTGAGTCAAGATTGTGCAGTTATGTATGGAGCGCACAAAAAATGCGGCGAGTTGTGCTTGAGCAGCGGAATGTCGCGCGAGTCGTGTACGCGTAACGGGTGCAGGTCAGGGACATGTTCATCATAGACCATGTTGGTGAACAGTTACAGCCGTTTCAGGAGCTGTCGGAACATTTCTTTCATTATAATCTCCCATGAGAGAGAATGAAACACTGCCGTCTCTCCTGTTTATAAGTACACTCGCATGAACGACAATGGCCGATACGCAGCACGCGACAGCGAATCCGCCGCTTCCCATACATGACGCTATGCAGAACATCAACAATAGCCATTTCGAAGAGCACGAAACGCCTGTCCATGACAGAGTGACGCCAATCGAGGAGGGTGATACGAAAGCCGATGTCAAGCAGTCGGCTGCAGAAACAGCGACAGCTGCGAGTATACAGCTTCAGGACATGGCCGACAAAGCTCTACATTTCCTCTCGCACGCAAGCAACGAGACCCTCGGAGCCTGCATTGTCGGTCTGGCCGCCACGACCTACTTTGTTCTGGGAAGAGTTGGCCTCGTATTGATTGGTATCGTCGGTGGCGTAGCACTGCATGCGACATGGGAGGCTTCTCACTCTTCGCCCGATAGACTTGGTGTGAGCGAGGCTGAACAGAAGAAGCGACGAGAAGTTGGTCTGGACGTCGTACACCGTCTCTTGTTGTCGAGGGAAACCCAGAAGAACAAGCCAGAGGCGGACGAGTCGGACGACCAAGTCACACCATTGGCTTCGACCAAGGCTGACTTCTCGTCCTTCCGTCCTGACACGCAGGCTGCTCTGAATGTCTTTACCAATGCCGTCATCCGCGATTATGTCAAGTACGCAACCCCGTCTCTCTCGTTCGTCTCTACCCACGACTGACAGTAATACAGCTGGTGGTACTCGCCTGTTCTCCCTGGCGAAGACTCGTTCCCTTCTGCCTGCCGTCAAGTCCTTGTCGGCTTCATTGTCTCACTCTCCAATCACCTGTCCCGCAAAAGACCGGTCGACACCTTCCTAGATTTCGTTACCAACTCCTCCTCGATCGTCATCGTCTTCCTCAATGAGCTCGCCGCCGCCCTCAATGCATCGCCCAACTCTACCTCCGAAGAAGCCGTTCACGCCTACCTCGAGATGAAGCCCGACAGCAGTCTCGCCAGCATCATGGACTCCAAACATCAAGAGAAGAAGCTCAAGGTTGTCGCAAACGATATTCTCCTGAAATACCTCGACAACAAGACCTACATGTGTGCCCCTGCTCAAGTCTTCCTCAAGCAGGTCCTGGCCAAGTTGGTCCTGTCCATGACCGTCGACAGCTGCTCAAAACCCGAATTCATCAACCAGTGGATTGTCTACCTGCTTGAGGATGGCGAGCCCGAGTTGATGGAGGTCATTGACGCTGGCGTCGAGGGCTCTGCCGTCGTCAACAAGAAAAAGGTCTCTATGGACGAACAGCCAGAAAAGCCCGCATCTAGCCCTGAGACCGTCCGCGAACACAGGCGCAAGGCCAGCCGCAACAGAGCTGAAGAGGCCATGGACGAAGCTATGAAAGAAGCGCAGAGGCTTAGTCAGCTGATTGCTGAAGAGGATGCGAAAAAGTCCTTGGATGAGCCGTCTGCTGTTGTCAGCAGTGGCGACATATCAGAGACTACTACTCAAGGCATCATGACTCCTTCGTCGTCCCAAGGAGATGCCGATGAGAGCTCCAAGCCGGATGCGTCCAAGTCCTCACCCACTGGCGATTCCACGAGACAATCCGAGGACACGAGGAAACCTTTCACCAGTTTCGACCAGATAGTCCCAGTCACAAGCCCTACCGCTTTGGTCAGCCAGGAAGAGAGACTACGTCTCAAGCCACCGCCTGTCTTGACTCTGTACAACGCTTCAATCAACATTTTTGATGATGCTTCTCCTGGAAACAATACAGTTATGCGATCAAAACCCAATGTGGACTACATGATCCAGATCGAGCCCACGTCGTCGAGCTTCCCTGGCTGGATGATCGTTCGCAAGTATACCGACTTTGAAACTCTGCACGAGGTTCTTCGTCGCATCTCTGTTATCACCGGCACTCGCTTCACCGACTCTCATGCCAATCTGCCTTCGTGGAAGAACAACACCAAGCATGCACTCCGCAATGATCTGGAACGTTATCTGAACGATGCAGTTCGTCTGCAGCCTCTAGCCGAGAGCGAGGGCATGAAGCGATTCTTGGACAAGGATGGCGGTGCTTCTCGTTCGCCTGGCGGTAGCAAAGGCTTTGGCTGGCCGACGCCGGTTGCTTTCGATCAAATGGGCAAGAGCATGATGGATACATTGACCAAGGCTCCTACACAAGTAGCCGGAGGTGGAAAGGCGATCTTTGGCGGTGTTACTAGCATCCTCGGTGGCAAGCGTAATTCTGTCGCCACAAACCACAACGCCAGCCGCTCATCCATCTCGTTGAACCCTGCCAACTTCCTCGAGGACAGCTATATGGGTAGCGTGAGTAATGCTGGTGTCGAGAGACAGAGCACCGACAGTGTCAGAAGTATTCCTGCACCTCTGTCGCGCACTCCATCGATGACGAAACGTGTCCCACCAGCTGCTCAGTCTGGTCACAAAGTCGACCAATCAGTCGACTGGAAAACAAGACCTAGCTTCTCAACTCCTCGTACTTCCTACCAAGGCACAAGAAGTGGAGAGCTCAGTCGTCCCTCGTCTTCAACAGGTCTGGCAAAGCTTGACACGGGACTCCATCTCCCTCCTCCACCTTCGGATATCCCTGACGACTATGCCTCCCCAACAGCAGTATCGCATCAGCCTAGCAGAATCAGCGACGATATGACGTACAGCTCTCCTAACACTCGCACACCTGCCTCAAGGTATCCCACTTCTGGCATAAGGTCACGACGCACGTCTAGATCTCCAGAAGCCACTTCAACACGATCGGCGTCGATAGCGGTTCCAGCAGCAGCTCCGACTGCAATTCCCGCCGCCGCCAAGACAACCAAAGCCACACCGCCGATCTCAGAACAAGAAACACAAGTAGCAGTCGAACTCCTCTTCGCCGTAATCACCGAACTCTACACTTTGTCCTCGGCCTGGAATATCCGCCGCACCCTTCTCAATGCCGCAAAGTCATTCCTCCTCCGACCTGGCAACCCCCAACTCGAAGCCATTCGCCAGCTCATCCAGACCAACGTCATTGAAACCTCCACTGCTGACTCCTCCATTGCCGCTCATATCCTCAAGATTAGAGAAAACTCATTGCCTACTGAAGATGAGTTGAAAGCGTGGCCGAAAGAGATGAGTGCAGACGAAAAAGAGGCATTGAGAGTGAAGGCCAGGGCACTGCTTGTGGAGAGGGGTATGCCTGCTGCGTTGACTAGTGTCATGGGTCAGGCTGCTAGTGGAGAGGCACTGGGGAGGGTGTTTGATTGTTTGCAGGTTGAGGGGGTGGGGAGGGGTGTTGTGTTTGGGGTTATGCTGCAGGCGTTGAGGGCGATTGTGCAGTAGAGAGTCACCTGCGCAGAGACATCCCGCTGTCCTTGTTTGCAGGTCACGAGTAGGTGTAATGATAGACGTGGCATGAAAGTATGAGTATGAGTAGAATCCACTGGACTTGATCAAGTGTCATGGTACAAAATTTCATTCATTATTAGATATTAGAGCTTGTTGTGAAAATTGTTTCTACATCATATCTATACAACTCCTTCTCTGGACTTTGCTCTGCTTTACATTCTGTTCTGCTTCAAGAAGCTTCCAATAAACTTGTAAGCATCCAAGGCAGTGTAGTGCAAGTTGAGACCATGTCCAGTCAAAGGAGCCAAATAAGTGCCGTTAGCACTAGCAGCAGGGTATAGCATACTAATAGCAGCCTCAGCCTTGTTCATAGGATAACTGCAATTTCCATAGCAAAAAGGCAAATCAGCATCACCATTCACAATAGCAACCGGACCAGTGAAATTTGAGGCGACGCCAGCGATGGCGGCTTGAGTAAACAGTTCGCCGAAAGTAACGCTACCTTTCGAAGCTTCAGCTGCAGCAAGCACCAAAGGCGAGAAATTAGGAGCGCGGAAAAAGCCGTATTGGTTGCTGATTGCAGAGTAAGAGACCAGGTAACCATTGTTCAGAGTGCTGAAACGGTAGGGTTGGTTGATGGATGCGATTTCCAGGTTCAGAGATGTGAGGAAAGGAGCAATGGCGCTTTGGTTGGTGGAAAAACCGGTTAGGATGGCGGCATCGAAGGTGGAAGGGTGGGAGTGAGTGACGCTTTGGGTGATCGCTGAGCCGAACGAGTGGCCGACGCCAATTACAGAAGTAAAGTTTGCGTTGGCGAAGGTGCTGCTGCGGAGCATGAGAGCGAGTTGGTTGGCGATGCTGACTTCTAGGGGTCCTTGGACGGTGGTGATGGGGTCGGGGGTGGAGGATTGACCGACACCCAGGCGGTCGTAGCTGAATGTTGCGTAGCCCTGCTCGATGGCATAATCGACGTATGAGTAGCCGGGAGCAAAGTCCCAGTAGTAGCGATCGAAGCCGATACCATGAGTCAAGAGCTGCACAGAGCTAGGCATGGTGCCGTTGGCAGGCATACACAGTGTGGACGCAATAGTGTAGTTGCCAGAGATCATCTGCATGCCTCCCATGATTTGCTGTGTGAAGGTGGAACCCTGGGTGATGAGCTCGAGGAAAGTGTTGGTGACTTCGGATTCGTTCTTAGGAAGGTCGAAGTTGAACTTGACGTTCTGGGCAGAGGCTTGCACGGCGACATTTCCGGAGACACAGATAGCAGCACCTCCGCGAGAAGGCTGGATGGTAGGGTTGGTAAAGCCGGCGGTGTTTGGTGCGCAGAGGCCAGCGGGGATGGCACCACCGAAGCTGGCGGTGTAGTCGGCGGCAGCTAGGCCAGCGAGAGCGAGTAGAGTCAGTCCAGACATGTTGAACGATTGAGTGGTGGATGGATGTCTTCAAAGTCAGGACGAGCCATGGTGTATATGTAGCTCATGAATTCAAGCTCTGGATGTGACGTCGCTGATGAATTGACAATGTGATATGATTTGGAATCTAGAGCCTCAGCAACCAATGGTACACTACATTTGTCGGCGGAGGTCCTCCGTGAGACATGGGATTGATATCCGCGTAGCACGGAACCATCAGTGACGTACCGTGATCCATATGGGGTCGCAACGGGAGCTAAAGGTTATGCTCTTTTCGACCTCGCCTGCTGCTTGTATACACAAAGTCATGCTCATATAATCTCTCTTTATTAGTGTTCTGCAGCTTTGACCGAATGTATACTGTTGGGCTGTACAAGAGATTATTGTCAGACATAACTGTGGGTTTTGCAATATATTCGTGAATGTTTTTATGACGAATTGAAGTTGTGATCGACTTCCGCGGCAAAACGCGGAGAAGGGCATCTTTCGATCAATCGATAAAGTTGAACGACTCGACATTTGTCAAAGCCAAGTGCGGTGAAGATGAACATGCTGTACCTGGTATGCATCAAAGAGACACGCAGCGGAATTGACAAATCGATGTTGCTGACATGGGATTGTACATGGACATTGCGAGAACGGGTTTGTCGTGACAGTCGTGATATCGTGATATTCGTGTGCTAGACTGAAGAGACAGGAGCTTAAGAAGAACGGTCTGCGGACGAGTGATGAGATAGTTAAATGTAACGGAACATGTTATTCTTGACGGAGCGCTTCATGGAGACGGGTTGGCCATCTTCATACTCAATACCAGCATCACCACCGTCACCAGAGTGGCCGGCCATTTTCTGACGAAGCTCCTCGTCCAATTCGGCCAGAGTCTTGTGCTTTTTGGGCTGCTCAGATTGAGATGTCGGTGTTGACTGCTTTTGTGTCTACTCATGTTAGATTCTTAGACTATCGAGTTGGAATCATCAGTGCGACTCACGCTTTGTGCATCTGTCGGAGAAGAGGCGGATTTAGGGTTGGAGCTAGCCAGACGAGTTTGCCTGAGGCATGCTGCTCGTAGAGGGCTTGATCGTGAGAGAGACCTTTGCGACGACTTGAGTAGTGATAACGACATGTCTCTGACTATGTGTGATGCAGAGAAGTGAAGTTGAGCTCTCGGTATTCTTTGATTTCGAAGGGCCTCTTTCCTCGTCGCGCTGAGATTCAGACGTCACCACCAAGTCATCGAAGACTAAGCCGAAAGGAGATGATTCCACGTGACTCAGCGATAGTTCAGCCTTGGCATTCGAAGTCGGGAGTTGCGCATTGATTGCTGGAGACATTATTGTCACTCTCGCCGTCATTCCTTTCACATCACCGCCAGCATGCCCGTCGTCAAGGGAGGAGTCTGGACCAACATCGAGGATGAGATTCTAAAGGCCGCCGTCTCCAAATATGGTCTTCAACAATGGGCTCGAGTCTCTTCGCTGCTTGCGCGCAAAACTCCAAAGCAGTGCAAGGCAAGATGGTCCGAATGGCTGGATCCTGGTATCCGAAAGATCGAATGGACCAAGGACGAGGATGAGAAGCTCCTGCACCTGGCCAAGTTGATGCCCACCCAATGGCGCACCATCGCTCCCATCGTCGGAAGAACTGCCACACAATGTCTGGAGCGCTACCAAAAACTGCTCGACGATGCAGAGTCACGCGAAAGTGATGAGTTCGGTCTTGGAGGTCCTACTGGAGGTGAGGCCGCCGCGCCTTCAGCCGAGGATGTGCGCAAGTTGCGTCCAGGAGAGATGGATCCCGACCCGGAGAGCAAGCCAGCCCGCCCCGATACTATCGACATGGACGAAGATGAGAAGGAAATGCTGAGCGAGGCTCGTGCTCGTCTGGCCAATACTCAGGGAAAGAAGGCAAAGAGAAAGGCAAGAGAGAGACAACTCGAGGAGTCAAGACGTTTGGCTGTCCTGCAGAAGAGACGAGAGTTGAAGAATGCTGGAATCAACATCAAGGTCGTCACAAAGAAGAAGGGTCAGATGGATTACAATGCCGATATTCCCTTCGAGAAGGCCCCGGCTCCTGGTTTCTACGATACCGGAGAGGAAATGACAACCAACGAACGTGAACGCGACGCTTTCGACCCCCGCAAGCAGCAGCTTCAGCGCAAGAGACAAGGCGACCAGGATGACAACACCGAAGACCGTAAGCGCCAGAAGAACGACAAGGGCGGAAACCAGGCCGCTTTCGCTGCCGCTGCAAAGGCTGGACGCGAGCAAAAATTGCGCGAGGCCGAGCGCAGCAGTAGACGTCGTGGTCTCGTCTTGCCTTCTCCTCAAGTCAGCGAGAGCGAACTCGACGATATTGTCAAAATGGGTATGGTGGGAGAACGCGCAAATCTACAAGCCGGTCAAAGCGACAACGAGGCTACTCGTGCTCTGATCGGAAACTACTCGGACGTCGTCGGTTCAACACCTCTTCGTACTCCCCGCGCCCCTCAAGAAGAAGATCGTATCGCCAATGAGATTCGCAACGCCAGAGCAAGAACAGAAACCCAGTCTGCTTTGTTGGGCGGTGACAACAACGAACTCTATGAAGGAGATGCCACAACTGGTTTCGGAGGTGTCGCCCCGAGTAAGCAGGCTACTGCTACCCCGAATCCTATGGCAACTCCCTTCCGCAACGGTGTCGCCGCAACACCCCGTGGCCCTGGCGCTACTCCCCTCCGCACACCTCGCGACACATACGGCTTGAATACTGGCGATGGCATGCAGATGGTCGCACAAACACCCCGAGACCTTCGCTTACAACAAAATGCTCTTCGTAGTGACATCAAGAGCAAGCTATCCGCCCTTCCCAAACCAAAAGAGATGGACTTTGAGCTTGAACTGCCCGAAGAACAACAAGAATTCGCTCCCGAAGCTGAGCTAAGCGAGGAAGATGCTGCACGTCGTGACGCCAGAAACAAGGCGGCACAAGAAGCACTTGCGAGAGCAGAGTTCAAGCGTCAATCACAAGTCATTCAAAGAGGCCTACCACGACCGAGTGTGGTTGATGTGGATGCAATGCTCAATAACGCTACAAACGACACTGACCCTATCAAGAGGGACATTAATCGTGAGATGGCGTTGCTCATTGCCAATGATGCTCTCAAATTCGGCAAAGCCAAGGTTAGAGGTACACCAAAACCCACAACATCTTTCTCCGACGATCAAGTCCAACGAGCACGTCTCGACATCGCCCTGGAAATGGGCAAAGACGAGCGAGGACGTGCTTTGTTGGCAGAAGGCTTTGGACAGGCTTGGGAGAAGGCACACGAACGAGGCATGCTTCCTGGTCTTGCTGGTTATGCAGAAGACGAGGTCGATGAGCACCAACTAATGACGGAAGCCTTTGACGTGAGTTTATCCACTGACTACATATTGCCGCTTACTAATCTTTCATAGCATGTTCAATCTCGAATCATCTCATCTGCCGAAAAGGGCAACACATTAGAACAAAGACTTGTCAAGCTTCAGACGGGTTACATGCTTAGATCAAACATGCTACGACAGAAGATCAACGAAGCAGCGGACTTCTTAGCCAAAACGAGTATCGATGTTGACGTCAAAAGGATTGCAGCGGCTGCTGAAGAGGCTGGCCTGAACGAGAGGCTCGACAAGATCCGCGACGAGGTAAATGTTGTTGCAAGGCGAGAGAGGGAGGCACAGGGCACATTCAGGGAGAGGAAAGAAGAGCTCAACTCGCTGTTGACAGCGTAGAGAGTCCTATCATAAGCTTGGGGCTTTTGGAGACTCGACAAAATTTTGTATCATCTGTATACCCAGAACACGCCGACCATTCGTGTTGGATTTCATCATCTTCCCAGACCATCTTGATGCGTACACAATTTCATCGATTTCCAGGCAGCCACCTGATAACACCTTCCTTGTTCAGCGCTATACACAATGATGCTTACTAAGCTATCGCTGACATCGAGTGCCCCACTTCCGTTTGACGACATCTCTCTACCTCTCTATACCATCAACAGAGCAGACTAGCATCGAAGATCCAGTTCTCTCTCAAGTTTACAGAACCGGCGTCACGACTATGACCTCAAAAATAATCTACCACGATCTGACATCTCGAAAATGGCCCGTCTCCTGGTCACCATACACAGTCCGCACAACTCTATCTCTAAAGCTCTTGGGACTCCCCTACGAACACCACGAAATCTCTTATCCAGATATCGCAGCGACCCTCACTTCTCTGGGAGTAGAGCCCGAGCCTGAAGACGTCGGCGAGGAGATTCAATATACACTACCCGCCATCACTATCGGCAGCGAAACAATCATGGGCTCACGCGCCATTGCTGAGAAACTTGCTTCGCTGACACCAGAATACGAGAAGAAGTTGTTTCCTCAAGGCGGGCAATCGAGAGATGCAGTGGAGCGATTTGAAAAGGAAGTGCTCCCTCAAGTCGCGAAACGTATGGGTGGGATGAGAAAGCATATCATCCCATTTGTACCTCTGTTTCTCGATGACAAGGGTGCCGAGTATTTCCTCAGAACTCGAGAGAAGGAACTAGGTAACCTCGGGGCTGCAAGAAATGTGGCATTGGAGGAGGAAAAGGAAATAGGATGGAAGGGGTTGGTCAAAGAGAGTGCAGCACCGATTCTGGAGTTCTACAACAGTCTGGATGGAAGCGCCAAGAATGGCGTATTTGCGTTTGGCGAGAGCGATCCACAGTATGTCGACATCTGTGTTGTTGGAATCTTGCAGTGGTGGATCTGTGCCAGAGGAGCGAAAGAGGTAATGGAGGGCTTGGAGGAAGCCGGAGATGGAAGATTGGCGAAAATCGCTCAGCATTGCGCCCGTCTGCAAGGAGTGGAGGAAGCCTTGGTCGGAGGACGCCAGTGAAGAACATTGGTATGTCTTTGCTTGCATGTGATATCATGATAGTCTTGCTCATACTTGCGACAGTTGTTCTTATCCATCTTTTCTCGTGCCACCTTATGCCCATCATTGCTTTCCGTGCACTACAATATCCTCCATGGCGACCATACTGTCATCCTCAGCTTTCTTCATTCTCACTGCAGGCCTCTCGAATGTACTCGACCCACGAACGAAGTAATAAACCGCCGCAACACTCACCACCGCAAGACTGACAACCACACTCCAATTCATCGATTCTGCAGAAGAATGCCGTGCTGTCGGAAAGTATGCAAAAACGAAAGCAATCGTGACGAAACACAATGCCAACACATTAACCAGATATCCAAAAGCTTGTGGATATCTCCAACGAGCTGCAGGAAGCGGTACGCCGCTCCATCGCCTATAAAGCATAGTTGCAGTGGTTGTACCGTATGACAGCAAAAGCCCAACAATGGTGATTGAAGTTATGTTCTGGAAAGCGATGCTTGACCTGCAAATAATCCACGACAAGACGAAGGTGACGCCGAATGTTGCGAGCAGCGTATTGATGGGTAAACCAGTCCTAGCATCAACTTTTGCCAAAGTATTCGAGAATGGTAGGCCGCCGTCTCGAGCAAAAGCAGATAGCTGACGCGAAGAAGCCGTGACTGCATTGATGGCCGTGCAGAAGAACAGAACCAGGATGAGTGCAGTCAGAATCGTCGTTGCGGTCTTTGATCCAGTAGCAGCATAGATGACCGCAACATAAGACTATCCAGTCGCATCTGCAATGCTCTGGTCAAACCTCGAGGAAACATACATGACGGTGACAGTCATGATGAAGCCAACAGCATAGTTCACCAAAGACGTAAACACCATCGACAACGGCAATGTCCTCGACGCATCCCTAATCTCTTCGCCCAGATGCACAGTCGAATCGCCTTCGATAAGCGTCATGGTCGGTCCCAGTAGACCAACCAAACAAGCGGTTCCTACACTTCCCCAATCCGCATTGTCTTCGAAGGTGAAGAAGACATCGTGCATACTGCTTCTTTCACCCATCAACCACAAGGGGATGGGAACTGCGAAGAAGCCTACCACATGGAGAGCCAACATCACTGCCTCCAGAGATGATAAGAAGCGGATACCGTAGATATTGTCTACACCCCATGATTCTTTCTGCCTTTAGGATATGGGACGCTTTGACATATAGTAACTGTCACGACCGGCTTAGATCAGCGATCTTCTTGGTCCCTAGTGTGACAGAAACAACTTTGTGTAGCTTGTCGATATGCAAGATCTCATTCTAGATAGTACCAGAGATTCGAGTGCCTTGTACGGTATCAGCACAAGTTCCTACCTCTTGCTTATCCCCAGACGTAAGCTTGAGGGGAGATACATTACGAAGAAGAATGATTGTCTCTCTGGTGGCAGAAAGTCGCGCCCGTCAGATATAATTGGTTCAACCTAAACCTATTACCCTGGCAGATCTGGCAAGCTCTTTCATCAATCGTGCAAAACTCTCCGTCAACGGAGGGCACATGGTATGTTTTTCCTCGGTCGTACTTTCCGTCAACACACGTGCCATCATCTGCATTATTTTGCTCGCTTTGCGCAACGGCAAATTTGCAGACACTGTAGAGTCATGTTGACTTGCTTCCGAACATGCCGAGTCGAGTAGACAGGGTTCTCCTTCGCCGAGATTGATAAAACGCCGTGTCGTACTGTCATGTTCCTGGTCAAGGCGTACGATACTCTTTATCTGTAAAGCGGTATCTGGTATTGCGTCCCGTTGATGACATATACTGCTTATGATGCCGTAGGCCCAGAAAACCAGACTGGCGTGATAGATGATCACCACGCGCCACTCTCGCATCGGTCTCGTGGGAAGCTCCTGCGCAGCTCGGACCAATTGACCAGCATGCCAGACCGCTCGTCTTGCTGATTTTGACTGTGTCCATTCTTCTAGCATGGGGTAGACGCGTTGGGCGGCTGCCACGCCGTATTTGCCTGCAAACGCTTGGAGCGACTGTATAGGTGCATGCAACACCATGTTCAGGAATTCTTGAGTCAGGGCCGTGTCTCCGGTCAAGAGGCTTGGTTCCAGTGTGAACGTCGACTCGATTTCCTGTCGGGTCTTGTTGAGTAGCTTAGACAGCCCTTCGCCACGCGAAGGAAGCAAGCAAGATGCATCGCTACCGTCTGAAGTCGTGATTCGTAACAAATCCTCGACTTCGCAATGTCCCCAGATGAGCCTCCACATTCCATGCAACAAGATGGTGTTGCGCCATATAGCATCACCGTCTGCGCAGCGACTGCCTTCGCTCATCACCGTTCGCATGTCCTCTGCCAGTGAGAGCTCAGGACGTGGCCGTTTGTGTCGCGTGTGCTCAAGATAGAAAGCTTTCCAAGTTATGGCATTGGTGGCTGACCAAAGATCGTTTCGCTCGGGATAGGACAGTGACAACTCCGCGAACGACATCGTAGGACTTGTCATGCGTGTCATGGATATCTGCGCGTCGAGAAGAAACGTCCGGTAACACAGTCTGACATGTCGTATTAGTGCTAAGCCTTCGAATCGGCGGAGTTGCAGGGCTGGTGATTACCGTTTCCTCGACTCTTGCTGTACCCATGCCACCCACTTTTGATGCAACTGCATACCCTCGTCGGTCTCTTGGGGCTCAATGACAGGATACACGTCTTCGCGGAGCCACCCAGCTCGTCGTATAATGGTAATACTGGGACCCGTAGTAGACTCTGCTATTTCCATCATACACTTATTGCCACTCCAAATCGCCAGGTCCAGTACAATCACTAGTGAGTAGTCAGAGTCCCTTCCGTAGCAGAACGAAGATCGGGGATCCGGAAACTTACGCAGTGCTTGTAGGAGTTGCAGATCTCGCGATAGACTATTGTCGCCATGCCACTAACACTCAGATCAATATCTCATGCCTGAAGTGCACACAAGAGTCTTGTACTAACGTTGTCAATCACAGCGGAGCGCACAATGTCGATCATTGCATAGCCGAGCTTTGTCATCACTTCGACAGGTGTCGAACAAGCCCCATGAGCAAGCACAGCAGCCAACAACTCAGGACGCAACGTGGTCGGATCGAATGTAGGTACATGGATCCACGACTGGTGACTAGAGGTATGAGATCGTAGGAAGCGATGAACAAGCCCGTTCAGCGAACCGATTGACGGAAATGTCGAAACCATCCTAGCGAGATGTTGCTTTGAGCAATAAGTCAACAAAAGCCCCATGATCCTTTCACGATCCGTGAGCCCCATTTGCTTGGCCGAAAAGTCGGCGTCTGGCTGGGGTATACCTTCCTGATGCGCCCAGTCATGGGGTAGTGAAAGACCGCCATGCTCCGCAGATCTACGATCTTGAGAACTCGGAGACCAGTTCCATCCCGACTGTTCAAAGGCATTTGCAGCCGCATGAAAGGCTTTTTGCTCAAGCGTGTTTTCTCCAGGACGAGTCTGCGTTGTGAACGTATTGATGTTTGTTGGTGGCGATAAGCTTTTAACATCGACCATGCCTTCCAAGCTCATATTTGCATCAAGATAGTCGTCCCAGAATCCAACACCCAGATCCTCAGCGGACATGAGTGGTGGATACATGTTGTCCGAAGCACCGTTGTCGATTAGACCCTTCAAGAAGTCTGCGTACAACTCGCTAGTTTCTGTGGCGTTCAACTCAGAGGTCGGCGTAAGCGGCACCGCGAAGCCACACGACGTGATACTCTGACTGTCCAGCGAGGGCATAAACGAGAGAGAATCTGTCGCGCTGTCAGTTGTAGTGGCAAGTAATGCTGCATCCTCCGAATTGACTGCAAGCTGTGGCTCATCAACTTCAGTTGGCAAGTCGAGCTGTCCCAGAGCCGAGACATCTGACATTTGTTGCGACACATCCCGCGATTCCCGATCGGCCGTGTCCTTATCTGGAGAGAGCTCGGGATCTTCTGAGCAATCAACCTCACATGTGATGTTCTTGCTCACACATCGACGACAGGGCTTGCTGTCAGTACATTTGATCTTCGAAGCAGCACATGGCTTACAAGCCTGGCCGACTCGAGATAACACTCCACTGTGACACCCAGAGGCTTTTGGGTCGCCGTAGGGAGCATGCCGACAAGCGTGACGCTTCAAGAGATCCCTGTTCATCTTAGCTGCAGTCCTGAACCATCAATTGGCGGCCGTACACTCGTGAGAATTTCTTGTCGCAGAACTGGCAAGCGTAAGGTTTTTCTAGGGTATCTATCGCAAAGTCAATGAGAAGACGACTCCCAGGTCTCATGAAGTCAACCCACGAGTACGAACATGCCGCGAAAGGTGGTCTATTCGAGAAAATGCTCGTTGGCAAATAGTGCATTGAAACAAGGGTGTGGTAGCTGGTACCGTCTGAGGTTCGGTGACTTGAGGTGATACCATGATACTTTTGTAGCTATTGCAGAGCGATTGCAAGCTCGACAAGGGACAATCACTCGATGCAAAGGAGGAACGATGTGAGGTTACCAAGAATGAGGGTCAGGGAACTACGCGGAGTATACTTGCGGGGTTCAGGCTGACCTAACCCAACTTGGTAGGCTGTACCTGCTCGGATAGGGAATTTCGACATCCGGTGCAAGCAGACCTGGAGTGTGGCAAAGCGCCCAGAACTTTTACGAAACGGCACGTGCATGCCAACCATGTTCGACATCTTTCCTGCTGGCAAGTACAGTTGAGCAGGGTGTTGGCTCAAAGTCAAGAGGTGAAATGGCTCGGTACATGATGTACATGGTCGCTGTTTCAATGGCAGACTCGGTCACGGATGGAAAATGTTTACGTGGGGAAGCGGTGATGGTCAGGGACGAGCCGCCAAGGCTTTGCAGGAGTGAGGGGCCGAGCCAGCCGACCATCATGTTCAACATCATCTGGTGTCCTTCTCCAACTATCCCGACAGCCACACGACCATGGGGAATCGCAGTCTCCCAAGAGTCTGCGAGATCGGCTTGCTGATTCGGGACAGTGGTATAAACATCCAACATTTGTGATCAGGTGCTCCTGACATCCACCCACTTCGTCTTTTTACATCATCAAACATGGCTTCTGGACCAATCATCAAGTCGATAGAGCCCTTACACGTCGGTCAATTCCTGTTCGTCCGCATCGAGACCGACAGCAATATTGTCGGATGGGGAGAGGGCGGAGTTTGGGGTCACATTGAGGCCGCAGCAACGGCTGTCACGCGTTTTGCCGAATATCTGGTTGGCAAGCCTGCATTCACCATTGAGCATCACTGGAATGTGATGCATCGATTCAGCTATTTCCAAGGTCTAGCCATCAATGCCGCCATCTCCGGAATTGACATCGCGCTTTGGGATATCAAGGGCAAAGCACTGGGTGTCCCAATCTACGAGCTGCTGGGAGGTGCGTGTCGTACAAAAGCTCGGGTCTACGGACACATCTACGAGAAGACCATCGAGGGTGTCTTGGAAGAGTGCAAGCGAAAGATGGACATGGGCTATACTGCTTTTGGTCACATCAATCCCTTCCTCGACGAAGGCAACGACCAGGTCTACTTCAAGACCCACGTCAAGAAAATGCAAGATGCGGCCGAGAACGTCCATAAAATGCGCGCTGTCGTAGGAGACAAGGTTGATCTGCTCATCGAGTTGCACCGTCGCCTGAGTCCGGCAGAGGCCGTCACATTCACCAACCTCATCAAGGATGACAATCCAATGTTCGTCGAGGATCCAATTCGCCCTGAGAATGCCGATGCAATGGCTCGTGTCGCCGACCGGATCGCGGTACCCATAGCCACCGGCGAGCGATTCTTCACAATCTACGAGTTCCAGGCGTTGCTCAGCAGAAACGCTCTGGAATATGTACGTGTCGATGTAGCAGTATGTGGAGGAATCACCGGAGCAAAGAAGGTCGCGGCCATGGCAGAAGCCCACAACTGTCAAGTCGTTCCCCATAATCCACTCTCACCTGTTGGACTGGCAGCCTGCCTCCAGATTGCTGCGGCTATCCCGAACTTCGCCATACAAGAGTATGCTACTGGTTTTGAAGCTGGTGTCTTCACTTCGACCATTGAACATCTCGGTGCCAACATTGTTGATCATGTACCCGAGGTAAAGGACGGCTTTGTAGACATTCCCACCGGGCCAGGACTTGGAGTTAATGTGCTTGATAACGCTCAATCAATCCGCGCCCCTTTTGTCCAGCCGATCAGCATGAGGCTTCACAAAGATGGGTTCGTTGTAGACCAGTAGTCTACTTGCCGTAATTAGATATCAAATCATGCCTCTCCGAGCTTTTGTACCATATAATGGTGGTATCTATGTTGTGACAAAACCAAAAGGACCTCTCGCCAATGGAGAACCCGGGCCCGTTCGGCCCCCCAGTGATTTTTCGGGACCCTACAGCTATTAAAGGCTCTGTTCAGCGCCAGTTTTATGCTTTGACAGCTTGATTGTGATATGTCTCGCATACTGGTGTTCGGATCCGGAAGCGTCGGGGTGCTCTACAGCTTTCTCTTGCACAAGGCTGGCGCCCACGTCGTCTGTGTATGCAGATCGAACTACCACACTGCACAGCTACATGGTTTTACCATAGCTTCAAGCGTCTTTGGACAGCACTCTTTCCAACCTGCCATTGTCAGATCCGTAGAGGATGCTGTGTCCCTGGATGATCAACCATTCGACTTCGTCCTGGTATGCACAAAAGCAATACCCAAAAGTCAAGCCTCGGTGGCTAAAGCTTTACTTCCGGCCATGACTTCAGATTCGACCTCTTTGGTGATCATTCAGAATGGATTGGGGGTTGAAAAAGAATTCGCACGGCTTTCATTCTCTGGCGCCATTATTTCCGGAGTCACCTATTCGCCGACATCACAAATCGCACCAGGTGTATACTCGCATACAGAGACACAACGACTTGCCATAGGATGCTACCCCGCAGCCGAACACTCGAAGCACAAAGAAAGACTTTTCTCTCTGTCCGCCTTGTTGAAAGCAGGTGGCTCGAATGTCACTATCTGCGAAGACATCCAGATCGAGAGGTGGAAGAAGTTGGTCGGGAACACAACTTGGAATCCAATCTGCGCTCTCTCGAGATGTCGAGACTTGGAGTTGTTGAACACATCATCGCTCGCTTCTGGCTTCGTGCGTAGAGTAATGCAAGAAGTGGTGGCTGTCGCTGCAGCATCTGGGTATGCAGCCGCGATCACTGAGGAAGTGATCGATGTGCAACTACTCAGGAGTTCTGCAAGAGAGTGGCCAGGTGTGGAGCCAAGTATGATGGCTGATATGCTTCTGAGTAATAGAATGGAAGTGGAAGCGATCGTTGGGGAGGTCGTCATGATCGCAAAAGCTCTGGACGTGGATACTCCTCGATTGGAAACGATGTATGTTTTGTTGTCAGGACTCGACTGGTCACTACAAGCTCAACACTAAAACAATCAATGTGGCATATCCTATTTCGCTCAAAGATACGTAAAGCAAGGCCGAGCCGCCACTCGATCGTATTGAGTTCTATCTGTTTTGAGGACACCTCCCCATCTTCTACCACTCATTGGCAATCTTGTATTGTAACTTGCGATACTTGTGGAAACCCAAGAATCGTGGGACGGAATAGGCGTGCTGTGAGACGGTCAGTCTTATGACATTGAAGTAGACGTCTAGCTTGATTTACTTGGAGGATTTGACATCCGCTGAACATAGTCCACATGAACCATCGGATCGCCGCGGTATCGCCACCGATCGCGTACCAGTGTGGATGAGTGACAGCGGATTGATAAAGAGGCACGCGACGATGCTCATGCTCAGGCCACCACTGAGGATTGACATTGGGCTCTTGTCCGGTCGGCTGACCGTTTGATGTCAGGAATGCACCGTCGTCCTGATCCTGGACAGCATTGTCGCTAGGGTCTGCTGCTCTGCCTACGGTTTCCGGACTGTCTTCAACCGCTTGTAGGTGAAGTGACGTAGTGATCACAGAAGTTTGTGACATGGAGGACATGTTCGAAAGGAAAGTGATATGTCGAAGTCGAGAAAGCCAGGAATAATCAAAGCGATGTTGTTCTCTGAAGAGTAATCACAGACGAGTGGGTTCTATTCTTGAGTAAGAGTTGGACCGAACCGCGGGGTTGGTGTGGGGTGCTGGAGAGGAGAGTAAGGGATTGCACAAAATGAGGGGGAGCCGACCCGGAGGTCAGACCGAGACAGATCAGATTTACAAAAGTTAAGAGATAATTGCGACAGTCCAGTCAAGCTTATCCTGCGAAACAACAAGCAGTAACCTCGGAACACAATGACCGCATCTGGACAACTCGATACAGCTCTCGCCCGTGTGCAGAGTGCAGCAATTGATGGGCGAATGCGAAACACCCGCACTCGACAGAAGCAGCTGTCGTCCTTGTTCAAGTCCTTAACAGAACATGCGAACTCCTTCGTTGATGCCATGCAGAAGGAGAACAACCTGAGCAAAGAAGAAGCGAACATCGTTGTTTCGGCCATGCTCCTCGAAGTTCGCCAGCATTACGAGAATATTGACTTCGAAAAAGAGCTTGCCCAGGAATACAGTGTTAGATGGGGCAAGAGTTGGGTAGACAGACGAGTTGCAGCCCGACTCGTTTATATCATCCCCCAGGACTTCACCAAAGGCTTCAGTGTCTTCAGCGCACTTTCGGCGGCCATCGAAGCTGGAAGTTGCTGTGTTGTGGAGGTGAAAGACACCTACTGTTTTGCGACAGAATATCGACTGACCAAGAACGTAGTTACTCAATCTGTCGGATCAGTCTACAGCTCTCATTCGAAAAATCATGAACGCCGCGCTTGACAAAGAAGCTTTTGTTGCAATCTCTTCGACAGCTCCAGGATCCTTTTTGAAACATTGCCTGATGATCGATCAGATGCACCAACCTTCGAGCCCACAGTACATGGGCAAATCACTGATATCGAAGGCCTCGGGCAGGGTTGTGGCAGTGGTGGATCGTACAGCGAAGATTGACTCTGCCGTCAAAGAGATATTCGCTTCTAGGATGCAATACGGCGGCCAGAGTCATTACGCGGTTGATCAGGTCTTCATTAACGAGTTTGTGGCTGATGAGTTCCTAGCCGTGATGCGGGAGGAGTTCTCAGTCCGAGCAGAAGCCATAGACCAGACCGTGAACAATGGGCACGCTCGACCTACACCTTCCAAGAGGCAAACCAAACTCGTGGCAGACGATTGTACTATAGTCGACAGCCAGGGCAATGCGGAAGCAGTAATGGTGAAGCTGAGGTAAGTGACTTTGATAGCTCGAGCTCGCACCATATTAGTCTACTGACCAAAACATAGATCCAGCCAATTGCTGCACGAGAAAATCGAGGGACCCCTTCTCGTGATCCACAAAATCACTAGTCTCGACGATGCAATTGACTTGATCCTTTCCAGAGATGAGCAAGTGAATGCGCTATTCACGTTCGCCGATGGTCCGGAAGCGAAATATCTGTCGCAGTTTATACCTAGCGCGGTGACATTTGTCAACCACATCCCCGCCGAGCTCCTCAGTAAGTTTGAGGTAGAGTACCGATAATCTAGGCATATAGTACTGACATGACACCTAAGTCGGTTCCGCTGGCCCCGTAGGATATCCTGTTCGCCCTGACCTTCGCTACGTCAGAGAGATGTTTGAAGAGCCAAGTCCACAGATCGTACCAGAAGGCAAAATCCATGCAGCCTCGAATGTGTGGAAGCTGCGTAACTCTCCTCGCAGTGCAGCCATATTGGCACATGCATCGAGACCCTTGAGGCCCACAGGTCAAGCTGCAGCAGGTGCGTGGGGATTCTTCGAGACAGGAGTCTTGCTGGGTGCTGCAGTATATCTACTCCCAGTCATACTAGGGACCATTGTTGGCGCCACCTACACTGGCATCTGGACGTATAGAAAAGTCATTGGATAAGGCCAAGCGAGCCTACACTGTTATCCGCTCACGCATATCATCTTCGTACATAGTGCTTAAATCCTATTCCGGCTGACTAGTAAAATCTTGCGAGTACGTAGCAATCTTTTCCAATGACACAGACTCAAAGCTTTTGGTACATATGACGGATTGAGTCGGACTTAGTGCTCACATGTACGAATGAACATAAGTCCGAGGTATTGATGCACAAGTGTTGGTTACTGTAGAGTTTCGGGAATAGTGCAAATGTGCAGTCTGGTCCATGGTTGAGATGTGGGCCAGAAAAGTCCAGTCCCCGCCGGACCTAAACGTGGTAAAGGGAGGGACTCCCCTTCCCGTGGGGTTTGCGGTCCCGACTTCTCCTCATATCTTCGGCGCCTCCTCAGACCAAGCGATCGAATGGGCACAAACGCAGAAATGTAAGACGCGTTCCTCTTGTTAGCAGCAGAATTACCTGAACTCTACGCACATTAAATTCTTCACCCCTGCTTAATGAGCTTTATCCCTCGAGTCGGTCTTCTAACAAATCATTCTTGAATCCCCGCTTCCATTTCTCCAACATGAGCAAGCCATTGAGTGTGACAATCATCGGTGCTGGCCTTGCCGGCCTTCTTTCGGCTCGAGTCCTACGCGAGGACCACAACGTCACAGTTTTGGAACGGTGGTCCGGTGGTAATGAGCATGGAGCCGCCATCAACATGGGTCCAAATGGCTCGAAAATCGCAAAGGCCCTCGGCTTCAAGCCCGAGAACGCTGGGTCTTTGTCAGCGTCTGAAGGTATCCATTACAACGAGAAGGGCGATATGACATTCGCCTCCAAGTTCGGCGATCTTGCTTCCAAGTTTGGTGGAGAGTGGTATTTCCAGCACAGAGCAGACCTCTGGGACGAGTTTCGTCGCTTAGCCACCGCTCCGTCAGAGGATTTAGGAATAGGTGGAAAACCTGCCACCATAGTTTGGGGCTGCGACGTCGTTGATGTGGATGTCGAAAGTGGGCTCGTCACGCTCACAGATGGTCGCAAGTTTGAGTCTGATCTTGTTGTTGGTAAGATATTCCACAATGACAACCCTGATTAACAAGCTTGCTAATGCTTCGTCTCTAGGAGCAGATGGAATAAAGTCGCTTGTGCGTGTCAAAGTCGTTGGTGACGAAGCTTTCCGCACCGCAAGGCCATCTGGATCATCAGCGTTCAGATTCACTTTGCCACGCGACGTCGTAGAGAACATGGACCCGGAATTCAGAGCTATCGACAGGACGAAGCCGGCAATTCTGCAGATCTATGAAGGAGTTGGAAGGCAAGCTGTTATCTATCCATGTCGCAATTTTGATCTGGTCAATGTAGGTTGCATCGCTTCCGACGAGCTCATTGGCCATGAGACGACTGAGTCCTGGTCCGCGACCGGAACTCTGGAAGATCTGCTGAGGGTTTATGAGGGGTTTGATCCAAAGCTTCTAAGCATTTTCAAGTAGGTTTGCCATGGATTTGATGACTCTTGACTTACCTGCTGACATGTTACGTTCCGAAGACAGGCCAAGGACATCCGCCTTTGGCAGCTTCGCGATCAAGATCCTCTCCCGACTTACATCAAAGGCAGGACGGTCATAATAGGTGATGCTGCTCATGCCATGACACCACACCAGGGACAAGGCGGCAACCAGGCCATAGAAGATGCCGAGGGATTTTTCCTCTTCAAAGGACAGCGCATCAATCGCGCATCAGTTCCGAGCATCTTGCAAGACTTTGACAGAGTCCGCAGGAAGCGGGCATCGACTATTCAGATGCACACGCGTGATCAGCACGGCCGCAAGGACCCCAGCAAGATGTGGAAGTACACCCAGTACAACTTCACCTATCCTGGTATTTGCGAGTGTTTGGAAAGACTCAATGCAGGCGCAGAGATGATTGCGATTTGATAGGCAGCTTTAAAACTGTAGATGGTGGAACATGTCCTGCTTTCAGAAGCTTATCGTACCTGTCGGTCATATATGATAGTAAACTAAGATATCTGACAATGCTGTACGTCGTGGCGTCGCCATTTGATGCACGTTCCCCAGCAAAAACACCAGTTTGTCCTCTTTGCTTCTCATGTCATCACCCATGTACGAACGCCATAAGATCACACTAAAGTGGGTCAGGAGGGAGAGTTTGATTGAAAAGCTACTTTCTAGCGCTACCCGGCAATAGCGAAACCTGAAGAAATGATCGGAGCAATCGGAGCAATTACTACCCTTCATACCTTGACTGACGAGGCTGCTTCCCATGATCCGATGGAGAATTGAGATTCGCACTGGCTTCGCTATTCATCACATTTTAGTTGATCGTGGCGGACATCTGTACGAGGAGGACATACCAGTTCCCAGACTTCTGCACCCAGCACACCTTTGGCACCTCTGTCCTCTGGTTCTCCAATGGCGCCAGCCACGAAACACGCGGAGACATAGTGCTCGTCTGTCCCATGAGCATCACGAAAGTATGGGTGCTTCATGAGCCTGCACAAGCCTCTTTTGAGCTCAGGACCTCCGCCGGTTTTGCAGATGACATCTTGAAGTGCTTGACGAAATTCGAGATTAGTCGAGTCCGGAGGACTTTCCATAGCGAACACATCTCTGTACTTGAGGGCATAGTGCCACTCAGTGCGATACAGATTGTGAGTTCCGCCTCCAGAACCAATGATGAGATAGCCCTCTTGGCGAAGTGAACGGACGGCAGTCCCGATTCGAGCGTGGAACCAGGGATCCCAATATGAATTCTGAGAGATAATGACTGTGGGCGGGCACTTGTCACCAAACATGCCTACAAGTGCGATTTCCGAGTCGATCATCCAGTCAAATTGATCATCACCTTCCGCCTCAATTCCTGCTTGATTCAACATCTCAATGACACGCTGTCCTGTCTTTAGATCTGTGTTTGGCTTGAAGTTTTTCCAGATGTCAGGATGAGCGTTTGTCAGTGGCATCATTCCTGGCTGGGGTTTCATGGCGACTTTGATCTGGTTGTCACCAGTGACGTTCCAGTGTGCCGCCTGCTCAATGTAAGCCCGTAGTTCGTTACGAAGTCGATAGAAGGCGAGGACCATCATAATCACTCCTTTGCAACCGTTGGCAAGTGCATTCTGGCCGATCTTTCTCCAGTAATCTCTCACACGAGAGTCGTTCTGGAGCAGAAAAGCTGTCCCGTGAGACAAGAAGTATACTGGAGCTTTCCCATTGACTTGTATCAGCTTGAATCACAATTCCTGGCTCTAGGTTACTTACCGGTCATCGTTGATAGTCCTGATCTGGTTGCTGAGGGAGTACTTGGGCGCGGCGTGCGGCGGTACAGAATCTAATTATGCTGACCTACAGGAAAACTAAACAATGTCCTCTAAATGATTATGCTCGCTCGGTTCGGGCTTCTAAAGTACCGACATCGCGGTGAACAATGTTTGGGGTGTACCGATAGCCCCAGCTTCCCGAGCACGCTCGGCTCCGCATTTGTTCCTCCGCAGCGTCCGTCCCCAACTACGCCATGGCCCCGAACACTTCTCACGCATCTCACTAGTGTAGAAAGAGAGCATGGTTCCCATAATTTTGTGTCTACAGAAACAAAACACTCCGCAATCTTTCGTACACCATTCTATAACCTTCGAAACACCATGCCGAACCAAATTCGCGACATTGCCTCTATTGATCAGGACACTTATTCCTATATTTTCGAGCAAAACATTACAGTGAAGCTTCGTAGTAATACTGGACTTGTGCGTTTGAATGTTTACCGACCCAAAGACGTTGGTAGGGTTCCAGTCATCATGACATACGGGCCCTATGGGAAAGACACCCCCTACGAGGAGTAAGTTTCTGTCTTGGCAAAGACACAAGAGAGGCTCTGACAGATCCAGTTTTCTCGCACATTCATTCCACGACGTCAATCCCAAGCATAAGACTATTCCAGAGCACTCAGCATTCGAGACGCCGGACCCACAGTTTTGGACCAACGAAGGTTATGCCGTCGTGCGCGCTGATGAAGTTGGCATTGGGCAATCCCCTGGTGTGGCCGATACAATGTCAAAGTCCACCACCGATGCCTTTTTCGAAGTGATTGAATGGGCCGCGGATCAGCCATGGTCTAATGGCAAAGTCGGTCTTCTAGGCATCAGCTACTTTGGTGGCAGCCAGTGGCGTGTCGCTGCACGACGTCCTCGGGGGCTTGCGTGTATCATTCCTTACGAAGGCATGGCCGACTATTATCGCGACCGTTGTCGTCATGGTGGTATCCTGACTGCGCCGTTCCTCAAGTTCTGGTTCAACAGACAAGTCAAGTCCAACCAATATGGACTTCCAAACAGGTCCAAAAACCAGCGCGGCCCTGACACTATTGAGGGTGATCTGCCCGAAGAGGAGCTTGAGAACAACCGCCGGGATCAGCTGATCGACAACTCACATAACTTCTTCCGCGACGATGAATACTATGCTTCTCGCGACTACAACCTGGAGGATATTGAGGTCCCCTTACTCTCTGTTGGAAATCTTGGCAACATTGTCGTTCATCTTCGTGGCAATGTCGAGGGCTTCGTTCAAGCGGGCTCTCAGTACAAGTTCCTGCGCCTTGGCTCTGGCAGACATGACCTGCCCTTCTACAACGATGCCGATGTTGAACTACAAAAGAGTTTCCTCAGCGCGTTCTGCAAGGACAATGACTACGCAGGCTGGACTCAGGGCAAGAAGCCAGCAGTCGAGCTTGCGATCCGTAAAACACCTTTCAAGCATGACACTATCGACGCAGCCTCCGGTCGCGCGTTCCAATTCCGATCCGAGGGCGAGTGGCCTTTGGCAAGGACCACTTACAAGAGGTACTTTCTGACACCTGATCTCGAGTTCACGCCAGATCAGCCTGTTACAGCGTTTCACAGGCGTCTATCCTATCCAGCTTTGACTGTACCTGACGACAACATATATGTCCGTTTCATGACTTCTGTCTACGAATCAGACGTGGAAATCACCGGCCACATCGTTGCTCACCTCAATGTGTCTGTCACGCCTGAACTGACTGGAGGCACGCCTAAGGATATTGATATCTTTGTCACCCTGCGTCACTGGGCTGCAGACGGTTCTGAAGTGTTCTACACAGGGTCCATCGGTGACCCGGTACCCGTGAGCAAAGGCTGGCAACGTGTGAGCTTACGTAAGGTCAACAAAGAGCACCCAAACCATCGGGATTACAGACCATGGCGTGACTACTTCTCTACGGACGTTCAACCCGTGATTCCTGGCGAGATATACGGGCTAGATGTTGAGATCTGGCCCACTCAGATCGTCTTGCAAAAGGGGGAGAGATTATCCTTTGAGGTCAGTGGAGGTGATACCCAGGGTGTTGGGATCTTTAGCCATGAGTCAGCGGAGAGGCAAGTGCACATCATGTTCGACTTGTGGAGATATATTGCTGACTATGCCCTGCTCAGATCACCCGAACGCTTCGGAGGCATCAATCACCTCCACTTCGGGCCGAAATACAGCAACTATGTCGTGCTTCCTATCATACCGTCCGAGATATCACCATAGTCGGCGACGTGCGTATTTAAAACGTCTAGTCAGTGCGATAAGAAGAGATCATGTTGTATACTACTGTGTATGTCGTTCTACAGCAATATTCGTACTTATTGTCTCAGAATTTGGAGCGTAATTTTGTCTGATGTCCTTTCTCAAGCTTGAGGGTTTCTCCAGTGCTCCAGTCTTCGGCTCGTATAGTCGAGTGGAAGGGAAAAGTCTACATGCAATTGTAGCATCCTTATGTTGGGGAGGTTTAGATCTGGATGATCACAGATACTTAGCGTTGTCTAATCCCCTCAGTCACCGATAAGCATCTCCATGGATCCATTATTCCTCCACACTGGGATTGAGCCTTTCGATGATGTTACAGATGCTCTGGCCCCATGAGTGGATGACCTCTTGAGATCTTAGAGTCTGATGCTAGCAATCTTTTGTGGTAAACTTTGGTGCATAGGTGTTATCGTGAAAATCCGAGGTCGCAATGTTCGGTGTCCACCTTGCTGTCGACATTTTTGCCCAACGAGATGGTCTTGAAGATACGGAAGACTGGCACAGACACGCATAAACCTTCATGGATTATTCACATGATCTCTCGATCGACTGAGTATCTAGCTAGCTGTCGTGGGAAGTAATGATGCATCGCTACTTTATCGACCCTATTCGTCCAATAGCGTGTAGGCGATCATGGAACCCACATCATATAACTCAGACGATGGGGCCGACGAGACCGGTTCGTGCGCTGAGCGCCGCTAGCAGGTCGGTATGTGTGGGGGAAAGTATGAATGGGCGAACTTTGACTTCGGACACCATCGAGCATACACTAATTCATCTGTGTCTGGCTGGAGACCTCCCCACAAACTTTGTGTGTCCTTGTGGGGAACTACTGCCACCATAGATGTGTCCTCATTCCCTCGCTGAGTTGCCTATATAAACGTGTCTCATCAGCTCGGGCTTCCTGACTCGATCTTGGTCCATAAAACCTTGATACAATATCGAAAGATTCATCACATACATGTCTTCTCAAGCTATGGCAATCGAGATGGCTCAGATCCGTGAAGCAGATTTGGATCGTGTCAGAACGCTTGGGTCAGTTCGCCTGACACAGGTAGGGACGAACGAGCGTATACTCTACCCAAAACCGTCCAACGATCCCAACGATCCGTTAAACTGGTGCGTAATCACAATCGTGTGATCAAGGACCACAAATTGACTGTCACACCAGGTCCAAGGCTTACAAAATCTATCTGATGTGCCTGACCAGTATAGCCCTCATCTTGTCAAACTTCGTGGCCGCTGGACCTTCGATCGCAATCGTAGAACTCACCATCGACATCTTCCACGCGTACCCGCCGTCACCTCTCATACCTGGCTCATTCGCTCCGGCTTCCATCGCCAGATTCTCAAGCAGTATATCCAAGGCCGCATATCTGTTCTCTGCAAATGCCTTACTGCAAGGTCTCTCCAATCTCTTTTGGGTTCCCGTTGCTCTGAAGTATGGAAGAAGAAAGGTATACGTGCTGTCATTCTTACTGTTTGGCGCTACAACCATATGGGCGGCGCGAGCAAACACGTTTGGCAATCTATTAGCAGCTAGATTGGTCATGGGATGGTTTGCCGGCACAGCGGAATGCGTAGCACCACTGACTGTTGCGGATGTTTTCTTCCTGCACGAAAGAGGAACTTATATGGCGTAAGTATGATCAGACCGCAGGGGTTCTTCTACAATTCTTCGGTGCAGAACTAACGAGAGTGGACAGTATATTCGCCGCCGCTCTTGCACTTGGTGCTCCTCTAGGGAGTATAGTCGGCGGTCTCTTCACTCTAAGTACAGACTGGCGAGCGATATACTATCTGGGCACTGGCCTCATCTTCGCATTCACCCTGCTGGCCTTCCTCACGATGCCTGAGACCGCATTCGTCCGTGTGGCGGAAGTCCACGACTTCGCTCAGACTAGCGAAGACGCTGAAAAGTCATTTGGGGCTTCCCAAGTGGAAAGAGCGTCTCCAGATTTTATACCCGAGATCAACAGCATATCAAAAAAGACATTCCGACAGAACCTCGCATTTGCAACGCCTTTGCAGACCAAGGAGTCCTTCTGGAAAATCTTCATCCGGCCTGTACTATTATTGGTACTTCCGCCAGTGATATGGTCTACAATTACGGTTGGGCTTGTGGTGGGAATCGTGGTTGTTCTCTCTGTGTCACTTGCTAATGATTTCCGTACGGTTTATCACTTCGAGACATGGCAGTCAGGGCTATGTTGGGTATCTGTATCGATCGGTACTGCTATCGGGATGCCTGTTTGTGGCAAGTTAACAGACATGACCGCGGATTTCTTCACTGCCAGGTCTGGCGGCATTAGAGACCCGGAACATCGACTACCATTCTGCACCCTTCCTGCATTGTTGATGCCGGGAGGACTGCTTATGTATGGACTAGGGCTGGACCGCCATGTCCATTGGGCTGTACCTGTCGTCGGTCTTGCTATCAGTGAGTCACTCATGTATGAATGAGTCAAGAGCGAGCCTAACAACTTTCGCAGTAAGTGTGGGCATTGTCGGAGGCACAACTGGGGCCATGACCTATATCGTAGATGCATATCGGCCCATTGCAGGAGAATGTGTCGTCTCGGTGATGGCCTTCAAAGGTACGCTACATTTTCTTACAGTATACTGGACGTGGCTGACATATTGTAGCGGCGTTCGCGTTCCTGATCGCGTTCTACACTAATTCGTGGCTTGCATCCGATGGACCAGCAGTGGTGTATGGCACATTAGCCGGAATCGTGTTTGGTTGGCTTGCTCTCGCATTGCCACTCTTCATCTGGGGCAAGCAGCTGCGTGAGATGAGCCTTGATTGGAAAATTGTTCGACTTGTCCAATGGGATTTGGATCGTGAGACTGGTGAGTGATAAAACCTGGGCCACCTAAGTCATGAGTTGGCATTATTTTGCAAGCATACCCCTAGCAGAGCATCCGAAAAAATTGAGACTTTTACGAGACTGTAGAGATATTCCACGTCGCCTTTGGGTGTGATCGTATGTTGTGATGTCTATGTGTCTCAACTCTCCTAGACTGTACAACTGCGTCCAGCGTCGAGACGGAGAGAGTACTGATGGTTGCCAATCTCCGCTTGTGGCTTTGCTGTACATCATGATCTTATTATTATGCTACTCGAAACTCACAGACTTTCTGTCTCTGTACTTTCCATGCAATGTCCAGGAGACTTTCGCTCGCCTCGAACGTGACCTGGACTTTGGACGTCCGCTAAGATCATGACTTGTTCAACTACATACAGTGATGTCTGCTTACAAATCTGTCCCTGCTAGCGACAGACAGCTGAATGATCAATAAAGAAGCTAGCCGCAAATATCGCTGCTCTTTCAGTGAGCCTCAAGCTCTTTCAGGGTGGCGGTCGAAAGCTCTGCCATCTCCAGATACTCCTTGGAGAATAACCACTACAAGATTGGTGTGTAGGCCAAGACGAGGTCTAAATCCAAGTAAGAGGTTATGGTAAGCTGGGGAAGAACTTGCCCAAGAACCGTGCAAACTCGACGTTGTGATTGACGCATTCGACTCGATATCATTCAATGATCTCAAAACCTGCACTGACTGCTCTGACATGGCGTAGATAGACACCATCCAGTGATCGCGCCAGATAGTAGCCATCCTCAATAGCCATACCCATGCCTTAAGCTGCGTATGGCGGCACCGGATGTAAAGCATCGTCAAAGCCAACGATACGTCCAGTCGACCTCTTCTTCGGCGAGGACCGGTTGAAGACTTCCCAGCGATAGACTTGTGTGTCAAAATTGGTGGCATCGACGAAGCGAGTGCTCAAGATTCTGCGGACATGTGCTTCGATATCTGATGGCATCGACTTTCCCTCTCCCGACGGCTCGACTAACCACGATTTCATCATGAAGCATAGGAAAGAAAGAAGCTTGGTATTTCTTGGAATGATACAAAACCTCACATGCTGGAGGGATATCTGGTGGATGATCGTGCCAGGCGAGAAAGACACGAATGCCAATGTGGAATAGCTTGGGATCGCCAAAAGCCTGGCGTGCAACGCCTGATCTGATATCATCTGCAGCGACGAGGACTTTGGCTCTGCAAGTCCATCCGCCTTCAAATTCCAACTCGACTTTGTTATCCTGATGTAATTCCGTGTAGGCAACGAATTTGTGATTCAGACGTATGACACCATCCGGAACCTACTCGAGGATCTTTGCGAAGCCTCCAGATCGCGATATGTCGTAATGCCAGCCTTTGATGCCCATACGCTTCTCAACTTCATGATTGAATGGCATCTCGGCACGCTCATGGCCTTGTTGATTCCTGAACCAGGTGCAGCATAACTTCACAAGATCATCTGCCCACTCACCGTACAGATTCGGGAAATCTAGACATAGCACCATTCAATGGTTCGCGTATTCGGCACCAGCGCAGTCCACCACTGTCCCCGCAGAGAAAAAGGCCCCGGCCCCTGCTACAAACCAGAAGGAGCTTGTCACTGTCACGGTCATTACGAGGTCTGTCCAAAACACACAGATACCGCGTACTTTAAGTGGGGGAGCTTCGGTAGTATTGTTCTCCGACAAAGCTGCATTTGCGTGACCAAGATTCACTGATTTGAGTTCCTCACCATCAGAGCCAGTGGTATCAATGACAGTATTCTTTCCAGACAGCGCAGTAGTTGCTCCCATGTTGTTCGCGTGCCCGTTTGGATCATCCTTCAATGGCGCTGATGAGTACACCCGTAGTGTTTTCGAGTCATATTCGATACCATTTGCTTTCTTGTATTCGGTCCACTCACGGTCGAGCTGTTCGATGCGGCGATGATGACTATTCGTGAGGATACCTTCACTTGCGAATCGCCATATACGTCGAAGCCAGCAACCTCTGCCATAAGCATCATCTAGATACTTGGCATGAGCGTCCGCACCGTACCTTTTGCTGTAGAGTGCCTTGACTATCGCCTCTTCAAATCGCTGCTTGACCTCGACACCGTCTGCATTGAGATGTTCGGCATTCTCTTTCTGGTAGTATTCGAGTGGCATCCAGTCGAAGTCGTTGTCATAGTATGCCTGGACGTCCTCGGGAAGCTCGGCGTCGTCAGAAGCGTCCCAAAGCCAGATGGGAGGTTTCATGGTCAAGACAGGGGGGAGTGCATGAGGGCTGTCCCAATCGATAACACCTGTGATTCGCCAAGGACTTGAAGAATCGCTGTCTGCCTGCTCAACCAGTATGTTGCGTGCTTCGAGATCCCAGTGGTGCAAAACGCTTTTCGAGGGAGCTTTGTCCGCATCCGAGAACCAGCCGATGTGGTCCATATCCTGTAGAATATCTTCCAACTTGAAGTACATGCGAACGAGTAGCTCTGAGGGCCCTTCAGGCTCAACCTTTTGCAACTCCCGTGAAAGAAGGTCTTGCACCGAGAAAGACAGAAGTTCATAGAGGGAGCTTTCGACTGCTTGACACGGCGAGGTTCTCTCGCTGTCCATGAGTGCCCCTGTCTCTTTAGGAAAGCCCCAGATCTTTAGCTTCTCTTTGATCTCTCGGCTTGACGAAGCAAGAGATAGCTGAAGAGGGGTGTCGAACTTCTGATCGCACTGTAACCTTCCAGACGACTCGAATTGGACTTCTTGTAGACGAGCCATAATTCCAGTTAGTTCATCTGCCAGTAGAAGCTGAGATTTGAGAGGCACATCATCTATCACACTGATCCAGGTAACGCCGGGCAAACGAGTCTGTATCGAGTAAGGAAACTTCAAGGCGTTGCGACGTCCGACGTCGAAGGCAAGGATACGAGGTGCAGGAATACCGACATCCTCAAGCAAGTTGTAGAGTACAGCCTCATCAAGGATCTCCCAACGGAAGGGCTCCTTGCTCAGGCTCCTTCTGCTGCTAATGTCGCTGACATCACTGTCATTATCGCTGACATCGCTGCTGTCGCTTGCTTCATGTTCCTCAACTTGCAGATTGCCGCTTGAGATAGGGTCACTGTCGTCTTTGACAGATTCTTTCTGAATGTCGCTAGCGCTCACAGCGGCAGACTCTGGTTTGTCATCTTCTCCTTCAGTCTGATCTACCTTGCTCTTAGGATGTGCGTCGCACTTGCAGGTCCGCCCGTGCTTATCAGCAGGGAGCTTGGCAAGGTCTCCGTCCCAGACACGAGGTATACGTATGATAGCCTTCGTTGAGGTTTCCCATGAGGCTGTCTCTGGCGCCACTCCAAGAGTCACAGGAACTACGCGGTTGAAAGATCCTCCGCGCATATGTTCAACCTCGTTGAAGCCAACACCGAGATCTTGACCTAGGGTAGAGATCTTGTGTTGGAAAGTCTCGAAGGGTTCGTGGTCGTAAGCATAAGTCGAGCTTGACGAACCTGATGCGTCTGAATCCGAGTCGTCATCCTCCCCGAAGACCGTGTCGTGAGATACTTGGCCTGTCTGCTTGAACTCGGCCCACTCTCTCAACACTTGCTTCAACTTTCGGGGGTCGGGCCACGCAACCAAACCCAAACTCGCCAGACGTCGGAGCCAACGGCCCCTACCATACACGTCGTCCTGGTAGACTTCCATTGCCCTAGAGCCATATTGCGGAGTATAAATCTTCTCTAACATGACTTGTTCGAAGCGCTCCTTGATCCTGGCAGTGAGGGGATCGGAACTAGCCTCCTGGTAATACTCGAGCGGTATCATGTCGCTATCGCCGTCGTGATACTTTCGAATCGCATCTGGGAGCGAAGATCCATCGTGAAACTTTCGTATCGCGCGGGTATACGAGTCCCCATCCGGCAGGCCAAACAACCATGCCGGAAATCTTCTTGCAAGGACTGGTGGTATGCAACGAGCATCGTCCCATTGGAGAACGCCACTGATATGCCAACCGAGAGTTCCATTGGCATCCTCGGTGTGTTCGACCATGATGCTGAAAGGAGTGAGCATGCTGTGTTCAACAATGCTGTATGCTGGGCCACTATCATCCGACTCAAACCAACCCACTTCCTTCATGTCGTCTAGCATGGCATCCAACTTGGCAAGTTTGGAGTCTGATATGTTGAATCTGTCTTTCCTTTTATGCTGGGAACGACCACCAATATGCATGCACGGGAAATCATACAGTGATGAGGATGGTGGTGTACCGGGATCGTCTCTTTCACGTTTGACCGGAAGATGTGTGTGGAAGCCACGGACTACCAGTTTCTCTCCGATCTCGTTGGCTTGGGCAAGATTCAGAGGAAGTTTTACGTTCTTCGTCGGGTTGTCATAGAGAAGTCTGCCTGATTTGGGAAACCGGATGGTGTCCAGTTTGGCAAGTATTTCGGCGTACTCGCCTGCGATGTTGACCTTGTCGTCTACTGACATGTCGTCCCACACTTTCCAAAGAGTGGTTCCTGGTAGGCGAGTTTGGAGCAAGTAAGGATGATTGAGCGCATTCTTCCGGGTTGTGTCACAGGCAAGGACATTCGGGACTTTGATACCGGCGCGGGTAAGCAGACTCAGCACGGCAGCTTCGTCGATCTCTTCAAGAATCACCCATGCAGCTAATTCCGCGGCGACGTCTTCATTCCATCCGGGCTCACCTTCGACGGGTTCATAAGGATCGAGACGATTAACCCGCAGGATAGCCTGTCTAGAGTCCGAAAACCCTGACTCCGTGGGAGGATTGCGTACGGTCAGGCCGATAATACGGTGGCTCCCGCCTCCGGTAACCCTTTCGATGTCCTGGAAATCGGCGTGAAGCTCTGGACCAAGTGCAGCGACCTTGTTTTGAAAAGACTCGAAAGGTTCAGCAGGCGCAAAAGTGACTACTGAGGGAGGAGTAAAGGCGGTGAGCTCGTGCTCCTTTTCATCGTTTGCCTCCATGTCGTCGTTCAATTTAGGACGACTTGCTTGAGAGATGGCTGATGAGCCCTGAATATTGTGTTCTTCCATACTGTAGAGACTGCTCGAGGTGAAAAATTAGGGCTTGAAAGCTTGAGCTGCATCCTTATACACTCTTCACGTCACTACGGGCAACGTCATGGCTAGGAGTGCTGTGAATAGGCGATTACATTCCTTTGTTTCCCTTCACAACAGAGGTGCCGTTTGCGGACAAGTCCCGCACATGCGCTCAGCCACATCTTCCCCATATGGATGATGGAATCGACAGGCAACCCGAACCGCACGCACTAGATACAAGGTAAATACGAGGTGTTTGGTGGGAGGAAGGGATGGAGACAAAGAAGCTCGATGGCTACTACGTGACGGAGTCGCAGTTTGTAACAGGCTGGCTTGGCATGAGCCCATCAGTTGGCAACAGATCATGGTGTTGGCATTACGAAGCCATCCAATCTACAGCACAGCTTCTTCTATACCACTTAGCAATGCACGAGAATGACGAGCAACGGGTAAAAACTAGGATCCCAGATACATTGAGAAGCCTACACCAATCCCGATCAACCAGAAACAATCTCTTCGCTGTTGTCAACGTTTTAGGCCACACCTTATCAACCGAGAGATGACATTACTGGCAGCTCAACAAAGAAAGAAGTAGACATGGTCGAGAGCATTAGTTGCCGTCGCGCACATTTCTGCAAAGTCGTCAGACACTTCTGCAGCTGTTCCGCCAGATAAAGACGCATGCTGGTTGGTAAAGAAGTAGACGTGGTGGAGCGAAGTTAAAGGGACCGCGCCAGAAAGGTCCTCCACCGCAGGGGAAGGAGCGATTGGCGGCTGAACAGGTCCTGGCCTTTCAACCTCGATGCCGTGAACGTAGTCAGGAAAACGTTTCCACATCTCCAGAGGTCTCGGCTGGATGTTCTGATTCTCCTTGAACTCCAGCCAGTCTGAAATGAGCTTGTTGAAGCGATACTTCGTTGCAGAGTATACCATATCCCCTCAAGCGAAGGCGAACAAGCGACGAAGCCAACGACCTCTGCCATATGCATCATCAAAGTACTGTTCTCTAGCACTATCTCCGTACTGTGGGACGTAAAGCTTCTCGATTAGTACGTTTTCGTAACGTTGCTTGACCTTCAAGTCATCATCATTGAGATAAGGTAGGTCTGTGGGTAGTTCGTCAACATCGTGAGCCCAGCCGAACTGGTCCTCTCTTGGCAGCACTTTGGCAGCTTCATGAACATCCCAGACCCACGACCACGGCCGCTTATTCAGCACAGCAGGGACGGTCTCAGCATCGTCGAAACTGATGATGCCTGTCAGACGCCAAGAATTTGGTGATTCCACAGTCCGCTCAACAAGGATTTGCTCATCATGGATGGTACCATGAATAAGCACGCTCATCGAAAAGGCTGTGTCGGCTTCAGAGAACCAGCCAAGGTGATCCATGTCAAGGAGCATATCCTTTAAAGCAACGTATGCTCTGAAGAAGGGTTCAAGATCGATATGGTCGAGCCTGATCATTGATTTTGCCAGCAGATCATCAATTGCTCGAAGCATTGTATCGTACAGCGAGTAGTAGAGAGGCGCGCTGGGTCCAAATCTGCCTCCTCGCGGCCATTGGGTGTTCAGAAAGAAGCCAAAGGTGTACAGCTCCCGGTCGACATCCACGTGGACTGACATGTCAAGTGGCATTCTTCCAGCAGTCAAGTTCAGATTCACGTTAGCTTGCAACTTGCCGGTGCCTTGGAACTGAATCTTCTCCAAGCGTGCACAGAATTCAGCTGCCTCACCAGCCAACGAGAGTCTGTCTTCTAAAGACATATCTTTTCTCGCACGATAGAGTCTTGACAACTGCTCTCCTGGCATATAAGCTTGTATGGCATAAGGTCTCTTCAACGCATTGTCCCAGGTCACGTCGAACGCAAGAGTTTGTGGAGCGGGGGCACCATATTGTCGGAGAAGGTTTGACAGGAGCGCCTCGTCAAGACGTTCCCATTGATCTCTTCTCTGTGGTTGTTCATCGCCATAGTAACTGGAGTCGCTGATGTAGTAATCGGAGTAGTTTTCATAATCTCCAGAGTCGCTCTCGTTGTCTGCGTCGGTCTGTATTGGCGATCGGTTCGTCAGAGTATCTCCTGAAAGACTGCTGCTATCAGATGTGGTGCTGGTGACAGATGCGGGGCTTCGGGGTTCAATTTCGCCATCTCCAGTCTGGATGTCTCGCAGAGATGGTGCATCCTCCGTAGGGTGAATGAAGAAGTAGACGTGACTGAGTGAGCTTGAGATTGGAGCATCGGCTTCCCCGGTGGCATCAGAAGAGAAGACGTCCTGATCCTCGATCTGAACACCTCGGCTTCTCCTGTTGTTGAGCGCCAGATCTCCATTCATATGTAGGACAGCGCGCGTCCCGTCTGGCCACATAGCCCTTGCAGGAGGGTCGCGCAATGTCAGTGGAAAGGCACGGACTTCGCGAGACTCTCGAACGTAGCCGATATCTTCGAATTTGACATGGAGCTGGGTGGCCAAGGCAAGCAGCTTCTGTTTGAAGGACTGCACGGCGTCTTCATCGTCAACAAGACTTTCGGGGTAGGAGGAGGGGTGGGCGTAGCAACTTGACAGATCATCATCGCCATCATCAATTTCGACCTCATCGTCCGCCTGACTCTGAGTGTGCAGCTGAGCTTCTTCGGAGCTGATCGCCAGGATTGGGCTGTCGATATGAGTCTCAGGGTATGGTGTATCGTTTAGAGCTGCGATGGTATCTCCAGGCTGCTGGTCAGTAGCTCCAGCGGGCACCAGGTCAGTTGTGCTGTTCTCTGCCATGACTGAGGGTCGATGGCGATTTGGTCAGATTGTCGACAACAAGCTGAGGTCGGAAGTTTTCGAACGTCCGGATATACAAGCAAGATTAGGCAGCAAGCAGTCAAGAGCAAGACAACAACACGGTGCTCTTACAAACGGCCATCTCTGTTTGTGACAAACAGCGTCTTGCCAACACGCGAGTCACAACACAGGGTCGACACGACACGACTTACCTGCAGCCGGGTCTCAGCAACATTCATTTCGTCAAAATTATGCTTCTCATCTGTGTCTTTGTGTGAGAAAGAGGAAGTTGGTCAATTTGAAGACAAAGAGAGGTGGCTGCGTCAGGCCGTGACGCCGTCTCCCGTGCCTGCTTTTTCCAGGCATATATCGAAAGAATGGTCGATTCGTGGCCACTCTAGGTAGTTTCACAGACCGCTCAGGATACAAAACTAATGGCAGTATTGTCTATGCCAGTGTCAAGATCAACCCCTGCATAATTGTTGCCGAGAAACGCAGTTAGCATCATTTGTGCCCAGTCACCAGTCCCAAACTCCGAATGTAGAACCAAGATTAGCTTAATACAAACATGAAATTCCTGTCTTAATGCAAAAATTGCTTTGACTTTTCTCGAGAGTTTGCACTGTGCTATAACAATAACTTGAATACCAGCTTGATCGTGCCAACTCAAATACAGAACTATAATGATACTCATTGTGTGAAACCAGGGTGGCTCACTTAGCAAAAGTCTTGGCGGTCACCGACTTTATTGGCATTCATGGTGAGGAAGATATAATAGTTTCTAGTCATGGAAAGAGTGAATATTGTCGAATATCTTTGTTTTACGTATCAGTCGACAACCCAGACGAGATCGTCACAGTATCTCAAGCCAGAATCACCTTCTGAACCAACGAGTTCCACACGCCCATGCCTACAGCAGCGACCGTGGCGGCCATTGCGAAGTTGACACCGTTGTTGTTGAGCAAGTCCATGCCTCTCTGCACTCGACTGCCTCCTGCAGTGACCTTGACTCTCTTGCCATTGTCTCCCTCAACGACTCTTCCACTGCTCTTGTCTTCGACCGTTGCTTGAGCCAATGCACCGAGTAGTGAATCTAGTAATGTGCCGCTGAAACCCGCAACTGTCAATGCAACCCAGAAGAGAAACTTTGAGTCTCCGGTCCATGCCATGCGAGAAAAGGGTAGTGTGAAGTAGGCAAGTGTGGAGATGAAGACGGAGCCTGCAAGGCCAGCGAGGAGACCAGTGAGGGTGACACCTCCATTGGTACCACGAGGTACACTACGCCATGGCGCTGTGATGAGCACAGGAGAAGTTGGCGAGAGAATACCAAGTTCGCTGCTGAGGGTGTCGGCTGCAGCGGCGGCGTAGGATCTGAATCACATCAGTTTCTGGTCTAGTCTGGCGGAAGAGTACAACTTACGCAGCGATACCGAATGGGATAGCATCAGTCAGGCTGAACTCGTTCTTCACGCTGTTACCACCATTCTTGGAAGCGTATAAATGCCATAGAATCAGCAGTGACGCAGTGCCAGAGTTGGCCAGCACTTGAGCATAGTTGCGAGCGCTCTCACCACCTACACCTCCAGTCGCTGACTGGGTGAGAGTTCTCTTTGTCGTATGGTTGATCTATTCTTGTTGTTAGATCAAATGTTCAATATAATGTAGATGTCACGTATGACGATATCGCTTTGTCCTCGTGTTCGTGACAAGGTGAAAAGTATATCGTCCCAAGTCCGAGGAAGCGAGAGGAGAGCCAGGAATACAAACCTTTGTGCCCACTGTACCAGCGACGAAGAAACCTACGAGTAGGTTGAAGAAGACTCCCCAGGGATGTACCATGTGTATTCCCGCAGTCACGATTGCGGCTGCAATGCCGCCTGGTGTCAGCTTGTTCTTGGCGGCAGAGTAGACGACCAATGCTGTGACGATAGCCAACTGGCCTTTGTGCTGTAGTGCAAAATCCATGGTGCTGCTATCTTGTCGTACGATGGTCGTTACAAGTGTTTGGAGGTAGACGGCTGAGGAGACGCGATGCAAAGGTGATCACGTCCAGCGGCATGACGTGCGTCGTCTGGCGATTCGTGCATCACTTGAGCGAGTCCGGCATGACTCGGCAATAGATCATCCATCCGCACAGTTCATTTCTGTTCCTGAACATCGCAGAGATCTGCTCATCCTTCAGCCCCAGATTGAGTGTTTCGACGACATCTCCTTTGATGCAAACACATGTGGGTCTCGAAGGAGCTCGATGCAGCCACTTCGGTGGTTCGACTGGGCTGAGGTGCGTCTTTCAGGTCTCGACCGTTTCTTCATCATGAAGATACTGACCTTCGGAGCTCCGTCCATCATGTAACTCTTGAACAAGCACGCCAATCGCACTTGACCGAGCTCGACCGGCACGCGTCCTTCAGTTCCATTAGACGGTAGCTGGATAGAGGTAAAGGTATGCGACGAGATCTAGCAGCCATGAGCCACAGAAACACAGCCACGGCCAGACTTCAAATGTGGCTGCTGCTGCGGTGCAAATAACTCAGCCTTGAACTCGAAGGGGGTCAGCAATTTACATACGGACGTTAGCGTGCCATTGCTTGCTCTGTTCTGCTCGTCGCTAGAGACAGTTGTGCGTCAACAATCTGTTGCGATCCCGTGTGCGTTACAACAGCTGGCCGGACTGCACAACGCTCGTGTTCTCCTCTCCCCTGCCATCTGTAGTCCATAATCGTGTAACACAGTCCAAGACTTTGCGCAGTCGCGATGGCGTACGACATGGCTCCCAATGACCACTCTCGCGTATTCCCGACAACGGTGCCATCATGGCTAAAATCGATTCAAGGGTCTGAAGTGTTTAGAGAGCGATCGTCGAATGATCCGTGATCCCCACGGTGCAAAAGAAAAATCCCTTTTCCAAGGGACCAAGAGATTGGTGCTGCACATCAAGATCAACGCCCATGGCGTTATGACGTAAATGACGCCAAAATGCTTCGAAATGAAATACAGATGGCTTGCATGCCTTCCCAACCTCTCTGGTAAACTATTGATGCAAGGGAGTGTATTCGTCTCCCAGTGCATTGTTCTTCTTTCCTACACACTGCCCTAGATAAAACACCGAACAAGCGCCCTACAGAATACCAACCTCACCGGGGCTGTGTGTCCTTGTTCATCTGACCGACTCGATAACAGTTCGCTCTGGACCTCGAAGCTTCGCGCCACAGGGTGAGCCACGAAAAGGTTATTGACCCGGCCGAGCTGTAGGTTGATCAAACACCAGCCGTTTTCGACGTCCAAACAAGTAAAAGCTGTCGACGGTGTGTTTGCGCAACCCGAAAGACTGATCATCATCATCTGCGGCTTGCGCCTACAAGTATTCCCGCCATCGCAATCCTTCACTTTTCTCCCATCCTTTGATCATCCATCCCACAGATTGATCGCGTTATCGTAGCGCTTTCAACAACAACACCGCTATCATGGCTGCCAGCACTGGAAGCTCTCGCGACGCCTCACCTTCGGCCTCGACATTCTTGTCAACATTGATTCCTGTTCTTATTATTGCAGCAGTCATTCTTTCCATCTTCTTGGTCTTGCGTCCCAAGTTCAAGAGAGTTTACGAGCCGCGTACTTACCTGCCACTGCTTAGGAAATAGTAAGCGTATTCTTCTCAAAACGTTTGCCCTCTTATTCTGACAGTTCGCAGCGAGTACACACCTCAACCTTCAGATACCAAGTTTGGATGGATCAAGAATTTCCGTGGTCTCAATGATGACCACGTTTTGATGCACTCGTCGCTCGACAACTACCTCTTCCTGCGTCTTTTCAAGATTCTCTTCACCATCTGCCTGGTCGGTGCCATTATTACCTGGCCCATCCTTTTCCCTGTCAATGCAACTGGTACGTGCTTTTGATTTCTCCTTGACTCGACCTCAGTCTAACAAGCTTTTCAGGTGGTGCCGGTAACACACAGTTCGATCTCCTGAACTTCAGCAATGTGTCAATCCCCAGCCACACCAACTACTACTATGCCCACGCGATTCTTGCCTGGGTCTTTGTCGGATTTGTCATGGTCGTCGTGACACGCGAGATCATCTACTTCATCAGCCTTCGCCAGTCCATCATCACCTCGGTCGCTTACAGCAGTCGCTTGTCTGCCAGAACTGTCATGTTCACCAACGTCGCTCCCGAATACCTCAAGGAAAGCGCCCTGCGTGAGCTGTTCACTGGAGTGTCCCGCGTTTGGATTCAGCCTAACACCAAGGAGCTCGACGATGTAGTTGGTGACAGAGACAAGGCTGTGACCAAGCTCGAGGCTGCCGAGAACAAGCTCGTCCAGAAGTTTGTCAAGGGCCACAAGAAGGCTGAGAAGAAGGGCAAGCAAGACACTTCAACCATTGACCGCGAGACTGGTCGTGTTGAGGTTGACCACAAGCTTCGTCCCACCCACCGTCTCGGAAAGATCCCCTTCATCGGCAAAAAGGTCGACACCATCGACTGGGCCCGTCCCGAGATTGTCAAGCTCAACAAGCAGGTTACCGAGGAGATTGACAAGGCCCACAACGCTGAGAAGATTCCTGCCGTCTTTGTTCAGTTTGAGACTCTCGAGGCTGCTCAGGCCGCTCACCGTCAAATGTCTGGCGGCATGCAAAAGGTCAAGGGAGCCAAGCTCACCCCCAAGGTTGTTGGTGTTCACCCCAACGACATTATCTGGAAGAACCTGAACAAGAAGAACACGGTCACTCGCCTGATCATGATTGCTTCCACCATCTTCGTCATCCTCATGATCATCTTCTGGGCAATTCCTGTGGCTTTTGTCGGTGTCATTTCCAACATCAAGACTCTTGAGACCATTGGCTTCCTGAAATGGATTGCTAGCATTCCCCCCGTCATTCTCGGTGTCATCACTGGTCTCTTGCCTTCGGTCATGCTTGCTGTCCTCATGGCTTTGGTACCCATTGTCTTGAGACTTCTCGCCGGCATGTTCGAGCCCACCAGATCTACTGTTGAGCTTAGAACCCAGGCTTGGTACTTCTCTTTCCAGGTCGTCGATGTCTTCCTCGTCACCACCTTCTCGTCTGGAGCTGCCGCTGTCGCAAAGCAGATTGTTGACTCGCCTGGATCTGCACCCATGTTGCTTGCTAGCAACCTTCCTCGCGCCTCCAACTTCTACACTGCCTACTTTGTCGTCACCATGTTGAACCAGGCCGCCATGCTCGTCCTCAACATTGCTCCCCTGTTGTTCATTGCCGTCCTCGGCAAGTTCTTGGACTCGACTCCTCGCAAGGTCTACAACCGCTACGTCAACTTGATCGGCCTTGGCTGGGGATCTGTCTACCCTGCCTACGCCATGCTCGGTGTCATTTCCATTGCCTACTCCTGCATTGCTCCTCTGCTCCTTGGATTTGCAACTGTTGGTTTCGCTCTCTTGTACTTTGCCTACCGCTACCAGCTCCTCTATGTTGTTGGCAATGACTCGATCGACATGAAGGGTCGTGCCTACGCTCGTGCTATGCAGCAAATTACCGTCGGTGTCTACTTGCTCGAGTTCTGCTTGATCGGTCTATTTGCCATTGGTGTTGCTTCCGACAGAGCTGCCCTTGGTCCTCTGATCCTGACCATCATTCTTGCCGTCTCCACCGTCATCTACCACGTCATCATGAGCAAGACTCTCGGCCCCATCGTCGATGGCACCGAGATGATGCCCGGCAGCGAGGACCGCAGCAGGAACTTCTCGGCTGCCGAGACTATGGAGGAGGGCAAGCCCAGCACCACCAGCAACCGCGACACCTCACCCACTCTTGCCGGCTCCACCGCGTCCCCCGAGCCCAAGAAGAGTGGTATCAAGGGCAAGCTGCAGCACTTCTTCTTCAGCTCTCGCTTCGCTGGCAAGTGGCTCACTGTTCGCAAGGAGTTGGCTTCCCACTTCAACGAGCCTATCCGTCCTTACACCAACGAGGAGCTCGAGTTTGCCTACCAGCCCCCAAGCTTGGCCAACGAGCAGCAACTCATCTGGATTGCTCGCGATGAGTATGGTCTCTCTTCCCAGGAGGTTGCTGGATGCAAGGAACACAATGTTCCCGCTACTGATGAGGAGGCCACCCTCGATGAGAAGGCAAGTGTCAAGTGGAGCCAGGAGAGAATTCGTGAGGCTCCCATCTTTGAGGAGAAGGTTCCTTACTAGACCGGGCAGCCATTGTTTACTAGGATGAGCATAACGAAAAAGAAGGACAGACTTTTCTTATGTCAACGGGTTATGAGGATGGAGTTCAGATACCCCCTTTAATTATGGATTTTGTAGTATTAGGTCTTAATTCGTAATGCGATAATGTTGTTATCCTAGTCTCGATGAATGCCTCACTGTTTTGCAAGTATGCCTCGGTCCATGTCTGCGGTGAGAGATGATGGTCAGAAGACCCGATGCTTTTTGGGTCAAACAAACCGAGTCACTTTGGCATACCTACCTTGATGGAGGTGGCAGAAGGAAGCGATGCATCCTTGGCAGTTGCGTTGGTGGCTGATCGAAGCCTCGGAAGCTGCGGTGCTTGCATTGTAACATTCCGGGGAAGAGCGAAAGGCAGCAGCAACTCGATCGATTCAACCCATCTACTCTACCACTTCATTCACTCACACACCACTGCCTTTTACTACCCTCTCACTCACCTCTACCACTGGCAAACGAATCACAGAGATATATACCAACCATGTCGACATCACCGCATCAGCTCTTTCTTCTCGCCGACCACATCAAGCTCTCGCTGCTCGAACGCCAACGCGCTGTTTCGCTGAAACTACCTTCCACCAACGATGGACCCATCACACGATCACTGGAGTCTTTGCGCGCAGGACTGGAGACTTTGAGTGCGCAGGCTGAAGAGCAAGAGGGTGTTGGTGGAGAGTGAGTCTCTCTATTCCCGACTGAGACGAGCAAAAGAGAAGACGAGGGAGATTGAGACGAGTCTGAAGGCGAAGAGGAAGAAGCAAGAGCAAAGCAAAGTCGAGAAGAAGCACAAATGCTGACAGAAGCCTGCAACAGTACATCAGACCTGCACACCCAAATCCCAAAACTGCGCAAACAATACCAAGAACTATCCGCGCAATTCAACGGACACACTCCCACAACATCCACCCCCACCCCCAATGATACCTCTCTAGCCTCTGATTTCGCAGCTGCAAGGATCACACCATCACGCAATAAATCCGTCCGCTTCGATAAACCATACCGCGACGCTTCTCCAGACGATACCACCTCCCGAGACGCCCTTTTCAGCAATCCTGGCTCTGCTGCTGCTTCACAACAACCCTACACCGATGACGAGACCACACCCGATCAATCGCAACTCTCGAATGAGCAAATCCATACCTATCATAAACAAGTGCTCTCAGATCAAGATGCTCAGCTCGATGCTCTGTCATCGAGTATAGGCAGACAAAGGATGTTGGGTATACAGATGGGAGATGAAATGGACGATCAGAATGCCATGCTTGATGATGTAGAGCGAGGGGTCGATCGTTTCCAGGGAAACCTCGATCGTGCAAGAGGAAGGCTAGGCAAAGTGGCCAGGAAGGCGAAAGATAATTGGAGTTGGGTCACCATCGGAGTCTTGATCTTGATCTTGGTCTTGTTGTTGGTTATTCTGAACTAGAGAGATCGTAGATACAGAAGCTGGGTGTAATGTCATAATGCCGTTTCTTTGCATACATAATCATAAGTCTTTGACAATTTTTCGTGGGTCTCTAAGACAAGCTCTCAAGCTCTTTGAGCAACGTGTTGGCAGCAAGTTTTCCCAAGTTGTTTGACGCCAGTGGCGAGTCACCGGTCAACACATATCTATCCTGGTGCGTCTCTCCAGTGATCTTGTCATTGATGGGCGTGACACCCAGCTTCTTCAGCTCCTCTCCAACCAACCACTTCATCTTGCCAGGTATATATCCGATATCGATATTGGCTCCACTGTCTAGAGAGTCAGGGAACACATCGATCTTGTAGCCTTCATAGATGAACTTTTCTCCCTGAGGCTTGGCCACATCAGCTGCAAGCATGCAAGCAGGACCGTGGCAGAGGGTGATGAGGTAGCGTTTGTTGGCATCTGCCCAGCGAAGGATATTGCCCACGACAGGTGATTGAGGGATTCCGTTTAGTGCTCCGTGGCCTCCGGGCACAAAGACACCGATGTAAGGGGTTTCTTTGTCGAAGCCCTTGCCCCAGACATCAGAGAGCGCGAGCGGGTTCTTCATCTTCTCCTTGTACTTTTCGTATATTCCCTTGACGGCCTCGTCTTCGTTGGGGAATGCCCACATTTCTACTTTGACGGGTTCGCCAGTCAGGGTAGCGACATCGAGGTCGAAGCCCGCGGCATCGAGATGGAGCATAGGGAGAAGCATTTCCACTGGGTGGTTGCCGGTTGAGAAGAACTTTCCGTCCGCCATGCGCAGATAGCGTTCTTGGGTGCCGATGACGAGGACTTTCCATTTGTTGCCTGTGTAGGCGTTGGGGTAGTCGGCGCCGTCAAAGTCGGTCTTGGGTGCGACGTACTGGGTCAGAGAGAAGGGGGAGGGGAAGAAAGCGCCATCTTCGGCTTGGTCGGGCACGGGCTTGCGATCTTGAGAGCCGGACATGATTGCTGGGTGATGCTGAGGTATGCTTGGTGGGATAGTGTGTAAATTGTGGATATAGAAGGTGATGGGGGCTGCTTATATAGAGCTTCTGGAGCTCTTTCGACGCGGATAGGGCTTCGGGACCGAGGTATGATTTCTGACGTACGCCAATGCCATCTACGATGCGGATCCCATCGTCGACATGTGCTGACACGAAGGCAGAGGAACCCGGTCAGATCAAGCTCGAGACTTAGCAGCTTGATCTGAGTACGCTGAGCAGGTCCTCCAAAGATTTTCGAACTACTGACAAAGCGCAGTGTTCGAGAAGCTAGAGCTGTCAAGACGGAGCGAGCTCCGGATGACGCTTGACATAGCGTCCATCTTCAACATGTGGGAACACACCTCTAGTGTGCTTGATCCATGGGTTGACTCTTCGAAACATGATTCATGTAGAACTCCTTTGGCGAACAACACCGGGAAGCTTCCAAGTTGCTGTCAAAAGCGTACTTCGAAAACATGGATTGATAAACGCCTCCAAAAACCTCGTTAAATCAATCATTGCCAAGAATGTTCTGAACTAATAACGCTACAGTGGTGAAAAGCCATCAGGTACCAATTCCTCTTCAAACCATTTCTTGACAGTCTCTGCAAACAGCTCAGGATCTTGCAGAATCCAAGCATGTCTCATATCGGGATGGGTGACAGCACGAGTTGCACTGTTCAGTTTACGTCCGATCCTGGCCAATCTCCTCGCATCGTCGGGACGATCGTCTGAAGGTATGAGCCCGCCCTTGCCGGCAGCGATGACAAGAGTCTTTGCAGGCCATGGCTTGGGCCACATGTCGGCATCGTCAGAAGGACTGAAGACTTGGCGATAGTACTCGATGGTGCACATGCTCAAGTCTGGACGCTCAATGTGGATACCATCCATTGCCCAACGGATCCACGAGCGAGGGACCGCGTACTCCAGACGCTGCTCTGCCCAGATGACATACGGAAGATATGGAGTCAAGGAGGTGGTGGGAAAGACCTTGAAACCGGAGACCAGGACGCAGTTTGTGATTTCGGGATGATGCGATACCAGACGAATGGCTACATGAGCTCCGAGGCTGAAGCCCACGATATATGCAACACCGCCATGAGCGCGTTTGAGGATCAAAGAGCGCAGTGCAGCAGCGGCTCTGTCGACGGAGAAGGGGTATGCTCTTGCAATGCCGTGGCCAAGGAGATCGGGAGCCAGGAGATGGTAACTGGACAAGTAAGGTGTTACAAGGTCCCAGCCGCTGCCATCCCCAGTGGCCCCATGGATTAAAACGATGGTTTCTTTGGCCGCTGGGTTGACCTCGAGGTGTGGAAGTTCTACATACTCGTTGTTGATCGTTTCGCTATCAGCTGATGGCATCTTAGCAACCTACACCAAGGTATATGAGAATGGGAAAGGGAGAGTCAGCACTGCTCGTTGAGCTACAAGGCAACAAGATCACGCAAGCCTCAATCCTTCAAAGTCTGATGGCAACAAGATCATGGCGGAGATGTTCGGGCATGCCAGCAGTAGTAGCACTTGGGAATCCGACAACGGAGCGACACTACGAGATTCTAACGGTGAGTACTCTCAATGTCATGGAGTAGAAAGCGAAGGGAGAGCCAAGAGAAGTCGGATATCTGCGAACAATATTATGCATGGTATAGATGCGTGCACAAGAAACGAACCATGACATCAGTATGCATGTACCCCAGATTCTGTCATGACAAGCAAGAGCTTCAGTTCTGTGTTTCGACTCTCTCGCCTCTACCACTACAGCAACAACCAGCACATTCAACCATGGTCCTCGAAGAAGCAACGAACAACCGCGAGCCCAACTCGTTCGGCGAACTGCCTACACCCGATGACGGCAACGATGCTCAGACACCGACCCGCTACCACATCAAGCTCGATCAGCTGCCCCGCCCTGTCAACCTGTTCATGGTCCCGGTCCGAGACGATGCCATAGTCAAAACCATCCTACGAAGTTGTCACGAAGCTCAGCACGTCATACAGCGCCCCTTGCGCCAGGATGAGGTCGACGCCATCAGCTACCACTTTGCAAAGTCCCTACGGACCGTCTCATGGGGTCCGCCAGTGGGCATGGCCGGTGGTGCCATCGCTGCATACCGTTCCATGAGCAACTTCCGTTTTCCTGGTTACACTCCCAAGCCCGAGGCCGAGGGCGGTAACTTCAACCCTGAGCGCTTTGGTCCCGTGCGTGGACAGATGGCTCGTTACGCCTGGCACACGCTGCGTTTCCAAATGTACGGTGCTGTTGGTTTCATGACTGGCGCCCTCTTGTTTGCAAGCTACGCCACCTCTGTCAATGCAGTCGAGACCGGCTCGGATCCTCGCATGAAAGATTACATTGAGGCGCTCAAGGAACGTGCTCAGAGACACACTGGTCAGATGCAACCTCAAGGTCAGCGTAACCCCATCATGAGCCAGGAAGGTCGTCTGGATCAACAAGCACAACGTGCATCGCAAAGACTTGGTATGGAAGATGCTTGGAAGCGCCAGGATGTCCAGCGCAAGGTTTCTGACTACGATGATATGAGTCCTACTGGCGGTGCTTGGATGGACGACTACAAGCAGGAAACTCAAGACACAGGACTCTTGACAGATGATCAGCTGAATGCTCGCGCCCGCAAAGAGCAGTCGAACGCGGATCGCGCCGAGCGTGCTGAGGAGTCGAGAGTTGCCGCCCAGGCTCAGTCTCGTGTCGAACAGTCACGGAGGAATAACAGCACCAGTGAGAACGCATCTCCAGTCGGCCCCCCGCAGCCTGCACCTGCTGCTCGCTCAGGCAGCACTTGGGACCGCATTCGACAGGAGTCTGCTGGCTTCAAGGGTTCTCCACGTCAGTCACCAACCAACACTCCGCAGATCAGAAGCGAACAGCAAGAGGGTTCAACACTAGGCGATTCATTCTCCTTTTCTTCGACAGACGAAGAGAGACAACTAGCCAAGGTCGAAGCCCAGAAAGAATTCGATGCAAGAGTGGAGAGAGAACGTCAAGGAGGTGACTTTTCCGAGAGCGGCGGCAAGGGAGGATGGAGAAGATGAGGTTTTATGCTAATTGACCTTTGAACACTGTAAATATTCTGTACCACAACTTTGCTCATCACTTTGGAACTCGTCAATCAGATCCACATGACTCCTAAGCAGTCTTCCAAGGAAAAGGTTCGGCATGCCGGATGTTGCTCTGGCCTACATGACTTATACATGGCTTGGCCTGCATGTAGGGAACGTTATCGTCACACATGCAGGACCACAAGAACCCGGTATCGAAAAGAAGCATCAAAGAGTCTCCAAGTTCCGAACAATATTCAGCCTGATGAGGTAAGACACAGAAGTACCAAGTGCAATGCAGTAACTCCAGATCCAAACGGTGGTCAGAGAAGCCTTTTAGTCGTAGCGAGTCGTTATACCAAACAACAGAAAGGCAAGGAAAACAGCCAAGAATTGTATTACGACGACTTTCCCCATGCCCATGAATCGTGGAAACACCCCATTTTCTTGCATCCCCCTCATGATCGAAGACATTCATCTGATGGCGTGCTATGCAGATGAAACAGCTTCATCTCTAAGCACCTCGCATGGTCTATCTGTTAGGGCAATTTCGCACTCACGTTAACAACTCGCAGATTGAACAGCTTACGACGCGCATAAACAGCAAAGCAGCATTCCCCGGCATGAACGAAACCGAGCGAGGCCCTAGAAGCCATATCGCAAAACATGATAGGTTGTTGACTCATCTTGGCACAGAGAATACAAGGATTGGCTTGCCAAGGGTCAGAATAGATTGGCATGCCGTTGCCGGCTTGGACAAAATGTCCGGCGCCATCGCAAGCCAATCCCAAAAGATTGTTCGGCCCAAAAAAACCAGGGTTTTGTTGATTGATGGGACAAAACCAGTGTCATGCCCTGGTTTGGAAGATATGAGTAAAAGGAATCGATTCTCCCCTCTTTCCACCTTGATGTACCTTTGGACTGGAATGCTAGACTGGATCGTATGATCAAAGCGACTGCTGTGTTCTGGTACAACGATTAGCATCTCTTTGCGCAACATCATATTACTTGGACCTTGCTTGGTCTCAAAAATATCCATTTAGCTGGATAGAACAAAATCTGCTACGAATACCCCTGAAACTCACGAAGGAAGATCAAAAGTCTAGGATCATAGCAACACACTCAAAGACCAACACACCCCACACAGAGGAGTCAAGATGGCAACCTCAATACCGCCCACAATGGCAGTGTCCTCACCACGCCTGAGTTCGCAAACTCAGTCCCTGGATCTACGCAGTCCGGCCTCCTTCTCCGAATCTTTCGAGATGGACGAAACATTACCATCCGCTGGCCTTTTGTCGCAAATGGATGATGCGGAAAAGCAAACCCCAGTAGAAGCACAAAGACCAAAAACCGACGGCCATGAATACACAATCACCACGTCAACAAAAATGGCCTGTTTAGGTCTCTACTTCCTCATGAACCTAGGTCTCACCCTCTACAACAAAGCCGTACTCGGAAAATTCAACTTCCCTTGGTTGTTGACAACTTTCCACACTTCCTCTGCAGCACTAGGATGTTGGAGTATTATGCTCATCGCGCCTGAGCAACTTAAACTGTCTCATGTGGGAAGGCAAGAGCAAATGGTATTGGTGGCGTTCTCGGTATTGTTTACAGTCAACATTGCCATCAGTAATGTATCACTGGCAATGGTTTCCGTCCCCTTCCATCAGATCGTCAGGTCTACGACTCCAGTGGCTACAATCTGCATATATCGATACCTAGGACGCAGTTTCGGGACCGCAACCTACATCTCGTTGATTCCCATCGTCGCGGGAGTGGGTCTCAGTACCTATGGAGATTACTACGCTACGTTGCTGGGAGCTTCATTGACGTTCCTGGGAGTCTTTCTGGCGGCGCTGAAGACAGTGGCGACGAATAAATTGCTCACTGGCAGTCTCAAACTTCCTGCTTTGGAATTGCTGCTGCGCATGTCACCGCTCGCTGCTGTCCAAAGTCTGCTGTGGGCCACCGCAACAGGCGAAGTCTCTGCTTTCCTCAGCTTCACCGCTGAAGGTCATCTCAGCAAAGCACTCATTCTTGCACTACTGGGAAACGGCTTCTTGGCTTTCTTGCTGAATGTCACCAGTTTCCAGACGAATAAATTGGCGGGAGCATTGACGTTGAGTGTTTGTGGCAATGTCAAGCAGATCTTGACAGTGATCTTGGGGATTGTGCTGTTTGATGTTGTGGTCAGGCCGATGAATGCTTTTGGCATGGTTGTTGCATTGGGAGGTGCGGCGTGGTATAGTAAGGTTGAGTTGGATGTTAAGAGGGCTGGTGCTGCGAGGTCTTAGATGGACATATCGCTGACGGGAGCTGGAGCATTGAAATTAGCATGGAGCATTTGCATGTGTTGAGAGAAACATGATGGCTGAGTTAATGATGTCTGTTTGAGTGCAGAATGTAAGATGATCTATACGCCATTAACGCCTCGCTGAATGAATGCTTGAATGATGATGCTGAAAGAAGCAGAAGAGTCATGGCTCGTGACGGACATGAGGAAATCAACCCAAAGTCTTGATCTTTTTCTTCTTCTTGTCAGGCTGCTTTCCCTTTTGAAAGTCCCTCCAGGAACCAATGCGCTCCTCACGCGACTGCTCCCACTTGGACTCGAACTCCCTCTTCCTCTTGCGCTCAGCAATTTCCTCTTCCTCCTTCTTCTGCGCGCGGCCTTCCTCCTGCATCTGAGCCTTCATCTTTTTCCTCCTCCGTAGCTCTTCATCGACCAGCACAACTTTAGTCTTTTCCCGCCATGCTTTGCGGAAGTCATCGTCGGGGTCTTTGACTTCTTCGCTGTCGACGGTGAGTTTGCGCTCGCGCATCAGCAGCATACGCGCATCTGCTATGCATTCGTCGAGTTTCGCTCTTTCTTTCTCGTCTAGAAGGGCTTGTTGGGCTTTTGCGAGACGGTCAAAGGCATCCGGGGCTGAAGGATTTGAGGTTTTGTCGGGATGGATGAGGAGGGATTTCATGCGGTAGCATTTCTTGATGTCGTTGTCGGGGACACCGGGTTGTAGGTCGAGGACAGCATATGAGTCGAGACGGAAGGCTTTGAGGATGCGATCGATTTCGGCGTCCTGGGGGTGAGAATGGTCAGTGAGACTCGAGATGAGGGAAGAGCAGAGGAGCAGAGGAGCAGACGAACCTTGTCGAATTCTTTGGACTCTTTGGCGATGGCGGCGAGGATGTATTCGTCCGAGAGCTCCTTTGGCTCGAGCTTCTTGTCCGACATGGTGGATGGTCGTGGTCGTGTGCACAAGATGGAGTTGTCGAGAGTGTGGATACTCGTAGCAAATGCGGGCGGTGCTTGGAACGGGGAAGGCACGACCGAGTCGAGTGGCGCGTGCGTCCAAAAAGTTGTCTGGCTGCGCGGGCTTAAGCATGTGAAAGTCCTGCCTACTTTTTCCTTCCTGCCTGTTTGTTGCACACTACACAGACATGGCGCCGCATATCACCGGTCGCACCAAGCCGACAAAGCCCAAGAAGCAGCAGCGCTCCATCAAGCGCAAGCGAGACGATGTCGACGTAGAAAAGCTCGAGCAGCTGGTCCAGGACTTGGTCCGTCAGATCCATCTCTATACCCTTCTACAAGTCTGACTATTATACAGGACCCCAAGGGCAGCTACACCTCCTTCTCCGACCTACCACTCTCTCTACCTACTCAGGAAGGTCTCAAAGCCTGCCATTTCACCACCCTCACCCCGATCCAAGCACGAGCCGTCCCTCTCGCCCTCCATGGCTCCGATATCCTGGGTGCCGCCAAAACTGGTTCTGGAAAGACCCTTGCCTTCATCGTCCCCGTTCTCGAGAACCTATATCGCAAGCAGTGCGTTGGTCAAGATGCTGGTCTGGGAGCCATGATCATCGCTCCGACCCGCGAACTCGCCATTCAAATCTTCGACGTCCTGGTCAAGATTGGAAGAAAGGGTCATTTGTTCTCGGCTGGTCTGGTTATCGGTGGAAAGAGTCTGCAGGAGGAACAAAACGCTCTTGCGCGTATGAACATCGTTGTGTGCACGCCCGGTCGCATGCTCCAGCACTTGTCGCAAACTGCTCTTTTCTCGGTCGACAATGTGCAGATGCTTGTTCTCGACGAGGCCGATCGTATCCTGGACATGGGTTTCCAGCGCGACTTGGACGCCATCCTCGAGTACCTGCCCAAGGATCGCCAGACTCTGCTCTTCTCGGCCACCCAGACAAAGCGTGTTTCCGACCTTGCTCGTCTGAGTCTGAGAGACCCTGAATATGTCTCGACCTCGGAGCAAGGCGAGTCTGCCACTCCCAAGTCTTTGCAACAAAATTACGTCCTCACTCCTCTTCCCGACAAACTCGACACTCTATGGTCTTTCATTCAAACTTGCAAAAAGTCAAAGATCATCGTCTTCTTGTCGTCTGGAAAGCAGGTCCGCTTTGTTTTTGAAGCCTTCCGTCACATGCAACCCGGTATCCCTCTGCTTCATCTCCACGGCCGACAAAAACAAACCGCTCGTCTCGACATTACCAAAAAGTTCTCACACGCCCAACATTCGTGCATGTTCGCAACAGATGTCGCTGCAAGAGGTCTGGATTTCCCTGCTGTCGATTGGGTCGTTCAGCTGGATGCTCCTGAAGATGCCGACACATACATCCATCGTGTAGGTCGTACTGCCCGTTACGAACGTGAAGGAAAAGCTGTACTGTTCCTCGATCCCAGCGAAGAAGAAGGCATGCTGTCCCGTCTCGAAGCCAAAAAGGTCCCCATCGAACGCATCAGCGTCAAGCAAAAGAAACAACAATCCATCAAGCCCCAACTACAAAACATGTGCTTCAAAGACCCGACACTGAAATACCTCGGTCAAAAGGCCTTTGCCAGTTACGTCCGTAGCATCCATATCCAAAAAGACAAGGAAGTCTTCAAACTCGACAAATTGAACCTCGAGGAATACGCAGCAAGTCTCGGTCTGCCCGGTGCACCCAAGATCAAGTTCATAGCCGGAGACGACGCAAAGGCAAGGAAGAACGCACCGAGAGCACAGCTCGACGACTCGGAGGACGACAGCGAGGGCGAAAAGGGAGCAGACAAGAAGAAGCCTGAAGTCCGCACAAAGTACGACCGTATGTTTGAGCGCAAGAACCAAGACGTCCTGGCAGACCACTACGCCAAGATGGTGCGCGACGACGATATCGAAGCACTGGATGGCACGCAAATGTCCGACGACGACCTTTTCAGCGTCAAACGCCGCATCATACCCGTCGCAGAAGAGAACTCAGATGCAGCATCCTCAGACGAAGACGAAACCACCACACCCGCAGTGGCAGATATGGATTTACCTCCAGGCGCCAAAGCCGTACACATCCCCGGCGCCAAAGACGCCCTCATCATCGACAGCAAGCGTCGCGAAAAACTCCTCAAATCCAAAAAGAAACTGCTCAAGTTCAAGGAAAGCGGCACGAAACTCGTCTTCGACGACGAAGGAAACGCACACCAGATCTACGAACTCGAAGACGAAGATGCATTCAAAGCAAAGGGCACAGCAGAAGAACAACGCAAGAAGTTCTTGGAAGAGGAGGCGCAGAGAGTACGCGAAAGCGATCTATTGGACAAAGCACTCGCAAAGGAGAAGAAGAGGCAAAAGAGGGAGAAGCGCAAGGAGAGGGAAAGAGGCGAGGATGGTGTGTCAGACGAGGATGCAGAAGAGGGAGTACAGCTCGCAGATGCCTCGGAAGACTTCAAAAAGTTCCTCGCTGGATCGGAAAGCGGATCAGAAGGAGAGGAAGAGGACGAGCAGCCAAAGAAGAAACAGAAGAAGTGGTTCGAGGGAGAGGGTCGCAGGACGGACATGGGCAGGGAAGAAGCTGCGCCGGAGACTCTTGCGGATCTGGAAGCTTTGGCTGCTGGCTTGTTGGATTAGAATCTCTTGTTTGTTTTTGTGTGGCACTGCAAACCGCCCTCTATCTCTATACCGTTCTTCCGCATAATCGATATCCAAGAAATAGTTCATCACTTTCGATCATTCAACCTCTTTCAATCGTTTACTATTCGGCTCCCCACGCCTCACGCACTTCGCATCGATTCGCTCAATAGTCAGTCGTCCGGCATTGGTTAGCGTGGCCCAGCCTTGTCGACCTGAATTAAGTACGGTACGAGATAGTATCACCAGAATGCCATCGCATTGATGGCAGTTGCAGACTATCATGCTGCCAATGCTGGCTTGTACAATTACTGGAGAAAGCTCTAGTAGGTATTAGCTAACGCCCCTTCAAAGCTTGGAGATACCGAAACCATCTCTCTTCGCAACACCCAAGCTGTCCTTTGTGATCTCCTTTATATCCCTCACGCCGGCCAGAGTCATTGTGCGCGAAAGCTCACGTTCCAGAATGTTGGTTACGGCTTCAACTCCCTTCTTTCCGTCGTAACTCAAGCCCCACAGTACAGGGCGACCGATGAGCACGAGGTCGGCGCCGAGTGCGATTGCCTTGAACACATCACTGCCGCGTCGGACACCTCCGTCGAATATGACGGGGATGCGGCCGGCGACTGCATCGGCGATCGTGGGGAGAACTTCGACGGTGGCTGGGACTAGATCAAGTTGTCTGATACTGTTAGTGATGAATGTGGAATCAGTTCTCTGGTGGCAATCACCTTCCGCCGTGGTTGGAGACTACGATGGCGTCTGCGCCGTGCTCGACTGCTAGTTTCGCATCCTCCTCGGTCATGATTCCCTTGAGGATGATCTTCATGTTTGTCACACTGTGCAACCAGGGAATGGTTTCTTGCCAGGTCATGCATGAACTGTGCATGGTAGGTCCTGCTTTCTTCATAATCTCATTGGCTTCATCCACTGTGTGAGCATTGAGAAAGACGCGCTCAATGGCCGGTCCCTTGATGCCTTGTTTGGGTTGGGCGTAGTTGCCTAGATGCATGCCTTCTGGAAGAACCAGAGGTGTCTTTCTTTCATTGATGCGATTGCCAAGGATTGGTGTGTCGACGGTGAGTACGATGGCAGTGTAACCAGCTGCCTCGGCACGCTTGATCAATTCGCGACTGTACTCTGGATCCTGGGTGAGGTAGAGTTGGAACCAGAAGTCGGGTCCATCACGGTTTGAGATGTTGCATGCATCTGCCACATCCTCGAGACTGGTTGTCGATTGCGAAGACAGAGTCATTGATAAGCCGACGCTGGCTGCCGCCTCAGCGGCCTCGAGTTCTCCTCTGGGATGGCAAAGCTTTTGCATGGCACTGGGAGCAAAGGCCACCGGGAAGGGATAACGCTTGCCGAATACTGTGGTGCTGGTGTCGACGTGACTTACATTGACCATCACACGCGGTCTGATCAGGAGTCTATGAAGAGCGAGTATCAGTTCTCTGATCGGAGATCTTTATAACAAGTCTTACTTGTCAAACATGTAGGCGTTTCTATGCATGGCCTTTTGCTCATCAGCTCCGCACGCGTAGTAGTCGTATACATTCTGAGGCAATCTTGTTTTGGCGATCTTTTCAATCTCCATCACGGTGATTGGGACCGTCGACGATGCTGCTTTTTGACTCATTGTTGTGGAATTGATGAGTCAGCCTTCGATTTGATGATATGGTCTATGATTTCTGGTCTTCAAAAGTGGTTGGAAGAGGAAGTGAATGAATGCCGTAGATGTTGTGTTCAGTGGCCACGGCTAAGTCGTCGATAGCGACCCCACTTTTGATTGTCCGAGTAGATGATAACCACTTCACTTGATCGTGGACGAGTGAACAACACAGATAACCGACGTGTTTGCTGCTTGTATTAGACCTTTTAAAAGCTAGAAAGGTTCTGATTTGCTCAAGTGTAGTCTCCACTAATCATTGAGTCCAGAAAGCACTTCGGGGTTTGTGCTGGGATGAGAGAAGCGGGACACTCGACATGTCATCTATCCTACACTACTCCAATTGTACCTCCCGTCTGGAGGATCACATTTCTACCCAAAGTTCATCGGAAGAACCTTTCACTGTGTAGAAATTATACAGGGCATACTACATCACTATAGACTAGACAGCTGGTGCGTCCATATTATGGGCTCGCAGCGCCAGGGTGTTCCGCACTCGCGCCATGACGAGCATTCTCCAGCAACCACGACATCATCACACAGAGTGTCCTTCTTTTCTCACACTCGCAATGATCAAACACCACTCATGAGGCTCTGAGTCTCGCAACATTTGTCTCGCTTTTTCCGAGGAGGCGCAGCAAACACTTTCCAGTGACATCTTTACCGACCGACGCAATCTGCTCTACCGCCTCTGCTGTGGAGTGAGCACCAATGTAGTGTCTTCCGCTGGCTTCCTGTCGTATCGATACAATCACCCGCTACATGATGGCATACTCCGACTTCAAACACACCCAAATATGCGACAGACATGCTCATCAGCGAATATGACGGAATGCGATCATCTTATTTCCGCGTGCGAGACACGTGCGAAGAAGAAGGTTCCCGGCGGAGCCGCGGGGGATGAACTGTGATCGATACGGTTCACCACCCAGCTACCGTCAAACAGCGGAGCGAATCTCACGGGAATAAATGACACAAGCATCAAGTTGAATGGTGTCGTACTGTTTATGGCAATTGCAGGTGTGTGCTTGGCGATTGCTGTTCAAGGCAAGCAATTCTTGGCCACCACCAGCGTCCGCGGAGGGATACTGCAAGCGGTGGGGTCAGTATCGAGAAGAAGTTAAGTTTCTCTGTTGTCTTATTGTTGCAGCTTTCTTGAGTTTGCGGACGCGAGAGTCTCGCGGGCAGTAGACGGTAGACTTCGATCGTAGAGAGTCAACGACGTAGGCAAGAGAGTGGCAAAGGTATAGAGCCTCATATCCAGATCTATAAGACCATTTGCAGCCCCTGACTGCCCTGCTTGTGGAACAAAGCAACTCTCCATTTCTGTATCTACAAGTTAACTCCAAAACTTCAAGCCTCCTCTCAAGCGTGTATCTTCTTTGAACTAGATTGCATTATGCCACCAACTCTCCACCTCGTCCGCCACGCCGAGGGCTACCACAACTCTTCATGGCACGGCGAAGGCATCTGTGACCCCCTGCTCACCGAAAAAGGCGAAGAGCAATGTGCCGAACTATGCAAAAACTTTCCTCATCACGACAAGATTGACCTTCTCATGGCATCGTAAGTCCACATCCATGCTACTTCGAATTTTCCCCACGCAGGGCTAAGCGATACTCCCTCAGTCCCATGAAACGCACAATCCAAACCTGCAAATACAGCTTCAAACCCGCCGTCGACAAAGGCTTAAAAATCATGCTTATGCCACTCGCCCAAGAATCCTCTTCCGAGCACATGGACACGGGCTCCTCGGTCGACGAGATCAAATCCACCTTCGGCGACCTCGTCGACGAACACCGCATCGTCGACGTATTCCCCTACTGGAACACCAACTGCGGACGTTTCGACACGGACCCCGAAGTCATGATGGAGCGAGCGCAAATGCTGCGCCTTTTCATCAGGGATAGGGAGGAGAAGAATGTAGTGCTGGTGTCTCATGGAACCTTTGCGCATGCGATCACGGGTAATTTTACAAAACAAGGAGAACAGACGACTAGGATGTGGGAGAATGCAGAGTGTAGGACTTATACCTTTGATGACGGGCCCGGTGCGGAGATTATCGAGACTGAGGAGAGCAAGAAGAGGAGGCCGAGTCTGGAGGTTTCGTCTGGCGAGGAGGGCGAGGAGTGAAGTGGAAGATGTTGATTGTAGCAAGCGTAGCACCTGAGATGATGCTGCCTATGTCCGTCATGATGAACGACATGTCTTGATTCTTTCGATTGCGATTCGCGTGTTCCCAATCCGGACCTTTGATATTGGCTGTCGGAGTGAGTAGTCAGGAGATGCTGGGAACATTTGTACAGACAAACGAATTTAGAAGCATGATGAGACGACGAGTGATATGAGAAATTGCATTAAACTGAGTCATCGTCTCCAACCTCCTCAGAAAGAAGCCGTGCTTCTAGAAAGCAAGTATACCAATAACAAGACCGATAACCACGGCACTAAACGCGTCCCACAAACTTTTTTGCATCGAGCTTGACGCTCCTGCCGTAGACGCAGTAGCCACTACTGTTCCCGTTTCTGTCTCTGTTCCTGAACTTGCTGAGGAAGTGGTAATCAGGCTGGATCCACCTGTGGTTCTACCGCTGCTCAATGAAGTTGGACTCGAGGTCGGTGTGAGCAGCCCACTCCAAACAACAACCTCTGTCCCTTGGCTGCTTGTTGTGGCTGATAGAGTAAATGTTTTGCCATCCACAATTGCGATCGAGTTTATAGGTGCAGGGGTAGACACAGGCGCAGATGGAGACGTGGTGAGAGATCCAGAAGCCCCAGGCTTATGGAGAGTATACGCAGACCCACTGACTGTAAACACACCTCCAGGTCCCACACTGACCGTCCTTGTCACAGAAGCAGGGGTCACAGTCGTGGTCCTTGTCGTAGTGGTAGCAAGATCAGAAGTCTCGCCATCGATGACGATGCCGTTTACGGAGGAGGCGAGAGAGTAAGTGGTTCCTTTGACTTCTATCTCAGAGTTGGGAGCTAGCGTTTGTCCGGCGACAATGACTTCTGTTGCTTGAGAAGCAGAGATCGGGGTCAAGATGCCATTGATAGCGACTGCGGATGCAGAGGTAGCGAGAGAGTACGTGACTCCTTGCTGCAGCTCCAGAGCCGGACCACCAGGTGTGAGGGTCTGATCTCCGATCACGTACTCAGAAGCAGAGTTTTGAGTGATAACGCTAGAACCGATGGTGATGACTGGTGCAATAGCGCTGGTAACTATTGAGAAGGCTGGAGAGACAGTAGTGGTGATGAGGGCAGGGGCAGAGACCTTCACTACTGGTGACGCAGTAGGTGTGTCCGGGCTCTGTCCTACTACCAAAGATCCAGAAATTGTGGTTTGCGAACCAACGGTACCACCGGGTGCGACAGCACTAGCAACGACGTGTACCACAGGCACTGATTGTGTCACTTCGGCTGAAGGCACAGAAGGAATGACCAGAGTAGAAGTTCTTACGCCGTTCTCCACGACTGCAGTTTCCGAACCTGAAGCTAGGAGAGAGTACGTGGTTCCAGCGACTACAATGCCGGATCCGCCGGCAGAAAGTGTCTGGGATGCGTACACAAGACCAGAGCTAGGATTTAAGGTGATGATGATCGAGGATGCAAGTGTGATTTGTGGTGCCTCAGCATCAGAAGGTGGACTGTTGACGGGTGCAACCATTGCATTGGACGTGGTGAGTGAGTATACTGTTTCTCCGATGGTAATGGCTGGACCGCCTGCCGACAGCGTTTGAGAGCCAACAATGTATTCGGTCGAAGGGTTGGGCGTTATTGTTGATGAGTCCAGGGTAAGGATGGGGGCGATCGCGACTGGGGTTCTAGTAGCTGAAGAGGGTGCATTGTTTGGTGCACCACTAGGAGAGATGATCTGGGTGTTTGATCGCTGAGGCTCGCCTCCACTGCTAACCACCTGTCCATTTGTCGGGAGAATCAGAAGGGAAGATATCTGGGGACCACCATTGGAACCTTGAGCGATGGTGGTTTGGGACGCATGAGGTGCAGCATTCGACATCGTGCTTGTCTCGGTAGAAGGAGATGATACTCCTTCACTAATCCCGGCGCTAATAGGCAGAACTACAGATGGCGATCCGCTATTGGTTATTCCGCTGCTCAGTTGTGTAGTAGGCACAGAACCATCATTTATTCCGGTGGGGATTCCAGGAACGATACTACCAGAAAGACCAGCATTCGCACTAGGCAAAACAGAGAGTCCACCAGAAACGACTGGGACTTGAGTAGCGCTTGCAGCAGATGATAGACTATTGCTGGCTCCAGTGATCGTCGCGGAGGTCGGTCCAGCTTCAATCCCACTGCTCACTCCGACAGTATCAGATGCTTGTGAGTTTGTCATTTGAGAGACAGAGGTGGGCGTTGCCTGTGTAAAAATTGTCGACAAAGTCCCTTCAATAGAGTTTGACGAGCTCTGTGCGATAGAGGTGGGCTGCTCAACAAGAGGTCCCGAAACTTGATCTGAGTCGGTAGACCGTTGTTGGCTGGCAGTGGGAGTAACTTGCTCAGCATCAGATGTTGTAGAAGAAGCCCGTTCAGCACTGCTCTCAGTGGGACTCTGATCGGTGTAGGCGGGCGAGGTTTGCTTAGTGTTCTCCATCGAAGTTTGTTCTGCAGTTGCTGTCGAGATCTCTTCAGAAGTCGCCGTGATAGCTTGCTGATGAGTTACAGTCGAAGACATCGAAGTCAATGCATCAGACGTCTTCTGCACACTACTCTCTGTCGTGATTTTACTCGAAGGCGAAGGGACAGCCCCACCAAAGTTCTCAGGTCTGGTGGCAATAATTGAACTTGTCTTGTGCGTAAGCGTGCTCACCACAACATGAACGGTCGGCGCTCCTGTGGGCCTCTTTGAGACAAAGTTTGTGCATTCGCTCAACCAAGGGAATTGAGAGGAAATGCTGTCGTTTCGCTGGACCCATTCGATAAACTCTGGAGGTATGGAGTCGAAGTATACTTTTGCTGTTTTTTCATGACGATTAGAAGATGGGTGGTACGGAGGAGAGGTTTGAGGCAATACGTACAAGGCCAATCAACAGTGGAGTTGGACCAGATACCTCCGGTGTATCCAAGAGTTCCTAGATCAGTGTAGTTCGTTGCTTCGACGACGTTTCCAGACTCGTCCAAGTACTTGACATCGAGAATACCAAGGATTGGTTCCGCGTAGGGAGTTGGCGAGGCTCTATTTGCTGCCAGTCAGCCGACAAGATCTCTCATGTGTTAGTACATGACTTACACCACAGTCTTTGTTCTCGTCGCACTCATGCCCCACTCAGTAGTGATTTCAGAGTAGGTGTGGAGTCTCGTCTCGGCATACGTGAACTCTTTCGTCGTAGAGGGAAGAAGCGAAATCAGGTCCGTGGGGACACCAGGGAACTCCCACTGCATGGATGCCAGAACACCCATGGTGGCCAGTCGATCAAAGTCTGTGTAAACTATGGAATTTACTCTTCCAGAGTTCTCGCCTTCGGTGACAGTGAAAGAGGCAGTAAAGCCATTGTATTTTGATGTCGAGTTTGCAAGAACGAGCGTGTTGTTGTACTGAATGTAATAGTCCATCTCTGTTGCAACCTGATAGAGATATTTTGAGTTACTGATTTTGAAGCTTTGGATGTACGGAAACTTACGGTAAATGTGGCATGTTCAGTCCACCACGAGTTCAAGAAGATCTCATTAGGCAACCAGAAACCACAAGATCTGGTAAGACTAGGACCAGGAGTCGTTTGCGATCCTGAAAGTAACGAAGTTTGCGTAGCTTGTGATGTTGTCGTGTTCGCGAATGCGGTACCTGTCGCTGCGATCAGCAGATAACCAAGAGGGCGAGGTATATAATCTTACGTTGAGGGAATGCAACAGCACCTGTTGCTGCGAATACCAAAGCTACCGCCGCCAGACGTGAAGTCTCGCTCGTAGTTGCGATCATGTCGACCAAACGCTGTCTTTGATCCCGGTCGTGATCTCTATGACCTTATTCAACAACGTGTATAACACAGAGTCGTAGTACCAGACTTTGGTCTGAACAGATAATAGAAAACCTCGACCTAACAGAAAATAAATATCAGGGAGATGAAGGGAAAGCAAAAGGACTCAATTAGACGCACTGAGTTCGACCTACTATTCATATATGCGAAGGTCATCTGAAGGATTCACTACCCTATATGCATGATGCCGACCCAGCAACAACGCAAACGCGCTTTGCGCGCCGTGCCATAGAATGCTTAACCGATATGCGAGATCCATATAAGATATTAGGCACCTACTTCAAAAGGCAACGAGTGAAGGATCGAAGCGAAACAATAGATGAGATTGTAGAAGCATATCAGAGTACAGGTGTGCTCCACAACAAACGATTGGTCGATGTCGTGTCCGAAGGATTTCTTGGGTGCAGGGACCAGATATTTCGGCGGCACAAGATGTAAGCCTGCAAGGTACAGCCCTACCTCCCTGAGGTTAGTGAATTGTTGTCTAGCATGCGACATACACTGCTAGACGAAAGCTCTCCGCAAGCCACTTCGCCAGCTCCTTTAGTTCTGACAAGAGGTAGCTTGATTGTCGAGACTGGAAGCGGGATACGTTGAGAAACCTGAGACGAGGCTGGGAGGTGCAGTGTAATATATCCAGCCTTGGCGTGCATGACCTTCGGTATTGCCCCTGTTTTTGGACAAAGGTTTGCGCATGTGCTTATACAGCGACTTTGCAATAAGTGTCCAGAGCGTAACAGGGCTTAACAGGAATTGAGTGCTCGAGTGCGGTATTTGGAACTTGGACACGATTTTCTAATCTGAAAATTACTGGCAAGAGCTTAGCCCGACAGGAGGAATCTTTTGAGATCAGGGAGGAGAGACCACTCTTGTCAATGTCTTTCGTATTCACATTGTCAAAGCGATTCGTGTCTTCTGTCAGGGTGCTTGCGAGAATTTACCCTACCTCGCTGTGATTATCGCTTGATTATACCAGAAGCGAAAACGATTTGGTCAGACCATGATGTTCATCGGTGAGCGAATGCTCATGAACATGAACCTCTGCACTGCTGCAGCAAACCAACCAAGTCGCTTCTCAACTCCTCCCAATCAGGGCACTGCTTCTCATTCGCCTCGACCATGCTTAGAATCCATTTCGCCATGCCTTGACATTTTATCCTTGCATCCAACCCATCGGGAAGTCTGCCTTTCTTGAGTTCATGCAACATCTCATGCCTTTCCATCCTGGTGCCAAAGGGATGCAACAATTCAAAAGCGATAATTCCCAACGCGTAGACATCCAGGCTTGGTGAGTTGTCACGCGTCACTGTGTAGGGACGGTATATCTCCGTGCCTACTGCCTTGCAAGAAGCACCCACCAAAGGAGGTGTATCCTCTGGTCTCGCAATGGCGGAAACAAGACCAAAGTCACCAATACAAATGCTGATGTTGAAAGGACGGGGGATGTTTTGACCTGCGCAAGAGCAACAGTTGTGTAGTGAGAGGGCGCCGGGCGGGGGCTTCGAACCCTCTCGTATGGCGAGGAAGATGTTGCCAGGTTTGAGATCGCGATGGACAATTCCTTCTGAATGCAGATACTCGACTCCTTCAATGATTGAAGAAAGGATCTCCAGCGAAGAGTGCGCATGGAAGCAGTGGCGGAGTGATGAAATGTGATCGCTGGCAATGGGATATGTGGTTGGCGCGAGAAAATCGGAGAGGGTCATGCTGTATAGCGACATTTGTATGTGAAGCGCTAGAGACGGTGATGAAGAGGTATGTCGTTGTTGGTTGGTACTGAATGATGAGGTGTCATAGCTGCTCTCTGATGGCTCAATCCTGCGCGTGATGACTTCGACTTCGCTTTCGTCGCTCACGCTCGCGACTGTGCCGCGACTGGGTACCTTCTGGAGAGGCGCGCCTTCGGAGTATGACCTGAAGAACGAATTAGCGACAGAACCATGCAGAACGACGACCTATGAATAGATCTGGCTGTCATCGGCTTACCCTGGTTGGAGAGATTGAGTATCAGAGGTGGCTGGTCCTGATCTCCTTGAATCCTCGAATATGACATCTTCCTCTTCCTCTTGAGTAGCGAAGCGTTGATTGCGACCAAACGACATCTGGAAGGGACCCTCATCAGCATCTAAGTCGTCATCATCATAGCCGAATTGCACGTCAATGGCCGGTACATCAGGACCGTAGCCCTCTGACACATAGTCTTCTTCTGACTCTTCGGGCGCCTCGAGCAACTTGCGACCATTAGACTCGAGCGCTTGTTTGTTGGATGCTAGTGGTGCCCACTCAATCCATCCGCTATGATACCGAACAATATTCGGATGCTCTAAGCGTGCCAACGTGCGCACTTCGACGAGTATGTGGTCAAGCTCCGCCTGCCCATTTTCCTGGATCTTGCGCATACGCGTCGGACCCAGCGGTATCTTCTTGATGGCATAATGTCTGCCGTCCAGGTTGTGCTTGCATCGAAACACAGTGCCATAACCACCCTTGCCAAGGATACCAAATTCTTCGAAGTCCCGGGTGTATCTCGTGGAGTTGAGCAAGGGATGTCCAGGAAGAATGCCGTTACCAAGAAGTTTGGGCTGAGCGTGCAAGTCTGAACCGGCGATTGCAAGGTCACTGAACCGTCGGCTCATGTCGATGGTTGCTGACTGATCTCCTCCCATCAGCTGGAGCAAAGGTCCAGGTAATTCATTGGCTCTTGACTGTGCCAGAATCTCTTCGATTGGTGTTTGGAGATCAACAGATTTTCGTGTGATCACAGAGAGACCATCTCGATAGGTCTGGCGAAGAGGACCAAATTGGTCGGAATCCAGATCACCGGTTTCCAGACCATATCTGCCAAGTTGTCGTGAGAGTCGAGCGTACTTCTCCTTGGCCAATTTTTGAACTCGTGGATGATCTTTGCCATCAAATCCAGCGGCTTTCAAGTCATCTAATGCCTCGTTGTAGCAGCGTTCTTCCAGTAGGGCGTGTAGTAAGAGGTCGCGGTGATAGCTAGAGCTCCGAGAGCCTTCTGCAAGAGCCTGCGTCGCACCCGGTCCAGACTGCTCTTCCGCAGCGATACTTGACCCTAGTGTGCGTACTCTTGTGATCTGTTGATCGCTGCTGTCGGACTCATCACTGCTCTCGTCTGAGGTGCTTTCTTCAGGAGAAGAGCTAATATCGGCCGCGGACCTGAAAAACGACGACATTATGTTTTCTCGGAATCAATTGTGCGTTGTTGTTTGAGCGACATAAGACTTAACATCTTACGTGTTATGCTTGGCCGATGTAAACGATGGTTGTCGTGAGGTTATCTTTGACGTTCTTTGAGATTCTTCAGAGTTCAGGCAGTCAAGCGCATACAAGGATTGCTTTCCAACAAGATTCAGCATAATGCTGCCTGTTTTGTGAGGACAAAAAGACAACCCAGTTGACGTGACATCAGAAACAATGTATATTGATTCTAATTACTGGAGAAGGTCTGAAGAACGTTGCGGCGAGATGAGACATGACTGGCCAAAGGTCTGTGTTGAGGCCAGAATTCTTGGCCATTGCAATCCTTCCGCGCTTTCCTTGCTCTTCCGCTCCTGCCTCGTGACCAGACCAGACACTCCCTTCTGTATATCATTATAACAACAGCTCACTGCAGGGGAGTACGTCTCTCTGGACTTTCTGAATTTTCTCACTCGTTCGCCATGCCTACCAAGTCCCAGATCACGCGGCTGATGGAACCTTCTCCAAATATCCAAAGGTCCTTCCTTCCTGGTCCAGCAAACTGGATGTTGTTCACCGTGAAGCCAGTCTCGATGCGCAAAAGCACTTCTCCGTACGCGCTCAACACAGTCACACCGCCACCTTCAGCCGCCAGCAAGTATCCATTCTGCGCGACATGGAAGCCATCATCTCCAAATGTCTGAGCCAGGTAGATCGGACGCTTGTTGGTAATGTAGGACCCTGCCGGCGACGCAACGACATCAAAGGCGTAGAGTGAATTTCCTCCGAGAGGATTGTAGGTATAACGAGGCAAAGGGCCATCTGTGGGATAGTTTTCGAAGTCCGTCACGCCAGTGTCGCTGATGTACATAGTAAGACCATCTGGAGACATGCCGATACCATTGGGCTGAGCAATGCTGTCTTCCACTATGGAGACACGCCCGGTAGACGGTCTGAAGCGGTAGGTTGCAGGTCGGAGTACTGGATATACGGTGACATTGATGGCATAGCCATACCAGGAGTCGGTGAACCAGATGTCGCCTTGTGCATCTATCCAAAGATCATTAGGACTGTTGAATGCCTGGCCGAAGTAGTTGTTGAGCAGGGTAGTGACCTCTCCAGTAGCAGGATCAAGCTCGTAGATACCAGGTCTTTGAGCAACCAGGGATCCGTTTCGAGGCGAGGGAAACGAGAAGCCTGCCTCCACAGCCCAGTAGACCTTGCTATTGAAGAGCTTACCACCATTCACAGCATAGACAGGCGGAGTGGTGGTATAGTTCTCCAAGCGAGGTGTCGAACCATTGAGATGAATGATCTGTTGTTGGTATATGCCTTGATGAGGTAAGGAGAAGATGATTGCGTCTAGTGCAGGAACGTATACAGGACCTTCATGAATGGAGTCATTTCTGCTGGCAAAGACGTGCTCTAGCTTCGGAGTGGATCCCAGTATTTGGCTACCGCGTTCGTCAAAAACCACAAAAGTCGCGTTCTTTACAAGCTGGAAAGACGGGTCGGAAGGCACTTGAGTGTCAACGAAAGTGTCGTTCGAGGAGAAGGTCCCTCCAGTCGAACTTTGACGGGTGAATGATGGTGGCATGGACGATGCATAGCGGTTGATGCAAACCACATCAGTATTATTTGTATAGCCAGGACATGCTTGGGCGAGCGGACTGATATTAACAGACTGAGCGAGGGCTTGTCCTAGAACACATGACAGTACGCTGACACCGCGAAGTAAGGCCATGCCGATGGATGCAATTTGCACGAAGAAGAGAGATGAATGATAGGAGGTAACTTTGTATGCACAACGAGGTTGATGTCTCTTTTGTAAGTACGAATATGGTCTTGGTAGGATGACGGAACTGGTTCGGAACAATGACTCTCTTCAATACGCCGACGAAAGTAGAGAGTAGTCACTAGCCAACTGCTGCCCCTCATGCATTATCCTAGAAAAGAGGCTGGGAGAGGAGCCGAACCGGCCCCACATTCTGGCTGACGACATCAAATAGGCTTCCCATCTCGAGACCAGGTACCAGGAACATCCATCAAGCTGCAAAGTCCTACGTTTTTGATATGCTTAGGAGGAGAGGTCAGTTTGATCGTTACCATGTTCCCCGGCTTCTCTCGAACATGTACCAGAAAGTCAATGTTGGAAGGGGCCGAACGGTGGTGAGCTTATCCACGGCTTGCATCATGAGTGTAGCGCCTCGAGCGGTGTGGGCTTCCAACTTTCCATCGGCCAGAGGGATGTTTGCATTATGTAGAAGTAGAAACTGGTCTCATGATCGTTTGCTTTTATGAGCAGAGACAAAGAATATTGACAGACCAGCGCCATTGGTCCATCGCGTGTGACCGCTTACTGTTGCCACTCAAACTCAACCCAGAACCGGTCGCAATGGTCCAAAATGGCTCATGTTTTCATCCTGATGTTTTTCCTTCGTCGTCTAGAGTGATGGTGTTGTGTTGCGTGATTTTTGTGAAAATGGCTCACAATTTGGTGGCAGACTTGAAATCGCGCAGAGCCGCAGGAGCGATGCAGATTCACTTTCAAGAAATGTTTGTGGCAGTGTTCGATGAAGTTGGCTTTCCTCTGAACCTTCACGTAATCGAGGTGCGGTACGACGTGCTGATACTTTCTGCTGTACCTGTACACCGCACTTCTCTTGTATAAAGAAGAGTTCTCCCCTGGAAAACGTAGGTAGGCATATCATCTGAACTCACAGTCTTCTCTCGCAAACACTTCCATCTGAGCAAAGCACTTCTCTCAAGACATTTCTCTCAAAGCACATCTATCATCACCATGTTTGAATCAACAACCGCCTCGACGACATCGTCCCTGCTACCTCCACCATCCAACACTGCAGACTCAAATACTCGACGACCAAGTTTGAGCGCATTCAAATATCCCACAGCTTCAGAGACAACAACACACACAGGTAAGCTACGATGCCAGAATGGATGTCTGTGACATGTCTGATCGATCGGAAAGATGCTGCTTCGTCAACAGCGCAAATATCTTGCGCGTACCGAAGGCGTTATGCTTCGTACCTGGCCGCGTCGTTCGGCATAAGCTTCGAAGCGGCACTTGCAGACACAGACGCGCAATTGGCACCTCGAAGACCTTCGTATGTGTCGGAATCGGAACTCGATCGCAGAGAATGAGTTTTGCAAATCATAATGATGGCGTTAAGGTCGGAGGGGTGTTTCGGATCATGGTATTTGGCCAGTTTGGCCAAGCTTGTAGGCGTCAATGATGATTTAATGACAGTTGAGTCGCCCACACCGGTTGTGTTGTGAAACCTGATGTTTGTTTGTCAAAACACATGTTGAACATGGTGTTGACATGTTGAACACACGAAAAGACTCGATACAATGGTATGCCGCAGCGAATCGCTGTCAAATGCAAGAAGAGTGGACTTTCAAGGAGCATAGCTGTGACATAACCAGACCTCGGCAAAAGTTGCGGTCTGTGTGGCCTGATTTGGTGCGAAATCCTGACTCCACCAATTTCCTCAATAATTCAAACATCTTACAAGTCAAAGTGACCCGCTGCTTTACTATTTTCGCTGGAAGCGTCTTGACTGTCTCCCTGTATCAGGCACATTTACAGTGAAGCACGTCAACACGAGCCCGTGGTGAATCAAGAGGGACCGTCAGCCGGCAGGCGATCTCGAAGCTCAGCTGTGCTCGGCGCGAAGATGGCCTCAACGGATGACCAGAAATCGTCCCAGGCCTCAACACAGGACGCGAAGACAGTGCAGAATGGGCAGCATCTCCAGGACTCGAAGACTGATAACAAGCAACAAGTCGCGAAGCAAAACAAAGGAAATGGCAAGGTACTGACCCCATGGGTCTACGATCTTGGACTGGGAACCTTCAATCTTGCTCTTGATGTCTTCTTCAGAGAAATCTATCCGAGAAACACTTTCAGAATTCCTAAAAAGGGCCCGGTCATCATTGTTGGCGCACCTCATGCCAACCAATTTGCTGACTCCATCATTCTTATGCGTCTGTTGAAGCAACATGTCGGGCGTCGCATGTCTTTTTTGGTGGCTGAGAAGTCGATGAAGGAGCCCTACATCGGTGCCATGGCCGGCAAGATGGGTTCTCTGCCAGTAACTAGAGCTATGGATCACGTCAAGCCTGGTCAAGGATACATCTGCCTTCCGGATCCGGAGAACGATCCAACCCTGGTCCGCGGTGTGGGCACCAACTTCCTCAATGGTCAGTACATGCACGGTGGCAGCATCATCATGCCCAAGCGTCCTGGTTCGAAAGCAGCACCCGAGAGTCAGTACATCGAGGAGGTTCTGGGTCCTAGAGAGTTCCGTCTGCGCGAGCCATTCAAGACCGAGGACGCACTGCTCCAGCTCACTGGTACGAGCAAAGCTCCTGACGGCAGTAAGATCAAGGGCACCAAGTTCAAGGTCGCTCCCCACATCGACCAGAATCGTATGTTTGATGCTGTCTACCGTGAGCTTTCAAAGGGTGCCTGTGTTGGAATCTTCCCTGAAGGTGGATCTCACGACAGAAGCGACTTGCTGCCGTTGAAAGCCGGCGTTGCCATCATGGCTCTGGGATGTCTGGCTCGCGACCCAGATTGTGGCCTTACCATTATTCCTGCTGGCATGAATTACTTTCACGCACACAAGTTCCGATCCCGAGCTGTTATTGAGTTCGGTAATCCCATCGATGTACACCCAGATCAAGTCAAAGCATTCAAGGCTGGAGGTGCCGAAAAGCGCGATGCCATCGGATCATTGTTGGAGACTATCTACGAGGGTCTAGCAGCAGTAACACAGCCAAGTCCGGATCACGAAACTTTGCAACTCATCCAGGCTACTCGTCGTCTTTACAACCCTCCTGGTCGCAAACTTCCTCTTCCCGTGGTCATTGAGTTCAACAGACGTCTGCTCAAAGGATACACTAAGTATCAGGATGATCCACGTGTAGGAAAACTGAAGAAGGCAGTTGTCGATTACAACCGTCATCTGCGCGCACTGGGCATCAAGGATCACCAGGTTGAGTGGGGTGATGCTTCTGCACGCCCTTGGTGGTGGTGCTTGGCTACATTGCTCTACCGTCTGGGCGAATTGCTGCTTCTGGCTCTGGGTACACTGCCCGGTATCCTGATGTTCTGGCCCGTCTTCGTGACTTCGAAGATGATCTCCATCAAGAAGCAGAAGAAGGCGCTTGCCGGCTCGGTCGTCAAACTCCAGGGACACGACGTTATGGCAACCTGGAAGATTCTAGTCGCGATGGCTTTGGCACCTGCGCTGTACATCTACTACACCGCGCTTGTGAGCTCCTGGCTCTACTACAACCGCATCGGCGGACAGTACACCTATTCATTGCCCTGGTATCTGCGTGCGAACACCTACATCCCCGACTTTGTCTCTCTCTGGCAATTCTCCATCTTCTTCTTCGCACTCATGGTCTCCGTCTCCTTGGCCGCCCTCCGCATCGGCGAGATCGGCATGGACATTCTCAAATCCCTGCCTCCTCTCTTCGTGGCTCTGAACCCAGCCTCATCAGCCTCCCTCACCAAACTTCGCGCCCACCGCAACGCCCTCGCAAAGCAAGTACGCGAGACTACCGACGCCATTGGACCCGATGTCTTCCCTGGAATGGTCGCTCGCGGCATGGAACAATCCCAAGACGACGAACACGAAGGCGAAGCCTACCAATCTCAAATGAAGAGAAGTTCTCTAGCCGACAAAGCCGACGAGCGAAGCAGAAGTCGTGGGCCGGGACCATTCTGGTGGCCTGATGCTCTCACCCCTGCTAGTAGATCCACTTCTTTCTCTCTGGAGTCATGGGCTCCTGATAGCAGAAGGGGGAGTGAAAGAAGAGGTAGCGAGTGGAGACCAAGTGAGAGAAAAGGCAGTGAGTTCAGAGGAAGGGGTAGAACACAGGAGCAGTCTCAGGAAAATGGCGAGGAAAAGGAAAAGGTTGATGAGTATATTGACTACAGTTACTAGCGCATTTCTTGCACATTCTTTACTTTTACATACATAGTTGTCTAGCGCATTCCAGTACATAATGAATGATTCAACGAAAAAAAATTCTGCCAATTCTGATGGAGTCCTTGTGCCCTTTCTCTTGGATGTGTATGTCTTCGGCCAGTGCATGCCAAAACAGTGCTGCCCGAATCAAAACAAATTGCAAAACGTACAGCAGCAGGGATTCCCACGTGGTCACCCACCGTAGTACTAATCTGCCGTTCAACTGCTTATGTATGGCAGAGCGGACGGGATGCCTAGTTTTCAGCTGACTGTGGCCGTACGTGAAGAAGTGGTCAATTGCATTGAAAATATAAAACCGCATAACACATCGATAACGCTGCTAATCGCTGCGTAAAGAAACCTCTTCCTCATACATAAAGTCAGTGGTGTATCTGCTTGACCCTTCACATCTCGGCAGCTATCATCAATCGACCGGATCTGACACAAGAGTCACGATTAGAAGGCCAGAACCATGTCTTCCATGATAGCGAAGCTCAGCAGCATCATCTCAGTCGCTTGCTAGTCACACTCAGCATCATCTGCTTCACGTCTCTCACAGCAATCTTCATGATCTTCGCCTCAAACCTCGGCAAACCTCTAGGCCATCTACTATTCAGCTGCGCCTACGTTATAGCCGGATGGAAGCACAATCAGACCACAGAGAAGGAAACAAGAGTATCAGTGGCTTTGCTCATCATACCCTTGACTCTAAGTAACCTGGTCTTCAAAATCTGTTCTCGATGAAACACTAGCAAGCACGAGGCAATCCTGGCTTGGTTCGCCTGTTTTGACTCATATCGGATCTGTGTATCCAAGAGCTGGATTGGAAGTTGCCTTGACAAAATCTTTGCTCAGTGCGTCTATCGTTGTAGGCAGAGCTAGCTTCAAGAGCCTCTATACGCAAGCCTTAGCACCTCATCCTCGATACAATTCCGCTCTAAGCAACGCAGGAATTTCTTGTTGTCTTTTTGAAACATTGCGATTGTCGAGTCTGACCTGCAAATCTATCATCTTGCACATTGATGTACATTGGTGGCTGGAGAAAAAGTACAATCTGTATTTCCGTAGCCAATTCCCTGTTCAACTTCCCAGCTTTAGATACCGGGACCACTTGTCAAAAAGAAAGGGAATCGAGCCATGGAGTTCGACGGAGATAGAGCAATGTAGCATACAATGTCTGCTCTGGATAGCTGCTCTTCCCAATCTCATACAACTCACTCCCTCGAAGGCTTGAATCGCCGGTTGCAGTATAGAAAATGCAAATGATGGTTTCCCCGAAATAGAGGCTTATCCAAAGGAGAGTCTGGTATAGATCGTATCTCCATGGACATCAATCCTTGTTGTCCAAAATACTGTGTATCTCCTAGCTTACTACACAAGGAAGAAGCCATAGAAGCGGGAGCAAAATAATTTCCCAAGAGTGATGAGGGAACGAGTAACGACATGAAGAGAGCTATCTGGAAGGGGAAAACAAGCATAAATGTCATGATCAGCGAGGCAGGACCGCTCTAAAACAGCAGTCGAAAAGAAATAAACGGTATAAGAAGATGATGAGGATATATCAGAGGATCCAGAGACCCAACTCCCCAAATCCGCCTTGCGGTCCAGCCGCCTCTGACTGAAGGGTCAGATACGGTTTACCTAGACCACAGTGATGCAGGCGTCGTAACCAAAAAATGCAGACGAATTTTTCTCTCCTTCGCAAACGAAGAGCACTCCTCTATTCGTCATCCTTGACATTGCCATTGGGCTCAACAGCAATCTCAACCATCTCACCCACACCCTCGCTCGCATCAGTAGTGATCGCCTGTGCCTCGTCAAGATTGATCCCCAACCTAATCTCCTCTTTCCTCTGTCTCGCCGCCTCTGTTTCTCTTCTCATAGCCTCCAAGTTCCAGTTATCGTCGTCTTCGGCATCTGAATCGTTTTCGTCGTTCCAGTCGCCCTTTTCGAACAAGGCGCGACCGGTGGCTTCCTTCATCTTTTGAGCTTCTTGTTCGGCGGCCTTTTTGTCCATGCGTTCCTTTTTCCATTTTGCAAAGGTTTCTTCGTTGACTGGGGTCAGGGTGCCGGTGAGTTTGTGGCGTTCCGAGTCGAGGAAGTCTTCGAGGGTTAGGGTGTTGAGGGGGGATTTGTCCATGAGGGCCTTTTCGGCGGCGCGTTGTTCTTTTGTCTTGAGGACGAAGCTGAAACAGTGTTAGTATGGGGGAGGAGATGGTGGGGACAGCAAGAACAAAAACATACCCTGGTGGTAAACTGTGCTTGTACATGCACTTATCGCCGCCGTTGGGACAAGTCCAGAACCAACCATACTTGCCGTTCTCGACAGCCTCGATGAAGAACTTGCACACCTTGTCGGTTGTCGTCTTGGGGTTACCGTGCTTGGACTTGACGACATCACGCAACTTCTCCTCATCCCAATCAGCCATATCATCCTTCTTCCGCTCCTCATCCTGCTGCTCCTTCTCCAATTCCCTCGTATCGGTGTACAAACTCTTCTTTTCACCCTTGATGCCCTGGCTCAAGTCGTGCGAAAACTTGCACTTCCTGCCCTTTTCACAAGCGCCCTTTTTGAAAAACTGACACAGCACCGTCTTGGGATCGACACCGAAAGGGACTTTTTGGATTTGGACGGGCTTGAAGAGTTCGGCGGCTTCGCGTTTGGCGGCTTCGGCGGCCAGCTTTTCCTTCTCGCGCTGTAGCTTTTCGGCTTCCTTCTTCCTTTGGTCGGCGGGCAGGGTGGAGGTGGCGTTGATTTGCTTGATGGCGCGTTGGGCGGCACCACCCTTTTTGTTCTTCATGCCGAACGTCTTGTCGACGGCGACCTTTTTGGGGGCGTTGTCCTGCTTTTTGGGCGGCATGATGGGCGGTGGGTTGGGGGTGTTGGCTCAGAGCAGAAGAGAGCGAGAGTGTATGCCCGTGGTTGGGATGTGGTTGTGCGGGAGGTAGATGGGTGTGCCCGTGGTGGGGGATGGCTAAGGTAGATGCTCAGACTTCCTGACGTGAGAATTGTGAATTTGGAAGTTGCGTGGTTCTTTGGCGTCCCCACCTGTCGTCACTTCCCTCGAACTCGAGAATTGTGAATCTTGGCGTTTGGCTCTCCTTCCTTTGGTGGCCGCTCGCGATACCTTCCCGTCTCGGCGTGTCGGCCACTGTACACGTACGCTCAAGACACCTTGATCAGCGAGCTATACCACGTACTCAGCTCTGCTTGCCAACCACCCTACTCTCAATAGCTGCAGCCATCTTCTACCCATCCAACCAAATCCCATACTCGACCCACCTCCTCCTTGCCAACCACAACCGCAAGTCACTTCCCCTCAACCCGTACAAGCCCGGCCAAGAAGCTCACATTACCGTTCAGCTCCACAACATCGCAACAATGATCTCAGACGACCAACTCTACCAACTCGCCATTTTCCTCGGCAGCGTCAGCATGCTCCTCATCGTCCTCTACCACTTCCTCGAAGTCAATGCCGAAAACGACGACAAGACCCTTGTGTCCGCCGAGCGCAAGGCCGATACCGTCCCCGGTGCGAAGCCTGTTAGATCATAGATGCTGCGTTTCAAACGCATGTTGGAGTAGAAGAGAACAAGAAGACAAAGTGTGCTTTACATGGCTAGGCGTTGAGGGAGTCTTTACAGCAAGCCCGTCGCTGATGTTGCTTTGCGCGACGGGCCTGCTTTTTATTTCAACATACAGGGAAGGATACCAAAAGAGTTTTCGTTTTGTTTGTGAATTATATCTTGTTTTCGTCTATCATTGGTTATGCACCTTGCGACACGACGCTAGGTATTGCTCGCTGCAGCCGAGCCTTGGTCAGAGCTATCTAATGCTTCTTGACCTATACTTCTGTGTCGATCTCTCTGCGTATCCCACATTCACACGCCTAATTCCTCGGGCGGATAAGCTGGGGCTCCCTCGGGATTCACAACTTCATAAAAGTCTTCATCGTGAAGAAAGTTGCGTCTACGCTCCTCGGTAAACAAGACACAGCCTGATTTAGTCAATGCTGGTCCAACGAGCCTCTTCTTCTCCTCCATCTGCTGCAAAAGCTTTTCATCATTCAACTTCGATCCAGTGAGGTTGCTGAGTCTTCGTGCTGCCGCCTCTGCCGCTTGCTGTACTCGCCAGTCCTTGGTGCCTGGCTTCAGCGGTTCCATTGAGATGATCGGCGTCACCAGTCTGCCGTGTGAGTCTGAGAGATAGGCATCTGACCTTTCAGAATAGTCGTCTGAATGCCATGTGTTAGCAACAAAGGAAAGCTCTTTAAACAATCTTCAAAGGATTCAAGAGCCACCTGATAGTCCTGAGCGAGGTCCATCTCCCAGAGTGCGTGTGATTGGCTTGACGTGTATCTTTTCCATGTGCTCCATCCATGTTGCCATGTCGTCGAATGCAGTCACTTCGTCCTCTTGGAAGCAGCCGATCCATGCGCATTCGTAGTCGCCTTCTGCTGTCTTTTTGCCGTGGACTTTGAGAACGTGTTTGCGAAGTGTGTCGACATTGTGCAGCTCTGAACCGCAATCCTCCCATTCACACTTGTAAACGTTGAACTCGACCTCGGGCTCCTTTGCTTCGACAACTGGTTTTGCAGGGCGACCACGACGCTGTTTTGGTGGCGCATAGCTTGGCACTGCTTGATTACGAGCAGTTCGCTGAGCCGCTGATGATTTGAGAATTGTGCTGTCACCGATCTCGCCTGCTGCTGCTGCAAGTGCTGCCTTACTATGGACGCTCTTGCGCCAGCCGACCGGGCGACCTTTTCTCTTGATCGGGTTACCAAACTCATCATACTCAGTAACTGCTGAGCGGAACGCTGTATAGCCGACCGGCTTGTCTGGAATTGGTGTTGACGACATGTTTGGGGTTTGTTGCTTGCGAGGTGTCTCGGATGGTGTCGCGCGCTGATGCGCCTCGGTATGCCGGCGCGTCGAGGATTTAGCCGACGATTTTCCGTTGCCAATACTTAGGCTCGCGGTCGCCGGCAGACTCTTGCGTTCAGACTGTCGCTTGGGGTTGGGGAACGGCTTTCTGAAGCGACCTGGATGGCCTTTGGTCTTGGTCGTATCAATTTCGACGGCAACAAGCTGGCTGGAACCGTGGCGACCGGATATGAAAGGTGCTGGCGAGTTCTCGGCTGTGGAAGCTGCAGCGGCAGTGACAGGTGGAACGTCTAAAGTGAGTGGTGCTCCGCCTTCGTCTTCACTTCCACCCTCGTCATCAGCGTCTGTTGCGTTCTTCTCCTTTGTCTCTGCTTCGAGAGTGGACTCTCTATCTTCTGCCTCTGCAGCTTCCAGGGGCTCGTCTATCGGCTCGCCTGGATCAATCAGATCCCAGCGAATCGTGTCGAGATCGAACTTGTCCTGTTCGACGTCCTTGGAGTGTAGCTTGAGGAAGTTGTGCATCGAGTTGAGATGTTGATTCAACGGTCGCATGTCTGGATGACGTCCTGTCGCCAGAAGGACATCTCTGCAAATCGTTCGCGGATCGTATCTGGACTTGCGCGCAACCTTGGCACGTCGGACCGGCTCGACCAGAGTCAGAGCCTTGAGTTCCATGTGTTTGCTGATGACCATTGGACGTAGCTTTGTGGCAGCAGACGAGGGTACAGGAACTGTAACAGGGTGGTATTGGCCATTGAAGTAGTATTGCTGAAGATTCGGGACCACAGGAGGATTGAAATGACCATTACTGTGAACAGTATTGACTTGTTCGGAAATCATACCCGTATCGTATTGTCCAGTGTTGACTTGCTTTGCTGCTGGAGGCATGTCCTCGTCAGAATCTGAGTCCATTGCTGTCATGTCAACAAGCTCGGCAAAATTACGCTTGCGAGCTGCTTCGTCCTTGTTGGCTGGCGGTGGTCGTGGTACTGCTGGAGAAGGCGCTGGTCTTGCAACATTCGATGCTTGAGCGGACTGCTGAAAGTATGGACTAGAGTACTTGCGGTGCTGCTCTTGAAATTTTATTGTCACTGCGCGTTGTTGCTCTTGTTGATGATGTTGTTGTAGGTGTTGCGGCTGAGGTTGAGGAGGAGTGTAAGACGTCGGGTAGAGTGGAACATCATCTGCAGGAGCCCACTGTGCCTGGTAGTTCACGATAGGCGCGTCAACAGGATGAGCTCCAGAGTAGTATGGCCGAGAAGAAGGTGGAGCAGATGTGGTCGGAGGTACTGAGTCGCGACCGGTAAGATCCACTACATTCTGCTGATCTTGAAGAGCAGCCAAGGCAGCACGACTGGGCCGACCTCGTTGTCCTGGAAATTTGCCAATGTTAGGATACTTTTGTGACAACGATATCTTTGGCGTGGCTTGACCAGAAGCAGAAGCAGACGGTGGAACTACAGCTGCTGGAGGTTGCGCTGACGGAAGTGCAGGAGATGCAGGTTTTGCTTTGGCAGCATCGGGAACGACTGATAACAAGGCACGAGCAAATTGAGCCCGATCGACGTATAATCCCATACGTTCAAGGCCTTCGCATAGAGTCATATACGAAGGGTTTGGTGCAATCAACGCATGAACCTCCTCAACCGAGACTAACTTGTTGACGTTCTCTGGTCTTGCGTTCAGCCATCTTGTAGCGGTATCGGCCAAAGTTGCCTTCTTGCCAGGAGGCCAATGAGAGTTGGGACCTCCTGGAGGCGGAGGTACGCTTCTAGCATTCGATTGGGCATCGTTGCTAGGTCCAGCAGTAGCCAAACGGGGAGCAGGAGCAGGAACAGGTGGTCGGGAAGGTGCAGCAGAAGTCATAGGCGCTTGAGGTGCTTGAGGTGCTTGAGGTGCTTGGTTCGGAGCTGGGTTGAACACAGGTCGTGCAGGTCCCTGAGACTGCTGCGGTGTAGCAGGAACGCGAACTGGAGCTGGAGCAGGTGCTGGAGTGTTACCTTGTGATTTTGTGAGATGGGCCTGCCTCTCAGTCTCCCACATACGTGCAAACATCTGAGGGTCAGCCTGGTTCAAATCGCGCATTTTTCTGAAGATGGCGGCCATCTCAGTCTCCAAGTCGCCACCACCGCCACCACTAGTAGCTCCGCTGGCCATCATGGCAGCGGCCATCATACGCTGAGTATCCTGGAGAGATGTGGCTGCGGTAGGTGCAGGGCGCTGCTGCTGTTCGTGTTGCCCTCGTCTGGCTGCTTCCTGGTTCGCCATTTCTCGCGAATGGCGCAAGCTCTCGGCCTCCTTGGCTTCCTCTTTGCGCTTCTCTTCAGCCTTCCGCGCTTCTTCAGCTTTGCGCTTTGCTTCTTCTTCTTCTTCTTCTTCTTCTTCTTCTTCTTCTTCTTCTTTTCGCTTAGCCTCTTCTTCTGCTTTCTTACGGGCCTCCTCTTCAGCCTGTTTCCTTGCTTCCTCTTCTGCTTTACGCTTTACTTCCTCTTCAGCCCTGCGTTTTGCCTCTTCCTCGGCCTTGATTTTCGCTTCTTCCTCAGCTCGTCGCTTCTCTTCAGCTTCGGCCTTTCGTCTTGCTTCTGCTAGTTTTCGTTGCTGCTCCGGCCAAGGGTCGTAGACCTGCACAGGATCTACGGTAGTAGGACCAGAACCGTAGCCCTGATCTTGAGTGCTGGAGTTATGGGCGTACGAAGAGCTGGCTCGTTGCTGGACCGAACTCGGAGTGACGCTCGGCGCACGAGGCTGGCCAACGTTTGCGGATGTATGTGAAGCAGTAGCGGTCAAGTGATGGTCGCGAGGGGCTGTCGAGGCCACTGAAGAGATGCTGGATCGAGGGTTGCTGGGCTGCTGTTGTCGACGAGCTATGTAAGGGCTGGCCGCGCGAAAATTCGAAGTAGAGTAGTCGTAGGATATAGGCTGGTCCGATGTCGTCGTGTGGGCTCTCGGCTGCTCTGACTGAGTGTATGAGGAGTAGGAATATGTGTCGTTGTTACTAGCGGGTTGGGTGTAAGATTGAGCGGGGCTGTAGTTGGCAGTAGTGGTAGACTGCCTTTGTTCCTGCTGGTATAACGGAGATGGATTGGCAGTTCGTCGATCAGCGTTGTGCCAGGAGGTTGAGGTTGTGGCTGAGGAGTGGTGCTGCTGAGTCGACGGCCGATCGGATGTGTTCCATGAGGAGTCTGAGCGAGAGTTTGTCTCGTATTGGGAGTTTGACGGTCGAGTGGATGTGGCTGGGTGGTCCTGGGCACTCAAGTGGCTCAAAGTCTCGGCAGCGCGGCTCTCGGTCGAGGGGTAGTTGTAGTAAGATTGATTCGAGTAGCCAGCGGTATACGATGACTGGTATCCAGCTGGAGCAGAAGGCTGTGTTTGAGGCGTCTGAGTAGAAGTGCGGTCCTGTTGCGAGGTGGACTGGTTCGAATTCGGGGTGTAATAATTCCGATGGTGCTGTTGATTGTACTGGCTGCCGACAGGATCGTAGCGGTTGCCGTAGTGGGAGTTGTACGGGTCCATAACGATGCGACAAGCAACAAGCGGTATGGGATGCGAACGCGACTACCAAAGACAGTTGAAATGACGCGCCGTCGGTTCCTTGGCGAGGAGGCGTGATGTCGCGAAGTTGGTCCTTCATTTGGCCAGAGTGTGATTTGCGGAGATGGCAATATGTACAGAAGATGGCGAGAGCTACTGCGACTCGATGTTGTACCCGGCGCGTGCTTCTGCTCAATTCAAGAAGACATGGCGCATTGAACATTCAAGTCGGCGCATCGCGAAGCCTACCTTACCATTTGATACAGAGCACGAGCCTGGGGAAGGAGCGAACGCCGACAGCCAAGCCAAGCCTAGCAGCTGTCGCTCTTGCCGAGGAAATTCCGCGTGGCCCACAGACGGGCGAGAATTTGCGGCGCGCGCTCTCTCACTTTCTGCTTTCCGTGACGACCAGCGACTTTTGAATCTCCGACAGACAATCCGGACTCGCCCAAATACCGACAAGATGACCAAGATCAACACCTGTATGCGCTGCGACCAATGCTGCGATGCTGCCCCATACTGACCCTCGTCCGCCCCAGCTCTGTCTTCTTCCAGAAGAAAGTCGCGCAAGGCGCACTTCTCTGCCCCCTCCAGCGTCCGCCGCACCATCATGAGCGCCCCTCTTTCCAAGGAGCTCCGTGAGAAGTACAACGTATGCACGCCCTGAACCAATCCGACCACGACGCATTTCCACACAAGAAAGAGACGGAGGCATTGAGAGAAACATGGCACCAAACATCAGACTCGACCACCGACAATCCTTGTCGCACGCGAACACCGTCTACCACACCGAGCCTCGCTCGCCAACCACACTGCCACTATGCAGCACCAACTCCAGCGACACGATCGACCTCGATGACCCACACACGACCACTCTGATAGCCCATGTTTCTCTCAAAAGATCTATGCACCACACCCCCCCTACAAACAAACCAAACAATGCTCGTCGATCGGCTGTCTTTGTATGATGCTAATAAAAGTGTCGTTCAGGTCCGCTCGATCCCCATCCGCAAGGACGATGAGGTCACCATTGTCCGTGGCTCCAACAAGGGCCGCGAGGGCAAGGTCACATCTGTCTACCGTCTCAAGTGGGTCATCCACGTCGACCGCGTCGCCCGCGAGAAGTCCAACGGCCAGTCCGTTCCCCTCGGCATCGCCCCCTCCAAGGTCGTCATCACCTCCCTCAAGCTCGACAAGGACCGTGAGGAGATCCTTGCCCGCATTGCCAAGGGCCGTGAGCTCAACAAGGAGAAGACCCAGAAGGCTTAAATACTTTGACCTAAACGTCTGTCGTATGAAACCTTGAAAAAAGTCTTGTCATCCAAATTTTACTCTCCATCTTCGCTCGAAAATACCCCCAACGAGAGCACGACCGAAACCGACCTCCTGCTTCCTTCCTCACTTTTCTTCTAGCGCGTTTCGGGGTTTTCTTTCCTCATTGGCAAATGGGGATCACATCAATCACATGGGTTCTGAAGGAGGTCTTCGATCACAAAATCCGTCGGCAATGAATCAAAAACGTTAAAAGACGATGTAATGTTTTTCATTGTCGAAACATGAGCATTTCTCTTTGCACTTCCAGTGACTGACCGTTCTCCATTTTCTTCTTTCCTCCCTCCATCCTGCTTCTCTCACTCTTTCTCCTCCCTCCTCAACACCACCGCTAGAATATCTACTCACAAGCCTAATAAACCATGGCCTGGATAAGAGTTATACGACTAGCGAAGATTGAATGCCCGGGGCTGAAAACCCCTCTCGCCTGCAGACCGTCTGCTCTAGACTTTAGTAGGGTAACCGGTTTGATGGTGAGATACATCTTGTTCAAGCAGCCTATCGCATTGAACTGTATTGTACATGCCTTGCTGATGTCTAACGATGTCTACAATCTTTCGTATTATTGCTGTTGTAGTTCTTGTCGTCTAGCAGTGAAGGTACAGGATGTGATTGATATATTTGCTTCTTAGAGTTGAGGAATATAATGTTCTTATTACTGCAATATTGACTTCCCTTCTCCAACTTCTTTTGATCTGCTGTTTCTTTCTTGCTGGCCCTTGTCGCACTCCAGAACGAGATTAGAGTATTGTCAAAAGCTTCTCGGACTTTCAAACAACGACTGACATTGTGAGTATTGCAATAGCTTCTCCCTATGCCTTGGGTTTATGGCGTTGGTAGAGATCTAGCACTAGAGTGTATTCCTGATCAAAAGTGAAGAGAAGACGCTTCTCGGCGTAGATTTTGACTATCCACAACCACCACCACCACCACGCTTTCTGCTCTGTAACTTGTGGGTCAATATTTCGATTAAGACAACCATAGAGCGCGTGTATTACGTACATGTAGACTCTTGTATCTTTAGCTCTTACCACCCTAAGTAGTGGTGTTGAATTAAAATGTATATTGATTTCTGCGTGTGCATCGCAAAGTTGACTAACAACATAAAGACACGACTATTGATTCTAGCAGTCCCAAACCTCGCGGCAAAGAAGATTGAGCACATATATCTATGCCACTACATGTTATGATATCACAGACCTCAGGGTTGTGGTTGTTTTGATGGCTCGGACATAGTGACAGGGTTGTACTAGAAGCATCGAAAAATGGAAAGTGACCCTGTCCTCCAAGCACCATGTCACAAGTCAATTAACTAAATTAACACCGTAATAATTTCTTGGATGGTATAGACTCTTATTGTAATTGGACGATGAAATCGAATATTGGATGCTTCATCTCAATTCACATTCGAGCTCAATTGTCCATCCTAGCAAAGTCACTAAAGTTGGCAGTCACCACCTAAGTTCGAAGCTTTCCACAGAATGCTTCCTTCCCAAGTTGACTTTTTCACAACCTTCAGCAAAACAGAGTACGAATGGTTTGACGCAGCAAAAGATATGTTCTACTGGTGAGAGAGATGGTAGAAGCAAAATGATCACGGCAGGGATCGAACCTGCAATCTCTTGATTCGTAGTCAAGCGCCTTGCCATTGGGCCACGCAACCGATTATGCTATGCTAGCTGCTGTTCAACAAAATAACTCACCACGCTGTGGTAATCTGAGGAAGCCGACATCGAATCACTATACCCGACAGATGAGCTCCCACTCTCGCTTGTTCAGAAGCCTGCCCAAGTATAGTCCTGACTACATCAGCAAAGCCTAGATTACCTAAACCAGAGCATAACAGGAGTAGAAGAGGTATAACTCGAATGATGCCTCGACTCTTCTTCGGCTTTAGGGAATGGTGACCCCGACCTCTACCCCTCCAAATCACGTCAGCGAAACACAAGCTCGGAGCTTCCAGTTGCTTTCAAATCAACCTTGATGTGTTGAGTCAACATCAAACATATATACCGATCCTCCTCTTGACAGCTTCGAAGCTAGCTACACATTCATCGACTCCGATCAAGCTCTCGAAAGCCACTCTCGCCGCGACTCTGCCTTCAAAAGCCCCACTCTCTCGACTAGACGGCCATACGATCCAGCAAACCCACAATGTCCAAAGCCTTCGCAATCATCGCAGGCGTAGGCCCCGGCACCGGCGCCTCCGTCGCCCGCAAATTCGCCCTCACCTACCCGGTAGCCCTCCTCGCCCGCAACCCAGACAACTACACCACCCTGGTCGACGAAATCAACAAGTCAGGCGGCCACGCAATCGGCATATCCACAGACGTCTCCTCCGCCTCCAGCATCTCTTCCGCCATCGTCCAGATCAAGGAAAAATACGGCGATAAATGCGCAGCAGCCATCTTCAATGCCAGTGGGCCTTTTGCTAGAAAACCACTGTTGGAGTTGACGGAGAAGGAGTTTACCGGTGGGTACGAGGTTAGCTGTAAAGGGGCTTTCTTGTTTTCGCAGCAAGTGTTGCCGTTGCTTCTCGCACATACCTCCGACGCTGCTGCAAAGTATCCAGCAACACTCATCTTCACCGGCGCGACCGCGAGTGTCAAATCCAATGCGTTGATGTCAGCCTTCAGCACTGGCAAATACGCAATGCGCGCGTTGAGTCAGAGCATCGCGAGGGAATTTGCACCGCAAGGAGTGCATGTAGCTCACGCGATCATCGATGGTGTGATTGATATCCCGAGAACCAAGGCGTGGCTAAAGGATATGCCGCCAGAGGCGAAGATTGAGGCTGATGCTATTGCAGAGGCGTATTGGAACTTGCATACGCAGAGCAAGAGGTGTTTTACTAATGAGATTGATATCAGACCCATGTTGGAAAAGTGGTAGTGTGGTCGAATAATGCTATGGAGCCGTGACAAACAAGGAAATGGGGTATCATTCAAAATACAAAAACGCCGTGTTCTCCAAAAACAAGAAAAAGTCCCCCGTTCAAGTATATTGTTCAGAAGAGGAAAGTGGGTAATTCGTGCAAGTCATGGTCCTTGGTCTCAATCTTGACCTTCTTCTCTTCCCTTTCACGCTTCAACCTTGCCTCTCTGCGACGTGCAACTGCAGACGTAGCGGACTGTGAAGGTTGTGGGATAGAAGGGAAGGAAGGGAAGCCAAAGTCTGGCTCCATCTTGATGGCTGCTGGCTCCGACTTGATTGGTGCCGTTTGAGGTTCGCGTGCTGTACGTTTTGGTGGAGGGCGTGATATTTCACGGTCGATGCTTGCGCATTTCTTGTGTGAGGGTCTGTCCGAGAGGTCCGAGGAGTATGTCGTCGACGATGATGTGCGGTGAGACGACTGCTTGATGGTGTTTGTCTTTGCGGTACGTGGTTTGGCAAATTGCTTGAAGACGTTATTCGGACGGGATGGTGTAGGAGAGGGCTCTGAGCGTCCAGGACGAGATGAAAATCGGAGAGGTCCAGGAGCATCCAGATCGTCGTCGTCAGTTGTCTCTTGCTCGGCCTTGACCTCTTTCTTCACACGCGGACTCTTCGCCCGTTCCAGCGGTCTGCCTCGTAGATCCAGTGGTCTTGCACGGTCAAAGCCAGCAGCAGCCCTCGTACTGCTCCTGCCCACAACCTTGGCTGGTTGCAACCTCTCTCTTTTCCTCGGACTTGCCATCAAGCCTGCCAACTGCGTGCCCATCCACGGGTCAACTTCCTCTTCTTCCTCTGCCTTCATGATCGCCTTGATGCCCTGTCTCTGCAACTCTCCCTGCTTCTTTCTCTGTCCCTCTTTACTCAACTGCCCCACCACAGGTCTGGCAATCGCATCTGCACCGCCCAAAGCATTTTCTCGTTGTTTGGCCAACTCTTTCTGACGACGATATTCAGCGTGTGCGAGGTGTGCGGTGAAGAGTTGAGCAGTGGCTGTGAACTCATCAGTCACCATTCTCCAGCCGTCATCTGCCTCCCAGCCCGGCCGCATGAACTCTTGCTTTGGAGGCGCAGGCGGTGGGGATGTCGAAGGTGAGTGTAATGCTGCGGCATCTCGACGGGAGTTGGTGCTCTTGGGCGTGCGGATGAATTCATCGAGGCCGGAGGGAGGAGATGACGGCGGCGAGGAGTCGACTTTGCGGCGTTTCGCAGTCGTGGTTGTGTTACGGGACTTGCGTTCAGGTGGAGCTGGGTTTGCGAGCCATGGTATCGTTCGTGGCATCTGGAGTTGTGATTTCTGGTCAAGGTGTAGAGGAGAAGTGAGGGAGACGCGTTGAGTGGAAATGGTTTCGCGTGGAGGGGTTGAAGAATGACATGCGCCAAGTGAGAGCGAAGGTGTTGGTGTTTCTTTGTTGCAACAACTCATTCGACTTATTTCCACCGATACACTACATACGTATTTGCTGCAGACAAAGTGTTTCACGGAATATTCATGATTCTTGTGTGCTCAAGAACCTTCCATCTCATATTTGATGTACTCGATCAACCTAGTTTTGGTCCTGGGACATCAGATACGAAATGCTTCATCAATGTCTGATTATTCTTTCGTTGTAGCCTTGCTTGCATGTCTCTTTCTTGCCTTCTTGCTTTTTGTAGTTGGCTTTGTTGCGTTGCCAATATGGCACGCTGTTCGGAAGCAGGAAGATGTGCAAGAGCAAGACGGTCACTGGTTCGAAGCTTGCCTAGCTGTTTGTCGAGATTGAGTGCTCGAAGGTCTTGCTTTGTGAGTGCTTGTTTGTGGACAGACTGATTGAATGTCGAGGACGTGGTGGCAGAGAGACTGCCAGCCTGCGATGTGCTGGGATTTGCAGCATCCAGAGATGAAGCATTCATTCGCGACCATGACATCGCACCTGAACCAGAAGGTCTTTGACCCTGCTGCGTGGTCCGTACGGAACGAGACATGACTACTCTGCCCGACGGCAAAGTAATGTTCTCACCATCGACCCGTATTCCTGCTGCATCTTCTTCGAAGTTCCAGAATTCTCGATACTCGGACTCCAAGTCGGAAATGTCAAACGCGCAATGCTTCTTCCCAAGCATGTGTTGCTGTATTGCTTGAGTATTGCGTCGTTGTGTGCCACAACTTAGGCACTCGTTGTAGACTGAGATGACGAGGTGTAGATACGAAAGTAGAGTGGTTGGGTCGACGGTAAGCTGGTGGGGTGAAGGTATTGTCATGCCATGGACTTTGGACATGTGGTCGAGGTTTGCGTCGATATTACCGGATTTGCTGAGGCAGAAGAGACAACGTGTTGGTTCATAACCCGGGCTGCTGTTTACAGTGTCATCGCAGTCACTTGTAGAGCTGAGATCAGATTCGCTATCTGTTGTCTTCGGGATAGCCTTGGATGAGATTGGTGGCTGAGATGAAGCTTTAGTGGTGACACCACTGGGTCCGGATGCGCTGCTTGCGACGGCCATTTCGATAAGAGAAGACTAGAGTTCGAGAGAACAACGAAGCGCGATGGTATACACCAACCTTTCGAGCATGACCTGCCATGATATATACAGCACATGTACCACAATCACAGAAGGAGAATGATTGGCCTGGTGGTGTTGCAGCCAATCATCCGTCGCGTACATTTTGATTGACTCATGCCTCAGGATGCGCGAGACAAGTCAACAAGTGTTCAGCCAATACCAGAGAGCTCTGTATGCCCTGTTCCGATGGTCATCTCAGGTTTATACGACGGCCATGACAGCAAAGTGTTGTGATAGGTTGTTGTTGCAGTGAGTCAGAAAGTTAGCCAATGGACATGCACTCCGGTGAGAGTCAATCCCCGGGCCGAGGCTGGCTAAACTTTAACGCGTGCCTACTTCTTCGCCCATTCGGTGCATAATTCGCATAATTCGCATAATTCGAGCATCGACTCCTAAAATTACTGGCCGTTTGGTTTGGGAATCGCGTCTCGAAGCCTGGGTCGTTTTAGTGCAGCCACTGGTAGCCACGAATCGACGATGCCTTCGGAAAGATCTCGATGTCGTGAAAACAACAATAATCCGCGAGACCTCCATCGGGCGCGAGAATCGCATCCAGACTCTCTTCCCCTTCACCAACGATGACATGGATACTATCGACACGCCGCTAGGCCCTGCATCTCCAGACGGCGTTGACTGGACGCTAGACATTCCGGATACTGATCACGTTATTTTTTTCCGATCAGTACCATGGCATTACTCGCTCCTGGGTCCGCTACAATCCTGGGGATTCGCGTTACGCCTCTATACATATCAAGTCTTCGCTGACAAGCGTCCGAGTTGTGTCTATTGGTATGTGATTATGCTCATTATTGGTAAATCATTCCTCCGTCTAACGTGATTACAAGGGGCCCGGAGAAGGTTGCCATTTATAATGAAGGCTTTGCCGAGGCTTCAGGAAAGGCTCACCCTTTCTTGATGGGGCATACCTTCGCTCAGACTTATCCTGAGATTTGTGCTGATATCATGCCTGTCTTTGAAACGGCTGAAAAGACAAAAACAGATTTCCCCGTCAAAGAGATTCCTTTGATGATCAAGAGAAACAACTTTCTCGAGGAAACACACTTCAATGGATGTTTCATTCCTCTCAGAGATGACGATGGTCGAGTGAATGGCTGGTATAATTCTCTGACTGAAATCACGAGGCAAAAGATCACCGACCGTAGGCGAAACATGCTGAATATGGTCGCTGTCATTCCGGAAGGCTGCACCTCGAGGACAATTGGCTCCCACTTCATCGACTGCTTCCGCACAAACACACTGGACATACCGTTTGCGCTGGTGTGGGAGATAGATAGCGCTTCTCACACTGCGCAGCCATCTCGAGGGCTGAAGCTCACGGCAAGTCTCGGTATACCGGAAGGCCACAGGCTCGGCCAAAAATATGGATGTCTTGACGCCGGGAACGGTGTGTATCAGCTCTTGAAGAAGGCAGGAACTACGCCCACCACCTTTCCCTGTGGATCGGACTTCGAAGGTGTTGAGTGGACAGGATTCGAAGAGCCCTCGCAGCATGTCTGTGTCGTCCCCCTGTCAACCGCTGGACGATTGTATGGATACCTGTTGGTCGGCGTAAATTCACGAAGACCAATCGATGACGATCACGAACAGTTCATGCGAGATATTGCATCCCAATTGTCCTCAATGATGGCGTTTTTGGTCTCCAAGGAAGAATCGGAAAAGAAACAGTCTCAATTGGAAAACCGGCTGGCTGCAAGCGAACACCACATCAGATATATGGCTGATCACTTGGATATTGGTCTCGAACACTTAGGCCTCAACGGGAACGTCCTATGGGCGAACGAGCACTACTTCAGACTTATTGATCAAGAACCGACAGACGACTTCAGCAAGCTGCATTTACCGTTCAAAACTCAAGTCATCGAAGAGGACCAGCCAAAATGGTTAGCAGCCTGGAACGCAATACTGGAAGGCGTAGCAACCCATACGACTGAGTTTCGTATGAAGAAAATGTTCAGCCCACCGATTGGTCCGCCAGTATCTGCGACTGTGATCGTCTCAGCTGTGCCGTATGTAGAAGACGGTGAGATAAAGTCAATCATGGCTTGCATGACGGATGTCTCGCGTCTAAAATGGGCCGAGGGATGGCAGGCACGAGCAGCTCAAGAAGCACAAGAGGCGAAGCGACAGCAGAGCGAGTTCACCGATGCAATCTCACATGAAGTCCGCAACCCTTTATCCGCTATGCTGCAACTAGCCAACGGCATCTCCGCATCGCTGGACGACCACAAGTTGGCAACGACGAGCGCCGAAGAATACTTGCACGTGATTCAGGAGAACGTCGAGGCAGCCAAGACGATCATTTTCTGTGCACAGCACCAACGCAACATTCTCGACGATGTTTTGGTTCTCTCTAAGATGGACTTCATGCTTCTGTCTCTATCGCCAAGTCCTGTGCAGCCACCCAGTCTTGTGGACAACGCTGTGAAAATGCTTCAAGCCAACATCTCAGCTGCAGACCTAGAGATGAACATCAAAGCGCATGAGTCGATCGTCAACCTTGGAGTCGATTGGGTTATGTGCGATCCCCTAAGAGTCACACAGATCTTGATCAACCTCCTATCGAATGCGATAAAGTTTACAAGATTAGAGAGTCACCGCTGTGTGACCTTGACGTACGGGGCCTCCATTGAGGAACCAAGAGAAGTTTTCAAAGAAGGACTGGTCTGGGCTGCAACTAAGAAAGAACATGCAGATGTCACCACGGAAGAGATATGGGGTGATGGAAAGCAGATGTATCTAAGCTTCTGCGTCACTGATACGGGACCGGGAATGACACAGGAAGAACGTGCTCGCCTTTTCAACAGGTTCCAACAGGCTAGCCCAAAGACATCGATAAAATATGGAGGAACAGGTTTGGGACTTTACATAAGTCACACGCTTACAGAGAAGCAGAACGGAGGCATGGGCGTTTCGTCACAACCAGGCAATGGTTCGACCTTCGCATTCTACGTCAAAGTTCGCCAATTGGCTGCTCCTCCTACACCATCCTCAGAGCACACTCTTCAAGCAACGCAAGAGCTGGTACTCCGACAACTCGAGAATACGCAGGCCTTGAAAGTCATCGAAGATACAGCTGCTGTGAAAAAGCCCGAACCTTTGCAGCGGCAGAGAGTTGTGCCGAGTCCAAAAGTTCCCCAAGAACCTACTCCACTGCCCGAGATTGCGTACCACGTCCTCTTGGTTGAGGTAAGATATTGTATGCTCTTATCCAAAGTCGCCATATTAACATTGTTCTAGGACAATCTGATCAATCAGGCAATTCTCAAGAAACAGCTTACCAAAGCCGGCTGCATCGTTTATGTAGCCAACCATGGCTTGGAGGCGCTGGAGACTTTACGTCGGGCAGATTTATGGGAAGAATCAGCTGGTGCCGGCCACAAGCTAGATGTTGTACTGATGGATCTGGAAATGCCAGTCATGGATGGCCTTTCCGCAAGCAGAGAGATCAGATCTCTAGAGAAAGCCGGCAAGTTGACAAAGCATATTGAGATTATCGCCATCACTGCAAATGTCCGGAAAGGTCAGGTCGATCGCGCCATGGAAGCTGGTATCGATGCGATCATGGCAAAGCCGTTCTTGGTTCCCGATCTGCTCGAGACGATCAAGGCTCGATTGGGTAGATGAGCGCTCGCTTCAACGTGCATCTACCTGAAGTCTGGCGTTCCGAATGATTGGTACACAGCATCGGACGTGACACCCAACACTCTTGGCAAGCATCCCTGTGTGCAGGACCATCAAGAGCATGCGGCGAAAGTATTCGCGCTTCTCGCTCTCGTCGTCCTCCCTTGGTCGCAATCACCCTTTCACAGACTGCCATAGAAAATTCACCGCGAGTCGCCCGACCACTGTTTGTAGATGGAACCGCAGTTCAAAGAGGATTGATTGCATTTGGAATCGATGGTTTTGTCATTCCCGCATCATCCACGACCGTTATGAAAATACCCAAGTTGGACGCGACCGTTCTTCCCGATGGATCTCTCGAGCCAACCGAAGAGAATGCATGGTACGTCGATAGTCTAGAAGTCGAAAAGGAAGTCTACCGACGACTACATGGCGTCAAAGGCTTTGCAAACTGCCTGAACATCTCGAAGAATGGACTGGAGCTCGAACACTACCGAAAAGGCGATTTGGAAGACTTCATCAGGAACAATTCTCCTCCGACGTGGACCCAAAAATTGGCTTGGATCTTGCAACTTGTCGACTTTGTGGCTGCGTGTCATGAGAGGAAGGTGCTATGGTTCGATATAGCACCGCGCAACATCATGCTTGCAGACCACATGACAACCAGAGCCATCGACTTTGCAAACAGTACAGTGGTACCACACTGGACGCAGATATCGAAGCCAAAACTTCTGATGGCTACTCAGCGAAAGTGGAGGTATTGCATGCCACCGATGTGATCTATTCCATCTCTCGCTGGAGCAAGTTCCAGACCGACTGTGTGGCGGAAGAGGAGTGGCCGGCGATGGATACTTTTCCAGCGACACATGATCCTGAACTTGGTCAGATTATCAGCAAGGCTTGGGGACACGAGTACAGTAATGTACTGAGATTGCGTGACGCGATACGCAGTTTGAAAGATGGAGGAAATAAGAATGACAGCACTGAAGGTGCCAAGACTACAGAGTGATAGGCACTCGCTACATATCCTCCTCATGTACAACAGTTGTGGCTATAGAATTGTACGAGTCATTGATGTACGGGCAGCGTTCGCTGAGAGAGCCGTGATATCGACCGCTCTCCATGGACTTGTCTGTCTTATGTGTGTTTGTAAGAGTAGCGTGCTTCTATAGATTTGTGTTCCACTGCAGATTCTTTGCAAATGACCAACAAACATTCCGTCTCTCGAATCTCAACATTCTTCTTCAGATCTATTCTCATCCCCCTCATTCTCAAATCCCCATGACATGATAGAACAATCCACACCCCAACCCCAACCATTTGTCCCTCAACCAAAGCATATGCTTGTGTATCATCACCGCATGTTCCTTGGTATCTACACCCACAAACAATGCTACCTTTTCGTCTTTGTCGTATGAAAGCGTCAACCATGCTTTGTGACGCCAAAACTGTGCGTATACTTCTTCGGATTGCATTGTCTGGAAGCGGTGATAGAGGTGCATGTCCTGGGAAAGGAGGGGTATGTGGTGAGGTTGTGGGATCGCTCGTGGTCTGGCGCTGGAGAGACGTGCAGTTGGTGAAGAAGGAAGTGCGTCGTCTTCGCAGTCGTGGGTTTGTGGTTTGGCTTTTGTTGGTTTGTCGGGGACTCTTGAACTCTTGCCGATTGGTGGACTGGTTGGAGTGGATGGAGTAGAGTCTTTCTTTGCGTTGCAGTAGTAGCGGTTCTGAAACTCTGCTTCTAGGATGTCGAGGTCTGTGTCTGGAGGACTGTTACTTGGGTCCTCTGGGTCGGGTAGTCGGTGTAAGAAGTCCTTGATGCGGGTGCTTTGGTATGTAGCGGCCTCGTTCTTGTCGCTAGATGATAGCTTGGTCAAGGCTTCAGCTGTGAGAGTTGCTGGATTCGATTTTTCTTTCTGCGAGCGCGATGCATTTGATCTGGGTGGTCGGATGGGTTCGGTATAGTGAGCTGTTGGATTGCTGAAGAAGCTGTCTCGCGGCGACTGAGTGCTCGACATATTGTGTTGGTCAATCATCTCGCTGGCGGTTATCGGTGATTAAGGTCTGGTATGCATGTTCAAAGGATGCAGCTCTTTTGATACCAAACTATGTTCTCGATGTTGAGTCATTGCGATGACTAGCATATACAGCTGTCATGGGCTTGGAGTATGAGTCTTAGATAGCAAAGGGGATATGTGACAGAAGATGCGGAATTTGAGGTCTTTATCAACAACTACTCATCCATCAGCTCCCCACCACGAAGAGTCTTGTACGACTTGACACCGTCAGGGCTCTTGAACCAAGCATGCTTGTGCTCAGAGAAACCTTCCTGCTCAGGCGTGGGAATTACCGGCATCATGCCCATCGAGATGGTGACTATACCGGGCGTCGCATCGAGTTTTGACAAGATTGGGCTGGAAGGAATCAGTCAACACATGCTCTCCAAACTTGCTTGATTCCGTAGACGGCTTTCCGAACGACTTACTTTCCATCCACATCGCAAAACCAGCGATGGTTCGGATCTCCGCTGTTGGTAGATTTATCTTCATAGAGCTTCAAGGTGCCATCTCTATCTCTGATGTCAACTTTTTCTTCTTCGATGGTGAGGTTTGTAGCTGCTATGGAGCCAGTTGCTTTTCGGCAATTTACGCAGTGACAGAGGTGGCCACGTCGGGTTTGGAAGAGGTTGTCGTTGATTGTGACTGTGATGCTACCGCATAGGCAGCTGCCTGTTATGGAGTCCTTGAATGAGGACAGATCATGTTGTTTGGGGTCGCCTGTGAGATGAGACATTTTTTTGGGCAATTTTAAAGTTGTGATAGGTATTGAGAAAGTTGGAAGTCTTGGTGTAGTATCATCGTTAATTGACTATTGCTGCATTTGCCGCGATCCTGCATAGAGCATTAGTAAGCTTCGCGTCAGGTAGCTGTCAATCGATGCAGCTGCACTTCCGATGCGTGACATTGTCTCTGCCAGTTTCTGACTTCATCGTCAGTGGCAGTCCTCTGGCCTTGCAGGCTGAAATTGTTGATACCAAGTGCATAATACGCGCCGGATGCGGTGTTGTTCGAGATGAGCTCGATGGTTTGACTGATGATGGTCAATCAACTTTTTGGCGGCTTGGCGCGCTGTAGGACCACCTTCCAGCCTCCTTCTTTTCCTCATCCATCTCACACGATTTCAGACGCGGCAAGATCATTTCCCTGTATAATGAGCCGTTTGTCCTGATCCAAGACATCCGACAACCACTTGATTTGTCAGGATTGATATCAGTCATTGACAGCATCAATGTCAGAACAATCAAGACACGAGGACATGCCTAAACAGATGTGTCACATCAACATCGATGCTTCGAATGAGCGCCTGGAACATTGCGGATAGAACAACGCTGTCTCGGGATCCACAGACACTCTCTCACGATAACTCTCTTTGTCCGCAGATGTCAAAAAGTGGATTGCTTGACACAAAAGCTGCAACCCCATCCTGCTTGTCATTATGCCAATCGCTTCCTGCTTGAGTGAGAGTGAAATAGACTGGCTCCAACACATTGACTCAGACCCCGACTGAGGTGTTAAAAGCTTCCACACAGAGACTCTAAATTTGCCATCTAATCCATGCTCTTGTCTGCTTTCCTTAATCCCGCTTCCTAATTCTCAGTTACTCATCGACCAACAACCTCGATATGGATACTGGTACTTCTCCTAACACTACTTCGACCAAGATGGTCAGCATAGTCACACAAGGTTCGCAGAGATTCTGTCCTTCCACATTCTCTATGCTGACGCATACCAGACTCAGCTTTCCTGAAACTTCCCCTTGAACTCCGCCACCAAATCTACAATTACTTCATCCGCGTCCGACTCAAGAAAGGTGTCACATCCAATGCTCTCAAACCCTTGACAAACATGACTGGCGTGAGTCAGCAGATACGTCGCGAAGTTTACGACATAGTTGCTGCTGTCAAGACATTGCACGTCAGTGCTGGTGTATTCAGCGATCTCACGCTCAAGCTTTTATCGACTGCTATCAACATCAGATCGATGAATCATCACGCGAGTGCCAGCTTCGAGTTGTTACCGCTGGAGGTCAAAAGTGCCTTCCAAGCAGCCCGGAATAGAACGATTCAGAAGTTAAAGGACGAGATTGAGAACAAGAAAGTGCCAGCTCAATTCAAGTTCTGGAAAGTATGCGTCTCAGTTCTCAGCACTCGCCGAATGGTCAGAAAAAAGAAGTCTGTGTGTGCAGACCTGGCATTGTTGAGGACGATTCATCCGACTTCAAGAAAGCTTTCATCGACGCGATGCTGAAGTTCACCAAGGGGGAGGGCTTCAACGGGGTCACTATTCAGGATGTATCTCGCTTCTTGGAGCAGGTTACTATGCCTGATCCAAAGGGCTTCTGGAAGGCCGAAGAGATGTTCGAAGAACTCAAAGAGGCCAGGGATTATGGGCAGGACGAGGACACGGGTGGTGTCTCGACTGAGTGAAACTTGAGCTTTCGCGTTCGCCTCGGCTGAGAGGTACAGTACATCACTCGCTGGGGATGAATGATGAGAAGGAACTGAATGGGACACTCGATTGGTTCAGAGATAGGATTGCTTTCCGATTGGGTCTACAACAATGTTTCTCGCTATAAAAATGCACAGTGTCTTCACGACCAGAGACTGGCCCACGGAGATAGACTATGTGAGAGCGGTCTTCGTATTCTTCAAACTTCTATTTGCTACCATCAGAACCAGATATGGCAACTCAGACCAAGGCGCAGGTTGATACTCATTCTCCTCCGTATCTTCAGGATCCCAGTTCTGCTGGGCTTCTGACGCACGACATGCGACTGAGAGATAAATCTCACGGTCAAACTCTGTCTCTCCTAGAGGTACGACAACGCCTGCGTACGCAAGTAGGATTGCGTTGAGGATGAGGCGACAAGTGCGGCCGTTACCGTCTACGAAAGGATGTATGTTGACAAACTTGTGACAGTATTTGGCGGCGAGCATGTATGGGTCCAGATGACCAGCCAGATCTGCAGCATTGATGTCGCGATTGTATTCGGCAATCATGGCGCGCATCTCAGCAGGGACGTTCTCAGGGGCTGCGAATGGAGTAAGACCTGCGCCGACATGTACGGTACGGTATATACCGCCATACTCGGTGTATTTGTCACCGCCAGCACTATCGACCTTGTAGGTAAGGATCTTGTGAGTCTCCAGGATGATAGATTCGGTGAGAGGCTTTTCATGGATAACTATCCCGTCGATGATGAAGGAGAGAGCACGGGCATGCTGAAAAACTTCGCGGACACCAACTTTGGTGATCTCCTCGGTGATGGGTTCCCCCTGGAAGACCTTGCTGCAGTACTTCGAGGTAACATCAAAGTTTGACCCAGCAGATTCGATGAGATTGGAGCCGTGCACGACACGGGTGAGGTCCTTGACCAAGTGTTTGTCGAGGGCGATGTTTCGAGCAGGGGCAGGGGCTTTGAGGAGATTGCTGATGTCGTTCATAAGGATTTGGTTCTCAAGGAAAAGATCTTCGGGATCATGGTTGAAATTAAGCCAGTTGTAAGGGCCTTTCATACGTATGTTGAATGGCATGCTCTCCTCGGGCGAGACTTCCGTTCGGAAGTTATTGTGCATTTTGATAGCTAAATTGACAGACGGGAAAGACTCGGGATGGAGAGGAGAGAGAAGTCATGTTGAGTGAAGGAAAAGCTTCCAAGCTATTGTGAAGGTAGTGCTTATGCTCGCCGCTGCCTAGTTGTGAGTCAGTGTTTCGTGTAGTGGACGGTGGAATTAACTCACTCAACCCAGCTCGGCTTGACATTCAACACGCGGTTCCCACTTCCTTCTTTCCTTTCTCGCGTTTGGCAGCACCAACAAAACTCTTTCCGCATTCTGCGTCTGACGTTCCCACCTTCTCTTCTCTTGTCACTCCTCAACTTTCCCATTGCAGTTCGCTCTCGCCTCCGGAGACCACGCACTCATCAACCCGCACTATTCACAAACATGGATCTTCAACCCGAGAGCCTTTCGCCAGACACCGCTGCCATCGCAGATGCGAACCTCGATACCAATGGCACTTTAACTGAGGTCACTCCCACCAGCATACCTGCAGCATATCAGCAAAGTTGGTGCATTCAACTTCTCCGGGCTTTGTTTTCGGTACTGATAGCTACTCAGATTCTTCCTTCCTCCGGTTGCCTCTCGAACTTCGTTTCATGATCTACGACCACGCTCTGGACTATGAGCCCGGCTTACCACTAGGATATCTGCCAATCGACTATCCCGAGACACTCGAAGCTGTGGCCCAACTCTCTGGTATATCACGTCAGATACGGGACGAAGTGCATGCCTGGGTTGCAGACCAAATATGCATTATCCATCTTAGTACGGCTCAAGGCCGTCGTCTCCTACCCCTCTCTGCTTCCTCCAAGTATTTCACAGCATTCATGGAAGGACCCGTCGAATGGGAAGATTTCTACTTGAGAGCACCGCGCGACATTAAGTTTTGGAAGTCTTCCATGTTCTTCTTCGCGTGGTCCTCGGGACTAGTCTCCTTCGAAATCGACTTCAGAAGGAGAGAAGTGTTTGTGGAGGGAAGGAAAGTCGACATGAGCCGCTACGGGCCATATCGATCTTCGTTCTATGGACCATCTCAATCTTCCATCAATGCTGAGGACCTGTCCCATAAAGCTTTGCAAACTTCAGTAAACTCCCTGACCAAGTCCATGCAGACAGTGGTAGATCAAGCAGGATTTGATGGATTCACATTGGAAGACATGCATTCGCTATTGCGCGATCTGAAGCTCTCGGTTCCTGAGCCCTCTGGAGATGTTCATCTTGAGTACGATGATCCGGACGCAAAGTCTATTGAAACAGGCGGAGATTGAGAAGTGCATGAGATGATGTTGATGGGCAAAAGTTGAGGAAGAACACATGGCTTGAATGACACAAACAGCTTCGTCACGAAGACAACAGGGGGAGCGAAGAGAAATGAGGCATCAGAGACGTACATCATATTCGCTTCGCATAAGATAGCTAAGCATCGATGAATACCACATGGCTACCCACAGTCACCTTCAGATTCCCTTCCCACACCCCTTCCGAAAGCATCGAAGCCGTCGTCAGCTTGTTACCCGAACCTCACGAACTGATCTGGCCATGCCGACAGTGGATCTAGACACAGATGGTCTCACTTGATATTGGTTCGGCTTCTGCATCGAGTAACTATGCTGCATAAAGACGTTAGTGTAGATCTCCGTATGCGGTACAAGGTTATGTGATCGACAGGAACGGCCGTTGGCTTGCCACCTATATGCTTTGGCCGCGTATTCCCTTCCCAGTACTGCGACCGAGATGAGACTGAGCAAACCCATGCAGAGCGTACACCCATACCAGCGTTTTTACGTGCAAGTCACAGGAGCAAGTAAAGGGAGATAGCAAATCAGGCAGTATAAGATATATTGGTATTTGCCATCTGATTCTCGTAAAGAACTCAGACCATCCTATCTAATTACATAAAGTACCGCCCACTCAAAGGCAGAACATCTCGAAACCAGTTTGAGATATTCCATCCTTCAGCCACCATGTCCACTGCAAGCAGTGAACCATTACCACCTCTGAAAATCCTCCACCGAAAATAAAGATATCTCTGCAGAAACAGAGACAAGAAAAGAAAAAAAGTTGTGTTGTTCCCATCCAAAAGGGCATCCCAAGGCATCAATCCCCAGTAAACTTTGTTGTCGATTTTTTGTCTTTGAACAAAAAGAAACGCAAGCAAGAAAAAGAAAAAGAAGAAAGAGTAGCCACTCAAACCGAAGGAGTGGCCTCGGCGGGAACCTCGACAGTAACGGTTCTGCGGACCTTTCTGCGCTTCTTGCAGGCGGGAGCAGTGGAGCTAGCAGCTGCCTTTGTGCTCGAAGTGGTGACCTTCTGGGCAGTGGTGGCAGTGGGGCCTTGGCCTGTCAACAAGCACTTGCAGCTCTTTGAGAGTTGAGCGGCAGAGACGCCGGGGATGGCGGAGGTTGAGCGAGAACTGTTAAACTCATTAGTATTTGGGAGCGGGTGATGGGGCAGCAAAGGCCAAAACTTACACTAGGTTCCACCACGTGCAGTAAGATTTGAAGTTCTTGGGGGCTTCCGCTTTGATCAGGTTGGTGTCTGAGGCGACACAGGCGGTGTTGACTGTGTTGGGGGTTGAGGTAGGGTTGGCGCGCTTGTTCCACTGGTTGACAAGGCAGGTGCAAGCTCCGGCCAACTTGGCAGTGGTCAATGTAGGCAGAGGAGATGCATCGTTGGGTCTGTTTTTTCGCGGGTTCGAATTAGTGATTTGTGCTTGGGAGTGAGGCGAGTGAGAGGGAGGATAAACATACCTGAGAAGGAAGGCTTGACAGAAGACGTTGTAGTGGTTGATGCGGTCTTTGATGGCTTGCATGTCTGACTGCCAGCATGTAGCCCGGGTCTCGAGGTCGACGTAGGTTTCTGCGGCATCGTGGGCGGCGACGTCAATGACGGAGCCGTAGACCGAAGAGGCGGCCAAGGCGATGAAGGTGAGTGCTGAGAACTTCATCTTGTGTATTGTGGTTGTGTTGTTGACTTTCTCTTGATGTCCTGATCAAGTTTCCTTATTCTCTTATCCTTCCTGAAGGTTGTTGGGTTTCTTTGTGTTATTGGTTATATGAGAACTCGGATGTTTTTGGATGTGGATGAGAAAGAAAAAACGTAGTATGAGGGAGTTGGAAGTGTTTGTTATATAGCAAATCTCTCTCAATACGGCCAAGGGAATAAGGGTGGCTTGGGTCGTTGTACCCGTTGCGACCGTTCGGCGCATGTTGGCCCTGCAGTCGCGTCCCTCAGCCATCTAGGTTCGATTTCTTATATCGAACGTGTGTTGATACGAGAGAGGGTGGAGGAAAGTGATATACTTGACCATTCTTGCTAGCGAATTGGTGACAGACGATATTTACCTTCCCACATGCCTCTGCCAGCGGTATACATACTTGCCTTTTGATCGAAGCCAGTAAAAACTCTGTATATCAAGATTAGAGAACATGGGTTACGACCGGCGGTTATACAAAAAAGCCGTTGTCTGCCAACGGGTCCATCTTATAAGTATTGCCAAGACCCAGCGAAACCACGCAGTGCCAGCCCGCAAACCGTTAGAATGCAGGCACCGAGACAACAGTATGCAGAAGAAAGAGGCGAGAATATCATCACAGACGTTGTCTTTTCGCAGTGGCGGGTACAACATTTTGAATCATGATGCCGATTCTGCCAGGTCGAGAAAGATATTGTCTGATTGCGATAGGCGTGCAGGGCAGATAACCGTTCGACACGGCAGTCCGCGAGAAGGGGGGAATATCCAATCTCCTTTGTCCAAACTCAAAAGGCCAAGACAGAGTGTTGTTTTTGCTTGGAAGTTGGCGACAGATGCAAATCTTGCTGTAGCAACCAACATGGTGATGGTGAGGGGTCAATCGATTCTTTGAGGACGAGCGACTCTATGACTGCTTGTGTGCGGGAGTGGAGCTGCAAATTATCGAATCCCTGTACTGTGGGTCTGGTGACATCGCAACAACGTATTGCCCTTGTCGTGTGCAGATCACTGGAATGACAGTGGTATTGACATATTCAACGACGGAGATGAGGTGCGAGGGGATGTGATGTCGCAAGTCCCACGAGGGACGAAGGGGGGGCTGGGAAACGGGTCTGATAGGCTGGTGGATGGCTTCAGATGACAACCATCGCCATCATCCGTTCTCAATGCTTGTCCCGCGTTGCTAACAGCGATGGCATCAAGCTTGACAGGGTCGTCCTCTCTACAGCATTTTCCGAGACTATCAACGAGATATCTTCACTGCACGAAGAGATTTCTGTCCATCTACCTCGACATAGCATTCTTTCATACACTCTGCAAGATGCGAGAGAATCTCCAGTCTCCATACAAGATATTGCGGTTAGTACATCCAATCTCGTGTTTAGGACGAAGACTTAGGAGTATTCGAGGCAGTTTACCGTGGGACGATACCAAGACCCAGCAATTCAAATACAACACAACACTTGATTGAGACAGAAAGCAGTTTGGAATGCTCTCCTTGTTTTAAGGTATCGTTGATATGAAACACATTGCAGAAATATGCGTGTTCTATCTTCGTTCAAAAGTTGGTTGAGCACAAACTGGATGAAGCCACACTTGAGGCTCGACTATCTAGCCACCACCAGGTCAATGCGCTTCGCCGAACGACATGCCCTGATCACTCGAGGGTTCAGACCATAACTCAATCAAGACAGGAGAATGTTGGAACGTATAAGCGTGATGAAACCAACTCATATCATGAGACGGCATTGTATGTTACAGCCATGATAATTGCTCGAACATATGGGCGTCTACTTTTGATCGAATGGCGCTTACTGATAGGCAGAAGAACCAAAGGCATAACATCAACAGGCAAGACCTCAGAGGTGAAACAGAACAGAGAAAAGTTACACTGACAACGGAACGGAATAGATGTAAGGATAGGAAACTAGGATTATTTTTTCGGAGAGCTATGTATATTACAGTACTGCTGTGAACTCCCAGCGCTGGAAACAACATCATAATCGTGAAAGAGGTCGTGAAAAGACGATCATCTCAAAGTCAAAGAGGCATGCATCAATGAGAACAAGTAGGCGTAACGCTTACTTCATGAAGCCAGCCTTGCCGTCACCATCGGCATCAACCTTGGGGTTGAGCTTCTGCATAAGCGAGGGCTTACCAGTCTTGGGGTCAATCTCAGACTCGCGGCCGTAACCGGTACCGGTGGTGCCGGTGGTGGAGTGGGAGTGAGAGCCAGAGTGGGACTTGAGGTCAGCCTCGCCCTCACGGACACGCTCACCAAGGGTCTCGCGGCCGGTGGTGTTGGTGTGGGAGCCAGTGAGACCGGTGCCGGTGTGAGAGTGGGAGCCGGTGATACCAGAGCCAGTCAGGCCAGTGGAGGAGGTAGAGGTGTGGGAACCACCGACAGTGCGGGGCTCACCCTCAAAGCCGTCGTAGCGCTCCTCGCGGCCAGTCAGGACACCACCCTGCTTCTTAAAGTCGGCCATGGAGACGGCAGGAAGAGCAGAGGCGCTGTGATGCTGGGCAGCGTTGTGGTGGACCTCGTGGATGGGGACGGTGGTGTGGACAACGTGGGGCTCGATGGTCTCCTTGTTGACGACGGGCTGGATGGTCTCGTGGACGTGGTGGTGGATGTGTTCACCGCCGATGGTGGGGGCAATGGACTTGGAGTGGACAGCCTCAACCTCGATGCGCTGGTCTCTGAACTGAGCGGCCTCAGCGGCGAGGCGCTCCTTGACCTGGGCGTCGTTGCCGTGCTCGAACGAGCGGTGCTCGACGGCGGCAAGGTTGTGGTGGTGCTGCTCGGGGAGAACCTCACGGTCCTTGATGGGCTGGATCGAGGTGTGGTAGTGGTCCTGGTGAACCTCCTTGTCGATGGCAGTCTGGATCTGTTCGTGCTGCTGGAGCTGGTGGCTCTCGTGGGTGACAGCGGGAGCGACCTTCTCGTGGACAGTGGTGTCGTGGTGTCCAGACTTGGACCTGCAGAAGAGAGACATGAGCAAACAGTGCAGTGAGGTCATGGAAGTGGTAAGCGCTTACATGAATTCCTTAACGGCGGCCTTGGCTGAGTCCATTGTGATAGATGTGATGTGGGTGAATGGGAAAGTTGTTGTAAAGTGAAAATGGGATGGGGTAGTTTGGATGGAAGGTGTGTTGATGAGAAGAAGAAAGAGGGGAGAGACGTCGGCAGAGAGTCTTTTTGTAAGGTTGAGAGGGAAGGAGCTCTCGGCTGTCTTGACATCATCCGTCTCGCTTTGCAAGGCAGTAACCGTAAGTGACGATTAGCCTGCCCTGCCTGCTGCATTCTTGCAACGGTGGCTAAAACGACAGTGAGCCACAGCATGTGATCATGCTGGCGTAGACCTTGTACGTAGTTGGCAGAGCAGCCACACTGGCGAGTGGGTTCTGATTACGAAAGCCGTTAGTGACTTCATAGCTGTCGTGTCTTGACTCTGGGACCCGTTCTTGAAGCTTGCACCGACCTCTCTCTGCCAATAGCCTTTTAGCTAGAACACTGCTAAATAGACCTACCAACCTGTCCAAGACCCGGACCAGCCGAACCGCCAGAGTCGATTTGGTTTACCTTGTGGCGGTGCTCCAGCCCTTGACCCCACTACGTGCCGCGGATGGCTAGAGAAGTCGATGCCCATGGACAGACAGCATAGGGCTGCATAACATGACGATGAAGCACCGTCGTTGAGCTACGCTGTGGCTAGTACATGTGGTACATGAGTACATTCTACCCTGGAGGGGCCTGGAGGGGGTTGGCAGAGCCTCAATATGTCGGTCCGTCGGATGCTCGAGGAAAGCAACATGCCATGCTGTGGTTTGGAGAAGCATGTTGATCCCGTACGTCTACATTTTTTGCTCACGGGCCCGCAAACAAAACAGCTGTCCCTGCTCCAGCCTTGGGCGTCTGGATTTTGATCGACGCGCCCTGTTATGCAATGATCGGCTACCTAAGTCGATAGTTAATTTAGATGTCTTCCGTCTAGAACATGACCCGTTCGCATTGGACCAGTTCCTTGATTGCGTCTGCTCGCTTTGGCAAGCACAACAAGCCCGTGTTGACCGATTCAGCAGTTGCTCGCTACAAGCCACCGTCCATTGGCTGCATCTGCCACCAAATCCTCCCTGAGCCAGACGCAAAGCAGGGATCGAGATTGCGTATCGCCATCGAAGCTTTGACGGCCCGTGAATTAAGAACCGCCGGAAAATGCACCAGGCGCGCAAATCAGCGATCATTGTAGCAAGATATGGCGGGATGGATCAAAGCTCGGGGCTCGCGTTTTGCGAGTGCCCCGCAATTGTCGACGTTTCGCTGATGTCATGAAGCATCATCGAGACAGCTTCCAAAAATTTCCAGACCTAGCTCCTGGAAAGTTCAACAGCTATCCTGCATGGATACGGGGTCACCGAACGTTACCAGCACGCGTATCCCCGGGCGATGGTAGCACGACGACATGGCAGGTGTGAGATGCAAGAAGAAAAGGCGTTCGCACGACAGGAAGCAGGGTAGTAGCAAACGTGTGTGGATGAAGCTTGCCAGGGCTCGTTGGAGAACGATCTCCCCAGATGGAGCGCTAGTTGTATCACAAAAACGTAGTTACATGGACCGCGAGAGAACGCAGCAGACACGCATGGTAGACGGTAGCCGACGCGCGCCATGGGTACTGACTGGCGGCGATGTATGGAGACGAAGTACGGGCTAGCGTGTGGCGTGAGTTTCTCTATTGTCAACAAAGTCATAAAATGACGTTGGGCGAAACACAACTCGAACGGCAGTGACATCGCATCCGCCAGCATCCTACGACGCAGCAACCCCCCTACGAGCGCTCAGCATATTGATCCCATCTTCCCTTGACCCTCTAGTTGGTCAGTTGCTCCCCCGCACGCATCGCGATAATCGTCTGTCAAAACAATGCCGATTCGCGAAAAGATCAAGAGCTTGTTGCACAGGCACGATGATGAGACGACTCCTCCCAGTAGTCCTGGTCGTCAGTCTCGCTATGAGGTTGCTCCGCAAGGAGTGAGCCCTCAGAGTCAGCGGAGTGAGAGGCCAATTTCAGGCGCAGGTAGGCAGTCTCTGCAGATTGTGATGGAAATCGGTCATAGACGGCTGACTTTTGGGTGACAGATCAGCCTTCGCAAGCTTCGCCTGCAAGATCCCGATCCAAGCTGCGCAGGTCGCTTGACCGCAGGTCTGCCCCTGGTGCAGGCGACTCAATTGGTAGACAGAGTCTCGACGGCAGCAAGCGCAAGAGTCTTGATCAGCGTGCAATTAATGCTGGCGAGGCTCCAAGCGTGCCTGCAGTTCCCAGCACTTACAAGGACGAGGCAATCGCCCGTCCCCGAGTCTCGCAGGATGCCGAAACACTGGCAGCCAAGGAGAAAGCTCGCAGAAGTTCAAACGTGATCAACTTCAATAACACCAACAGCACCGCTGCTTCCCAACCACTCTCAGCCAAATCTGATAGGTATTCAGAAGACGTTGCTGATTGGAACATTATGAACTCGGAAAAGCCAAATCCCAATCATGCACCAGCACCGCTGAACGTCAACAAGCAGTTGGTCGACAGATCACGACAGTCTTCGACCTCGTCATACTCCACCGCGCCTACGCCTGGAGTTGGCCAAGCTGCAGTTTCGCGCAAGGCCGTCGGTTCTGACACTGTGCGCGATGTTGATGGCAGAAGGGGAAGCGTCGCGAGCACCAAGCACAAGTCGAGACTTAGCATGGACAAGCCTCTGCCAGCTCCACCAAAGCAGATCGCACTGAGTGAGGATCCGGCTTTCGGGCAATTCCTCCCCAAAGACCACAACTACATTGTCAAGGATGCTGCCGCGACGCCTATGCTTGAAGGCATTGTGGACCTCAGAAACACCGTCGACACAGATGTGACCGAAACATGGGCCCCAGGTACGTCTAAGAACTGATTGTCGAAGGGTGACGCTTACTGACTTTGATTAGCTGTTGTCCACGAAACCGTCATGCCGGAGATTCATCACATTCGCGAAGAAGTCGTCACTCGCGAAATCCACAACCACGACGTCTACCACCGCATCTTGCCCATCATTGACATCGAAGTCCTCCCTGCAAGACACTTTGTACCCACCGGAAATGGCGAAGAACTGATGGAGATCTCCGCTGATGAGATTCCTGGTAGAACTGGCTACAACCAGCAGTGGTTCATTGGCGAGATGATGTCCAAGCTCCCCAAGGACTCGAACTTCTTCAGAGAGCCGCTCCGCTTCACAGCCAGAGAGTTCCCCGGAACCGAGGGCGATTACAAGGAATACGTGCGTAACGGCATCCCGACCACCGAGACGACGTGGGTCCACCCACCGGTTCTTGACGACATGATGTACCTCGCTGGCCAGACAGAGCCGTTCCACTTTGGATGCTCGAACCCCGCGGACAACGGCCTCCACATTCGCGCGCCCAACGGGCCAGTGGCTGGGTCATCCCGTTACCACAAGGTGCAGCTGGAGCGCAGAGTGCAGGCGATCGAGCAGGCAGCAGGATCGATGAGAAACGAGTCGGTTGGCGACTATCTCAAGGCAGTCCCTTCTGGCGAGGCAACAGGCCATGAGGCGCTGACACCCCATGCAAGATAGGGTTGAGGAGAGACAAGACAGAGTGTACGATATGAGCTACGAGGCATTCATTTTTGATCATTGTGATAGCGAAGAGCGAGGCGTTTTTAGGCGCACGAAAAGAATTGATACGTAATGTGTATACAAGCAAAGGAGACTGCAAACCCGCTGGCGATTGTGAGTGTGTTCTTGTACTGTTTTCCACCAGCGCAGTCGAGTATTTTGTGCAGTCTTTCTCGCTGCGGCATTTGACAGGGGGCTAGCCTCGGCGAATGGCCACAAGCGACAGGTCCAAGCTCTCTCCGCAACTGTCGATCGCGGGGAAACAGGCTCTCGTCTTGGCGCGACTGGAGGGACCGTGGCATTCGACGACGACATGGTCTCTGGACATTGCCCGTACATGCCAGAGCAGCGCACATGGCTCGTAAGGCGCGCCAGAGGATCAGCTATGTGCTGCCTCTTACCAACTCGGCCGGTGGCCACCGTCTCGGCGTGAATGGCCTCGCCGTAGACAGCGACAACTCGATCCTGTACGTATCCCGACCCGGACACGCTCGTGCTGCCACTGACACGCTCTCCGTACAGCTACTCCGGAGGACGCGATGGAGTCATCTGCGCGTGGGACCTCAACTTCGAGGTGCAGCACAAGTCGGACCAGATCACGGCCATAGACGCGAAGCCTCCACCCTCACCCGCCTCGACCCTGCACAACCAAGTACAAGCGCATACCCACTGGATCAGCGACCTGATCCTCGCCCAGTCCAACCAGGCTCTGGTGTCGGCCTCGTCAGACATCAGCGTCAAAGTATGGCGTCCCGCTGCCACCGACTCGATGCCTCCTCAGACCATCGGTCTGCACAGCGACTACGTCAAGGTACTGGCCTCTCCCTCGTCGGACGCATCGTGGGTGGCCAGTGGAGGTCTCGACCGCCATATTCGTCTCTGGGACCTGAACGGTGCAGGGCAGACACTCAGCATCGACGTCAGCGACGACGAGAGCTTGGCCGGGCTGAGCAAAGAGAAGGCCAGCGTGTATGCTCTGCAGGCCACACACTCGATTCTGGCCAGCGGAGGCCCAGACAGCAATGTGCGCATCTGGGACCCGCGGTCGGGCAAGCGCATCACAAAGTTCGTCGGCCACACAGACATTGTCCGCGACATCCTGATCAGTCAAGATGGCAGCACCGTCATGTCGGCCTGTTCGGACCAGACGGTCAAGGTGTGGAGCGTTACTGCTGGCCGCTGTACAAACACCCTGACGATGCATGATGCTAGTGTGTGGTCTCTGTGGTCCGACCATCCAGACCTCTCCGTCTTCTACTCGTCAGACAAGAGCGGCATGGTAGCAAAGACCGACACCAGAGGCTGCGGCCAAGATCTGGAGGAAGGTCTGAGTGTGGCCATCTGTCAGGAAGGCACCGCTGTTCACAAGCTCGCCGTAGCTGGTGATTACATCTGGACAGCCACTCCTCGCCCTACTATCAACAGATGGGCCGACGTCAACATCGACGGTGCTGACATTGATCTGCCCGACACGTACAAACAGCAGCGCTTCAATCTGGCTACCTCCCGTTCGAGAATTCCCAGCCCGCCCGTCAACTCGTCCTCTGACCGCCTGGCCTCGCCATCACAACCCACCTCTCCTTTTGCGCCGCCGCAACCCACTTCTCCCACCTCTCCTCTGCCGCCGTCCAGCAAGCGCCTCGTACCCTTGAAGCACGTGCTCAGGCTGAGCAACGCCGCATACTTCCCCAGACCCGTTCCGCGAGAAAATGGCTCAGATGCTGATCAGAACCAAGTCGAGCACACCCAGCCCCTCAGACACACCCCCGACTTTGCTATCGAAGGACAGAATGGCTTGGTCAAGCACATCATGCTCAACGACCGCAAGCGTGTCTTGACTCAAGACACGGCCGGTGACGTCTTGTTGTGGGATCTGCTCAAGTGTGTGCCCATCAAATCGTTCGGCAAGAGGCATCTCGAGGACGTCCAGCCCGAGGTTGCCACAGTCGAGACGGTGCCCAACTGGTGCTCTGTCGACACTCGAACTGGCACCTTGGCTATCACTCTGGAAGAGCACACGGCCTTTGATGCCGAGATGTATGCCGATGAGCTTGACATTGACCAACACATCGACTTCAAGGAGGATCAGCGCATCAATCTTGGCAAGTGGATTCTTCGTTATTTGTTCGCAAACCTGATCAGCGAGGAGATTTCGAGAGACTCGCAATACAGAAGGCACCTGTTGGAGCAAGCACAGAAGCAAAAGTTGGAGCGTGAAAATGCTCCTACCAGCATCCAAATGCCTCCTGGCCTAGCCGACGGTTGGAAAATGGATCCTTCTGCCCCTCTTTCGACCAACACCCTGAGACCAACCAACACGAACACCATTGGCTTTGCAACCCCTGGTCTCTCGATTGCCGATACCGCTTCGTCTTATGTTGGCTCTCCAAACTTGACACGAGACGCTCTCACCAACGAGGAAGATGAACGCACACAAGACAGATCATCGATAGGCGGTGACTACTTCTCCACCTCTACAACTGCAAACTCGACCAATCACAACAGCGAGTCCAAGCTGGTACCTCAGACTCCCACCGAATCTGCTGCCACGCCGGGTCTCGAGGATGCATCGACGACCGAAGCCAATGACACGCCTTCGAAGTTCGGCAAGCGTCTCCGTATGAACATGTCATTCAACATGAAGAAGCTGGGTAAAGCTCCTACGAACGACAAGGAGAAGCCTGCCGTCGTTGAGGAGACCAAAGAAGAGGCTGAAGCCGAGGCAGACAACCAAAGCTCATCTGACAATAGCAACTCTCGTATAGTCGATGAGAACTTCCTCGGTTGCATTCAGAAGATCCGCTTCGCCTATGAAGACCATTTGCAGGCACAAGTTCAACGCGCTACTGCTGTAGATGCTGCTGGCGGTGCACTGGGCCAGTCCAAAGAGCTAGAGTTGCCAACCTCCATCGTACCATCTCTTCCATCTGAGACGCCAGTGTTGAAGCCACCACCAAACACAACCATCCTGATCCAGGAGGAGCGACCAGAAGCCGGTGGTGTGGCTGATCTGTTCGAGGGCAAGGTCAGCAGCACAGCCGAGATGGCCGACCTAATCGAAAAGGTCGCTCCCATGTGGCTCGGCGATGCTCTCTTACGGAACCAGATTCCACTCAAAGATCTCGTCAAGATCAGTTTCGTGCTCGAGCCATGGCAGAATGTACTGCCTAGCATTGCTGCAGACGGGTATGATTTTTTTCCCTTCCTCACCGTCTACCATGAGACATGCTAATACCCACCCGTAGTAACAACAGACTCAACGCCAACCGTATGCTGCGTGCCCGCAAGATTCTGGGCTATGTCGCCGAACGCATCGAACCCGCTCAGGATCCCGCTACCGCCATGCCCCCGGAAGAATATCTCGAGCTCTACTGTAACAACCAGCTCGTACCGCCCAAGATGACACTAGCGACCATTCGTACGCATATCTGGAGAGGTGGCGGTGACGTCCTGCTGCATTACAAGGCCAATGGTAAGAAAAAGATCTTGCACTCGGCCGAGAACTTTGCGACCGACGTGGAAGATGCTGGTGATGGTTCTGCCGCGGCCTAGGTGGGAGAATTGTATAGGTGTGTGTGATTTTGTTGTTCGATGTTTCTCTCTCGCTCTGTGTCACATATTGTGCACTTTTTTTTTCTCTTTTTCTTTTGGACTGACGATAAATACCCTTTCTCCTTCCCCTTCTAGAGGTGGTTCTTCTTTGGTTTTCTTGTATGTAATGTAGCTATACCAACATAGGAAAAAAATCAAAAGACTTTCATTCTCGCGAATACATATCAGTTGCTGATTAGCGTAGCAGTAAGAGTATTTTTCAGACTGATATGTCAATTTCTCCGGATGCATCTACCCAAAAGTCCGATCCATCTTTTTCTGAAATGTTACCATCAGTACAAATGGATATGTCAAAGAAATCCTACAGTGCTTTAGATAGAGAAGCTGCTAAAAGAGAGGTCTTCCAACGCAATCCTCTCAAATTGACATCGAATGCAATAATAGCAGCAATTCTTGGCCCCCCGAGTTCGAGAATTGGAAATGTCGCACAAAAAAGTGCCTCGCAGTCGCGGCGAAAAGTATCCTTACATAAACTCTTGCCACAACATAAGTACCCCCTCACCAGTAACCCGCAAAACGCCTCTACAAAGCCCTACCCATCGCCCTCACACATATTCCTTGCATCTTGTGGGTTTGTTTAAAGCGAGGCTTGCTTTGGTACCAACGGTACCTAAGACAAAAGACGATAGGAAAACTTGTCTGTTTAGCGAGTCTAGATACATAATGTTCTTTTTCCAAATGGGCTTGGGTATGCGTTGGCTTGAAACGAGGATTGAGCTAAGAAAGATAAGCTAGAGCAGATAAGCTAGGGAGAAACTTGATCACATATACTTAGCTAAAGCACTTTAGCTACCCAAAAATGAAAAAGAGTAGAAAGCAAAAGATTAGATATCTAAAAGTGTAGCGCGGACGAGAGCAAAAGCGAGACCCGGGTTTTCTGTATGAGGTGGATCTCGTTCGAGAAGAGCGATTGAACGGACTTCCCTAGGATGTTTGTAGAGATAAAGGGACAAATGAGAAAGACAGGTACTCGGCACTTGTAGAAAATAGTCTGAGCAGCTTAAGCTATGAAGTGCGATATATATAGTTAGACAAAGCTCGAAATCCAATAGTGCACTCACTTATGGGGGGTGAATAACAAAAGTTTTGCCGCTTTTTGTCAAGTGAGACTTGGAAACTCAATAATTCGTTCCTCTCGCTCTATTTTCTTTCTTCTCGGCGGAGTTTCTTCTTGCAGGGCGGTTTGGTCGGTTTGGTTTGGTTGGGCTGGGCTCTTTCAACACTCCAAATTCACAATGGCGGCACTACTCCAGGGCACATCCACCTTGAATCCTCCCTTCCTATCAACCTGCACACACTCTCCCTGCGTCACATTCGCCATCCTCACACCTTTTCCCTCTGCCAACTCGTACGCATAGCTCTTTCCATCCCAAGTGATTCCCGTGAGTGCATCACTGCCATTCGCAATCAATCTTGACACTGTAACGCTTTTGCATCCTTGAGGCAGCACGAATTGATGGGTTTGGACGGGCCGAGGGAAGGAAGTGGTGAAGTTGTTGGCGGTGGTGTTGTAGGTGTGCAAGTCGACGATCAGGAGACGAGAAAGCGTAGAGTCGATGTGAGCGGTGTAGAATGAGGTGTTTGCTGATGACGCAGGGAGATGGGTTATGGCAAGTGAAGAGGTGTTGCAGGGTTTGTGCATCATGGCTGCTACGGCTAGATTGCCATAGTAAGGTGGTTTTGTGCCGATGGTGGTCAGGTTTGTGGTGATTGGTTGCCAGGCTTGGTAGCTGTTCAGATGCAATTCTAGTCAGCGTTTTGTTTTGTTTCTTTGGACTGGGCCAGAGGGAGAAGACTCACCGGTAATTAGTGCCTTGGTGCATGTGACTGCGACTGATGTTCTGAGATGCGAGATATACATTCCAATCAACACCCCACAGCGCCGCACCAAAAGTGTTCGAAAGACCGGGTCGTCCTTGTCTAGCGAGACTATTGTGTTCGCCCAAGATAAACGGAACCTTAGGAGCCAGATCGCCGCCCAACGCAGAAATGTTTCTTTTCACATCGAGTTGAGTCTCGGCCTTTGCGATAATATTGGAGTGGTTCATGAGCGTTCCTTGCAGAGTGATGCCAGGGTCAGTGGAAACACCCATGTAATTGTGCGAGGAGATGAGTCCGATGTTGCCAGCTGCGTTCAAGTCCTCCTTGAACGCCTTGAGGGGGTCGAGGGTAAAGTACGAGTTGTTAGCCACACCCGCAAAACTAGGTGCCATGAATTCAGTCCCAGCGAGGGAAGGACAGGCGGATTTGACCGCTTCAGAGATGTGTGAAGTTCCATTTAGCCATTCCTCCACATAGTCAGCTTCGGTGTAGTTTCTGGGGCGATAGCCAGATGCCCAGAAGAGATCAGGTTCATTGCCGTACTCAAAGTAAGCGAGGTTGTTTCCGATGGCTTTGCACGCGTAAGGGGCAGAAGCAAGGGTGGCTGCTCGGGCGGCAGAAGAATTGGCACCGAGGTTGAAACCATGGGTAAATTTGACTCCCTTGGGCATGGTTTTGTACGAGTCGAAGAAGGAAGGTCCGATGGTGATGATGGAAGGATAATCAGCGGAGATGTTTGGACGGACTACGCCCACGAGGCCGGTCTTTTGCGAGGCATCGAAAATTGCAATGTCTCTGCATTTGCTGTTAGAGATGATTGCTTGCAGATCCAAGCGTAATGCTATCTCACTGTGTATTGCCTCCAACACGAGCAATAGGCATAGAACCTTGCAGTTGACCAATGTTGTTCATGAGGTTATATGAGAACTTGTTTGGATGAGTAAGGTTGCCTGTAGTCAATCAGCGAACTGTGCCAGTGAGCAACCGATCAGCTAACATACCGGCAAAATCAGGCCATGAAGACAGCTCGAATGAGAAGGACATGAACGAATCCAAAGGTATTCCAGCATCGCTAGTTGGGTATTGAGATATGGCAACGGGCTTTGACTTGGAAGGCAGATTGGCAGCCTCTACTTCCAGCAGAGCCGCAAGGCACCAGATGAAGAGAGAGCGCGTGTTGAGGAACATGTTGATTGGTTTGAATTTGTCTATACAACGTGTGCCTTTCGAAGATGGTTTATACAACTCATCGGCAACGGAAGCTATGGCCGAAGATCGTTATGGCAATTGATGCTGCAAGTCCTTGATCGTTTTCATCATCACATCTCGCGTGCTGACTCGAAGATCTGCACATCAATGTGGGGGAGTGGCTAGGGTTCATTGCGGAGAAGGTGGGGTAACAGGCTATTTTTCCGTAGTCAGTTCTTCGTCAACCTCGCAGCAAAAACATCGGGACCACTTATCAAAAAGAGATTGAGCCACTCTGTTCCCGAAGAATCAGAGTAGCATAGCGCACAATGCGCTCCAGACAGCCCCTCCTCCACTTTCCGTCACCAACACCTGACTTGAGAGTCCAGCACCCAAGTCCCGAGAAGAGCACCTCGAAGTACCGAAAACGATGATCTTCATCCTTGCCATGGCTTGTCGTCTGCACACGGCGGCGTTTGAAAATGTATCACGAGCGAGTAGGGCAGGGTTGAAATGTACAGCAGACAAGCCGGAGCTTTGATCCTCACTCGAGAGAGGTCCCGCACGTACAAATCAGCACATACACTTCTCGATCGATCGACACTCCAAAGCCGTGGGTGAGTGCGTTGGAATTTAGGCTCGACTCGAAGATCGTCCGAGTCCTTCGTTGAAGCATCTCCTCAGAGACCAGAGGCCTTCCAGTCCGGTCAGAGGTATGGTGGGGTCAAGCTTGAGAAGAACCATCGCTGTTTCTCAATACTGTTCGGCTTTGTCCACAATCCTTGAAACGATCTGATGTCAGCTGGCTCATATACCTCACCGCTTCACAAGACTTTCAGGGAAACCCTCGTGTTTCTCAAGCTCCAGGGTACCCTCTCAGTGTGTGGTAGCGTTCTTCTCGGAGACAAGTCTTTGGTTTACCATCCTAACCAGCGAGAAGCCAGCATCGGACGGCATTTGATGTGTAGAGACATGAAGTGGACAAAGTACATCTGTAAAAACCACTTCCATCTTCCGAAAGCAGAGTACACTTGTGGGAAGGCAAGATGCGAGCAGAAACTGATGAAGCTCCTGCAGGCGGGTGTATCGGCGCTCATCATTAACTCGGCAGTTGAAGCAAAGACTGATGATTGATGCGGCTGGCCAGAACAATGACCAAAGGTCAACTCTGCCGCCGTTGCTGTTGGCAGAGGCTTTCCGACTGTGATTGAGAATTGCGGCGGGTGAGAGATGGTCGTGCTAGCGCAGTAGAGCTTGTACGGGAATCTTGGTTCGCCGCTCGACAGGCTGTAGACGCAAGGATCACTGATCATTGATGCGTACAGGATTCCACCATGCTGCGGAAGAGGAGCGAACATTGAGAGTACATCAACCGCGTCCAGGGTGTCCGAGAGAAGATGAGATGTTACAGAAGCCGGAGACTTTGGCATGCCATAAGGAACTGTGCCGCTCTGAACCTCTGTATGTGGCTTGAGAATCTTGCTACGCAGATGAGTGCGATTCCGACAAGTATTGCACAAGCATGTGAGAAGGCTAATGAAGCGGCGCGGTCTGTATGAAGAAGCATGATCAAGCTCTTTCTGTAACAATTCACCAACACTCAAACCACCAAGGTTGCAGGCACCGAAATGCTCATGATGTTTCTCAAGGCCGTCCGGATCCAGGCGGAGAACCAGTGTTGCTGAACAGATTTCCAGAACGCCCTCTGCACGAGCATATGAACACGTGTAAGAACCCAAAGACGATCCTCAGACGAGGTGTCCGACGAACTTTCCTCATCTCCTCCGAGCGCAATCCAGAATGGCAGACCAGAAAAGCTGTCCATAGGATGACCAGAGCATGTATGTCCAAAGCAGCAAAATCGACGCGCGCCCTCTCCGAGAGTCTTACCAAAACGACGCATGATGATACCGTTGAACGTCGACAACTCTATTCGTCCCCATTGCAGCAGACATTCCTCGTGAGAAGAACAAAAAGCTGCGCCGGCGAATTAATCGAGAAATCGGCAACTTCCTGCAAAGGACCGCGAGACTGTGTTTGAACCGATGTATGGCTTAGGGTTAAGTTCCGAGCGGGATGCCCATTCGAAGTGCTTGAAACCAACAACAATCAGGGAAAACCAGTGAGGCCATGCTGTGAGGCTCGGGATTGTGAAAGTGTCAAAGACAAGTGACAACGAACAGCCCATAAGAGATACCAACCATGACAGTCAGTAGACCCCGCTCGTGACTGTGGAGAGAGTGAGACGCGTGGCGTGTGTTGAGAGAGGGAGACCATTGGAGCATGAGATGAGGGTTTCCTGAAAGCCCGGATCCACGATGTCAGCAGTGATATAACCAGTGGTTTCCAGATCGAAGACGATGAACTCGGCACGGCAGAGAATGAAAAATAGCTTGTGTGAAGGAAGAAGAGTTCTTGCATCGATACAGCTCAAAACATGACGGTGGCTGGGCAGACGCGTCGGGAATGCCAAGACTTCGCGCGATGCTTTCAAACTATGCTTCTCCACTTTGAGATCAGGTCAACATGCAAACAGATCACTGAGCAGTACCGCATGGGCGACAGACAAGATGCTATCGTAAGGGTAGTAGCGAATTCGAATTCATCATCACAATTTGGCCCCACCCTCACCACCAGCACCAACCTTACCATAGACCTCCCTCTCAAACAACTCAATCATCTCCCCAACCTTGCCATCACCAGGCGGATAAACCTGCGTACCAAACAACCCACAGACTCCCTTCTCCCTGTCCACCCACCAGAAATTATTAGGCATGCCACTCCAGATCAATGTTCCTCTGCCTCTGTGGTCATCATTCTCAGAATCCACCAACACACCTCCAACACCCCAATCGTAAGTTGTGGACGTGGGGAATTTGCCGATAAACAATGCCATGATTTCTGGCTGTGTGAAGACTTTGTTGATGGCAGTGTGGGATTGTGGCGTAAGTTGAGGAGAAAAGAAGATGGAGGTAGAGGATTTTGAAAGCAGTACTTCATCGTCGAGAAGCAATGAAGAGAGAACCTTGAAGTAGTCAGTCAGGTCTGCGTATCCTCCATGCCCACCGAAACATTCTGCATCTTTCCAATCGATATTCTTCTCCTTCGGCAGATTGACCAAGTCGCCAGAAGGAATGCGTAAAGCGATTGTTGCTGCTTGACTCCTCATTTCCTCGTCAAGGTACGGGCTAAATTTTATCCTGGAGATGTTAAGCGGTGCAAAAATATTTGCATCCATGTATTGCTGCAGGCTCTGCTTCGTCACGGCTTCAATCACTTTGCCCGCCCAATCGATGCCAGTGCCATAGGACCAGTAAGTGCCCGGCTCGAAGAGAAGGGGGTACACGCATTTGGTCTTCATTGTTGTGCGTTCCTCTGGGTTGTCATTGATGTGTTGTCGGTACTTGTCCAAGATAGGAACCATCTTATCATAGGCCGTGCCAGCGGAATGAGTCAACAGGTGCACAAATTTGATGGTGTTTTTGCGTTCCGTCAAGATTGGGTTGTTGTCAGAGTCAAAGCCATGGAGAATTGGTTGAGCAGCTAGTTCTGGGAGATAGGATGATACGTCTGTTTCCAAGGCAATCAAGTCCCGTTCGATGAGTTGCATGGCGGCGATGCAGGTGAGGAGTTTGGTCATTGAGGCTAGGAAGAGGATGCTATTGGGTTCGAGAGGCCTGGCAGAGGCTCCAATAGAAGTTTTGCCAAAGGATTTGGTAAAGTCTAGCTTGCCTGTTCATCATGTCTTTGGTTAGTTGTATGTGTTGAAACTTATAGTGAAGAAACACCATACCAGACTTGTCTCTGGCCATCAAGATGGCGCCAGGAAAGACGCCATCTTTGACCGCTTGCTCGAATTTCTCTTCAAAGGAGGGGGTCATGACTGTGACTTCTGTCGTCGGTTGTGGAAGATCTTCCGAAGCACAAGAGTCGGTGTCTGATGGTTTGGTGAACACATTCAAGGCTACGTTGTGCATTTATGGGGCTCGCAAGATAGACGCCTGCCTGGACCGAGGCCCGCCAGGGGTGGGGGCCCGATATTAGCCAAGGTTTCATTGCATGTTATAACTTATCTGACCTGTCATCTGTCTGCCTGGGCTATTCATTTATGTGTCTTTTCGATAGCGACTGCTCAGCAGTGTGTAAGCAAATATAAACATATGCAGGTTATGTTAAGTTATAGCCACATATCCCAAAGCTTCACCACCACCTCCGAAGCCCTTCTATGACCCCTCCCCTTAAAACCACCACAACTTCACAACCACTTCTCGGAAAAACACATAAAATAGCTCAAAAGATGCGCCGTCTTTTGCTCTACAGATCTGTCTCTTCAGAAAGATTGATGACAGTACTTCTTGTAGAAAATGGCAAAAAGCTCGACGCCTGTGTGATTCGAACACACGCTCCCGAAGGAAATGCCTCTCGGTATCCTCACAAGAGAGATAGCAGGGCATCGCGTTAACCACTCCGCCAAAGCGCCTATGAAAAATTAACGGTTTTCGATACAATATATTCTTTTTCTCGGCCAAGCCGCTAGAAGTGCGGGTCGGGCTGCCTGAGCCTCGCGCCGGGCTTGGCACAACACGTGCCAGTATCGCGTTGACTGATACATCGACACCGAACAGATTTTTAGTATAATCTACAGAGACCAGTCAGTAGCTGTATAGAGCTTCTGGGCAGGCTTTGCTTATAGTCATACACAGACACCGTGTCAATTTCGGCGAGGTTAGGGGAGTCTTTTCCAGATACGTTCTGTGAGGATGAGTACCAGCACACCGTCACGGTCAGAAGCTTTACAGTTAGTGATGATCTCTTTGGAAGCACGCAGGACAGGAAGATGTCAGCAAACGTCTCCGTCGTAATGTTTGCAAGAAACTGGTTATGAAAATTATATGAACACTTTCTCATAAATGCTTATGCAAGCTACTCTGCCTGAACTCCTCCTGTACACATAAACACCATCATCACAATCTCTAGACTCTTTACATGTCATTAGGATAATCATCCACCACCTTGGCCCCAACCTTGATCCTCCACCCATTAATCGCATGCTTCTTCTTTCCAACCTTGACAAGATCCTTGATATGCCTCTCCAAAGTCTCCTTGACCTCCATCGGATCACTCCTATTCTCCGTCTTCCAAACCAGCGTAAATGTAACCATCAATCCACTCTTCTTCCCGCTCTTACCCAACGTATCCACATACTCCGATTGGATCTTGATCTCCGGCTTAGCGAGCACTGTCTGAGTGTTGAAATCGTAAAGATCATCCTGGATAACACCAGCAGGGAAGGCGCGAGAGAGGATCAAGCCAATGACACCGATATATTGCGTCCACCATGCTTCTTCATTCGACACGAGGCGAATCAGTTGATCGCGATAGGAGGTTTCGCGAGGTGCGAGTTCGCCTTCATAGCGTGCTTCCAGCATGAGTGCCAGTAAAGCTCTATCCGCATGCGAAGACCCATGTGTACTGCACAAGATACCAGTGCCGGTGCTGTATAGAGCAGACGTGGAAGAAACTTCTTTGTTCATGTTGGCGTGGAAGTAAAACATGTTTGCGAAGGCGCGAATCATGTGAATATCGATGCTTCCCGGCACCATCGAAAATCCCTTTCCAGCATTTTGAGGCAGGGATTGAGTGACTAGGACGGCGATCTTTGGTGAAATGGGCTTGGCCATGTCGCGGGTGGCTACTTCCAGGGGATCCTGAGCGCGGATTCCAGGGTGTAGACGGTTGTAAAGCACGCCCTCGCGGACACCGCCTTGACAGAAATGCGCTTCTCTGATACCATGGGGGATGGCTTTTGCAAGGATGCTGACCAAGAAGGAAACAGCAGGCACTTGCCCGCGACGACGATCGGAAACGCGGAAGATCTCCTTGGCCTCCTCAGCGATCTGCTTCATCTTCTCCGTATCTTCGAATTCGTCCTTTTGTGCTGTGAAGCCGTTGATGATGGAGAATGGGTAGCCACCACCAGCCACTTGCTCGTGATGGAGCAACAGATATCCCCAACCGCGGAAACCACCTCCAGTGAGATAGAGTCTGAAGCCTCCATTCTCGGTGGCATCCTTGACAAGCTCATGCGGCACTTGTATCTTACCGTACGCCTCTTTGAACTGCTCCGTGACTTGCGCACGAAACTCTTCACGAGCCTTGTGCGCCTCGTGCTTACTCTTACCCTTCTTCAACTCTTCAAGCCTGCGCGTCAACGCAGCAGCACCATAGGGAAAACTCACCGCACTGACAGGACTGATTTTCGTCTCGCCCTTATTAGCAATCATCCAAGTGATTTGCGTACTGCCACCGCCCATGTCCATAACCAAGCCACGCACAGCAGAAAACGAACTCGCAACACCATATGCACCAATCCTGCCCTCGTCCTCTTTCGACAGCAAAGTCATTTTCAGTCCAGTCTCCTTCCTAATCTTATCGCAGAATTCCTTTGAGTTAATTGCAGCTCTAGTGGCTTCGGTAGCAACAATCTCAATCTGCTCCGGCGGAACCCTGAAATCCGCACAGAAGATCTGGAAGCGCAAAAGCATGGACACCACATCATCCATCACAGCAGCGGAAATAGGAACTTTGGTTCCATTGTCATCGTACTGTGCTTCGTAGAGTGAGATCTTGTTGCGGTAGGCGTAGACGGTGGGTAAAACACGGGTGGTGGGGGCGCTTTGGTCCGTGATGGACAGACGGATGCCGTTGCTGCCCATGTCGACCAGACCCCAGAGACCAGTGTTCCATTGTGGTTCCGAGATGAGTTTGTGAGTTGTGGCATTGTGCCTGTGAGGGATTTCCTGTCCGCCGCCCATTTTGAATGATGGAGCACCTTGATGTCCGTGTGAACTCAGGTATCGAAGTCGCAAGAAGGGTTGAGTGCCGAGCAACCAAGTTTTATGGAGTCTGCGCTTAACCAACAGCTTGACACAAGACTTTTCGTCGATTTGGTATATATGATAGGTGAAGAGGTGGAAAACAAGAACGGCAGACTGAGCCGCAGGCTCCAGCGAAAGCTCATCTTGTTCTTGGAAGCTCTCCCCGCAACGGTTTCATTTCGAGTCAGTGGCGCCAATTCAGAAGAGGCAGAGCCGTCATCAGCCAGACCATCTTGCACGTTCTTGCTGCAATCCCTTGGCACCAAGATGCTGTCCTGGTGGGACGTGTTTATACATCTGCATCATCTGGCTTGACCAGAATTGTTGACCTTCATACTAGTCAAGCAAGTGCAAACAGCCGGAAAACTTCATACACCACCTTGAAGTCTCAGCTGCGAACATCAACACCCTACCCACTTACATACAGATGACCATGAATCTCAAGGTAACACAAAACACGAGTTCGTCAATTACTGATTGTCATATACCGTTACAACGTGTGTGTGTGATGTCAAAGTCTCTATATCCGTTACCCCTCGACTTTGTTCTCTTCCGTCCAAACAGAATGCTAGAAGGACAAGTCTCCAATCGTTATTCACCAGAATGAGGGGCCTCTCTCTCCGTCGTGTTTGTGCTCATGCCCTGCCTGTATAGTATGCTGCCATGCTTCGGCTTCCATGGTATATATCTCCTCTACCAGACGTCCTTGCTGAGCATCTCCGTCCCGATATGTGGTGTGTTGATTGTAAAGCAAAGAGCGGTACAGCAAAGAGTCGACTCAAGCACCATGGTCGATGGTGGTGATGATGTGGGCAAATGAGTGCGTGCGGTTGGCGTGCCCTGTGTGAGATTGGTGGTATCTTCATCTCTGTCGGAAGCGGAGCGGGTGTATGGCTTGCCCACTTGAGAGGCTGGTCTAAGCTGAGCTCATACAAAGTCGGCCGTGTATGAGAATCCTCTGAACTCTTCTTGCATGCCTTGTGTCAAGACTGATTGCACAGGCGTGAGCACAGGAGTGACACTTGTGAACTCGGAGTCGAAGTTGCTGGTGTCAGCCTTGCCCTTGATGGTAGGCAAGAACGGCGGAGGAACACGCTTGTGGTAGATATCTTCCCAGTTGATGTTCTTGAAGAATGGATGGCTCATGATCTCCTGAGCATCGGTTGGTCCGCTGCCAAGACGGAGCTCGGGCTCGCGTGTGAGTAGCTTTTGCAAAATTGATACCGAATCGCGCGGCATGTGGATAGGGTAGAGAGGCTCGTCTGCCAGAATGGCATCATAGATTTCATCTTCATCCTCACCACGGAATGGAGATTGTTGAAGAAGCATCTGGTAGATGAGAACACCAAAGGCCCACCAATCTACAGCACGGCCGTACTTCTTGTCGAGAAGAATCTGTCACAAAATGGTCAGCAGTGATCATGATGGATAACCGACGATCGAAACATACCTCTGGCGCCATGAACTCGGGAGTACCGCAGAATGTGCTAGTTGTGCTTCCGTACCACATGTCTTCCTTACAAAGACCATAATCGGCAATCTTGATGTGACCATCCAAAGTAAGTAGGATGTTGTCAAGCTTCAAATCACGATAGATGACACCGTTCTCGTGGAAGTACTTCAGTGCCAAACAGACTTCAGCAGCATAGAACCTGTGATTGTTAGCAATGTTCAAGTGGGACTGGGAATCAATACTTACTGAGCGCGCTTGGTGCCGAACTGGCCACGCTGAATGTGCAACATCAAATCACCACCACTGATGTACTCCATGACAAAGTAGATTCTGGTCTCTGTCTGGAAACAAGCATGGAGGTTGGTCAGGAAAGGATGCCTCTCCTTGTTGGCGATCAGGAAGACACGCTTTTCTGACCTCGTGCTCTCGACTTCATCGTTCTCGATGATGAACTCCTTCTTCAAGACCTTGATGGCATATAATTGCTTGGACTGCTTTGTCTCGGCAAGCATGACCTTACCGAAGTTACCCTTACCGAGCACAGCAAGGAAGTTGAAATGATCGAGACCAACACGGATGTTGCCACCTTGAGTCTTTCTTGCAGGAGGAGCCATAGATGTTGGGGCCTTGCTCGGCGGTGATGCAGGAGTGGCAGTAGAAGGAGGGCTTTGGTTTGTTGCAGCGGGGTATTGCTGGCGAGGAGGCTGAGATTGCTGAGGAGGTTGCTGGAGAGGCTGGACAGGGAAGCCGCTGACGGCAGCATAGTCTGCTGGATTGTAGCCTGCAGGCTGTGGCTGAGAGTTTCTCTGCTGGGCGTATTGGTCGGCGCTGCTCGATGCGGTGGAGCTTCTTTGGCTCGACTGCTGCTGCTGTTGTTGCTGTTGTTGCTGCTGCTGTTGCTGTTTCTGGTAGTCGGTCGAGGAGCGGTTGTAGGGAGGGATTCGTTGTTCTGCGGCGGACGAACGCTTGCCTGACAGAGCGGCGGCTGCGGCGGCTGCAGCAGATTGGGACGAGTATTGACGGTGAGCGGGCGGCGGGCGAGCTTCGGGCTGTTGAGGGGAAGGAGGAGCAGCAAAAGATGCACGAGCAGCATCGACCGAGGTGGCGGGAGCGCCGTACTGCGAGGAGCGAGGGGGAGCATCGTAGGCGTCGGACATGCGGTCTTTGCCGTATGAAAGTGGCCTGTCTTGAGGATTCGAAGCCTGGTCTTGATGAGAGGGTGTAGGCATGAATGAAGGCTGCGAAGGTTGAGCTGGGGGCCTGACACTGTTTGCGGTGCCAGGGCGCAACTTGCGCTCCGACATGCTGGTGCCCTGGCGACCCTTGGTTGCTCTGCGGATCTCGCCCAGAATCTCGTTGGCCTTCTCGTTGGAGATGCCGCAGAAGTCTGGAACAAAGTGGATGCAGTTGTTGTGGCAGGTCGAGCTACACTCTGTACACTTGCGAGCCTGCTTTCTTCCAAGAGGCAGCATGTAGCCACAGTGGCAGCACCAGTTGGCACCCATGTTGGAGAAGGCCTCGAAGCGATGAGGAATGCGGTGGTTGATCTTCTCTTCGTCGGGGTCGGATTCGGCATTGGACTTGCTGATACACTTTGTGACGACACTTGGATAGCACTTCTTGTGACATGTCAAGCGACAGTCTGAGCACTGCATACCAGCCGTGTACTTGAGGAAGTCACCGCACAGCGAGCAGCGCATGACGTTGTAGAAAGTCTGCTGCACAAACTTGTGACCGTACTGCTCGACTGCGTCCTCCTTGCGCTGGCGAACGGCGCCCTTGCGCCCGAGTCCTACGTCGAAAGGTCTGCGTTCGCGTGTTTGTTTGACTGGAACGTGTTAGTTCTGATGGCGGCGTGAGAGGGTAGAGAAACGTACCGAAGCTCAAGTTGAGCTTGATCTTGCCAACAGGCTCGAGCGAGAACCAGTCGTCGATTACAACAGGGTTGGTCGTGGGTGCTGGGCCGCCTCCAAAGCCACCAGAGGCTCCACCGGCGGGACCTTGTTGACTACCGTGTGCTGAGCCGGCGCCAGAGCTTCCTGGAGGAGCCGAGAACTGCATGTCAGGCTTCACTCCCGAGTCGCCCATGTGGTCTGCAGAAATCCAGCCCGAGTTCTTAACCTCGCTCTCGATACGTTTGCGACGCATCTCCTCTGCGATGTCTGAGATGCGCACCCACAGCATACCGATTGGCATGGGATGTTCACCCGCCTTGTCGTAGACGGTCAGCTCGATTTCATTGGCCTTGTCAATGTCAAAGTCGTGTTGCTCGTCGGTCCAGCGGTCGGTTCGTGTGGCCTTGGTGCGGCCCTTGAAACTGTCCTCGACTTTGACCATGACGAACGTCTCCGGGCCACGCGAGAATCGGCCCGTCGCGGCGTGGTCAACGTCGGCAATGGCCTGGATGCGGATGGACAGGTAGCCGCTGAGGGGCTTGCGCTGACTGGGGATGTTCAAGCTGTCGTCGTCTTGCATATCGGTACTGATGTCGGCGACGTGCAAATCTTCGTGGCGCTTGAGAGCCTGCTTGAGAAGGTGGATCTTCTGACTACTCTCGATGCGACGGCCCTCGGCCTCGGCTCTGCTCTTGCGGTCTCCCTCGAGCTGGTACAAGCGGACCATCTTCTCGATACCATCCTTGTACTGCTTTTCGACACTGAGCTTGAACTCGAGTTGTGACAGCATGAGTTGGATGCGCGGGCCCAGATGAGGGGTTTCGGCCTTGATGAGGTCCAGGCGGCTGTAGTTGGGCCTGTTCTTGAGAGCGGATTGGCCGGGGGCGGGCGGGGCGTAGGGAGCGCGAGGAGGCATCAGACCGTTGCCGCCTCCCTGGCTGTAACCGCCAGGGCCGGGGGTGCCGTAGCTGCCGGGGTCTTGGTCGTCGTGGTGCGAGGGCGGGGGCGGCGGGCCAGCGTCGTTGGTGAGGCTGACGTTGTTCATGTGGTCGCCCAGCTTGCGAGACTGCAGATCCTGCAGCGTCTTCTCAAAGTACTTGAGGTTCCTCTGGGCATCGCGGACCTGCGAGTCGATACGCGAGTTGACCTGGCTGTTGTTTGTGGCCTGTCGCATGGAATTAAAGCCGGCGATCAGCGTCTTCTCGCGCTCAATCTTGCGGCAGAGATCGCTGATGGCGGCATCCTCGTTGTTGCTCATGGTTGGGGCCGTCTAGCAGGCATGCACCTGTGTTGTGCAGAAGGCGCACGCGAGAGGAGGGGAATAGGAGCGCGCGCCGGGATATCACCGACCGAACGCGAACGAGAGGAAGACTCCCTGGACGAAGGCGACAGGCGAGGAGGAGGAGGAGTCGCGGTCGAGGGGCGGAGGGCGGGAAATAGCAATGTGTGCGTGTTGTTGTTGTTGTCGTTGTTGTGAAGAATACAAGTCGAAGGAGGAGCAGGAACGTGTGGCTTGAACGACGGCGCTCGGCTTTGGGCTTGGGATGTTTTGGGGGGACCGGCGCGCGCGGAGACAGCACTGAGCAGGCACCAGAGACGACGAATGCGTGTGCGTCACTTGGAAAATAACAGAATGTCGGTCACTCTGTTCTGGCAAGAGAGAAAGGTGCGAACAGATACGATCCAGCAGATCAATTGCCGACATGCGAGACAGTTGGCCATGGGAATGTCACTCTTTGATCCAATTACGACGCCAAAACAGACTCATGATTCTGCCAATCCACCACCTCTTTCTGCTACGAGTCGTCTGTCATACCGAAGTCTGTTGGGACTAGGTAGGTATTCCTTCCCACCACTCTGGACCATCTTCGATCCTTTGTCTCTCTGGTGCTTGGTGCCTGCTGATACGCGTCCTTTTGCAACGATTTTTTGTTTGTTTCCGTAATCATCCACTCCTCGGCACATTGCGGTATGGAGGTCACTACCAGAATATACTTTGCGACCACTACTCAGCCACAGCTTGCCCTTCGACTGCGCCTCAGGTGTTGATTTTTGGAAATCATTTGACTCCAAAATATATCATTGGATGACAAGCAGTTTTTGCATTGAATTCGAGTCGTTCCCAACAGCAAAACAATGCCCAACATGTGCCAGGGTGGGGTTCATTGAAACCTCCCCATGTGCAAAGATATGTCATGCAGAAAGCTATGGAAATGCACAGTTTCTTGACTAGATAAGAAGCATCGACAGAGAGCCATGTTGTTATCAAGTCTCTATAAACTAAGATCCCGCTTAGAAAGACCTGTGCATTTCCATAGCTCCAGACTCCACCTACGTGTTGTCGTGAGAGCGGGGTAGGAGTGACAGAAGGGAGGGAAGGCCGACCGCCTCTACTGCCGCCAGATGGCCTTGTACTTGCATCTATTCGTCTCTTCATCACGACTATTCACGTGCCATAAAGTCCCGACCCTTGTATGATGTCTCATGATTCTCTGTTGACCGTGTTCCATGTCTCGGCCCGACATGGAACTTCCTCTTTGTGCTGTACAGCCGCATGTGCATTTACTGTATCAAGTCTAATGAGCTTTGCTACCTCACCCTGTCCCTGTCCCTGTCCCTGTGCCTTCTTACTCAGCACTAAGCATACTTTTCGTTATCCAGCCATTGCACATCATCCACCGACCCTTCTCCATATGAGATCAAGGACAAACGCGAAGTGGCCGCATTGACCGATCGTCCTTCCTCCATGTCACATCCCTAGGCATGCAGCTATAAGGATGCACAATTCTTTTGCTAAGTATGAGCAAGGCTCTTGATACGGAATACAAATAACGCACAGCGTACAAGCTGAGCCAAAACAAATTTGTGGGATCGGAATTAGAAGGGGTTTCCTCACGCCAACTCATTTGAAACAGCATCTACGGTAGAAACTTCCTCATCGAGTGGAGCATCGATATGCATTGTCATCTCTCCGTGTGGGTTCACCAAGAAGACCGAAGCTGTATGGCTTGCGTCAGGACTGTGCTTGGGACTGTGATTCACTTGCACTCACCGATGATCGCAAGTAGGGAGAAGGCAGCCGCAGCTATCCAGATATACCTGAATGATACAAGGTATGCCTGTTTCAGAGCCGAAACAGCAGCGTCGATAATGGCTGATGTGATACCAGGAATCTTCATGAGGGCTGCCTGGTCGTTTTGCGCCAGAGCCTTGATCAATAGCCCAACGCTTGTCTGGGAAAGTCCCAGAGGTATGGTGGCGGAAGCAATCTTCTGAGGAAGCTCTGAGGAGAGCTGAGCATCGAAGATAGAAGTATCTGTCCGATACACGTAAGTGTCAGCATACCGGTCCTCGTACGGGGTCTTCTGAGCGACCTACAGATTGCCAGACCGACTGCTCCTCCAAAGGAACGAATAGCAAGTGTCAGACCGCTCGAGACCGCACTTTTGAGCACCACATCAGCACCTCTCGTTGCAGCAAACTCCCCGAAAACATCTTACATAAGCTTTGGCGGAGCACTAAGCTGAATTGCAGTGACTAAGGTGGTCAAGACTGATCCGATACCAAGACCAATAAAGACTGAGTATCCCCACATGGCCGTTCCATCCGAGACTCTTGCGGTTGCCATCAAGACTGAGCACCTCTATTAGTAGGGAACTAAGCTCAAGATAAGTCAATGCAGCCAATTGACTTACTCAAGAAGACGGTAAAGAAGACAAATCCAATGACAGACGGGGTCTTCAGCTTTCGGCTTCGGGACACATAGAAAGCAACACACACAGCTCCGGGGACCGAGATCAAGAATGCAACGGCAAATCTTCATTCCGTAATTAGTGTGCAGATGGCATGGGAAAACAAAAAGGCTTACCTGACAGCGGCGATGTAGCTATTCTCATCGTAGATGACGCTCATCTCGAACACGTAGTATACGGAGACCGAGAAGAATACTGACGGACTAATCAGCCTCTAAACAACTTCCCAGCAGTGAAACACCTCACCTAGTCCTTCTACGAAGATAGTAAGGAAACCCAACGCGCAATTGCGATCTGTCCTGCGGTATTGTCAATTGAGATTCGGCGATCCGTTCTGTTGTAAACTCACTTGAACAGATCGTGATGGATCACGTCATCTTTCTTGCATTTCCATTCGTATAGAGCGAACAGGATGAGAAGCACAAGTCCGACAATGAACGGAGCGAGAACATGAGAGTCCGTCCAAGGGTCTTAGAAGAATCTATTAGTGCAGCCTTTGGCGTATTCGAACTGCAGCTTACATGGATTCTTAGACCAAATCAGTCCCATGAGAAGCAACACAAGACCTGGTACGAAGAATGCATATCCGATCCAGTCAAGCTAATAATACAGACTTTAGTGATATTTTTAAGATCGAGTGATTACAACCTACTCGGGCGAATTTCTGTCTTGTTGAGAGAGACGCCTGGAGAGGCAGTGGTGGAGCGTTGTATGCGAAAATGAATACCAAGGCAGCAACGATATCCAGACCACCGAGGATGTAGTAAAACGTCCGCCATCCGTCCAACGAGGATCCAGCGATTTTGGCGCCCACAAGAAGCGTGAAGAGAGCACCAGCTGCAGAGGCCGCGGAGAGTATTGCCTGAGCTCCAGGTCTCCACCTACGGGGCAAGATCTCGGAAGCGATTGCGTACGCCAGTGGCTGGGATCCGAAACAAAGTCCTGCAACTACTTGACTCGACAGGGAGCAGTAGCTGCACGGTGATAGCACTGGTCGCAAGTGGGAAAAGAACTTGCATTATACCTGATGACCTTACGCTTTCTTGTAGCTGTGCCGAAGCCTGGATGGAGACCATTTTCGCTGAGATGTGGCAAGAGAGATGGGGAGCGAGATGTACACTGTGCTGTCAATCGACTGGCGACGTAGTGCCACGTATCATCTTTGATTTTCGACCCCCTGACTAATAATGCCAGTCATGTCTTCAATGGCTACATGTTCGGTCTCGGTGTTCTGGAGAGCGAGGCCGTCAAAGTAAGGTAGTGGTCCGTCCGCTTCCGCGCGCAGGATATCTCTTGGACCCTAGTGTGGTTCCTCCACTTCCCGGTGTTTCCGCACAGCTAATTTGGAGGGAGTCGTTGACTACGCGTCAGCCATGGTTTCTGCTACTAATTACTACTGTGCTGGTCTCGATCGGCAGTATGACGGCCCGTAGGCTATGGTCACCACTTTTGACAGGCTCAAACTTATATAAATGGTTGTCTTGACCGAAGATTCTCTGCCGCCGAATCTCTCCAGTGTCGATATCATCTGTCAAGATCGCAATTATCTACCTCAATAATGACTACGTCCCCTTCTACTCATTCATTCCAAGACGATCAAGACTTTAGACGAATCTCATGGTCGTGGGCAAAGGCTTATGATACAAAGGTAGAACGAATTCGAATATTGTCATGTACTCATACTGACCGGATAACCATAGGATTGGGCTCTGCTGCGATCGATCTGTGCACCCACCGTCCAGTGGCTCTACAACAGTCTGAACGCACAATTCGTGGACAAGCAGATGACAATCGATGAATACGTCGAAGAAATGAGTGCGATGACTGGTCTGGGAGATCCGAGACGTACTGTGACGCCAAACCCACACAAACTCATGTCGTCGACTAATATTCTGCAGTCTCTACACAACATCTACTAGGAGCTGTGGTATTCGAGGAAGTTGTGTTCAACGGACAGTGTTACATCGTGGGTGATTGGCAAGCGCAAGCCTCACATCGCCGAATCTTAGCAAATGGAGAAGTCCGAGTATGGGATGGCTTCAGCTATGTAAGACACTACTACGCCAGAGACGTAAACCACAAGTGGCAGCTAGCCGGCGTACAACCGCATACTGTACTGATCTCGGACGGTCACCCAGGTCTCGTTCTGGGCAAATTCGATTAGATGCATAAGTCGGTTTCGTATATGAGCACAGGCCGCCCATAGTGTTGTTTACTACGACTTAGAAGACGAGGTTCGAGCATGAAAACTTCTTGCAAAACATGTCTGTCCTCTATGATTCACTTCGCTTCCATTCTCCGTATTGTGAACTATATTAGAGGGCTGAATGGCGGGCTCAAAGGCTCCTAGACCGCTATTTCGGCCAGAAACCACGGAGATTGCTTCTCAGGACTACCCTCAGCATTGGCTTGAAGTATCACAATCTGGATGAACAATCATAGGTGTTTAAGCCCGACTATGTTTGGCCAATCGTTAAGTTTGAGCAGTCTTCCTTGTTGCTGTACAAATCGTCGAGCTGAGTGGAATTTGCAATGTCCGAGTGAAACTAGCAGGAGCTCGAAAGCACAGGTCCATTTTCGTGGAAAGCCCGGCCATTGAACATCGTTTGGTCGCCGAAACAGAGCTCGGAACACGAAACTCGCTCCTCCACATCTACACGGTTTCCCCCATCGCACCGGGACCATGTGCAAATCAGAGAAAACTTGCCCACTCAGAATCGAGCATGATACTTTCATTCTGCTAGTCTACTGTTGATTACATGACCAGGTGCAGGACCTCAGCTATCCTTGACCGCCATGAGGACCGCCGCCTGACACCGTCTATGCATTGAAAGTATAGCCAAAGGCGTTAATAAGACTTCCCAGGCAAGAAGTATGGGTAAAGCCTGATAGAGTCGATTGTTCCCACCAGACCATATCTGTATCAAGATCTGGTAAGCCTCATGCCCAGGAGCGGCGTATCCGATGCGGTAGAATCTGGGTGATAACTCAAACGGGACCAACATGCTGGTGACGTTGAACATGACGTAACTGAAGATGAAGAATGGGATGAACTGAACTGGAACCAAAGCAGTCACGACGTCGGCGTACAGGAATGCGAGATGGTTGTATAACCAGAACACCAGTACCGCCAGAAATTATTGGCTGGCGCTAAGCGTCCAGTCGTCCATGAAAGCGAAGATCAGACCACTTGCGCAGATTGCACCGATGAAAGAGTATACGAAGGTGATTGAGGCGCGGAAGAGGTAGTTCCAGACAAATGACTGGCGACCGAATAGCTTGTTGCGTCCACAGAGGATATTCAGCGCCAGTACAAAGAAGAATTGCATCAATACCGTATATACCATTCCAACGGTGTTGTATATGTTTCTTGCACCTTGGTCGGTTTCCTTGATGTTCAGAGCAGTCGAGGCTATAGGATGCAAAAGTGCGTAAACAGCATTTGCGTTTCCTTCGACAAATTTGAGATTCTGCATCCCGTTGTGTTCCTGGTACATAGCGTCTGCCTCAAGTACGAGGGCTTGAAGATTGGGATCGATGTATCCTTGTTCAATGGAAGCGTACCTTGCTCCGTTGTATATGTAGGTCAGGGCGTTGGTGGGATCGTAGTGTACGGTAGTATCGTTGCTTCGCAATGCTGTATCCAGTCTGCTCGAAGCTCCTGAGTGGCTGTATATGGCGGCCCAGAAATCTCCAACAAGGACAGCGCGTCTGATGTCGGACGGCTTAGGATAGTCGCTCGTGCTGTACTCCTCGACCGATGGGAAGATATCAGATTGGAGAGCGTTTGCTGCTGAACGAAGACTTTGGCCGATGGCACCCTGGTCGTGATCTACCATGAGGAACTTCAGATTATGAATCCTCTGTGCTTCGTGATACAGTGCTCCGTTGAGATAAGATATGTCAGCCAGAAAGAGCAGCTGAACCACGGTGGCAGTAAAAGCAAGTGTGATGAAGAACTTAGCGCTTCCCTCGGTCCAGATCCTTTGGCGCGCTCGAGACGAAGGCTCAATGATACGATTCATCTCTCGCGAAAATTTGTTGGTGAGACTTGAAAGCGACTGGTCAAAGATTGATCGCTTGTCTACTTGTCGAGCATTTCGGATTGCTACTGCAAATGTATCAAGGATAGGTAATACCAGCATTATCTCGGTCTCGGTGTATTCGGAGCGCGAAGCAACCGTTGACTTGAAAGCCTGGCCACTTCCGGAAGTTGGGCTCCGGATATCATCTTCTCCAGTTCCGGAACCATCCTACAACAGACTCATTCCAAATTTTTGGACATGATCGCATGCCCTTGCACTGTACAGCCACATGTACGTTTCCTGCTCGGGTGTCATGGGCTTTCTCACCCCACCCTGTCTCTGTATCTGTACCTTTTTACTCAGCACCAAGCATACTTTTCGTTATCAAGCCATTCCACATCATCAACTGCTCCCTCTCCATACCACCTCAAGCTCGCGATACTGTCCTTTTCGCGGTGAACAACCTGTACTGTCGAAACCAATTGCTTTGCGGCGGCTAAGGTCGCAGACGTAGGATTCCAGATATCGACCGAGCCCATGTGCCACTCGCTGGCGTCTGCTTGAGCTGCAGCCAAGAGCGATGCAATGGCTGCAGTCACATATGTACCCTTGGCCTTCTCTACGCCTTCATCTGATGCAACGGTTGAGTCGATGTATTCAGAGTCTTCCACTACAAGTCGAAGAATGTTCATGGTGTTGTCTTTGGTGCTCTGAGGGTCGCTGTTGTACCATGTGCGCATCCAGACACACCATACTCGCTTGCCTTTCTCAGTGCCGACAATAGCTCCCTTGACCTCAGGAGCTTTACCATACAGCTCATTTGATACAAATTCCTCGCGAGCATGATGCCATGAGAAAGTTTCGACATCAGGTATGATCGAAGCGATCGTCTTGCCTGAGGCTGCTGCATTACTCAGCTTCTGACGCACCAACCTCAGATCGATAGCGCAGAGTTCGGCCAGGTCATTTGCGTACAGGGGTTTAGCTTCTGGCAAAGAGACATCTGGTGAATCTTTCGATGGAGGGAGTGAGATGTGGGCAGACGGGAATGGCTTCCACTGATGGGCGGCATAGAATTGCTGTCAAAGTCAGTATCGATACAGAAAAGACAACACCTCTCCAAGTTTTTTTACCTTTCCAATATCTGAATACAAGACGCTGAATAAACAATCCTGGCCTTCTGTTTGCCAGTTTTGCAGTTTCTCACCCAAATCTCTAATCATCCTTCCCGCGTACCCCTTACCACGATACTCCGGAGGGCAAAAGACACTAGCCACACCGTGGCAGATGACGTCCTTGATCTGGCCGTCTTGGACAACAAGAGCCTTCTTGCGAATGGTCTCGCAACTTGAAAGCACAGCACGAGGGTTGCCGTCTTTTGTCACTAAGGCCCAAGACGTAAGACCTCCATCGCGAATCAATTTCTGCTTGCCGAGATGTTCTTCTCTCCCCAGGTATGCAGGAAGAGATAGAGCGCCTTTCCATTCGTTGCTGTTCAGTCTGGTTTGTTGCACAGCTTCTTCGTGGCTTGGCTGGGTGAGCTCGATGTCGGAGCTCTTGCCGTCGGGTAGTTGAGCAGACATGATGTGATAAATATATCTCGGAGAGTATTCTAGTGTAATATAAGAACAACAGATGAGGTGTTTGTGAGAGATGATTAACACGCCCTGGTTTAGACAAGTCACGATGGCAGCGTATCGGCTGCGAGTCCGGCCCAGCAATTTTGCAAATAGCGTCATTGTTTGGCTTCGCTTGTGCTTTTGGAGTTGTGGCTCGACCTCGAGCGCTCCTGCTTGGTTTTATTCTCTGCACTCACACGCATGGAACCACAGTGTTGGGCGAATCAGGCAAGTATAATTTTAAGGCTAGCCGGCTGCTAGTTCATGCCCAGCGTACACCGTCTTGCTTCTGCATCGCTTTTGTGACACGTAAACGCCGTCGTCGGCAGGCGGAATGACAAGGACAAGGCTCCAAAGCACCTTCCTGCCCGCTGCCCGCCCTGTCGTTGAGAGAAGTCAGGCTTTGAAAAGCCCACGACTGCCCCTCATACCTGTCCGGTGTGTGAAAGCCACCCCACCGTACCTTCCTGCTATCGAGGGCCCTCAATCTGTGACTCCGCGTTCCTTGTTGTTTCCCGCGTCATCGGCCATCTCAATGAGAAACCACTCGCTAGCAACACTTCCCGTCCGCCCTATATCTTTCCAAACAAGCACAACAACACATTCGTGACTACACCTGCTTAGATTTACAAAGCTACACTCATGCTCTGACTCGAACCTTTTTTTCGGCCTCCGAATCGCAACTCGTTGGATATCTCGAAGCTTGGCCGTCATTTTGTCGACTCCATCGGCCGCACCGAGTAATTCGGCCACCCTCCCTCACCTGCACAGCCGCGATCTGCGCAGACGCGACCTATACCAGAAATCCGAGCACTGGCCGGCGTCACCTGAGTCATGGCGCCTGTGAAGAGGACTCACGATGTCATCTCCATCCCTTCAGATTCTGGTGAGGACGACTTGGTACAACTCGCACGACCACACAAGAAGACACGCATGGACAAGTTGAATTGGGGTCCAGCTTTCGAAATGGACGACTACATGGCTCGGAACAATCTACATGCTGGTCCCGCCAAGGTCAAGGACGAGCACAATGCAACCTACAACATCGACGAAGACATTGCACTGAACGAGGGTAGGAGAATATACGACATTGACGAGTGGCTCGCCGAAGGAGAGAGGCAAGAGCGGATGCGCAACGGTTCCATCAACGACGACCGCAATGCTGCTAACCAGGCCGCGCCAGGCGCACTTGCACCTGTTCCTCCAACAGCCCACGATCACTTTGTGCTTGGCCTGCCTCACCAGTACCGTCCCTTTGCTAAACAGGAGGCTCTCAATCTTCAGGACGATTCGATCGTCATCACTGACACAGCGCCTACCCCTGAACGTAGCAAGCTGGACCAAATCCTTGATGTTGTCCCCGATGTCTCACACGATCATGCCACGCAACTGCTTGAAACACATCATGGCGACCTTGAGAAAATTCTGGACATGTTGCTCGAGGGCAAGTATCCCAAGGAGAGTGAGAAACGAGCCGCCGAACAAGCCGCCAAAGAGGCGGCCCTGAAGGAGCAGAAAGCCGCCGAGGAAGCGGAGAAGGAGAGCCTGCTCAATCCCCAGTGCACTCTCTCGGGCAAGATGAAGGATGTCATGTAAGTGATTCAGGCTGTTCACCATTCTCCAGACCCACTCACTGTCTCTAGTATTGAGTTACTCAAGGATGAGTTCAACACGATCCCTGTCAAGTACATCAGGGAGGTCCAGAAGGACAAAAAGCATCTCTACGCAACCTACCTGGCGCTCAATGAGGCAAAGCATACTGACCCTTGTCCATACGGCAAGACGCCATGGAGGCCAAACAGAGATCCCGACTTCGACATTCTTCAAGCCCTCAGACACGACTCGGCAAACATACCACACGTCAAGCAACAGTTTGAGGCTGCCAGAAAAGCTGCTATCGAGGCCAACTGTCATCGCCGCAAGACCACAACCCAGAAGGTCAGAGCAGAAATGGAGGCTGCTGAAAAGGCTGCGGAAGAGCTGAACGCCCTGGAAACTGCCAAAGCCACTGGTACCGTCGTCGAATGGTCAGTCCTCACCCCTCGCTCAGGCTTGTACTTGTTGTAGACGGTCGCTAATTCTCTACCAGTGCCGCCTGTTATGATGAGTACGCCCCTCACAAAGTCGTCGAATGCGACTCTGCGGACAGGCATATTGTGTGTTTCGACTGCATGAAGACTTATCTTGGATCCGAAGTCGGACAGGGCAGCTCTAAGCTGACTTGTCCCGGTGGTTGCGGAGACACCTTCCGCGAACCTCAACTTCGTCTGATCCCAGATGTCGACGCACTGACAGACAGACTCATGCGCATGCGTCAAGAGAACGATCTTCGTACTGCCGGCATTGATGATGTTGAGAGCTGCCCCTTTTGCGACTTCAAGTCAGTCTGTCTACCCATCGACGTCGACTTCGAGTTTCATTGTCAATCTCCGACCTGCAAAGTCACCAGCTGTCGCAAATGCAAGGATAAGTCTCATATCCCCGATTCCTGCGAGGAGAATCAGCGTAAGCGAGACAAAGAGTCTGCTCTCAGCCATCGTCACAGGATCGAGGAAGCCAGAAGCAAGGCTCTCATCCGCAATTGCAACAAATGTAAGCAGCCTTTCATCAAAAGCGACGGCTGCAACAAGATGACCTGCCCTCAATGCGGCAACTTGCAGTGTTATCTCTGCAGCGTTGACGTGACCGCCGACTACGCTCACTTCAATGCTCCCCATTCGAAATGCCCTGTATATTCGGCGAACATCAGCCTCGAAGACCAGCATGCCCAAGAGGTCAAGGAAGCTGCTGAAACTGCCCAGGCGGAGGTCTTGCGCGAGCACCCCGAGCTTGACCAGGAGGATCTCGACATCAGATTTTTTGACACTGCCGTCGAAGCTAAGAATGACATGGCTGATGACAATCAACACGATTTGCGCAACGACGTCGCCCAATTGGTTTATCGTGGAGAAGTCGCCCGACGCCGTCGTCGCCGTCATCAACCTCAAGGGCCCCCAGCCGTCAACAATCCGGCTCCACTTCCGCCTCCCGTCCTACCACCTATTGGTGGAGATCACAGAGTTGCTTATGATCCTGTTGCCGCTGTCCAGGCCGCAAGGAATCGTCTAGCCCGAGAGCCCGCACACAATCTCAACGCTCAGCAAGCCAATGCTGCTCGCTTGGGAGGACCAGACGCTGCTCTTGGTCTATTCGATTTCGGTTTCGATGGTACTCATGACGCTAGAGACATGTTCGCACGCCGGGACAACGCCGCTCGAGCAGGCGCAGACATGCCTGATTTCCAAGAATTTCGCCAAGCTCCGGCAAATCAACCTGGATGGATGGCAAACTACAGAGATCACAGAGACAACCGCAACAGACGCTTTGCTCCTGAACGCCTGCAGAATCCTCCAGCTCAGCTGCCCAGGCTCAACACTGTGGCCTTCATTCCTCTGCCCGCGCCCATTCCTGTCCCAGGCTATGGTGTTCAGGTCAATCGATACGATGAAGGTCTACTTGAGCCTGACTTCCACGCGCTTCGCCGTAGAAATCCCAATGCTTGGTAGGAGTGTGTCTCACGCAAAGCGCAGCTTCGTATCAATCTGAACCGACCTGACTCAACAAACCGCCGAACGAAACAATGGCCGCACAGAATCGCTTCTTGTCAATGGATTCTCAACCTTCTGCTTGGAGCATCTTTCCCCTTATCTTTTCTTTCTTACTCTTTTCTCGTCCACAAAAAACAGCATGCAACCCATGGGGGTTTGCGGAATCCTCTTTCCTCTTTTTGTAAACGGCGCGGCGCAGGAAGGCGTACATGATAGTTTTCTCTGGGGTGTATCTTTGCATGGCGAAAAAAGGTGGTTCCTTTCTTATTCTCGCACTGGGTTGACTTTTTCCTTCTGCATCACAGTAGATGGGTGAGCTCGTCGTGTTGCAACTTCTGTATCCGTAGACTCTTCGGCTTCAATATTTCTCCTTTCTGATCCATAGACGATGCTAATAATCGTTCGTTCTCATGTCTGCACACCGTGCTGATTTGAGCTCGATCTGATGAAATTATTGTGCTCGCACTTGATTCGAGAATCTGCGGCACGGCGTCATTTGCCGCTGGGTAGCAGCAATCACTGCGCATCGCCTGTAACGTATTTGTTCAATTCTTGTTCGCTTCAGGAACCATCCCAACAACGTTGTTGTCTGGATTTACTTCACCGTCATTCGCATTTCCTGCAATTAGCTCCAGAGAATAATGTCAGGGTGATGGCTACAAGCGGCAGCGAAAACTTCTATCACTGCAGATAATATCGCGTCCAGGACTCCAATCTTAGAAGATGGCCGCTATTGGACAGCACGGATTAGGCTACATATACAAGGCTGCATCATGCAGCTCAGCCACACTGAGAGCAGTGTCCCCAGATATAAGTTCTAGATGACCTTGTGTCAGCGAACTCGCGGTTCCCAGTCACTGCTTTGTCAACATGGCCAAACCCAACCTCGAGGCCGATTGTGCAGCAGTCGAGACTTTGGAAGATGGAAAGCAAGATCAACATATGCCGATGTTTGGGAAATGCTTGGACATCACAATGAGTGCCATTGCGACGACCATCCCAATTCTTATTCTATCTGTCACTCTTCTGGCACTCGTCTTTGGCTTTCGTGTCATTCCAGAGCCCTAATTGTAGTGCTCTGCAACACCACCATACTGGAAGTAAGCTATACCTCTATCCAGTGGCAGCATAATGGATTTTGGGCATGTAGCTAGCAATGCATCGACCGCCAATATCTGGCAGAGCGTCATGGCATATACCACGGTAGGGAATTCCAACCTGAAGCAGGCCGCCAGTGTTGCAGCCATGGGCGTCGATTCGCAGCAATTCGCAGACGACATGGCGCTTGCTTTCAGCAAAACAGCACTGGCTATTGGATCTCAGGTCGTCGAAAAGCGGCCAGTCGGACGTGCTCAGAAACGGTCTCAGTTTCTCGTGGCCAAGATTCCAGCTGCTCCGTTGTATGTGCTCGTCGCTGTGAACATGCTCGTCGCTTTGGTCAGTATAGTACTCAAGGTTGTTGCGTTGAGAGTCTGCAGAGGCGATGTCAAGGAAGTTCAGAGTAGTCTTTCAATTCATGGTCTCGTTGCTGACCGACTCGAGGGGGAATCAGCTAGACTTGCCGGTAGGGATGTTTCTGAGTTTTTCCGCGAATCCAAGGGTGAAGGAACTGCGAAGGTTGTTATGGACAAGACTGTTGAAGGTGGTTTCGAGTACAAGACCAAGGACTGAAATGGGTGGTTAACTAGCACGGACCTAGGATTACCTATATGTCGAAATCTTTGGAAAGCATCCTGCTGGGAAGGATGTTCATCGCTACTACTTTGACTACCGTCCATGAGTTATCTTGTTCGTTGTCCTTTCCTTGTTTATGTGGTCTTGTCGTCGTATCTACGATGGAGTTGTTGAAATACCGACTTTGTGAGCCAAACGACGGAAGTTTGGAAGCAGTATACTCGAATAATGAGTATTAGTCCATACAATCGTGTTCAAGGTATCTATATTGTCCAGAGAGTGGCAGCATCAGATGACTGATCTGAATCACTGATGGACTACGAGACCAGAATGCATCAATCACTGTCTTCAAGAATGCTCTGGGAGTCCTCCTAATCATGACGTGCTACGCTGACGACCCTGGTTATATGTCAGTCCGGAGACTAGTATTCGGCACATGATGTCTGATCCATTCATACTGAGATATCTGCCTGGACGGCATTGCTTCGTTGCATGAGCTGCTCCATGATCATATCGACAAACGTCCGACCAGTTCGGGGTAGCACCTGGTTACCCCAAATAGTGGGTCTCTACCGTGGTGGATGGACCCTCTTTGATACCCCGCAGCGGAGCATGACGCAGATGAAACCCCCTCCACCCCTCACTATATTTCCAAGGATGCGCTTATCGAAGGCGGGCATGGGAGCTCCAAAAACAATTAGCAAATGAACAGCCTCGGCGTATCTGAGTTGTTGTATATTTGAGGGTACGAGCTGCCCACCTGCAGGACTAGTCATTTGTTCCTCCGCCTTTTTGGAAATCTCGAGGACCTCGTAAACACACAGCAAACATGGGCAAGAAGAGAGTTTTGGTCAGCTATGGTGTGTTGCTGACATGTGAAGGCTTCAATTGGCTGTCGCTGACCATGTACGCTAGGTGTCGACATTGATGCTGTCGCCGGGTGGCTTGGTTCTTACGGAGGTGAAGACTCGACCAGCGACATCAGTAGAGGCAAGTCGTCTTCCCAAAATGTCATTGACATCATCTGACTTTCACAACAGGGATATTCGCCGGCACCGTCGGTGTGCAACGACTACTTAAGCTGTTCGACAAGTACAACATCAAAGCAACATGGTTCATCCCTGGACACACGCTCGAGACATTCCCCGAAGATTGTGCAGCAATCAGAGACAAAGACCACGAGATTGGATTGCACGGATACAGTCATGAGAACCCGAATGACATGACAATCGACCAACAACGCGATGTGCTGGACAAGACATATAAGATGTTGACCGAGTTCTGCGGCAAGCCTCCGAAAGGCAGTGTCGCTCCGTGGTGGGAGACCAGCCGTGAAGGAGCAGAGTTGTTGCTTTCATACGGCATTGAGTACGACCACTCGATGAGCCACGAAGATTGCCAGATGTACTGGCTGCGCACAGGTATATACTGCGGCCTTGCTCAGCTTCCAAGAACAGATGGCTGACGTTGCGACGCAAAGGTGACTCGTGGACCAAGATCGACTACACCAAAAAGGCCGACGAATGGATGAAACCCCTAGTCAAGGGCGAAGAGACGGGCATTGTCGAGATCCCAGCCAACTGGTACATCGACGACCTACCACCGATGATGTTCATCAAGAAAGCAGCAAACAGCCACGGCTGGGTCAGCGCAAGAGATGTCGAACAACTGTGGATGGATCACTTCGATTACTTCTACCGCGAGCACGATGAGTTTGTCTTCCCCATGACGATCCATCCAGATGTCAGTGGAAGGCCGCATGTTTTGTTGATGCACGAGAGGATCATTGAGCACATCAACAAGCATGAAGGTGTGGAATGGGTCACGATGGGTGAGATGTCGGATGAGTTCAAGAAGAAGAACTCGGCGCCGCCAAATGCATTGATGCCGGCGACACCAGAAGAGGTGGAGGCGATGCTGAAGAAGCAGAAGAAGTAGTGCCGAATGACTGTATCGTCAATTGATGGAATTGTTTATATCCGCTGTATTTCATTTCCAGTGGAAGATTGCATTGCCGATGAAGTGGCAGCGGCATCGGCAGATGGGCGTCAAAAGCGGGGCCGTCAAGCGCCAAAGCCGGGGTCCATGGATGCAGGCACCTTCCCTTGTTCCGAATGTTTACTTCCTTCTTCTACCGACCAAGTCTAGAAGGTGTTCCTTCCTCTTTCAATCGAGTCTAGAAGCTTTTCCTTCTTGCAATCAAATCCAGAAGCCGTTCCTTCTACTTCTCACAAAGTGTCGATGTGAGGCGCAATGGAGGAACGACAAGTCGACTTGCGCGCTCTCGACTATGTGTCGGCATACGACAGCAACCTCATGTGTCCCATCTGTCGGAGCGCCTTTGTCGACCCTGTGGTCATTGCCGACTGTGACCACCACTTCTGCCGCGACTGTCTCGATCACACAACTAGTTGGAACCAGTACTCAGGCACCTGTCCAACCTGTCGCCGGCCTGGAAGATTGATCGGCTCAGGCTCAGCCTCGAAACTCCTGCTCAACATCCTAGACGATCTCGTTGTAAAGTGCCCAAATCAGGCCGAGGGATGCGACAGACAAGTCAAGCGAGGCCACCTGGTCGACCACATGCACATATACTGCGACTACACCATGATCGACTGCCCTCAAGATGACTGCGACAACAAGACACAGCGAAAGGACGCTGGACATTGTGCGCATCAACCTGCATCCTGCCTTGCCTGTCGCCAGCCCATGGCAGTCCAAGACCTTGATGTAAGCCTCACGTCAATCAAATGCACTGGCAGCTACTGACTGTGGCCTCACAGGCACATTGGCAGACAGAATGCGCCGACCACGATGTTGCATGTCCCTCATGCGCCGCCTCGATCCCGTACCGCTACCAACAGACACATATCGCCCATCACTGCCCGGAGACAAATGCCGCCTGTCCCGCTCGTCCAGTCGGCTGTCCCTTCAGTACCAAGCGCAAGAATCTAGCCAGCCATGCCATCATGTGCTCCCTCGCCAAACTCGCTCCATACCTCACTGCTCAGCAGCAGCGTCAAGACGAACAGGATCAAGCTACCCAGCTGCTTGAGAAGAAACTGCAAAGCCTACAGCAAGACATGGAAGAGTACAGGAGCACACCACAACCGGAAAAGAGAACGCCTGCTCGACGCGAAGAGCCCTCATACTTCCAAAACAACCTCGCAGACTTTGAGCTGGCAGACTTTGAGGAATTCCAACCTCACGCATCGCCAACGCAGCATCTGCTCTCTCTGCATGAGAACTTGCGTGAAGAAGTCTCGCGTCAGGCAAACACGATTCACGAGGTCGACACCAGGCTCAGCATGATGCTGCTCAACGAAAACATGCGTCTCAAGGACGAGTTGGCCTACCAGGGCGCTCAGCTTAGCGCTCTCATGCGACAGGTCGGCTGGCTCACAAACGCACGCCTGCAGTCTACTCAACCGAACTCTGTCTCTGTCACGAACCAGGTCGACCAAGGGCCCAGCGATCCCTCAAGGATCATCCCGCGCCTGCCAGTTCGGCGCACCACTGACGAGGGAAGGACCAAGCTGTGACGAGATAGAACGACTCATGATGAAATGACCTACTTATGCATATACCCGTACGAACTTTTACTGCCTACACACCCGTCCAAAGCACATCTCCACATCAGAAGCGACGTGTCAAGGCTCTCATGCAAGGGCGACAGAAGATGCCCTGTCTAGCATCTTGTTTCAGGATGGTCTCTGTCGGAAACCAATGGCCGCAGCAGAGGATTCAGGCTTCCAGTCGAGAGGGCTGAACATCGATGCATGTCATTCTGCATCTGATACGTTTGCTACCCGTTTCCCGCACTCGATCAATTTTCGCCGACTGGTCATGTTTCTTGCAGAGAGGACCCCACAAAGTCCCTGATTTTGTTATAGGACTGATAAACACGTCCTTTGGTGTTCCTGAACTACGAGATGGTTTTGTGTAACTCACCACGCGCCTCGGTCAATTTGTCTCCCATGCATGCCATTCCGATGGCTTACTCGATGCCCATCACGAGGCTGACTGTTCCTCAGCTGAGTCTGTCAATACTCGGGGTCGCTCAGTTCTGCAACATACCACGCTTCGTGAACTGTTTGTTTGCGCAATTTTGCAAGGTTCGGGTCCCGGTGTGCTGGAATCGTACGAACCAGATGAGATAGAAAGCATTGGAGATCCGTCTCTGCATCTTCACCCCTCTTCGGTCTGCCTTGCCATTGACTTGTCCAGTCGATTCTCATCCTGCGTTTCTGGTCAATATGCATACTCGCACGCGTGCAGTAAGAATACTGTGCGACTTCATGCATCTTCCTTACCTGCTCCAGATCCGGCTCCTCTTGTGAAAGGTCTGGAAGAGGCGACATATACTTCTGACCATGACACATGCATACGACCCCCGTACGACACGATACGCGCAACCACGCCATTCCCGAGTCTTGTCTGCCTTCTTCTCCATCTGCCTCGTGTCGGGACTTTACTAACCTCCCTTCACCGACTATTGAACAACATCATTGTTGGCGGTGAATCATCCCGAATGTTGGCAAACGCAGAGACAATATTTTGTCGTATATGTTGCCTTTGGACAAGAATGCATGTCCTGTGCTGGAAGCGATATAGCCGAGCATACCCTGGTTCCCATGCAGCCTTGAGCGACAAACGCCAATCACGGCACGCTAGAGTAGCGGCATCCCAATGGCTTGGATAGGGGAAGTCGGGAGCGCTCATACCGGCTGTCCAATCAACAAACATTCCAGGTTGCAAATGTGTGATGTGCCATGTGCGATGAGCTGTGGTACCTGTGGCCTACATATGCACAAACAACGGGTTTAGCAATAAAAGATGAGAGACCACTTCCGCTCTTGCTGCCCAAAGCTGAGACAGTGACCAGTCGCGTGCGTTTTTCTTTCCTTTCCTGTTGGGTTGGGCAAAAAGCATACCTCGCTGTTGTTGTTATTGTTGTTGTTGGCGGCACAGGCGAGGAAAGAGATGAGCGGTCGACAAGACTTTTCATTGTCGCAATTTACGTGAGAAATGTGGTAATGGTTGGTCGCACGCTTCTGCGGGAGCAGCGAGAGAGGTCTAAAGAAAGGTGAAACCTTGGAGAAGGTAAAGAAGAGGGCTAAAGGTGCACGTTCTGACAGGGACCGTTGGCCCTCCCGCCCCCGGGAAACAACTTCATGTCAAAGGATGAGTGCTTTGACAGTGGGGAAAGGAAAGTGGAAAGATAGGGAGGTGCAATTAAGATTATACAGCAAAGCCGCAAAGCAGCAATCTGGCTGGGGCCAGATCTCTTCAGTATCGACCAGATGAGTGCGCATGAACGCCTACCAAGGGAAGAAGTACATGGGATGCAAGTTGGCAGCCCGAGGGCAATCACAGGTTTTTGGCGATGCGATGGCACGAGAGTAATGCGCTGGCGGCCATATTGGGCTGTCACCAACTGCTTCGGTGGCGTTCAGAATCACTGCAGCTGCACGCCACGCGTGGGTGCACCTCAAGCCTACTTCTTCACCTGTCTTGGGCAAGCAGAAGCGAAACCTGTTGCGGCTGCCCGCGCGCAACGGTCATTTGATACTGCCTCTTCTCATTCATGGAAGTGACTGGAAAGTCGTGGTCGCAACATACTGGGTTCTGAGCATATCGCAAGACAACAGCGGCAAAGATAATTCGTTGGAGTGATTTGAGTTGTGTGGTACATCGTACATGGCCTCATCACAGACCCAACCTACCGGAAGCCTTCTTCGAAGCTGTTAATACCAGGGCGTCTCTTTCTCAGCACTTTGTCATGGCAGGATCAAGAAAGATGACGGGTGGGTGCCGCAAGGACGGGATTAGCGGATGCATGATGCATGGGTAAAGTGGGAGGAGTAATAAAGGAGCAACGTGCAAGGGCTGGGCAGATTCTGCTGCTGGTGCATCTTTTGGGCTGAAGGCTGCATGCTGCCGGGTCCTGTTCCTTCTCCTTATGCGCAAGGCTTCCCACTCGGCAAGCAGCTAAGAGACAGAAAGTCGATCACAACCCCTTTTCTTGCTACTCGTCGACTGCATTTGCGCAGGACAGAAAAACAAGCTGTCCATTATTTTGATCAAAACACCGATCAGGGCATATCTTTGGCTATCGAGTTTGATGAAGTCGCGAACGGAAGAGGCACCCGCACAGACGAAATCTTCTTCAGCCACAACAAACTCGCGCTCCTCGCGAGATTGAGTCGTGTCTGCATTGTGCTGGGCGAGGTCTGCATCCCAGCCATCTACTTTCTCTCTCATCAGGACTCGTCTCTTTTCTTGCTCGAACCCGGTTGCTTATTTCCTGCTTCTATACTCGCAACGTCAGCCAATCCCTGCCCGTTCATATCAATCCTTCGCGACGAATCGCGACGCGACAATCACGATCCGTGCCTGCCGAGGGAGCTTCTATCTTGGAAACAGCCGTCCTTTTTCTTTGCGCTCTTCTAAATCTTGCAAGAAGCCAAATGTTGAGTGCACAAGAACAAAGGAAACGTTCGAGTACAGAAGCAGCTGCGGAAGAGGCAATTGGCCATCAACTATAAGTCTCGACGCAGATCGATCCTTCCTTGTCGACACTTTAATATCTCTTTTTCTTCCTTTTTTCCTCCTCCTCCGCTTCGACATGTATCCACCTTATTCATCTCATTATGCTGGATCGCCTCATTGCAATATGGGTTACGAATATCACACATCATCTACGACACCACCGCCGCCTGGCTATGGATATTATTCACCACGATACTACACGACATCTACACCAAAGACCTGCTCATCAAAGCATACTCGACGAGCGACTCAGGACTACTCTTATCCTTCGGCCAAGACGACATCTTACTACTACCCGGACTCGTATGGCTACTCCTCCGGGTACACACGCAAGCCTGAACATGTAAGTTCAAGTGAACGATACCCTTCGCAAGGGAAGACCCAGTCCAGCGCAAGACGCGCATCGACAACATATGTCTTCGCGGATGGCCGATACTACGTCTACGTGACCGACGACGAGATCCCACCGGTGTACTCGCGCGATCCACGCAAGCACACGCCACCGCCACAGTACTCCGAGGCTGATGAACACCCTTACTACCAGCATCACCAATCCACCCCTCAGCCTCGGCCAGAACCCCAACCACGAAAGCAGAGAGCCTCTTCCTACTCAGCCCCAAGACAGTCAGCACCTCGTGAAGCACCACCTAAGCCTCGCCAACAGGCACCACCCAAACGCGCTGTTGCCACCGATCGCGATGCGCGAGCAGCAGGTATACCCGCCGGTTACAATTTCAAGAACTGGGATCCCAATGAAGAGCCCATCCTTCTTCTCGGCAGTGTCTTTGATGCAAACAGCCTCGGAAAATGGATATACGACTGGACAGTAGCCTTCCACGGACCCTCGACTCCCATTACCGAAATGGCCGGTGATCTCTGGCTCTCCCTCATCCAACTCGCTGGCAAAATCAAACGCGCTGAAGAGAGCATGCCTCGCATCCGCCGCCGCGACGATCGAGAACTCATCGACGATTTCCTCGATAGTGGAGAAAGGCTTTGGGAACGTTTTAACAAGTTGTTGAAAGTGTGCGAGAAGCACATGCTCAAGACTGCTAAGCGCGATCGCGGAAGTGAAAAGTTGTACATGGGCAACAATTCGGGCAGAGAATTTGTCGAGACTATCTTTGGCAGGGACAGAGAACTGGAGAGGACGGAAAAACTGACCACGGGCATCAGGCTTTGGAGCATGAGGTTCGATGCCAATTGCGAGGATGTCCTGAGGACTTCGAAGGGCCGTTGAAGGAACCCATCTCTTGCTCTTCTCGGACTTTCTGTCGTGGAAAACCTCGATCTTCATCGCCATACCTCTACACTAGAACACATTCCACATCTTTCGGCACACCATCAATCAGCATCATACTCTACAACAACATCATAATACCTTCGACACCACACTTACAATATCCTATCCCAACATTAACAACAACTCCGACAAACAAAACCATCAGAACATCAACTGGGACAACACAGGCGCACAGAACAGTTCTTTCCTATCATGCTTCTATTTTGTCAGCGCAGAGATACCCTTGCTTAAGCCCTCACACGCATGGCGTCAACGGCGGATTATCGAAATCGGCACTTTTTCTGAAGGTCATTGAGTCGCTCTTTCAACAATTTTCTCTACTTCTCGGTGAAGTTTCTTTTTCTCAACGATACCCGATATTTCTTAGCCGCCTTCTCTACAGGAGTCTTGACTCGACGTTTGCTTTCTCTCCTGTTTTTTGTATGGGGTTCTTGGTGGAAAACTATGGAGGAAAAAGTGCCCACTTCATTTTCTGGTTTGGCTTTTATCTTAGATGGTTGTTTTTGCATGTTTATTAGCTCCTCTGCCTCACGGCAACCTTTTTTCCTTTTCTTTCTTTCTGGCAAATCTAGTCTCAGTATTGCGTTCTAATCTTATACCTTTTTACTCGATGTTCTTTGATCTTCTCCGTGGATCTGATCGATGGCTGTTATCTGGATGTGTGCTGTCGTTGACAGTTGAACGTCAAATGTCACGGGTCTGCCATCGGGCAGCCATGGTAGTCTATATGGACCAATAGCAATGGTACTCTCACGTCGACCAATAGCAGCGAGAGTCCAACGATTGAACCGATAGCAATGGGTACCTCTTCAAGTTCAACCAATAGCGTCGTCCGTCACATCTCACTCGGTTGGTTTCCAGCGGCTAAGGATATTCAGCCGCTGTGATATGCATGTCAAGTCAGCCTTGCCTCTCCCGCTTCTGCAGGTGGCCTTCCAAAGTGGAAGGGCCACGGCGTGTACTTTTGAGCAAATGGGAGTCACTGTTGGATAGACTACTGCGATAGGCTGCCACGTTGTTCAGGCATGAGGAAAGTATCAAGGGGTTCGAGGTATCTAACGACAGAAGGTACTAGATACAGGGCGCAAAGAATATGAAGACAAGCTTTTGTTTGGCTGAATGGTATGGAGAGCTATGCTGATTCTCTATGGACGGTATGATAGTCAGAAGACTAAAAGTTCATGCGGGTGCAAAGTGATGTCTGTCATGGACTTGAATCAAGGCGTGAAGGGGAGCGGGCCGAGCCCCAAGATGTTGCATGAACTACATGATTTACCTGCTTCAAAAATGGATGTTGCAGAAGGGGAACTGAACTACGAAGGTCATGACTTCTGATGCCTCTCCTGACTCGTTGGTTTGTGTATACGCGACGGCAGAAGTCGATGCAGATGCAAGTCAGCTGTTTTCAAAATAAGGCTGAGAACCAGAGGCGGGCCGTGTGTCAAGTCATGTGCATGAACTACAGCACGCGTGGGGTACGAGCTACCACTCCCAGGCCATAGTTGCTCAGGAATCCTCCGATTCGTTGTTAGTTAGCAGGTCATAGGATTTGTGGTTCATGCGGGTGATGATGGTGGGGTTTTTCCTTGACGATCACATGAAGTGAGAAAGGCCAGTGACTTGGCGGGTCGGGAAGGAGGTCGACTGTAGGCGCAAGACGACTGGATATCGGGGCGGGAAGGATATGATGGAAGAATGCCGAGGTAAGAGACATGGCTGCTGTCGATTATGCCGAAGCATGACCTGTGATGGCGACTGGTTGAGTTGGCGAGGTCCGAATGACATTTCTTGGACGGAGACTTGGATTTTGGCGATGCGATTAGCGGCGGGGTGTAGTTCTGTCCAGGATCATCCGGCACCGAGATACTTGTCGACCTCATGGTTGGAATAGAACAAAGTCTGCAATCTCTCATGTTTCTTCTTGTTGTTCAGTTCCAGCTTCCTGATCTTTCCAGCATCGAGCATCTCGACAGGCTTTGTCTTTTGTTCGAGCTTCCTCTTCTTTTTCAGAGTAGGTTCGTCATTGTTGAGACTGACGCCTAGACCAACAGTGTCACGCTTCTCTTTTGCCTTGACGGGATGCAGGATGCCTTCTCTCTGTGCGCCGAGTCCGAGACGCTCATCAGGATTCCAGCCATAGGATTGAAGGATAGAAAGGCCTTTGCGGGATCTGTCTAATGCAGAGGGTGGATGTGAGTGTGGCAAGGCGATCTGGTGGACTAGCGAGCTACAGTGTGCTGCCTCTTCGCCTTCGTATTGTGTTTTGCAGACTGCGCATATCTTTGGACTCTGCTTGGCCAGTGTAACTTCTGAAGAGGATGGTTCAGAAGAAGCCTTGTTCAGGACGATTTGCAGGTAGCGTTCGCTGGCCGAGAGAGCTGAAGGAGTGGATGCGCCGGCGGGAGTGGTGGATTCGGAAGTCGACGATGGGACGAAATGGATGCGCTGGCGCTTGATGCCTGCACCAAAGTATCGCTGGTCTTTGAGTGGCACGCTGTAATACTCGTCGTCGTCGCTCTCGGACATGGTTGTGTACAAGGAAAGAGCAGACGGCGACAATGACGCGGCTAGAGAAGGCAGTCGCGGCCGGAGATTGCGGCGTTTGCGCTTGCGGCGACATTTCTCCCCCTTGCACTTTCCTGCCTTGAACTCCTTCCTTGACACGAGATATCCAAGATGCCTGTTCCGCTGATCCAAAAAGCCATCCTGGATGGCCTGGACACGGTGCCCAACTCGGCCGTGCTGTTCAAGCTTCTGGGTGTCGGACTGGTGCTGTACCTGATCAGAAGATGGTTCCAAGGAGCAACAAACACGTCCGAGAGAACCATGCACGGCAAGGTCGTCATGATCACAGGCGGCACCTCTGGTATAGGAGCTGAAGTCGCCCGCGACCTGGCTACCCGAGGCGCCCAGCTGGTCCTGCTGACCCAACACGCTCTGGACGACTTTTTCCTCGTCGAGTACATTGAAGAGCTTCGCGATCGCTCAAACAACGAACTCATCACCGCTGCCCAAGTCGATCTCACCTCGCTGCACTCTATCCGCCAGTTCGCTACCAAATGGGTCGACAATGCCCCTCCGAGACGACTCGACATGATCGTCCTCTGCGCAAACACCCTGACCCCCAAGGGTGCAAAGATTCAAAAGACCAACGACGACGTCGAGATCAACTGGGGCCTGAACTACCTCGCAAACTTCCATCTCCTCAGCATCTTGTCGCCAGCCATCCGCGCCCAACCCCCAGACCGCGATGTCCGCATCATCATGGCAACCTGCAGTGCCTACATCGGCGGCACCCTCCCAGTCACTGGCGTCAAAGAAGCAAAGATCAGACAAAAGGAGAGGGCCGACAAATTCAACCCTTATTCGGCCTACGCATCCTCCAAACTCGCCCTCATGGCTTTTGCCCAGTCCTTCCAGAAACATCTGTCTGCCTACGCTCGTCCTGACAAGAACCCCATGAATGCAAGAGTCATCCTGGTCGATCCTGGGCAAACTCGCACTCCTGGAATGCGCCGCTACCTCACATGGGGGTCCATCACTGGTCTCGTTCTCTACCTCTTGACTTATCCCATCTGGTACATCATCCTCAAGTCTCCTGCACAAGGCGCCCAGTCTTTCCTTTACGCCGCCATGGAAGCCCAATGGGGAAGAGGAAACGGCGGCTGGTTGATCAAAGAATGCAGAGAGATTTCACCAGCAAGAAGAGACATGCTGGATGAAGAGCTGCAGAAACAGCTTTGGGAGTACTCGGAAAACATGATTCAAGAAGCTGAAAAGAGAGGTGCAAAGAAAAGGGCTGAAGCAAAGGCTGCAGAGAAGGTCAAGCCTGCCGAGCCCAAGAAGCCTGATGAGAAGAAGCCAGGCAGCAGGAGGACAAAGAAGGCTTGATCATCTAGCATCAGCATAAAAGCATCTCATTTTCCATCTCGTCATCATTGAAAGAATACATTTGCTTTCATGTGATCAACCCGTTGGAATATCACGATATGCGACCACTTACATCTCGCCACAAACATGAGCTCGGTGAGTCTGGAGACAGTAACACTCCATTTGATAGGTTGTCCTTTCCATGTTCGACAATTCAACAATAGCCATAGCTACTTTCTGGCAAGTCGTGCTACAATATATATATGTCTATATATGAACTATACCGTGTCCTCCGCAATAGCCGATCCTCCGAAAGCGGGGGTGACTCACTTGCACCTTGATCCTTCCATGCATTGAACCATAAACACATCTCTTCATCGCTGACTACCATTCTCTTGATCTTCCTAACAACTCTCGTAGCAAACAAAGGGAACCTCATCACCAACAAGAGAGAAAAATGGTCAAATTCTACGAGTCCCTCTCCCCAGACCTCAGCGAGTGGTGCATGTCCCAGCCCCTCTTCTACATTGCTTCCTCCCCAACCTATGGCTCTCACATCAACATTTCTCCCAAAGGCCTTCCCTCTTCTACTTTTTCAATCCTGTCTCCCAACAAAGCAGCTTACATTGATGCTACCGGCTCTGGAGCAGAGACTATTGCGCATTTGTATGAGAATGGGAGGTGTACGGTCATGTTTTGTTCATTCGAACAAAGTCCACGGATATTGAGGTTGTTCTGTAAAGGCAGAGTCACAGAGTTCTGGGAAGTGGGGTTCGGAGAAGCAGCAAGAAGTATGGGTGTCGAGGTACCGGTGGGAGCGAGAGCAGTGATTCAATTGGAGATTTGGAAGGTATGTGTTTCTTTTTTCATCTTTTCTTATTGGCATTTTCTCTTCTCCAATATTTCCTGTCTGTTAGGGGGGAGAAATATTGTGTTATTCATATACCCTGCACACCAGACTCAATTCCCCAACGTACTCATCTCACCTACAGGTTCAGACCTCTTGCGGCTACGGCGTCCCCCTCCTCTCCCCTTCCTCCCCCACCAAACCCCTCCAAGACCGCGAAACCCTAGGCCACTGGGCAGGCAAAACAGTCTCTGACAACAAAATGGTCGAGTACCGCGCCAAAAACAACGCTTACTCGCTCGATAACCTTCCAGGTCTCAAAGCAGGCAGGAAAACACGAGGAGAGTGGCTGTGGGTGGCTGATGCTAGGACCTTTGCGATAAGACTTTGGAATCAGATGGATGGGTTGGTTGTAGGATTCGTGCTTGCTTTTGTGGTGATTGATCTTTTGCATTTGGCGGGCATCAGGATTAATGGCGTGTTGGCGGATTGGAGATGACGGGATGAAGTCGGACTTGATGAGACGATTGCTCACTTTCAAGATGTTCTTTGAGATTGGATTGGTCATATGGTTTGTCGTGCGAGGCCTATCCTCTGACATTTAGTTGTAATTGCGATGTGTCAGCTGTAAGGTCACCAAGACTGCGAAGACTGTGTTGCCCATCCAGACGTTTTGTGATCGACACGTGAACTACTGAGAGCATGTAAATGCTCTCTGCCTATACAAGCATTGGTGATTTGGTGATAGCCTGCTAAACAACCCTTGAAGTTTGTTATGCTGTTGAAAGTGAGTGGACGGCGATCATGATGACGGCATGCTTTTTCGAACGTCCAACCGCCCTTCTCGATCAACAACCATCTGCAGAGAAATCCACCACACACCTGCCTGCGACTAGGCGCCTTATGCTTCATGTCCGAACAAAGCCCAAAAGATGCATTGGCTGAAGCCTTTGCTTCCGGCATCCTCGATTGCCTCCAAGACTTCTGGTTCTCTCACCTGGAAGATGAAACACACATCATTGTGCCCAGTGCTAAAGATATCAATGTGTGGTTTGTAGACAAGAGCGAAGAGTTTGATGAATCTTGCCGGTATCTTCCTCTCTCCTGCCCACCCAGGGAATCTCGCACCTTATTGCAGCTGACTTCATTCAGCGACAAATTCGGCTCCGTACTCAATCTCATCTTGTCCCGTCAATACAGCGCCAACGACATCGTCGCAGCCACAAATCCAGATTCAGCACTTGATTGGATGTCTCTGATCATTCTCCTTGATCAGATGCCCAGGAACTGCTATCGGGGCATGGGAGCAGCAAAAGTGTTTAACTTTTTTGATCCACTGGCTCTCGCGATCGCATTGAGAGCAAAGGAATTAGGTATACATCAGAGACCGGATGTGAGATACAGATTGGGATATAGACTTTGGTTGTTCATGCCTTTCGAACATGCAGAGGATATGCAAATGCAGGAAGTGATGATCGAGGAGCAGAAGGAAAGGTTCCAGGATGTGGAAATGTTGATGCATGGGGAAGTTGATAAAGAAGATGTGATTACGGCGTCCTGGAGAGAGGTTTTGATGCGGAAGATAGAGGAGTTTGGTGCGCTGAGGAGCATCTTGCAAAAGGCGGTTGATGAGCATTATGCTGCTATCAGAAAGTTTGGAAGGTTTCCGTATAGGAATGTAGCGTTGGGACGATCGTCTAGTCAGGAGGAGCAGGCTTTTCTTGATACGATGTAGTCGCATGAGCTATTAATGAGCACCAGCAGTTCAAGCAAGTAGCCACCAGGTAGTCTTGAGAAGTGGAAAACAAGAATAGCCGGCCGAGTTGGTACTAGCCATGGAGCATCAACTCCATGTTCCGAGAGCACGGTATATGGCGAACTCAGCAGGATCGTCCTTTGACCTCAGAACTGTCAGAGCTAGCTTCTCCAAATTCGGGCACTTTTGTCGAATCTCTTGGATAAGATCCCCATCAACAGTAGCTGCTGGTACGAGCAACGCATCGTAGATCGAATCCAGATTGTAGGTTGACAATAGCAGACGTTGTAAGTTGTGGCCACAGTGGTCAAGCAGGACTCTGATCGTTTGTTCTTCGAACGGTCCAGCCATCTTGATGCTTTGCAAAGCAGGTAAGGAAGGAATGAGATCCATAACAACTTCGTTCATTTCTGCCACAAACTCACTCGCAGGCACATCAACATCACGGGACATGTCAGTCATATTGAATGCCAGATGCTCGAGAGCTGGAAGGTGTACGTCAGCCAGCCAGCGTAGTTCTGCGGTTCCCACGACATGATGTAATTCGAGACTTTCCAATCTCGAGAAATCTGTCACAAGACTATGCTCTGTCAGAGCGTTAAGCTGTTCGTTCGTGTGTACTCCAAAGTGCCGCAATAAACCCAGACTTGAAGAGGGTGTAGGGGGTTGAGCACCTCGCCGATGCTTAGGTGCAATTTCGCGTTCGTGGTCGACGTCGGTCGCGTACAAATCGACTTTTCGTAAGTTTGGTGCCGCACCTGCAAGCATGTCCATGATGGTATGTTCAAAGGCATGCGTATATACGTCTCGAAGCCACATGGTTATGCTGGAAAGACACGGTGAAGTAGCCAGCTCAATTTCGTAAGGAGTCAATGCAGAAACTGCTGGGTATCTGGGACTCTTGTTCAGGCTTTTCAGCTTGAAATTTCGCATGTGCAACCGAAGGCCTGGGTGGTTCTGAGTGACGCCTCTGAAAACAGAGGCAGGAATCTGCTCTTCACATCCCCATGTAAGTTCTTGTAGTTTGGGAAAATTGGACATGAAGCGACTGAGATCATTCCACTGCGAGTCTTGTGTCAGTAGTACTTGTACCCCAGCCATGAATACTTCAGGCACTGTCCAATCACCGAACTGTTTCACCATACAGTACTTCCAAGTTGCTTTAGGATCATCTCCGCACAGGTTGAAATCGCCATCCCAGTCACGACGGTAATCGTGGAGTTGTTTCGCAAGTACTTTGACATGTCGTACATATTTGAAAGCGTTGGCACGCTTCAGTATACGAGCCCAAGTGGCAACCGCAATGTCGAGCAAGTCTGGTGAGGAAAATCTGATGACGATGTTTCTGTACAGATGTCTCCTTGAAACGTCGTTGAACAGCCGCTTGACGAGGGAGAAATTGTGGAGGTCGCAGTTGTCAAGGTAAGCGCTGAGATGATACAGCACGTCGACCGTCAATTCCACCATCGCAAGAGACAATCGCCAGTGACGCGCTTCCAGCTCTAGGCGATGCTTGTATTGAAGTAGATGGTCCCGAAAAAGTAGATTGTTATGATGGGAAGTTGTCGCTGACGCTGCTTGGTGTTTGGTGTTTGGTGTTTGGTAGCTGGGGTGGGGCTCCTTCGCGACTTCCTCAAAGTGGAGCCGCATGCGCGCTGAGCAAAATCAGCCTGATGCATGCCAGGGCCTGCGACAACCTACAGACTACGACCACATCCGACGGTTAGTGTGAGCTTTGAGCACTGCCTATAACAAGCTTGGTAGGCATCATCATTGGTCAAATACCCTTGTTATGCAAGAAAGTGGACTCCTACGCTACACCACGCTGATCGTCGGACGTGGCTACAGTCTGCACAGGGTATTCTCACATCCGGTGGATAGCGCGCACATCAATGCGTCTGCATATTCAAGGATTGCAGCGAATAGACAGTGTTGCCAAGCTCGAAATAAGCAGTCTGCAAGCCTCACACTATCTACCGGATGCGTCTCTACCCTGTACAGTGGTCAGAATCTTCGGAAGGAGTCACAAACCTACCAGAACGGAATATCATCATCGTCAGTCCAAGTACTGAAGCTCAAACTTCTGCGGCTTTATTAAACATCCATTTCATTGAGGCTCAAATATGTTGTCCTTGTATTCACTTTGACACTCCTTGTGCTCCATAAATGTGTTGATACAAGTGAATCGAGGGCCTGCCTCAAGTTAAGACCAAGGTCGCCGACAAAGTTAAGCCCAGCACTACAAGCCACCGAGACAAGCCATACATCCCTTGAGCCCCACTGGTGCCATCCTCCATTGTTTGAGCACTCTTATCATTCAAATCTACAGGACGCAAACAAACCAACTCGGTGCTCGACTTCTCATCGTTGCCTTGCGAAAAGAAAATTGTCATGACTGGTGTAGTACCTGCGCCGCTCCTGACGACGGTATCGTTCTCAGTGGAGGCGTAGATGCTAGCCGTCCACACCGGAATCAGCTCGTTAGTCTTTGGCAATGTTGGCCAGCAATTCGATGTTTCGTTGTCGGCTGCAGAGATTGGTTTCGGTGCCAAGAGACCTGTAAGAGGTACAGCTACAACCTTCGTACCAGAGGACCAAAGGCAAGAGGACGGGGGATTGTCTTGCAAGGTCTGTGCGATAGAGTTGCAGATGGCGGTATTCGAGGTGGCTAAGTTGTTGGCTTGGGACTTGAGGTCCGAAATGCATTGATTGCTGAATTCCGTTCCATCGCGGCTGGTACAATCTGTAGATACGGAAGTCATGGGGTCGTAAAATAGAGGTCCACCGTCGGGTGTTGTGAAGAAGAAAGAACATGCTGATTGGCCCTGCGAGTCGAGAACATCGCTTGACTCGACGCCTAGATAGAAAGCACGATTGATGAGCGAATCGTTACCAGTCTTGGATTGATTGACTGCGATTGTCCATTCGACGTTCGATTCAGAGAGAGTTCGGATTGAGGTGAGGCCTATGACGGGATAACTTGTACCCGCCACTGAACAATTCGAGATTGCGGTGTCGTCGAGGACAGGACAACCAACATTAGCGCAAGATAGTGGATCGGATTGTGCTGATGTGTATGTTGGTCGGAGGAGAAGCGCAAGGAGACTTGCTGTGCTGTAAAGACTACGAGAGCCCGCCATGATGTTAAAAATTGAGAACAGCGCTTGGTTTGAAGGATATGTGAGGAAGATGTGACGGCGATTGGAGTAGATCGTTCTGGTAGAAGTGGTCTGATCAGTGAGTCATTATATTCAACATTGGTAGGATCGACTTGGTATCATCGATCTACGAATGCCCTGATTTTCACCTTCATCATCAAGCATTGGCGATCGCTAAAGGCGGCATCACGCGGATAGAAGGTGTTGCAGTATGAAGTGATGACCTTTACAGATTTCGACCTTTGCTTGGAGGTGAGGAGCGTGGTATTGCCGGTGTTCCCGTGTCATGGCATGCCAAGTTTCTAGGCAAAAAGTCAAAATCAGAGACCGCGGAGACTTGTATAAGAGATTGCTGCACAGTAGGTGATGGGAAGGATGTATTTCCGGTGTAGGGTCCCAATGCCAATATATCTGCCAAGAATGTGATCATGAAAACCCAACGGGCATATGCCGCTCCGCTCTTTCCAGGTTCACTGCTTAATCTCCGAGGAGCCTTCCATCGTCATTACAGGGAATAAGATGATATACCATCCTTCAGCGTCTGACTCTCCACCATAGAGCGGTGAGACCGAGCACACGGTGGGCGAAAATGATCAGCAGAGAGTAGAGTGTCCACCACAACCATACTCGAGATCTGTGGGTATAGCCATACGCATCAAGGATCGCTGAGCCTGCTATGACTCCTTGTGGTGCCTTATCACTGGCATACATACAGAAGTATTGGCCATCCGGCAGTTTTTCGCAAGCAAAAGTTGAGTCACGGAACTGGTTTAGCATCAAGCCCTGGAAGACGTACGTCTAGAAATCGATATAGTGGAACGCGTCTGGTAGAAATCAGCAAATAATGGAAGGTTTGTCTGGTTGAGGTACTGGACTGGACTTACATCTCCAGAAGGAGTTGAGGATACTCTTCGGAACCAGGAACCCTCCCACTGCGAGCCAAAGTCCATTCGCGAACGAGACCCGAGCCAACGATGTCACAAACTGGGGGACCAAGGCGGCAACAAAAACCACCATGCTTTCGGCAGCTAAAAGGTCGATGAAAAGCCACAGGGTAAAGGTAGCAACGCCACGGATTCCACCAGAAAGGTTCGCTAACCAGAACACGATCAGACTGAACGACAAAGCAACCATGAACAACCAGATGAGACCGATGATGAAGTTGGCAAAAACGAAGGGGAGTGGATTGTAGAGTCGATTGATGTACTCCTCTTCGAGCAGTCTTATGTCTTCAATAATCGCTGGCGCATACGCGACAGCCATCAGAGCCATGAATGCTGAGCTGAAGAACAAGCAATTCACGAGAGGCTGTATGGACGATTGTGTGCTGGGCAGACGTAACCAGACAGCACCTGACGGAGACATGTAGTCAGCCAATATTCTTCACCTGCGTTGATAGTGTTTCTTACCAACCACCAGAGCAAGTCCGATATTAATGGCTAGCCTAGAACCGTAGACCAATGGATCACGATAAGACTTGATAAAATTTCTGTGGAGCAGGGTATAACAAGCCTGCACGTTGGTTGCTCTTGCCGATTTGATAGGACTGAAACTTCCAACAGAGGAATGCGTAGCCGCTCTCATTCGCTGCGACGAACTCCATTTCGTGACAAATAGCTCAACCTGCCGCTCTTTACTGTCATCTCGACAGAAGTCCGTATTGAGCAAGTTTAGAAGAAATTCGGCCGGATTGCAGTATTGTGGAATAGTACAACTACTACTGAAGTACGACACCAGCTCGGCTTGTGGTCCAAAGTAGCATGTCTGGCCAGCGGATATAAGCATTACCAGATCAAACAAGCTCAGAGTTGAACTCGACGGTTGATGAATCGATGCAATGACAATGATTCCGTACTGTTTTGCGAATCGAGTGATGAACGTCATGACCTCATGACTGGCAACAGAGTCAAGGCCGCTCGTTGGTTCATCCAAGAAAAGAATCCTCGGACCAGTCACAAGGGCAGTTGCTAGACTGAGACGGCGCTTCTGCCCGCCACTGAGGCTGTTACGAAATGGCGAAGCTATAATCGTGTCTCGCTGAGCTTCCAATCCAAGTGCTCGAATGACTTCTCCATTGAGCCACGCTTGTTGCTGCTTAGACATGTCCGGGTTGGCCAATCTTGACGTGAACCGGATGCTCTCGGCTACTGTGAGTCCGCCGAGATTCCTGTCTTCTTGCTGCACGTAAGCAGAAACATCATGCATGGAGGTTCCGGAGATGGCGCGTCGGTTGACGTGCACTGAGCCCGTGTATGACAGTTTCGTCCTGCTGGCCAAGATGTTGAGTATGGTACTCTTGCCACTTCCACTCGGTCCCATCAGTGCAAGAACCTGACCGCGCTCAACTCGACCCGAACAAGACGTGAGGATCAACTTATGCCCTTGGGTCTTTCGGTCTTTGATGCTCACGTCTATGTCGCTCCATGTCAGAGACTCGATCGAGCTGTTTTCAAAGAATTCGTGGTGCGATGCTTCTGTATCTTGACTCGCATCCGTGACTTGAGTGTGGACAGACGTTGGGTTCTTTAGAGAAGTATCCATAGGGTAGCTCATGTCGAGTCGGAAAAGGGACGTTCTGAAGAAGTTGAATGCTTTGGGTATGTTGCAGACTAAGGCTTGAGGGAATGGTCCTACAACAGATGTCCAAGAAGCTGAAATTCTTCCTATAAGGCCGTTTCCTAGCAACTTCCAAGCGATACAAAAGCAACGTTTTGATTCACCCGTAGGTCAACGTGGATGCATAGTGCCCAATGCTAGGCAGCGGAATTCCATAAGCACTAAGAGAAACAATAAGCAAGTGCCTGTTTTGGGTTTTCCCACGTCAAAATCAGCCATACAGAGAGAGTCTTACTCCCTACGTGTGGGAAAGTATGCATGTACCCAGACTTTATCGTAGGTTGGATCTTGGATGAGCAAGTTGAAAGGCTTGGCTTGTCAGCATTTCCAAGAAACCCAGAGAAAAGGATTCGCATTCCGGAGCTGAAACTTGAACTCAGCCGCAGCTCGGATGTTTTTCCTACCAACTTCCGCTAAAGTGCGCTGTCCATAATGACTCTGCTGTAAGAATGATCCTGGTCAACTGCATCTGGGTCAAGACGTCTCGCCGGGTGCCAGATGCGATACCGACACCTTCCCAAATAATGAACCACGCACAAACAGACGCACTAATCAATATTTTAAGGTGTCGTAGCCTCCGAAAATGGGGTTCTACTGATTTGTATCATATTAATGACGCTGTACGGACTGGGAAGTAGGTATTAGAGTGACCTTGAGGAATACAAGATGGGAGGATCGCAACGTTTCATGGCTCTCTTGGCTCGTCATCAATGTGGCTGAACAACGAAGCTACATCGACAACTTCCCAGTCTCGACTTCCGATGCATTGCGTAAACATCATGTGGTGCTCTGCCGTGCAACCAAATAGGTTTTATGGTATTCAAACTCTAGGCAGGCCTGCATACAATTCACGACGAATCAGATGTCTGTGGATGCCCTCCATCAAAAGCTGAACATATGCGGCAGACGAAAAATCCTCACCAATCTTCCTGTGTGTCGCAAAGTCGAATGTATGCTTCAGAAAAAATGGGAGAGATTGATCAATCTTCTTGATACCTCTCTTGACAATGCCCAGTTGACGAATGGTCTTTTTGTCCCCAGAGATCTTGGAAATCAAGCTCATTACAGACAACGGTAGAGTTTGTGTAACTGTTCTATAACAGTGATACCTCGCACACTTTGGACCAGTGTACGTCCAGTATGGCCGTAGAATCCCTGGATGAGCTCGAAAGTACTGTGCGCCTAAGGCTGTGAGATCCCTCATTGAACAGCTGTCTTGGAGACCCGCCACAGAGTGAACGATCCTGAAGGCATCGGTAGGTTTTGCATCAATGTCACTCAACCTCGACTCGTCGATGATGTGCTCTGCAACCACATCTACGGGTACGACATCAAAGACTGCATTTGGATCTCCCTCCACCACATGGAAGAAGCCGGAGCCATAGAGTGCCACAAAGCCTCCGATTGCAGCGTAAGAGTCGATATAACCTGGAAAGGGATACGAGAGAGAGGCGCAGATGATGCTCGGTCTGACGATAGTAAGAGGGATTGCGCCACGCCTCTCGTGAAGCATATGTTCTGCGAGGCATTCGGATACATATAAGTATTGGGATGTCCTGAGACTCGCAGAAGCCGTGCTTCATCAATAGCGCCGCTCAGAATCATCTTATACAGGTGTTCTGCCTGCAGATTCTCTGGCAGAGGTGCTAGGACTTCCTGAATGGTTCCATTTCGTGGCGATGAGACATATGCAGTGGAGACGTCAACTATCTGTCGTAATCGCGGACATTCCCGTGCGAGATGGAGAACGTTCATGGAAGTGTTGACATTGGCAAGCGTAGCATCTGCCAAAGACAGATCGAAGTCTACCGAGGCGGCACAATGAATGATGTGCGTTACCGATGCACACAGAGATCTGAAAACGATCGGATCGAGTCCTAGGTTTGGGATGGCAAGATCTGCTTCAATGACCTCAACCATGCTTGGCCAGCAGGCTGTGGGAAGTTGTGAGAAGCATACGGCATTGGTCGTATGGAGGAAACGATCTCTCGCCGTCTGTGTTTTGCTTGGTCGTATCAGAACCAGTATCCTATGATAGGGAAGAATGCCCGCGTTCTGCTGTCTACAGAGTTCTTCGACGACAACCTTGCCGAGAAATCCTGTATAACCCGTCACCAAGACGCAGGGCGAACAGTCCAGAAGTGTTTCCATAATTGAGGATGTGGAGTGAAGGGCGGACGATCGATGAGAGGTTCGACTTGCCTGCACCCCACTTATACCTAGATGGAAGCGCGGAGTCCAAGATCTTTGCCGATACGGTTTTCTGCGACATAGCGATCAGCCGCAGGAGTCTATTCAGGTCAGCATCTACAGTACTGCGGATTCAGCGGTGTATTGCGTCCTTGGCATCAATTAAAACTATCGCCCGTAAAGTCCGCGTTCTCAGGCTCAGCCGCAGCTGAAACTCAACAACCATGTTGTAGAGATAGTTGCGCAATGTAGAACCCACGTAATGCAGCGGCGTTGCCGTGTTCATACAACCCAAGCTGCATGACATCGACCGTTCTGCAGAGAAGGACGTAATTCCAGCGGCATCTGAACCGATTGGATTTGGAGCTCGAGCTGTTGTGATCCCTCGCATAAGACTCGTCAATAAGCCGATGACAGCCATCAGTGACTCCTGGATCAGACCATTCATTCCTTCTCAAGCAAGCAAACCAAAAGTGCCCCGCGTCAACGCGTACAACTCGATGTAGTAAACATACGCCATGCTCACCAGACTTGCACTAACAAGTCCGAACCGTACCATCGACCATCGCTCTGTCCTTGCCGCAACAAGGAAAACCATGGCAATATCAAATTGGAGGACTCCGATCAACATGAGCATGCGACTGTCGCGCCAGTCTCGGTCCTTGACTTTAAGACTCATCACAAATGGCGAGAATTGGAAAAGCCAGAGAGTTGCAAGGCAGCCAATTTGTAGGAAGGTCTGTATAGTTGCTTCGAATTCGAGATTCCTCTCGGGATTGACCTGGGGAGAGGTCGGCGATATGAAGAGCGCGAGACCAGCAATGACCAGGATGCCGAACCAAGACCAGAGTGCAGCTTCCAGTCGGTCACTGAACACCGCAAAGCAGACCAGGCTGTGCGAGAGCGCGAAAAATAAAGGGGTAGTGATCTTCCGTCGAATGCGGTCAGCTTCAGCAACTGTTGGTTGCTGCGAGCGCAGCGGATATGTTTTTCCAAACAACCAGCAAAGCAGGTATGAAGCAACGAAAAACTTTGTCCAATACGCGTCAATGAGTGTGAATATCTTGTAGGCGTGCCAAAGACTAGGAATATTCATGGCAAGTCGTAATGGCAAGTATTCGTGCGGTATACAGAGCACAATGCTGCTGTGTTCATCATCGCCATTGTATATTAGAAAGTGCCCGATGTCAACAATCTTAGCCGTCAGGTCGTACAGACACTCGAAAGGCGATATCCGGTGGAGGGCCAGCTCGCCATAGGAGCCAGGGTCGAGAGCTGCGTTCAATGCTTGGACTATCAACCTCAAGAAGGTCGAAGCACCTTCCAGGGCGGTTTCATCTAGGTCTGGCATAAGGAGGCGGACGGATGTCGTCGTGTTATAGACGGTCGCAAAGTAGGATGCGCGGCTGTTGACAGATCTCACTCCGGAACGGCTCGGATCTCCGGACCGAGGGTCCGGCGACCTCCAACACATAGGCGGTTCGGTCCTCATCTTTCCAAGATTGGGCTTTTACAAGGAAGATACAACACTGAGCTCGATTTTTATCTGTCTCTGTATGGTACAGTGTGCACCTCCACTCAAGCTACCTCGTATGTGGAAGTTGACGATAGGGAAGGGCTGACGGCCGAGTCAAGCACTTTGAGGCCTCCAAACAGACCAGGAAGCATCATAATTCGCCTATCTGTGCGGTCGATGGGTCGATTCCCCATTGCGCACTCCCGAGCGAATCAAGAGAAGTCGATTCTGTCGGCGCATCCATTGTCCCGACTGTGACAAGAGCCGTTGTAATCACAAGCCTATATGACTATATAATTGCCAGCCAAGCTTCGTGACGAGTCAACAAGCACAACAGACAAAAGCATCCCGTAAACCGCATAGTTCTCGTGTAGGGATACGATACAGATACGACCCATGGCTCCACCCACGATGCGAGCGTTTGCGACAAACGAGCGGGGGATTTCTGGCTTTATATGGAAAGTTGCAACAACATTCAGCGTCGTCCATGTTTCGATCAGACAATTTCCCACGCCAACACCAAGCGCCAATGAAGTGCTCGTCAAAGTGAAAGCAGTAGCACAGAACGTATCCGTCGTTCTAAATCCAGCAGCCTACGGAAGCTAGACAATTCGCAGCCTACAGACTACAAGCATATTGATCTTCTTGGTCGTCCGAACAGTATTCTTGGCTGCGACTATGCAGGTACTGTCGAGGCTGTCGGCACCTCAGCAAAAGGAAATTTGTAAATCGGCGACCGTATCGCTGGTGTCGTTCATGGTGGTATCTACATCAACCGTGGCTCTTACGCCGAATATCTGACCATCGACGGTGACTTGGCTTGGAAGGTCGCAGAGTCAATTCCCTTGACTACAGCCGCTGTCTACAGTGTTTCTGCTGTATCAGCCATGCAAGCTTTGAACCTCGTTCTCGGGCTCCCTTGGCTTGACGAGTAGCCTGTCACTGCTGGAAAAGAAATCTTCATCCATGGCGGCAGTACTTCTGCAAGTCTGTTCGCCATCCAGATCGCCAAAATGGCTGGTCTGCGTGTCATCACCACTTGCTCTCCCCATCCCAACGGTCTGGTCAAGTCCTATGGCGCAGACCAAATTTACAACTACAGAGACAAGTCGAGCGTCCAGAAGATCAAGACAACACACCCTGATCTCGCTATGACATTCGACGGCTTCGGTGGCGAGAGAAGCAATGAATTCTGTTGCAACGTCGTCGCCAGCCAAAACGGCAAAGTCGTGTCTCTGGATCCAATGGCGAAGAGTACTGTCAAAGGCGTCACATTGGAGACGATGATCATGTATACAGTATTCGGTCGTGCTTTCCAACTGGTACCTCCTATCGGGCCCAAGCTTCCCGTCAAGGCTGAGGACCGAGCAGGTCTGGCCAGGTTCTACAGCATATTGCCACAGCTTGTAGAAGAGCAGAAGTTAAAACCTCCACCGATCAAACTGATGGGTACGGGTTTCGATAAGATTGAAGAAGGGCTGGGGTTTCTGAACAGCGGCAAGGTGTCGGGACAGAAGCTCGTGTTTGAATTGTACTAGTCGGCAGGACTAGATCGCTAAGAAAATAGCGTTTATCGATCTAGATCTTGTGTAATGGCAAAGAGGGTCACAGTTCCCACAGCTTGCCTACCTCCGTCGTGTAACAGCTCAACAGAAAGAAATAGTATGCCTATGGTATATCTTAGACCAGAATCTCCTTATCTTGACTTTATAGAGAATTGACGATCCGGCCCAAGACCGAGTCAATATACTAAAGACTTGCCCCCAGGTGCCACCAACAATGATCAAAACCATTCACCTTGTCCATCATACTGCCAGATAGCAACCACACCGGGATCTCTTCTCAAACGCTCTCGATATTCTTCTGTCATCGTGCCGCTGCTAAGTCCTTCTGGCTGAGGAGCATCTTCCCGAACCACAACATCTCCCATCGCTTTCTTATGTGCTTCTAGAGTGTGATTGTCTGCGAAGCGGACGTAGTACCGCCACGGGGTGGTGCTGCCTGGTTCGAGCTCAAGGGGTGCCGCATAAACTTCTGAGGTTGGTTTCGGTGTTGGACTGGTTGTAATTGATTTCGCAGTTGAGCTATCGCTTACTGAGCTGTTGGTGGTTGAGTTCCCAGCCATGGTAATGAGAAGGTTATTACACAGGAAGCAGGCTGGTATAGAGAGTATCGTATGCCAATTAAACGCACTACGTAAATGTGAATACGGCTGAGGTCTGCCTCGAGGCAAGTTATCATGACGATGGCAGACTATTACATCATCCTAATGACGTCAGATTTTACACTTGCCGTTTAGAATTGGAATCGTTTAAGTTGTTGAGCTCGCAGCTGTTTGAAAATGCGACTCGCCCAGAAGAACCGAGCAATTGACCATTTGACGTCTTCCAAACAAGACCCACGCCACGACCTTCGGGTTTTGTAGAAGTATTTGGACTAGTCAGGGATAGAGAGAAAGTGATTGTAAAACAATTTTCATTTTCAAAGACAACACTAGACTCCTACAACACTGCAACAAATATTACAACGAAGAATTCCAAGTCCAAACCAAATGACAGAAACAAGCACAGAAACAAGTACAGAAACACACAATCAAACCAAACAGAACATGCTTGGGCCAAGCTCAGAGACCTGATTTCCAGCTTTCAGATCCTTCTCTTTCGTGATTCACCGTGACACCATCATGGTCTGCTCCTCTGAGCCTAGTAAGCTACCGACAACTGGAGAGTCACTTGGCTGGCACCCAGCGGACGGCCATCAAGTCCGCTCTGGGTGTAGAGATAGATGTCAGCGGCGGATTGACCGGCTCTTGGTACCGCAACAAACACTGAATAGTTGTTAGCCGGGCGGTATCTGGTGGCCTTTGAACTGGCAGTGCAAGAGAGGATCGAAGCCGAGACAGTGCACTGGAGAGGGCTCCAAGATGTCGGATAGGTGGCGAGATAACCTTCACTCAAAGTAGCCAACTGCACAGAGTTTGAACGGAAGCTGGGTATCTGGTAACTCAGAACGTTGTAAGTGTCTCCGAGATAGAGATGTCCTGATGTCGCGTTGAATGTGTAGGGGAGCTGGTCTCCATGTTTACGGCTGGTGTACACAGTCGCGTAGTCGTCCTGTCCATCCTGGTAGGACTCTAGTACCCGACCCTTCAGAGATCCAGCGTTGATGAAAACGTTTGCTCCGCTGCGAATCGGATCTTGAGTTGGTGTTGGTGCACTGCTGGACTGGCTCGAACTGGCACTGCTAGACTGGCTCGAACTTGCACTCGAACTGGATGTTGTGAGGCTTGAGGTACCTGTTGTACTGGCACTGATGGATGTGCTGCCCGAGCTGGTGACAGCAGTTGAGCTAGATGTAGTCGTGTCCGAGGAGTTCTGCGACACAGTTGATGACGTCAAAGCCTCAGAAGATGATTGGGTGGACGTGGAGACGGTCGAGGAAGAAGATTGCGAAGTGGTGCTGTTGGTGGTTGCGATCGTGCTACTGCTACCTGATGAAGTTGTATTGAAGCTGCTAGACACAGTCGAAGTCGGAGAGTCGGTAATTGTACCGTTGCCAATCGAGACCGACGAAGAGGACGTGGGTACAGAAGTGGTCGAAACATTGGTCGAAGGTGAGACACTGGTTGTCAAAGGGGGTGCAATAGTACTGTTGCTGTATGGCCCTCCACTGGTAGAGGCACTCGACGAGAAACCGGTAGATGCGGTAGTGGTAGTGTTGCTGATGCTGGTAGGGACACTAATAGTGCTGTTGGCTGACTCGGAAGTACTCGAAGAGGAAGGAGAAGTGCCAGTAGTCAAGATTCCTGTTGGGCCAAGAGAAATGCTTGTACCGTTACCATACGGCGGCCCACTGGTGGATACGGTAGAAGAGGACCCTGTTGGCGCGACAATAGAAGTAGTGTTGGAGCTCGTGGGGACACTAATAGTGCTATTGATGGACACAGAGGAACTCGAGGATGATGGAGAAGTGCCGGTAGTCAGAATTCCTGTTGGACCAACTGAAATACTGCTGCTTGTGCCATTACCGTATGGCGGTCCATTAGTAGAGACATTCGAGGAGAGGCTAGACGAAGCTGTGGAGGAAGTGCCGTTAGCGGTGCTCGTAGGAGCACTGATAGTGCTGTTGATCGATCCAGAGGAAGTTGAGGATGATGGAGAAGTGCCGGTAGTCAGAGAACCCGTAGGCCCGACTGAGATACTGCTGCTGGTGCCGTTGCCATATGGTGGTCCGCTGCTCGAGGAGGCTGTACTGGATATAATCGTTACAGTACCGTTCGCAGTGCTCAAGCTGGATATAGTGGTGCTGTTAGCGCTAGAGGTAGGAATTGCAGAGATTGTGCTGTTGGTGCTTGAGATAGGAACAGTTGTGCTGTTGGTGCTGGGAATGATTGAGGACGAGACGCCAGTCGAGATAGGCACGGTTGGACCAACAGAGCTGCTTGTGCCGTTGCCATAAGGCGGTCCACCAGTGCTTGTGCTAGAGGAGGATCCGCTCGAAGTTCCTGTGGATGCGGTGGTCGTTATGTTCGAAGTGGCAGTGACGGTAGCATTGGCTGAGACAGATACCGAAGAAGAAGTGTTTGCAGACAATGACGATGTAGTAGACAGTGACACAGTGCTACTGGTTCCGTTGCCAGTGAAGATACTGCTTGAGCTGTTGAACGAGGCGCTGCTCGAAGTGCCAGTCACAGTACTGTTGATGGTTGAGGTCAACGATGGAGTACTGGTAGTGAGGCTTGTTCCGTTATTAGTTGCGCTGGTTGAAGTCGTGTTAAATCCACTAGAGGTACCGGTGCTGACTTGGGTAGTGTTGGACGAAGAAGTGCTCGACAAGCTGGAAGTGGTTGTTGTAAAGGTGGGATCCGTGGCTATAGACACGCTGCTCGATCCAGATGAGGATGACGATGAGCCTGTTGACGACGAGGTCTTGGTCGAGGAAGTTGAACCCGACGAAGTCTTAGTCGAAGAACTTGAACGTGACGAAGATTTGCTCGAAGAACTTGAACTTGATGAGGTTTTACTTGAAGAAGTCGAACGAGATGAGGTCTTGGTCGAGGAGGTTGAACGTGAAGAAGTCTTGGTCGAGGAAGCTGAAGAAGTCTTGGTCGATGTCTTGCTGGTCGACGATGAGCTTGTCGAAGACGTGCTTGTCGCAACAGAGTTGCCGTTGACGCAATTACAAAGGCTCAAGAGCTGTGTCGCAGTATACTTCTGGAAAGGAGACGAATTTCTGGATCTGGTATCGGTGTCAGTACAGATCGTACGATTTCCGGGCTGCTACTGACTTCATGTTATAGAAGTAACAGAAATTGTATGGCTCTCCAAACTCGCTCGCAAGCTGTTGTCTGCACTGTTCAGCAGAGGCCCCGGCAAGATTCAAACCGGGGCCGCCCGTGCTGGTAGGAACATTTCCTTCTTTGGTACCCCGACAGTTACAGACAGCAGTGACACGTTTAGCAGACAGCTCGATGAATGGAGTACTGGTGCGGGATCTACCAATGGGTTAGATATAGAAGATCTGGACGTGTCCTTAGACGGCATCTTACGCAGAGAGCCACCACTGGCAGAAATATTCCTGGTGTTTGACGATTCTATCAAAGACTGCTCTGTCCTGTGCGGAACATCCACCCTGTGCTCTCCGAACGAGCGAGGGAGATGCTGAGGCTTGGAGGACAAGCGTAAAGAAGAACAAAACGAACGTGGAAACCTTGAGTGATCTCATGGTTGCGAAGTAGTAACGACTGTGAGAGGGTTGAATGCTGGAGATGGTGGTGAGTGCAGTACATCGAGGTGAAAGGCCGCTTTATATATCATGGGTTGGATAATGCATCTCGAGGGAGTGCCCCTTGACCATCCTTCCAGCTGTGATCACTCAGCAGGAAGCATGACTGTAAAGGAGATCGCAGACGGTTCCTCAGCTACCAGAGTGCGTAGTGTGTTGGTGCGGACGCTGTTCGACATGGTCATGCGTTCAGCTGACGACTAAATCCAGGATGGAGGTGAACAGAGTAGTGTGCCCTTCAGCCCGTCTACAGACCTGCGTGAACGAGTTACGGTATGCACGACCGGTCGCAAAAACTGTTATGCATCTGTAGCCAGTGTATGGTGATGTTCTGTGGATCAGTACATGTCCCAGCCTGGCAGTCGTCCTGGCAGTCAAGAGCTGAAGTCACCGGCTTGATTAACATGAGGTCGCCCCAGACTTGCAGTATCAAGCTGTTGTTGGAGAAATGAGACTTCCTTCAGATTCTATCACCAAGTTGCCATGGATCACTGTGGAGAAGTGCAGTTCCTACACGTGAAAACCCTTGGAGTCGAGACGATCTGGGTTCCTGCACTTAGAGGATCTACATACAGCCCACTTCTAGCCTTTACTGCAACTGCGTTTTTGGATGCAGTGGATGTCGGTATTCCTTTTCCTTCGGACATGGCAGGAGCTGGAGGCTGCATGATGGATGTTCATAATGTCGAGCCGAACATGCATCATGCCGCCTAGGCCAATGAATTCACTGCATACGACATCCGATTTCTCAACCGTTGGACCAGGAATATTCTATAGTCACGATCATGGTCGAGAGGGCTCGACAAGAGGCTGAGATTCGTGTTGAGATCTTCCAGATGGACCTCAGCATAGTCGGTGAGCTATCTGCACCTCGAGGACCGTAGTTGACACTAGATCTATTGAGCCCTAAGATCCGAATGGTGCGAATGGTGCAATTCTCTAACTTAGCCTCGACTTGCCAAATCGCGCCGGAGGATCTGCCCTCAACATGCAAGCAAAGCTTAGTGAGGGCTTGCATATTGACGCGTTTTCTGCATGTTGCTTGATCGGTTGCGTTCCCGCGCATGCAAACCCCGGGTTCCTGCAGTCGTTTGGTGCTTCAGCCAGCCACTCAACGAGATCCGCTGCACGAAATGCAGCGAACTAGTTTTACATGTGAAAGATCTACTTTGCGCTATTTGAATGCAAAGCTGAGATCTGGTGGCGAGAATCCCCAACGCTGCAATGAGATAGGAGCGCATATCCAGCCTCGGCCGTTTTCTTCCTACCATGCACGCCTACTGTCTAAGGCTTACACGCGCATGGTCGCGAGTGTGACTTGCAGTCCGTTCCTGCGTTGAGTGAAAGCAGGGGTAACCAGATTCTTGGTGGTTTGCACCAAGTAGCCGGGTCTCCACAGTGACATGTGAGTCAATAATAGCATCACCGAGCTTGTCCTCGCCGGTGCCGAACGCAACTGTTCGACCTGCTTGTACGGGACCAACGAATGTCTGGTGGTGGCTCCATGGCATTCTCTTGCTGAAAGCAGCTTCGTCAAGTAGCTGAAAACTTCTCCCGCTGTCCGTTTCTCTATTGCTCGTTGACAAATCAGTGCATCTTAGCCCGGGAATTCAAGTCTGCACCATATCCCAGCAAAATGCAGACACCAGCCTCGAAGCCTATGTCAACAGCTGTGTGTAGAGGCGTTCTACCAGCCGAGTCACGCCCCTCCATCACTCTTTGATCACCAGAGCAATGCTTCAGCAGGCCCTTCAGTAGTACTTCCCGTCGCTGCAAAACTGCCCAATGAAGAGCATTACGGCTACGATCGTCCGTCTCGCAAACGCGTGCGCCGTTCTGAATTAGCGAGGACAGCACGTCTTCATGATTACTGATGATGGAATGGATGAGAGGGGTCAGTCCTTCTCCATCTTTTTGATTGCAGTCGACGCCATGCTGCAACAAGATACGGAGTATGTGAGGGTGACCTTTTTGTGCGGCGATATGTAAAGCGCTGACCCAATTTCCCTCGGAGTGTTTGGTTGAAGGCTTCTCAGTAGCAAGGCTTCGACGGTCTGTACTCGACGTGAATATTGGCGGCGGCACAATGTGAGAGGAGGAACCACTATTGATGCTAGAATCTCTAACAAATGTACCTTTGGCGGCTTCACCTGGGTCCATGCCATCAAAGATAGCTGTTGGACATGGCATCTCATCTGATAAGAGCGACATTGGGGTAGATGTTTTGTTGTCTTCTACCAGACTGGCACGTAGCTGGTCAGACATCTGATTCTCTGTAGAGTAAGAGGTTGCCATGTACAATATCTTTGACAACTGCGATGGCGATGGAAGTGCTGTGGAGTCAGACTCGGGTCCTGGCGTCAAAAGGCCTTCCAAGTTCGAAAAGTCGAGGAGATTGATATCACCATATATCTCCAGACCACACGGACCGTAAGTACTGATCAGATTATTGTGGGGGCGGCTCGAAGGAGCGCTGGTCGTGATGGTTTTGGAGGGTGGCACGCTCTCGACGCTCGCATCGGGTGTCGCTGAAGGTTGAGTTTGTGAGACTCGAGCTTGTGTAGCATTGATCAGATTTTTCCGTTCGTTCTGTTTTACTTGATGACAAAGTGGGAAGTCAGCCGGTTGTCTTGCTGTCAGGGCCGCAGTGGCGAGGCTCACGGCGAAATTTGCGTTGAGCTTCACGGTTCTGAGCGCGACGACGCGCCAACGCTGCCTCATCTTTGGTGGTATTCATCTCCCGACGGCACATGGACATGTGTACTCAGATGACACTCGGTTTGACGGGTTCAGAGTCAGACATGATCTGCTTGCAAACTTCGACAAGGCCATGTAAGTGAAAGGGCCAAAGTATCCGCAAGGACTCCGTTAAACTGTTTACCCGCAGCCACACCTTCCCCGCGATGACTCAGATGCGATCCCTACACCTTCAATCCCTCCAACCTGTTGTACAATGACTGGAACTATTCTACAGAGGCCAGCTTCTACCAGATGTTGAGTAAAGCTTCCAGACTTTGGTAAAGAGCTGCGACTGTCTGTTCGAAGCGCCATGTCTGCCAAAAGCTCGAATCAGCAATCCGCCTTGCCTCGCGAAGCTCCACGACCCTTCCTTATCCAGCCGGCCACGAATCCGGAAGACCTGGCAGATGTCGCATCGCTTTTCGAAGCCTACGCAAAATCACTCAACATTGATCTCTCTTTCCAAGACTTTACTACCGAGCTTTCAAAGCTCCCTGGAAGATATGGACCGCCGAGCGGTACCCTTCTCCTCGCACGTCATAAAGATACGAACAAAGCAATCGGATGCATCGGTCTACGTTCTCTGGATACTGATGGCGTGTGTGAAATCAAGCGATTATACGTCGCACCTGCAGGCCGTGGATCTGGGCTTGGGAAAGCATTAGTAGAGCAGGTCATCGAGGAGGCGAAGCGAATTGGATATAGATTTATGCGACTGGATACACTAGGAAGTATGCGCGAAGCGCAGGGGTTGTATGAACGACTGGGCTTCGTAGAAATAAAGGCTTATTATGACACGCCAATCGAGGGGACTGTATTTCTGGAGCTGGACTTGGCTTGATGACGAGCTTCGAGCAAGGTATCACGTTACTGATGTTGGTTTCGGAGCTTGTCAAGTGCTTACCCGTCGGACGGCGGCAAAGCGGAGCAAATATATGCCGACAGTGTAAGCAATAATCCACCATCTCTTGTTGCATACCTCGCGATTTGTCCGACGGGCAAGCATTCCTTGATCACTTCCGACAATGGGGTTTGTATACTTGGACACCTTTCTCGCAAAGCCTGCGCTACGATGAGCTTCTCATGGCGAAGAAAACAGTTCTCATAACAGGCTGCAGTGATGGTGGCATCGGTGCCGCCATGAGCAAAGCCTTTACCGATCAAGGATACCACGTCTTTGCGACACTCCGCAACACATCCAAAGCCGCATCGTTGGCACACACGGCCAATGTTGAAATATTGCAACTCGAGGTGACATCTTCCGAATCTATCAACCAGTGTGTACTTGAAGTTCAGAAACGCACTGGTGGTACCCTCGACGTCCTTGTCAACAATGCTGGAGCAGACTTTGTCATCCCTTTGCTCGATGTCTCGATTGAGGAAGCCAAGAAGCTGTACGACGTCAACGTCTGGAGCATCCTGGCTACCACACAGGCCTTTGCGCCGCTGCTCATCAAGGCCAAAGGAACAATCTGCAACATCAGCTCTATCGCAGCAACCATGCCACTTGCCTGGAGCGGTAAGAAACTGACAACAATTTTCGTATTCGGTCAGTACTGACTCCGCCACAGGAGTCTACAGTAGCTCAAAAGTTGCAGCAAAGCAGATTTCAGAGACCTTGAGGGTTGAAATGCAGCCACTGGGTGTGACTGTCATCACCGCCGTGGTCGGTGCCGTCCACACGCCAATCCACGATAAGGCAGGCGAATTGGTACTGCCTGCAAGTTCCTACTATCGGAGCGTCAGAGAGACCATCAATGACCAGAGAAAGGGGCTGAAGAAGCCTGGCAGTCAGGAGGTCGACGTCACGGCCAAGAGCCTCGTCAACGACGTTGTTGCAGGGCGCGCAGGACTCACTTGGCGTGGAGGCACTGCTACCCTCGTGCGCTATTTAAGTTGGTTATTGCCTTCGGGGCTCTTTGAGCATGTGATCAATGACGGTCGAGGACTGGAAGATGTCTCCCTAGGAAAGGGATAGTGCGTAAAGACCGAGATGGTAGCACGACTTATGATAGCAAGCACTGATAGAGGTGCTCGTAAAAAACTTTTAACATGATACCACGAGTTGCCAGATCTTATGACGCTGTACTATTCTGTGATCAAATTATCCTCGCTGTATGTACATGTATGTCTTCTGAAACAACCCATACAAGAAAGCCCAACCACCAGGTACCGAGTCCCATGACGCTATCACGACCAATCACAGCTGTATGTATATCTTTGATCTGTAGAAAAGAAGCCGCCACTATAATGGTCCTCACAGTTCTGCAGTCCACAATTGACAGTCGAGCCGTCCGCAGCAATGATCTGAGCTTTCATTTCTGCAGAGGAAGCATCAAGGTTGACCACAGACACGGTCGCTCCGCAAAGCTTCCAATCGCCAGTTGCATCGCGGTAGTCAGCTCCTACATCGGTCTGAGCAGTACATATCTGGGCTCCAGAAGCATCGTATAGGTAGACCGTTAGGAAGTCATCTGGTGCGATGCTGCAACGCTTCCTGTGTTTCTTCGGTAGGTCGACTCCGTGACCAGGGCTGTTGGCGCCATCTCCTGAGTTCACACCGCTATCATCTCCCGTGCAGGAGGTTGACAACTGAAGCTTGGCGGTGAAACTCCCGCCAGGGGCGTTCGGGATGCAATAGTGTCGTGTAATGCATTGTGCGAATGGGCTGCTGCTGGAATTATGGGTCGTGTCTGTGTACAGCAGCTTGCCACCGTAGCCAAAACACTTCCAGGGCGCCAATGCAGAATCAGGCGTGAAAGATCCTGTGATACCACCATCGCTGTAGTCTTGGTTGATGTTGATTGAGTAGGAGTCGTAGCCATCTATGTATCCTCCGGACTGATACTCATTGTTGCCGTTCGAAGGGTTGATGGAGGACTGGGCGTCAGGCTTGCGCTGAGAGTCGGGGTTTGCGGAAGAGTAGTATGCAAGGTAAGATCGTAAAGGTTGTCCTGATTGTACGCAATCGACAACAAAGACTGCTGCTCCACTGATACTGGCGCCTAGTGCGACATTGATTGACAGGCACAGAGCCCCGAGCGAGAAGGAGTATCGCATCACCGATGATGAGAAGAGTTTGCTGCTGCGTCCAGGACGAGATGGATGGATGGGCGGGAAGTCTTGAGTGGACGACCAGAACTTATTCGTTCATGTCGGATCTTTGACCATCACCGTTCGTGGACAACCCGGGGCGGGATATAATCAAAGCTTCTCGGGCAGCCCGAAGCTTGACCTTTTCAGCTGCTCTCATCTTGGGAAATTTTAGCCTTAGCGTAAGGTTAAGCTTTTGGTTAAGCTTCTAGATGCGATCTCGTAGATGCTTCTGCGACATGCCACATGCCAGGAGACATGAATGATTCTTCCGAGGACCAGATGTAGGAACATACTCTTCTTACTAAATCCAGGGACCTTCCTTTAATATCTTGTATATCTGCACGAAAGTGTTAAGGGGTCATCGAATGGCTCTCAGTTTGGAAAATGCTTTACGACGGGATCTGTCCCGAGATTGGATTAAACCTAGACTCAGCTCCATACCCAAGCTCGCGAAGAGTTGGGTGGGTCATGTGAATGCAAATTTCTTCTCATAGAGTTGTTGCCCCTGAGCTATGGCTCGCACTTGCCTGAAAATAGCATTTGGTCTTCCGTACGTGGATTATTGCCAACCATTCTGATTAGCTGTCAACTGTGGAAGCTTTGCCGAAACACGCCTCAAACCACGATCTGAAGGTACATACGATGGACTAGCTCCTCACCTACGAGCGAGGAGTCCAACCATTAACGGAAGTCTTGCACAAGCACATACCTCGAGCCACAACGTGGCAGCGGACATAACGAAACAGGCAACTTTTTTGCGAGCTGACACTTCTAGTCACCCGACGGTCGCTAAGTTCGTGTTGCCTATAGCTCTGAGGTTCCAGAGAGGGAGGTGAAAGGAGCCGATCTCACGGTAACACTCAATGCAGAAGGTGCAATCTTCTTTTTGCCAACATGCTGGACTCAGAATATAATTCGAGTTGTCGGCTTGATACCTTGTCGACATCGTCTCTTGCGCCAACATGTCGTTCCTTACGCGTGTTTTCACATTCTTATTTCTTCTGGTGTTGACGACAAATGCGTCGCCACATCAGGTCAATGCCAGGGACTCGTTCTTCAAGGCTCATATCCCATCCTTCTCTTTGGGCTCTCGAAGCGATGCTGATCCCTTCCCGGCCGGCCAGTTGTGTCCCACATACAACGCAAGCACTTTCCAAACGACCTCTGGCTCAGTCTTCGAGATCAATTGCGGCTTTGATTTTGCCGGTGGAGATTTGAGAATGGTCTACGTCGCGAATCTGACAGCGTGCACTCTTGCTTGTGCTGGGACTAAGGATTGTGTTGCTGCCAGTCTCTCCGGTTCGGCATGCTATCTCAAGTCGAAGTTGGAGCCTGCACGACACAACGCACGAGTTGACGCTGTGAGACTTGTCATGGCTGCCCCGCCTGCCTCTTCTTCGTCGTCCTTGAACGGTACAGCGATAGCTTCTTCAGGAACACTTTCGGCATCTTCCACGATATCTTACCAGACTGGGACGTCAAGCTCTTCCATTTCTACTTCTGCACCGCATTCCGGGCAGTCTTCCCCGAGTCTTGGTTCCATCATGTACGTCACAGTGCCAGCCTCATCACCGTCATCTAGTGGGACGTCAGCCCTATCAACATCATCGAGTCAGACCACCGTCCCCATAGCATCGAACATTGGAAGCCTCGTCGAATCCTCAGGAGCATCACTTTCTTGTCCCAGCAGCAATGCAACCATGTATCAAAGCTCCAATGGCGATGTCTTTATCGTGGAGTGCTATATCGACAGGTATGGCAATGATATGGGATCTGTCTCGATCCCGTCCCTGAAGCTGGCAGATTGTATCAATGCTTGTGCCACCACCGATGGATGTGTGGACGTTTCGATGTCGGGGCCCGCATGCTACATGAAGTACAAGACTGGTCAGGTCTACAACGTGGCTTCTAGAATCCGAGGCGCAAGGCTCGTTTCGACCGCCTCAAAGTCCTTCAGTACAGTCAGCACGTCAAGCAGCACAGCTTCTGGATACGTGGCAGGCCCCCAGACGCAGGTTCCTTCCTGTCCATCATCGAACTCGACTCAATATCTTGCAAAAGGTGGTGCTGTATTCGCTATCGAATGCTTCGTCGATCGTTACGGCAATGATCTGAGGATGATATATGTATCATCATTCCAAGCATGCATCGATGCGTGTTCTTCTACCCCAGGATGTGTAGATGTTTCTCTGAGCGGTGCTGCATGCTATATGAAGAAAAAGGTCGGCGCAGCATACAGACAGGCATACAACGTCCAAGGTGCGACGTTTGTGTCGTCCGCGACTACGAGTTCGTCTGCCAGCGGACCGGCCACCTCGGCTTCATCTACATCGAGCTCCACTTCGCTCGCCTCAACACTCTCAATATCTGGAACTCTCTCTTCGACACTAAGCTCTAGTTCTGCGTCTGCCATTTCCTCATATCCATCATCCTCGTCTACGTTGTCCTCATCCTCAGACATCTCATCGACTTCTACCTCTGTCTCGTCGTCCATACCTACCCTTGGCTTTGGTCAGCAGTGCACTTCTGCTTCGCAGTGTCAGACTGGATACTGCATACTAGGAGCGTGCAATTACCAGAGTCAAGACGGCGGGCCTTGCAAACAAAGTACTGATTGCAAACGTGGGGTTTGCAATCACTATGGACAATGTTCCTCTGGCACAGGCGGAGTGGGTTGTTATTACGACAGCGACTGTCTCTCTTCGTCATGTGTATCCAATCAATGCAGCCCGGTGTCAGTAGCCACAACATCCAGTACGCAAACATCGACCGCCTCCTCGACGGCTTCTTCGACAAGTAGTTCGAGCACACCATCACCTACAGGGGCACCGAATGGCGCAAGCTGCGATAGTTCTTCGGATTGCCTCTCCGGAGCATGCTTGTTATTCACCTGCGCAAACAAGTCTCAGCTGGGGGGCTTTTGCAGTATCGCTTCGGATTGCGCTGTAGGACAATGCAGCTTTCAGCAAGAGATCTGTGTCACTGGAGCTGATGGTACCAGCTGCGCACAAGCTTCGGACTGCTCATCTGGTCACTGCAACACAGAAGGTGTGTGTGGAAAGTCTGCGGATGGAGCGGCCTGTACTGTTGATAATGATTGTACCTCGAAATTCTGCAACGGTGAACGGACCTGTGGGCAGCTTGCAGACGGCGCGACTTGTTCAGCAAGTGCAGATTGCAAGACTTCATTCTGCAATGGTGAGAAGACTTGCGGAAAACGACAAGATGATGCAACTTGTTCGACGAATGCAGACTGTCTCGGTGGGTTTTGTAATTCGCTGGGCACTTGCGGCGTACGTTCAGATGGAGCACCGTGCCAGCAAAACACGGATTGTTTCTCTGAATGTAATGTCGCGTCCTACTGCGGGCCATTGACCACCTGCTTCCCAGCATGCCCTCAGACAGCGGGCTGGTCTTGCCAAACTTCAGCAAGTGCAGGTTTCCAGTGTGTCTTCAGTTGTCCTTCTGGCGACATCGACCAGTTCGGCAATTGCAGAACAATTTCTGATGGAACCTACGTCGGGGTGCAGTACGCCAATCCCAGCAGCCCTTGGCCTCAAACTGGGGAAGAGATCTGGTATGCAGTGACTTGCTGTGCACCTGACGGGTCATCATGCTACAACAAGTTCCCCAACTTTGCTGGCAACTTCTACGGAGGTCAAGACCCCAAACAGCGCCAGCCCGCCGCAACTTGGAGAGCTTGTTCGGACGCAGATGCAGACGCTACATGCCAGTGGGACTCAAGCTTCAGCGGCGGTGGTTTCGACTGGTCGCTCAACTCGGGCTTCGTAGACAGGGCACACATCACCCCAACCTCCGGCATGGGCACAGTCCAAGTCGATCAAAGCGGGACAATGTTCTTGGAGTATCCGGGCACCACGTTCCACTGTCAAACAGCCGACCTTTCGGTTCTCTTCTACGACAACGGCAACCCTTGCATAGCTGACCTCGAGTGCCAGCCTCCACCCTCTGGAGGCTCAGTCTACATCGAGTTCGACTTCCCCTGCTCATGCGACGTAGGAGGGCAGTCATGTGCATCAGGGACTGCGATAATCAATGTGTACTATCCAAGCAACGGCGGCTCAGACAATGGCCCGCTGTTATGCAGTGATCAGATCGACGGCATCGGCTCGGGATCAAACCAGTATTCGTTCTCCCACTCAATCACTAGCTCCAAGTGTGGATCGCACTTCTCGATTACGAACGGGTACATTTACATCCAGGATATAACGTTCGCCTCGGGTAATGCTGGTATCAGTGCGACGCCGTCGACATGGGCGCGGGAGACCGGCTGTCAAGGTATGAAGTACTCGGCCACCTACACACAGCAGTGATTTATTCTACAGTTGTGATCGTGCTGTCTGTGTGTTCAATGGGAAGTAAAATCCCAAGTCAGGATGTTCTGTAAAAAGTAGATCTTTAGTATTACAGTGTAGTGAATACGAGTATGCCCTAGAACCGGCGAATAATACCATGACAATCCTCTTTCATGCCGACGAGACGTGCTTCCATCCTGACCCAAGTCTCTGACTCGAGTGACCCGTCAGTGTTGATGTCCTCGCGCTTTTGCACAAATCAATCACTCTTGGGCTTGAAGCTCTTCCACTGTATACCGAAGCTCGCAAAGCACGCTGCTGCAGCCAATCCAGCTCCAAGATAAAATGTACTCGTCACCCCTTGATTATATGCATGCAACACCTGCGCAAGGTCACCCGTCGGAACCAGTTGTCGGAAGTCCGCAGGAGCCGCATGGACGATAGCAAAAAGATCCAGACCGACAATGTCCGTTGATTCGAGAGAAGCGTGAAAGATGCTCGAGAAGACAGCCTGTGCTAGAGCCAAGAACAGCGCTGCGCCAAAGGACTGGAAGAATTGGAGTAGAGCGGTGGCGACAGGAATGTCTTCGGCTTTCAACACGGTCTGGATGGCAACATATGGCATCCATAGTGAAATCCCAGCACCCATGCCAGGAAGGATTTGGTAGGGTATCCAGAATTTACTGTTCGATGACGGATCAAGCGTGGATAGCAGACCAGACCCAACAGCCAGTAAAATTGTACCCGCCAGAATGAAAGGGTTGGTGAGACCAACATAAGGTAGAAGTATACCGACCATAAAGGCAGAAGCGACATCGGACATCGACAACGGTAGATACATAACGCCAGATCTGATCGGAGAGACACCTTTGACGATCTGGAACCATTGCGGGAGGTAGTAAATAGCAATGTAGACCGCTCCCATCGCGAACAATTCTGTCAGACATGCAAAGAAGACGACACGTTGAGTGAACAACTTTGGCGGTATCATTGCATCGTCACCTTTGCGGACTTGCCAGAGAGCGAAGACCGATGTGAGAGCTGCAGCGCCAACGAAGAGTCCGATGATGGTAGCACTACTCCAAGCATACTGCAATCCGCCCCATTGAAGAGCAAGAAGCATCATAATCGTAGCTGGTGCGAACAGCAAAAGACCGACCAGATCCAGGCTTGCCATCTTCTGTACAGAAGTGTTGCTGTGGTTTGCCTTTGGCGGATGGAAGAATAAGACCAGAAAGAGGACTGTGACAGCACCGATGGGAAGATTGATGTAGAAGCACCATCGCCAGGTGACACGCTGTGTCAAGACTCCGCCGAGAAGTGGTCCAAGCATGATACCGATTCCGAAGGTCGACTGCAGCATGCTGAGATATGTAGTCCGTCGGGGCAGTTTGACAGACACTGCGACGATTGAGAATCCGCCAGTCGTGCAGCCAGCGGCGCCAGCTCCAGCGATTGCCCTTCCAACAATCAATCCGATAGCATTCGGAGCCGTGGCGCAAACTAAAGATCCAGTCTCGAAAAGAGCCATGAAAACAAGGAACATTGTCTATGATTGTCAGAGAGTGCTCGCGAATGGGCGTTGGTAACACAAACCTTGATAGAAAATTTTGCATACAGCTTGCCAGCAATTGGTTGGAGAGCACAGGTAGCAAGAGTGTATGCGCTGCCGTACCAAGCCGTGTCGCCAGCAGACTTGAAATCTGCTGTCACGTATGGAACCGCTGTCGCGACAATTGCAGAATCCAAGGACACTAGAAATATGGCAAGCACCAAGCCAGACACGACCGTGATCAAGCTGAGTCCTGTCAATTCGAAGTCTTGAGCATCGTCCTCAACGTCGAGCGGCTCGATGTGCCGCGTCGATTGAGCATCATCATGGCTTGTCGGCCGTGAGTGGTCGGCCTCTGTTGAATTGACCATGAGTGAGTGCTTGAACGGTGATTGTGATAATCAAGATGGCTTTGGAGCGCGACTCGCGCCCATATTGTGTTGTGGATGTTTTGTGTAGAGGCGCGCCCGAAAAGGGCAAGACCGGTGTCTATGATGCGGGGCCTTGTCTGGGGCGCTCGGCGGTCAACTTTAGCCGGAATTGACAACGAATTCTAGCCGTCGTTGTCAACGCGTGGCCAGCGGTTGCCTACTCGTGCTTGACCGTGTGCAAGAGCATGGAACGCAGGCACATCCGGTCGAGTCCTGTCCGAGCCTTGTTTTCTCGACTGCCGCGACCGAGCCATGCTCTCCAGATGTCCCCAGCAAATCGCGCGTTATGATACCATGTGCCTCCCAGATGATTGTGCTCGAACGCCCCAAAAACAGACGAGGCATTTCCTCCGGAGGAACCATATTTGCCAGCGTTGAAGATGTTATTAGCAGTCAGGATTGGCCACTTTCGGTCATGGTAGACGGGATGTGGCGCATAGACCGCCTTCAATCCGTAGTGCAAAGCGATGCTCGGTGCCCACATTTCGGTCCACATTGTACGTTTGTACTCGAAGGTTTCCTTGTGCATAATGTGCAGGAGCTCGGAAGACATTCGCGAGGCTGCGATGATGGCATTACGGAGAGGTGGCATGGGCAAGTCTGTATTGTACCCAGTGACGTCCTCGGCAAAGAACCACCCAGAATCGTTGGGATCGAACAAGGGACCTAATGTTATCAAATCGGCATCACCTGCACCCTCGTTGCCAAGTGTCGCGGTTCTCTGCTGTAAGTCAGGCACTAACGATCCAGCAAAGGGCACAGGGCCAAAGACGGTGGTTGGATTCTCTCTCTCGACGATTCTAGAAAACTGGTCCCAGGTTCCATGTAGTTTTTCGATATAGTACTTTGCGCTTCGCTCCCATATGCCGCGTCTTGGCTGCGACTTTGCCCACAGTCCCAAGCGGTCAAAGAGCTCGTAGTAGTGACCTATATAGCGTATGTCCATCTCCCAGTTCCAGAAATGCTTGTACTGTGTATGGGTTTGCGCAAAGTGCTGCAAAGGCATATGGGAACTCCTGTAAACACCATGGATAGGCGTGCCAGCTCTGTTGTTGGTACTATTGCAGAATGGTCCAGGGTAGACCAGTTCCATCTGTTGCTCAGACCAGAGTGTGACTAGACCGCAAAACTCTGCTGGGACGCTCTCTTCGCGTATCTTGTCATAAAGCTGTGCAGATTCCCAGAAACGCGCCGAGTTGTTCTTGACGTGAACAAGCAGGTGGATGTCGTACTCGCCGCCCGATCCTAGCGACATCTCACTGAGCAGTGCCCTGAGGTTCATGATAGCGTGGGGTGTATAGTCGTATCCTGTCCAGGTCCGTAACACGATTGCCTGCCTAGATATACGGGATAGGGCACTCGAGGTCTTGGACTGCTTGGTGCCCTCGATTGCGAAGTTGTCATCGTAGCATCTCTTCTGCGCAGCTGCCCAGTCAATACTGGTCCAGTCCACTGGGTTTTGCAGAGTGCGCTTGGTCTCATACGGCGAGGGCGAAGCATGCTCGAACAAGGTCGAGTTCGCGGGTGAGGCATAAGCTCCGAGGCGACCTTCGCTGTCGAAACAGACGTCGTCTTTGAGACCCAATGCATCGTATGAGCCGTACAAATGATCGGGATGCTCCTGTGGAACACCAAGGTACGAGTGCACTCTTGGGACACGTACAGTCCGTGCATGATCGAGGAAGCATTCCTGGATATCACTGGATCTCGCGCCAGCATCCCCTGGCCTGCGGTAGGGGTTGTATTCGACCAAGCGGTCGTGTATTTCCTGCTCTTCCAGCCACGGGGAGCTGCACTTCTCGACCGGATCATACGGCTGGTCTGCGCGTGCGTGACCTGAGACGGGTATAAGGCTGTGGACGCCTGCGTAATAGCCATTGAGCCTGGAGGTCGGATATCAGCAACGCCCAAACTCCGCGGAGGTGTGCACATGCAGAGGAAACTTCTCCCAGTGTGCGCCAAAGACGAGTAGGCTGGCGCCCCTCCAGGTCCGGTCGGGGATATGGTATAGCACAAGGCATAGTATCAAGGCAGCAGCGATGATGTTGCGACACACCCTGACCGGCCGGGTGCTGAAAGGGGACTGTAAAAGTCGCATTTGTGACAGTCTGGTCAATGTGCAACCGGTCCTCACCTCACGCGACAGCAGGGACAGCTTTACTGATCAGCATATCACTGACTTACAGGCTTTCCTACAATCTCATCTCAATGATGTCGTGTTGGGCTCTGCAGACGCGAGAGGCGCAGTCCGTGTGCGAGAGGTGGACGCGTGGCCGCAGAACATGTCTTCAGAACACGAGATAGGGGTCAGACATCACCGCGTCTAATACAAACTCACCAAAGAGCGCAGGCTGCACTGCGTCTTCAGGTACCTGCTGTCCGTACTCGCCCGTGAGCCAGCAGGGCTAGGTTTACGGGACAATCTCATTTGAGTGCAAGGGGCCTCAACCTGGACATGATCGAGAACGATGCTCTCCGATGCCTTGTTAGCCGTCTGCAACGTTTGAACGTCGCACCGATGCGACTTCCAAGCCTCGATATGCATATGCAAAGAAGCGTTCGCCAAGTATCGAAGGCGTATGCTTAGAGTGCTTAGCATTTTCATCCATCGAGTATCGCTTGAGTTGAGGCCTGGCACTTGTTGTTCACAATGAACGCACCGCGCAAGACGCGCGGAACAGGTGTCGGCAAGCGTATAGACTTCGGCGCGGAGAAGCCAGAGGCGCTCAATGTTTCGAAAGGATAAGTCGAGCTGCCAATGGCATCAGGAATCCGGTCCATGCTGTCGGAGGTTTCTGTGATAAAATACACGTGCTCGTCTTGCTTTTGTCGGGATCCTGGGCTTGTTGGTGTTTTGGTCGGATCTCAAGAAACACGTGCGATCAAGACAAGCTCTGCTTGGGTCTTGGCGAAGCCCTGGCCTGTCCCGCATGACGACACTGGTATGCACGATTGCACTTTCTCCGTCAATTTCTGAAGGATCAATGTTCAATCCATGAGCTCCCCACTGACTACGGCTGGTATGAGCTGCCTGAAATGGCATGGAGGATCTACCGTGAGGATCCGAGACCTTGATGGTACAAGTACAAATGCCTGGTCGTCGGCACCTCGAATATCATCTTGTGAACAATTGAGTTTGTACCGACTTGACCAAGATGCTGTCTTCCTTGTTCAATGTAGCCGCTCTGGCTCTTGTGGCCGATGTAGCTTCTGCTGCCGCTGTGAGCTCTTCCAGCAAGCTCGCGGCCTCCAAGACTGCCGGCTCAACTGCTAGCGACGTCTTCCCTCCGGCAAGCAGTGAGTAGCACATCCATGTATGCGGTATACACGTTCATTGACGTTTTCCAGCCAAGGTCAACACTTCTCTCTTCCCTGACGAGTCAAAAGTCGGCTTCCCCGGTCCTACCCCGACTGGGCTAGAGGGCGACGCTATCCAGACCGCTCCCCTGTACCCATACAACTCGGCTGCCGCTGCCGCTTTCCCGCTGGCTGTGCCTCAGCCCCATGGCTCGTCTGCTTTTGGCGACAAGTTCGACATCACAAAGTACTGGGGCAATCTGAGTCCCTGGTATTCGGTCTCATCTGCCGACTATGGTCTCTCCGAAGCAAGTCCCTTGATTCCCGATGGTTGCACCATCAATCAGATGCTCTTGCTGTACCGTCACGGTGCTCGTTACCCCACCAGCGGTGCTGGTCCCTCAACCTTTGCTCAGAAGGTCCACAACGCTACCGCTTCGGGCTTCAATGTGACTGGCGAGCTGACTTTCCTGGCCGACTGGACTTACAAGCTCGGCGCCGAGCTTCTTACTCCCTTTGGTCGTAGCCAGAACTTCCAGCTCGGTGTCGAGTACCGTCAGCTGTACGGTGAGCTCCTGAACAACTTCACCTACCAAGACGCCCTTCCCGTCTTCCGCACCGAGTCTCAGGACCGCATGGTCAAGACCGCCGAGAACTTTGCTGCTGGTTTCTTTGGTGTCCCTGAATACCTCGACCAGGTCAACATCGAGATCTTGGTCGAGAACTCGACTGTCAACAACTCGGGTGCTGCCTATGAGGTCTGCCCCAACTCCAACATCGCCAGCCGTGGTAGCATTGGTAGCACCGTCGCCAACAAGTTCGCCGTCAACGCTTTCAATGCCACTCTCGCCAGACTGAACTCTCAGGTTTCTGGTGCTCTCAACTTCACCTATGTCGACGCCATTGATATGCTGCAGCTCTGTTCTTATGAGACCAACGCTCTCGGTTACTCCAAGTTCTGCGGTCTCTTCACCGAAGAGGACTTCATCAACTACGAGTACTACTACGATCTGTCCTTCTACTACAACAACGGACCTGGTTCGCCCGTCGCTGCTGCTCAGGGCAAGGGTTTCCTCCAGGAGTGGCTCGCTCGCTTCACCCACACCTACCCCGATGCCACGTCTGCTCTCAACAAGACCTTTGACAACTCTTCGACTTACTTCCCTTTGAACCAGTCCATCTATGCTGATGCTACCCACGAGGTTATTGTCCTCGATACCCTCACTGCTTTCAACTTCACCGCCTTGTTCAGCGGTCCCCCTCTCAGCGCCACTGGCAACACCGGCACCAACTCTTTCGTTGCTAGCAAGCTGGTTCCCTTTGCCACTCACTTCACCACTCAAATCATGACTTGCCCCTCCAGAAACGTGACCAAGCAAATCCGCTTCCTCGTCAACGATGCGGTCATTCCCGTCTCGGACTCGCATGCTGGCTGCCCCGTCGACAAGGATGGTCTGTGTCCTTTCGACACCATGGTCAACGTCTTGAAGAAGAGAGTCAACGAGATCAACTTCAACTACGACTGCTACGCCAACTACACCGCCACTGCTGGTGTCAACTACAACGGCCGTGCTCCTACTTCCTAGATTCTTCATAATGTATAGACAGATGTTGTAGAGCAGAATGACGACGATCAGAATAGCGGTGTATGATAATAACAAGAAAATTCCTGACGAACTTGATCAAGGTTGCTCTTGCCAAAAGAACGCGGGGACGTGCATGGCAGTTGTGTTTCTGTCATCAAACGGAAGGGCAGAGATAAGCAGAAAGCAGAAAGTGAGAAAAGAGACGCGGTGTGACACCTACGTCACGCGTTGCCAAGTGCGCTTGTCCGCAGACAGGGTGCTCCCAATCACAACCATCTTTCGAGTCGACGAGCATATAACAACGGAGCAGGGATGATTCATGATAATTTTAGTTGGTCAAAGTCTGTTTGAGACCTTACAGAGACGATTGGTGTGTCTTTTATCACGGAATATCTTCTCGCTGTTCTGTATCCGAATTTATATTATCCCCCTCTGGTTTTGAAAAAGTCCATGCAATCACAACGGAAAGGGTTGGTGGTAGAAGCAACGAGCGATTGGAAACAAGATCTTACGCTATACTCGTCCATCTCATATGAAACTCTCCAGGATTCATTTCCATGTCCTCCTAAGTCGCACTTGCCAGTTTGATTCGTGACATTTCTTTGGTATGGTCATACCGAGAGATAAACAGAGCACCATGATGACTCCGATGTTTAGCCAGTCGTATATCGTACAGCGATCGTTGTCGAGATCATGACGTACGCACATCCACGCGTCTCGTCTCTCCGCCGAACCGCGTTTCTTGTCGTCTCTTTCCGAATTGTCACAACTCCTTGTACTACCTTCGGACGATGACTGTCGCTGATATCTAGACACAGATGATATCTCGCCTTCCGGTCTGACCTTCTAGTCTCGCAGCAATCGCGAGCGACATGGCTACCATTCCACAGCTAGCGTGACCATGGTGCTTCATACTTGCTAAGCAAGAATCACCGTCACCAGTCTTCGAAGGCCGCTCCATTACAGCCACGGCCAACAGCTTCCGCCAACAAGTCCTACCATCAGCCTCCGACAGGAAAACTAGACGCGCCTAGTCAAACTCAAACGAGTGTACAGCGATGGTTCAAGGCTGTTCGATCTAAGAGATGGAATCTATACATTGCGACCGGCCGTTACTGCATTATCCGTCGGCATATACAATGGTTGGACAACGGTAGGATTGGATCTTCTCGTCTATCGGTCGAAAATACTGGTCATACTCGGTACACTACGATTGCATCTATGCGCGTCCGGTAGAAGACGTGATACCACCGTCAACCACGATCTTCTGCCCGGTGATATATTTTGCCTCGTCTGAGGCCAGGAACAAGACCGCATTCGCCACATCCCAGGCGTCTCCCATTCTGCCCGTGGGCACTTGGGCATCCCGCATCTGCTTGTAACTCTCGTAGTCGCCATCTTTGCCATACCGCGAAACCATGCCTTGGGTATAGGGAGTCTCCATGAGTCCAGGCACAACCGTGTTCAGTCGCACGCCCTTCGCAGCATATATCACTGCCGTTGCCTTCATGAACTGCATAATGGCGGCCTTTGTGGCCGAGTAGGCGATCTGAGGTTTGCCAATGTATCGCATGCCCGCGATACTTGAGATGCTCACGATCGCGCCACTTCCCTGCTTTTCCATGATAGGCAACACGTAGTGGCATAGCAGATAGACACTCTTGAGGTTGATGTCCATCTGTGCGTCCCACGTCTCAGGCGACATGGTCGCAGGGCAACCCGGCTCCGATCTCCCTACGTTGTTCACCAGGATATCGATTCTTCCGTGCTTTGCCATGCATGCGTCCACCAGTGCTTTCACCGAGTCCGCGTCCGTAACGTTACACCCAACAATATCGCAAACGCCCCCGGCTTCATTGATGGCGTCTTGTGTCGAAGTCGTCGAAGCCAGCGTGCGATTTCCACCGAAGATTTTGGCTCCTTGTCGAGCCATCAGAATTGCTGTTGCTGCTCCAATGCCCCAGCCCTGGCCTGGACTTTGTCCGAGTCCGGTGAAGAGTGCGACTTTGCCTGTGAGATCATGCATCGCGCGAGATTTTGAGCTGGCAGGTCGAAGCGAAGAAGTGGTAGAGGATGAAAACACGAAGTATCTGGACGACGAAAGCCTTTGGGTATACGATAGGATGTGGCGTGCTGTTCATCTACATAAATACATGGTGACGCCGAGCGGAAATCCCGCGCGCCGGAGCGCCGTGACGCTGAAGACACACAAAAGCGGCCCACAAGCATGATTCAGAAAGCCATGGTAGGTTGTACTGGCTCTTCCCGTACGCATTCACGTTGCCAATAAGCAGAAAGAAAATCAAGCTAAAAATGTCGTGGCCGGAGAATCCGTCGAAATACACACAGTGAGGAGAATACGGCAAGCGGAAATTCCGACGGTCGTCCCGAGCTAAAAGGTCTTAAAAGTCGCCCACATTCCCTACAGCAACCACCATGGCCGACCCCAATCAGCAAGAATCTGCAAAAGCAGATTACGACTTGAACCGTCCAATTGATACTGCGCGCGGTCTACGTCAAGGATTGACTTCTTACGGAGATGCACACTTTTCTTTATTCCTTCGCAAGGTCTTTATTAAGGCAGCGGGTTACAGTGATGACGCTTTGTCATGGCCAGTCATTGGAATCATCAACACTCACTCGGGATTCAACCCATGTCATTCTCAGGTACCTCAACTTATCGAGGCGGCCAAGAGAGGGGTCATGCTAAGTGGTGGATTGCCTATCGACTTCCCTACCATCAGCTTGCACGAATCTTTCTCATCTCCGACGAGCATGTACCTAAGGAATCTTATGAGCATGGACACCGAGGAAATGATAAAGGCGCAACCACTAGACGCTTGTATCATGATCGGGGGCTGCGACAAGACTGTGCCTGCGCAACTCATGGGTGGCATATCGTCCAACAAGCCTGTACTCCCTCTTGTTGTTGGTCCTATGATGCCCGGCTCGAATCGGGGTGTACGCATTGGTGCGTGCACTGATTGTCGAAATAATTGGGCCGCATATCGAGCTGGCGCAATCGATATTGAGGAGATATCTGCTGTCAACGAAGAATTGGCGCCTACTGTACGTACATGTCCCCGAGAAGACCCTGGCATTACTAACATCTCTTAGGGCGGAACATGCGGTGTCATGGGGACTGCTAGTACCATGGCTTGTATTGTTGCTGGCATGGGAATGATGCCCTTAAGAGGCGCCTCCGCTCCGGCTATATCATCTGCTCGTCTTCGCGTAGCAGAAGAGACTGGTAAAAATGCGGTCGCAGCGGCTCTAGCCAAAGAGGCATGTCGACCTCAAACCGTTCTAACCAAGGAGTCTTTCCTTAATGCAATTACCGTCCTCCAAGCCATTGGAGGTAGTACTAACGCAATCGTCCATCTCATGGCAATCATCAACCGCCACCCAGACGTCGCAGGCAGAATTACGTTGGATACTTTCGACGAAATCGGACGCAAAACTCCTCTACTGGTTGATCTGAAACCAAGTGGAGACAATTACATGAATGATTTTCATAATGCCGGTGGGATGGTGGCGCTTCTAAACACCTTGAGACCTTTGTTGTATCTGGAGGCAAAGACCATCACCGGGAAAACACTTGGAGAGGAGCTCGGCACCTTCAGAAGCTTCCCCTACTCTGCGACAATCATCCGACCACTTGACGACCCGATCTACCCTCGTTCAGCTCTTGCTGTTCTCCATGGAAATCTTGCTCCGAATGGCGCAATCATCAAAGCCTCAGCATCGAAGGATCGTAAACTTCTGTCACATCGCGGTTCGGCAGTAGTGTTTGAGAATACCGCAGATCTCGCGCAAAGAATCGACGACGTTGACCTCGATGTCACCAAAGACTCCGTGCTCGTTCTCAAGGGCGTGGGGCCCATTGGCAACCCTGGTATGCCTGAAGCAGGCGTCATCCCTATCCCACGCAAGCTTGCAGCTCAAGGTGTTCAGGACATGCTTCGTATCTCTGACGGTCGTATGTCGGGAACTGCTGGAGGTACTATTGTTTTACACGTGTCGCCTGAATCTGCTATCACAGACTCTGTCTTCGGAATCGTCAAGGATGGCGATATGATCGAGTTCGACTTGGAAAGAAGGTCGATTGAACTCATGGTCCCTGACGAGGTGATAACTCAGCGGATAGCAGCGAAAGCAGCGAGCCCTAGACAACAAAGTGTTGAGAAAGCTCGGAAAACTGCAAGAGGATACAGAGGTCTGTACGAGCGTTGTGTTAATCAGGCAGACCACGGTTGTGATTTCGATTTCTTGACTACCAGCGGGTCGTCAGAGTCGTAAGAATTCTCAGGATCTTGAGTGTCCCTTGTCGTTCTACTATCAATATTAACTCGCTTTCCGACCACGACGCTCGTGAACAGACGTTATTGTTTCGCTTCACACTCACCGCAAATGACAGATCGCACCCCTCAGTGACCGATCGTCAGTAAAGTACCTCCATCTGCTCTATCAATCTCATAGACGACAAGCACACCCTAACAAGCAGAGGCACCTTCCTAATTCCGCTAGACTGCCTGCACGGGCCTAGGCTTACATGTTTACACCCACTACTGGGCGATACAAGTCACAACGTCTATCTTGTGAAACCAGAGTAGAAAACAATGAACCACCAGATCGACAACGACAGTCTAGGATCCAGGGTACTGCTATGTTGCACACGTGGTCTGACGACTGCAGCGAGAGTCCAGCATTCTTCATTCAATGTGCGATAACGCTAGCAGAAGTGCCAAGTGCTTGGCATGGCGATCAATCTTCATTGACCAGGAACTGACCCTAGCCAGCCTCCTGATCCCAGACCTCAAAAAGAACTATCTTCGCCCTGTTCGATGAAACCCTTCTCTTCTTGTTGTGCTTCTGGAACGCTTGTCCAGCCTTGTTTTACACCATGTCGAGACTTCGGCCTGGTTCCGCACTGCTGAGTTACTACTTAACATTACGAGCCTCACTGTTCGCTCTTTTCTTGCTTTCTATCCTTCCAATTGTCTCTGCCAAAGCTCACGGCATCCATGTGCAACTGTCTACTGGTACACTATCTGTCGGAAATGGCACTTCTGGGCGTGTCATGTTCATTCTCTCACCAAACGGGACTGATCCTCTTGATGATATTGATGACACCACGACACAAGATTACTTCTTCGGTATGAACGTCAACAACCTTCAACACAACCATACCATCAAGCTTTCAGGAGGTACTCGGCGAAACACAGACACTGGCGTTTTCGGTTGGCCAATTGAGAGTTTGGAAGATATACCGGCTGGCACCTATCGGGCTCAAGCCTTCTTGAAGCAATACGATACCGCCAAACGTAGCGATGGATCTGTGGTCAGAGTGAAGTTTCCTTGTGGTGATGGAGCTCCTTCGGTGTCCGGGGCTGGCGATTTGGCATCTGATGTGATCGATGTTCAGGTCTCTGGCAAGGCACAAACTATCAATTTGGTTTTGAACAACACGGTTCCATTTCCCGAGATCCAAGGTCACGAGATTGGCGGCTGTGCCCAAGGCAATTACGAAGACACACAGTACCTCAAACACGTTAAGATCCGAAGCAAGAAACTTAGCGAGTTTTGGGGTCGCGACATGTACTTGGGTGCGAACGTTTTGCTACCTTATGGCTACAACGTCCAGGATAACGCTACTCGTTACCCAGTCATATACTCGCAGAATCATTGGGCCGAAGGACAAGGACCAGATTCTTACTCAACAAGGGCCAGCTTCAGGGAGACATGGGATACAGGCATCATCCCCGGATCGGCGAACAAAACCAGTCGCGAGACCCCAAAGATAATCCTTGTTGCGTTCCGTCACGAGACACCCTATTACGATGATTCTTACGGCGTTAACACGGCGAACCTTGGTCCATATGGTGATGCGATTAACGAAGAGCTGATTCCGTACCTCGAAGCCCATTTCAACACGATTCCTCAGCCGTATGCCCGCATCCAGGACGGTGGTTCAACTGGAGGGTGGATCTCTGCCGCCAGCGTCATCTTCCGACCTGATCTGTTTGGCGCGTGTTTCTCATCTTACCCAGACTCCTTGGACTTTCACAAACACCAAGCGATTCCTTTGTATACCAGTACAAGCGCTTACACGTATCCCAATGGTAGCGAGATTCCTTCGATCCGAGAATTCGTCAACGGAACACAGCAAATCTTGGCTAGTACCGCTACGGAGAATCATTGGGAACTAACTTTTGGCACCTCTTCGCGCTCATCTCTCCAATGGGACATCTGGAATGCTGTGTTTGGTGTCCAAGGACTCAACAGCTATCCTCTAGAGCCTTGGAACAAAGTCACCGGCGAGATCTACCCTGAAGCTGTGGAGTACTGGAAGTCAATGGATCTGGCTCATCATATCGTGACCAATTGGAACAGTTCCTTGCGCTTGGGTGAAGTCTTGCGTGATCGCATTCACATCTCCGTGGGCACATGGGATGACTACTTCTTGAACGAGGGTGTTGCTGAATTCAAGAGTCGCGTCGAGGCATTGGGTGGCTCAGATTGGGCTACGATTTCTATTCTTCCCGAGAAGATCCATGGTGGCTTCTATCGTGATATGGAGGCTTGGGATTACCTTGAGCTTGTCAAGAAATGGGTCGATGATCACGCTCCGAACGGAGCCACACCACTTCATGCAAACTTGACGACGGCGTCGACACGCGGAAATATTTGGTCCGAGGTCATTGGTCGTGGAGGCCACCAAGCTGCGTTGGCAAGGCAATCCGACCCTGTCGTCAAGATTGCCGGAGGTATTTCAGGTACAGTAGGCAGATGGGATCCGGGTATGAAGCTGGTCGCACGTTGGGTCACCAACAACATAACGAGCAGCAAGCATGGATACACCTGGTTCAATGTCACGCAAGGTGATGTTCTGCGATACGCACCCAGAAAGATCAGACATGCCAAAGACAAAGACGAGGTTCAGTTGTGGGTGACTGGACGTAAGATGGGTTATGCTGAGGAGACTAGAAAGAGTAACAGAGTGATCGTCTAGGTATATTCTGATAGGAAACGATGGCCTCGCTAACCCTCTCTTGCTATGTACTATATTCTGCAATAACGCTCTTCGGCTCCACATATTCTCCTAAAGCTTTGTACTCAAGATCGTACCCAAATGCACCTGGTCCACCAATTTTGATACCTTCCGGTGTATTTACCCAAAGTGGGGAGCACGTAATGCCAATCACAACAACGTAATAGCCGTACTTGAAGTCAGGAACACCCAAGGCACAACCAGAGCCAGCATCCAGCACAGCAATGAGATCAGGCACCAGCGCAAGGTATTCCTTCTCTCCTGAATCCGAAGTGTGTTCGGCAAAAATGCTCTCGTTCTTAAAGGGAATTTTCAATTGGCCCCCGGACTTGATGGCGGGCATGCGGTTTGCGGCTGTCGTAGCTGCGCCTTCGTCGTCCTCTTCCGTTCCAGTGATTGTGATGGAGCCGTGCGAGTGTCCTTTGTATACACGTCGTTCGACCTGTGTGATTTTACCACGGAATAAGATCTTCGCACTCTTGGGTCCGCCGGCCTCGTTGACGATTGCCTCTGCCACGGTGGCCATCGTGTTGGTGGCCTCTGATAGAGCGATACATCGACCAATGCGCCAGGCGAGCGACATGGTGTTTAGGACTCCCGAAGTACGCACTATCTCCGTCGTCGTGGGCTTTGCTGCCATTCCCACTCGCGAGCCCATCTCTGCGCAAGATGCACGTAGGGCTCGGTCAACGATCTCGTCATTTGGTGCCTTAGTCATCAGGATCGTTTTTCCATCGCCAGAATCAATGACACAGGGCACAAGCTCGCCAGGGTAATGTACGGCTAAGGTGGTCTGCCAGTAAGTAGGATAGGCGCGGCCCATGAAGTCGGCATCGATGACTGGACAGTCGAAGAAGCGGGAGGATCCCACGAGAAGTGGTTCCATACCGTTGGCACCACCAATCTCGAGTCCCATGACAGCATCCACCTTGTCATGGTGCAAGTAATCCATGAGCTCTCGGAATGCAGCGACTGTCTCTAGAGACTGGAGACGCTCGACTGACACTGATGGAGATCCCATATGACCTCCCCAGTAGATCAATGCATCTTTCGATAGAGCAGAAGCATCTATTATCCTCATCTTATGTCCTTGACGAAGCATTGCACGTAGTTGCAAACGCGATGCTGCTGTTGAGCCGCCTCCTGCGCAGCCCAGGACGTAGCAACCATTGGAGATGAAGTCGATGTCCGTTTCAGAGAGTATCCATTCCGAGTTGCCAGTTGTCTCGTTCTTGACTATTGAAGGAACATAGGTTCTTGGGTCAACTCGAGGTACCTCGATGGTCTTGGGCGCAGCCTTCTTGACGCCTTCTTCCTCATGTTCGATCTCAGACTCAGTATCGTCCATGGTTGTCTGCGACTGCGCCGTGAGATCCAGCTCACCCACTGCTTTCACTATCGTTCTCAATTGGTTGGCGACGTATGTGACAGGTAAGCTCTCGACCTCCGCAATTATGATACTCTCCTTGATAGCACCGGCATCAATGGCGCGTTGAATAGCGAGATTCTTGGCTCTCTGCTCAGCTTGCTCGAAAGTCTGACCTGAAACATCCTGAATCGTGTCGACGACACCACCAACCTTGGAAATGGCTGCACCAACAGCATTTGCGACATCGTGGTATGGTGGAAGGGTAAGCTCGGAAGCACCTTCGAGAGAGGTAGGAGCGATGACTGCACCACCTCCTACTAAAAGGACTGGCATCGGGTCAGGAGAAGTCTTCATCACATCAATCGCTCTTTCGAGGAGTGCTTTAATGCTGTTTTGTGCATTCACGACTTCCTTCTGGTTGAGGTGAGCGACAAGACCACTGTCACCCATTTTGACTTTCCCTGCAGCAACGGCAATGTCAGATGCCGTCATTATGTCGCCTCCAAACACCAAAGCATCTCTTGTAAGGTAATGCCCGACTGAGTCTGGTCCAACAACGACCTTGTCGTCGGCCTCTTTTCGCACAATGGTACCGCCTCCAAGACCTATGCTGTGGAGGTGTGGCATAGCATAATTCATGCGTACTCCAGCAACTGTAACATATGCTGCAGCTTGTCGAGGAAGACCAGAAGGAAGGAGGACGCCGCAATCACTTGTTGTTCCGCCTATATCTATGACAATGGCCGAGGATTTTCGAGTGTCGTGAGCAGCCAAGTAGGCAGCACCGCGCATTGAGTTCGTCATACCAGAAGCGAATGTACGGATGGGAAACTTGGCGGCAGACGCAGAATCGAGCAACGTGCCATCGTTTTGAGTAAGGAATAGTCGACAGGTCAACTTCAATGCCTTCATTGCGCGACGGAAACCGCTGACTGTTCGTTTGGCATAATCGAGGATTGCTGCATTCAAGATACTAGCATTTTCTCGCTCAAGGAAACCGATGTTGGCGACTTCATGGGAACAGACAATCTCGACACCCGGGAGCTCTCTGGTCACGATCTTTCTGACCTGCTCCTCCTGCTGGAAGATCTCATCAACCGGAGAGAAGACTCCTGCGATAACCACCGAGGTCAATCCAAGAGCTTTGATTTCGGCACACCTGGCAACGACTTGAGATTCGACGATAGGAGATTCTTGAGAGCCGTCAATGTGGAGACCGCCATCAACATAGCCCACGTAGCCGTTGATGATTTTTGCAAGTCCAGGAGGAAAGTCCGAGAAAGGAGGAACTTCGCGAAGGAAGCTTTTTGAAAGACGAATGATAGCCACTCTGTTCAAGCGACGGGCATCTTGTTCAATCGCGGCATTGATAAAGTGAGTCGTTCCTATGGTAACACTCACAATGTCCGAGGTGGAAAGTCGCGAGAGATCGAGTATAGCCCGTATAGCGGTTTGAATGCCTTCGGTGACATCGGGCGTGGTTGGTGTCTTGAAGTGGGCGAGGAGGCCCCGAGTCTCGGTGTGTTGCAGTGATGTGTCGATGGCGATCGCGTCTGTGTTTGTGCCACCTACGTCTATGCCGATGCGAACGCATTTGATGCTGGGATGGGAAGTCATGTCAGATTTGCGCAGCGTCTCAAGACAAGTCAGCCTCCTTGAGAGAGTCGAGATGCATCGACGCAACAGTCTTGTAGTTCTCGCATCGGCAGTTGCACAGACATGGCTCCTGCTATCAACAACAGTGATTCCGGCGGGGCTATGGCATGTTGGGGTCGTCGATAAGATATCCTGTGTCGGTGGGTCGTATCATTGGTGGCATCCATAGCATTCGTGGCCGAGTTCAAGGGGCGGGGTAAAGATAGGCAAGAGCTTGGGGTGGTCGGCGAACCTTGGCCGTCGGCAAGCCCTAGAGTGGAAGTTCCGCCGAAGCAAGCTTTCTGGTTCAACCCTCGAACACCGCTAATCTGACCTGCTCCGACACAAGATACCCGACCCGTCACTTTTTACCTTTTAACAGCAGCGGCACTCCTGATAAGTTGATAACACATAATTCGAGGGCTATCACCCCGTATTTTGTGTACAGAATGCGCAGAAGACCTTTGTCCTGGAATGCTGACTGGGCAGAGCTTATTACAAACGCGATAGGTTGGTGACTTGCCCGATCGCCATATCAAAGTTCTAGTCGTATTGCTTGCAGCCACACATGGCCTGCCCCGCCGGACACTGATATCGCTATCTCCTGGAGTCCACCGGCTGGGGTAGCGACGATCATATATCTGTCCATACTCGACACAGAACATTCTGTCGACATATCTCTTACACTTGTTGCGATGGACCCCAAACATTTGTCAAGACTTCTCAAGGTCCCAGAGAGCGATGGGCACATCTCCAACGTGTGGATAAACGATGACATCCGTCCTCTACCCCCGCATAGACGAACGTGGACTCGTTGGGCGTGAGTGTCAATTTTTGCATCTCTACTGATCTGATTCTTGCGCGACTAACTGACAATCTCAGCTTCATATCGTTCTGGGCTATCAATCAGATTGCTCTCTCCAACTGGCAGCTCGGCGGATCCCTTGTTGCTACTGGTATCTCTGTGTGGCAAGCCGTTGTCGCCATCATCATTGGCAAAGTCATCATCGCACTGGTAGCCATCGCAAATGGGTATGTAGGGGCTTCGTGGCACATAGGCTTCTGTGTTGTGTCTCGCTACGTATGGGGCGTTCGAGGTCAATACGTAGCCTTGATCCAGCGCATTATCCTGAGTTTGGTCTGGTTCGCCGTACAGTCATGGACCGGAGGACTCTGCGTTCAGAACGTCCTTGCTGCCATCTTCCCCAGTTTCCAGCACATGAAGAACCACTTCCCAGCTAGCGCGAACCTGGATACAAAACAATTCATCGGCTGGGTGCTCTTCAACCTCATCATGGCTCCCATCATCTACATCAGACCCGAGGGTATGAAACATATCATCTTGTGGATGACCATAGTCTCGGGTATCACCTTGATGTGTATGACAATCTGGGCTTTGGCCACGGCACATGGAGCCGGTCCGTTACTCAACCAGGCTGCATCTATCAAGACCCCCGAAGAGTTGGGCTGGAAAATCACATTCGGCGTCACCACTGTCATTGGCAACATCGCTGCTGGCTTGGTCAACCAGATGGATTATTCTCGCTTTGCCCGACGCCCTGGAGATCAGGTGTTCGGCCAATGGATCTCCATTATTGGATTGGGTATCATAATGCCACTCTTCGGCTGCCTCACTTCCTCGGCCACGCAAAAGATTTATGGAGAAGCCCTCTGGTACGAACCATGATACCATCTGTTATGACTTTAGTGGACTGACCATTACACAGGAACCCACCAGACATCGTGCAGAAATGGTTGGATACTGACTACAATGCCAAGTCCCGCGCGGCTGCTTTCTTCGCTGGATGTGGTCTGGTGACTTCGCAACTTGCAATCAACACCATCGACAATGCCTTCTCGGCCGGCATGGACATTGCTGGACTGTTTCCCAACTACATCAACATCAGACGCGGGGCGTACATTGGCCTCATACTCAGTATAGCTCTTTGCCCGTGGCAACTGTTGTCATCTGCATCAACGTTCATCAGCGTTCTATCTGCCTACAGCGTCTTCCTTGGACCCATGTGCGGCATCATGATCTCCGATTACTGGATTGTTAGAAGAAGAAAGATCAAGCTTTCTGACCTCTACCACGGTCGCAAAGATGGAGTCTTCTTCTTCTGGCATGGTGCGAACTGGCGAAGCTTTGTCGCATGGGTCATCGGTTGGAGCTATCTGATTCCTGGTCTTGCCAACGCTGTGGGAGGCATCAGTGTCCCAGCCGCTTGCGCAAAGCTCTACTACCTTGCTTTCCCTATGGGCTTTGTGGTTAGTGCTGGCATTCATGTGACGCTGAATTTCGTCTTTCCTCCCAAAGGGCTCGGTATTATTGATGAGGTGGATGAATTTGCGACTTTCACATTAGACGAAGGTCAGAAGCTTGGAGTTCTGCCTCCAGTCATACACAGCGACATGCAGATGGTTGATGATCTCCAGAGACCAGAGGATGAGATTAATGTTGCTTTCAAATGATCGCTTAATCAAGCTTTGATAGATTTGACCTACCTCTTTCATATCAGTCAATGAATAACGAAACTATGACAATTCTTCTGCACAATTGTTGAGAACGAGCAAGTATCACTGATAAAGTTTAATCATGTGAACAACTCTAAGATTGGAGACCTATAAAGTACTATGAAGTAAAAAACGCGACAGACTATTGTTACTAGCAGGCGAGTGATGATGTAGAATCTTCTGAGACTTGCCGGAATGGCGTCCTCAAACTCCTCTGAATCAAGTGGCGAAGCGCCAGGTGTTGACATTTCCTGTCTCTGCCTCCAGCTTGTCAAGCGCCTTATTCTTCTTCATACACCACCATCGGACAATCAAACAAGAAACAATAGTCAAACCACATCCAGCAATAATGACACCGCCTCCAGTCTGATATCTGGGCTCCTGACTGGTGAGGAAGAAGTACGGCGAGAACCAGTGACTGACACTGCTGACACAATTGGCGATGGCGATCAGTGCAGCTCTCTTGGTACGGGGTCTGGGTACCACAGTCGTCTCCCAGGAGATCTGAATGTTGAGTCCGACGAATGGTCCGGAGCAGAGAAGAATCAGGGCAAAGTATCTTGCGCCTGTATTGAGGGTCGAGATCATCATAACAGCACCGACGAGACAGATTGCGATAGATCCTATGATATGATAACAATGCTCGAGACGGCGACCACTGGACCAGGAGACACCGAGCGTAACGAAGTAGGCAATGACGTAAGGTGGTGCCTGAACGAGGTACGTGACTGTCTTTGAGAAACCTAGAGTGGCCATGATCTGTACGTCGAGTTAGTACTGGCTATAACGAAGTCAATGCAGTCAGGCGAGGACTCACAGATGGGAAGAAATCCTTGAACGATTGAGCGATGATGAGCGCGAAATGCATCGCGGCGAACATCCATGTGAAGGGGTCCCGGAGTGCCTGGCTAACACCGCCCCAGTAGTCGCCCTCATCGTCTTCCGATACACCGCCAGCGGACACAAGGACGCGCCATTGAGCCATCTCAGACTCTTCTGGGGTGAAGAAATACGTTCCGGTGTTGCTTGGCCAGTTAGGCAGGAGCCAGAAGCCTGTCAAGGCAACCACAATGCTGACAATACCTTCCAGTATGATGAACCATTGCCACGCGTGAAGCTTAGCAATACCATCCATGTTTGTCAATATAGCTGCTGCGAGCAGGCCTGAGATGACGTTGGAGATGATGTTTCCTGCGTGCCAAATACCCATGCGAAGAGGAGACTCATGCTTTGTATACCATGAGGATGTCATGAGAGAGACGGCGGGAAGGAATGGACCCTCAGTGAGACCCACAAGGAATCGGCATACACAGAAGGACCAGCCACTCTTCATTGCAGGCATACAGATCGTGACAGCGGACCAGGCGAGCATACAGCAGGGCATGAGGATTCGAGGATTGCCCTTCGCAATGATGACATTGGCTGGGACTTGCGAGATGATATAGCCGACGTAGAACATTGAGATACCAGTGGACCACATGACATCGTTCATGCCGAGATCTTCCTGCATGCCAGCGAGACGTGCATTGGAGACATTGATACGGTCGAGATAACTTGAAACGAATCTTGTCAGCATGTAGTCGTGAGCGTTACAGGTGGATGAACCTCACTTCATCAGCAGCATGGCCGTGATACATGGTAAGAATTTCCAGTCGAGCTTCTTCAGAACGTTCTTGTTCAGGATGGCAAGCTCCTCTTCGGACTTGCCAACAAGTAGAGGGAACCCTTCGAGATATGTAGGTTCGACGGCAGCAGTTTCGACGTGCTCGATCGCCTGCTCCTTTTTCAAGGAGGAGGCTGGGGATTGAGGGCGAGAGAGAGGCATGGTGTTCTGGTAAGATCGAGTTGTTTGGATATATCGTTCCAGAGGTGCGTAGAGATGGCCAGCTTTATAGATCTGCGCACTTACCACTATATTGATCTCACGAGTGCCCCACGGGGTAGCGCCACAGACGCTCGATGCCCCCGCAGCTCACTGCCATGTCCGGGGTTTGATGCATTGCCATTGAGAACCTTCCAGGTCGCCTCTGAAGAAGGTAATTGAGCATATCGGACCCATTCCGATAGCAGAGTCTGCTGGGCCGATCGCATCGGGGGGCTATGCAAATAAGACAAGCCAGTCAGATTCCAAGTAAAGAGTGTAGACTTGAGCAAAGTATACAGCGATACTCCACGAAATTTTGTCCAAGAGGATTCGCCCAGGCTGCATTCCGACGACCATTGAACTTGGCGACCTTGGCGACTGGGCAACTTCTACCAAGACGAAAGTCCGAGATGTCCTGATGCCAAGGATGGACGTGGTGTAGCTGAGGAGTATGAAGGTGTAATAAGGACCGAGCGAGCAGCACTATGCCGACTGCAAAGATTCAGGCGTTGGTTTGTGGCATCCTTCCAAGACCACGCTTTCCACTGTTGAGGTAACGACAAAATCTCGGTGAATCAATGTTGCAGTCGGTAGATAACAATGTTAAGCTCGCGGTATGGACTGTTTCGATACAAAGGTCCCCATATAGCGGCCAGATAAGTGAACATAGCATGTATTTAATACGAAGACCATTGGGCTGGGAACTGTGCGACTGATCTCCTGATCAACTCTCCCGGTGGTAAAGGAGACACACCTCGCTCATTGTCAAGCTCATCTTGATCGTAGATAGCAGGCTGTCACCGTACCGTGAGCTTCGGTGTGAGCTGTTTCTTGAGCACTCTCGACATGCTTAGCAGCAGGCATCCTATCACTGCAAAGATCGTCATTATGCAAATATAGTTTTGTCGCCAGCAATGGCGTGCTAGTCAAGGAGAGTGGCAAGATGATAGACAATGGGTGATGACCCCTAGACCAAGCTTCTGGCGAAAGGTGTGACAAAGGAAGGCGAGATAGAATGGGCACCATGTCTCGACAGTAGCAGAAGTCTCGCAGGCCAACCAACCAGCACGCCTCTTCGAATAGCTTTAGTGAGGTGACGGATCTTCTGCAGGAACTGAATAGCTTCTCCTCGTCTGTCGACAGACATCAGATACCTGGAGGTTTCTGATAGTCCAAGAGATTTCGGTCCGTGACTGACAGGACAGACACGCGATGCAATTCGAAGCACGACTAACAGTTGCTACCAGCATTGTGTTTCGCGATTTCATGGTTGACGAAGAAGCCGAGTACCACTTCGAGCTGTCGACAAGCCACATTCCGTATAGCGAGCCAAACTCTTGCGGAACAAGCTCGTCACAATGATTGATGAGACAGTCCCTACGATAACGATAAGTGGGTGTCTGCAACAACCACAACTTATCTCATCTTGATCAAATTGCTTGGCAACGCCAGCCAGGCTGTTGATGACTGCGCAAGTATACAGATACTAGTCGGACATCTCCTCGGATGTCTTCCAAAGTCGAGCAATGAGAGTCTTGGTCATCCGGCAAGATTGACGGCAGATGCAGCGGTACCAAACAACATCGGAAATGTCCCTGGACGGTGGGAAGGCCGTGCGACGGAAGAAGCATGTTCCCGATTTGCCCACGATTCCAGCTGGTGAATACCCCGCAATGAATCCTTCGCATGTGTGTGGGTCCCAAAAGCCTATTGCAGAGCAGTCGGAAGCCTTGCTGTCGGACCCGGGCGTTGGAAGAGGAGTTCTCGTCGGACACACCCCGAGTCAGCTGGGTCGTGTGTTTGCAGTGTTTGATTCCAGGTAAAGGCCGATTGCATGAAAGCCCAAGCTCTAGCAACAACTTGTCATTTGCAGACAAACATGAATTTCTATCCGGTCCCTCCAGTCATCGAAGCGCAAGTATTGACGCGCATACCGGACACTCTGCGCTGCAAAGGCGAAAGCGATTGGCGAGGAGGCTTCACTGGAAACTTCCAGAATATCTTTCTTGAAGGCCCAACATGTGACGGAGATGGCAACCTTTTTGTGACCGACGTTCCATACGGGCGCATCCTGAAAGTGGACCAGCATAATGGCAACGCTACTGTTTGCGTGCAGTACGATGGAGAACCCAACGGCATGGCTCGGCGCAAGGACGGCAAATTCATTGTTGCAGACTACAAGAAGGTAAGCAGCGCCGAAGCGATTGAACGGGGGACCTCTAAACTCATCACTCGAAAAGGGCCTTCTACTCTTTGATCCAAGTACAAACGAGGTGTCAAATCTGCTCACTAGGAACAATCTCGAAAGTTTCAAGGGAGTCAATGATGTAATCATCGACAGCAAGGACAACGTTTTCTTCACCGATCAAGGACAGACCGGCATGACTGATCAGTCGGGTAGAGTGTATCGTCTTGGTACCGATGGCAGACTTGACAAGTTGGTGAACAACGGCATCTCTCCCAACGGACTTGCCCTGTCGCTCGACGAGCGCTTCTTGTACGTCGCTATGACCAGGTCAAATGAAGTGTGGAGACTTCCACTGCATAGCGACGGATCCACGTCCAAGGCAGGAGTCTTCTTCAGATCGTTTGGCAACGCCGGACCCGATGGGGTCGTCCTAGACGAGGAAGGCAATGTGCTCATCTGTCACCCGAGTCTTGGCTCGATCTTTGTGGTGGACAAACACGGCGTACCTAAGGCCAGAATTGTTAGTGGTTCAGTAGGGATCAACTTGACCAATTGCACATTCGGGGGCCCAGAGGGTAGAACAATCTACATCACAGACAGTCTAGAGGGCAATATTCAGACGGTAGAATGGCATTGTCGAGGGGCCATGTTCAGATAGAGAACAACGCAATGGATGACATAAGCAAAACGTGCAACGTCTGTGCTCAAACTTCACCCCGGCTTGTGTTTGCCGCTCGCGCTTGCGCTTTGCTGCTGGCTTCAGCTCACGATGCGATGAACCATAGCGACAACAACAACAACAACAACAATGGAAGAAGGCGACAGCCATTTGCCATCATGCCAGGTTTGCCGTCGGAGAAAAATCAAGGTGCGCGGATGATGCGATGATTCTGCGCGCGTACAGCTCTGATGGCCGTCGGGATAGTGCAACAAGGGCGTTCCGAAATGTTCAGCCTGTGTCGCGTCGCAAGCAGAATGCATATTCGAGGATCAACTCTCTGCCCAAGTCTATTCTCGTGAGTGAGTACACGCTCCTTCCGCATTTCCTGGAGATCAAGCTGATCTCTGACGCAGGGAGATCGCTCAACTCGAGCAGAGAGAACGCAATCTTCGAGCATCTCTCGAAGAGCACAATGTTCCAACGCATGACAGTGGTGACAGTCCTGCAGCAAGTCGACATCGTGGCAGGAGATTCGTTGGTGACGAAGTTGGATTGAAGTGAGCTGAGTAGACTCCATCAACCATCTGCTCATTGCTAAATTTCCAAGTCTGTTTCAGTTCATGTTCTCATCATCAGCGTGGAAAGCTTCACGAGAACGACTGCTGCAATGTTTGGCATACAAGCCCAGGATTGCAGAGCCACTAGCCACTCAACATCAGCTACCACAATTAGAAATGGCCACTCAGCTGCTTGATACCTTTCTCCGAGGCTCGCAGCTTATGCATCCCTTTCTCCTGGTCACCCACATCGACGAATCTTTTGACAGGGTATACCGTGCCACAGGAACAGAGCAACCAGGAGCACAAGACATGTTCACTATCTTGATGATCTTCGCCATCGCCGCCGTCACAATGTATCGGAATGGCAAAATTCGCGAGCACCCGTATGGATACTACTTGAGTGCGATGCGACATCTTGGTCGCATTCCGTATACCACTGGCAAGCAGGGTGTACAGAATCTTCTGCTTGTGGCTCGATTTGGTGTCTATCATCATGTTGGTACATCACTTTGGGAGCTCGCGCGCCAGTGTATGAGGGCGTGCATTGAGATGGAATATCACTTGCCATTGATATCACCCAGTAGTTTACCGGATCTGGACAAACAACATAACCAGCGCATCTTTTGGGAATGCTATCTGCTGGACCGCTACAGCTCTACGACGCTGGGTCGACCTTTTGCGATTGCTGATCATGATATCGAAGTAGATCTGCCTTCGAAGATAGGTCTCGATACCCGCGCATCTTCCGGTTCAGGCTCCACTCTGGTAACTTCGTCGGATCTCTCTGTCTTCATCTACATGGTACAGTTGAGACAAATAACCTCTCGTATACGCAGCAAACTGCTTGCCATGAGCAGTAACAGCCAAGATCACTATCGATCGTTCATGGCGACAGGTCAAATCTACGCCAGTCTCCACAAGTTCCTCGCCGAGTTGGACCACTGGCGTACGTCAGCGCCAAGTTACGAGCAGCCCACAGGCTTGTACGAGAGCCAAGAGTGGTACGACTTTATGCTTGAGAAAGACAAACTGTTCCTTATGAGGGGTGGTGTCAACATACTGTTCAAGAGCAGACGCGGCGTATCACAGGATATTATGCGACTGTGGGCACGATGCGCTGTACGAGTCGTCGAGCTGTATGCCTCTCTATATCGGACCGGGCGCGTCACATATACACGCAGCTATTTCCAGATCTTGTTCCATGCTGGCCTCTCAGTCATCTTTTGCGTCTCTTCTGAAGCCAAGAGCCGCACTGGGGCAGGTCGACTGATTCCAGATTTTGATGCTACACTTTCGGTCTGTGGTGATACCTTGGATGCCATCTCGGAGAAACTGCCTGACGCTCGGGGTTATGCAGTGGTTTTTGAGTCCATGAGGAGATCGGTATTCGAAAATTTCTCAGCCTCTCCCACTACTACTGCTTGTCCAGCGACCCCTCGAGAGACACACACTACGTCACTCACTTTTCAAGACATGGCCCCGATAATACCACAACAAAATGAGGTCCTCATGCCTAACTCCATCCAATCTCAAGGGCTACATCCAGCTTCAGGGCCAGTACAAGCACCGGCATATCCCCAATGGATGCCTGAATTGGACTGGACTGACATGAATTTTGACACTATGCAGGGAATGGAAGGTGGATTAAACGAGTATGCTTGGGGTGACCTCAACATCAACGCAGACATGTGGAACAGGATTGAGCATATGATTGATGATACTATTGATGACGGACAATGAATAAGAACGTTATTACTGCTTGGCAAAATCGAACAAGAAGTCAACCGCTGCTTTGGCGGTTTCCATCTGTGTCTGATCTGTCGCAGCTCCAATGTGCGGTGTGCTAACTACTCTCGGGCTTGACCACAGCTTGGCGTACATCTCCTTGGTTGGAGGCTCTTGCATATGACAGTCGAGGCCAGCACCCCAGATCAGGCCTTGGTGAAGGGCACGTGCAAGGTCTGCTTCGTTGACAATACCGCCCCTTGCAGCATTGATGAGAATCGACGTTGGTTGCATTCGCTCGAGCTGGGCGTAAGAGATGAGATTTCTGGTGTCCTTGACCAAAGGCACGTGTATTGAGACGACATCTGCTGATAGAACTTCGTCGACAGATGCAGCACGCTCATGAGGAAGATCTGACCATGCGTCCGCAGGCAAGAAGGGGTCGTATGCGATGATATGCGAGCCGAAAGCGCCACGGAATATCTCGGCGACGCGACGGCTGATATTGCCCATGCCGATCAGGCCAATGCTACGACCTGTGAGGATGAGACCGGAGCAAGTGGCTTTTGACACCGCTTCACCGGCTCCTTGTCTGAGCGCGATCGGACGAATCTCACGAGCCACACTCATGGTAAGCGCAAGGACAAGCTCCGCAACAGCATTTGAATTGACACCGGGTGTGTTGAAGATCTTGATGCCAGCGGCCTTGCAAGCGGCAGCATCGATCTTGTCAATGCCTACACCCTGCTTGCCAATTGCTTTGAGATCCTTGGCTTGGGCGATATCTTCTGCGGTGACTTGTGATCCTTTGACTAGAAGGTATCGGGCATTCTGTCTCCAGTTCTTGATCTCTGGATCTTGAGGACCAATGACGTTGAAGAGAGTCTTGCAGTGCTTGACAGCATCGGGGTGGTACTCGTCGATCAGATAGACCGTCGGTTTGCCAGAGTTATGCTCCAGTTGAGGCTCGGGGCTCGAGTCGATTCTTGAGGGAGCCATTTTGCTTTGTAGATGCTTTGTGGAGACTTTGAATGTATGGAAGACAGATTGTGGGAATCGGATGTGCAGTCATATCAATTGGCTAGTATATGTAGGTGGTCACTTGAGTCACCGGATGAGTCTCGGCAGAGTTCCGTCGGAAGTCCGAAACTCGAAGGTCGTGGAGAAATTTCCGAACGAAGCGGGGTACTTTGCCCGGGGTGTCGATCATGGAGAGAACAAGGGTGTCTTCGGCTCGGCCGACCCCGATGGCAGTTGAGTCAGTGAATTTGAGGCTGATGATCATCTCCAGTGCCTTTCCGAACAGTCTGGCTTCGTCGAAACCTTGGGCAAAGGCCTTGAACAGACCCAACGTCAGATGCAGAAGGTCCACCAGATGTTGCCGACTGGTACATCTCGAGTCTTCCACTGTCGAGCAACACAGAACACAAACGCTCAGTAGATCGTAGAAATCGAGTTTGCATGGAACCAAGGTACCCTCGTCAAGACGTTTGCGTAAGAGGGAAGCAAAGGTTCGAGCGCGGGACAGGGTCTGTTCTTCGAGAGACTCTTCATTCTCAAACATGTGTAGCCTGCAATGGCGAACACCTTGAATGTCGGATAAAGATATCCTGACCAGCGTTCGACAGGATAGTTGCAGCAAGTGTCCATTTGCGTCTACCGACTCATCGCTGTAGGAGTCGACATGTCCGAAGTTGAGTGGCAGAGTCTCTTCCCAATGCCTGAAACTGCTGAACTGAAACAACAGCTCGCCCTGCATAGATGATATGAGTTGGGCTTGGTCGACAAGGTGTAGTCTCTCCGGTTCGAATCGCCCACTCTGATGGTCGTTCGTATGCCAGAATGCCGACGAGATGTCTTCATCTTGCAAAGCGAATGGTCGGTGCATAGACGACGTCACACTTCTTTCAAGAAGGTACAATGAGATGAACACTCTACGACCGGCAGCAGTCACACTTGGAACTCCCTCTCCTGTAGAGCCTCGATGAATTCCTAGAAGCACCGCCTGTTGAGCAGCCATATTCACCAGCCGCCATGGACATCCTCCGTGATCGCTGTAAAGCGCATATATCGTCAGTGCAAGAAGGCACCTCAGTCCTGCCAGCGGTGATCGATCTAGATCGTCCTTGGTCATCATCTGTGTCGCAACGTGGTGCAACTTGATAGCAAGGCTTCGTTGATGACGCGCTTCCGGTGTCACAAGTATGCCAATGGCAACGGCAAGATAGACAAATGCGAATGAAAAAGTCATCTCGCCCTCAACTGCCTCTCGGTCATTGTGGCGCAACACGACCAACTTGTGGTCATCTGCCAATTCGTCGTAGTCAAGGCCATAACGGGCATCGAACTCGGCACGGAACCTTGCGAGAAAATGAGCCGTGGCATCATGCGGGAAGACAATGTCGGATTGCGATTGTTCCAGAAAGTCGTTGATGGGATCACTGCTTCTCTTGAAACCTCCAGTTTCGGCTCTGAGGAAGGCGCTCGTAGACAAGGCGGAGATGATGTCATGATCGCCAGGCTCGGCCATGGCCGTCAGCACAAGACTTCCGATTTCATCCAGAGTCTCGCGCGAGTGTTGTGTTTCCATGTGATCGGTCTGGCTGGCGGTGGCAGGCTCGCCGTCGTCTTGTTCGGGCATTGGACCATCTGCAATTGACTGGCGGTGCACATTTTGATGCTCCAGTCGAGCTTCCTTGTTTGCTTGCAGAGTTTGCAGATGGTCGACCTTGCGTTTGAGCGAACTGATGTAGCTCTCGCCACGTTCAATGGCAAGGCCAACCTGATCGGGGGCGGGCGCGTAGGTCAGATTGCGCGATGCACAAGCAGCATTGGCCTCTGCACAATTTGTGCATGTCGGAAGCAGCCTGTCGCATTTCTGCTTCCTCCGCCAGCATCGCTCGCACGCTTTCCGTCTGGCGGTCGCCATTTGTTGACGAGGAAGGAAAGGTCCATCTTTGCTCGGACATTGCCCGATTTTTGCACTCTGGGAGGCTTGCCCGATCGCGCTTCCCCGCACGACCAATGTCCGACGCCACAGAGCTCCTGCAGAAAATCTCGACTCTACCCAGTCACCAGTCACTCCCCGCGGATCACATGGCTACCGGCATACCCATCGAGCCCTAGCCATGTGGGATTGTGGAGTTTCTCTGGGGCCTCCCAAGCAGTCGTCAAGCCGACAAGTCCGTCAAGCTTTGTCAGGGCATGAGCTTGTCATCGGAACGACTTCTGTGCTTGATCGGGGCGTGTCCGTCGTGCAAGCGCTCAGCATCGGTACATCTGGGGTCCCCGGGATCTCTTCCCAAGCTTTGCTAACGGCGAGAGCGTCCCAAAAGACATATATCTCGTGCCTATCGCCGACTTCAGAGCTTGCCGACTACAAGCATCGCCACCTCTCTCAACCCAAGCATTCGCCATGACCACCAAAACCCTGTCTGCTGTCGAGAAGCTTGACAATGCCTACATCGAGGATGCCTCGGAGACGGTTTCGGACTCGCAACAGGAATTTGTCGTCCGAGAATTTGATCCCAAGTTCATGAAAAAGACGATGCTCAAGGTTCGTTGACTCCGTTGTCCCTCCGAGAATCTCGCGCTGACTCTCATAGCTGGATTTGATCCTGATGCCTCTGCTGACTCTAAGTCCGTGTCGAAATTGACTCCCGCATCAGGAAGTTTGTCACTGACTGATACACAGTCTATCTTTCGTCTTCGTTAGACAAATCCAACTTAGGAAACGCAAAGTCACTCGGCATGATGAAGGATCTTGGCCACGATCCCAAAGGAAAGACCTACGCGCTTCTTAGTTCACTCTACTACGTGACCTATGCTCCGTTCAGTCAGTATCACTGCAAACAACACTTAGACTGGCCGAATTAACACATCGTAGTGGTACCGTTCGCTCTGCTTGGCAAACGTACACGTATGGTCTCGGTCCTCACTCTCTGCGCATTGCTTTGGGGTGTGGCCGCTACGTGCTTCGCTGGTGTACAGAATTACTCGGGCGCTTTTGCATGTCGACTTTTCATCGGCCTCGGAGGTATGTTATTTGCTCTCTCAGGCATTACAACGCTGACATATTCTCAGAGGCTGGTTTCGGCCCGTTGATTCAGGTCTTCTTGTCGCGCTTCTATCCAAGAGAGAAGTTGGGCATCCGCGTTGGCGTCTGGCTGGCAATGGCTCCACTGGGGTAAGCCAAAAGTTTACGAGAGCACAGAGTATGGCTAACAATATGCAGTGGATTCATCAACGGCATAGTCGCATATGGCGTTTCGTTCATCCACGTAAAGCTCGAGTCATGGCGCATCCTCTTCATGATTGAGGGTGGCTTCACGGTACTCCTGGCCATTACCGCCATCATTGTTTTGCCGGATGATATAAAATCTTGCAAGTGGTTCACAGCCGAGGAAAAAGATTATTGTAAGGACACCCCAAAAAATGGTTCACCAGGCTTGCAGCTGACACAAGACAGTAATGTACGAGCGCTACATGAGCATGGGTCCTGAAGTTAAGGAGATCAACTGGAAGCACGCACGCGGCGCGTTCTACCGTTGGCCTCAGGTTATGCGTGAGTCGCTCAGTCGTGCTATTCTCGATGTATTCTCAACTGAAACAAACCACAGCCGTGCTCATCAACATGTGTCAGCAGATTACGGGCGCTGCTCTAAGTGCTTATCTCCCTACTCTTCTTCAGGAGAACGGATTCAAAGGTGCCACAGCACAAATTGCCACATTGGCACCCTATGGAGCAGCTGCCGTGTGTATGATCATAGCTGCAAAGGCATCGGACAGATTCGGCAATCGTGGCTGGCCCACTCAATTTGGCTGGTTGCTCTTGATCGTGGGCTTTGCAATTTTCCTTGGTGCTCACGAAAGCAACAAACCTGCTCACTTTGTTGCCTTGATTCTTGCTGAAGTTGGCCACTACAGTATGTACTCATCAAGTCGGATGTGAGACACTTTACTAACCGTCGCAATCAGTCTGCACTCCACTGATCGTCACTTGGTCGGCCAACAACGCTGGCAGCGAATCTCGACGTGCCGTTGCTGTGCCTCTTGCTGTCGCTTGTGCACAGGCTGTCGCGTAAGTAGTTTCACCAACTCTGTGTGATCAAGACTGACCTTCACCTAGTATCGGCTCTGGATATCTCTTCCCAGCTGAGGATGGTCCGCGGTACACGAAAGGAGCCAGTGTGGAAGTTGCACTCTCTACTGCCGGAATGATCTTTACGTTCATCTACATGGCCTTGATCAAATTGGAGAATTCCCGTCGTGACAAGAGGGAAGGTGGCTCCCCAGCCCCAGGGACTCGTCCTGACACTGCTCAGTACGCAGACGAAGCTGAAGGGTTCCGTTACATCGGGTAGTTGGCGGGTTATGGTCCAAGCAGCTCAGATACTCTCGATGCAATCGTTGTATAACATGTCATAAGAAACTTTCCATAATGGTCCATGGCAATCGATCTGTCTCAATGATGAAGTGTTGATCAGTCTTACTGACAACAGTGCTTTACAGGTAGATGGCCGAGCAGTGTGTCCCGGTTCCTTGTGACCATCATCGCCGGCTGCCAATTTGAAGCATGGAATTCACTTGGAAGACGTAAACATAGCGAAGGTTTTCGGATCCTCCACAGCTACGGGTGTTTTTGTTGCAATTCTGCTTTGTTATAGTCTCGGAACTCACGCTGCATCCAACCAGCCTTGCTTTCCCTTAAATATCCGCCCTGAAGCCGGGACAAAGCAGACTCAGAGTAGTGTTGTTACGTCATGAACGGTGGCTACGATATCAACTAAGCACATCTCTTTTGTGGTGACTCGAAGGGTACGGTACTGCTTGAAGTGCTGATCGATTGTGTTGTGATATTCTCTTCGCGAATGCTAAGCTGTAACTGTCTATCAATTCGCTACCTTGCCATTCATGCGAGACGCCTGTACCCGGCCATCGATCTCTGCATAAGCCTTACCAAGCTTGTTCATACCGGCTTGCAGGATTGATCCGTCACCACCACTTAGTGACCATGTTGCACCGAGCGAGAAGAAGCGCTCCAGCAGATCGAGACGACCGCCGATACCTCCAATACCAATAGGCTTTCCCGCCTTGACTCCAGCAGCGATGATCTTCTCTACCGATTGAATGTAAAGAGGATTGTCGTATTGGCCTGGAATGCCGAGATCTGTGCAGAGATCGTTGGAGCCGACTAGGATGCCGTCCACGCCATCAACGGCGAAGAATTTGTCAGCAAGCTCGACCGCGCCAGGTGTCTCGATCATAGGGATCACCATGGTCTCACGGTTGAGTAGATCGTTCTGCACCAGTGTGGGTACTGTTTGGAAATTGAGAATAGGTTGATTGTTGGCGCATCCGCGAATGCCGAGGGGAGCATACTTCGAATCCCGGACAATGTCCTTGATATGCTGGACGGTTTCGCAGTGAGGAATGACGACAGCAGCTGCACCCGCATCCAGGATCCGGCTCAGTTGCCAATGTGATTTGGATGGAATGCGGACAATGGGACTGACACCAACGTAGTTGCATGCGAGGATGAGTTGTGATACGTCGCGAATGGTCAGAACAGAGTGCTCCATGTCGATGAACATGCCGTCAATTCCAGCCATCTTGACCATCATCGCAACCTCGTTGCTGACGAAGAACTTGCAAGACATGACTGAGCAGACCTCGCCTCTTAGGATTCTGTCTCGCCATGGATTCGAGACCGTGAAAGTAGATCCATTGGTCGATACGGTGGATGCTTGGGTATGCATGATGACTTGAAGATCGATGTAGTCAAGGTGTTTGTGGTATAGCACAAGTAAGCTGACGAGATGAGGCCGGCAGATAGACGCGTGGTGACTACATGGGGTCATTACAGGAGGTTCTGTCTTTATATGACAAATTCTCCCATATCTCCACCAGCCGACTCCGCTTCAGCCGGCAAGGATACAACTGCCACGTATATCGGAGACTTTCGGTTGTCAAACGTACATGTCGGAGGTGCCTGAGCTCGCCGCTTTACGCCATCGGACGGTTTCCGACAGCCGCTTCGAGACCCCGCAGTGCTTCGGCTTTGGGCCGAGTTATAGCGCTAATCTTAAGGACTTGTTCCGAACCTATCTGATTGAGTGAGAAGTCGTGACTAGAAGAGCTGAATAGACGGCTCGACTTCATGCCTGCGTTGCAGAGACAGATGGCCGACTGACGGAAAACTGTAAAGTAAGTGAGCCGAGTACCCGCGGAGAGCAGCGTCGCATGAACTGAGCCCTAAGAACGAAGCTCGCAGGCTCTTAGTCAACAAACTGCATTGCGGATAGTTTGAAGGGAGTGGGGAAGGGCGGGGACATTGAGTTTGTGAGTCACTTCTGTGGAGTCCAGAGACTTACCGGACCGTCGAGGCGTTGAATACACATGTAGTGCCCATTTCGATAATTCATAATTCGTTTCCATTTTCAGTGTGCATCAAATCTCGACGCAGCTCTCGTCGGACACAACCATATGCCTGAGAACATCCGTCTCCTATATCCTCCTTGCGTTCAATACCACCTTTTCCTTGGTTAAAGCGTTTACAAAACTATTGACAGCATCACCCAGAACCTCACAGAAGGCAACACCAACATATTTGAACATCACTGTACCTGCGCAAGATGTCTATACAAGGTCCTGGAGAAAAGGCCTTGCACGACCAGACGCAGCTATTACCGAAGAAGGAACTCTTGGTCGTCTTCACTATCATCGCGCTATCCTTATTCATCTGCGCAGCGGAGCAGAATGGAATAGGAGTTCTCCTGCCATCCATCGCTCGAGATCTGAATGCACAAGCGAGTATCACTTGGGCGGGAACCAGTGCTTTGATAGCTAACACTGTCTTCCAAGTCTTATACGGTCGATTGAGTGACCTCTTTGGTCGCAAGAAGATTATGCTCTCTGCTCTCGTATTACTAGCGCTTTGCGATCTTGCCTGTGGCCTGAGCGTCAATTCGACCATGCTGTATATCTTCCGTGGTCTTGCTGGTGTCGCAAATGGTGGCATCACGAGTCTGTCAATGATGATTGTGAGCGACATCGTCACGCTCCAAGAACGGGGTAAATACCAGGGTATTCTTGGTGTCATGGTAGGGATGGGTAATGCGTTTGGTGAGCATGGTCCTCCATACGTCGGCCAAAAGCAGCCTTGTTAACGACCTTTTCAGGCCCTCTCATTGCATCAGCTTTTGCCATCAATTTGACATGGAGAGGATTGTTCTATCTTCTGTCACCTTTCACAGTGGTTGTCACGTTGGCTAGTTATGTCTATCTTCCGTCCAACATGCCAAAGGTCAATCTGTGGGAAACTGTCCGGAGGATCGACTTTTTAGGTCTCTTCAGTGGAACAGTCTTCATCATTCTGGTCCTCGTCGCCATCTCGCAAGGTGGACATCCTGGAACATCCTGGGACTCTCCACTTGTCATCGCCATGCTGACCGTTGGTGGAGTCTTTGGCATACTCTTCCTATTTGTGGAATGGAGGGCCACGTTACCAATGATGCCATTGGATATGTTCCGATGTCCTTCTGTCGCGGCCATGCTCGCTCAGAGTTTCTTGTTCGGTGGCTCCTATTTTGCCTACCTCTACTACCTTCCGCTCTACTTCCAGAACGTCAAGGGTCTGTCACCGCTAATGTCGGCTGTCTTGTTCTTGTCTCTCGTCATACCTCAGTCTGCTGCTTCTGTCGTGGCTGGTCTTTACATGAGCAAATTCAATCGCTACATCGAGGTTGTCTGGTGGGGTTTTGGCATATGGTCACTGGGGTCTGGTCTCATGATAATGTGCGATAAGAATACCCACCTCGGCCTGGTGGCATTTTTCTTGATCCTGACTGGATGTGGCACAGGCAGCATCTTCCAGCCGACTCTTGTTGCACTACAGGCCCATTGTCCAAAGGAGCAACGGGCGGTTATCACGTCTAGTCGCAATACTCTAAGAAGTCTAGGCGCCGCCGTCTCGTTATCCGTATCTGGTGCTTTACTTACCAACACACTCCGACGCTCATTACCGGAGGAGTTACATTACATCGCAGCCCATAGTTTCGCAGCTCCAGATCTCGGTTCATTCATTCCTCAGCAGCGTCAACAAATCTCCCAAGCATATGCCTCTGCGAGTAGAGCAGTATTTGTATGGAGCTTCGCATTAATAGCCACTAGCTTGGCACTCACGATGATCGTTAGGGACTCTGGGTTGTCTAGAAAGACAGAAGAGGTTATTCAGCAACAGGAGTGTGCTACTGATGGGGTGCAGCTAGAAGTGAGTAGCGAGCGCCCTAGAAAACAACCGCAGTACTAGAAATCCAGAACTTGTCATTAATCTGCGTCCGGTACGGGATTTTGCGCTGTCGGACGACTTACGACAATCGCACTCGGGAGTCCGTAGAGGTCGGCTTTCGCCTAAGTAACTTAGCGGCTTTTACGGACTCTATCTAACGCCTACTCAGGTATACTCCTCCGTAATCCGGGGGATTCCCAAATCCTGGCTCGTGCGCAACCCCGAAACTTCGTAGAGTGCTGCCCCGGATCTCTAAGATGTCTGTGCGTCTACGACGCGTCGCGTAAACCTTCTTGTTTTCGCCCCGATAACTCTCCTGCTAGACGTCTGTCTCTCTTATATCGCATCCTAAGATAGGTTTTGCCATACCTAAGTTGCCATGTTCGATTCGAACCGCTTAGAGTCTCTCGGACTGCGTATAGATCTTAATCATTACGCTCTCATATGCCTTACCTACAAATGCGCCCTACTAGTCACTAGTTCCTATCTAACATCTCACTTATAGGAGAAACATAAGATACCTAAACAGTTACGTACGGGACTGTCATCCTACGTGCATTTACTATACATCGTTAACCCTTTAGACCTACCTATGCTACCTTATAGGTCTCTTACTTATCCTAATCTAAAAGTCTTTCGTATCTACGCTTACAAATCGTGTGGTTAGAAGAGTACCAGTTAGGATATTATTAGGCGCCATATGGCTACGAAACACTAACGAAGTCGACAAGTATTAGACAAGCATATAGATATCATGCTTTATTAGTCCTAGACATCCTCTCTATCTAGCCGATAATGGACCGTTTACAATACGGTAATAGTCACCTGTCTAAGCCCGCTAGCTTCTATAAGCCGTGTTAAGGAGATATACGAAGAGGAGATAATAATGATTGCCCGACACTAGTAACTGCGAGTACTTAATCTATCCGACACTAGCTTAGCTATGCCGGAGCTAACTAGCCTATAGATAAATCGTACTAGATAGCTAGAGGTTTATCGTAACTGTTAGCGTAACATCCTAGTGCGATTAATAGACGTTAGGCCTTACTAGTTCTATAGTCGAGATATGCGACTCGGCTACTACGACAGCATAGACATATTTAGCCCGGCACATAACGAGAAGAGGATATAGATACTCTTATAAGTAGTCGACTAAGCTCTTAATCGTTACGAGGAGACAATACGAAGTACTAGTAGACCTATTCTTTACTAGCTTACTAGTACGAAGTCTAACGAATTCTGCCCTCGTCCATTTACGTTTCTTAGCCGAAAAGCGAGTTATTAACGGTATCGCCGGTTATAGAAAAGGTTTATAGCCTTTGCTTTTAGACTCTACTATCTACTAATCGCTACGTAGGAATTAGCGTTCGGGATTAGGCTCTTAGATAACTAACTAAAGTAGCTTAGCGAAGTCTAGGATGACCGATGCTAGAACTATATAGAATTAGAAGGCAGTCCTATTAGCTATAGTAAAGAAGACGAAGAAGACTATAAAGTTAGTAACGACGAGGAGTATAATAATAAGGAAGATTTACACTAGGAATAAGATAATGTAATTCCTAAGAGTAATAATAAGATAGAAGTATAGATTAATGGACTTTCTAACGAGGTAGACGGCACCCGTAAGCGAAGGATAGTGCTATTATTATATGTGGATTTATAGAACGACATCTAAGTAGTCGAGTTATATAAGACTAATATCTCTATAAAGTAGGTAAGGGATAGGATTTTAGAGCTTATTTTCCGATTTAGTGTCTTCTTCGCTATAGAAGAGTTTACCGACGGCTAGACATACTCGAGCTTACTTATTTACTACGCTAGGATCTTAGGTCTTTTAGCCGATAGAAGAACTTTTCGAAGAGTAAAAGACTATACTCCCTAACTCTCTAGACTAATCTATACGTAACGATTGCTTTTCCTAGAGGCTACTCTTCTACATAAGGCATATAAGAACATTACTATTAGTTAGAGGGCTTAGAGTGCTTATCTAGAACGGCTAAATAAATTCCGTATACGATATATAATACGCGGCTACCTAAGTCCTTTCGGAGAGTTTTAGAGTCTTTAAGACTATAGATAAGTTATAGTATAAAGCGACCCTCTAGCGTTTATATTTCGCTAGAGCGAAGATTACTAGACTCTTTATTATAGGGACGACTTCTTCTCTATTAAGTAACTCTACAATTTTGCTTCGACAATTATTAGCTCTTTAACGATGTTATATATAAGGTTAATGTACGACTAGTAGCCTAACTTTAACCTTAGGTCGATTAAAGACGACTTCTATAACCTTTAAGAAGGCTTCTTATTTATCGATCATCCTAGTAATAAGCTATCTAGTACATACCTAGAGCTTTCTATAAGAGCATATACGGATCCCGGCAATGGTTTACTTATAGATAATAAATGGAATACGACTATAGTCTAGAGATATCTTAAGCTTAAGGAGGAGCTGCTCGAGCTACTTCTAGCTATATTCTATATCCTTAGGGGCTAAGCCCCTCGAGGCATAGAAATTCTATTATTAGAATGTTATAACGGCCCTTCGACCGAGTGCGGGATATACGTATATAAAGGTTCCGTAATTTATGTTATAAGACATTATAAAGCCCGTAAGATTACTAATAGGGAGTTTTACGTCGTTCGTTATCTTCCTTAGTAAGCGGGAAGAATCCTATTCCTCTATCTCGTCTATATCCGACCGTTTGCCGAGATAATCTAACGTTAAGCTAAATTGTCGAATAATGGAGCATCTAGTAGGCTTCTATTTCGTACTTTATAGGCTCCTACCTAATTATGGTTATCCTAATAGTTATTAACTATCCTCTAAAAGGTAGGGTAAGAGATATTCCAAAAGCCGTTCGGTGTCTAACTATACCGTTATATCTCGATAAGCATTACTAAAAGGCACGTAAAAAGAGTAGTAGAGCCATTTAACAGACATGACGATAAAAGTGTTATAGCTAACGTTAACGTCGTGTTTATATAGTAAAGTGGTTATCGTCCGTTATAGCGCTTAGTAACCTATAGGTTAGACGGCGCGTTTCCGACTAAGTTATAGCTAGCTCTTCTAAGAATATATAAATAGGCTTCGTACGAATGGTATAACTTCCTATATCTAGATAGCGCTAGACTAATCGCCGTTCGAGCGATACTAATAAAAGCTCTAAAAATAAAGAGTAGGATTACGGTTTCCGAAGCTACTACTACTATATAAGTAGCTATAACGAGGGAGACGTAAAGCTAGTTAATATAGTAGACTCTTCTTAAGCGAGTTTGCCCGCCGTCCGAAATAGAAGCCGTCTAGCGACTAAAGCGTCGATATATATTAAGATCCTTCTAGATTAATAGCATAGACGGATCTTAGAGTCTTAATGCCTATATTAATCGTCTTACTAACAAGTAGCCGGAAGAAGTAACGAAATAGCTAACTTAGGATAGAGGCTATAGTAAGTCGCCCTCTATAGATAGATTATATAGTGTTATAAGCAAGTGGGCTTAGCGTTATAATCTTTATTACTTCCGACGACGTTCGAAAACTGTTTAGATTTACGACTATAGCATTATAGACTATAAAGATTATAGGGCGGTATAGATCCGGCAGTAGGAAAAGAACTTTACTTCCTTACTTAAAAGATATGTCGATAATTTAGTAGCAAGGTTCTATGTTAACTATTACTTACTAGGAGAATGGCATCTAGCGAGCGAGATAAGGGAGAAAGTAATACGAAGGGGTCTTTTTAGGCTAACATACATATTCGAAGGAATAGTTACTAAAGCCGTGGCCGTTATGTTATCGAATAACACTCTACTTAGGCTTATATAGGACTAGAAGGGAAAGGAGACAGAGTTAGGGATTCCTTACGATTTCATACGTTTAGAGTTATAGCTAACTAGTGCCTTACACTAGGGAGAGAATCCCATCCCACTAATGTTAAAAATCTTCTACTAATTAGTAGAGCTTATAGAATGGTACGAAATGCATTAAGAAAGCTAACATAGCAAGTAGTGTAGTAACGAGTCTTATTCGATAATATTAGAGAGCGTCTATAATTAGTGATATAGTGTACTAAAGATTTAGTTCTAGTCGATACGTAATCCGTAAGCATTAGCCGAGGCTAACAACGACGACGACGACGCTTTATCTTTCGAGGATCTAGACATAGACGACTTAGACGAAGACGACTTTATTCTAATTAACTCTAGAAGTGTAAGACCTACGAATGTAGAAGGAGGGGGATTACAAACATAACAAGGATAATAGCAATAGGGCAAAGACGATAGCCGAGATGCTAGTATCATAGCCGTAGAGAGACTAGAGCGAGCTAGAAAAATCCCTAAACTGTCGAAGCGCCCGATATGCATAGAGATTAGTAGTAAAGAAGCGTTCGAAGCGAAGCTATCGATGTATAGAGGATGTTGCCTAGTCTGCATAGCGCGATTAGGTAAGACAGAACGTTCTTATACGTCATAGAGGGCTTATCCGTTAGTAAAAAAGCTAGAGTTAATAGAGAGGATGGAAGTAATAGAGAAAAGACTGGCGGGAATGCGAATGGAAGTGACATCTAGTTATAAAAAGTGCTAGAGACCGTGTATGCTATGTAAGCAGTATAGGTAGAGGCTAGGAATAGTAGGAGGAGGCTTAACGGAGAATAGATACATTAAGTGGGACAAGATATAGGGAGCGTGGTGTAGAGAAAGAGGAGAGTTTAAAGGAGATTAGCGAGTAAGAGATAATCTTTAAGGCATAGTTTTAGGATTATTGTTTAGTTCGAGGGATAAGGTATAGGATTAGGCGGTTAAAGATGGAGGGTTAGAGGAGGACAATGGCAGCGACAGCATAATAGTAATATTAGAATGGTTAGCGAGTAAGAGCAAGGTAGGGTTAAGGGTAAGGGAAGGATAGGTATAGAGTAGCAAATTGTGTGAGCTAGTTTAGGCTTAGGGGTGAAGTAGTAAAGTAGAGAAGTAGAAGTAGGGTAGTTAAGACAATAAAAAAGGAGTTAAGATTTAAAAGTAGATCTTATATAGCCGTATCTAGGTAATAAAAAGGGCAAAAGAGACAAGAGTAAATAGAAGGAGGAAGATATGATATATATAATATATATGATATGACGAGAAAGAAGTTAGTTAACCCTATAGGTGTCTTAGGGGAGGAGAAGAGAGAGAAAAAGTAAGGAGAAGAGAGCCACCTAACCCTATAGGTGTCCTAGGGGAGGAGAAGAGAGAGAAAAAGTGAGGAGAAGATAGCCACCTAACCCTATAGGTGTCCTAAGGAAAGAAGAAGGAGGGAGAGAAAAATTAATAAGAAGAGACCCGCCTAACCCGTAGGGTGTCCTAAGGGAAGGAGAAGAGAGGGCAAAAAAAGTAATAGGAAGAGGCCCGCCTAACCCGTAGGGTGTCCTAAGGAAAGGAGGAGATAAGAGAAGAAGAATAAGAATAAGATAAGATACGTAGCGGCCGTAGGGTGTTAGGGTTAGGGTTAGAAAAGACTTCTATTCTAGCTCTACTTAAGCTATACTTGCTTATCTAATTACCTAGGGTCTTTGGATTATATAAAGGAGAGAAGAAAAGGTTTTAGGGTTTTTAGGGTTAGAAAAGACTTCTATTCTAGCTCTACTTAAGCTATACTTGCTTATCTAATTACCTAGGGTCTTTAGATTATATAAAGGAGAGAAGAAAAGAGGTAATATAGGAAAGTTAGACGTATACTAGTCTATCCTATACCCTAGCTAGGTTCTTACTCAGAGCCTTACTAGGGTAGTTGAGATGTATTTATCTAGCTAATCCGAGGTGCTAGGGGTAAGGGACTTCTAGAATTCCTTATAGGTTTATAAGGTTTCCTTTCCTAGTAGGCCCCCCTAGCTTAGGATAAACGGTTTAAACGCTTGGCTAAGGATGCGGTATTTAAGTTTCTTAGCCTTTTCTACTATGGATAGGGTGCTATAGGGGTCCTTTTTTGCTATTTCCTTTCCTAGGGAGATAACTAAGACGTCTAGATAGGTAGTCCCCTTAGGGCTATCAATTCTAAGGTCTGTTCGGATGCCCCTATAGTCCCCTTATGGCTCTAGGGTTACTATGTTCGAGGGGTCTGTTTTAAGGGCTATTGCTAGTGCTTAGCACACTTTGTTATGCTTAATAATCGTTTGTCTAGTCCTAGCACGGCAGGCATCCTCGTAGGTAAAGGTATAGGCTCTATCGTAGTGCTTATAGATGTTTTAGCTATCTTCTAGGGGGGTTAGAAGCCGTATAGAGAGGGCTATAGCTATGTCTATGTCTAAGAGTAGTAGGGGTTATAAGGTTAGTAGTGCTAGTAGCCATCTCCGGCCTAGGAAGGCTGAGTTTTCTATCCGGACATTTTCCTGTTATAGGGAGAGCTTCTCTTATACCCTAGTAAGTCTAGCCTTATTAAGCTTATCGATTCCGGCACGGTAGATGGTTCTAGTAGGGCCTATGCTAGTGGGGTCTATCTATTAGTGTTTAGGTAGGAAGTTAGGTTATTCCTATATGTCCTAGGCGAGGTAGTAGGATAGGCTTAGTTAGGTATGTTATATTGCTCTATTCCTACTTCTACCTCGGTTTTAAGGGTGTTCTTAATCCTAATCCTAATCCTAATCCTAATCGTAGTCCTAGTTATAGTCCTAATTATAGTCCTAATCGTGGCCCTAATCGAGGTCCTATTCCTATTCCTCTACTAGGATGTCTTCCCTAGTGTCGCTAGGGGAGGGGGACGGATCCCTAGGGAGGCGCTAGTAGAGCTTTAGTGGTAGGATCCTTTATAGTATGATGTCTAAGATTGCCTACGAGTTTTAAAGGGCTAAGCGGGCTATCTCTTTATAGAGAGGGATGCCTAGGCCTCCTAGTCTAGTAGGGAGGGCCACTAGGTCCTAGTCTAGTTCTCCTCTTCTCTCTATACCTTATAGATGTTTTACCATCTCTAGGATTAGGGCATCGATGTCCTCATACTCTGCTAGGGGTTCTAGTGTCCCGATGGTCCTAGGTAGGTGCTAGAGAAGGGTAGACGTACTTGCTCTAAGTAGGAGGAGTGCGTGTTGCTTTAGAAGGCTTCTAAGCCTATCTAGCACTACCTAGAGTTCCTAGACCTTTATAGCTAGGAAGCTAGCCTTATGCTACCTTATGCCTACGAAAGAGCCTAGGACTTCCATTCCTATTGCCTAGATTCTAGTGAGGGAGTGTAGTTTTGTTTTATTCGGGTTTAGGGTAATAGGGGCGTCCTCTAGGAATTTCTCTAGCTGCGGTATAGAGACTGTCTGCCCTAAGATGATGTAGACATCGTCTAGGTATGCTACTATAATGGGGGAGGGTCTGTTATAGCTTATTGTCCTTTATAGCTGTTGCTATAGTCCTTATAGGGTTATCCGGATGCCTAGGGAGAAGAATAGGGGGCCTAGGGGGTCTCCTTATCTTACTCCCTCCGAGGAGGTAATAACTGTGCCATCGTACATCACCAGTGCTGCTGGCTCGTTGTAGGCCCATCTTGCTGCCTTGTAGAACTCTGGGGCATAGCTTAGTATGCCATATGCGACTGCTAATCGGGAGACCGAGTTAAAGGCATTCTAGAAGTCCATTAAGCAGACATAGGTGTATCCTTTAAGGTTCCCTTCTACTACGTGTCCTAGTAGGTGTATAATTGGCTCT